CTTCACCTTCAACTTCACCTTCAACTTCACCTTCGCGGGACCCCAATCTTTCCTTCGGCACGTCTTTGTCGTCTTTACCTCAACCACTTTGCACCGGAATCACGTCCCGAGCGCAACCCGCAAGATGAGCCCTACAGACAGGAAGGCGATCGTTCCAGACACTGACGATCTCATGGAGATTGATGCTGCTAGCTGGGCTTTCTCTATGGAACGAAAGAGGACTTCTACTGTTTCCAAAGCTGGGGTTAACCCGTCGAAACCCATCTGCGCGTCCTCCAACGAGTACAACAGGAACACAGAATGAACGAGACCGGAATTGCTGGAGCATCACGGCGAACCTGCACCTAGGTTTCCCTCTGGAATCGTTGAGAGGCGTGAAGCAGCAATAGGAGAACGGACTAAGACCAATAACGAGCACAAAACAAAGAGGAACGCGCTACGCAAGAAAATCCGCACTCTGGAGCACGTTATTCGGCGTCTACGTAAGACCGTTGCCAAGAAAGACCAGGTTATCGCAGAGCTAAGGCGTGAAATCGATGTGATAAGAGGCGAGAAAAACCAGGTCATTGCAGAGCTAAGGCGGGAAATCGGGGATATAAAAGGAAGGATTCAAGATCAGGGCACTGCAAACATGCCTACCAAAGCGTTAGACACCATTGTGGCCGCATCAGAAGACCTATCGATATGCGGATGTTCGGATGGAGACATTACGAAGTCGCACACCCTCTCGAAACCCATGGCAACAGCCGCCCGGATGCATCTGCTCTACATCCTCGGAAGGAAAAGGAAGTGGAGGATCACATCCAAAAGCAAGACATGCATGCTGCGCAGAGCTATGTCGGCAACGTGTGACTGGACTACAAAGGAAGAAGAGGGGATGTTCTCGTGTCAGTATTGCACGCTTCGGGGGAAGCCTTGTATGAGGTACGTGGAGGGGAAAGTGGTCGTGCTCCCTTTGCCTCCGCCTTTGGTTCCAACCGGGTGCAAGTTGGGATCTAGAAGGTACCACATATACCAAAATCCGCTCATTAGCCAGAAAGAGCTCAGGGAAAGTGGCATCTGGAAGAACTGGAGCAAGTGAAAGGCGTCGAGTTGCTATCTGCAGCCACTGAGTTTGAATAAGGCACAGAACGCAGCAGGCGTTCAACGAGGTTTGAACCGCTAATCGGCGGGAGATTGGAAGGAGACCGCAACTGCACAGTGTGGAGGCACTCATGTAACTTGTTCACGCTATATCAATGTACTTCCTTATGCACGGATGCTTCCGCAGTTAAAGATGGTTATCTCTTCAAAACACGGTCATCGCTTTGATTCTTATTGGGTAACTAACACATAAGCCTCTTCACCTAACCGCAGCTTGTCAATCACAGCGTTTCTATCTCATAAATAGGCCTAATGTTCATACAGCACTTACAAACCAGCCATCGACCCCGGACCCAGGAAACTCGGCATTGCCACTCGACATCTTTGAGAGCGGTGAATAAAAGAATTGAATCAGATTATGTAGGTAATCAGTGGAGCAGTACAAACCCAGAGTCGGAAGGCACGTTAGAACAAACCCTCGCTCCACCTGTACGCCGACCTATCAACACCAGCAAGAACTCAACGCAACTGTGTCATCGATCGGACCTTTGAGAAAAGAAAGACTAAAAGGTCCTCTTCCTGAGTTTTGCCAAGAAGGAGAAAGAGCGAGGACAATATGGATGTCGTGCTGCCGGAAACCAGGTCTTTCTGTTCTTTCAGGACTAAGAAACGGAACTGATGATCTCTTGAGAGTAACAAAGAGTCTGGTAAAGCAAAGAAATGATCATTGATATTGGGTGCGTGGAAGCAGGATGGAGTTTGGAAGATCGCACCTCGCTGGTAGCTCTACCCTCTCCTAAATACTGAAGAGAGACGTAATTCAACACGCGCCTTCCAGCTTACCCGCTCAACAATGTCGTCTTTCTCAAACAAGAGACTCTGGAAGGGTGTTGATGCTTGGAGGAACAGAGCAGCGCAACGCTGTCAACATTATCCGCCGCATGATAGACCAGGTGGCTCCAGAGCCTGCTCTTGCACTTGACGCTCTACGCGTGAAGCCTCTAAAAGGAGGTTGAGTGGGGAGTAACGGAAGTAATCAAGAAGAAAAGGGACTTGGAGGTGCACCTTAACGTTGGAGAAGCGGGACTCTACCTTGGCGGAAAAGAACGAGGGCTTTCGTTAGATTGAAAGATGTTCGATCGCGCCGTCAAAGGTGTGGTAATACCAGACAGATCTTTAAGATATTTTTGGTTGCCACTAGCCACCTTTTTGAGAGAAGAATTGGTCCTAAGATTGTCTGAGAAATTATGCAACTGTGTAAAAAGAGGCGTAGGAGTTGCGGGCCTCGAGCTTGCGATCAGATTGGGAGGACGGAAAACAAACCTAATGGAACCTGGTACTACAGGTTTGATTATTCGGAGTCTTGCTCAGTTCCACTACGGATGCGTTTAGCTTTCGTTTTCTCTGAATGTTTGTTTTTGGGTCATTGATTCATTTGGGCTCTTTCGGCGTTTTCACAAGCAATCCTCTCAGTATGCCGTCAACGCAATGAATTGAATAATGTCACTTCCAGTAAAGGCACAGTTTTAGGGGCCTACTATGAGCAACGTCTTAGTCCTCGGATGTTTTGGTCCAGGCAAATCTGGGCCCGGAGATCAATCAGCCCTTCAGCTCACACCCTGTGGGACCTCGTAACAGCATAACGTCAGGCAAAAATTCTATCCCCGTCTGCCCAAGGCCTCACCTATGCGGAAATGAGAAGGATTCTATAAAATTCGCCCCTCATTTTCACCTTCACTTCCGCTCACCGAATTGATTGACTCACTCACTTCTGCCTCCGCTCTCATCGCTCATCTTCGTTTGGTCACGTGGTATGTCGTAGAACCTCCATGGCTATAATAAACCCTTTCCCACTCTCGCCGACTTAACCCCAACATCCAAATCGGCGGAGTCTACCAAGAGCCAACTTCACATATCCACCGGCCTCCCATTGTACAACCATCGAAGACACCTTCAACTCGAGACGGGGAAGACAATGGAACCTCACTCACTATTTGCAATTGGCGAGAACTTTGGGATGAACAGTAGGATTTGGAAGGAGGGCGCCAAGTCTATCCATGATGGATGGCTCAAGTGGGCTGCATTGCAAAGGGAGCGGCGACAAAAGACCGCACCTCGTGGGAATGTCAGACGTCTTGCAAATGGGCTGCTTGACGTTGATCAGAAGGGGAGATACGTGAAAGAGTAAGTTATGTTAGCAGGAAAGCATGCACCGGCCATTAATGATACCAGGATTCGAGAGAACTCCAGCTCGCCACTGTTCCGCTTGCCACCCGAGATTCGAAACAAGATCTTCGCTTATGCGGTGGGAGGAAATTTCACCTTTGAGGCTGCAAGGCTCTTCTATCTTGGTGACTGGGACGGGGAGTCACTGGAATTAAGCCGGGTTCAGGATGTAGCGTTGGTATGTAACGGCGGACTCAATCGCCTTAGCCTTCTGAGGACATGCAGGCAGGCGTATGCCGAGACCGCTCTTCTCCCTTTCTCTGCGAGCATTTTCAAGTTTGGTCCCGGCATCGAGGGTATCCACGAATGGTTACAGTGTCTCCTGGATGTCGAGCGTGAAGCTATCACTAGCGTCGAGTACCTAGGAGACTACCATTTTCCATCCCGTTCCAACAGGCCCCCGGTGTGGTCGATTGACCACGGAGTCATGGAAAGATTGTTCAGCCACCAGGCGCCGATGTTTCCAAACCTAAAATTCCTCCACATAGTCTTCACCGTCTACTTCACCTTCTACGAGTCTAACGAGGACTGGACGCTGGATGAAAGCTCGGAACTCGGATTGAATGAGATAAAGAAACGCATTGAGGCGGAGCTCCCCAACGTTTCGGTAACTGTGTCGTGGCGTGCTGAATAGGCTCGCTAGCACATCATAATAGTGTGCAATACTTTCAACGGACGCACCAACCGTACGGGTACTTGGACAGGAGAACCGCTTGTAACAAAGATTGGAAAGTTCAGCGTTTATCTCACAGGAATCATCACGGCTAAAGACGCAGATTGAACTTTCTGCGCGGAAGAGAACGATGACATTCGAACCCTCGCTCTACGATGACGCCCACAACTTGGTCCTTAACATTGGAGGAGGACATGGCAATCCAATATCTACTGGGACTTCACGATGAGGCGGGCAAATTGAACAATATGCGGGACTGTGGGTGGAAAGCGGATGGAGAGGTTTCTCAATTGTACAGTGTACTCAGTTTATGCTCCAGGCGACCTTTCATAAAAGGAGTGAAATCGAAGTCGCCTGTCAAAATGTCACTGCTTCAATGCAGTAGAGTTAGGTGTATCTTCAAACGATGAATATTATCCTGGTGTCTTCAGCCTTCTACTTCCCTGTCTCTACTTTGCATTCTCGTACACCTTTTCCACTTCTTTTGCTCTGTCTAGCTCCATACAGAATTGCATTTGCCACTATTCCGGCGTTATACCCAGCTGAATAATACCGAGTTCTTCTATATTTAAAGCACGGTACTGCTGGTGGAAAAAAGGTCCTACGCGTCCTGCATAGGTGGTACTGGACTTTTTCTTTGTGGGTCCCTACCCTAGGTAAGTTAAGGTGTTGAGTTTCCAAACGAATTCGCATCGACTGCTTTGTGGAGCGAGAGGCAGTCTCCAGTGACGTCAAAAGATTGAGATTTGTGACGATACTCTGCCAGGCGATCTTAGTATGAGAGGATCGTGGGCGAGTCTTATCAGCAGACGAAGCTTGATGTACCCAAATTTACGGCGGTGGCACGTCACGGCTTATGAAGAGTCAAAATCAATACTCCGGAGGAAATGCGTGGGACACTAGTCGGTCAAGGCCTGCCATATTTTGAAATTACCATGTAAACTCTGGAAGACAGCGTGGTGTTGGCGAGCAGCGCGCCCACCTTGGGGCAGTGTGGTATGATGTCCGACGGATGCCCTGGAACATGCATTGGAAGTGCATCAGCTGATATATCATAACATCATTATTGCAGAAGATCTTTCACCAATGACCTTCACCTTGATTCGTTGCAGAGTTCATTCTCACGTTCTATCGTACTGTTTGGTCACCGCTCCCAACGCTCGGGCCAGTTGTACAGGTTCACGAAACGGACTGCTCATTCACTCGAACCTTATTCCTCTCTTCCTCCTTATATCTTCACTTTCTCGCACCTCCCCATCTCTACTCTACTTCTGATCCGACAATTGCCTATTGGTAACACATTTGACTCGTCCTCATTGCTGACCTCCACCTTACCCAGGGTATTGTCTACTCATCCACAACAATGCCGACTCATTGGCATACATATTATCCTCAGCCTTTACGCGACGCAATACACCGCTCTGGCCATAGCAGGTTCATGCGAAAGGAACGGGCCAAGCAGTTGGCACTTGTGAAGGCACGAAGCAAGCGCTGTTCTCACAAGGGGAAGGTCCGGAGACTCGATAACGGTCTTCTTGATGTCCAGCGGAAAGGAAGATATCCTAAGCTGTAAGCTTCTGTGGCACGCGCAAGTCTCCTCGATCATTGACTTTAAGGGCATCCAGGTTCCACGAAAACAGCAACTCGCCTTTACTACGCCTACCGCCAGAGATTCGCAACCGCATCTTCAGATATGTGATAGGTGGAAGGACGTTTGTTTTTCCACGCATCCCATTCTATTGCCCGGTCATCGACATAGCTTGCCTGGCGAACTTTGAGAAAAATTCTCTGAGCCTTTTGGGGGTCTGTCGGCAGATTTATATGGAGACTGTTCTACTCCCCTTCTCCTCCAATGAATTTTGTTTCAAAAAGACAAGCTTTCACGGATGGCTCAGCCGCCGACTGCCCGTAGAGCGGGAGGCACTCACAAGTCTCCGCTTCATTTGTCGGGCGGAATGGGGTATCGACGGGAACTCGCCAATGGAAGAATGCCATATCCAGATCGTGAAGGAAGTTCTCAGCCATCGATCCACCTTATTCCCAAACCTTAAAGTGCTTTTGTGTGGTTATTCCTTCCTACCCGTACGGGCAGCTTTCAAAGCATGACATTGAAGAGCTGCAGAGTCTCCTCGAGGCTCATTGTCCTGCTCTCATGATTAAAATCGAGCAGTCCGGCCAATGGTGAGTATATGAGAGAGTAATACAGTGTATAGACATTCAGACTGACCTCAGTATACAGAGCCACCCGCAAGCCTCTCACAGCCAGTAGTTATGCTCATTTCAAGCGTGGGACAAAGAGACGACCCACCCCTATGTCGACGGTTTCTCAGCTCGATTTCTCTTCCCGGATGCTGTGGAGGTCTGCAAACTTTTAATGGGTTCTCTGTGGTTTGATACCATTTTCAAACAATTGCCGGGGGAACGATCCCATTTTACCATGGGCCAGTCAACATCTACTCCCCCTACTTTTCCCTGGTCTCCTTTTCCTTCATATCAAGTCCCATGTTTCCCATTACCCAACTAGAACCCCATCTTCATTCACGGTCCTTCACGGTTCCCCAATTCGTTACTCTTCAAAGGGACTCGGACTGTTCCAAGATCAAAGCGGAGGAGGACTTGACTCCAACCAGCAATTGTGTAGAATCAATCTAGCGGCATGCACTCTGTTTTCCCATCGTATGCAACCATTTTCTTCAAAGTGATCAATCCTTCAATGCTGGCCAGTTTCGCAAGACCCTCTCTTGTAAAGCAAGGGTAACATCGCATCGTTCCTAGTGGAGGAGTGGCCCATGATCAAAATTGAGAAAGGAAAGCGGTCAATTTCAATGAACTCACCGCAAGTGCTTGGCTTATATCGGTAGAGCAATGCTTTTATAAATCCCTCTTTGCTCCCCATAACCTACTTCATCTTCTACGTGAGAAGTATCTCCCATCCGCCTACTCTAAGAACTTCGAAGCTTCGTTGACCCTTGGCGTCAGCAAGGACGAGCGAAAATGTCGCTGACGCCAAAGAGATCGTTTTCAAAAGCCTCCCACCGTTTCCCACATGGCAGAATTCTCACGTCCGAAGGCAAAAGATACGTACGAGAAGAGATTGCCAGAAGAAAAGCGTTGGTAAGAGACCGAAATAAAAGGCGCGCACATGGTGGAAAAGTTCGAAGGCTTGAAAATGGTCTTCTGGATATTGAGCGGAAGGGGAGATATCCAAAACTGTACGTTTGCAGGAGGGGGCCTGACGAGGCTGCGACTGAGGCTAACTGAGTGGCTCGTAGATTTCGAGAAAACGCCAACTCCCCGTTGCTGCGTCTTCCACCTGAGATACGCAACATGATATTTCGCTACGCTGTAGGCGGGATGACTTTCGACTTTACCGCGTGCGAACGGCCTTGGCTCCAGAGACTACGTGGCTGGAAGCCGCGGGTCAACAACCCGATAAAGAATTGTTTCAGTCTGCTCCGTGTTTGCCGACAAATATATTCCGAGACGGCTCTTCTCCCATTCTCGGCGAATACATTCCATATATCAGAGGACCAACAAGAGGATTTTGACGACTGGCTCCAGGATCGGTTGCCCATTGAGCGAGATGCAATCACCAGCCTTCAATACACTGCTTGCCAACCACTCATCGTCAGCCCCTTTCCGCGGTCCCATTGGTACAAAGTAATGAGCCGTGCTGTCAGCGCACAATCGAGATTGAGGTGGCTCAATCTAACCGTGCGACACTGGCCTTCTAAAATCATTTTGAATGGGAAGGAGGTGTGTCTCCGCCAGTACTATAAAAAACTGAGAAGCGAAACCCGGAGGGCGAAGAAGCGTATCGAGGCAGAGCATAAGGGACTGCATGTGCGGATCGAGATCAAACCGTTGTAGGTAGGACATCCCGTGTGGATTCCGTCAAGTCGTAAGTGCTCCGTCAACAATGCTATCCTAATTAGCTAACTATCGCTTTCAGCGGGGACGTCAGATTCGGCTGCTGCCAACCCGCAAGTCGCAGGTTGTCAACGAGCCTCTGACAATCGGCAGCTACGGCTTGCCGTCTTGCGAAGCGCGTCATTGTCGCTTACTTTCTCTATGCAGGCTTCCCAATCGACCACTTACTCTTCGAGATTCACGGCCACCGACTCCGCCCTAGTCCAGCAATGGAAGACGGCTGCTCATCATCTTTCATTCGGATTGAAGGCTTTGCTTTTTCATATGAACATTTGTGTCCTCCGCGCAAGCCAGTACATATAACTTGCTTAACAACTGCGTTCGGTGTTTATATCTTTTTTCAATGCTTTCAGGAGCAACTGGATCAGTCTGCCACCGTCCGCTGGATTTCTCTTCGGCCGAGAGAGCCAAGGTTGCTTTATTGATTTATTATTTTCTGCTCCTGCGGCTTACAGGACCAATCATCGTACTTTGTCATATTTCAAAATCTTCAGTCTCTTTGGGTTTTCCAGATCACACTATATTTCCGCTCAAGTACTGGTGCAAATGGGGGAGCTTTTGGGGGGTTTGGATTAAGGGGCATTGTGATCATCCAGTGTAGATTTATGAAGCCAAAATAACTCTTCCGCTCCCAGTCGTACAACCTCCATCTTCATTGTCACCTAGATACTCTTGTAGCAATCTTGGAATTTCAAGCTTGACGTAGTTCAGCTTTCCTTTCTGAGCTCAGTGAGCGAAGAGAAAGTTCGAGAGTTCGGGATATGATCATGATCAAAGACTGCCAGGGTTCTGATCAATATATACGGTCTGATGTAGCTCTTGAAATGGCCAGGTTACAAGGTGGAACGCTCTAGCTGCAGCTGATGTGATCAGGACATTGCAATTGAGGTGGTCTGGCGTGTCCGTAGGGCTGAAGGCGGTGTCGGCGATTACGAGCGCCAAGCCCCGACCAGTTGTCGATTCTGCCATCCAGCACAATTTTTGGGCGAACTGTGCTCAATGTCTGCTGGAACACAACCTCCAAATCGACGCCACCGTAGGCCTCTTACGTTCACTGGTTTTTCTATATAAAGCGAGGACCTCGGGACCTCCGCGACACGGATTTGCTCTAGAATATTCCCGAGAGCCGCAAACAACACCAGCGAAGGCGGAGAAGCCTTCAAGCTCCATAATGCCAAAGAAGGCAATGTACGGTCGGACGGACATTTCTTTGGCGATTGCTAATAAATCGCAGTGACGCGCGTATACCAGCACTCATCAGGAATGGTGCGCAAGTAAGTATACGAATACCTTCGGCCGGAAGATCTCAACCCAACACTCACACTCCGTAGGAGAAGAAACGAAGCTTCTTCGTAGTCGTCGGCGACCGACAGAAAGATGTCATAGTCAACCTATACCATATCCTCCTGAATGTAGATGTGAAGCTGAATAAGTCGGTTCTTTGGGCCTACAAGAATAAGTTGCTTGGATTCTCAAGGTAGCTACTTCAAATCGTGGCGGCATAAGACTCAACTAACGCATAGTCTGTAGTCACCGGAAGAAACGCGAAAAGAAAATCAAGAGCGAGATTAAGCGAGGAATCCGCGACGTGGATACAGAGGACCCCTTTGAACTATTCGTCTCAACCCAGAATATCCGATATGTCTACTACAAGGAAACGGAGAAGATTTTGGGAAATACATATGGGATGTGCATATTACAGGACTTCGAAGCGATAACACCCAACCTCCTTGCGCGTACAATAGAAACAGTGGAAGGAGGAGGTCTGGTAATTCTCTTGCTCAAGGGGATGAACAGCTTGAAACAGCTCTACACGTTGACGATGGACGTCCATTCCAGATATCGGACGGAAGCACACAGCGATGTCGTTGCACGGTTTAACGAGCGATTTATCCTGTCTCTCGGAAAGTGCGAATCGTGTCTGGTGGTAGACGATGAGCTGAACGTGTTGCCCATATCCGGAGGCAAGCATGTGAAACAATTACCACCTCCGGACCCTGAGATGGAGGGCAAAATGCCCAAGGCAAAAGAACTAGAGGAAATAAAGGAATCCCTGGCAGATACACCTCCCGTGGGTGACCTCATCAAATTGGCGAAGACAGTGGACCAGGCGAAAGCCTTGCTCACGTTCGTCGAAGCAATCTCTGAAAAGACTTTGTCGAGCACGGTTACGTTAACGGCAGCGCGTGGTCGAGGCAAGTCCGCCGCATTGGGTGTTGCTGTCGCCGCAGCTATTGCACATGGTTACAGCAACATCTTCATCACCTCTCCAAGCCCAGAGAACCTGAAGACCCTCTTTGAATTCGTCTTCAAAGGCTTTGATGCTCTCGGGTATATGGACCACCAAGACTATACCATCATGCAATCGACAAACCCCGATTTCAACAAAGCCATCGTCAGGGTCAACGTACACCGTCAGCATCGACAGACAATACAGTACATCCAACCGCAAGACGCGTATACGCTTGGGCAGGCTGAGCTAGTCGTTATTGATGAAGCAGCTGCTATACCTTTGCCGTTGGTCAGAAAGCTCATGGGTCCTTACCTCGTCTTCATGGCATCAACCATCAACGGCTACGAAGGCACTGGACGTTCACTCTCCCTCAAGCTGATCCAGCAGCTGCGGGAGCAGTCACGGGGCCGCATCTCTAACGGTGGCGACCATATAATAGACCGGTCAACAGGCAAAGAATCCAAGGATGGAACAGAGACGTCTCTAGGTGGGCGCTCACTCCGCGAAATCACGCTGTCAGAGCCCATCAGATATGCACAAGGAGATGCAGTCGAACGATGGATGAATGACCTGCTATGTCTCGACGCAACCCTTCCAAGATCTAAGATGAACACTCAAGGATGTCCCCACCCCCGCGAATGTCAACTCCTCCATGTTAACCGTGATACCCTCTTCTCCTTCAACCCCGCCGCCGAAAAATTCCTGCAAAAGATGATGGCTTTATACGTTGCCAGTCACTATAAAAATTCTCCCAACGATCTTCAGCTGATGTCGGATGCACCGGCGCATCAGCTCTTCGTCCTTGTACCGCCAGTCACCGATGATAACAAACTACCTGAACCGCTATGTGTCATCCAGGTTGCTCTGGAAGGCCAAATCAGCAGAGAGAGCGTACTAAGTAGCCTTAGCCGAGGACAACGTGCGGGTGGGGATCTGATTCCATGGATTGTCTCGCAACAGTTCCAGGACGAGAACTTCGCAGCTCTCTCTGGCGCACGTGTTGTGCGGATAGCAACGAACCCTGACTATATCAACATGGGGTACGGCTCCCGCGCCCTGGAACTTCTTATAGACTACTACGACGGCAAACTCGCTAGTCTTTCGGAATCCGAGCCTCAAGACATTCCAACAATGAGAAGAGTGACGGAGGCGGAGTTGGAGAATGCCACGCTCCTCAAGGATGATGTCAAGGTGAGGGAGGCAAAGGATATGCCTCCCCTCTTTGCGCGGTTGTCAGAACTTCGAGCGCCACAGTTGGATTGGGTGGGTGTGTCGTACGGACTCACACAACCCCTTCACAGATTCTGGAAACGGGCTTCCTTCATTCCGGTCTACTTGCGGCAAACACCCAATGAGCTCACAGGCGAGCATACCTGTGTCATGCTGCGATCTTTAGAGACTACGACATCTGACGGCAGCTGGGTAGCTGCTTTCGCAAAGGATTTCCAGCGCCGTTTCCTCTCTCTCCTCTCCTTCCAGTTCGCAAAGTTTCCGGCTACGTTGGCTCTGTCCATAGACGAATCCGCGTCAGCTGGTGCAAAGTTGGACGAAGACCTTGCACCCAAACCTTTGACAAAAGCGGAACTGGATAATCTCTTCAGTCCCTTTGACCTCAAGCGGCTTGACTCATATGCCAACAACATGCTTGACTACCATGTCATCCTCGATATGCTACCTTCTCTGGCGATGCTATACTTCACTGGCAGACTTAAGGGCCAAGTTAAGATGCAGGGTATCCAATCAGCGCTGCTGCTAGCTATTGGCCTTCAACACAAGGAGTTCTCGGATCTGGAGAAAGAGCTGCCCATGAACACCAGCCAGCTCATGGCCATGTTCGTCAAGATCATCCGCAAAATCTCTACTGCCTTCCGCTCCATCCTGGAAGGCGCTGTCGAGGAGACGCTTCCTGAGCGGATGGAAGTTGTAGAAAATGGCTTTGGGAACGGTGACAGTGAAGCTCCGCAGAAATTTCAGCCATTGGACAAAGACCTGGACGAGGAGCTGAGGGAAGGCGGAGACGAGATTCAGAGGCTGGAAAGAGAACGGGCAAAGGCTCTTATTGATGCCCTTCCGCTGGAAAGGTAAGGAGACCCAGAACCTCAACAAATCACTTGCATTCTAACCATACTTTCAGATACGAAATCTCGACAGGCACTGCAGACTGGGCTGATGCCGAGCGCCAAATCCGCAACGCTGCTAAAGACGGCGGTGCCAGTAACATGACCGTGAGCGTCAAGAGTGGCAAAGACAAGAAGAGAAAAGCAGGCGAGGCTGTAGAGGAAGCCTACAAAGAAGCAGAGAAGTTCAGAGAGGGAGGCCTCAAAAAGAAGAAGAGCAAGTTCGGCAAGGGCTCAAGATAAGCTGGTTCATGTATCCATGCATCGTCTCTATATATGGAGCGGAACGCTGTTGTGGGTTCCCTATCTTGTCTTGAACCTCTCCCCACGGTGGTCCTCGACGGGCTGCTTACGATCTCCCCTGGTAGCCCTCAGATATTCCGCTTGACGCCTTGATGCCTGCTCAAGTGACCATTCATCCATGATATACCCCACTACAGCAAGCGTATATAGGAATAAGTATCGGCGTAGGCATATATAATCCACAGAAAGTAGGCAACTGACTTGTGTTGTAAAAGCGGAGGCAACCCTTTCAGCTCCGCTATCGTGCATTGTGTAAGTACGGTGAGCATGGCATAGATTGTGGATTGAAGTATGTGGACTGGTTGTGGGTTGATGAACATCCGTATGAGGGGGTGGAACATTGATTTCCTATAAGTGCGAATGTTCGCCGGCGGTCGGTGGCTGCAGGAGGATGGCTTTGCGGTGCTTGACGATGGCATGATGATTGGAGGTACAAGAGCGGTTGGTTTAGACTTTATGATTCAGGACCGGTTATCGTTGAAGCAACCTGCTTGGTGAGTAGTGATGCAGTTAGGATCTCCGGTACTCGAAAAAGTTAATGCTGTGATAAATGTTGCTGGGTGTATTACAAAGAAGATGCTAACAACCTTTGTTCTTTGATTCAAGCACCTACACAGAGAGGGCATGGACAGCGAACATTTATTCTTGTATGCGTATGCTACAAAGGTGCCTTTCAGAGGGACAATGGAATAACAGGACCGTTAACCGAATCTGGGCATCCGAATGAATGGAGCCAGGCGAAATAAAACCAGGAGACAATGCGGACGGCATTCCCATTCTGTATACGATACGCCAGTCCAATCGTCTTATGATTGAAGGGAGAATTTGGGAAATAAGGAGCACTCGCGAATTCGAAGGGTGGATCCGAACGTTACACAGCATTATACGTGCGCCGAGGACCGTAACCGGCGATGAACATTGGAGCAAACCAAAAATTATGAAAATTAACACGCAGAATTAGATCCCGCTGTTGCCGTCTTTTTTTGCTAGATATTGCCTTGTGGAAGTTGATGTTGTAGAGCATGCTCAATAGGTATCTTCCGGCGCCAGTGGAAGATGTCACGATCGGTCGCCTTCCCCCATTTGGCTTAGCGTGGACGTTCTCAAATCGAGGGCAATCAACGGAAAGGCGTCACAAAGTGTTCCCAAATCTCAGCCATGGAGCGTTCGCAGATTCCACCCATATTGCTTTCACCGACGGGTTTGGCTGGTGGTATAGTGCACTATGTCTGCCGTTGAGAGCCCCGAGAGCGGACCATTACCCTCAAATGGTATCAGAGGTGAGTCCCGATCACCTGTCCCAACTTCTACGTGTGAGAACTAACATGGGAACTCAGACCGGAGAAATTCGACCATTTTGAATCCTCGGCTGTCATTAACAAGCGATCTCTTGAAGAAAGCGCCAGTCTTTACGGGAAGCACCAAGTTTGAACCTCTTCCCGATGCAAGCAACATTCTGGTTACTGGAGGGGCAGGCTTCATGTATGGAACGCTCTATTGTACTACCACGCTTGCATGCTAATAGAAACGCAGAGCATGCTGGTTCGTTCGCCATTTAGTCCTTACTTACCCGGACAACTATAATGTCATATCATTCGACAAGTTGGACTACTGCGCAAGCTTGAATAACACGCGTGTCCTCGATGGACGACCGAACTTCACTTTTGAGCAAGGCGATATCACCTCCCCGACCGACGTGAAGCGTGTCTTGCGAAAACACAACATCGACACCATATTCCACTTCGCTGCACAATCCCATGTCGATTTGAGCTTTGGAAACTCGTACCAGTTCACGAATACGAATGTATACGGAACGCATGTCCTGCTTGAGAGGGCGCGACAACATGGTGTGAACAGGTTTATACATATCTCGACGGACGAAGTCTATGGAGATGTGCCTATGGGGGCGGCAGACCTCAGCGAAACGAGCTTACTTGCGCCGACGAATCCATATGCTGCAAGCAAAGCCGCTGCTGAAATGATGGTTAGCGCATTCCGGAGTAGTTTCAACCTACCCCTCATTACCGTGAGGAGTAACAACGTCTATGGGCCGCATCAGTTTCCAGAGAGTATGTGCAGTCGCTATCTCGTTGACCATGTTTTAACATCTCACAGAAATCATTCCCAAGTTCATAATGCTATTACAACGACGAAGCAAGCTGCTACTCCACGGGGATGGCTCGCCTACTCGTCGTTATTTGTATGCCAGTGACATCGTGGACGCTTTGGATACGATCTTCCACAAGGGGACCATTGGGCAGATATACAACATTGCTTCCAAAGACGAGATTTCGAATATCGACATTTGCCACAAACTCCTCGAAACGTTTGGCATTCCACATTCGACACCAGAAGAGATCGATAGATGGATACAGCATACCGAGGACCGGCCGTTCAATGATCAAAGATATGCGACGGATGGGTCAAAACTGGCGAAGCTGGGTTGGCATCCAAAGACGAGCTTTGAAGAGGGACTTCGAATCACGGTGGACTGGTACCGCCGATTTGGAGAGGTATGGTGGGGCGATATCAGCAGAGTTCTGACAGCATTTCCGGTGGTGGAAGGGACTGAGATATGGACAAAGGAGGAACACGAAGCCCTACGTTCTGACGAGGAGGTTGGGCCCGAGGAGAACGGTACGTTGTGGGCGAAGAAGGTCGTGGATGATATACAGAGTTCTGAAGGAACCATGGCATATCTTGCTGCTGGATAGAAGAGACTTCGCGTATTCTCTGCTTCGCTGAAGCAGTATATGCATCCTGGCTAGGTTATCGATACCCCCATTTAATTCTGAGGCGACAGTCGCCGTCTCGACCATGCCTGAAGCCAACTATAGCATGATGAAAGCATGTATGCCTAGCCATAGTCCGCAGCCTCGAAAGAGAGCTTGACTTCACAGCGGTGAAGACCACTGGTACACATAAAACAATGTATGCAATATTGTTGACGCTTATGCATATGTTACGTTGTCCCTGTTTCGCTATGCTTCTCACCACCAAAGCATTTGCAGACCCTGCCAAGCTGTGGCGAATCAGCTCAGCCACAACCTCATCGTCAGCTCTTGAAACGCCCAACGCACCACAATCCGTACTCATGATACTCTCAGTAACCGCTGTCGGGTTTTATCAACAGGCAACAGGCAGATGCGCTTCATGCAATACTAAATCTGCAAATACTACTACTAGTCATTTCAGCATTTTCTTCCAGCTGGTTCGGGTATTTCCCATGGACAAGTAAATTCCACTTAGCAAGGGTCCGTAATCGATAAGGTCCCGCATCCCCACTTTTGTTGTATCCAGATATGGAGTGCATCTTTGGCGTGTCACTTTACAGCCATTGAGAACAACTTTTCAAAATTGCAAAAGTATCGACGATCTTTGTGGATATTCTCTTCTGTTCAATCTACTTTACAGAATGTAGTGATCGCAGTGCTATTATAGGTACACTGAGGCTAGACAAGAGTACCTGCTCCGTCTCGGGACTTCGAGTGTCGGCTTTGTGCTTGCGCCACTCCCTTACATTCTGCGTAAATACAGCTGTCCTGAACCAAGATTTGTAGATGCATAGATTCTTCTCTGGCTAGTTGACACTCTCATTTTGAATAGAAGTTGACTGTGTGGCGGTGTCCTTGTGCGCTCCTCCAGAGCGGCTGTCAAAGCGCCAAGGAATTCGCACCCTTTTTGAATCTACTATGTAACATCTCAGCCCCCCGGACAACGCACCTTCAACTTCATTACTCTCCTCATTACCCCTACTTTAGCAGCTTCCAAGATGTTCTCCGGACGCAAGAAGAAGGAAAAGGACGAGGATGACAGCTCCAACCGCCTAGCCCTTTTCGGCTCTCGCAAGAAGGACAAGAGCACGCCTCCAGCTGCGAACCCCTATGCCGCTCCGTCCCAAGCCGCCGACCCCTATAACAATCCGCCACCCCCGTACTCTGGTGGCAGCAGAAACGATCAGTATGGCCGGGATAAGTCACCCGCCGTGACGGGACCGGGTCAACCATATGGTCGTGGACCTGGTGGGTACAGCGCACAAGGGGGTAACTATGGCGGTGCTGGTGGATATGGCTCGGATCGGTACGGAAGCGGAGGGCAAGAGCAGCCCTCGAGGAGGCCAGGCGGATATGGAGGTATGAAGTTCACTTACTTTATATGAGAAACATAAGTCTGACCGCTGCTAGGACTTGGACGGGCCAACTCCAACGACACCATGAGCACGGAAGCCGGCCGTAACGAGCTGTTTGGAAACGCTTCCCAGCGGTATCAGGAGCGGCAGCAGCAGGGCGGACCCTCGGGAATGGCTCCGCAGTCTGGTGCTTACGGCCAGGAAGCCCCTGGAGGGTATGGCGCCTATGGTGATCGCCAGCTCACTGCTGAAGGTGCGGATTTCTAGATTCCCCATGCGCATGGGCATACTGACACGTTACTAGAGCAAGAGGAGGAGGACATCAACGCGGCGAAGAGCGAGATTAAATTCATCAAACAACAAGACGTTTCCTCGACTAGGAATGCGTTGCGTAAGTGGGTCCCAACTGTCTACATCCGCTTCGGGCTGACACGGTGGACGTAGGTCTGGCGCAGCAAGCCGAAGAAACTGGCCGTGACACACTGGCCCGTCTCGGAGCTCAAGGGGAGCGGATACATAACACAGAGAGGAACTTGGACCTTGCCAGCAGCCAGAACAGGATTGCTGAAGAGAAGGCACGAGGTAAGACACTCTGGTATTTAGATTTTGGAACCGTTAGCTAATTCTGAATTTAGAGCTCAAGACGCTGAACAAGAGCATGTTCGCCGTCCATGTCTCCAACCCCTTCACTGCATCCTCCCGACGCGAGGAACGCGACCGCAAGATCATGGAGACGCATCAAGCCGAACGGGCTCAAAGGGATGCAACCCGGAGAGCAGCCTGGTATGTGCACTCAAAGCACTCCTTGTATAGACATTCTGACATTTTCATCACAGGGAATCTTCAGCTCGCGCACAAGCCACAGCACAGAAGCTGCAGGAAAGCGGTGGTACCGGTCCTGGACGGTCGACGCTTACCGACCGCGCCAAGTACCAATTCGAAGCTGATTCGGAAGACGACGAGATGGTATAAACTACTATAGATGTCAGTGTCTGCTCAAACATAACTAACACTTTGCAAAGGAAAACGAGATTGATTCCAACTTGAACGCTTTACACGGTGCTGCCAAGAGTATGTATCCATATCTGACTTCGAATGGAACGTGCAGCTGACTTTCTTCTCAGGACTCAATGCTCTCGGCCGTGCCATGGGCGAGGAGGTCGACTCTCAGAACAAACACATTGGCCGCATCATTGGCAAGACGGACAAAGTGGATGATCAGATCGCTATGAATCGCGCTCGGCTCGACAGGATTCATTGAACAGCGAGTCATTGTTGTTTTCAGTGGCATGTTCGTGTCGTGCTGGATGCGGCGATGCTGCACGTGTATGGTGTTATGGCGTGTCTTAGAAAGGACTTTCGTCCTAACATATATATCCCTATCCTCGAATGCGTTTGCGGTATTGTCAACGCAGCTTGCATAGACTAAACGGTCGATCAGAGATGATCGCGTCCTTGGTATCCATGAAGTTCAGCTTATTCTGTCTGCATCATGTGTGGGCGAGACTCGCCTTGCAACAATGGATTGGCAGTGTGCGAGGAAAACCTGGTTCATTCTTACCACAACTAGTCAAACATTCAACATGCACTCTCAACGACAGACCTCGCCCTCCGGCCCCTCAACTTTCACCGTCGGCGCCCGTGTCTCCACCTCCCACTTAAACCTCTCCAGCCGGCCGTCCTCGGACCCACCCTCCCAACTTCCCCTCGTCACCTCAATCGTCCTATCGACATGCACTTCCAATTTGTGTCCTCCTTCCTTGGCAGTGGCCCAGTCAGCACTCCCATCTTCATTCAGCACCTTTTCGTCGCTGTCTAAACTCCGCCTCCCCGCTCCAAGACCTAGATGCCGGAACTCGCGCCCGTAGATGTCATTACCGTCTCTGGATCCCGACCACTGCCTACTTCTACCATTATGGTCGCATCTGTGGAAATTCGATCTCCCCAGATCGATTCCCTCATCTCCAACAGCCAGGGCTGTCGACGTAGTCCCCACTTTCGACCCCCGATGAAGGCTCCTATGCAGCCTACTACTACCCACCTGATGACCACGCTGAGTATGAGTACTCCCCTGTAGTCCATAACCCGGCAGACCCGTAGCAGTCCTGCCCATAGCGCCGTTCGGATACGACGACAGATGGGTGCGCAGGCAGCGCAAGTGTTCGCGCAGCAGGGGCCAGATGGAGGGGAGATTGGCGACGTAGACTGCGACGGAGGCTTCGCGGACGTACCAGAGCATGTAGACGGTTGAGTAGAGGGAGGAGAGGTTGTTGATTTTGGTGAGGGTGGCGGCGGTGATCTTTATGTATGAGGGGAGTCTTTTAGCATGGGTAGCTTGGGGGGATGTGTATTGAATCCAGGAAGATGATGCTGGTGGGGTGGAAGGAGGGAGAGTGTAAGAGTTGGGGGGGAGGAGGGAAGAAGAGGAGAGGAGGCAGAGGGAGAGGGAGAGTAGAATTGACGTCGAGGGGAAGAGAAAGGAGGAAAAGAGTAGAAGGTCACGTACGACGAACAACCCCATACCAAACACCACGCCCAACCCCACCTTCTGCTTCACCGGCATCCGGAGCCCCCAAAGCATCGGCACCGGAATCGCCAACATGGCCACATCACTGCTGAGATTGAACACGGCCTGCACGATGGCATACGTCTGGTACGTGGCGCACTGCGGGTCCGGAGGCGGCATGCTCCAATAGCCTCTGAACGGTCGACAGGCGGTGAAGAAGGTGATTTGGAGGGCGAGCCAGCCGAGGTAGACGTAGACGGAGAGGGCGCGTATGTAGCGCAGGTGGGTGGTGGAGGCGGAGAGGCGGGCGTAGAGGAAGAGCATGCTGGATTTGAGGGTCCAGATGAGGTTTAGCATGGCCTGGACGGTAAGTCATTAGCTATCAAGAAGATTGATGCCTTTCTTTTACATCAAAATCATGGATTGGAGAGGATGGAGGACGGGAGTGACGCACCTGCTCAGAAAGAATCACTATCTTGGACCCCCGGATCCGCTCCTGTATTTCCTCCTTGCTGAACGTGCCAAACTGCTCTGGGGGATACAGATTACTCCCGCCTCCCGTGGCGATCGCGTTCAAACTGACAATGAGCGTCGTGTAGAACGCCGGTACCACCGTCATCATGAGCCAGTCATCGGGCGCAAGGAGAGAGATACTGCGGACTCGGCGCCAGCGGGCGTATCTGTTGAGCATATTGTAATTGGCATGTCTGTACGAAGGGTAGGAGAGGGGGTCACGGGGTAAGAAGAGTACAGGGAGTGGACTCACGTTCGAAGGACAATTATAAACATGCCGATGCTGTAGAGAGTCCATGATTCGATGGCTAGCTCGTGTTGAAAGGAGAGGTCGAAGCCTTGGGTATGCATGCCGTGGAACAGAGAAGAGAAAATGAGAAAGACATGTATCCTTGAGTCTGAAATTGTGACTGACGGCTCAGTGAAGGGAATGGGTCCCCGCCGCTATGAAAACATCAAAACATCTAGGAAATACAGGGAGAAAGTAGAATTGTAGTAGAGCACGAGGAAAAGGGAGCGTATGTACGGTTGGTAGAGCCGGTAGAAGCAACGAGTGATGACCATAGCTTGATAAGAATGGCATGATTGCGAAGGCAAGGAGATTGATTTCTCTCTTTCCGCGCAAATAGGTAGATGTGCAAGTCGCTCTACCCCCATTTGTATGGGCCTAGAAGAGAGATCCGGAGATGTGAAATCATCAATGGCATTTCACCCGCAGGAGATGCGTTGCTCGGTAAGGAGACAGGGCAAGGTCCCAGAACACCGAGCCCTGAAATCTGATCGATCCGTCAGAATCTCTCAGTTGGAATACCTGGTGTTCTCCTTGCTAGCTACAGTACCCCACCAAGTCCTTCCACAGGTGAATGTAGTGGCTTATCTCGACATGCCTGGTGCTCGGTAGCCGCTCGTGGTGGCGCGAAGTTAATGTATCTGCCTCCCAAGTTGGCATCATGATTTGAGCTGGGACTTGTCAAATGAAGAAGGGAGTGTTTATTGGGCGGTGGGAGAGCTGTACCGCGTCGCGGGCGTGGGATGACGGTCGCTCTCTGTACAGGCGATGGGGGCGTGCACGGCCAAGGCTGATGATGGTGCTCTTCTCGTCAGTGCTTTTGTTCTGATAGATAGGAGCCCTAAGTGCGAGAATCGAGCTCTGCAGTTGAATTAATGCTCTCTCCTTGGACATGATTGGATTTCTGATTACGGTCCAGAAGTGTGAAGGGTTCAAGTCTTCATTCCTCGGCTAAAAGTCAACAACTCTTTTCTCAGTTCAGCTGCGATTTGGTTTCTGGTTCTCCACTGTCTTCATTGTGGAGCCTGCAAAATCAAAGTCGGAAATACCTCCGTCAAGTGATCGCACTCCCCAGCAGCTCCTTCCTCGGATGAAGGCGTGTTTACCAGAAGATGACGCGGACAGATAAGGGGAAAAAGCAAGTAATGAACACCAAGAACGCCACAGCAAACTGCATCCCGCGCAGCTCTGTGGCTGAGTTAAGAGGCATCCCACGCTAAAAGGAAGCACGAGACATCTCGACTGTATCATGTGGATGTCAATATAGTTGTTGGTGGATAGTTGTCTTGATATATTTCTATACTGACAGTGACATTGATATAAATCAGAAGTGAATGAATGCTTGCCTCACCCAAAGCTCTGGCGTTGCTCCAAACGGCAAAAGAATCTATGACATGGAATAAGAGATCAGTAAGAAGCACCGTAATGGGATCAAGGAGACGCCTGCACAAAGTCCAAAAACTGCTACGCATGCTCGCTCGCTTGAACGCTCAAGAAGTCAGAAGTCTCAAAAAGTCAGAATGCAGTTCGCCCCTCAGTTCGCCCAACTTCCTCTTCTTTCAGCAGTATGAGACGCCGACCGCTCCGACGCCATGTTCGGATGCTGCCGAGCCCACTCTCGGATATACATGCGCAAGGCTCTCCACCGCATGCACGTCTCTTCTTTGATATTGGAATCGGCGCATGCATCCTCGCCGAGTCGAATGTACCCTCTAGCACTCGGGAGATGATCATCCTGGCGGAGCTCCGATACGGGGATCCTCGATATTCGAGACAGCTCTTCGTCGAACATGCGGCCAATGGAAGGGTACCCTAGCGAAAGGTAATTGTACACTTGGGTCACGAACTCATCCCCATAATCCTTGTCTATGGCTGCCTCTGTGGCTAGCTTCTGATCGATGCAGGCGAAATCGGCACGGGTTGGTGGTGGGGTGGGTGGCATCAGGTGTGACGACGGAGTGGGCGAAGGCGAGGGCACGTTGGTCCCCATGCGCGGGGTGAGGATGCCAGTTGGGCCTCGTGGAGGCGTGCGTCCCGTTCGAGCGCATAATCCAGCCCATAGTCCACCTGCAGAAGGGCTGGGAGACCGACTGTTGGCGGCGGAGTTGACCCTTGAATAGAACGAAGGGCGGTCTGTGGCCATGTTCTGGCCGCACCAAAGGCCCTCCCCTTTTTCTGCTTGTAGACTCTGCTCAGCCAAGTAATCGGTGGCAATGCGGACAGCATCGCACCCTTGCGTTGTATCGAAACGAGCCGTCTCAGGTGATGAACATCTCGGGAATTCGATGTCAGTCCCCAGCATAGGGGGGCGTGCACAACGTTGCATGGGGTCAAGCATGACATCGTCCAAGGGGGTTATCACCAGATGCGCGACTGGAGTCTTAAGCCACGACATTGCCTGATCCCAACAATCAGTTTTCTTGAAGTCCAGCTTGTTCAGTTTTGCTTGTAGACGTCTCTTCTCCTCTCTCTTGGCTTCCTTCTGTCTCTCTACCTCTTCCCGATATCGTCGCATTTCGAGCAAGTCCCAGTTGTTCTCTGGACAGAACGATTCTCGCCGTGGCTTCTCGGAAACAGGCGGTGTGTCTACCTCTCTGTCTATGAAATGATCAACGTGCTCGTGCTCGTCCTGGTTAATGAAAGCAGCCATTGCTTGCTCTCTTAACTGCTGCTCGGCAGCCTTCGCAGCCAATTCCAGAAGAGGACCAGGGTCTCGGTCATCCGGGCTGTTGTTGGTGCTCACTTCTCTGAAATGATGTGAATGCTTGGAGACAGCAGAGTGTGATGTGGAAAAGGACAGGGGGCTTCCTGGTTCGGATTCTGACGATTCAATAGGATCCAGATCTGGGACCCTGAACGAGTGGCTTGAACGCATGCTGGCCCAGCTTGGTCTGCGCCTCGATACGGGAGACGTCGATGTTGCACGCTGGATCTCCAGGAACAACGGATTTTGAGGCAGATCCACAGCAGGCGTGTTTTCAGGAGGCGGAGGGGGTGTCCTGGGAAAGCTTGCTCGACGACATCTCGGCACGGTGTCTCGTGAGCGCCGCGTCTCAGACTTGGATGCTGCATCTTGTTTGTGCTTGCTGAACTCCTCTTGCGCCTTGCTACCCCATTGCTCCCACTCCTGTGCAAACTTCTCCTGTGACCGGCGCCGACGATGGGTTCGTGAGGGTTCAACTGACGAATCTCCCGCCTCCTCTACCACAGTCGTCACCTTTTTACCGGGTACGAGAGATGTGTCAATCGGAGGGGGAGGAGGAGCGCGTCTGGTGCTCCTCGTCGTCGTCTCGACCAGCTCGGGAACAAACTTGCGCAGAGGCTTGCTGTAACCATTCGGATGCTGTTGCATATCCTCTAGAGGAGTAACCGGACCTTCCATCACCTGAATCTCAGGTGGGGCCATGACGTATAATTACTTCAATCCTTCAACAAAAGGTACGAAGGTGGGTCGTGTGCCAGTATGTCGTAGTCGGAAGACGCCTTATACTGGGATGATACGATAGAGTTGTTTGAACGACAGACTCCTCGCGGTGTTTGGGGGTGCGTGGGTCGGGGCGAGGTAAGAAGTGGTATGGTTGCGGAAGTAATGAGTGAAAGTGTACCTAGGTAGTCACGAACCCTACTCTACACATACATAGTCAATCGCTGAAGATGATTCAAAGGCGGAATCCAACTCACCAGCACGAACAGATGCTCAGGTACCATTCACGAAACGGTTCCTTCATGTGAAGCTCTCGGCTGTCCAGCGGTGGAAGTTGCATGTGCAATGGTCGCATATGAGCAACTGGACGTTCGGACGGAGGAGTGGTCCTTTTAGTCTCGCAGGCCAGTAGCCACTGCCCAGGAGTGGCAGAGAGTGTGCCCGATGGCGTTGATGGTATGGCGTGGGATTGAGAGAGCCAGATGACGAGGCACTACTCGGTACGGTGTTTTGTGAGGACCTTGGTCAAGCGGTGTTGGTGTCGTGGTGGAAGGATGGATGCAATGCCGACCCGGAAGCTCGTCGAGGAAGGGGTGCAGAAGCGACTGGAGCGAAAGGCGTAGGAGAGCCTCTCTGGGGGATATATATATAGATATATAACGCAACCGTAAAGGAGAGTGGAAGTGGTCTGTTGCTGGGCTTCCAGGCGTGCGTCGCAGAAGAAGGACGGCGTGCTTAATCTCAGAAGGGCAAAGTTCAGGAATGCCCCTGCTCGTGTGGAGAAGTCGGCCCACAGTGCCCACCAGCTTTGGCTCCGCCAGCGCCACAACAGAAGCCGCTGTGACCAAGCCCTGGAGAGCGATGAGTGGGTCAAGTTTGACTGTTGGAGAGAGTTTGGATAATAACTGCCAACAGCAGAATTGCGTAGGTATTCCGTGGGATCTGCGAGTCTTGAGAAGTTGCGATACTAACGGCTCTTCTTCGGGGGCGCGGTATTTGATAACGTCTTCTCGCAACTCCGTGCCTGTGCCTGTGCCTGTGCCTGTGCCTGTGCCTGTCCCCTACGGATCCTCCCGTGTGCTCGCTCAGGGGATTCATTTTCACAAGTCTCCCATTTTCCAGCGTCCTCCTGAATTTCTTCTCAACCATCTCAGCTGCGCCCACTCTCCCGACAGGCGCCCAGCCCAGCAAAAGGCCCTGCCACGGCCAAAATGCCGCAAGTCTCAACTCGCCGGGAATGGACAATGTCACCGCCACAGCTAGCCCAGCCGGCCCCAGACCACATGGGCGAGCGAATTGGCAGTAAGACATAATTACGGATCTACATCCTTTAAGATCTCATTGACTGTGCATCAGTGCTACCTCAACATGCGACTGTCATCCATTCCTAGTTGCCTTGTAAATATGCTTTTATTCCCCTTCTCAAGGCGTGATTGAAAAAGAGAGCCTATGGTGCAGTACTTGCGTGTCAACAGTCCGCCAAAATTGGTTCGAAGCACCCTAATACCTCTATCAGAGCACTTCTCAACTTGCTTTCTCTTCATCGACCATGCGCTCGCCTATCAGGTGCTTTGCCATCTCAATTGCGCTGGGGGCGATGAGCATAGTGCCACGACCCTGCGGCTATGGACACACTCCGGCCGAAATCCTGGGAAGAACCGCTGGAAATCTGCCTGCTGCATCGAATTCAAACTTAGACCCGATGACCATGCCCACAGCCACCACCTGCGTGGAAGAGACAACAAGTGTCTCGACGGCTGTCAAAAGCCCGCACTGCAGTACATCGTCCGCAATACCTATGACTACTAGTGGTTGCCTATCAGATTCTGGCTCTCTAGCTAATGCCCGGACACATACTTCAACAGACGATCTCGACTATATTCAAATCTCCATATCTACGAGCGCCATGGAGCACTGTGTCGAATGCAAGTCTGCCAGTACGAGGCTTTATACGAAGACAGTCAGCAAAAACAGTACCACAGCCAACTGCGTCGAGGATTCTAACGGATTCAACCCCAAGGAGAGTCTGCTGGTATGACCCTCTGCTTCCTGCACTCTGCCCGTCTGCTGGAAGAGGTCTCCCGGGTTGTTGACCGTGTCGAGTATTGACGTATGGTCTAGTCCCCATGCGTTCTCGTAGCTTTGCAGCGCTCGCAAGTACATCTTGATCCTTCAGAATTGGGTTCAAACGTCGCTTTCTGGGTAGATAGAATGCAGCCTCAGGTTGGGTATCTCTGATCAGCTAAGCTATTAGAAGCTCGCTTTGATTCATATCATTGATTAACAAGGTCGTATGCATTACAGGGCCGAATGCCCTCCCAGGGGCTGGGCCGTACTATTGTAGAAGTCATCCCTCCGATAATCAGTGACCAAAGGCTCCTCATCGATCCCCAGATGCAGCGCCCCATCACGACCCTGGTACCACCCAAAGCCATACGTCTTGTCCCACGACACAAGGAGGTTGCGCCGCTGCTCGTAAGAAAGCTTTTCGCAACCGACCCAATTTACTATCATCTTGGCCTGGTGCGTCGCGAGAAGCACGAAGGCTAGGGTTCCTGGCTTGCGAGGGAGTGACACGTCGCTGCGCTGCACATAGACATATACCGCGGTTACCAGGAGCGAAATGATGATGGAGATGGAGAGCACGAGAGATATCCAGAAGGAGCGGAAGGTCTGCGCGTCGCCTTCGAGGAGATCGGTGGCTGTGGAAGTGCCCTTTCGGTGCATGAAATTCGCGCCGGCGGAGCCAAACGACGAGAGGCATACTGTCAGCACTTCTAGTAGGATGGAAATTGTGGCAACGAGGGCGAGCGTGCCGTCGTGATTCCGGAGTGCCTTGATGGGGAGGTAGAAAGGCATGGTGCCTGTGTAGTCGACGCTCAGGACAGAGGGTTTGGCGTGCCGCCGAACCAATTGGTAGTACGGTTCCGTGAGGCGAATGTTCGTATCAAAGAGTGTCCAGAGTAACTTTACCGCGACGCCAATGGCTGTCATCAGGAACGGTGCCCTGCTGAGGATAATGTTTGCCCGTGTGAAGATCAAGACGGGAACCAGGGCGAGAAGTGACAGTATAAATATGAATGCGGGAACACTTTGAACCAGTGGCAGCGTGAAGGAATGCTCCTTCCTGTCACTCGGTACTCGCAGCTTCGGCGACCAGTGTAGCTGCTCGATGGGCGACAGCGAACTGTTGTACAAGAAGTATTTCCGGTAATTCAGCTTCGACTTGTTAATTTCTTCATCTGATGACAAGGGGCTCAATCCTATGAAGTCGGACAGAATGTGCCCCCTGGTCGTCATGGCTAGGAGGCCGCTGATACCGCAGGGGTCGGACGATAGACCCGAGGATTGATGCAGAGGCCAAAGTAGCAGTAATCCCGCAACCGCGGCGAAAATGAGGGACCCAGATAGCACTCTTGACCAGATTGGATGCACGAAAAGCGCGAATCCGTCATTCGCGGCTCGTACTTCTAGCGTGGCATTCTGTATCACTGGCACCGCTATAACAGCTACCAGGGATATCGCTGTTGATAAACGAGTCCGCGCACTTCCAGGAAAGGGAGGTCGGAACCAAGTCCAGAAGTTCGTGCTGTCGACGTTGAGGGACTGGGCGAAGGTGGATCCTGAACGCTCCGCAAGACGGTAGTATGGCTCTAAGCGCTTTGCTTCGACGTCCACTAGCTGGTAGGCCACACCGTACGTGACGGTGACGATTGTTGGAAAATAACGCCAGAGGAAATATTCTGGGACCGAGATGTCGTTGAGTCCGAGAAACTGCATCAAGCCCCCTTTGGCATTAGAGCGGCGGAAAAGAGACTCTTGGATGCCAGCGAGGCCGAGAGACACTAGTGTGAGAAAGATGAGGTAGGGTGGCTTGAAGACAATGGGCCTCCAGTTAGGTTTATCGACATGTTTAGGGAAGTAATAGCTCGTCTGTTCTTCCTGGCCCGACCCACGTCGGGGTGCGAAGTTGGGGACTAAGGAGGATGCATCGAGGGAGGAGATATCTATGGAGATGTTTTCATCGATACTGGTTCGCTTTATGAGAAGTTCTTTCGACGTCCTTGATCCTCTTTCTGGTTTGATATCTTCCGTTATGATCATGGAATCTCGTGCCCTGTTGTAATCATTGGGCACCGGTCTCGACCACTCGTATGTGTTAGAGTGAGATCTCTCACTGCCCCCTAGCTCTTGCGTCGATAGAAACCTCTCAGTACGCGCTATGGGATACTCTGAGTCATACTCTGTTCTGACAGGTTCGTAGACAGACCTTCCGTCGAGTTCATAGATGGACGCGGTTTCCGGCTGAAGCTGCCAGGACATTATTCCAGCCGCGCTGTTAGTGAACCCCTGGAGCCGTTGGTTAATGTGCCGTCCAGGCAGTTTGGAGATTGGGAGATTAGTAAACCTCGGTTGCTAACGAACAACGTGCTGCTGAGGATTATTGAGTTATGAGTCCAAAACCGCGAGATTCTGGATGTTGTTGAGGGGAGCTCTGCGGCTGAGGCGCCTTGGGTGGTGAACTTTCCCCAAAACATGCTGTGGCTTGCTTCAAGCAACTTGTTTGGATACTAGCCCAACCGAGCTGCGGTAATGAGGGTTATCAGTTAGAGGCTGCACAATAACCGTTGTCGACACCGTGGGCGTCGAAGACAGCTTGGTCAATTTGGTCGATTTGACAGACTACTGGAGTGGAAAGACAAGGCAGAAACTTCCCCCGCCGAAGGTTTGGACGCATAGATGACATTGAAATGTTTTGAGCATGGTCCGGCATTTGCTGAATAAACAGACGCGAGCACGGTTCTCACGAAGAACAGGCGACATGTAGGGTAACAGATGTCAGTAAAGAATTACGAGTGGACGGCGCGCTAATAAAACCCGGAGCCAGTAATGATGCTGTTGGTCATGAGATATCAACAATATATTACAACTACCCAAACGACTGAGAAAGAAAAGAATCCGTTCATTGGGAAACAATAATAGTGATACGGAGTACATATGTACTCCGTACCCAGCCTTCCAAATCGAAATTCAAGAGATCTGATCCGCGGCCGCCGGGACCGACCGTTCAACCGTCCAACACATGCATATTTAGGTAGATCACCACCTACGCATGTATTCCGTACGTCATAGCGCAGCAACCATGGTCAGCACCGTTCCGTGAGAAGTCCGTCATCTTTTCACTCATGGATGACGAGGTGCTGGACTACGAGCCCACGGCAGTCACGTCGTTGCGGAGTCAAGCGCAAGGGAAATTTCGTCTCGAGAAAGAAGTCCTGCCTTGGCGCGACCCGCGGTAGCTGCACCACGTTATTGACTTCTACCTCGTACCAGAATTCCATGTGCGGTCCCGGGGAGCCCGTGTCTCTAACGGAGCTCTTTTCGCTGCGTGGGGCGCTGCTTCCGTTGTTCACCATGGAATCTGCCGAAGAGTTTGGGCGTCGTCCAGCGACCTCGTCTACCTCCGCGACGTGGCCGACCTCATCAAATCCCACCACCACCTGGGCCTCATGCCGCGCCACGACCATCTCAATCAGCTCGGTGATGGTGAGCCGGTTTACTTCCTCAGCGTCCACTTCCAGCCCCTCGAGGTGCTCACCCTCCTCGTCGGTGTTGGTCCAAGATTCGTCTTGACCCGCTCCAGGACTGTTAGATCCAACGAGTGTCGTTTGTGAGCCTCCGTCTCCGTCTCCATCTTCGCTTCCGCCTTCTCCCTGCGACTCCCTGTTGCAACGGCAACCTGACCGGCAGTTGCAAAACCTCGTGTTCCTGACTGGCGGCAACCCTGTGTCTTGCTCGAACATGTCGTTGTTTTCGGGGAGATTCATGATGGTATGCTAAACCCCGCAAACCTCGGCGTCAGCAGGATCATGGTTAAAGCCTGATCTGGAGTGGGCTACTTACACGATTTTTGGATGGGAGGTGTTGAAGTCTCAAAATGCCCACTTCGGGTCTATGTACCAGCGCCGCGTTTTGGCCGAAGCGAAGATGCAGACAGTTTTATTGGGTCAAAAAAGGACTGGATATCTTATGGTACAACAATATGCCAACAGAAAAGGAGGGAGTTATTCGAAACAGTGTTTGCTGGTAAAAGGGAAGAAGAAGAAAGATCGCAACACATTCGAGGGCCTCGACAACTTTAAGGACGAGCTGTCACCTCCGTAGCGGCGTACATCACATGGGCATTCAGACCTAGGAAGCGGACACGTGTGTTGGATGGACTGCATATTCCGCCCACCAGTTGCCAACGGCATCAAGACGTTGCACGGCTTCGGCAGCGGGCTCTTCTCTTTCTGCAAGGGAAGGCGTATCTGAGCAGACCAACGCCAACAGGGAGCCTTCCCGCAGCCAAGACGACTCTCCAACCCGTCAATTATGAAATACAGTTCTCTGCGGTGACCAATATCAGCCGGCTCAGCTCTGCACCGGTGAGCAGGAGAGCGGGATGCACCCTAACACGTGGGTTCTTGTCACCGTGTAATTGTTACCGCGTCTAAGCGTAGGCGCAGGGAGGTTCAACGACATAGCTCACTGACATCCAATGGCTCCTGTTGAGCTACAGCACCTCATATCGTATGCCATTCACCCCTCATGCGCCATATACAAATCCGGTAGGCATTCGCGAGTTTCCCCAAAGTACTCATTCCAACGTCTCCATTTCCACTCTCCTTTTCTCAATAGCCAGGCAACTGTTATCACGATTCCTTTTCTCCGCACTCCGTCATTGTAACGCGGTCAGCCCCAAGCGGCTATTTCAAAATCCCCGCTGAGTGGCTGCCTCATCTTCTGAATCTTGCCCCTAATAGAGCTGGAGCCTCGAACATTGCATCACTGCAACATTAGCTGCAGACAGGGCTCGATTCGATGGTCGGAGTTCCCCGCCAGTGGGGGCTGGAGTACAAAATACTGCATACTGTATGCACCTCTGCCCTATGGCGACTAACCTGCACGACGCTCAACCGCAGATGGGTTTCTGTTACGTCCTTCTTTATATGCAGGATTATGGCGCAGGGAATGTCGCCCTATTGCATCATTTTGTGGCATCGAGTGTGCAGTACGGAGTTCGCCGCAGTGCGCCAGGTACACCTCCCACAGCCGGACTCCACTACCACAACAGATGTAAGTGTGTTGTAGGCCATGCATCCTTGATTCTACAAATCAAAGCTCCTCTACTGAATCGGATACTACACCTACAATTGCAGTGTCGCCAACTAGCCAGCCTGACTAACATTATCAGGGGTTGCTCAATTCTTCACAACAATTCTCACCCAGGGTCCTTCAATGTCTGGCATCTGGTATATTCGTAATCCCTTAGACGGGTATCCATGCTGCCTCTGAAGCCGCTCAAGGGTCGCCGAAAATGCATGACTCCATAGCCCTACCCACTCCAAGATACATATGGGAACGCTGTCGGTATCGTTGGTCATCCATGGTCCATTATGGAAACTAAGAATGCGCCAATAAGGAACCGATCAATCGAATCAATCATGTACATGGAAAGTAGTGGTTCGCTTCTCTGCTCTTCTCTCAATGCCGCCTCTTTCTTTCTTCGAACATGCTTGAAGAATCCTAAATAAGTGCTGAGCTTCCGACTCGCCCTGACACCTCCTCCTCATTTATTGTGCCAGATCAACGTCCGGAGCGAGTCCCAGTGGTCCGATTGTACGTAGCTGCAACACCCGGTCAGTACTTATCCTCACTGCTCCCTAAAGCCCAAAACCAGAACAAGACAAAGGAAAGAAGGGAAGGGAAAGGAAAGAAAAAAGGGTAACCCACATGTAGCTCATACTACTCCGCAAACTACTCTGCACCGTCTCCGGATGCCACCGGAACACGTACATGACGGCGGCCCAGCTCAGCGCCGCAAACGCCGGCCACCCATTCCGCACCACCGCCCGTCTCAGCTCTTCATTCGGTATCAGTCCCAATCCCCCACTCGCCGCATGATAATGTCCATGGCCCTGGTGATGCACCGGTTTCCTCGGCATAACAGCCAACTTTGCAAGCGCCAGGCACACGCGCGCAAACACATAAATGACAATCTGCTGGGAGACGGGGTTGTGGATGTCGCGGGCGAAGACTATGTAGCCGCCCAGCAGACCCGCGAGGAACGAGTCGTAGTGGCGCTCCTTGCCCGTGGGCGACGTGTGGCGGAGGAGCAGCATGGCGGCTTTGTAGACGAGGGCGAAGAAGCCTAGGTTGCGGGCGTGTTGTTTGGTTGCGCGGAGGACGGCGAGGGTTTTTTGGCGGAAGCTATAGATGTGGGTTAGGTACAAGAAATAGTTTCTTCGGGGACTGAGACGGGGAGGGGGAGGGGGAAGAGGAGGACGTACGTTCCCGACCGGAAGAGGAATATCATTCTACATAACGTTGTTAGCATTATCTCGCAACCAGCTTTCAGAGCGGAGCAGAGCTCCAGGGTGCGTACACGAGAGCGTGCGGAAACCGCACTTTGGCTCCGTATACCATGCCATTTCTTATGCCCTTGACCAGTGTGAGGATATCGTGGTATTTGGGGTCGAGGACGATCTTCTCGAGCGCCGACTGTTGTTTTGCAATGGCATAGGTTAGCCTGAGGTTTTGGTGCGAGGGAAAGGATAAGAGGATTGGAGACGAATATGACGAACCTCGAGGGCATGTAACCGGTCCATCGTAAGTATCGATTATAAGTGTTGCTCCAGACGTGTCGTTCCGTGTATCTCCTCCTCCTCACCCAATCTTCACTCTCTGTTGCGCTTTTGAAACGAGCCTCGGAGTTTCGCGCTCAACGCGCAATGACGACAGCAATCCGGCAAGCAACAAAGCTCTCATACAGACAAGTCGGGGGATTCTCTCAACCGGATGGCATGAGAAAAGGAAATGGAAGGTACTGAGCATGCGACAACAACAGGATAATGCGCAGACGTAGAATCGCCGAAGCCATCGAGAGGTGTTTGTGCCGGAGCTGCTGGCATTTGATCCTCGGCATCGGGTGCAAGTTCACCCCACACTTTTGGTTGATGTGGCTGATGGGTGTGGCGGTGCAGTGTGCAAGGGCCCGGGAAGAGACATGTGAATGCTGACAACACACCAAAGATCGTGCTTCAGAATGAAAGGAGGTAACGCTCATTGAACCTCAGAGGTTTCCAGACATCATTGTAACATGCAGTTTATGGTCCTCGTATCTGTTTCATGAGACATGTGTTGATCCCGCTTTGCTACTTTCCCCTTACTTCATACACTCATGCCTGTTGTAGCCTCAGATCGTTTCCTGTTCGGAAACATGGGATCTCTCGTCTCTCGATTTACTTGGACAAGAACTTGCTGGCCAGATTGAGCAGACCAGAAGCACCGCTTCCGCCAGAAGAACCACCACTGCCACCGCCCATCTCGGACTTCAAATACAGCTTCAGTGCCATCTGAGCCGCCTGGGCAATGGCATCTTGCTTTGTCGCCTCGGGTTTCTACAGAAAGTATTAGCAATACGCCTATCTCGGATTTAGAATCGGAACTCACGGTCTTTCCCTCCGCACTCTGCTGATCAAACAGCTTCGCCGCCTGCGCCATGGCAATCCCAATAAACTCATTCTGCCCACCCTTCCCCTTATCCTCTTTCGAACTCGTAAACATCTTCAGCGCCTGCATGGCGGCCGCCGCACCCACATTATTCGAGCTCGCCTGTTCCTGGCTCCCACCTCCACTGCCATAGAACTTCCGATGCTGCTGGACGGCGTCGTCCTCATCGACATCCTCGTCTTTCAGCTTATCCTTCTTGCCGGATAGCAGCCCAAGCGCCATGCTGAACAGATTCGAGTCTCCGGAATTGCCCGCTTCGTTGCTGGCATACTGGCTTGCGCCGGAGAAGTCATCGGACGAGCCGTACCCGGCCCCACCGCCATACGAAGTACCTGTAGATGAGTACTGACCTCCTCCGCCAGAGTGACGGCCTTGACCAGGCTTATCGTCGAATCGCTGAGACTGGTCGTAGTAATTCCCGCCGGTTGAACCGCCACCGCCGTAGGTGGAGTTGTCGTAGCGGGAGTCGTCACGACGGTCCTCACTGCGGTCCTCACGGCGGTCTTCTCGACGTTCACCATACCCGCCTGAAAGGCCATGAGATTCATACTGGCCGCTGGGACGATCATCACGGCCTCCATAACCCCCTGGACGCTCGTCGTGCCCGCCGGACTGGTACCCGCCTTGTCCGTAGCCGCTGGGACGGTCATCACGACGCTCCTCCCGACGCTCATCACGTCCCTCGTAGCCACCTCTGTGGGGCTCCTCGTAACCACCGCCTCCATACCCCCCACCAGGACGCTCGTCGCGGTCGTAATCGCGTCTGTCGTCCCTTCCACCTCCTGAATAGGTGCTACCTTGACCTTGGTATCCTTCCCTATCATCCCGGCGGTCCTCGTGGCGCTCGTGGCGCTCGTCGCGGCGGTCGTCACGACGGTCATCCCTGCCATAGGACTCACCACGGCGCTCGTCTCTCCCGTAGGAATCGTCACGGCGCTCGTCTCTGCCGTAGCTGCCTCCGCCGTAGCCACCCTCACCACGGCGATCGCTGTCTCCGTACCCTTGGTTATATGACATGATGTATAGAATTGATTTGCTCCGTTCGACTAGGAGGTGTGGGATATTAGTTTGATGACGTGTCTGTATAAAGCGTTTAGAGAAGTCGGGTGGTGAGTAGCTATCAATATGGCATCATGATAAAGTAAGTCAGGGGAGAGAATTCAAGGAAATAAGAAAATCGAATATGAAGCCAACAGCTTAAACAAACACCTGGGCAGTATTTTTGACAGCCCAGAACCAAGCTCAATCCAGCTCGACGACAAGCCAACAATGCCGAAGGTGGAGCTCCTCATAGCCCCGAAGAGATACGTCAGTATATCTAGAAGAAATACACGCACTCACCTGTAAAGATCGCAAATCTCTTCCTAACAATCGTAAGTGCTTTTGGTCCTCAACTGAGAAGTAGATGCAAGGCAAGTAGATTAAGGGAAGGAGGAATCCAAACACCCTAAAAAGAGGGGCAACTCCCTCTCACCAAGCAAGTAAACACCAAGCCTAGACCCTCCAGCTGGCACTGCTGGTGGGACAGCCTTTGAACTATTGGCTCTGTGGACCCCTCAAATGACGTAGCCGACCAACCGAACGCCCCATTCCTTGCACGGGCAAGCCCGCCATGCAAGACACACAACAGCACATCGCCGAGGTTGCAGATGGGCGGTGATTGGAGACGAGTAGGATATGCTGTTTGCTGGAGCGATGAGCGGAGGAGGTGCGGCACTCTGATGACCTTGTGGAGGGGTAAGATAGTACACTGGAACCCCCCTTTATGCTTTGTAATATAATGCAGTGGCTGTGCAAATAGCACGCACCAGACAGACGAATATGCAAACGTAGATTGACTCGCTAGGAAAAATTGCTAAGGTACAGTATGTACAGTTAGTTGAGGGGGGTTAGGCACCACCTTCCTCTCTGTTCCCTCCATGACTCCCCTGGCCCCTTCAAAGTTCTACTCGGAAAAATGCTCCTCTACCTATCGACCTCGCCAAACACCAAATCCATAGTGCCAATGATAGCGACGGCATCAGCCAACATGTGCCCTCTTGAAATCTGGTCCATGCATGCCAAATGTGCGAATCCAGGTGCGCGAATCTTGCACCTATACGGCCTCTCGCTGCCGTCTGAAACGAGGAACACACCCATCTCCCCCTTGGGCGCTTCAATGGCGCTGTACGTCTCTCCAGGGGGGACGCTGTAGCCCTTGCTGAAGAGCAAGAAGTGGTGGATCAGCGCCTCCATGTTCTCCTTCATGGCCGCGCGTGGCGGGGGAGCGATCTTGTAGTCCTCAACCTTGACTGGGCCAGCAGGCATCTTGTTAAGACACTGGTGGATGATACGGAGAGACTGGCGGAACTCCTCCATGCGGCAGAGGTAGCGGTCATAACAGTCACCGTTGACACCAACGGGGACGTCAAACTCTACTTGGTCATATGCGTCATAAGGCTGCGACTTGCGGATATCCCAAGGCACGCCAGAACCGCGAAGCATGACACCGGAGAAGCCGTAGTTGATGGCATCGGCCGCAGAAACCTTACCAATGCCCTTGGTACGGCCGATCCAGATACGGTTGTCAGTCAACATCTCCTCGGTCTCGTCGATGCGGTCACCGAACTGGGTCGCCCACTGATAGATATCATCGAGCAAACCCAGAGGAAGATCCTGGCTGACGCCACCAGGGCGGACATAGGCAGCGTGCAAGCGGGCGCCAGAGACACGCTCGTAGAACTCCTGTCCATACCAATTAGCATCCCTCCACTGCTTTTCCCGTCATTGGCCGGTGAAGACATTGCATACCATCAACTTCTCACGTTCCTCGAATCCCCACAAGAAAGGCGTCAGAGCACCAACGTCCATAGCGTGCGAAAGAACCGACATAAGATGATTCAAAATCCTAGTAATTTCCGCAAACATGGTGCGAATGAACTTGGCACGCTCGGGAATCTCAATGTTCAGCAACTTCTCCACCGCCAGCGAGTAGCATTGCTCGTTGGTCATCATGGAAACATAGTCCAAACGGTCGAAATAAGGCAGCGCCTGCAGATATGTACGGTACTCGATGAGCTTCTCGGTTCCGCGGTGGAGCAGGCCGACGTGCGGATCCGCACGCACAATGAATTCACCATTGAGTTCCAGAATCAGGCGCAACACGCCGTGGGCGGCGGGATGCTGGGGTCCAAAGTTCACCGTGTAGTGCCGCATCTTGCGTCCTTCCACGCCTGTATCGCTGGCAAGCTCATTCTCTTTGATATCTTCTTCCACGGGCCGACTGAATGTCTCATCGGTAAGAGTCATCCGTGTCCTTCCGACTTCCGCATAATGGCGAGGCAATGAGGTCGAGATGCAGCGAGCAATGGGTCGTGATGCTGTAGTCCTTCGGGCGAATTGTGCGCGGGGAGCCAGACACAACCGCTTCGCCGCGGGGCCGGCCAAACGCGCGAAGGAGACGGACATTGTGGCCTGGCGAGATCGAGCACGCCCGATTTGCGGCAACAATGGGAGGGCGGTAGGTGCGGAGAGATGGTCGGAGGGCTGAAGAGGGGAGCTTCGGAGGTTCAATGTTGAGTGAATACCTGCCCGAGTAGATTGGTCCGAGCGGGCTTGGCGGACCTGGGACTTTTGGTGAACTTATATTTTCTTGCGATGATGGAGAGCTCCCACCAAACTCTGCGACACTTCAGACAAAAGCCGCCACCATGGGTGCACCGAGTCAAGAGGAGCTGGAGAAGCGGAAGGTATGTAGGCGACTGCAAATTCGAAGTTAGAGTACTCACATCTTTCCAGAGAATCCAAATCAACGCGGAAACGGTTGGCAATGCCGCCTCCAACGACCTACCGTACCACTGGCCCGGTGAGAACCACGAGTGGAACTTAGATTATTTCGAAAAAGTATGTAACATGTCCTATCTCTCTTCCACCTGTCGGCATATTTAAGGTCTTGAATCTTCACGCCGCATGCCTTCCAACCGCCCGTTCTAACACCTCCCAGACCTTCAACGTCCACTTCCACACCTCCACCCCTTATGACTCCTCCTTCTCCCTCACCGGCATCGACACCTCCGTCGCAAACGCCTTCCGCCGGATCCTCCTCAGCGAAATCCCCACCCTCGCCATCGAAGACGTCTTCATCTACCAAAACACCTCTGTCATCCAAGACGAAGTCCTCGCCCACCGTCTAGGCCTCATCCCCCTGAAGGCATCCCGCCGCGGCCTCAACTGGATGAAATGGTACTCCAAGCCCACCGAAGACAGCGAAGGCAGCGGCGCCCCCTCGGATTACAATTGCGCGATCCTGCATCTCAAGGCCAAGTGTGAGTGGCAAGAGGGAGGGCTGCAGCGCGCAGCGCGGGGGGAAACGGATCCGGACAAGTTGTACGTGAATCACAGCATCTATGCGCGCGACTTGAAGTGGCAGGCGGTAGGCAAGCAGGTTGAGATGTTCGCCGATGGGCCGATTGAGGCGGTGAATCCCGATATTTTGATCGTGAAGATGAGGCCTGGTCAGGAGATATCGCTCATGATGCATGCCATGAAGGGGATTGGGCAGGATCATGCCAAGTACTCCCCCGTGGCGACGGCTTCCTATCGGTTGCTGCCGACAATTGATATCACGAAGCCGATTCTCGGCGCGGATGCGAAGAAGTTTGCGAGATGTTTTCCCAAAGGGGTCATTGGGTTGGAGGCTGTGACGGCGGAGGAGGCCAAGAAGGATCCCGAGTTGAGTGGGAAGGAGGGCGAAATCAAGGCTGTCGTCAAGGATCCGATGCGGGATACCGTGAGCAGAGAGTGCTTGCGGCATCCCGAGTTCAAAGACAAAGTCAAGTTGGGGAGAGTGCGGGACCACTTCATTTTCAGAGTGGAGAGTACTGGTCAGTGGGAGAGCGACGACTTGTTCCTCGAGAGCGTGCGATTACTGAAGGTCAAATGTCAGCGAGTGAGGAGGGGGTTGGATGAGATGATGAAGTAGGAGATGTATCGTTGATATACAGGTTCGCCCTGGACTGGTGGCTCGAATATCCGAGGTGGTCGTGCATTGCCGGCGTTATTGGGATTTTGCGGTACAGGGAAACGGTCAATGATATCACTGGAGCATGGGTGCTATGTAGCAATGACCAAAATCAACCAATTGATTTATATACTTTGAAGAATCTGTTCAGTGATAATGATATATTCTGGATTACCTTCAGAGACATTCCATATACTGCCTGGATATATATGCACAGTTCGTTTGCTTTCCAAGCACTACTGCAAGACTACAAGGCTAATCCTTGCGTAAATACATAATATGTAACAGTTGAAAAGAAAGGTATTCTCATAATGGGCATACTGTGCCCATCTGAGGGAGCGAAGATCAGTTTACGTGACCAGGATATCATATTAGCAGCACAAATCCTCCAAGATCGAGTGAGAGTCTGCTCTCAATAGAAAGCATTATATGTGATACAAGGTCGTCATAGGGAAGATGATCGTGTTGGAAATTATCGCCAGCGATGTATATGCCGTTCATCCGGTAGACTTCAGTTCGTCTCACATGCAAAGATCATAGTTCTTGAAGAGCCTCATCACACAACTTCCTGATGCTGGTTGGATCGAACCGTGGGCGGAAGACCAGGTTCTTCCGTTCCCAGCGAGGTTGGTCTATTGAGTCATTGTCGTGATGAGAGGCCCTAGTTCCAGGGCGAGAGGCTGCAGGCGAGGCAGGTCGCATACGAGATAAGCAGGAGCGTTGAGTAGCATTGCCAGAGGACTGTTGGAGTTGGCGTACACCGGCAAGATGTGTACGGACCATGTTCAAGAAGGAAGTGACCTCGACTGAGAGCTTCGGTTCCGAGAAAGGTAGAGGCTTATGGTAGGCGCTGTTCCGTCCTGGCTCTTCGTGATCTGAGTCTACTGTCGAAGTTGCAGCTGTAGAAGCGGAGTGGTCCGAGTCGACAGACTGGACATCAGAAGGCCGGCGGTGCAGCAAGTCATTGCTCCTCTCCAAGGTAGGTGAGTAACCGCTTTGAAGGGATCCTCCGTCGCCGAATTCGGGCGACGTCAGACTGTGAATAGCAGCAAGATAGTGCTTCTCTGCTAAAGCGAGCTGTTCTTGTCTGTTTCTCATTCCTGCTTCTCTGGCCATGGTGTCATGGGATAGAGCCAAGTAGAAATTGAGATACGCTTTGTGGATAGGATGAGTCTGTACAGGATAAGGGTCAACATGTTGATGGTCTTATTACTCGAAGTTGGGTTGGGTGGTCTTACGTACCTGCTCATTGGTCCGACTCAGAAGTTGTTGACAACTGAGGGAGCATCGAAGGTAATGCCGTGACTGGAAAAGCTCCTTAACTCTAGACATGTTCTCTGCCGTTCCCTTTGATTCTGTCTGGCCTTCCATGTCGGGTTTGCGCTGTGGGAGTGTATTGCAGTCCAATGTGTTCTGTTGAGGATGTGCGATCATGGATTGTGGATGAGGTGTGATGGCTTCCATATTTGGCAGGAATGGGCGTTTTGAAGACGACGGGGCGAACACCGACAGATCTACCAGATGGGATCTGAGGAAGCCAGTCCGAAAGCTGCAGAACAGACCCAACCAGTTAACGAGGCCTCTGTAATGCTAAATCCGGGCTGGTGCGGTTGCTGTACTGCTTCTTTTCACGTCCGACTGAACACGGCCGTGCGCGTAGGGGTCATTGACCTTCTAATCGGCCCTTTGTGCGCCTCCCTCCAGGTATAACCAGCCTTAAAACACCGTGCTCTAGTGGCGTAAACCAGACTGTGGCCAATTGAAATGGTTGAATTAGGTGATCTAACTCAGAGCAGCCGTACAAGGGGATGTTCAATCGGATGTGAGAGGGGGCAGTATGCTCGTAATGCGGGCAATGCGTGGATGTAAAGCCGAAGCCAAAGTCAAAGCGTACTGCTGGGAGAAACGAACGACGATCGCAGGGACGAGACGATAGGAAAGCAGTATTATAGATCTGACGACACTCCTGACGCACCGTTGGAAATGGCAAAATGGGAGCGGGGAGCGGGAGAAAGCATTCGTCGCAGGAGCATGCAGGATATGTTTCAGAGTTGTAAAACGGACAGAAGCGTGTGTTCTCACCTGCCCGATCCAGTTGAAGCTTTCCCCTGCCTGGGTAGAACATCAGCAATCGCGCCCGGTTGAATTCACCCTGTTTCCAGGTTAACAGCGGGATCACAAGATGTGGTTAATGTTTCAACGCGCTGGCGCCGTGCTACTGCAGGATCGTGATTCTGATATGCAGCCCTGATGCCCCCTTCACACAATCTTGCGAGAGATGCCAATATGTAGTCCACTGAGGACTTCATAAACAGAACAGCAAGATCGCACGTAGGCATCAAATAACTGAAACTCGATTTTTGCAGGCAATTGCAAGCGAATGGCGACAGTACCTCACATCGTCACAACCTCCTCTAAGCACCTGTGTTTGGACGAGATCAAGGTCGGATCGATTGGTTGGCGCTATGCATGAGATATCAAGATGGATGGTTAACAAATGAACCTATAAAGAACATGTACTTATTCTACACGACCCAAAGGCCGGAATGCTGTCGACACCTGAGACATGTAGAGCTAGATCAACCAACTTTTGTCTAACCCTCTGCCGAAGCGGCGGCACCGGTAATAATTTCGACGAGTTCGCCAGTAATGACGGCTTGACGAGTGCGGTTGAACAGAATCTGGAACTTGTTGATCATATCTCCGGCGTTCTTGGAAGCGTTCTGGCAGAAGGTTAGATGCGGGTTCGTACAAAATAAGATCTGGCCAGACTTACGTCCATAGCGTTTCGTCGAGCAGACTGCTCGCAAGCGTGACCCTCAGCCAGTGCCTACAAGGACATTAGTCAGAATCCGTCTGGTACAGTCCACTAAAAAACGTACCCAGTAGAGGGAATTGGCAAGAGCGTATTCACGGAGGTTACCCAGGACCTCGTCGTCAATCTCGAAAGCAGAGAAGTTGGCTGGTTCGGGGGTCAGCCAGAAGCGTATATGGCGCCTATGCATGGCACTTACGAGACTGGGCAATAGCCTCCTCCGAGAAAGCCTCAATGATGGTGGGCTCGTAGCTCTGGGCGTTGAGGAACTTGTTGTAAATGATCTGGATCGAGGCATAGTCGGTGGGTAGCAGGGAGATTTGGTCGGCAATGGCAGACGCATCGGCGAAGGTGGGGACATCCTTGCCCACACCAGCGAAGCTGAGCTGGATGTTCTTGCCATTTGAACGGCCGAGCTGGGCCTTGCACTTCTCGCCCAAAACCACAAGGTCGGAGTCCGGCTTCTCGATCAGAAGCTTCCTCACTGTCCTGGACAGACCCGAATGGATACCACCGCAGAGACCCTTGTCGGAGCTGCACACCACATACAAGGTCTTCTTGCCATCACCCTCGAGCGGCTTCGTCTCGGCTTTCTCGAAAACGGTGTTGGAAGTCTGGCCGTACGTCCGGGACTCCGTCATGGCCCTCTGGGCGCGGGTGAGTTTGGTGGAGGCGACAATTTTCATCGTCTTCGTGATCTTCTCAATGTTGCGAATCGACTTGAGTCGGTCCTCAATCTCGCGCAGAGTGGCGTAGTTGGCGGCACTGGTGGCATTGAGGGTTGCGGGCCTACAGAAACGCAGTTTCAAGGTTAGTGTTGGATGCAATTGGTTCAATGGGCTGATGGAAAGCACGGTGGGCTGCGGATGTGGATTGCTTCGTACCGGACGGCAGCCGCAGCGCCGGCCCTGAGAGCCGGACGCGCAGCTCTCGACAGCATCATGATGCGGGAGAGGAACGGAGATGGAGTGGGAATGGCAGCCGGAGAGGGTGGTGTCGACTGCTGCTGCTCTTCACGGAGTGAAGGAAGCATTCGGGTGTTCAAAGTTGCGCATTTGAGCTTGGCACGCTAATCCTGAATCAGACTGCTTAGTGGCCCGGCATTCTCCCAACTGCTGAGCAGAACAAAGACACACAGAGCATGCAGGTGTCCGAACAAATGCAGCAAACTGGTTGAGATCTTATAGCCATACAGTGTCCATGGCTTTTGCGGTCATTCTCCATGTCTCGATCGTGGGGTAGGTGCAGACGTTATTGGCAGCGGTAGTACAGCACACATCGCGATGAGCGCATCTGCCTAAGCACACAAAGCCGCCGCGACATAGTGACCGGAAGATGGAGATGAAAAGAAGCAGAACGGTCAGCAATTCGTCGCATCCTTGACCTCTCTCTTACTGTCTTCACGATCTCTATGTGTGTCCGATCCGCCTAACCCCAGTAAAGTATTCGTAACCAGCAATACCGGACAGAATCAGGCATGGTGCGGGCCTTTTCTTCATGTCTGTGCGCGCCCGCTGTTCTGACGGAGGACTCGACTTGTCTCCCTTCCCCAAGTCACTTATAATAACAGCCGCATTCCTTGCTCGTCCTCACCCTCTCTCTCACTCATCCAATCCACCCAACCCGCTGCGCTGACTTGCCTTTCACCATCATCTCAGCCGTGACCGTTTATAGAGCGGAGCGTGGCCTTTTCCACCTCGCAGGCGACCCGCTCTTTCTACGGTCCCCCGTTCGCCTTTGCCTCCGTCCCTTTCGCACTAAGTCGTTCACTTCCGTGCCAGATAAAGTTGAACTTCGTCGCACCCTCTTCCACAACTTCCACCCTCAACATCTCCCAACCGCCACCATGTCATCCTCCGAAGATGATAAGCCGCTCCTCAAAGCTTCCAATGGAGGTGAGTTTGCAGTTGCACTACTCTCACAAACGCCCTTCGCTTGTCTCGTACTCTCTCACTCTTCTACGTACATCACCTCTCGGTCGCGTTTCCTTCCCAGAGTCGCGACAATCACCAACTCACCCTTTCACACTCCCACACCACCTCACCGCATATCTTGGCAGGAGTGCTCTTACCTCTACGCCGCCACCTACAAATCACTAACAAACTTTATTCGTACAGTCAAATCCAAAGACCATATAAGCAAGGAAGTCGACGTGGCCCTAGACAAAGAGTCTCCCTCGGGCCAGCGTACGCACCCGGGAGTTTCTATTCGCTTCGGCCCCATGGAACCTATGGACGTGGACGAGACGCAAACCAACGGAAACGTCAACGGAAAGCGCAAATCTCGAGGCAGTCTTACAAATGGGAAGTCTTACAAGGAGGCGAGCAGCTCAGAGGAGGATGAAAAGCCACTGGTGCGTCTCTTTATATCACTTTTTGGAGTAGTGCTCTAACTCTCCTCCAGAGTAAGCGTCGACGCACGTCGCAGAAAGCCAAGCAGACCAAAGAGGAGTCAGAATCAGAGTCTAGCGATGTGCCCCTGAAGGCCCGTAAACCGCCGAGGATTTCGCCAGAGCAGATTGGTGAACTTTCTGACGATGATGTGCCCCTCACAAAGAAGCTAGTCAAGGAGAAGATCGCTATAGAGAAAGCTGCCGAGAAGGAAGCGCAGCATCTGCGCAAAGAAAAGGCTGCTGCAGCCCGCAAGCGCAAGCCGAAGGCGGAGAGCGAGAGCGAGGACGAAAAGCCTCTTGCGAAGAAGAAGCAGCCAGCGAAGAAGAAGGGAGCCAACGGTGTCAAGAAAAACGAGTCCGAGTCCGACGAGCCTATCAAGGTCAAAGCCACGGCTAAGAAGACGACAAAGACGAAAGCGCAGCCCTCGACGCCTGCCACAAAGGGCAAATCCAAGGCCAAGCAAGAACAAACCGAAGAGGATCGCGAAGCCGAGGAGGAGGAAGAGCAGTACAGGTGGTGGGAGGCCCCTACCCAGCACGATGGTACCAAAAAGTGGACTACATTGGAACACAATGGTGTCGTGTTTCCGCCCGAGTATGAACCTCTTCCGAAGGACGTCAAGCTCATCTATGATGGCGTGCCGGTCACCCTCCACAAGGATGCCGAAGAGGTCGCCACGTTTTATGGCAGTATGCTGAATTCGACTGTCAACGTAGAAAACCCCACCTTCAACAAGAACTTCTTTGAAGATTTTACCGCCATCCTGGATAAGACCGGACATGGGAAAGATGCTAACGGCAATACGGTCAAAATCAAGTCGTTCGAAAAGTGCGACTTCACCAAGATCTTCGAATATTATCAGGCTGAGCGCGAGAAGAAGAGGGCGCTACCACAAGCTGAGAAGAAGGCTCTCAAAGCAGCCAAGGAGGCTGCCGAGGCGCCGTACATGTACTGCATCTGGGATGGGCGCAAGCAGAAGGTGGGCAATTTCCGAGTGGAACCGCCTGGTCTTTTCCGTGGTCGTGGCGAGCACCCAAAGACTGGGCGTGTCAAGAAGCGGGTGATGCCGGAACAAATCACCATCAACATTGGCAAGGAAGCGAAAGTGCCTGAGCCTCCTGCAGGCCATCGCTGGAAGGAGGTCAAGCACGATCAGGAAGGCACCTGGCTGGCTATGTGGCAGGAGAACATCAATGGCGCGTACAAGTACGTTATGCTTGCTGCCAATTCCGACATCAAGGGCCAGAGCGACTACAAGAAGTTCGAGAAGGCTCGAGAGCTGAAGCAGCACATTGATCGCATCCGCAAAGACTACATGCGCGAGATGAAGTCGGAGAAGATGGCAGAACGTCAGCGTGCCACTGCCATCTATCTCATCGACCGACTGGCGCTCCGTGCAGGCAACGAGAAGGGCGAGGACGAGGCCGACACGGTTGGCTGCTGCTCGCTGAAGTACCAGCACGTCACGCTGAAGCCACCGAACACTGTGGTCTTCGACTTCTTGGGTAAGGACAGTATCCGCTACTACGACGAGGTGGAGGTCGATCCGCAGGTCTTCAAAAACCTCAAGATTTTCAAGAAGCACCCCAAGACGATTGATGACGACATCTTCGACCGTCTGACGACGTCGGCTCTGAACAAGCATTTGAGCAGCTATATGCCGGGGTTGACTGCCAAGGTGTTCCGTACATACAACGCCTCCTGGACGATGGCTCGCCTGCTCAAGGAGATGAAACCGACGGGTACGATTGCGGAGAAGGTCAAGGAATATAACGACGCCAACCGCGAGGTGGCCATTCTCTGCAACCATAAGCGCACTGTGACTGCAAGCCACACCATGTCCATTGAGAAGATGCAGGAGAAGGTTTGTTCGACGCGCGGCATGGATATGGTCTGATGCTAACTACAAGGCAGATGAATGGTCTCCGGTACCAGGTGTGGCGGCACAAGATGATGATGATCGATGTGGATCCAAAGATCAAGAAGAAGAAGGGGGCCGAGTTTTTCGAGCGCCCTGAAGATCTGGATGACGAGTGGGTCCAGAAGCACCAGGAGAGCCTTGTGGAGGAACAGCGACAGAAGATTACGAAGAAGTTTGAGAAGGACAATGAGAAGCTCAAGGCCGACGGGGAGAAGGAGATGCCGGAAAAGGAGTTGAAGGATCGTCTCAAGGCGGCGGACGAGCTTGCGGCCAAGTTCAAGAAGGAGAACAAGACAGGCAAGGTCGAAGCCGAAGGCAAGTCTCCGTCGATTGAGAAGCTTGAGGCTGCCATCGACAAGCTGAATCAGCGCATTGAGACGATGAGGATCCAGATGGAGGATAAAGAGGGCAACAAGGAGGTGGCCCTGGGCACATCCAAGATTGTGAGTGGCTTGCTTCATGTCCAGTGTGTGCAGGGTGCTAACTCTCGGCGCAGAACTACATTGATCCCCGCCTCACGGTCGTCTTCTCCAAGAAGTTCAACGTGCCGATTGAGCGCTTCTTCTCCAAGACCCTGCGCGAGAAGTTCGACTGGGCCATCAAGTCGGTTGATGAGAACTGGGAGTTCTAATCCTCTCGGCAATGATGGGGCGCCAGAGTCGGTCAAGTGCACGTGGGAAGCGAGACAGGGGGAGATGGTGGTGATCAGGTTTGCATTCTGGATCCGTGCATGTTTCTGCTTTTCCTTCTTTTTTTGAATCTTGGGCTGAAAGGAAATGGCGTCTTCTGAATCTCATGCATAGCGAGAGGCGGTGTCTAGCCCTTGTCTCTCCCGGCAAGGGCGTAAAGCATTACGTTTTAGTTCCACGAACTGTGGAATCATGGCTTTCACATAGACATGGCAGTATGGATATCACAATTCAACCTTTTTTGGCTAACACACACACACACACACACACACACACACACACACTGCCGGATATCTACCTTCTGGTAATAGGAAGGCGTCTGGCGAGCAGAATCCGGTTTTGAAGGGTGTAAAAAGTACTCGCATGGTGAGGCGTGGTTCTCTAAACTTGCAGATGGCTGTGCCCAAGTAACTTCGAGCTCTTTATTCCCGAGGTCCCGTTAAGCCATCGGCACCACCCGTCGTCGTCCAGGCCATTGGGGAAACTCAAAGTCTAACGAGTGCTCGGAACCAGCCTTGCTTTAGCGACTGTGACGACGTATGCAGGAATCAAGGTCGATGTGCAAAGAATTGAAGAAGGACCAGATGGGCGGCCGCCCCCAGCCCCATGGGTTCCCAGGGTTCGCAGGTTTCCAAGGAGGAACTGTGCGGGGGAACCGGAAAGGGTGGCCAATACATTGGGAGGAGGTGCTGGAGGCGTTGAGCGTGTGCGTCTCATTGGATAGCCCCTTGTGCTACTACTGTGATGATGTACCTAGGTACACAGTTTTCATGAGACGGAACCATGGCTGGGAACGAGCAGGATGGTGTGGTGTCTTCCTTGGGATTTTTGGATGAGGGTGATGAAGGGGGCTTGATCATCTACTACACCATTGTACCTGTCTAACTGAGACCACCTGTAATCATCTGATTCGCAAGTCTAAGGATACCCTTATAGAGACTCCGGCACGTGCGTGTACCTGAGACTGTCTCTGCTAAACGGAATCTGTACCTGAGTGTGAGTACTGTGTACATGGTTGCACTTGAGATGGGGCCAGGTACAAGACCGAAACCCATGTTGTAACCAGGTACGGTACCTAGGTGAATACAGTACGTAAAGTGGCCAGGGGCTAGGGGTGCGGGAGCGTGCCGCGGGCAGGACTTGGCCAGGAGTCGTCCCTCTTGGGCTGCATCTGGGCTCCCTCCACAGCCGGCAGCCATCATGAGAACAGGTTTGACAAACATGAAGTTGCAGAAAGGAGAAAAGCGTCTGGGGGGAGAATCCTTGGGAAGGGAGGGGTTCCCCAGAATACGAGATGGCGCGCATGAGGAGGGGGAGCAAGCCAGTGTCGGCAAGGCGTGTGCACGTGCAGCAGGGCGTCCATGTTCGTTTCGCACCGCCGGAGATGATGGGAGAGGCCATCTGTGGTGAGAGTTCGCGATGGAGTTAATAGTCACAGTAGACCACGTACCAGGCCATGGTGTTGTGAACAGACACGCCTCCTGGAGTAACCTAGGTAGCTGGACCCCGCTACTACTAAGTACTCCGGAGTACTGTATAGGGCATCGCGGGAGTTCGGTAGTGGATGAGTAGAGGATTCCAGAGAATCGACATGGCGTCCACCAACTTGCGAGCCTGGTCCATGACTCCCGCCTTGGTCCCGTTGCCCGTTGCCTCTTTGCAGCTACCGAGGACGCCTCTCCACCCAGCCATACATACGAATACCTTTCCTCTCCCAACTTTCCCACACGTTCCCGCACCCTCCTCCTTCCTCATTTCACTCCGTCACAAATACATACCTTGATCCATCATTATATCTTGTACTCCCCTTCCCGTGCCCCACCGCCGCCCCCAGACCTTGTCCTCTCCAATCGTGCACCACCAACCCTGTCGTGCACCCTGCACGCTCATCAGATCTATCCCGCTTCCTTTCCCACCCCTCTCCTCCGCGCCGCACCCACCGACGATCCGTCTGCATCTCCCTCTGCAACTCGTCTGCACCTCGCCGCTCCCTGCGCCCGGTACGCTACCCACGAGCCCTTCCTACTGTGCCGGCCGTCCTGTCGCAAAGCCGTGCGAGTGAGCTCATACATTGATTGCCCGCAGCATTACTACTAAGTCGAGTGTGCGGCTTCCCGGACCTTGCCTTGACCTGCGCTCTTGCCCGTGCGGGACAGCATACAGAAGGAGCAGACCAAGCACACGAGCCCGCTCGCCATTTCTCTCTCCTGCTCTCTCTTCCTCTCTGGCCCCCTCATTTATACGCGCACTGCTGGGCCTGAGGGACCTGAATAGATAGTGCCTTCGCTTCTACCATTCGTCTCCGTCTGCGAGTCTCTTGGCCGCCATTCTCCCCTCATTTTACAAGACATGGCGGAAGAAAAGCCCGCTGTGCTGATTATCGGCGGCCTGGGTACGTCACTTGCATCAGCTTCCCTCAGCATTCGCTCTCCTTGATCAATCCTTCCCTTTCGTCCGATCCCGCTGACTGACCCCTCTCCTCCAGGCTATACCGGCCGCCATCTTGCCCGCTACCTCCACGAAAACAACCTCGCCTCCACCATCCGCCTCGTCGATAAACATCTCCCAGAATTGGCATGGCTGGCCCCGGAATTCAAGGAAGCCTGCTCAAAAGAGCGCTTCATGCAGGCGGATGCTTCCCGAGAACGTGGGTCCTCCGATTCAACATACAGCATCTTGATGGGTGCCGGCGATTGCATCTCTGGCTGACATGCTTCAAAGAGTCCCTCCCACGCATCTTCGACCGCGAAGACAACAAGCAGTTCGACTACGTCTTCAACTGCGGCGGCGAGACCCGCTACTCGCAAGAAGACGAAGTCTACAAGATGCGCTCCTACAACCTCTCCATGGCCCTAGGCACCGAAGCCGCAAAACGCAAGATCAAATGCTACGTCGAGATCAGCACCGGCATGGTCTACAAGCCCGACAGCGTCCCCCGCAAGGAGACCGATAAACTGAAACCCTGGTCCAAGCTCGCAAAGTGGAAATTATCCGCCGAAGAGGATCTGGCCAAGATTGAGGGCCTCAATCTGCTGGTACTGAGGACAGTACATGTCTATGGCCCGTATACGAGCAAGTTCCTCGCCACGGCCTTGTGCATGGCGCGCGTGTACCAGTCCTTGGGCAAGGAAATGAAGTTTCTGTGGAAGGAGGATTTGAGGACAAATACCGTGCATGTCGAGGATTTGGTCAGGGCCATGTGGACGGGCGCCGAGTGGTATGTGAAGGAGGGGGTGGCGGGGAGGAGGCCGCCGCCCGTGTTCAACATCGTGGATAAAGGGAATACTTGTACGTGGAATCCTCTTGTCTATTTTGCATCGTCTCGAGAGTTGTCGGAGGCTTTTCTATGCAAAAACTTCCTGTGACGAATCATGCTGGTTTAGAGCTCAGCTAATTTCCCTCTAGCACAAGGAGACATGGCCAGGATCATGCACGAAATCTTCGACATTGAAACCGGCTTCCACAACACCTTCATTTCGGCCTTCGCGCGCCTCAACCTCGACCACGTCGTCGACGACGTCAATGACGAGACCCTGGACCCCTGGGCCGAGCTGCAAAATAACGCGGGAATAAGTCAGTCCACGCCCTTGAGCCCTTTCATGGAGAAGGAGCTGCTGAGGGACATGGATTTGTGTCTTGACGGGAGCGAATTTGAGAGAGTCACGGGATTTCAGTAAGTGCAATAGGCATACTAGGGGTTGGATTGAGTGACTGATGCGTGTGGCAGGTACTCGCACCCCAAGATCACAAAGGAGGAGGTCGAGAAGGTCATTGAGAGTTACAAGTCCATGGGCTGGTGGCCGTGACCTTGGAAGGGTTGCTGCTACCTTTCCTATGACTTCTGCACGCATCTTCACGCTCTCACGAGTCTCGATCCGACTCCGATACGCCTCTCCATCTCGTCTACGTCATGTTTAATAACCCCTCTCCCACTCTAGTTGGCTCTGCACTCGGCTTCCCTCTCACGGCCGACCCCATTGCTTGCTCGATTTCTTGCCTGCTTTGCATTGTTTCGGAGCGTTTTCAGCATCAGTATCAGCAGCCACGTTTGACCTTCCCCCTCGGTCTTTGTCTCGCTCCGCACTTCTCATCGCCGTGTTTTGACAGTGTTTGCTATTTTTATTTTTATTTCTGTTCTTGTTTTCTTCATTGTCCTTCCTTTCTCGTGGTTATTCAGTTGTAGACGGGTGACTCTGTCTTGGGCATCTTCATTGCAGTGTTTGTGGTCTAATATGGTCGTGCCTTTGTAATCATGGCAGTTTTTTCCCTTCCTTTTGCTTTTCCTGCCGTGGTAGATACCATGTCGTATAATGTGTTGGAGTTATCTGGCAGCTTCCATCTCATGTACAATCAATGGAGCAAGCATGTGTAGCAAGCACTTATTATTCACTATAAGTACATGCTCATTTCCATCTCATCTGGACTCATGGCCTAGGTCCAACATAATGTACGCGTATGTCGGTCCCTCAGAAAGTCGTCCTGTTCTGCTTTTTGCCCTGCTATCCGTTGTACACGCCGGGAAAGCATGTACATAATAATAGAAGCTTGTTGTGTACTTATGAGCCGCTTCGTAGTCTGGATAGCAAGCCCTTGCCGACTCCTTGGGTTCCCGCTGTGAAGTTAAAGACGCGGGGGATGAACAGAGGGCCAAGCAAGTCTGCCAAGTAGAGAAGAGTCTTCTTTATATTCGAGGGGTATCAAGAAAGAAGAAGAAGAATGGAGAAGGAAGAAAAAGGACAGAAACCAACTATCCAACATCCATGCATCGCCATCACCAGGCTAGCTAGTCGAGCTCATACACCTGTCTACCTGTGAAAGGAGCCTTTGGATGAAGTAAGCACATATCCATCCAACTATTCACCCAGACCATTATCAACACCGGTATTGTCCAACCTTTTGAACCTTGGGACGGCATGGTGAGGCTAATAGATCAAGGGCGATGATCGCATCAGCGCTGGCGGATGATTTCTAGTACAGGCCGGTATCAGTGTTGGCCGATATTGCTGATCGCTAGATTAGTATCACAAAGGCATATTATATAAGGAGATTGGGTATTCCCGGACAGGGATGGATACTCACAGTTAAAGAGGAAGAGTGATTGCGCACCTGTGAGAAACTCCTCACTACAAATCGAGTCAGTCGAGTCAGCTGCTAAATATTCCCCAGTATTTTCCGCTCAACCTTGTCGTTTTTGCCCAAGCCAAACCACTTCTAGGAAAAGGGAAGAAAGAAGGCAGCACTTACAAGCTCAACGTAATATACCCATCGCGATCATCATCATACTTCTTGAACACATCCGTCATGCGCTTGAGGCTGATACACGCCTGCACGAACAAGTCAAAACTCATGGCATTCTCGCCCCGGCGGTCGTACGTCCGGTACAGCAGCGTGACAAACTGCGGGCTCAGGCGGTACCCAAAGGCGACGAGCGCCTCGCTGAACTCGGCGTACGAGATGCTGCCGGACCGGTCGACGTCGAAGCGGTCGAAGAGGCCGCGCCAGGCGGAGAGGAAGGACCAGAGGCCGCTGCAAAGGACGACGTGAGTATAAGTCTTGATTCCCCTTGGGCTCGAAGCAAAAGAGGGGAAGATAGGAGCGAGACGACCCACCAAAATTCGTCAAAGTTGATGGATCCCGATCGATCCGTATCAAACATCCTATCATGTCCCCAATCAGCACTGACTCAATGCGCAGGAACGCTTCTTCCGAATCCCCTTCAATAAATGTCCTCCAATCCTCCCTCGGAAGGAATCCAAAAGATCACCACGCACCTAATCATCATCCTCACAGTATGCGGATCAAAAGGACTCCAATCCCCATTCACCAGCGCCGTCCTCAGCTCCGCCTCCGTCAAACTCCCGCTCCGGTCCTTGTCCACCGCCCCAAACAGCTTCCACAACGCCTCCCTATCGTTCGCATCCCTGGGCGGCGCCGGCGTCGGCGGAGGTCGATTCTGCGCAGGCGGTCGACCATGTGCACCTGGCGGCGGGGGAGGACCGTGGCCGTAGTTCTGCGGTGGTGGGGAGCCGTAGCCCTGCCGTTGGGAATGCGGCGCGGTATCGTAACGAGGGGAATGGGGCCCGCGGGGATCGTAGCGAGGGTCGTTGTAGGCGCCTGGGGGAGGGCGCGTGTCGTAGCTGCTGGAGCTGCCGCCGGCGCGGCCGTAGCCATGAGGGGCTGGCGGTGGGGGTTTGTTGTAGTCGGGGCGGGACGAGGAGGTGCGGGGAGGGCGGGAGAGGGGCGGGTTGGCGGGTTGGGATTGGGAGAGCAGGGCTGCGGCCTGGAAAGAGAGAGGATTAGTTCGTGGTTGTTCGCGGGATATACATCGCTCTTTCTGGGAGAGGGGAAGGGAGGGGTACCTGTTCAGGCTCAGCGTGAGCGGGGAGTCGATCGGGGTTCCATCCTTTGTTGTAAGCCATGATGGATAGGCGCAGAAGGTGCAGGAGTGGTGAGAAGCGATCGAAAGAGAGAGAGAGAGAAGTCGGAGGTCGGAAGGAAGGCTGAGGAGGAGCGTCGGGGGCCTACTCCCTCCTAGCGCGCACCACAAATTGCGGCTGATTGCTTCGAGGGCGCTACAAGGACGATGCTAGTAGTTTATGCGCCGCCGTCACCCGAGAGGCTGAGTAGGAAAGGTGTATGAGAGAAAGCGCAAAACAAGATAGCAGGTTCAACAGGGAGAAATGCCACGGATTCCCGAGCATCTTGTGGATGGGCCAAGTTGTCGTCACCTTTCGCGGGGCTGCCACAGCTGCGCCACAGCTGCGCCACAGAGGTGAGTCGGTGAGATATCAGATAGATCAGATATTTAATATCCAATCCCGTACACAGGGCATTGTAGTCTCCAACATCACCCCGAATAACAAATGCCACTACCACAGTACTAACTCTAGCGAACAAGAAGCACTAAGATACAGTATATCCTCGTGCCGGGCTTTTTCTTGAGCTCTTCTCTGTCTTTACACTGTCATAAACTCTGAGCCTCTGCGGATGACATACGAGCAAACACATCATTCATAACTGTATCAGACATCAGCAGGAGCAAGTAGTTCCAAGCCATGACTCTTTGCCAGTTGCGAGTAGAACACACTTTGCATAATCCCTTTTTGCGCCCTATATTGTGCTCGTCGATGCCCTCTGTAGATCAATCATCAAGACGACCCTCCCTGTAAACCCAAACTCAAAGTCTCAAAAAGCCCTTTGCAAATGTCACACCAAACATCGACAGAAGAAAACCATGTTCCCAGTGAAGATATAAGAGAAAAGCAGGAATAGGGTACTCCTAGGGTATCCAACCCCCGCGAAACGCCAAACAAATTCCCAGAACAAGTTCCCAAAGGCAAATTTGGAATAGGAGAAGAACGTCTCAACGTCCTCGGGCAAGAATCAAAGAAGAATATAAAATACAGATTGTGAACTGCCGTTCCTCCTCTTCCTCAAATGGAACCTAAGACTTGGCTTTCTTAGACTCACTCCCACCATCGGATCCATCGTCTGAAGTCTTCCGCTTCCGATCGAGCGCATCATCTCTCGCAAAACTGGGCCCATTCTGGTTTACCGGCGTCGCAAAAGGCAACGGACTCGGAAGCATATTCCAATCGTTCTGGAAAAGACTCGACGGGCTGGGCAGAATGTTGTCCACGAATCGAGACGGAAGGGCGGACACCGGCGTTTCCATGTCGCTACGGCTGCCGTAGTTACCATTCGGCATCGGCGGTGGTGGACGCGCAAACGGGTTGGGGGGACCAGTGGGACCCGCGCTGAGTACCGAGTTCGCGGACGGCGAGGGTGGGGGCAGAAGGATGGAGGAGTTGGAAGCATCTGATGTCCTTGCCGGGGTGACTCCCGTTGTACCCGAATTCTTTGGGGAGGACCCCGCCGTCGCACTCCCTGCGTCCGAGTTCTCGCTGGGGATCTGCACAGTGAGGCGAGGGCGTTTTGCGTCCGTTTGGATGCTGTTCGTTCTTGATGGCGGAGCAATGATGGGAACCGACGACGTCGATTGCGTCCGCTGCGCTTGCGGGACCGGATTCTGTGGTTGGGTCTCTGTGGGCCGAGACATGCCTCCCACATCAATCGACTGTGACCGATGAGAAGCTTCCATTTTGACGCTTGGAGCTTCGGTGCGGGGTGGGTCCATGCTGCTACTACTCCCCCAATGCGCAGCCAGCATCGACCGGCTGTCATCGATGGGAGTGAATATGCTGGTCTGTCTGACGGCCGGAAGCGGCTTGGGTTGCGGAAGCGGCGGGCTCTGGAAGTCATTCTGCTCCGGTTGAGGTGGAGATGGGACCGTTAGTTGAGGTGGCGGTGGAGGTCTCTCTTGCTGTTGTGGAGGCGGAGGTTGGAACATTGGCGGTCCTGACTGTCTCCGCGGCTCCTGAGGCATATACTGCGGCATGGGTGGTGCAGTGGGCGTTGGGTGGGTATACTGGAACTGTGGTGGCTGAGGGGGTCCTTGCGGGGGTCTGGGGAGCATCTGGGGCGCGTTCGGAGGAGTATACATGGGAGGTGTGGGCATTGCGGAGGTGGGCATAGGAGCCATTCCGGCATAACTATGTGGTGGCGGAGGGGGCTGCGAGAATTGATGTTGCGGATGTGGAGGGTGTTGAGGGTGTTGAGGGTGTTGAGGATGTTGAGGGGGAGCGAGATTCGAGCCTGGCCTGTGAATTTGCGTCCGGGAATCGGGACGCGAGAGTGTGCCTGGCTGAGGAGAAGGATACCTGGCATGGAAAGGCACACCATTGGGCATGGGTCCATTCTGCATGGAACCATTGGGCATAGGACCACTGGGCATGGGCGGAGAGGCTGTAGGTGCACCATGTGCCATGTGTTGATATCCGGGCTGGCTCTGGAGGGGGTGGTGTGGCATCATGGGTGCGTGCTCTGGCGGGGTGTGCGAGTCGCCTGGTGGAGTTGCGCCGAGCATCTGCTCGTCCTCGTCCTCGTCGTCGTCGGCATCCTTCTTCCCCATGAAGTCTTCGGGGCCTTTGTGTTCGTGAGGGGTGCCATACTGCTATGAAGGTCAGTCGTCCAGTCCGGACGGATGGGCGTGCTTAGTCGGACTCACATATTGAAACCGTGAGACAATTTCGTTGATATTACCCGACGAGAAGGTGTGCAGTTTCTTATTATGGCCGTATATTATGACGGCAACGTCGACCGAGCACAAGACGGCGAGCTCATGCGCCTTCTTGAACAGACCGCCTTTACGCTTGAGGAAGGTTCTGCGAGGGTGTCCGTCAGTCGAAGCCCAGCCTGAAAAAAGGAAGAAGGCTGGCAGCGAGTAAAGGCTGCGCAACCATGGGTCACTTACACAGAGCGATTCCGGTCATCTTTGATCGCCTTGATCTCAATCTTCCTGCGACCCATGGCGATGGACTGGTACTAGATGCGCAGCAAGGCAAGCGCATGGAAATGTGTCAAAGCAGGCACAGCAATGGTGCGGCGGGGGTGTTGGTCGGCCTCAGCGAGGTAACGGGATGGGGTCGATGAGAGTGGAACAAAGGAACAAACGAGAGTCTTGGTGGCGGCTGAACGGAGGACAGCAACAAGACGTCGGTCGAGGCGCGCGAGCTTTGATGCGGGTCGGGTCGAGGGCGGCGGGTGTGGATGTGGACTGAGGGCCGCCACTAGAATGAGGAACGAAGGTGATGATAAAGCTTTCGGCTTCTAGGTATGAGTGCGAGAGAAGGGGAAGGGTGCCAGAGGGCTCGCTCTCTCCAGTAATCCAGAGCTCCCAGAGCGTTGATGCGTGAGGCTCCCGTCGTTGTTAGACGAAAGGCAGAGGTGGGTGTCGAACAGTGGGCGGCGGCGCGAGTTAATTATAGATATTCGTGGCCAAAAGGACGGCGCCCGGGCCACCATAGCAATGATAGGAGGATGCATCGACGGCCAGGCGTCCGTGTCAGACGTTCACAAGTGAGCCGAGAAGAAAAGGACCCTAAAATAGCCTGATCTGAGCAGTAAACGAGTTAATTTGCCTTGATTCTTCAACTCAATCGTATCTGACTGCCTCCCACAGCTTGCCCTGGGCTTCGCGAACCTGTGTCAAGTATCCTCTGCAGGGAGAAGCGGCCGTTTCTGTGCCGGTCCCATACCTCAACATCCCTTCAACCGTCACTCGAGCAGGGTGTGTCTCCAGGGCGCAGGTGTCTATCCTGGGATAGGAACGCGTCCGGTGCAAGGAAACCAGCAGCGGCAACGCACCTCAGATTAGCAACCAGAAGCTTTGCTTCCCGTGCCTGCTCTCTCGCTGCAGTGGTGAGGAAGACACTGTCTGTTGTTTCGAGTCCTGCCAGGCACCAGGTTCGAATATCGACGGCAGCAGGTGACGCAGGGTCCGGGTAGCCATCCGTCGAGTCGTACCAGTGCATCGCGCAAAGTAACTCTGGGCGCTGGAGTTGTAGCTTGTGTGCTGGCTTTGCGAGAGCCTGTGTCGCTTGTGTGTCTACTACATGGCGCACGATTCCGACAGGTGCCGTCTTTGATTGTGATGTACTGCGGCTGTGCACGTCCGACTGAACATCCCCTTGCAGTCTATTAGCTACCTCTTTGTATTGCATTAAGTGGAACTCTGTTTGAGAATTTAATATACGTAGATAGAGGCGCTTTAAAGCTAATTGCAAAATCTATGAATTTGCTGCACTTGCAAACAGTTGACTTGGATGTAGAAAAGGGCAGCACAGAGGAAGTGCGGGGGTGTGTTCAGTCGGATGTGAACAGAGGCAGTATGTCTGCAAGAAGCGCAATTGCTGTATTCATCTAGAAGTACTTGAGATGGAAAGTCACGCCAGACAGAAGAAAGACGCGAGTTCAGTTTTTGCCCTCCCCTTCAATGTTCCGCCTCTTCCGAACCACGGACCCTCGTCCTCCTCTTCCCAATGCCCTTCCCTCAAGACGACGTCCCCTCACCACCACGTCTCTTCCCATCTCTCCCCTCACATCCCTCTGCAATCCATCAACCGACGTCAAAATCTCCCTCCTTGGCACCTTCACTAGCGCATCCACCTAACGACGTGGGCGCCGAACGGTCCCAAGCTTTGGGGACACTGTGTTATATTTTTAGTAGCAGATCGACGCTCACCACCTCTCCACCACACACCGTCATCCATCACCGACGACGACGAGAGACCGATGCAGAACCGACTTGCCGCACCCTCGCGCACGAAAGCTTGAGCTGAATCGAGCATGACGTCCGTTCCTCCCAACATTGCTACCGGTGAACGTGCCGATCTATGATGATGATGCTGTACACAGCAGTCTCGATCTAGAACCAGAGCCGTTGGTAATGCCCGATGCCAGCTGCATGTGGTGCGTGTTGGATGGATGCTCAGATCACCACCTTGCACCTGCTCGTGCCGCGCTGCAGCTGTCATCCTTCTCGTTTCTGTTCTTCCCTCCGGAGGTCCCCCGCAATATCATCGTCATTCCATGCAACCCGTTTCCATTTCTTCTCTTTTTCTCCATTTCGAGAAAAGAATCTGACATACCTACGCGCCCACACCACCACCCTTGCGTGGTTCTCGTGCGTACTGTGTAGTCTGGTTCGTATCCTCCTCTGAACCTCCTCTCATTCGACATCTCGTCATCCACAGGAAGGGGATGACATCCTCCTACCATGGTGTTTATTCTCGGAAACCGCGTCGTCGTCGTCGATCTCGGGCTCTATTTTCATCATCGCCACCGTGATGGTTCCTGTGTAGGTCGATGATGTTTGCTAAGCGTGGGGTTGTGTGATGCATCCCTCTGGTCATACGGGACCTCCCCGTAGGCTATCTCTAGCTGCTCTAACAAGTACATGCCTCTACCTAGGTGCCATTAGCAACCTACTACGTCTGTAATAGGAAACGCCCTCCCGCATCCAGCTACGCCGCCCACACACCGTCGAAAGATCGAACTGGTGGCTGACCGTACCCGCAGCCTACACCCTTCCCCTGAGAGAAGCTTAATCTTTCTATTTGCATCCTCACACCCCACAGGCCCCGTCGCGTGCTCCCCACCTTCCCGTCTCTCTCCCACACATGCACTCACACCTGGGCACACTCTCACACACACCCAAGTATCCCGGGGACATCTGCATCATCATTGGCTTTCTAGATATATACACTCCCAAGCAACGTAAGACGTACCTGCATCTCTCCCCTCTTTCCCGTCCTCTCCCCGAAGGGTGCAATCTTCTCATAGCCTGTCACATGTCTCCATAGTCCTCCTCCAGGGCTGTCTATTTTTCTCTACGAGGTCGTGAATCGGATACTTTCTTTCCCCCTCTTACGGCTCATCTCATCTCATCTCGAAATTCATATATAAAAATAGACAATAAAAGTCGGTACCTGCAGCTGCATCCATCTTTCATCATCAAACCCAAACGCATACACACCTTCCCACGTCCACGGTACCGACAACCAGGTCCCAAGTCCCAGGTCCCCAAGTTTCAACGGACACATATTTCGTTTCGCATTATGAATACACGCCTGATGGGACCTTGGGCCGTTATAGACCTGGAGTCGTTAAGGAATATTCTTAGATGACAATCCAGCATACCTATGCAAGGCACCTAAGTAAAGCCTTAACCGCCCCGTGAGAGGGGAGGCGGGAAGAGAGGAATATGCAGGTACCGTTTCGGTTGTTTTGGGGAGGGATATTCTTGGATACACAGATCTACTGTGTAGAATTCTCTTTGACACCCGTGCCCTTTCCCTTGCCTATTGCAGCTAACGTCTCAACACCCAGTGGTTCCCCGCTATCCTTCCGTGAACACTGCACGGGAAAACATACTCTGGAGTGAGATGAGTACCATGGTGGCAGGTAGGTCGACAGATAGGTGATTAGGCAACTAGGTAAGGAACTAAGTAAGTAGGTAACCTATTTACTCTCCGTCCCCCTCTTCGACTGATTCCCACGCTCTTTAGGAGCTGATTAAGTCAAGCAAAGTAAACCCGTACATGTATATATATAACTAGCAAGCCTAGCCTAGCCTTGCTTTTAGCTAGACCGGCTTCTTCTTTCCTCTCTTACGCTGGCCCAGAAATATCAATCTTCGAACTTTCTTCGAAGTAAAAGCGGAAAAGGAGATGAAACGGGAAATAAGAGGGGTATGATGAAGATGGCAAGTACAAGTCGGAGGAAAGGGGGAATAAACTATAAAAGAAAAAAGAAGAAGGGTATCAGCATCATCGTCTTGCATCTCTGCATCCATCCCCTCACCGCCTCCACCTTCGTCTCCGCCAGGTCCACTATCTGGCAGCAGAAGAACGAAAAGATATTATGTGAATGAAAATGTATATATGGCCGGAATGTCCTCCGTCGCTTGTCGCTCCTGTCGGCTCTATCAAAGTCAGCTCCGTGTCTCCCGACCTCACTCATTCAACACCTCATCTCACCTCATGGCTTGCTCCCTCCGACTTCCTCACTAATGCATCGCCGGCCCCTGCCCCTCGGCATTGTTCGTCAGCATGGCCACCCGCGCCTTGATCCTCGCCACCCGGCTCTCAATCGTCTCCTCCCCACTCGTCTCCCCCTCGTCCGTCCTCGCGCTGTGACTCCTGCTCCGCCGCGTCTGCTCCTCGCTCAGCCTCGCCGCCCTTTCGGCTGCATTCTTGCGGATCTGCGCCCACCGGTCCTGCGCGGGCGTCATTTGCCTCGACAGATCGACCGACTCTTCTGAGACGTCGTCGCTGGCCCTAGGGGCCGCCTGTCTGGAGGTGGGAGTGACGACGTCTTCCCTGTGGGAGGACTCGGGTTGAGCAGGCTGGTGCGGGAAGTCGGAAACGAGGGGCGTGACTTCTCCAGACGAATCCTCGGGAACGAACGCAGGCATGTCCTCCATGGGGCCTTGGTCGAATCGCGAGAAGGCCTGGTTGGCTTCGCGTTGGGCGTACACGTCTGGGCTCGATGGAGCTGGGTTGGAAACGTCGCTGTATGTCTTGGGCTGGGAGAGTGCGGATACAGCGGGACTGGGCTCGATGTCCGGAGACTGCGCGCGGAGTGGCGGATGAGGCTCTGCGGAATATGCTGGGGACGGCTCGTGGGCTACGGAGGCGTTCCTTTCCGGCTGGGGGGTATACCGTCCTGAGTCAGCTGGCGGCACGAATGGGCTAGGCGCACGCTCTTCATGGGCAGGTGCATGAGGGTCGGCCTTCTTCTTGCCGAAGAGCTTCCTGAACCCACCGCCGCCGCCACCCGTGTGCTTCTTCAACTTCTTGGGGGGAGACTTCTTTGCAGCCTCGGGAACGCTGTCTTCCGGATGATCCTCCTTAGGGGGCGCGACCGGTTTACGCTCCGGGACTGGTTTCCTCAATGCAGGATGGGTGTCGAGCTGATCGTCAGGAACAGGCTTCTCGTCCAACATGGTAGATGTCAAAGGCGCTGTGCTTGCGGCGGCCCGGGTGGCGGGAGGTGGAGCCGGGGACGGGGTTGCATCTCTACCAGGCTCCGACACTTCCTTTGGCAACGAGGGAAGATCACGATTGGTAAGATCTCTGCGTGAGCTTGATGTGCCACCATTTGCGGCCGCCAGTAGGTTATCTCGAGACCCCTTCCCTGCGGTGACGTCTCCCAGATACTGCGCACGCAGCGCATCCCGATCCAGGGCGGCTTCGCCAAACTTCTTGTCCCACTTCATAGCTGGGGCGGCCTCGGCTAACAGATGCGGTTGCAGAGTCAGTACGCTGTTGGTCTTGATTGACAAGGTGTCATCCTTCCTGGCTCGTCGCTGGGCCGCTTGCGCCGATTCCTGCTCTTGTCGTTGCTCCTGAGCAAGACGGGCTGCCGCGGCTTGAACTCGCGCCTGCTGATCCGGGCCTATGTTGGTTTTGCTTGCGGGTGCGTTGGCCGCATTCCGGTTGTAGGGCTCTTTGAGCGTGGCTGGCTTCTTCCCCAAGGATTTCCGCCGACCGAGGCGCGTCCTGAAACTGAAGCGGCCCTTCTTTTCGGCGATATAGGCTCCCTCTTCGGGCCCGTCGGAAGCCCCCTTCACTTGCTCCTCCATAACCAGCCATTTTGCGCCTGAGATTCGGGTTTCGAGTAAGGTGCACCTACCGAAGACGGCTTTGCGCCCGGTGGGCTCCTCGGCGGCTAAGCTCGTCATCCATACCCACCAGAACGTCTCGTCGAGATCAAACTGAGTGATACTGGCGAGTTCGCCGGGTTCCAGATCATTCTCCGCTTGAAGCCCCTGACGCATGTGCGACTGCGAGCTCTGTACACGACTGACTTCGCCAATCGGAGGCAGGATCTTATCAGGTGGAAGGAGGAGCGTCGGTGGGGAGGTCTGTCCGTTCTCGTCGGCGAATCCCGAAGAGAGGAAGTCTGCCCAAGAGGGTGTTGTAGGTCGCCCGAAGTCATTATTCTTGGAGCGTTGGTTCGACGTCAAGCTGGAGAATTCGCGAGGGCTATTAGAGTAAGATGTACCATTGGCGGAGGTTGAAATGGGAGTGTCCAATAAGCCCGAGAAGCCCAAGTCTTCGAAGCGGGACCAGGAGGCATCCCCCTCAGCACCAGCAGCAGCCGACTGATTCGTTCGGGAGATGCACTCTAGTACTCTTCGGCACTCGTCTGTGAGGGCCTTGACCGGATCGTCGTAAGAAGAGAATTGCTGCAGGGCCTCGTCGTCGTCTCGGTATTCGAAGTGCTTGGCGCGGCGGAGTAAGGCAAAGGGAGTCGGAGACACAGCATCTACAATCATGACGACTTTGGTAGTGGTGACGTGCATCAGGAGCGGCGGCTGGGGAGGATACTCGGTCTGTGAGAGGAGCGACTGCAACGAACGGGGAAGGGTTGAGATGGCGCCCATGACATTCGGATCTGGAGAGAGGGAGCGCAGGTAGGCGAAGAACAGATGGCTGGCAGCATCGGCAGCTCTAGCTACGGTTAGCGTTCCTGTGGCACAGAGTCGAGAGGGAAGCATACTTTGCCCACGTGCGGTATCCACCGTCGAAGCCCTTGCCGTCGTCGGTATGCTCGAAGGCCCACCATCCAGCCATTCGGGAGAGTTTCCTCCCTCCCATGCCGTTGGTCTTGCCCCTTGCAGCCACGGCGGCAAGCAGGTCGAAGAAGTCGATGATGATCTGCTTCCGAGCCTCCGAGTCGACGCTGAGGGGTATAAAGGTGTCGAAGGCATGCCTGGCGAAGTTGGAGTCTGTGACGCATGTTAGCCTCGTGTCGCGTACCTAAGTACTGTGTCGTGAGTTGCACGAGCTTACCCGACTCCCCGATACGGAAAAGTTCATAGGCGTCCCAGGTGACAACGCCTGAAGGCATCCGACTCCAACACCATTTGATTATACTGCAGAGGACCTATTCCATGTCAGCAGGTGGATGCAGAAGCGCTGGATGAGAGCAATTGGGTCCTACCGGCGGCTCTGTGAGGCGCAGCTCTCGCGCTAGTGCTTCGCCGGTATACAGGTTTGTGCCCTCGTAGGCCGACTTGAAGAAGTTGCGAATGAAAGTCCGAGAGGCGCTTGGGTCGGCTGAAGGACGGAAGGGCAGTAGGAGGAAGGGTATGTCGACGGCTGACGAGGGTTAGCAGCTGCGTCCCTGAGGCATGTATGGGTTTGGGCATTCACCTCTCGACTTCAACTCGTGCGTGCAAACGTGTACGAGCTCCTGTATCTCCTCGGGTGCAACATCTTTTCTAGACCATGCGTCCTCCCAACGCGGCTTCGACTGATTGGGTATTGCATCATGGTCGGCGTATTTGGCAGCCTTGGAGGAGGATCGGGGGCCTTCCTTGGAGCGGAAGACGTTCTTGAAGAAGGGCATGAGGGAGAGGGGCGAGCGACGCACAGGGCGGCATGCGCCGGTTTATAAGAGATGGAGGGGGACTCGGACCTGGCAGCGTGGGTAGGATGAGATCTGAACGAGTGACGAGAGTAGATGCTGGCAGGATGCTGCAGGGACTGGGAGGTATTCCCAGAGGATAGGCCGGGCAATGCAGTGGTACCGGGGCAGACGCGCGTGGAGATGGCACGGCCAGCGAGGCTTCACGGAGGAGGAGGGAGAGCAGGGAGAGTGGATTGAAAGTGACTCTGGGGGTGAGGCCGTGGAGCAGAGCCCCTATGGGAATGGGAATATGGGGGAGAGGTGGAAAGAGGAAAAAGCTCAAGCCCCCAGGCTCAGGAAATAACATTGCATGCTAACCTGCTGTGACAACACCACGACCACGACCACGACGCCCCCAATCCGCGTCCACGAAACAGCCAAGACCGCCTCCAATTCCAATGCTTCTTCCAATGCGATGCACCTCCGGACGCTGCACTCCAACCGCACATGATTTGTTGTTCTCGTCCAACAAACAATGATGCTGCTTTCCCTCCAACAACAACTTGTTACTCGGTATAATAAGTCACTCTCTTTCCCCCTGAAAGCTGGAAGAGTGTTCCGTCCGTTTATCTACACGCCAGGCAAGCGTTGGGTGCCATTGGTTTCATTTCGCGTGCCCCTGGCTAGCCACACGCCCACGTCCACGTCCACGTCCACGTCCACGTCCACGTCCACGCCCACACTCCACACTCCGCCGACGTGGAGCGATGCGTTGTCGGACGCGGCACTGCGAATCATATCCAGTTACGTGCCGAACCTTTTCTTGACGCCAGCCTCCGCTCTTCCCCTCTCCACTTCTTCAGCTCGACTCGCGGCTTGCCCATCATAATATCGGGAATCAAACACCAACAACATGAAGACAAAAATAACAATACCGAGTAGAGAAGAGCCCATACGGAGTACACAGTCTACTCCCCCCATCCACCACAACCTCTTCAGACTAGGATCCGGCACCTCCATTGCGTCATATGCCGGCTAATAATGCGCAGCTCCAAGCACAAGTAAAAATATTGTCCGACCGACCTTGAGGCCCTGCATAAGATAAGCTGCATCGGCCTCGTGTATAAGCGACACACTTGTCCTTTCAGCCTCGCCGGCACCAACACCCCTCGTCCTCCTACAGTCTTGTTGGGGAACGATCCTTATTCCGTCGGTTTTCGAAAGGCTGCATCGTCAGCGCGAATCTGCAAACATAGTCCAGGAGAGCACCTACCTCCAGGTATGAGAGCAGCAGCGTACATGACACAGTTGATGGGCCGCAGGTCCGTTTCCGCATTCATGCCTGCCCGGTTATCCTTCACCACCTCCGGTGCCAGTCCTGCCGCCTCCCAGCTTGCTATGATGCTATCCGCACACTGCGCCCACTTCGGGTCGCGTCGCTCAAGCCCGCATCGCAACCCCATTGCGAGCCCAAACTCTCGGAACGCCAGCCGATGCGCGACCGCCCTCGTGAAATACGATGACCTCCAAAACCTCTCCGTGTAGCGCTCTGTGAGGTCCATGAGCCCTCGAGCCCACGCCCACTCCCCTTCGAACCAGTGAGCAATCCAGGCTGTCATACCCAAGTCGAGCGGATCAGAACTGGAATAGCTCTGCCATTTGGTGTCGACAATTCGCTGATACGTCGCAATCTCGTCCTTGAGCACCTCACTGTCCTTGCCGTCCGTCCTTTGGAGGAGCGTGAAAATGGCAAGCCCGTCGATGGGATCGAGGTTGCCTTCACTCATCACAAGAGGCTCTCGGAGATCCATTGACATCTTCCAGTACATGCGCGGTCGCCGAGAGTCGCGATTGTAGACAAAAGCAGGATGGATCGCCTTGGCCAGCGCAATCCCCTGATCGTTGTAGTCCTTCTCTCCGCTGTACACTGACAACCGATTCAGGGCGAACATCCACAGTGTCAGGTAGTGGTGGTACTGCCCATCAGCGTCAGGCCCATGCGAGTCTTCCTTGCCGATCCTCAATCCCCCTCCGAGCGGGTTTGCTGGCGTTGCTCCCGGAAGCTGGGCCGAGAGATCGCGCGTCCGGCCTAGGGTGCCATGGACGGCCGAAACAAGGGACTTTGCATGGTTGATGTAGAGCGGCTTACATGTCTCCTTATGAAGGGTAAGGAAATTCAATACGCCGAACGCGTCGGTCCAAAGATATCTACCTCGATGTCCCGCTGACGCTGGAGGAGGCGTCCACGCAGTACTCGAGGGCTCGGTTGGGAAGGAATACACGCGCTGCATGCTCGCAAGAAAACGAGCCAATTCGCTGGGTTTCGAGGACATGTTTAGAACAGCTTATCCTGTGAGAATCGAGAATTCGACTGCAGTTTTCTGTCCATGCAGGAATCAGACCTGGTGTGAGTATGAATTTCGAGCTCGGGGTGAGAGATGGAGGCTCCAGTACTGTGTAGAGGTGATGTCACAAAGATCCAAATGCGGGGCAGTCCAAACGCGGGATGAGCACCGGAAATCTAGGAGGCAGCCATGACTGGCGGCGATGCGAGTAGCCCTTACTCCAGGATAAAGGGGCTTCACCTCGGTCGAACTTCCCTTCTGTTGGACCTCGAACCCTTGGGGAAAGGCGGAGTACATGTATCATGTATGGGAATGAACCTCAAACAGTAGAGCTTGAGCACGGACCTCTTCTCCGGCTATCGATAACGGGAATCTGGGGAGAAATTCCTGACGACTCCTTTGTTGGGAGCAGTATCCTTGCAAGCTAGTCATGCAACCCTCAACTTCGCACTCCACTCCTCCGCTTCACTTCTCCCGTCGTAACCTACTACCAGACATGTCTTCCAGCCGGTCACTATACATTCACTCCCACCCCAGAACGCATGACCGACTCGACTTCCCAACCCAACGCCCCTCCGCTCCGCCTCCCCCCAGCGGCCCTCCACTCTCTTTCCGTTGACCATGTAGACTCCGTTGCCTCCGTCGAGCGCGAGAGACACCGCATAGCTCACGAACTCGAAGCAGTCAGCGAAGACAGCTTGCTGCATCCGCCTTCTCCATCCGCATGTACCTACCGCAGCTCGGCACGCCTATCTGCCAGTACCAATGGCAATGGCATTTCCCGGATCCCGACGGCTGACGATTCCCTGGGACCTGAAGGGAGTAGACCGAGAAAGGATCTGCGGCTGCGGAGGATGAAGCCGCATTGGTATGATCCAATCGTGAAGTTCTGGACCAGACATATCAGTCTCACCATCGACGAGGCGCCGCACAGAGATCATCTGGGTACACCCCTCTCACTTCTCCCCAGTCTCTCATGAGACGCAGCTAACATCTTACAGCACTGGAGCGCACCTTTCTAGGTTATCTCCGCACCTCCCTCCAATTCGCCATGACGGGCGTCATCATCGCCCAGCTCTTCACCCTCCAAAGATCCATCAATCCCAGTCCAACTTTCGGATTCCACAAACTTGGCACTCCACTGGCTGCGATATTCGTCGGCCTAGCCATACTGGTCCTCCTCATCGGCGCATTCCGCGTCTGGAAACAGCAGAATGCTATGGTGAGGGGGAAGATTTACTCCGGGGGTTGGGAGATATCGACTATCATGTTGCTCTCGCTCACTGTCAGTTGATGTCCTGGAGATGATAAGGCGCTGATGCTGACTTGTTTGTGTAGTTGACTCTTGCGTTGTTTGGACTAGTACTGGCAGTCGATATGCTTAAAGAGCTGTAAAGCATCGTCAGTGCACCGTGCGGCAACTCATCCAGCTTGACAGAGAAGGGCTCTACCCTCGACTTTGGTCATCTTGAAAATCGAATCGGAATCCAACTATAGATGCATTCTCGCTTGTTATCTGCTCCACTCTAGGTATATAACGAGAGCACCTGACTTGGCCTACAATTTACCCAAGATCTCGAGGCAACGACAACGGAACGTGGGACGATACCCCTCATTTCTGGAAATCCGGTCATTCGAAATCTATCTAAGCAAAGGTTAGTTCATATGAACTCGCCGCTTTGTTCCTTGAGCTCACTGTCACGTTATTCCTTTGTCCTCTCGTCTTTATGCCATTGTTCGTCCACTCGTCCACAGTTCACTCACTTCGGCAAGTGAACAAACATCACTACTGACACCTCAGTTCGTTCTTTGTCGTAAATATCGCTTCATTTCTATTGTCTCCTTCTCCACAATGTTTATCCTCCACCTTCACCCGCAACACTCAGGCGAACAAGATGCCCAGGCACCCCAACGAACGACGGCCTCTGCACACACACACACACAGAGAGAGAGAGAGACATTCAGCATCAAATCGATCTCACTCCGTCATCAAGTATTCCTTACTCAACTTTAAACATCACCTCCTCATCAACCGCGCAGCGACAATCCACCAACCAACCATGGCACTTCCCATCCGTGCATCCCGCAAAAACACCTTCGTCGTAAACCCCTACCCTCCTCCGTCTCCCCCATCCTCCTCCTCGTCCGCCTCACCACGACGTAGCACTCGCCTTCGACAGATCCGGAACCGTCAAACGAAGCCCGTTCGGCCCTGGCCCGAGAAGGAAAAGATCTATAGGAAGCGCATGACGTTGACAAAGTGTGGTTCGAAGTATGACGTCCGCAGCGAGTATCCCGAGGGCCATTGTTTGTATGGCGAGAACCGGGGAAGGAGGGGGACGCGAAAGGGGGAAGACGCGGGATTGAATCGAGGGGTTTCAGTTTCGAATGATGGGTCGGACTCGTCTTCTTCAAAGGAGTGATTTAGTGGTACTAGGATGGGGGGACAACAGCAGACGGCGTACCAGTCATCGGCACCGCATGTGTGGCGAGTGCCTGAAAGTCTAACGGAAAGAGTAGAGGAGACGAGCGGGAAGGGTGCGGAGTGGGCCTCCTGGGTTCGAGAAACGGTGCAAGGGTTGAGGGCAGTTGTCGGCGATGAGGGCAAAGGAGAACATGATCTATTGCGAACGCAGCGGTCCAGCAGACAGGAACGTCGCAGAAAATCCAGGGAGCTGCAACGACTCCTTTCCTCCACTCCAGGTGCCTTTTCCCCGCCTCTGAATACTGCAACATGGGGTCCCGAAGGAAACAAACGACAGGACGACAGTACGAATGATGCCTACCACCCAGCGGAACCTCTGGCAGACACCGTCGCGCGATTCCCCGAGAGCTTGGCCGCGAGACTCCGAAGGACCGTTGGTTGCGATCTCGGACCTCTTTCCACACTGGCAGTCGCCCTCGTAGCGGCCCACCTCCTCCAAGCCACTGCCGCCGAACCGGTCAACACTACCCGCCTAACCACCATTTCTCCTCCTCCTCCTCCTCCGTCGAATTGCTCGAACCTGGACACCAGCATCAGCATCCCATCCACATCGCCCCTACCCCCATTCCTATCCAATTTCTTCATCCCCTCCCCTTCTTCCACACCTTCTCCCACACTAGCGGCCCACCTCCTCCTCCCCACCCTCGTCTTCACTCTCCTCCACACGACGCTCGCTTCCTCCCTGTTCTACCTCTCGCTCCTCTCCCACCCTTTTCAAACCTCCCTCTTCCCCGTCGTGGTCGCTTACTGCCCTTTCCTCCTGCCCCTCCTGAATCTCACTCCGGTCTTTCCTCTCCTCGTCTTCCTCCTCCCGTTCATCACCTACCCCGTCTCCATCGCGCTGCGCTTCGCCACCGCCTTCGTAGTCGCCATCTTGCAGCTGCTAGAGGAGGACGTGCTGCGTAGACCGGGCCTCCTGACGCGTCGGCTACCGACCCTCATTGTGCGGCTATGCACCCTCATCTTGGTTTTTCTGCTTAACCTCGTCGTGCCGCGCTCGCTCGGGGGTAGTGGGCTGGGTGCCCGCATCCTGGGATATGCCTTTTCCATCGTCGTTGTCGATCTGGGGTACGGCGTTTTGTGGTCCTACGTAGTGTCTCCCTGGGCGTGGGCCGAGTACTGCGATCTCTTCCTCCGGTTGCCCCTGGTGCAGCATACTACTCTAAAAATCAGGATGGGAATCCGGAGTTGGAGGGTTTGGAGCGCGGTTGTCGTGGGGTTGTTGGTTTGGAATGGTGTGGTTGAAGGAAGGAGGGAGGGGTGGAGGGTTTGGAAATGGGCGATGTGGGGGGGAGGTGGGAGTGGAAGTGAGGACGGAATGGGCATGGGGGTGAGGAGGGTGTTGGCGGTCCAGGGGGGCAAGGTGTTTGGAGTACGTGTGTTTTAGAGCTTGGTACAAGCATCTAGTGGAGGTATAGGTGGTAGGTTGTTTTCTCTGTTTCTGAGTCGGTTTGTATTTGAACTGTAACATATTGCACTAGCTTCGAATATTGTTATAACATTCTGGCGGCTACAAAGCTGGATTCGTACAGTACGACTTCCAACTATCTACACGCCTACATGTACACTCCATGCACCACAACCATCCACCATCTTCCATGCCATATATGCCCAACTCACCTGACGCACCTCATCACCATTCCACCCAGACTGTTGACCCCACCTCACCTCTACAGCGGACAAGTCGACCTGAGCATACTGTACATTAATCTTCCCTCCTCACACCACCCCCTCACACAAGAAAGAAAAAGGCTTAATCACAGAACAAAAAGGAAAAGGAATAAGAGAAAGATGCATAGCAGGCGCAGCCGTAGTATCTAGCCGCAGTAGTAGTATAATAACCCCTCAGCGCCACACCGCGAAGAAAGGTGCGGATCGCCGGGGCCCAGTAGTTGCACTAGCAAGCAGTAGTGGTATCAAGTAGACATTAGAAAACACAAAAAAGAAGAAGAAGACACAAAGAGAAGCAAAGGCAGAAAGAAAGGGCCACGTCTCGCAGCCCAGACCAGATCCTCACTCCATCCACGCGGAGGCCACAGAACCTCCGTGGTTGAGAGCCCGTGCAGCGGTCCTCAATCGAGATACGTGGACATCGACACCGCCGCTCTCCTGCAATACTCGCGCAGGAATGACGCGAGGGGCATGCGGTAAAGGACTTTCCACGCCGTCCTCGAGAAAATGGGCCTCCAGTATTCACACGCACAAATAGACAAATCGGCCGCCCAGACTCCACTCAACGCCCTGCACCTTTCCTCCTCGATTCCTACCCATACAAATCTTGGCATATTTTTGTACAAATCATCCTCTAACACCTTCCAATGTCTCATATCGCAGGCGCCCGGTTAGCACTCTGCAACGTCCCAAACAGATGCTCAGGCGGAACACGCGCCATATCAACATGGCGCGTAGGATACACAGTAGGCGCAGGACTGTAGCCCTTGGCTCTCTTGCGGTACCACTCGAGCAGGATGCCAGCGACGACGAGAAGGAAGGTGAGGGCAAGAGCGATGGCAAGGGCAATCAGAACGATGAAGCCCAGGGCCAGACGTTTACCTGGTGTGGATTAGCAACGCGCAAAGAGAGACCAAAATCATAGAACATACCACTCGATTCGAAGAAGGACTGCGGGTTCTCCACAAAGACCTGAGACAGGCTTCCGGGTTTGTTGTCCGACGTAGTCGAGAGCAGGAACGGAATCATTGTCGTGCCGTTGAAGAGTACGCCAGAAGCACTGCCAAAGTCGGTGACGTTGATTTGTCCCAGGATGAGGAGGTCCTGTCTTCGGTCGATCAGATCCGACTGGCCATGCTGTCCATCTTCGGATAGCTGCAGGACTTGGATACTGCGGACATTCGTACCCGGTTGGAACATGCCATTGACGGGAAGCCATTTCTCGCCATTGTAACGCTGCAAATACGCGGAGCCGTCGCTATTCCGACCACTGGCCCAGACTTGACTTGCATCCCGATTGGCAGGTGACAGAGCCGTGACGGGCCCTGGGAGATCGCGAGCGCCGACAAACTCCTCGAACTTGTTGTTGGACGAATCGTAGGAGATGATTTTGGTGGTTGCATTGTTGCCACTCGTGATATTCCCCGCGATGAGGAGCTTTGTGTCCGACACCCAGATCAAGGAGGAAACGACGCCAGAGAGGTCGCCCCCTGGAGAAATCCACTGGCTGCGTTCTGTGTTCCAAACGCACAAGGCCTCGCAGCTCAAAGCTCCAGCGGACTGGAACTTGCCGCCAACGAATACGTCCTTCGACTTGGGCTTGGCCAAAATGACGTTGACGGTCACATTCTCCCCTTGCAGTGCAGGTGGTTGGGTGGCGGCGAGACGGTTGGCGGCAAGATCGTACGCGATAAGTCCGGCGGCGCGGTTATTGTTGATCCGTCCAGTCACCGCACCACCTGCATACAGAATGTTGTCGAGCACCGCCAGCGCGGCAAAAGTGGAGTTCGCATCAACTCCTTCTCCAAGGCCGGTAACGCGATCTGAGTCTTTGCCGTCGATGATGAGCAGATTGGTAATGTTCTCTCCACCAGTCCCCGTTGATGCGAAGTGGCCAGCCAAGATAGTCTTGTTCATGTTGTTCTCCTTGTAGAATGTAGCCGTCATCACGCCTGTAGTAGTGAGGTCTTGTCCCTCTGCCAGAGCACGCTTGCGTAGTGATCCTTGTTGCTGCTGCTCCCGAATGACTGCGGGAAACGAGCTGAGCGTCAGAGGTTTTCCGTCCCTGAGAGCGACAGCCCCGCTAGCGCCGATGTCATAAGACGACACTGACCCAGCGTAGACAGGATCGGCAGCCGGCACGTTCGTGAAAGCTGTCATCTTTCCTTGTATGGAGATGGTGCGGAGGTTGAGATTGTGCAACCAGTTGCGTCGCGAGGGTACCCAGACCGCAAAGTTCTTGGCTTCAAATGCAGCATTGTTGTCGAATCCGTTGACACGATCGAAGAAACCGCTGACCCCGAGCACAGGCTCAGGTGTGCTGCCAGTCATGTTCAGTGCGAAGGGCACGATGTACATGACAATGCCGTTCACTCCGGCACCGAGGGGTTGCCACTGATTGTTCGAATACAAGGCCACGCCATTCAATCCACGGGCACCATTGTCTCTCGTGTTGGTGAAATTACCACCAACGTAGACGTTGCTGCCGTTCGTGAAGATAGTCAGAACCTGGCCGTTCAACCCGCCACCGGCCAAAGGCGTCAGCTCTGTAGCATCTTTCTCAATCACAAAGACGTTGCTGATGCCTTCGGCGGAGAAGTTTCCACCCACGTACAGCCTGTTACCCTCGGCCGCGAGACTCGACACGATGGCTTGTTCATTAGGCCTCAGCCCAGCGCCAGCACTGTTGATGACGGAGGCGCCAAAGTCGGTGTCGATTTCCCGCTTGGTTGGATCAAACTCGAAGATGCCATTCAGGCCGCCGGCCGTAGCGTTCTTGAGCTCAAATCGTATTCTTTGTGCTACAATGGTGAGTGGGCCCCGTTGGCCAGCCGAAGGCCGGAGTGTTACTGTGGGCCGGAAACCATCAGTGGCATCGATGTAGCCGCTGTATATCTCGTCGTATTTATCAAACTCGTTGGTCTGAAACAACTCAGTGCTAGTGGGTAAATCTTGCGAGGCTCTGTTAAGCGATCTGGTGATATTGACTCTGCCTCGGGTCGAGCAGGTGCCATCGCCGACACATCCTGGAGTATAGACCTTCAGAGTATAATTGCCCGACTGCTTGATATCGGGCGAGAAGACGACAGATGCATCATTGGGGTTGATGTTATCGCCCTGGAGGACTGCAGTGAGGTACTGCGAGTTGCTATTGTGTGAAGGCGTGTTGGCCCAGGGTCCAGTAGGGGTGCTGGAAGCACCCGTGTTGCTTCCACCGCACCGCGGCTCGTTGAAATTATTGATGGCGAATGTATAGATATCTTCTCATGTTAGCTCTGCAAATCGGACAATCAGGACGTGTCTCACCATCTTGGAAGAGCTGAATCCCATTCAATCCACCTCCCGCTCCATACCAATTGGAAATATCGATCCTGAATGAATTCATACCGACATTGTTGACGAATTGGAAGTCCTTGGCAGATGTGTCTCCCTGCGGCAGGGGGCATCGAGCGTCGCAGAAGCGCTTCTGTCCCTCGGGGTCCACATAGGAGAAGTTCATAATGCCTCCGTCTGGTAGTGCAGTGAAGCGCCATGTCTTGGTCCCGCGACCCTCAAACTTGGTGTTGTGCAACCGAAGCAGGGTGGGCGTGAAGCCAAATCCGAAGTCGGCCCTCCAGAAACCAGGCGAATTGTCTGCCAGGAGCCACGTTGCGCCTGGGCCCTCTGTATTTGGATCGTCTTTGCAAACAATGCTCTGAGGGTCCGTCAAGCCGGGTCTGCCGGAGCTTGTCTGAGCCGTGAGAGATGCGGATCCTATGGGTAGCACCTGGGAATCATTCTTCTTGGGCGCCGTCGCATTACCCCCCAATCCATTAAACTCTCCTCCAAATATTATGTTCGTATTCGGCGCCTTGACAATGGAATGAATGGGTCCGTTGAATCCAGAGAAGGAAAGATCGACCCATTGATCCTCCCAAATTATAGCATTAGTAGAGTTTCCTCCTGTGAATGAACCGCCCACATATACTCTTCCGTTGTTCACATCGCGATCGCAGTAGAGGGCATTGACGGATCCGTTCAGACCTTCCAGAGGCGTCACGGCGCCGTCATTGGTATTCAGCAAGGCGATGCCACCCGGTGTATGCAGTCCTCCCACGCTGGTAAAGTTTCCCCCAAAAATGACCCCTCTATAGTCTCCATTTCTCCAGTAGGGGCACATGGCCTTGACATCGGCGTCCGTGTCCTTGATGGGCGCAAACACTCCATTTGGATACCGAGAGAGCAGGGCGCCATTGTTGCCGGTCGGCTGCTTATTCTGGCCTTCATACTGATAGAGCGATATGGAGTCGAAATCACCAGCGAAGGCTACGCGGCCGAGACGGGCAAGATCTAGGTTCGGGGACGGTATCGGAGTGAAGGCGAAGGCGGAGATTCCGGATATCAAGCCCGGCAACGCGAGGAATAGACCGAGGGGGAGCTGCCCAGGCCGCGAGCCCATGAGGGACGCGAAGGGCTCCCGCATGGCCAGCGTCGGGTGTCGACGTTGGACAGCCAGAAGGATGGTATGTCAACAGTGACGATATTGGTGTGTGCGCGGATCAGAGGTTGACAGTAGACATGGCCAGGTTGCGAAAGGGGCCGGGGTTTGGGCTTTCGACGAAGGAGAGGGATGACGACGCTTCCCGATTTGCGATTGCGGAACAAGGACAGCCGACAGTCGATGGAAAGTCTGTCAAGCAGGCGCAAACGAGGGCAAACACGCAGGCGGGCAATTGGCAGGTGGAGTGGTTGGCGGGATGGCGTGCGGTGCAGGAGCAACTTACTGCGACAACTGGCGTGATCTGAAACGAGTGACTGAGGGTGAGAAAGATTGATACGGTGGCAGGCGGTCGAGCGGGGGCTCGTGGAAGAAGAAGCAAAGAAGAGGAAGGAGAGTGAGGGAGAGCAGAGCGAGCCCCTCGAGGCGCAGCTTGCGATGACAAAGGAGCGACGGGCGTGGGCGTGTGAGAGGGCGGGAGGGCGGAAGAGAGGCGCAGAGGTGGAGAGGCGGAGAGGAGGGAGGTTGGCAGGCGTAAGATGACCCAGCAACCAATGGAATGCGGGCAGCGAGGGGCCTGTGCTTGCAAAGCTTAGCACCACGCGCGACGCGGATGGTGAGACGGACCACACGGTTGCGCGATGCCAGAAGAAGTGAAGGTGATTGCGATTATTGGAGGTGACGGCGGATTGATGGTGAAGTAGTAGGAGTGGGGAGTAGGGAGTAGGAAAGTCAAACGCGGACGACGGCCATGTTTGCGTCGACTTTATCCAGAGGGTGAAAGCCACATCAAATAATGCTCGTCAAAGCCAACTCCCACAAGGCACAAGGCACAGAAGTTCTAGAAATACCCGGGCTAAGGCTGCCGTGCCCAATCACCTACCCGGGCTGACGAGAGGAACAGGATAGTGAGGACTGCCGTTGCGGGCTGGGGTGCCACCAAGGCCATCGCCGGGCCCTAACGTTGCCCGTCCATGGTGACGCAGCCAGCGATTCCGAGACATCGTCATGGTTGGTCTCGACTTCTTCCAGTCACCACTGGGGATACGAAGTGCTTCTATGAGAAGAGGAACATGCACTCATCCCGCCGTTCCCAACCACGACTGAACACCCCCCACCTGGCCTTCCTCTGTGGATTGGATTGCTTGGTTGCGCCACTTCATATTTGACTACGAAAAAAGTTATACAAGTAGAGCTCTGTTTTAAAGCTCATTACTATAAGTAAATAGACGCGCTACAAAGCTGATTGCAAGGTCCCTTTTATTACTGCACCTCCTAGCCGATCAACCGGACGTGGATAGCAGCAGTACCCCAGGGTACGAAAGAAATACGGAGGACTCTTCAGTCGGATCTGAAAGGAGGCAGTAAACCCCATCCGCAGAGACATCAGCAAGGGACTTCATCGTTCCACAAGCGCCTCGCCAGCCCACCCTGGGGCACCCATCTCCTGCCTTCCCTGCAGCCATCCACGAACCTGCACCGACAAGCATCGAGTCCTCGTGCATCTTCGTCTGTGCTCGCATGGCTGCATGCCCACCAGCTATGTCTCAGTGCCTCGCGTGCAAAGTGGATATACATGTAGACTACCAGGTGTGGACTCTGCACAAGAACGGAGATGGACGGTCGAGAGTTGAGATATTGAATGCGTCAAGCATACACGGGAACATGAATTCTCTCCCTGCAAAAACGGAGAGCTAGGTGGCATATATCCAGAGTATCATGGCATGGGCAGTGGGGAGGCAAAAACACTCACCAGCCATTAATAGATGGAAAAGGAAGAGGTGGGTAAAACGAGTTTGGTGTTGCACCACACATGTATAGGCGCATCGTTGCTAGGGGAAGGAAACTCTGTACGACTTAGCCATTCCGACGAAGAGATGCCGCAGCGGAACAACAACATGTTTACATGAAATGGAGTCATTATGCCATTATCTAGAGTCGAGTCTATCGTCAGTATTGAGAACATATGCATACCGCGCCGAAACCCCTCTTCCAATCCCTCTACAATAAACGCCTGCGCAAGCAAATGTACCTCCCGTATCTTCGTTCTCCCTTCCCTTCTGACTCTTCAGCCCTCCACAACACCCCCCTCCGAATCCCGAACCTTCTTCTTCTCCACGAAACCCTGCTCCGTCTCGTTCGCCCTATCGAGAGGATAAGCCTTGGTGACCGCACTCGCCACCATGGCCACGGCCGCCAACACCGTCATAACAATCCAGATATACTTCAACGCATACACATAACTCTCCTTCAACTGCGCCTTCATCACCCCCTCAGGCAACGCCTTAATGATCTCCACCAACCCTGCCGCATCCTTGGAGTACTCGTCCGCATGGCCCGCCAGCAGCGGGAGAGTAAGCAACTTCTTCTTCATCTGGTTCTGGAAAATCACGCCTCCAATGGCGACGCCCAGCGTCTGCCCGAACGCGCGCATGAAGCTGAACATGGTCGCCGCATACGCCTGGTCCGCGCTGTTCGTGGATGCTTGGATGGCGAGCCCCATGGCGGGGAAGAGAATGCCGGTGCCGATGCCGCCGACGAGGTTGAGGAAGACCCATTCGACCGTCGTGGTGTGTTCGTCGAGGAGGATCATGAGGCCCATACCGAACGTGCCGAGGACCCAGCCAGTCCAGATGGCCCAGCGGTAGCGGCCTGTTATGGCGATTATCGTGCCGGCGACCTGGTTACTTTGTTAGCAGCTGTAATCAGATAATTATACCTCTTTATATACAGAAGGATTAGGGGGAGAGACGTACCACAGATGCTGGCGCCACAGTGAAGGTCTGGGGGAAGAGAGCTATGCCTGCCATGATGGGCGTCATGCCTTTGACCGCTTGGTAGTAGAGCGGCAGGTAGTAGAGAATACCCCAGAGAATGATGCCGTGGATGACGGACTCGAGATACGTCACTGCTGCTGTAGCATCCTTGAAGACGGCTGTCCGGATCAGAGGTTCGGGGGCCCAAAGTTCCTGATGAACAACAAACAGAACGAGTCCTGCCGCGCCCACCAGTAGCGGTACCAGAGTCCGCCAGCTGTCCCAGGCGTATTGCACACCGCCCCAGGTAATGGGGATGAGGAAGGCGGTTATTGAGCCAAGGAACAGGACAGTGCCGAACCAGTCTACGCGGCGAAGCTTCAGGAGAAGCGAGGTAGCGTTATAATTAAGCTTCAAGAAAGCCGTGATCATAATCGAACCGATGCCAAGGAAGGGAAGGTTGATCCAGAAGATCCATCGCCATGAGACATTCTGTGAAAAGCCGCCGCCTGAGAGTGGTCCATTGTTAGCCATCGACGCTCCAAATCGTGATTCGGGAAGAGTCTCTTACCAAGGAGTGGTCCAGCAACAGTACCAATAGACCACATAGAGCCAATCATCGCCATCCATTTCCCTCGCTGACGAAGGGGCACCAAGTCCGTCACAACCACTTCGGTCATGACAATGATCCCCCCGCCACCCACTCCTTGAAGACTGCGCCCGACGAGAATAACGGTGAAGTTATCGGCTACAGCAGCAACGATGGACCCAGCGAGGAAGAAGGCAAGACTAACGTAGATCAAGGGCTTGCGGCCGAAGATGTGCGAAAAGGATCCAATGATGGGCTGGAAGACGGTGGAGGTAAGGAGAAAGGAGGTACCCGACCAGAAGGCTTCGAGTGCTGAGCCGCCAAGTGCTTTCGCCATGATCTGCAGTCTCTAAGCATTTGAGATAAATATTGAGGGAAGGGTTGTACCTACCGGAAGGGCTACTGATAGCGAGGTAGCGTCCAGGGCGGCCATGAGGGTGATGACGCAGAGGGACGCAAATGCGGCGTAGAACCGCCATCCCGGGTTGAAGGCTTCGAGAGCTTCAGAGGATTTTGCTGATGACGAAGAGCTGTTCAGAGTTTCTTTGTTGTTTTCTTGGGAAGTGGCATCGAGGACAGATCCTCCTGCCGAGGAGTCTTGAGGAACAGCTGACATGGTGAATGTGTCCGTCAAGAGGTATGTTCAAGATGGTCCAGGTCAAGGAATACAGTTATGATGAATGATGAGACTTGAAAAAGAAGCTGCAATTCGGATGACTGGCTCCTTAGGACTTGAGTTTGAATGAGGAATAGACATGGCACGGTACCTCCGCACCCTCTATATACCACAGTCCAATGAACCATAATTACGAGCTCGACAGTCACTGTCAGAGCGTAATCGAAGCACGGCCAAAAGAGCATCCTTCCCGTAAGTCTGCATGGCTCCGCCGGACGAACATGTCGACGCTCCACTCGTCGCCGCGATTGCAAGCCCAGTTTCCTATCAGACCCGTCTTCGCCAAATCCCGATTACGATCGGAGAGACTTTTGGGCGTAGCATCTACACAGGACAAGAAGAAGTGCAAGCTGAGTAAACAGGGAGGAGATTTCATTGGACGGTGGGATTTGATGTTGGGCCTGCGGTGGAACTTTGGCCCGGTTGCATAACGTTTTGTTGTTGAATGTTAAGCCGAGTGGGGCTCACCTGGCTGTGGCTGGGAGAGACGCGTTGCCGGATGCGGGATAGTTGACTTGGCGGTCGGACCAAGTGCCCAGGTGGATGGTGAATTGACAACCACGTGCAGCACTACGGCAGTGACAACGTCGTAAAGGCTCGTCAAAGAAGATAATAAGGCAGCAGCCTGTCCTTTGTCTATGCCATAGGGTGATTACGTGTACTCGCTAAACCGGACCGTACTCTACGACTGCCGATACAATCCTCTTCTCGTCTCCAGAACACAGAGAAATGGAAATGCCAACTCTCTCACGCCGCATGCGAGCCAACTGTCCGCTTGCGATGAAAAGGCGGATAGGGACAGGCCAAATGACCTGAATCCTCGTTTTTGCGTAGGCTCCAGGGGCGAAGCGTTCCATTCTCATCATGGTTTTCCCAAGTCTGCCGGAAACGCAGCGCAATGGGACATCACTCAAGCACCTCTTTGTTTAGTCTCGCTTCCGATCGCACACCACGTGCTCGATACACTCCTTTGTTCCAAGATGGCTTCTTCCCTTCGAGAAGAACTTTATCTGAAGCGGTTTTAGGTACGCTTCCTAATGACAGCTCCGAGGCAAGAATGTGAGCCGTAACGGCCAGATCCCGTCCCCAGCCAGCACAGGAAATAATTCCACGCCTTCTTTGAGGGGGATGGAACATCCCGTTCGCTCCTTCAAATCCTTCGTCAAGACGGTGCCACCTGCCCCGAACAACGTCGCGCATCACAAGCCGTTGCCCCCAACTCCCGCTGGTCCATCGCGCGCTGCTTCTCTCACTTCTCAAACATCACCAGCGTCACCGGCCTCTGCGCCCACGCCTAGTATTTCTCCGTGGAGAGCACCCACTGAATGGTCCACTACCGCCCAGAGTGTGGAATCCAATCCAACTCCGCCTGCAAATAGACGGTACTCTCCTTTACTTCCCGACCCATCTCCGGACCAGCCCGACGGACTGCTGGAACTCTGTGCCGCTCAAGGTGAATCTCCACAACTGCAGGAAGCAAGACTGGTGCCCATTTACGAGCGGACGGACTTAAACCTCGGCTCTCCAAAGGAACCGCCCAAGTCTCTTCTCCCGCCACCTCCCAGGTCACCAGCTCGAGCGAGTCCCGAACGCAAAGTGACGGCTCTACCTCTCTCGAATAACTCGGCCGTGGACTCTGGAACACAGCGGTCCAGCTCTCCTGCCTCTGGTGTGTTTCACATAGATTCACCAGCCGACTCCACTCGCTCCAAAACTTCCAATATGTCGACAAGGGAAAAGGAGTTCGTGAGGTTAGAATTGGACCGATCGAGGGATCGGCGAATGGTACAAGCAAGCGGTCAAAACTATAACACAGAAAAGACCATGACAACAGGCTTCGGAGACAATCGCTCACCAGCGTCACATGGAAGCTCAAGGCAGCCCCGATGTTCCGGAAGGGCGAATTATGATGCTTGTTACGATTTAGATCTGAGCGAGTACGCAAGAAGGCTGGCAGTTTCTCGTGATTATCATGACATGTTGGTGGATGAGTACCATGATACTCAACGAGCCCAAGAAGGTCATCCCCGTTCAGAATATGCTGCGCCCCTGTCTTGGAACAGGGATTCCAATGGAAACTCTTCTCGCAGTACATCTGAGACCAGACCTGAGTTCGAATCATCGGCCACATCGAGCAGGAGAACATCGAGTGGCAATCTCAGGCGACTATCAAATAAAGTGACCAGCTGGGTCCCGAGACGTCTCAGTGTTGCGCCCAAACGAAGTCAAGCGTCCGATGAATGTGGACATTGGGAGGATTTTGACACAGATGATCATCTTGGTTTCTCCAGGTTCTTTCCCAAGAGTAACCGTTCCCACTTCGGCAGAAAATCCGGCAGGAAATCCAGCAAAGAAAAAGTAGACGGGTCTCTGCATGGCAGATCTGCCTCAGCACTGGATACCCCCCAATCTACAGGTGAAAGAACGCCAACACCGATTCTCCGCCTTCCCCTTGGAATTTCCGTCGTCCGCACGCCTCCAGCTCCCCCTTCACCCACGCCTTCGCCCCCACCTGGTTCTCATATCACTGCCCTTCCAAACATCAGAGGCCACCGCAGCACGGTCTCCTCCAACACCCCGGCAAGTACAATGTCCACCGCTCCTAGAGCGCACTCCCCGATATCCGCAGAGCCGCCCTCGCACCGGTCCTCATATAACAACTATTTCACCGCCGCCGACGTAGCAAACCGCGCCATCCAACGTACCGCTCGCTCTTCCAATAGAGACTCTGGGGGAGAATGGTCAGCGCGTTCGCAACATAGCCCATTGAAGGTAGGGCAATCACCGCCACGACCTCGGTCTCGCTCCCCGCCGCAGACGTCGAGGAGAATACCAACGCGAATCCCAAATTACCCTCCACCTATATCCGCATCCAACTGCGACAGTAAGGAAGCCGGTACCGGTACCGTGATGAAGAGGGCAAGTACAGAACGATGGCCTCATCCACCTGCGCAATCCCTGCGAGAGAGCCAGCACCCGCGGGAACATGTGGGATCGATTCGGAGGACGCAGTTGAGACTTTCAAGTTTTCCTATCGTGGAGCGTTTACGTGAGGGGCGTAGGGGCAACGAAGAAGAAGCGAGGCATGAAAGGTTGAAGAGAAGCATCAGAGTTCTCGGTCCCACGGATCCGACTGTTGTGGCTGTGGCGAATGTGGGTGGTATGAGGAGGAAGGGGAGCCCGGACGTTGGGAGGTTGCCGGGTTTCATGGTTGGGGGTGTTGTCTAGGGATGTTGGCAGTACGGGTGGAGATGGCGTTTGGCGAGCGTAGCCACGAGATGCGGGCTTCGCTGTTTATTTTATGGTCTAATCCCCTTCGTTGTTTCTTTTCGTGTTTCTTTCCTCCCATCCTTTCTGGTTGTTGGCTTTTCGTCCTTCCTTTCTTTTTATGTACTTGATAGAGTTTGGGCGGCTTTTGACGCGTCGATGTCATTTCTAATCCACATTCCATCCAGGTCAATTAAATTCCATTCAGGTCACTTTTGAGCCGAGAGTACTTCACGCCTCTATTATTTGAATGAACGGTCACGACTTCCGCTCAGTTGCTTACAAGTGCATGGGATCACCTCTGTACTGCGCCCTCTCACATCCGACTGAACACCCCCTTGTACTGCTGCTCTGAGTTAGATCACCTAATTCAACTATTTCAATTGGTTACAGTCTGGTTTACGCCACTAGAGCACGGTGTTTTAAGGCTGATTATACCTGGAAAGAGGCGCTGTCAGGCCAATTACAGCGTCAGATATACCCCTGCGACCCCCTGCTGTTCAGTGGGATGTGAAAAGACGCAGTACCCTACCCCTTCATGCTGAGTCAGCAAACGTTCCTCCCCTTGGTTAGGAAATGGGATAGTGTGAAAACCATTGCTGGAATAAGCTCAGGCTTTTCGATGGGATTTTCAAGATCGAATGCAGGTCTCGAGTTTGAACTCTAGGGTTTAGAGGCATAAGACATCTCATTTTCGGCTATATTCCGCTTTTCAAACCGTGCAAAAAAAATATTCCACCATCGAAGTTCGAATAAGGTGAAAATTTCATTCCAGACACTCCTTGATCGCCGCAACGCCTTCCCGATGCTCGATTTAGACACACCGCGTTTCATCTTCCCTCTTGCACGCGTGCATTCTCATGCTCTATCTTCCAGTCGAAGAAACTACCATGGGGTATCAATCCAATCACGTCAGCAACAGAGCATTTACACATCCATCATTCTCCGGGTTGTTTGTGATTTGAGCGTAGCGACCCCTGTGAGTTATATGTTAGCTGGTCGGTCATTGGGCCAGGCTCAGCGAAAGAAACATACCAAACAACTTTTCCACCAGCAGTCGTCAACCCCAAATCTGAGACGTTGACCTCGATGATAGTTCCCTTGGTCAACACTCCAAGCTGCGTGTACAGCGGATTCTGCGGATTCTTCTTGACGCTGATGATAGGTAATTGCACGGTAACAGCAAGATCCTTATGCGTGCAGTTTGCCTTCTTGTACCGCAGACCCATAGGTCGGATAAACCTCTCATACTTGACGGGCCGTCGAGTAAACCCGGGTCCGACGAAAGTAGGCTTCGTAACCATCCGCTTCCAGCTCTTCTTCGCCGTCTTTTTACCAGTCTTGACAACGCTGAACATCTCCTCCTCACTGATCCCTTTCACCTTGGGCAGCGGTACTGAGAACCGAGCGGCCTTCTCATTCCGCTTCTGCTTGATTGCACTGGATAGAGCCTTTGCGTTCTTCTCATTCGACCGGTCGAGCAGGTACTGAGGTAGGGCTTCGGAAGAGGGCTCGGCGGGTTCGCTGCTCTTGACGTTGCGTTCTTCGTGGGCGCGGATTTGCTTCTTCATCTGGATCTTCTCCTTACGGCGCTTTTCGGCGTACATCTTCGCGCGGAGACCGCGGAGATTTTGGGCCTTGTACGAGGCATCGTGGCCTTCACGGGCGAGGCGCTTGCGCTGCCGCTCTTCGTGGTCGAGCCTGGCGAAATGTGTTAACTACGGTGTGCTGTGTTAAGGGAACACTTTGAAGGGGACACACCTCTTGCCATGCTGCTTCGTCCACCGCTCGATATACTCGTTCTGAGGCATCTTTGGTGTCTCTCGGGTTTATGCTTAACGGTCTAGAGGTTGCGATCCGTAACGGTTTGCGGATGGCCTCTCCACAGGCCGTATGCGGCGAAATAATTCTGAGGCGGGTCGAGATCTTGGCGTTGAGCCAAGGACGCTAATACAAATTTGGGTAGGACGATCTTTTCCAAAGATTCTCCATCAGAGGAACCTATTAACAAGAACTACGGCAGAGCAGCAGCAACAGTGACGGGATTCGGGGCGCTGCTCGCGGGCTACTCAGTTCTCCACCATTGGCAATGTTCGCTCCGGCGCTCCGGCGAGCCGTCTTCGAGACAACAACGCGCGTTCCAACGACCACAACCTCAATCCTCCCGCCAGCCTTCCTTCTCCCCTTCTCGCACCGCGCACCCATAACCACGGTCTCCCATTCCCTCGAAACCGGCAACGTCGCAGAACCTCTCCTCCATTCCGGGCAACACATTTCTTCCGGCCTCAAAGAAGCGATTGCCTCCCGTCCGACCTCCCAAACTGCCTCCTCCACCACCCCCTCACCCGCCTTCACCTCCGTCCCTTATGGGCAGCAATCCCTCCAAGTGCGGACGATAACGCCGCAAATTCGGCAATTGCTCCCACTACTCCGCGCGCAATCAGCGCACTACATCACCGTCCACATCCATGGGCGTCCCTACCTCCTCACCCAGGGCGATACTCTGCGTCTCCCCTTCCTCATGAAAGACGTCCAACCAGGCGACATTCTGCGCCTCAACCGGGCCACACACATCGGAAGTCGTGACTACACGCTCAAAGCACCCGCCACTGTCAAGGGAACTCGGGATTCCCCGAAACAAGTGTTTTACTTGGATGAGAGGTTATTCGTTTGTAGGGCGACGGTTGTGGGGACGGAGCTGGAACCTGAGAGGGTCAAGGAGAAGACGAAGAGGAGGCAGAGGCATGTTAGGCATGTGAGGAGTCAACATCGGTATACGGTCTTGAAGATTAGTCAGGTGGAGGTGAGGAGTTTAGAGGAGTATGATGAGTTGGTGATGAAGGAGCAGGGGAGGAAGGGAAAGGCAAGGAGAAACGCGGATGCAAGTGAGGAGTTGGCAGAAGTAGCCGCATGATTAACTCGGAGATCATGCTCCGTTTAGAAGATTGTGGTTGTTTGCGGATTGGCTGTAGATTTTGAGTGTATTATATGTGCTCACTGCCGTGCAGCGCTGTCAAACCGGGATACGATTTGGAAAAATCATAGAATTGTCATCAAGCTAATGGAATTGCGTCCATTTTCAACGCGCAATATAATGTGGAGCTCCATATATTTCATAACAGCTACACTAAGCCAATGCCCTACGCCCCAAATCCATGTAGCTCTCATTTTGGTCATAAACTCATGCTATACACCTTGCTGTCGAAGGTATGCTTTTGTTTACCCCCTAAGCCAACATTGAAAGCCGCCTGTATCAGGTGCGTGCAAATTTAGGAAGTCTATGTATTACCCGGAAATCCACGCCAATTGTATGCTTACTCCTCGTCAGCCTCCTCTGGGAGCTGGGCCTCCTCAGCCTCCTCCTCGAAGGTGTTCTCAGGGACAGCATAGAGACGGAGGACAGGCTTGTTAGGATCCTTGACGAGGACGTATTTGCCTTCATCCATCTTGAGGATCATGTCAACGATGGTGCGGACGATACCCCAGCCGTTGTTCAAGTTAAGAGCCATCTGAGCAGCGAAGTCACGGGGCTTGTTCGAGAGAACGCCTAGAATGACATGGTCATTGTTGTTCTTCGGGTTGGACCGAGAGACGAATCTGAATGGTTGTTAGACAAAACCAGTTACGTCGGAAAAAGAACGAGAACGTACCCGAGTTTCATGGCATCCGCTTTGGCGAGGATACTCTGCACAGTCCACCTGGCCAACTTGCAGCTGTTGTTCTTCATTTCGGTGGCGAGGACAGCACCTCTCTGGCTGGCCAGCTTCGTCCGCCAGTCAAGCGCGCCACCACTACCCTGCGCCTTGTTATCGAACTCGTTGAGTGCCTTGATGGTCAGGAACTGGTCCTCGCCATTGATGTTGTTCTTGACAACAGCGTCAAGTTCAGTACGGACGATCAAGTGCAGGGGCTCCTCATCTCTTTCCAAAGAAAGATCGAAGCGGCGGTACCTGTATGCCTTGGACGCAGGAGGGTCGGTTTCAACTTCCTCGTTATAGAAGGGGTGCTCGTGAGGCATGCTGAGCTTCTGAGATTCGTTCACGACCTGAAGAGGGAACACATTGTTGATGTGAGTAGCTTCGAGCATGAGCGCGCCCGGGCTGTTTATGGAATCCTTGTTGCCTTCTGAGATCTCAAGCGGGGCATCTGTAGCGTTCTCATTGACGGTAACCATGTCCAGAGGGGAGTTGTCGCGCTTGTCAATGAAAACTTTGTTTCCTCTCCGCGTAATGACCATATCCCAAGAGTACACTGACTTCGTGGCGCACATCAGCATCGACAATATGTTATCCGTGGCAAAGATAGTGGCCTCGTCCTTCTCAGCAAGCTCTTGAATGATCGGATCACTCGATGTAGTGACGTTATAGGCCGCACGTTCGAGAACGTTAAGTTTCCGCTGCGAGGTGGGCGCTCCCGGCTGCTTATCGTAGCTGCGGTCGTAGTAGTAGAGGAAACCGTAGCTGTCCAGATCCTCGCCATCGCCGGTATCGAGGTTCAACTTAGCAAGGCGGGTAAAGTCGATCTCCTCGAGTACATTCCAATCGGGTTTGACCTGTACAGAAGCGTCGCGGTTGCGCTGCGGTTTGTCGTCTCTCCAGCCAAAGCGGCGTCCTCCCCTTCCGCCTCGTCCACCACGGTTATCGTATTGTTGCCCGCGACCACCAACTCGCTGGAACGTACCCCGCCCACCCCTCTGCGCCGCGCCGCCCCGCTGTCCACGCCCGCGGAATACAGTGCCTCCACCTCTTCCAAATCCTCTGGTCCTAGCAGATGTTCTGGTATTGTCTACGACGGAGAAAGTAGCCTCCTCTTCGGCCGCCTGGATTGCGAAAGGATTGGTTTGTTGGTTGGCTCCATAGACTTGTTGGTCTGCACAAAGACGAAAAGTCAGAACACTGCCCTCGGAAAATGGGAGGTCACTTGAAGACCTAAACTACGTACCTCTGTAGCTCCTACCAAATTGTTGGCGTCCTCGATCTCTGTCCTTGCCTTCGGTCCAATCGGCCATGCGTCCAAGTTTGTCGCCCTTCGAATAAGGCGCATACGGGACACCATCCAGCATGGTCTCCTCCGTCACCGGAGGGCCCCAGCCATCGCGAACGGGAAGCTCAGCGACAAGCTCCAATAGAGATTTGGTCGGCATAATGACTTTGTTGCCGAAGGGAGCGTGCTGCCGTGGGGCAAATTATGAACTTTCCAGTGCGGGAGGAGAGCTTGGCATTATCGGAGAAACTTCCCGCCGGTCGCCGGACATATATCGAAACCTCAGTCACCCACCTCTCTGATCAGTGATAATGATGGGAAACTATAGAAGTGATCAAAGGGTGCAAATGAGATCTGGTAAATGCTATTCAGACAGCGATCTTGCCATTCGCCCTCTTGTAAACAAGCATAAGTTGGAGAAGGCACCCCCTGCCGGATTGGTCGGCAGTTGGTGAAAGTAAACTGTGAGAGAGGCCCCTTCCGGTTCTTGTAAACGCTGCTTACACTTCAACAGTTGGGATTTCCACACTGTTGCTTTGGTCTCTTCCTTCCTGTGTGAAACTTTTCAACTTTGAGACCATGAACCGTCATCTGCAACCTCGACTTTCAGTAGTGCACCAACATGGACAACATGGACGAAGTTCTCGTTCATATCACCACCCCCACCACTCGTCAGAAAGATGAAGTCTACAGGTCATTGGCCAACGCCTACCACCAGTTTGAGCCTTGTTCCGTGCACCATTCAGAACCCACGGGCAACATGATCAGCCATTCTGGGCCCGATGGAGACCCCGTAAATGCGGACACCAACCAAGGTCAAGCCTCAGAAGACGATCTGTTACCGAGCAAAGAATCGTTCTGGAGTTTCCCAACCCATGTTTCTTCCGAGAAATCCGAGAACTTCCCACCACCTGACCCTTCTCGTACTCCAGCGGACTCGATGGCCGACTCCTTGGTGGACTCGAGTCGACTTGCACAGTTAGAGCGGATTCGGAAAGTATGGAAGAAACGGCAGGACGCAAGGTCGAGTGTTTCGCAGGCATTTCGATCTAGTGGAAGAAAAAATGATAGGGAGCTAGACGATGCTGCATACCTCGACGACACCCAACTAGCAGCCCAAGCTATCCAGAGTCAACTGAGCGATACCTGCTCTATGACCTCGGAGGACACGTCAGATGATGAATTCAATTCCTGTTACCATGGCACAGCTGTCCCGGCTGGTCCACCTCCTGAAGCCAGCAGTGCAAACGCAGACGATGAAAACAAAAGGCAGTCTCCTGAATCGATATCACAGAAGTGTCAAGACTCTCCTGTACCTGAAAAGGACTACCAGGATAGGCTTGAAGATCTCCAAGTATCTGATGAAGATGTTTCAGCATACTCGTTCGATCTGGATGTCTTACCGGTCCAGATAGTCCCTCCTGGCCCAACCATTTCCGTGGGCGCAGCTGATAAACTACCTTCGCAAATGACTGCATTTCTTCACACCGTTAAACGTCGAGGTTCAGGTCTGTTTGTGCCCGTTGATCGGACACGAGCTTTGGAAGCTGACGAAAGAGGCTATTGGTCTGTTGACACGACCGAGTGGCCTGTGACCACTCAGAACAGGTTTTGGAGATCATTGAACCATCGTGTCTCTTGCGGCGATCTCGGTTGGGGCATACTTCTCTACCGCGAATCAGAATGCACAAAGCAGGACGTAAGTCTGGGCAGGATCCGTGTGTATTGTTGGGGTGAGGTGGCAGAGGCGATATGGCTGGTACTGTGGATTTGCTCCGGGGGCAATATCCATGGGTCGCTCTCTAAGTGGTTAGATGCAGAGGGAACGATGGTTATCCAAATGCCTTGAGAATCTGCTATGGGTTCAGGGAGTTCCTTGAATAGTTGCAACCCAGGTCTGCCCATCTGTATATTGTTTGGGTTTTCAACGAGATATTTGGAAATAAATTTGACATTCTCATAGTGATAACCAACTTCACTACATGAAGACACTGAGGGACGTACTACGTGCGCCCAAACAATGAGTCTCTGCCTGTGTTGGATAAATTCTGGCATTAGTTCTAAGTATAGCAGCCCGGTGGTGAATTGTACGACACATGCCCAAGCAACAAAACGCGCCAAATCCGGAAGATTAGGACATACTATGGAAAACAAGGCTAACTTGTAGGACTATCAGGTAGTTAGCAATAGTTCACAGGGAATCGCGGGGAGATGTTCTGTCGGGCGTGGAACGTGGACGTCCTACACTGTTCTTGCCAAGCCACCAGGAACCAAGAAGACCGCCTGGCGGAGACAATCGTCAGGGCATCTTCCATCAGCATACCTCACTCATGCCACCACGATCCTATGTACACCCGTTATCGATGACAGCGATGCGCTGAATTCCTGAACAACATGCGCGCACTTTCGAATGCCCTAGACCCCGGAGAAACCGAGCCAGACGCCATCAGCTTAGATGAACGAACGCTATGTGATGATGATGAGTCCAGACAGTCTTCAGAAGTTTCGGAAGGGGATCATGACATTTTAGAGTCTGAAGATGAGAGAGAGCGGTTGTTGGTGAAGCACAATGCGGTTTCCGGACTGTTTGGGAGGCCGAAAGTAAAGATTGGTGTGAAGGATGAGCTATCGCCCGCCTCCAACAAGCGGCAGCGACGGACTAAGGGAGGGAAGAACGGGGAGGCTAGCGCACTTATGTATGACACAGAGGAGGGAGTCGGCTCGTCAGAAACCAGTTTAGGAGAACAATCCTCCGATTTTGACCAGCAGCGCTTGCCAGCAGGCAGGTCCCAGAGAAAGGTAAGGAAAAGAGCATGCGCAGAGGATGGTGGCTGATCATCTCCAGTCACGACGGTCACAAATATTCCGACGCTTAGCGATATACGTAGCTATCATCATCCTTTTCGTGGTTCTCCTGGCGGTCGCCTACCGACTGTCCAGTACCACTCCTAAGAGACCGCTCCCGACCATGGTGTCCAACGGCACTTCACTCTTCGCGCCTACAACAATCTTGATATCTCTGGATGGATTCCGCGCAGATTTCCTCTACCGCGGTCTCACCCCGACTCTGAAGGGCTTCATCGAGGAAGGCATTTCACCCAAATATATGCTCCCGAGTTTTCCGAGCGTCACCTTCCCCAACCACTACACCATGGTTACTGGGTTGTACCCAGAGGCACATGGAGTGGTTGGAAATAGCTTCTGGGATCCGTCTTTGAAGAAGGAGTTCTATTATACCGATCCAAGCCGAAGCCTACAGCCTTATTGGTGGGGAGGTGAACCGGTCTGGGCCACCGCAGAGAGACAGAACGTCAGGTCCGCAGTACACATGTGGCCTGGCTCTCAAGCACACATTGGCAAGTTTGAGCCTACCTACGTGGACAATTACAATGGATCGGAGCGTCTGGCATTGAAAGTGGACCGCATTTTTGAATTGCTGGATCTCCCAGGTCCGCATGAAATGGCCAACAATGCCCGACCGCGGCCTCAACTTATTGCGGCATATGTCCCGAACGTGGATGGTGATGGCCACAAGTATGGGCCAAATTCGACTGAGATTCGGGAAACCATCAGGAACGCTGATGCAATGCTCGGCTCCATTCTGCAAGGCCTTCATGCACGTAACCTAACCCATATCGTAAATGTAGTGGTCGTCTCGGACCATGGCATGGCTACTACTGATGTGGAGAGGCTAATCCAGTTGGAAGATCTCATAGACCCTGAGGAGCTGGAGCACATCGACGGCTGGCCTCTCTACGGTCTCAGGCCTAAAAATCCCAAAGATCTTGAACGTCTACATCGCCAGCTCGTGGAAAAAACGAGGGACAATCCCAATGTGGACGTTTACTTGCGGGACAAAGACATGCCCGAGCGGTATCACTTTTCCAAGAATGAGCGTATCGCGCCATTATGGATCGTTCCCAAGACAGGCTGGGCTATAGTAGACAAGTCCGAATTCAACATCGAAGAAGCAAAGAAGACAGGCGAGGTTTACCATCCACGGGGTCTTCATGGTTATGATTTCGAACACCCTCTCATGCGAGCGATCTTTGTGGCGAGAGGTCCGGCATTTCCACATAAACCGCACAGTCGTGTTGAACCCTTCCGTAAGGCTTCTTCCAAAAAATAGCAAGACCCAAACTAACGGAGCACAGAGAATATCGAGCTTTACAATATCATCTGCGATTCCATTGGGATCGAGCCGGCTCCGAACAATGGAACGCTTAGGTTACCTTTGAGACCCGTCGGGCTCCACACAGACCCGGAAACGCCGCCAGACGAGACACCGGCAGACCCAGTGCAATCATCTAGCTATCAGGCGTCCACTACTCTTGGTTCGTTCGCAAGCCTCGCAGCATCCGCATCTGGTATGGAGGAATCGCCATCCTCAGCCCATAATATTGATGCCGCTCCGACGCCAACGATGAGTGCTCCACCGGCCGCTTCAAGTTCGGCAGAAGAGACTTGGTGGCAGTGGTTCACTCATAAGGCGGAACATATTGGGGAATGGGTAGAGAATTTTGTTCACAAGCATGTGCCAGGAGACGGGAGGATTGACGGGGATGAAGGGGCTGCATCAAAACCATCATGAAGAAGACGGGTAGTCGGCTTGCGAGGCGTTTCGGTGACTTTCAGTTTTCAGTTTGATACCCTATGACGAACACATACATACTTCTGGCCGCCTTGCCATGGGCCAAACATGCATCCTGACGACGTCTGACCAGTCAACCCCTGAAGTGCCAACTCTGCAGGAGCCTCTCACCGTATGACCGTCATTCTTTCCATGAAGTTAGCATGATATTTCTGCTCTATTAGAGTCCTGGAGCGTCCTGTCCATGCTGATATCGCCAAGCCTGTGAATTGCCCGGGGCTCGGGAATGCGCTTCCGTATATGGACTAGCCCCGCAACGTCCACAAGGTCCAGCTGCAACCACCAACGTCAACACCCGTCTGTGACAAGACGCCACTCCTCAGCTTCATCCCCCATATGGTGTTTCGCTACACCTCTCCCCACACCCCTCCGTTTCTTTGCACAAGGCTTGATACGTCTTCTTTGATTATTGTGCGTGGGAAAGACCTTTAAGAATCTGCGACTTGCGTTGTGGCGCTGCTTATTTGCGATCATGGCACTCTCCAAATCTGCCCGGATAGGTATCCTTTTGGCAATCGATAGCATTTTCTTCCTGCTAGAACTCGTCGTTGGTGAGTCCTGTTTGTCCATTGCGTGTAGCAGCTCCTGATGTTCTCACTAGGCTATGCCGTCCACTCGCTCGCCCTTGTTGCCGATTCGTTTCATATGGTTTGTCACAACCGTACAGTTCGGAAGGCCCAAGCTGACCCTCATGCCAGCTGAATGATGTGCTATCACTACTCGTCGGGTTATGGGCGGTCAAGGTCGCGAACCAGAAAACCAACTCGAAGATGTACACCTATGGAGTAAGCGAAATGGCTCACAGCCCATGGTGACTGACACTGACTCTGTGTAGTGGCAACGTGCAGAAACCCTAGGCGCACTTGTCAACGGTGTCTTCCTTGTCGCACTGTGTCTTTCGATCTTCCTCGAAGCCATCCAACGTTTTGTTGAGCCACAAGAAGTAAATCATCCGAAGTTGGTCCTGATAGTGGGTTGCTTCGGATTAGCCTCGAACATCATCGGCCTTGCCCTCTTCCACGATCACAGCCACGGCCACGGCGCACATGGGCATGAACATGGCGCTACTCTCAGTAGAGCAGAGCAAGGACAATCGAGCGGTCTCGATGACGGGACCCGGGAGATGGTGGACGAAGGCGGGAGCGTAGCCGATGTCCTGCCGCAGTCCCGGGTCAGGGAGTATCAGTCCATGGCTTCGGCGAATTTCCGGACAGAAACTGCAGGATCTGGTCGGAAAACTCGACGGAGGTCCATGTCTGGAAAGAGCGGTTCGAGAGCACATCGTCGTTCACGATCGCGCGGATACTCTATACCCCAAGAGATCTACGTGCATCCATCCTCATTCAGAGCATCGATCATCGAATCGTCCAAGGTTGAAGCTAGTGAGACGGAGTCCGAGCCAGAAGGCGAGACAGCAATTGGGGGTGTGCCTACCGAGCAGTCACCCCTTTTGTCCAACAACAAGGGGAAGAGCGCCCCTGACGCCCTTGCTGGACCAAAGCGAACGAAATTCGACCTTCATTCTGAGCATAAGCACAGCCGGCCGAAGGAGGAAGGGAAGAAGGGTGGCCATGGGCATTCTCATGACCTCAACATGCGAGGCGTGTTTCTCCATGTAATGGGGGATGCGCTTGGCAACATTGGCGTCATTGCCTCTGCACTTATCATCTGGCTCACTGACTACTGGTGGCGTTTCTACTCGGACCCATTGATCTCGTTGATTATCACCGTCATTATCTTATTTTCTGCCATACCTCTCTGCAAGGCTGCTTCGCGCATCCTCCTACAGGCTGTTCCGGCTGGCTTCTCGATCGACGATCTCAAGGACGACATATCCGAGCTTGATGGGGTTGTATCCTGCCACCATGTACATGTGTGGCAACTGTCGGATGCAAAGTTGATCGCCTCTCTGCATGTCCAAGTGGACTTCGATTTTAGGGAATCGGGATCCGCCCAATATATGGAGCTGGCGCGTGAGATCCGTAAATGCTTACATGAGTACGGAATCCACTCATCGACCATTCAACCGGAGTTCTGCCTAGATGCGCAACACGATCACACGAAACCTATAGACGACAGTAGCGCCGACGAAGACCACCGCCCCCGTACCGGCAGCAGGGGTGGATCGCTCCGTAACAGCAAGGCGAATAGTGTTCGAGGCGATGCAGACGCCTGTTTGCTCGAGTGCGATGAAGAATGCGAGAATAGCAAGCAGTGCTGTGATCCGGCTCTCAAGGGTTGCGGTGCCGGAGCCTAACTTAAGGACTCCAGGTTGCTACGATATTCTCTCCCAGATTCGTGCTATAATGCAGATGTTCTGGCTCCCACGATTATTGTTCCGATGTTTCCTGATTTGTATTGGTTCATGTGCTGCATCAAAATGGCGTTGGCGGCGATATCAGCTAGATTATAGGTCCAAGTAATGACTTACTTCGGGGATTGATTTCGTCAGTTCTACTCATGGAAATCCACTGATATATGATTGTGTCAGTTCCAGTATGTCTTACTAATATCTGCAGCTTTCCTTTTCTTTGACCATTCAAGCGGCGGTTGACCGTCGTTACTGGTGTGCCATGGAGAAAGTAAACAAAGATCCCATTTAATTTTATCTTCGGACTCTGACTTTTGACGTTTACCTAGCTACAAGTAGGTACTGTACCGCCTCCTCCCACGTACGACTGAACAACCCCAGTACTTCCAATCCAAGATAGAATACGTATTTCAAGAAATCTATTGGCTATATTCTAGTTCCGCTACGAGGGCACGGTGTCTAAGGCTGGTTATACCTGGAGGGAGGCACAGAAAGGGCCAATCAGAAGGTCAATAACCCCTATGCGCACTTTCGTGTTCAGTCGGACGTGAAAAGAGGCAGTATGTACCTACTCCCATGGTCAGAGCTCCCAGATAACTAAGGCATTAGCACCGGGAATTACGGTGATATCCGCAGTACCGGACGCCGTTGAAGCGCTTGGAAAGAGTGAATTTCCGAGGCTCGTACCGTTATGGTCTTCGAAGTCCCCATTATTAAATCGTAGTAGCACGCGGGTATCCACTGTCGGCCGAGGGCCTCATAGTTTTTGCTGCTATTTACTTAGGCCGGCGAACGGTGTTGATGATATCGGACCGTGATTCTGATGCGAGAGTTGCATGTGAGTCCAACATCGTCAGCCGCACCGCATTTTAACGTCACTCTGAAATGCGCCAGTCATCTAGCCCAGTATACCACAGGAGTGTTCCAAGGTTCCCCCAATTCTCGATCAGAGAAAGAGTGAGCGGTGCTCTCCGATGCTATTCGCTTACGGGTTCCGGCACCTCGGAAATCAATTAAACGGGGTGTCGAAGGCCAGCCACGATCGGCTCGTATTAGTCAGCTTCTGGAAAGGCGGTTTAATCGACATTAGGAAGGTAATCGAGACGTTCACCCAATGGGCAAAATACCGATCACAGTGGAGCGGAAGCGAGGACCAAGTGGTGGCGCGAAACAAGATCCTTCAAGGCGCCAAGTTGAAGAACCTTCGAAGCTTAATCCTGTTCTGGGAGTCGCGTGGTGTGCGGGAACTCTACCCAGTAAAGATTAGCGCTTTGTTGCAATCGTAACATCGATGAAACGGAACTCTTCGGCGAATGATGAGCTCGGCTTTATCATCATTTTTTGGGGCACAGTGGGGATGATCATGGATTGAGGGGCTGCTGCTCAAATAAGTAGTGATGCGGCCCCAGGAAGGAAGGGGGTCCCGTGGTCCATCCTTTTCCCCAGTGACCTCGCATCCCGTACGCCGTGGGACGTCACCATCACTGAAGCCATGGAGCACTTGACTGAGGCAGACCAGTGAGTAGAGGTTGAATCACTAGGGTCTAAGCCACTGACATTATTATTAGGCTGCACCAGCAGTTGAGTCAGCCAGATGGATCTAACAAGAAAATCGACCTTGCTGGCGGTCCGCTTCAGAATGGCGGACATGTCGATGCGTCTGTCCCCACGGGAGAGAAGAAGTCATTCAGCAAGGAGGAATATACGACTCCCGAGAAAGATGGTGCCTCTCAAGTAGAAGGGCATGTCGTCGAGGGTCAAATCCCGACCGAGGAGGAGAAAAGAACCCTTCGCCACGTCGGTGAACCCGTCCCCAAAGCTGCCTTCCTAGTCGCCGTTGTCGAGCTGTGCGAACGCTTCACATACTACGGCGCATCAGGCATTTTCCAGAACTATGTCAAGAAGCCCCTTGATGGCAGCGAAGGCCGCGGCGCCCTTGGTATGGGACACCAGGGGGCGACTGGCCTGACCACCTTCTTCCAGTTCTGGTGCTATGGTATCTTCATCCCGATGCGCTGATGCATACGAGTACACTGACTAACTTTGCCCAGTGACGCCCATCTTCGGTGCCATCATAGCTGACCAGTACCTCGGAAAGTACAATACCATTCTCATCTTCTGCTTCGTCTACCTCGCCGGATTGCTCATCCTGACTACGACCTCCATCCCCTCTGCCCTTGAACATGGGTCGGGTGTGGGTGGCTTCATCGCGTCCATCCTTATCATTGGCATAGGCACTGGAGGCATCAAGTCCAACGTCGCCCCTCTCATTGCAGACCAGTACAAGCGTCGGCAGATGGCCATCAGCACCGACAAGAAAACCGGCGAGCGCATCATCCTCGACCCCTCCATCACCATTCAGCGCATCTACATGATCTTCTACTGGTGCATCAACTTTGGATCTCTCGCTCTGCTCGCTACTCCCTACATGGAGCGTGATATCGGCTATTGGTCCGCTTACCTGCTCTGCACCTGCGTCTTCTGTGTCGGCACTGTTGTTCTCGTCCTGGGAAGAAAGGTGTATATTGTGCGGCCGCCCCAGGGCTCCGTCATCACGGACGCCTTCCGCGTGATGTGGATGATGATCAAGAACCGGAAGATGGATGCAGCGAAGCCGTCGTACCAGGTTGCCATGGGTAACACCAGGTCCTTGAAGTGGGACGATCACTTCGTGGATGAGGTGAAGCGAGCATTGATCGCCTGCCAGGTCTTCTGCTTCTATCCCATCTACTGGGTACGTCATGTCTTGGACAGAATACAGCAGAGCAAGCACTAACAACGATGTCCAGGTCGTCTACGGACAATTCTCCAACAACTTCGTCACCCAAGCGGGCCAAATGCGCGGCCACGGCATCCCCAACGACCTGATGCAGAACTTCGACCCCATCGCCATCATCGTCTTCCTACCCGTCCTCGATCGCCTGTATCCCCTCTTGACCAAGCACAAGATCCGGTACCCGCCCATCAACCGCATCGTGACCGGCTTCTGGCTTGGAAGCTTGGCCATGGCCTACGCTGCCATCATCCAGTACTACATCTACAAGTCCGGGCCCTGCTTCGACAGACCTCTGTGCGATGCCGATCTCGACGCAGCCGGTGTGCACATGGGAAATGTAAGTCCCCTCTCCATCGCATCGTAACCATTCAAGCCCGTGGGCTAACTCATCCCCTCAAAAAGAACATCCACATCGCCAGCCAAACAGGCGCGTACATGCTCATCGGCCTCTCCGAGATCTTCGCCTCCGTCACCGGCCTCGAATACGCCTACACCAAGGCCCCGCCCAGCATGAAGTCCTTCGTGCAATCCATGTTCCTGCTCACCTATGCCCTTGGCGCCGCCATCTCCGAGGCTTTGAACCCCGTCTTGTACGATCCGGCTATCCAGTGGATGTTTGTGGGGCTGTCGGTGGCTAGCTTCATCACGGGTGTTTTGATTTGGATCCTGTTCCATCATCTGAATGATGAGGAGGATAAGTTGAATGCGCTGGATCAGGATTACGATGAGGATCCGACGTTGAGGAGAGCCAGTGTCAAGGGGGATAGGACAGTGGGGTTGCATCATGGAGAGCCGGAAGAAAAGGTTTAGAGGAGGGAAGAGGAGCGGTGATAGACGCAAAGGATGCTCTAGGTTCATCGAAGTAATAACTCGGGTTCTTTTTCCCAAATCGGGTATTGTACCATCCGCTCAGGGCTCCAGCGCCTCTTATTGAAGGACAAATCTCCTCAGCTCGCGTTCCCCGTTTTCCCATTGATCCACCGTCTTGCCAGTCATGTGCCCATGGATATAGGCATCCCCAACATACCGATACTCCCCTTTCGGCCCGTGGGGACGCAATATGATAGGCGTCGAGCATCCTAGAGGTACCACAACCTCATCGCCTAGCGCCATGAATCCCGAGCCCATCCCGATGCGCCCTTCCTCGGTGATCAACAAACATCGGCCCATCATCTTCGTAGCAAAATGGTGCTGAAGGAACGATCTCCTGTCCTCGGGCTTGATCTTGATATCATCGTCCATGTGAATATAAGACTGAAGTCCGCGGTCCATCTGCATACTGGGCAGCCTTTCATGTATCAACGATGCAAAGACATGCAGGCAATGGACCATCCATGTCTTCGCATCCTCAAACCCTTCAGGGACCTGATTCATGCAGAGCGTTTTGCAGAAGGCCTCCAGCACCCGGGGTGATGCATCTTGTTGTCTCTTGACCGAGCCACTGCTTTGCAAGAGTATAGCTCGCCAATGAAGGAAGGCCATGAGGTAGTCGCCCAAGTTGCACAAGGTGCCAACGGCAATGCCGCGGGCTTTGACTTTATCCAGGTAGATTGCTGAGATTTCGAGTTTTCTGCGGCCATCATGGAACTTGTAGTCGGCTTTGGTCCGCCCTGACGCCGAGGATCCCACGCTTATGGACGTGATGCCGGAGGCATGCGACCAGTCCGGCACCCAGGACGGGAGGTTGGCGGAGCTGTGGTGTAGCGGGAAATGGATAGCCTCCCGTATAACATCGAGCTGGTCCGTCGAGTAGAGGATGTAATCGACGGCGTCGATATACACTTCCTTCACGGACAGGGAGTAATCGACAGGGAATTCGCCTCGTACATGGTCTGGCAGGATGCCCAATATCCCAAAGACCTTGTCTCGCGCGTCCGCACTCAGTTTGCCTCTGCAAGCGCGCAGCACCTCGAGGAGCGAGTCGTTACCGAGTGCCGCGAGAGAGCCTACATCGGGCAAGCTGCTAGGCCCTTGGTGGACCAAGACCTGCGAATAGCTGAACTGGTTCGAGGAAACGGCTTGACTAAAACCCCCGTTGGATACGCTGGGGAAGTAGTAGTCGATGTCGCTTTTGTGGCGCCAGAAGGCGTAAGACGCCAATCGGAAAGTTTCATAACGGAGGCTAAGGGAACCGCAATACACCACGAGGTCCCTAGCGTTGAACACTTCTTGCACAACCCACAATCTCCTCCAGTAGTCTCTTTCAAACAACGCAACAATGGCAGCAATTCCTGGCCTGTGGACATCGGACGAAATGAGACTTCGTACCCTCTTCTCCGAGTCGGCATTGGCCGCAATGTTCGCCACCACCTCCAGGAGCTTCATCGCATCGTCGCTATTGTCTGCCTCGGCTCCTAAACAAATGGCCACCAACTGCGCGTTTGAGTAGATGCCGGTCATTAGCTGCACCTGTTGCGTTTTTTCATCCCTGTTCTGTTGGTCGATACAGAGATAGTCGATCCAAACCGTGACGGACTCGTTTTTCCTACGTAGCGCTTCCAAGGCACCGTAGAGGCTTACTGCGACAGGAATCTTAACCCCATCCAGTACAATCTTGCGTGTATCGTCGGCATCACCCCATGCATATGAGACAGCCGTATACGGAGGGGGATGGTACAGGGACTCGTGCAAAAGCTCGCACTTGATAGTCGACATTCTGGCAGGCAGTAGCCTGATTAGCCGGAATTCGCCAGGCCCCAGTGGGCTATATTGATATGTTCTGTCCCCTAGAATGCCGGATGAGCCGCCTGTAGAGTGTCTATGAGTTGACCCTGCAGCGGACGTGGAACCACCTGACCATCTCGTCCAGTGTCTTCTTTCGCGGTTGGATTGAGAGATCTCGGATCGGGAGTCCTCTGGGCGGACATTGTCGACGGTGGCTGGGAATTCGCCCGGAATAAAGTAAGGCTTATTATCGAGGGCTTCAGTCCGATCTTTTCGGTGCAACTTCATACCAGGCGGTCCCTCGTAAACTTCCCGATAGTGCCAGGGGTCCTGTGGCTCTGGTGTGGGCTCAGGTGGTGGTCGCACGACATTTACGGAACTATAGCTGCGGAAACGGGCGTGGGGAGGTGACGGGCGCTGAGCCCCCATACTACTGCGAGCATGGTCTGTACCGGCATCAGTAGGTCGGAGATGGGGCGAAGAAGGTCGTCGGTTAGGCCTAAGGCGAGATGCAGCCCGTACTGGACGTTCCTCGTGCGTAGAGCGAGCCCACCTAGCCCCAGCAAATGGAGCGGGCGGCTCTAGACGAACGGGCACAGCACTGGAGAATTTGGACACATTGACAGCAGGATGCGATGGTACCCGGGAATGGGGACCTCGTCGCTCCAAGCTGGACGGACGCTCGGGCGAGGAGTGTCGTCGCCGTGGTCTCGATCGGGACCGTGGACGGTACTGATCGCGGAAGCCAGCTGGCAATGGCGGGTCTACACGGACAGGAGAGTAGAATTCGCCGCGGAATATGTCCACCGCGGCGCTGGTGGGGTATATGCCTATGCCCTCATTATCGGAATGGTATTCCCGGTGTAGCGAAGGGCGCCGTGGTCGAGCTGCTGCGTTCCTGGAGTCCTTGGAATGAGGCCGTCGGGATAGTGGACGTCTTTCAAAGGCATGTTCGGGCGATAAGTAGCTGGCGTCGTAATAAGTGTGTCGGTGACGTCCGCGACGGCTCTCTTCCCAATCCGCCATTTTGGAAGGTTGGGGGGCCGGGTGTCGAGGTGGTGTCTTGTCACTGCAGGTGCATCGCGGTGCACATGCGAGTCCAGATATCGGTTGTGTCCCTCGTGACTTTTGAAGATCTCTACAGAATATTGTCAACGAAGGTGTAGTCTACTGGGAAGGAGCGAGTGGTGTCGGTTTCACTCCCGTGAATGGAACACAGATGGTGGTGGGCGGGCAGAGGATGCAGGCGTCTTCAGCCTCGAGCCCGTAGGTAGTCGTGTCGAGTCCCACGGCCGGCTCGCTTAAGATGCATGCATCCGTACAAAATTCGCATAATATTACCATTTGGGTAACGAGGACGCGATATATGGTTATTTTACGCGGTAGTTGGAGTTGCTATACAGTACGATTTGATACTCCACATTCAACTAGAGGGTCCACGCCGAACATTGCGAAGTGTATACGTTACAACACACTAACCTCCCAAGTGCACACTCCGCATGCAGAATTGCTAGTAGCTCGACAGCCATAAGAGAAAAACATATCACAGCCGTTAAGCAGCGAAGCTTCGAATATCCCCTTACATCCGTTGGTTTGGTTCTGATGTCTCGATCACCCATGCCCATTCTGTTCGGGGTTGCATCAATGCCCGACGGACGCCTCGAAAAAAGTAGCAGGAGAATAAAACGTTTCCGCTATGTCTTAAAATACACAGATACTTGCCTCATCCGCCTAATTTAGTTGGCATTGCCGCCCTGCTTGCTACTGTTCACTCTGCAGCCTGCGTCCAAAGTCCGCCGCCCTCTCTGCACAACGTGCACTCATCAACTTATCTCACCAGACTCTGTTATCAAGCCTTACGGCAAAGGCCTCACGTTCAATGTGCATTTGGCGCTAATATGTAGAATTGGAAAATTGAGCGGAGACTCGTAAGGTGTAAGTCAGAGAACTACTCCGTAAATCAAGTTCAAAACCGATAATGACTGTTTTACAGGGAAGGAGCAGATACGTCGCAGAGAACCTCAAGAGAACGTCGGAAATAAAACGGAAAGCCAAAAGGAAGCATTGCACCTATTACCCTTTGCGATAATTCGAAATCGGATTATGCCACCACTGGAGAATGATTAGCGCGTTGTTTCGAGCAATCGTCTGAGGAGCAAACTTACAGCCAGGTACTAAGCGGTGTCCCGTAGTCTCATCTGGCGCCCATCTCGTCGTCGCTTCGTCTTCAGTATCAGTGTCGACAGTTGCTGCACTCATGCGATGACGCGACCCAATTGGATTTCTCGTGCGCTCAACTGGAAGAGCCCTTGCATTTATACGCCTGGATGGTGTCGATTGTGTCGACCTACGATCCGGACTGACCTCAAGCTGTTTGGCGAAACGGGAGGAGAGGTCATCAACTGGCTCTTTATTACAATCGTGCGCGAAGTAATACGGAGGGAAACGCTTACCATTGATGGCAGGTTCAACCTGTTCTGACCTTGGTTCAGGTGTCGGTGTCGGTGATCTCGCTCGTGTCACCCGTGGACGACGACCGTTGGTAGGCGTCGTTCGTACGCTAGACGGGATCGGCGGTACTACACACATTAAAATGATGGAAATTGTAAGCGAACAGTCTACTTACCTGTCAGAGTGTCAAAGACCTGCGCCCTTTCTAACTCGCGTTTTCCCTCTTTCAGACGCGCCAGCGTTTTCTCCGTCTTGATGCGCTCGGCCCGGATTTCGTCTGACTCAGAAGCAATCAACCTTAATAGGTCTTCATTCATTTCAGAAACCGTTTTCGGTGAAAATATTTCTGCAAGATCTGCTATCAGACAGTTTTCTACAGCAAGCACAGCGACATTGTCAATGAAAACCGTCAGTGCTTTCTAAGACGAGTCAGTGTATGGTGTCAGCCATTCAAGCTCCAAAGAGTGTTACCTTGTAGTATGTTTGACTGTGATCAAGAACCTCCGCATACGTGTCATCGTCGGGGGATTGCGTCAACAAGCTAGGCCCACTACTGTTATTTGAGCCGAACCTGAATGCTCTATGCGCGGCCGTGGACGCGTTGTCGGTGTACCTCTCCGCTCGCATCTGGTGAATCTGCAAGCTGAAAGTCGGATCATATACGAATGGGCTCAGCTTCTGGTAGGGAACCAGAAGCTCCTTCAGCTTGGCTTCGAGGGCGATTCTCCTCTCTTCAAGCCGTTGATCAACCCACTCCATCCGAAGCATTTGGAATGTTTGCTCATCCATAAGTGACGACAGGGCAGCATAAATATACTTCTGTGCCGCTTCAAAGACGCGCTCGAGATGGCATTCAGCAATAAATTCCCATTGTTGAGACTGATCACGAAAGACCCGCGTGACGACTCCGGGGTTGACCAGTGTCGGGATTCCAGAGCAATCACTCTCTTCCAGATATTCCTTGATACGCTTTAGTAGCTCGGCCCGCGTAATCTGCTCGGGGTCGTCAAACTGGGCATCGTATTGTTGAAGCGCCTGGGACTGCAAGGCTGGAGACCCCAGGTTTGCGGAGGTTGGTAGGTCATTCGCGATGTTCCAAGCATGCCCCTTGTGGTACATAATATGAGCGAATGCTCTGTTGAGACTCTGGATTTGGGTGCGGAGACGTCTTGCCCGTTGGTCCTGTACCGAGGTTGACGTGAAGAAGGCATCCCCGTCGTAGTGGCCTATCAAGGCACTGTGTGTGAGTAACTGGAATTTTGCCGCACTGTCTGTCAGGTAAGAACGCTGTTCTCGCGGAGTCTCTCGACCTTCCCCTAATCTCGCGAGGCGAGAATTGGTCGCAACAATCGCGTCTCGAATGGCTCCGGTGATCGCGGGGAGCTCCTTGCAAACATGCCGCAGGAGTAACTCTGAAAGTTTCGTCCTCAAGCTATCAATACCAACATTGCATTCGGGAAGCGCCTTCCATATGCTGGACGCAAAGAATTCGCGTTCTTTCTGATTGCGTTCTTCGAGTGAGAGCTCCTCTTCTTTCCAGCCTCGATTCCTAACTACATGCCAACCGAGATCTAACCGCATGATTTCGTTGTTGGCCAGTCGAACGACGGTTGCTTCAGTCTCCGATCCTGCATTCAAAAGGTCTGGTTTGGTGATGATACCGAGACTCCGCTGGCCTTCTCGATCAGCTCTTTGGACCATCTTGAAGACTGCTTGGTTGTTCAAGTCATTTTGGGCGGAGACCACCGCCAGAATAATAGACTTCGGGTTATCCATATACCTCTTCACGAGGTTATGGACCTGCTCAACATCGTTTTCCCTTCCTTTGATTGCAGATTGGATCAGGCCAGGTAGATCAACAATGGTAAGAGGAGGGACATCAGGGCCAACGTATTTGATCTTCAAGACGTCGTCAAAGAACGAAGAGGTGTTCGAGGAAGCACCAAAGATCATGTGACTTTTCGCTTCTTCAATCAGGGCGGTGATGTTGACGTCTTCAAGTTGAGTGAAGAACTTGTGGAATTTGGAAATCTCTTGGATCTGTGCCTGGGACCGCTTTTCCCCTGGGGAGATTGAGCACGTTATTCTTACATCCGTACCCCTTCGTAGTGCAACTTCAGTCGCAAAAGTGGTGCATGTGCCCTCTTTCGTAGGAAAACTGAGGGATGTGAGCCCCTCAAGAACGGAGCTCTTTCCGGACGACTGGTCTCCACAGACGATCAACTGTGGATCGATGTTGTAATCTTCATGCCTCTTGTTCAGCTCGCGGAGGTTGTCGATAGCATCCAACAATGCTACCTGCTTGGAGCTTTGCAATCCCTTGATCGTTGCGGGTTCAGGGGGTTGAGAAGCCATCAGAGGTGATTCAGGCGGTGTGGAATAGGTTTGGAAGGTACCACTTCGAAGGAATGGCATTGGAGAAGGGGTAATACATAAAATAGAGAACTGACCGAAGGTATAGCACGTATTTATGCACCCGCTCCTGATCGTCATACCTTCTCCACACAGCCCGCACAGCTTCTTGAGCTATATATAGGCTCTGGAGAAGTCCTTCATGGTTTCACTTATGCTATGGCACCGCCTCTCGATGGCCAATGCCTTCGCTGGGTTCGAGATGGAGCCGTGCTCTGTTAGCAGTAAACAAGGCAATAACGAATGCAGGGGAGCAGCCTCATACTGTCTAGCGCTTGCTGCCAGAGAGCCCATTCGTCGAGCAGCCTTGGCCCTGCTCTCCGTGTTTCGAGGGATGTTTTAACAACTGAGAAGCTGCAGGGACGAGCATATTGCGCCACAGTCAATTACTCTTTCTGGTTGCAGGCCCGCTCGTGTCGCCGGGGATGATGCATAATGAACAACATTCGGATGCGGTACGCCGGGGCTGCTGAAACATCTCAGTGTATACGGATCACAGCTGTCAATCGGGAAGGCAAGTAGTGTCTCGGTCAGTCTTACTGTACTTTGAAGGAGATATGAACCGGCGTTTTGCCTAAACGTAACATCCTCTTGTATCGCAATCTGCGTGAGTATCAATCCAGTGCCTCGAGGCTTCGACTGTGTGATTAGACGAAGAAGGAATCGGATGAGTACGGTCGGGGTATTATCACCGCGAAATACGTCCTTTCTGATTCTACAGGCTTCGCTGTACTCCTTTTCAGTGATTTAACCGCCTGTCTGCATCTTCGTGATTCGGAAGCGCCGTGCCGTTGATGGCATCTGCATGCATGATAAGGCTGCAGCATTGGGGCACAGCAGCAACTCGAGGCTGAGTGGCAACGGAACAGCGACGTAATCGGCAGTCTCCAACAGCAACGTAATCGAAAAAAGAGGCTGCCAAGGAATTGAACAGGGAACTTCGCCGAGGTTGATGCCTTCGTGAAACCGTGTAGACTTGTGCCTAAAATCAACGTCGGTCGCGGGCTTTGGCAGCAAAAGGGATTCAGCTCCAGCCGTGAAGTCGTTTTGCAAGCCCCAACACGCAGTAAGCATTGATACCTGTGATGAAGGCTGGGGCCGTGAGAGTGACGCATATCCATATCCAGCAGGCCCTCGAAAACACATGCGGAATACATATGCTTACGCCATGCTAGATCATGCCAATAGCTAGATCATGCCAATATATATCATGGCCTTTTTTTTTTTTTTATCGATCTTGGGTGGTTCCAATGGTGCTGGATTCGCCCATGCATCGCTGGCCGCTTCAGCTTCAGGAGTCCAGTCGTTTGTGGTTGGTGCCGAAGCAAGTTGAGAAGGTCAGGATTCGAAACAACGTGGCGCGGGGAGGCGACTTTGAGAAGGGGCGTCGGGATAAAGTTGTCGCGATCGCAATCTTCAATATCGAAGCATCCAAATGTCGCATCCACAGTGGCTCTGTCAAACACTGCACGCAGTTCGAAAGAAACGGCCATTCGAACGGAAAAACGGCTTGAGCCCATTAGAAATCTATACACTTACTTCACTTGAATTCCCACTCTTAACCTGACCCTCTTTCCTTGTTCCCAGATCATCCATCAACACCAATCCCACCTCGTCGTTGTCGTTATCCCCATCTTTCGACTGGTGGCGCTGAACTTCAAATGTCTTGGTGTAAGTGATGATGCTCCTGTCCGCACCTACTCCTCCTCCCCCTTGGCTTAGTCCTCCTCCTTTTGAATTCCCTAGAGCGTTACCGCTCCCGTATTTCGAGAGATATTGGTTGGATGATTTGTGTGTATTGCCCAGTACCTTTGGGAATAACCGTACGAGGATAGCGCGAATGGCAGGCATGCAGGCGCACATGATGCCGACGTTGATTTCAATGGTTGACCAGCTGCAGACGTCGAATTGATCCCATGTAGGGTTTGTCGAATTCGCAAAGTGTACGAGATATTGCAGTCGCAGAATGGACACGATTGTGACGCTGTTGAGATAAGTTAGCAGGGCGAGAGTTGCCCGAGACGGCAAAGGACAGCTTACAAAGTTCCGACGCAGAACATCATGGCCACCCCAACCTTTTTCTTCCAAGCCAGTTGAAGGTGAGCAACTTGAAACAGTGGGATTGCCAACATCCAGAAGTCTAGTGCGATACTGACGGCGGCATTCGCCCAGGCAAGCGCGTTGATGTTGATGCAGGTGCCCTCATGCTCACCGTCCCAGCGATGCCAGTAATAACTTATCGGCGAACACTGGAAGATAGCGGTGACAACGAAAGCGATCCCGTACATGGCGTTGACGACCATCGTCACAATGGTGAGTCTTCTAACTCGAGCTCCTGGGAAGATATGATAGTAGAAGAAAAGCAAGGATGCTTTCAGCATGACGATGTTAACGAAATAGTCGACCTCCAAAGCGTAGAACCACTTGATGAAGTCCGTGATTTGCTGAAACTCCAGGGTCCAGATGTCTCTCCCCAGTCCATTTTTCAGTACACCGCGGTCATTGATGATAGTTCCAGGGACACCGCTTATCAAGGCCAACACGATGAAGTAATCGTCCCAGGAAAGAGGGTAAACAGTCAAAAAGAGCTTGTAACCGATCCGAAGGACTACGCAGACGGCTGATAGAACCCCAAGCGTGGCGTTGACTGTCCGAAAGACAGGGCCTCTGTCTCGTATAGGAGCGTTGCACATCGTCATAGTGAGATTCTTAGTCGCTTGTGACCAATTAGAACAAAGAAGTGTAAGGCTTTCGATGAGACTTACTCAGTCCTTCCTTCATCGTGCATCGCTGAAGTATGCACGTTTCGACGCCATGGCGAGAGTTTGCCAGGAGGTTGGCACAGACGCATGCTCGATCGTTCGGCGGACACGGCGACTCTTTGAGTGCAGCAGCAGCACATGGAAGCTATGGGATCATTAGCATAACGAGCCATTAGATCTTCATGATTGCGTGTGTAACGATGGGTAGCGCAGCAAGAGGGGGAACACTCAGGTAGGATTGGACGAATTATAAGATCCTATCATGCAGGTGTACGAGGTGGAAAAGGAACCTACCGCGCAAGCGGGAAGTAGCGTGAGCGCCGACTCTAAGTCTGTCGTCTCCGTGAAACCGAAAGGAATGTAGGAAAGTAGAAGGAAAAGAAGGCTGAACAGAAGCTTCATTATCGCATTGGAACGAGGGAGCAGTCAACGCAACGGCGACAGCATGCAGGGTGAAGACAACTGCGGAAGGATGCGACAGGTGTGAGAGTTGAACACTTTGAAGTGCACTTGGCCGGAAGGGTCCATCGCGGCAATCCACCCGGTTGGCGACTTGATACTCTACGCTAAAGTGCACGCTAAAGTGAAACTCCCGGGCCTACAAGGCGCGTGGGAACATGGATGTGGGGACGGAAGTATGGAATTGCTACCATATCCGTACTGGAACGCCAGGGCAGGCGTTAATCGCCACACCCATCTCTATAACTGGCAGTACGTAACACGTACTGTGCTCCGCCGTCTATGTACCTCCAAAATGTCACTTTCTACTATATAAAGCCTTAGTTGATCGTAGATGTGTTCCTTTCAGATGCTGCAACAATAACTGCAAGGCCTTTGTTATGGAGACAAAAAAAAGGTGTGAAATATGAGGAAGCTGGGGACATCCTAGACTTATCCAAACCCTCACATTTGATATATGTAGTCTCCCTGCAAAAAGTAATATTTTATTCACTTCTGACGAATACTACATGGGACGGGTGGTGAACCTTCGAAGCTTTCCCATTGCACTTCGAGAATAAGTGGCGACTCCCTATCCACACGAGATCCCGGGGTCGGGTCGGCGATAGAACCGTTCACGGAAAGGCGGGCTAACTGCAGCTGTCCCCGAGGCCTGCCGAAGAAAGCCGGAAGATTTGTTGAGGGCTTAGTATCGTGTGCGGAGGACTCCGGAGGTAATGAACAATCCGGTAGACCGAGTCGATGCACCTCCTTCTATGGCGGCATTACTCACGTCGTGGGCTGCAGTTCCTTCGGGGTTTACTCGCGTTAAGGCCCACCCTCTTACCATGATGTATTCAAGTCCGCGCGCTGTGAGCGCATTTCAAGTTAAAAGTGAATCACTGTCGACACTCTAGCTATGGTGACTTGCACGAGTCAGGCATCTCGAATTGATCGAATGGGCGAATAACTTTGTTTCGCCCTACGGGTCAAGATCGCTCGGAAAGGATTTCTTGGCCCGTCAGCCCAAATGATGATTGCAACCTTAATTTAACCTATTGCCGCACGAACGCCTGCACGTTTTGAGTTATGCGTTATGAGCATCGGCGTATCCGCCACCATGAAAAACTCCTTTCCCCAGACCCCCACAGCTTTGACTCGTCGCAGATACACGACAAGTTCCTCATTATTATTGATCTCTGTTGGAGCAACGCTGGCGCGCGGCTGTCACTGACTACCACAGGCCATCTATAGGATAGGCGAATTAGCGGGCAATCCTCACGCGACTCATCGCCGGGGCAGTGGCCCCTGGTACCATGATCTGCAAGGCACAATGCATCGCTTGGGAATCTCAATCTGGTATTCAAGCCGGACCCTTCTACTCCGTCTTTAAACCAGTGTACAAACGACTGAGCCGGAAGCATTATTGACAGAAACTATCCCAGGCTTTTCCTTCCATGAAAATGGTTATTCTTAAAACCCCACAAATACATGCAACGAGCTCCATAACGCGACACAGAAAACAGAAATAACTTCCCCCCATACAAGCCGGTTCGACAAATCATGATCCCAAAGTCTAGCCCTTGGAAATTCCAAAGTCTTTCAGCATCGAGAGTTCCCGGATGAGTCCTGACTGTGGTGGAAAATGGGGAGTACAGTGTAGAAAGCAATTGTGCTAAGGGAATCGCAGAAACTTGGGGTGGCCTTTTCTTGCCCCAGACATCCACCGCATCGTGTTCAGGTGCTGATCACCAAGCATCAACATCGAAAAGCTCCTCTGAGAAGTGAGTGACGACCACCGTACGGCCGGTGAAAGCTCGACCCGCCAAAGCCTTGATAGCCTTTTGGGCAGACTCGGGGGTTTCGTATTTGATATAGATCTTGCCAACACCGGGATTGACGCGGGCGCCGCTGGGACGAGGAATCTTCACCTCCAGAATCCGGCCGTACTTGGAGCACTCTTCTTCAACCTCCTCCTTGATCTCTGCCGTTGACGTTAGCTATCCTATTCAGCATAATCCCTCACAGACGGAAGTATACCTTCATATGAGTCTTTGTCCAATAGCTCATCATGAGTGACCATGTTCATGAGTACGAGAACCCGTCCAGCCTCCGGAGGACCGTTTGATTTAGAGCCGGCCAGCATAGAGATGGCACTGACTCCGCCATCCAAGGTTGCATCTTGGGACACACCCACAGAGGCTCGCTGCACTTTCAAGTTCTTGTCGCCGAGGGCAATAGTATTCAACCCCTCAATGACAGCATCGACCGTGTCTTGATTGACGTATTCGCAGAACGCGATACCCTGATCGGTCAGCGAATCGTAGTCCTTTCGTCTGAGAAAAGCTGAATGAAACCTACCCGATTCAGTTCGGACCCAATCTCCTTGACCACGACGAAAGATTTCAATTCGCCGAACGCCTCCAAAAGCTCCCTGATTTGGGCATCCTCGACGAAAGGAGGGATGTTGCTAATACTGAGCTTGTTGGGACTGTCTTTGACAATTGAGGACGCCCCATCCTCAGTTTGGTCACTCTCACTGCTGCTGAGAGGGGCAATGTAATCCTTCGGACGACGGATCGAGAGCCCCGGTCTATCCGGATCACCCGCATCCTCATCCATTTGAATTCCATCCAAAGCGAGAGCCATGGTCGCATCTTCTGGAGCTTTGAACTCAAGCAGAGCGTAATCGCGGTTCTTGGAAACGTGAGCTGAAAGGCATGGGTTGTCTCCAGAGACAACGTTCAGCCCATTGAGCTGGAGATTGAAGAACCCAACAATCAGGTCCTCTGAGATATTAGCAGGGAGATTGTAAACAAGCAGCCGCTTCGCCTGCTTTGCATTCTCTGGCTTGAGGGCCGAGGCAGAAGCGGATCCTGCCGCTGGAGCCATAAAGGCAGCAAGTTTGCTTGGGTCCATCGGTGCAGCGCGTGGAGCACCCGGAAGGGGGAACATGCCGGACAGTTTAGCTTGCTCTGCCGTGATATTTTCATACCCAGCAGGTTTGATATCCCACTGCGTCATGCGGCGCGGACGCTGCAGAATTGAGACAACGTTGGTAAGATCGGGCGTGGGCTCGCGCTTCTTGTACGGAGGAGATTGGGACTTCTTCCTGTCCCGTCCTCCAAATCCTCCACCAAACCCGCCGTCCCTATCGCGGTCACCGCGTCTGCCGCGTCCACCACGGTCAAGGTCTCGATCCCCACGTTCACGCCTGTCGCCATGGTTGCTGCGATCGTCATGGCCCTCCCGTTCCCGTCGTCCATAGCCGCGGTCATCGTCACGGCGGGGGTGGTCGCGCCTCGAGTAGGAATCGCCCCAGGCTCGGTCCTCGCGCCTCTCACGGCGGGCGTAAGTGTCCTCGCGTTCGCGCTCACGGTAGTCCCGGCTTGAGGAATAGGTGTCGACTTCGTAATCCCGGCGAGAGCCGTGGCGGGGTGACCTCGAGCGTCGCCGTCGCCTGTCTCGATCATCATCGCGCGATGACTGTGCGGTCAGCTCATGTAGTTCTGATGGGAGCAATGGGGTCTCACATAGTTTCGCGCGCCGCTCTGCCTGCCGCCGTCTGTTGATGTTAGTATAAATTTGAGCTGCCACAAAGTCAGCTGAACTGTCACTGACGACTCCACCTACCTCTAGAATAAGTATCACCGCTCATCCTGGGCTAAGCGGCCGCAGGTGTTGCGATGTCTTCGCAAATGACTCCCTTCGCGGAAAGTTACTCTGTCGTCTCCACGGGAAGGGTCTGCGGGACAGCGAGTGCTTTTAGTGGGGCGCAAAGTGCAAGATGAGGCCGTTCAAGAAAGATAGAAGATGAAGCACAACGTTGTCTGTCGCGCTGAACAGTTGGCACCTCGTGTGTTCCCGTTGGTTTTTCGATGGCAATCCCGTCGCGCGTTGAGGCGGAAAGTCCGCGGCAAGTTGCACGCTAGCGCCTTGGCAGACATCCCTGCAGCCTGGGACTTGGCAAGGGACTCATCCAACTCTCCCTCACATATAACCATCTACATCAAGAACAACGAGTGAATGTAGGCTCAAAGTAAGGAGCCGCTGAATGATTGCACATGTCATTACGGGCACCAGAATGGCAGAGACTGCCGATTAGTCTCACGGAACTCTGCATAAACACTACTCTCCGTTGCGGCCAATCCTTCCGGTATTTTTATCGTCCTCAAGCCATGTGCGTCCCATGTCTAATAGTCGTATAGTTGGAGAAAATCCGCCGATGACGAATGGTCATGTACCCTGCATGGTCGTATCCTGACCCTCCGCCAGGACTCTGAATATCTTCACTATCGAGCCATCTTCCCTAACTCCACTCTCCCCTCGCCTCCTCCTTCCAATACCTCCTCGGTCGCGCCGTCCGTAGCACCAGAGGACGATGATACGCTTCAGCTAATCAAACACTACTTCAATTTGCGTCCGAATCTCGGTCGGCTGTATGAGCAATGGGCTGCAACGGATCCGAATTTCAGGAAACGAGCCCCCAGATTCGCTGGAGTACGCATACTGCGACAGGACCCCTGGGAAGCACTCGTCGGGTTTATATGCAGCAGCAACAACAACATCTCACGCATATCCAGCATGGTGGCAAACCTATGTCTCCATTACGGTCCACTCATTGGACATATCGACGGCGTGCCCTACCATGACTTTCCCACACCAGAAGCCCTTGCTCAACCAAGTGTTGAGGCTCAACTGATGAAACTCGGGTTTGGCTACCGCGCCAAATATATCTACAAGACTGCGGTCATGATTGCTGGCAAAGAGAACGGATTGGCTTGGTTAGATGAATTATGTAATCCGGAATTTCCTTCCTTTGGTCGCGAAGTCAAGAACGCAGGAGAGTGGAACGAGGGCGGTAGAGAGGGCTACAGGAAGGCACATGAGGAGCTTCTCGCTCTACACGGCGTGGGTCCCAAGGTAGCAGACTGTGTATGTCTAATGGGGCTCGGGTGGTCGGAGTCAGTCCCAGTGGACACGCATGTGTGGCAAATCGCGCAGCGGGACTACAAGTTTGGCAAAGGAAAACATAGTAGTCTGACTGCAACTACATATACAGCTGTGGCTAATTACTTCCGCAAGTTGTGGGGTAAAGAAGCGGGCTGGGCACATTCTGTGCTCTTCACTGCGGATCTGAAGGCGTTTTCCGAAAGGCTCGTGGCAAAGACCGAGATCAAGGACGAGCAGCTTTCGATAAAGCTAGAGGAGGACGCTGTAAGTACTGAATTGACAAGCAGCGCCACCAAATCCACGAGAAAGAAGGTCAAGCGCTCGGTCAGTGAGAGCGAGCATCTACTCTTAGGAGTTGAGGAGAAAACGGTGATGCGGCGGAGTAAGCGTCGAAGAACTTAGGAACACAGGGTTACCAGAGGTGAATCAACCCTGCGGTGAGAGCTTAATACCACCTGCATCCACTCCGCCTTCTCCACGCTTCGGACTTGCGCACGGATTCGCACCGTTTGGCCTCTACCCACCCTTCAAACAGCCAGTGAGAGCCAACACTTCGTACACATTGAACCTCCACACGACTCCTTCTCAACCCAACAACGAAGTATCTCTGCCTGAGGTGTCATCATGCGATTCCTTTACCTCTTGCTGCAGCCGCTCCTGCTTGGAGTTGGCAAAACTGCTTCACTTCCCCACGGGCCGGTCAATGTAAAATCAACTTTACTTGCTGGCAAGGATAACCTGCTAACTGCATGTCCAATAGCTCGACCTAGCCCCTCAAGTTACTACAGCTCCCGAGACGGCTATCAAGGTGCATGTCAGCGAGGACCCAAGGACCGTTCTTCCGCCTCCGAATACTCCCTGCAAACGCAAGTGCTCATGCACCCACGGCACACAGCCACCTGAGGGTCGCGTCTACTGCGGTTACTGCTGGGGCGTCGATCCAGTCAACGACATCCTCTATGGCTCTGAAGTTATCAAGTGCTCGCCTGGTGATTGCTGCAGCTATGGCTACTACGACGGGCGCTGCGATACGAATCACACCCAACCTGAGTACGACGTCTTCTGCAAAAACTCCTGAACCAGCCATGACACATGTCGACTGTCCCACATAACGGGATTTCGAAAACCGTCGTAGGAGACGCCTCATGGGATTTCCATCTGAGACTGTCCAGGGTGGTCATTGCATGGACTCTACAGGTTGATGTAGAACATCCGTTGGCAATCAATGAATTATCTCGTCCTCATTGCTCAATGGATAAGTGAAGTGAAGATAGTCGACCCGGTGATGTTCGTGTCAACCACTTATCAAGACATTCTGCCTTCCATGGTCTCATCACCTGCTCGGGGACACTGTCAGCTATCAATTGCAACTGATACCTAGCAATATTGCTACTCCACGTCAACTGCGCACTGTGAAGCCTCTGTTTGCGTCGCCCATTGCAGCGGAGAGATCATCAGAGTACAGGTAAATGGCGCCAAGTTAGCAGAATCAGAAGGCATGACGGTTTCTGTGTTGCACCTCATAGATCTTGTCATTGCAATTGGCGTCAGGCGTGTCCCCTCATCTGACCTAGGTCCGGTGGAGCTAAGCTTTGTAGTGGATCGGGAGCTTGAACCAATCAGCGCCAAGTGTGGAGTACGCGGGGAAGCTTGGGGTTGCCGGCATTCCGTCATGCAAGGTACACCACTCTCCATACTTTAACTCGCTCCCGTCCTCTAAAACTTCATTGACAGCAGTTATGGGCGGAGAAACTCACCGCAGGATGCCTCTTTCAAAAGAAGAGTACCCGCTCCTGGCTGAGCGGCCTGTAGGCAAACAAATCCAAAGCATCTACCAGTCACGCCTGCGACAGTTTACAGACAACGGGCAATACTATGCACAGGGACTTCTGCCGTATGTCTTTCCTTCCTTAGTCATGAAGAGTGCCATAAACTATTACCTGAATTTTCACCAGGCTGATATGGTACAGCAAGATCAATCCCGACCGTGCCTCTGGTGAGGACCATGTAAAGCTATCCGTCTACTCCCCTCCAGATTTATCCCGTCCCACCTTCAAAGAGGCCATCTCGAATTCTTTCAAACCCGCAAAAGTTGGAGAGTCTTTCGGACCCAGTTGGTCGACACACTGGTTCAAGGTCCAGCTTCGTGTGCCTGAAAGATTGTTGAAATACGACCACCTCGAGTTCGTCTGGGATGCCAATAATGAGGGGCTAATATGGACTGAGGATGGGGACGTCGTGCATGGGCTGACAGGAGGCGGAGAAAGGACCGAGTGGATCTTACCAAAGGAATACAAAGATGGCAGGGAGCACACGTTTTATGTGGAGATGGCATGTAATGGCATGTTTGGTAATGCCCCCGGAGGAGATAGTATCCAGCCGCCAAGCCCTAACCGGTATTACCAACTGCACACTGCTGAGATAAGGGCCGTCAATCCAGAGGCGAGAGCTCTATACTTCGACTTCTGGGAGATTGGAGATGCCGCTCGCGAGTTCCCTCAGGAATCGGCACAGGCGCACCAGGCACAGCAGGTTGCAAATCGCATCATGGACGCTTTCATTGCGGGCAATGGAAGCAATGAGGCCATCCGTGAATGTCGAAAGATCGCAAGAGAGTACCTTGGGAACAATGTCGACTCACATAAGATCTACGACGGTGGGAAGGAGGCCGTTGTAACGGGAATCGGCTACTGTCACATTGATACGTGCTGGCTCTGGCCATTTGCGGAGACGAAGCGGAAGGTTGCACGGTCCTGGTCCAACCAAATCGACCTCATTGATCGTTATCCAGAGTTGCGGTTCTGCTGCTCCCAGGCACAACAGTATAAGTGGCTTGAGCAAAACTACCCGAGCCTATTTGACCGAGTCAAGAGGAAGGTCAAGGAGGGCACGTTCCAGCCAATCGGCGGCAGCTGGGTTGAGCACGATACAAACCTTCCTAGTGGAGAGTCACTGGTTCGACAATTCGTTTATGGCCAACGCTACTTCGAAAGTAGGTTTGGTCAGAGATGCAAAACATTCTGGCTTCCAGACACGTTCGGCTACTCAACACAGCTACCGCAAGTCTGCCGGCTGGCGGGAATGACAAGATTCCTAACGCAGAAGCTGAGTTGGAACAACATTAATAACTTTCCACATACGACATTCAACTGGGTGGCATTAGACAACAGCCAGGTAGTATGCCACATGCCTCCAGCGGAGACATATACCGCAGAGGCGAATTTCGGAGATGTTAAAAGGTGTATATCCCAGCACAAGTCTCTAGACCAGGACGCTACCTCGCTGTTAGTCTTCGGAAAAGGTGACGGTGGTGGCGGACCGACCTATCAGCACATAGAAAAACTCAGGAGGTGTCGCGGTATAAGTGATCAAGTTGGACTTCTGCCCCGCATCAAACTTGGCGACTCGGCAGACGATTTCTTTGATCGTCTGGAGAAAAGAGTAGAAGACGGCCTCGAACTTGTGACTTGGTATGGCGAACTATACTTCGAATTGCATCGCGGAACGTATACTACGCAAGCAAACAACAAGCGCAACAACAGGAAGGCCGAGATTATGCTGCGGGATATTGAGTATCTGGCTACCCTAGCCACCATCAAGAATAACTTTGGGAAGAGAAGCTCATACAAGTATCCAAAGAAGGACATCGACGATATGTGGGAGAACGTCTTGCTTTGCCAATTCCACGACTGCCTACCTGGCAGCTCCATTGAGATGTGCTATGATGATTCGGACCAGGTGAGCCAATCCTCCAGCACATTGAACTTTTCTAACAGCGGTAGATATATGCCCAGGTTTTCAACACAGGAGAGGCGCTCCTGTCAGAAGCGCTCGCTGAGCTGGGCTTTGATAAGTGCCCAAAGGCTGGGCAAAAGATTGTTGCGCTGAACACACTTCCCTGGCCACGAACCGAGCTCGTCAAACTTCCCTCAGTCGCCGATTCGGCACCAGGTTTGCGTCCTGCCGTCTACGGGCTGGCGCACTGCAACAGCAGCGGCATCATGGACCTCAGGCCGCTCACATCGCCATACTCAACACTAACGGCCCGCATTACGGAGCTTGAGAATGGTGGCTATGAGATGCGCAATATTCAATACGTCGTTCAGATCGTCAATGGCGCCATCACATCCCTCTATGATATCGACCACCGGCGCGAACTCATCCCCCAGGGTGCGAAGGCCGCTCAGCTCGTCCTCTTCGACGACAAACCCCTCTACTGGCAAGCCTGGGACGTCGAGGTCTACCATCTACGCTCGCGCACTGAGCTCCTTCCACAGAAAGTCAGCATAACAGAAGATACACCGTACCGCGTGTCCGTCACCATTGAAACCAAGATCTCCGACGTATCCCACGCCACTACCACTATCAGTCTCCCCGCCGTCGTCGCCGACAGGCCATCCGCCATCGAGATCACCACCGAGGTGGAATGGCAGGAAACGATGAAGTTCCTGAAGGTTGAGTTCCCCGTTGACATTGTCAACACCGAAGCCAGCTACGAGACGCAATTCGGCGTCGTGCGTAGACCCACACACTACAACACTTCTTGGGACATGGCCAAGTTCGAAGTGTGCTGCCACAAGTGGGCCGACCTGTCCGAAGCAACGTACGGCGTGAGTATCCTGAATGACTCAAAGTACGGATTCGCGGTGGCAGGGAACACGATGAGACTTTCGTTGTTGAGAGCTCCCAAGGCCCCGGACGCACATGCGGATATGGGAACCCACAGTATGCGGTATGCGATATTTCCGCACAAGGGCTCGCTGGACGAGAAGACGGTGTACAAGGCCTTTGAGTTCAACAATCCCATTAAGCTGGTTGGTGTGGCAGATGCGACGGGTGTCTCAGCGACCCCTGCGTCTCTTATTACAAGCGTGAATTCGCAGCTCTCGACGCACGACCTGCTCTCCTCGTTCCGCATTCTGCACGCCCCAAACCTTATACTGGATACGGTCAAGCGCGCCGAAGACGATGAGGACGTCTCCCGTGGGGAGTTCCCGCTCAAGCGTGGGAGGTCCGTCATTGTGCGCTTGTACGATGCGCTGGGAGGGAAGTCCAGGGGAGTATTGTCGTGGGGTAAGTTGCATGTGAAGAGAGTGAGTAGGGTGAATGTGTTGGAGGATGAGTTGGAAGATTTGACCGTCAATATGAGGGAGGCTGTGGACGGCGGAAAGGGAGTGGAGATTGAGGTTCGGGCGTTCGAGGTACTGACGATGAAGTTGGAGTTGGAGTGAACAGGGAGTATCTGGTGGAGACGGGTCAGTAATTGGAGGTGAGCGCACTTGCGCGCGGCGGGGGAAGTGCATTCGTAGCGTTTCTTGTATCGTCGGAGGACTCATGAGGATATACGTGAGCATAGGATTATCACGGAGTGAATACCAATCCCAACCGGAATTGTAAACGGAACGATCTTGCCATCGTCTCATGCTGAAGTGACATTGCGTTTCAATAAGAGAAGAAAAGTAAATACGTCTATGGGATATATACTCCAAGCCCACTCCCCTAATACCTATATTTATGGAAAAAAGATCTATGTACCCACACGTCTCAACGCCGATAAATGCTTGTCGAACACAACATGCTAACAATAACGTAACGAGCGGGAACATTATATAGAATGTTCATCCCATCGTACCCACATATTTGGTATAATATACTCACTTACCCCGTCCGTCTCGATCTATTCTTCCTTCCTCCCCTCGGGCCAGCGCCCCTTCAACTCCTCATACACGGTAAAGATGAACGCCGAGCTCGGCACACTCCTCGCACAGGTGATCCCGCAGCCCCTATACAGACCCCTGAGTCCGTGTTGTCTCCATATCGCGCGTCCAACGGTACTAAAGGTGGACCTCGCTTCTCCAGTCAATGCCTTCACTTCCTCCGTCTGCATGCGCGACTTTACCGTGTCGGCGGGGTAGAAGAGGAAGTTGTAGGCGACGCCGGCCGCGGCACCGGCGAGCATGCGCTGGTAGACGGGGAGGTCATCGTCAGTCTTAGTCTCGCCGGTAGTGGAAGAAGAGCGCCGGAAGAGCAATTTCATTCCTTCGAAGCCGCCGAACCAGGCGACGCCGCCGCCCGTCTCGCGGATCAGGGTGCCGAGTTGGCCGTGCCAATACCCCATAAGGCCGTGGTGCCTGTAGATTGAGGCGATGATGGCGGGGATGGTGGGTTTGCGGAGGGTAGAGGCGGAAGCGGAAGACGAGGGTCCCTCGAGCGGGACTTGCATTTTGCATTTTACGAGCTCGATGGGCGTGAGGAAGAGGGATGTTACCGCTCCAGAGAAGGCGCCGCAGAGGAGGAGAGCGGAGTAGGGGAGGTCGTTGGATGTAGTGGAGGGGGAAGGGATGAGGCCGGAGGCGCGGATTCCGTCCTGAGCGATGCGGTACTGGATTCAAGGTTTGTTAGTCTTGGGTTTCCGGACGAGTGCGACGTAGGAGAGTAAGGAGGGTTTTGTGAAAACTCACGCTGAAGAATAAACACGCATTCTCCACCGCTGCACCCACCAACGGTGCACTGATTCCCCTATAGATGCCCAAGAACCCATCCTGCCTCAGCGCCTGCTTGAAGCAATCCAGCGGTCCTGTGTACCGTAACGGGAGGTGATCTGGCTGCGACTGCAGGCGCACTTTGACCGTGTCGAACGGGTACTCGATATATTTTCCTACAATGCCTGCTGCAGAGCCACAGACGACGTCTTTAAGGGCTTCGGCGCCTTGGTTGTGCGCTGTGGTGGGGTTGATGGTGGGGGTAGTCCTGTTAATGCCGGAGGAGTCCAATATGAGGTTTTCTGAGAAGGGAGCTCCGCTCCCGTTCACCGTTACTGCGGGACTGGGATTGAGGTCCATTGCGTTGTATGGGAGGGCAGGGTGGTCGTGGTGCTCGGCGACGTCCTTCTTATATGTACCTGGAGAAATGCGGATCGAGCTGTAGCGAAGGAACGGATACGAGGCGTCGTCATAGAGCAGCAGCAACAAACATGGCTGCCCGTCGTGCGTATTATATTAGAGGAAAGGTGGAAGAGGAACCGGAGTCCTGCGCAGAGCAGAGCGGTGAAGAGGGAGCGCGGAGCCAAAAAAGCTCTCTAACCCAGTTATGCGTTGTACATGTGGAGCGGCCTCGGGACGGTTCAATTATTGAAGATTTTTATTCTATGCGGGCGGACGGGCGTGTACAACGTGCAGTCGTCGCAACGTTGCACAGGTCGAAAATCCTGTTTGGGGAGGAGCGACGACGACGATGTCGGAGCGAGAGGATCCTGCCTCTCCTCTCACTCTCTTTCTGAGGCGATTTGGCACTTTAGCCTGGACCTGTTACCTCCGTGCCGGAGAGGGTGTCGGCGACGATCGCTACAGAGAGCGGAAAGGCGCGGTGCTGAGGTATATGTATCGGGGACCGTGGGATACGAGGTTGAGGGGAAAATCATCCGCCAGGTCCCCGCCTCGCACTTACGTCGTTCTTTCAGGTTTCCTCTTGTCTAATCTTATCTGATGAGATCTGATCTCTTTTGTTGATCGCTTTGAGTGGCCCGTGCAAGGAAGGCGCGGAATGCGGCGTCGCGAGGCCAGAACCGACCCGGCAATTTCTCGGCCAATATCTTCGTCAAGGCGTGGGAATTGTCAGTATTTCCGCTCAATAGAACCTGTGACACATTCACTGCGACTAGACTTTCACTAGATCCGCCTTTCGCACGCAAACATGTCTGCAACCGCGGAGACGAAGACAGCGCCGGCCGCTGGACCTGTCGCCGTTCAGGGCATGCGCAAAAACGGTACGTTCGGAACCGCAAATACAGCAGCTGTAAAGAGTCGCAACACTGACGCGCTACAACCAGGCAAGCAATGGCACCAGCCCAAAACTGCTTTCAGGCCTACAGCAGGACTGACACCCTATGCCCGCCGCGCCGAGGAGAGGAAGGCGCTTGCCGCCGTGAAGGCAAAGGAGAAGGAGATGAAGGATGAGAAGGAGGCGGAGAGACAGGTGCGAGGCGCCATATCTGGCGAATCCAGTGACCGCTAGTGCTGACTGACTTGTAGCGACGCATCGAGGCTATCCGGACGAAGCGTGCTGCGAAGGCCGAGCATGAACGATACCAGCTGATGGAGGAGAAGATGCACAAGAAGCGTGTGGAGCGCTTGAAGAGGAGGGAGAAGCGCAACAAGATGCTCAAGTCATGATTCCGCTGTCTTCATAGAAGAAATAAAGAAGAAAAAGGAGAACTCCAACAACCGTCGTCCCGACAGCAGCCCTGCCTGGGAACGTTCCGAAGTACTCCGACGTACACCAGCACACAGAAAGGCGACGATCTGTGTACGAGGGGGTTTCAGAAAAAGTGGAAGAGACACACAGGCCATTGAGGGGCCTCCACCAGACTCCCGACTTCACTTCGCGTGCCATGGACTTGCGGGGAAACTTTGGCCGAGAGGGCACTGGTCAAGAACAGGCACATCCGCAGCCATTCCTGACATGGGCAGTTCACCAAGATACCCTGACCAAAAGCTTGTCCTGCAACCTTAAAAGAAGCGCAATTCAAGTTGCTACGTATTCAGATACCTAGGAGATATTCACATTTCTCCGCCTCAAACTTCACGTCTATCCTATATACAAGCCCAACGTGATGTGATGTCCATCCCATCACCCCGCCGTCAGTTATTTACGACTTCCCCAGGATCCACAGCTCACCCTGGGTGGTGTCACTGGTCATGAACAGACGCCCCTGCTTATCGAAAGCCAGGCCGGCAGGCCTGAAGCAGCCGGAGCTGAAATTGGGCCCTTGGCCCTGACACTTGGAGACATCCGGGTTGTAGAAGATGTCCTGCGCGGCATCGTTGCTCGTGAGAGGCGCAACAGGCGTGTAGTTCCCATCGTCGCCCTTCTTGAACTGCACCGCGACGAGCTTGAATCCAGTGGTAGGACTACGGTTCCACGATCCGTGGTACGTGATGTACATGTTGGTGTTGTCGGGATCGAACTTGCAGTCGATGGGAGCCGAGTGAGGGAACAGGGTAAGCTTGGGAGCCGTAGCGCGCTCTTTGCACGTGTCGTCGTTGAAGCTGCTGCTGGGGGCTTGGACGAACCAGTCGCCAACCTTGAACTGCTTGTCCGTGAAGTCGGACGGTTGCCAGACGGTGAAGCACGTCGGATAGCCGTACCAGTTGTTGTTGGGCTTGGTGACGTCGCCCATGTAGTGGATCTTCTCGCCAGGGTTGTTGTTGTGGATATCCTTGGATTGGCCGTTGACGTTGCGCACAAATTGGTCGCCGCTATTCTCGACACCCCAGAGGCTGTAGAGACATCAGTCTATACTACATACAATTGAAAGAAATATCAGGCGCTTACTGGTTGTTGTTGTCAAAGGTGATGCCGACATCGTTGCGCTGACCATAGCCTGCGTTCCAGCCGCCCGAGACATAGTTGTATCCGCCACTGGGGATCTTAGTCAGATCGAACACCTTGATGATGGCACGACCTGTCTTTGGGTCGTTGGTAGGCTGGTCGATGTTGGAGTTCGAGCCGTGAGAGACGACCAAGAGCGGCTGGGTTGGGTGCATGGCCAACGTGCGCGTCACATGGCTACCGCCGTTGTACATGCCAGTGATGATAGTGGAGCGCGTTCCCACGGTACCAGCAGCATCATCATATGGCCAGGAGTACACCTGCGTCATAGAGCTGGCATACAACGTCTTGCCATCAGCGCTCAGGGCGATACCATGATTCAAGCTGTTGAGCGATACCAGCATCTTTGTCGAGGTGACACAGCCGCTGGCATCGACCTTGTGATATGAAATGCCCTTGGAAGCCTGGACGACGAGCATGTTTCCCGCGTTATCGAATTGGATGCTTCGCGGGTTGGTCAGCCCTCCAGCGATTTTGGTGGCCTTCCACCCGTTTGCTAAACGGCTCTGGAATGCCGGGTTCCCTGCACCCGAGCATGATGAGGGGATCGCGGCCGGCCTCTGTACGATCGAAGTAGCCGAAGGCTTGATGCTCGTCACAACGGTAGTGGGGATGGGCGTTGGAGTGTTGCTCGGTGCTGCCACATTTAACAAATTAGCCTTGACTAACTGATCAAAGTTGTCAATACGGGCAGCGTTCAGGTCATGGATCCATTTGCCATAGGCCTCGTGGACGTTGAACATGGAGGTGTTGCTGGCCGGGTTTTCGACTCCATTGGCACCATAGGCCCAGGCAAATTCGGTAGTGCCATTGAACGGTAGGTAGTATCTGACATCCTCATTGGATTGCCATCCCGTGCAGCCCTTGCAGAGCGCAGTGATTGTATAGTGGGTGGCATTAGCCTTTGTCCCCTTCATATAGAAGTGCTCAGCGCCCTCATACGGCTGGGGAAGCGAGATGCCACTGTCAATCGTCAATGCATGCTGGAGTCTGCATGTTTGAAAGACATACTAGGCAAAGCGTGAAGACACAGTTGTTGTCTTGTCGTTCTTCCATGCAACCGTGAGTGGGTTCCATACCATCTGTCCGCCCCATGCAAAGCCTACCCAGTAGTGCTTCACGGGCGACGTGATGGTGATGACGGCATCATACGGGTCCACCGGGTTTTTGGGAAGGGCAATACCAATGTAGATATCGGATTCCGGATCCTTGTAGCCCGAAAAGCAGATCTTTGTTTCTGGGTCGCAAGAGACTTTCGAAACTGGCTTACCCTCTTGAGCGAGCGCTGTAGGAGCTTAGCCAATGTTATAGGAGAGCTATCGTGAAGTCATACCCTGACCGCTAAGTGCAAGTGCACTGCCGACAACTAGGAGGGAACGCATGGTGTGCAGTGAGGGCAGATGCACAACGAGGAACCAAATGCGACTGCTCTACGCACTGTGCCAGCTCCATCCCTTTATGTGTAGACACGATGACCCCGGGGTGGCGGGTTGTGCCTCCCAGGGAGCCATGTGGGCGTACACTTTGATCTGTCTATCTCTCAATTTGGAACGGGACGTTTGATAAATGTTAGATGAAGAAGCTGGGGAATGGTATACAACAGAATATCTTCTAGCCAATCTTGAATCTTGAGATTGCAATTTAGACCGGCAAATCCAAGCTTGCCAATTTGTTGACGTCTGAAATGGATGTCGTCTGGTCTGGATAAGTTTCAGCCTGGGCGTGGTTGTGGGGCCTTGCTATTGATTGGATGCGCCTTCTCCAACGACAAGGGTACACCATCGCTGTTCTGATTTCCCAGTTGACTTCCCCACATACAGATATATGACCATAAGCCTTACCTGGACCCGGATTCGATCTGTGAAAACCAGTCTTCTCTTGCTGAGCTTATTCCTGGTTTGTCTGAGGAATAAGCAGCAGGATAATCCAGCCCCTGAACCTGTGCCTGGAGAATGTGCGAGTAGAATCCATGTGTGCGTATACACGTGGGACATATAGCATCAAGATCGAGTGGTGAACAGGCGCGTACTGGTACCTGGTCTCCGTCTCGGCACTTGATCATGCGAAGGGTTGCCACATGCCCGAAGGATACTCAATCTAATAACCCGAGCACCACCACCCCAGGGTACTTTTCCCGGGCAAGTTTCCAGAAGGTATTATTGCGCCGATGGTAACCCAATGATGGTGCGAAAACGGTTAGATGACGCGGAGAACTCTATCGTGGTTGTGTAATACCGATTTTGCAGTTGCGTACGGATGTAATTGGATCGCATGGTCGCTGCCACGCTGTATACCGTGGCACAAAAGCCTGCCAGTGTACTGGTTCCTTGACTTTCCAGAAAGGCCCGCCTTTACACGGAGTCCAGGACCTTATGCTGGAGCGATGACAGATGGAAAATAGCGGTAACTTTTTCGATATCACTCTGACTTTCCAGTAGCTGCTCTTCAACAAAATCCCTGGTGGCCGTGAGAGCGTCGCTGGCAGCCTTTGCCCACGCTGCGGGAACTGATGGTCCAGAGGACACAAGATGACTTTCGTCTGACAGTCTTATGAGAGATTCCGACAACTCCTGATCTGCTGCTGTTAGTCGGCCTTGCAGATACACGGTCTGCTGCAGTAGAGATCGCTCATTGCTGGCAGCTTGAGCGATAGGAAGAAGATACGGGAAAGTGAGACCGATAACGCTGGGGTCGGGTGTTCCAACTGGCGAAGGTCCCGACCGATCAGCTTCAGAGTGCGAGACAGGTATGCCGTTGAGGGTAGCGTCTTTTGCGTCCAACTTCCCGTGAGTGACAATGATATGCGAGCGCGATGCGGTATAGGCGTTATAGGTGTCCTCGATGCGCGATCTCGCAGCGTGAATATCAACTTGCTCAGGCATAACAGACGTGCGCTTGACAGGCGAGGCATCCTCAAGAAAATCCGACTCTTCATTTAGCTTCCCCAGTTCGCCTTCTATCCATTCCACAAGCTGATCTCTGGCGCAACTAAGGGCATAGACCTGTTGTGCTAAGCTTGAATTCTGAGAATCTTGCGGCTTCGCTGAGCTTTTGGCTGACTTTGCTTGGTCCATACTGGTTTTGGCTTCGAGGACCTCTTTCTTCAATTTGAAGATGGAAACTTCATTGTCTGGATTGATTGTGATCTGGTCCAGACGCTCCGCAGGAATATCTGGTTGCTCACCCACGATCTCTGTGACAAGTGCCTTTAGATCCTTACTCCCCTGGATAGGCACAATATTGACCAACTTCTCTAGCGAGTTCTGAATGACTTGGAGCTCCGCAAGACGGCGCCGCTGTCGTAGTAGAGAGAGATAGCTTGCCGTGGCCTCGCGATCGAATGCCGCCTCATCGGCTACGGGCGAATCTTCAATATGTTCCTTGCGAAGCCTATCGAGCGAGGCCTTGAGTTCTTGATGCCGCGCTTCTGCTTTTCGTTGCGCATCAACTGCTTGCAGATAACGTAATCGAGCCCCTTTGAGCAGGGCAGCCCGAGCGTTTACGCTACAGTCGTCCTGCGGACATGCAAGGTCCACATGATGGAGGGCAGCTTTCTCAGATTTGATATTCGAGAGCAGATGATCCGATAGTGCTTTCCGTATCCGTGTAATTTCATGTGTAGGGCGAACATAGGCAGACAATACTTGGTCAATTTCTGGTATTGGACACTGCCTAGAGACCGCCATTCTGTCTAGCGGTTCGCCTGTTCCGTACTCGAGAGTCATGTACTGTCACGTTTCCGGTTGCAAAGGATGGTGGGAAGATGGAGGCCGAGTGTCGGTGCATTGAGCGAGTTCAGAGCTGACGATTGTCAACAATCTATGCCTGATTAGGCAGATTATGTAAGTGATGCTTCCATCACGTGACCCACTCTGCAATCCACTTCGCCCCCTCAAAGACGTTTTGCTGGCGGCTAGCTTCAATATACTAGTATACAAAGCTGTCAAATAAGACAGGATTTGTTTCTGTGCAAATTCAGTGTCTAGCCCTAGCTATCATAGAAATCCACTACCCCTTTCCGCTTACTCATCAACATGACCTCCTGCAGCTGCGCTTTATGTTATATAATATGCTGCCTAAAGTATCTCTCTAACAAGTACCCATTTTACTGCCGAGAAATATTAGCAATGAACATGCAGTCATTTATCTAGGTTCTGTTGGTTCCGTTGGTATACCCTAGCTTCACTGCCCTATGGTCCCATGGCACGAGTTACAATAGTGGTGAAGATCGAGCCAGCTCACATGGGATTAGAGACTCATATGCAATTGATGTCTTTATCGAATTAGGGTAACATGAGCTAGATTACCTTTACCATCTCTAGCGCGATTAACCATGCATTCATTGTCTCCACACTGACAGTTCCAAAGTACCCTATGAAATAGCATATCACCGTTTGCTCACGTACCATTGCAGGAACAGTCCTTGTTCGTCGCCAGAATCATCAAATTCACATGTCGCTCGCTGGCAGGTCGGTATCCGCCGTAGCCATTCAGCAACTGAAGTCCTCATGGTGTCGCAAAAATCCACTTTATCACAGAGTATTCCCTTTCTGTCGGCAACATTCAGTCGCGAGACTCGCGCTCGCAGCGAGATTGAGAAGTCTTGTCCTCCTTCTCCGGAGAGCGAGACCGGTTGTCCCGACGTCGAGAAGAGCCGTCGCGTCGGCTGGACTCGTGTTCCGAAGGACGGGCATCTTAGGCAGGGGCCGGAGACGGCGGAGTGCCCTGCGACGGCGAATTGGGCAGAGACGAAGAGCGCTGGTGAGCCGCAAAAGCCGCAGTGCGCCGAGCCGTCAAGTATGCCTGCAGAGTAGGAGCGTCCGGGTTGACGAGGTTGCGCATTCCCCTCACAGTGATCCCAGCATCGACACTGACGTTGAAGCGCGGATAGCGGCCGTCGACCCGATATCCTTGACCGTCAGGACCACCTTGATATAGAAGGCGAAACATCTCAGCGGTGATGAGGGTAGGGTTAGCCGGTGGCGGAACGTAAACGGTGTCGTTCCCATGGATGTGGATCGTGGCGTTCACTGCAACGTTGACGAATGGAGGGTCCGATGAGTTCGTGGTGCCATCCGCAGCATTATTGGTTAAGTAATTGGTTGCATTCAATTGCGAGGAGTGCATGCCGCCGTGGCCGTTGTTCCGGAAATTCTGCTGTCCGTCACCGTGACCGTTGGAATTGGGAGATTCGGACGCGGCGGGAGGATGAGGAGGCTGAGTAGCCCCGTCGTTAGAAGACATGTTTCCGTACTGCAAAATATATAATGTGTTCGAAAACGGCAGATATGGTTGTGGTTGTAGTGGTCTTCCGGCAAGGTTGTTTGAGGTTAAGGAACAGCAAACGCGGAGAGGTTGCCTGTTTGCAAATCCAGAGACCGACTTTTGCGGCTTCCACGGCCCCACTCTCGTAGGAAGTTCGGTGACACTTCCCTAGCGTTTCTGATGCTTTCACACTTGTCATCCAGCTCTACCGCTTTGGTATGACTGCATCCGCATTTCCAGATAGCATTCCTTCCTCAATGACACTCCCCTCTGGTCGTAATATGCATTGGTTTCAGCAGGCTGTCCTCCACAGCATTGTTTAACTGAAGTCCCCTATACCCACAATGAGAAGCGACAGGTGGATGTGAGGTGCAACAGCCGTTAGAGCAGGACAGGTCACCTGTCAGTACACTCATAAGAGGGAAGGCGGCGAAGGTGTTTTAAGATTGGTTAAAGGTTTTGCACCATGACAGGTGTGTTCGCATCTCCATTACAAGAATTGACGCTTCGTATCACGGCGACACTGCATGGGGTATGTGAAGGCACCTAAATTCCAATAACCAAGCCCCTGAAAACCAGCACCATATTTCGGCTTGAACTGCACTGCTGCCGCGCGCAGCTTGGGCTCGCTGCAGGGCGCTATTGCAACGCTCTAAGAACCCGAGTATAAGTCATCGTCGTTGTCTTTTTTATGGCCGTTGCGTTCCGGCGTCCTAGAAGCAGGTGGGTGCGTGTTCAAGCTCTCCTGGATCGCCTCTGCACCCTCCACGGCGGAGCTGGATTGGCTCATGCGGCGAAAACGCTCAGCATGCCCAATGATTGAAGCCTGGCGACGAAGTTGAGAAGGAGCCTGCTGAACGTCATCCGGGGGAGCATCGGTCACCGATGTTGAGCAGTAATGCAGCGAAGAACGACCTTGGGAAATAGAGACTTCAAGAGGTTCCCGAGCACGAGTCGGTGGGGGTAGCTGGACGGTTGTGCTGACACGCCGAGCAGGAGGGTTGTTGAGTCCGGTCATTTGCCTGTAAAGATCCATATCGCGGGTAGCGAGGATGTTATTGCCCGTCAAGGTCACATTGGCGTTGATAGTGAGGTTGATACGAGGCGACGGCCGCGAACGTTGCGGTTGGCGTTGACATACATGTACGTAGCCTGCAAAGAAGGGCGCAGTAATCCGCTGATATTGTTAGGAGGAATATGAAGAACCTCACGGTCCCCTTGGATGTGCGTACCACGATTGACAACGATGTGGAGGCTTTCTTGGGAAGAGTCGGTGTCGTAGTCGTCGGGATCAGTACCATTGTATGGGGGAGACTGAAGACTTGAGTACGGGGGAACAGTTTGGTCGCAATCATCCACGAGGTCTGGATCTTGTTGGGGCGTGGTGTTGTTGGTAGACATCATGCTGAGTTTGTGTGCATCGAACGATGGTGACGAGCGTGCAGTTGTCTCTCACCGACGTTGTGAGAAGAAGGTTGCGTTGGGAACCGGACATTGAGGCAAACGGTTTGTCTTATATGGTTGTTCCTGGGACCACTGAATGTGGCGGCATGCCTGGCGGTGTGCGTTGCGCACTTTCACAGTTCCTGGAGCTGCTGTCGCAATCCGCCCGAGATCTGCCCTGCCGATTCCCTGTAAAAGTTTGTTAGTGCTAGAAGCACCTTATAGCATCTAGTAAATGAACTCTGGAAAATATGTGATTTTAAAAAAGACAGAAAGCCAAGATTCCGGACCAGAATATGCCATACACTATCAGGCGGCTGAATCGGTAATGTCTGAGAACTGTAGATGGGCAAATGAATATATACGTGAGGATTGATCACCGATACAGACACCTCCATCTCCATCACTGACATCCCAGCCCCAAATGGCGCCGTTATTTCATACAGACTCCAAAAGCGCCCAAAAGCACAATCAAAGCCGTGACCGTCATCAGAATACCTCCCTACGTCCCATGTCTCTCAGCACCATACATAGCCTTGCCGTGTACCACCTACGGATCGCAGTATAAGTCCATGTCATCATTCATGGGCTCGCGAGGAGTGGTAGGAAGTTGCGGGGTCACAGAGCGAGCCCGGCGGATAGCCTCTGCTCCATTGCCAGCGTTGGCGGAATTCGTCATTGAGGCCGAGTGGTTATCCTGGGAAGCGGGTTGCTGAGAACGTCCGATGGCAGGTGTTCGAGGACACTGTTGGTCCGCCTGAACCTGAGGGGCGTTTCCAGCGGACGTGTGCACATTCGACGGTCGGGGAACCACGTGTGTGGAGGTGGGAGCAGCAGCAGTAGGCTCGGCAGTGTTACCTTGCGGCATCGTGCGGCGAATCTCGTTGATAAGTTGACCATCTGCCGTGGCGATGTTGCGGGTTCCCTTCATGATGACATTGGCATTAATCGTAATGTGGGTACATGGACGTCGACCCCTGGTGTTGCGAGGGATACTTCTGTAGACAGATTGCAGGACATTGGCCGCGATGCTTGCAACATCGGGTAGATGGACGACATCGCCGTGTCCTTCAATGCGCAAGTCGTTGTTGACCGTGACATGAATGCTGTCAGTAGAGGTGGAGTCCGAATCCCAGTCGTCCGGATCAGTACCATCGCGAGGAGCCAGCTCCGTATACCTGGGAACCGGCTCACCGCTATGGCCGTCTTGGATGGGCTCTGGGTCGGGCTGGCGCGAATGTTGGGTGGTGTCATTGTGGGACATTGTACGAAGATTCTAGTTTGTCGAGTTGTTGAGTGAGTGGTTGAGTGACGTTGTCGTTGCCTCTTCGGAATAGAAGTTGTCAAGAGGTTATGTCAAGGATAAACGTAGCGTAGACCTTATATATGGGGTCCCAGCGCAAAACCATTCTTACACTTCCCATTCCCGGTGCAACAGCCTTACGCGACAGGATGGCGGTGTGCGCTGCGAGCTTTCACCGATCCTAGGAGCCTGCTCCGGCGGTGGGGCCTGAGACCGCCTCCGACTCTCGCTGTGAAAGGTGTTATCGCCACTGCCGATTTAGTGAATAGGGCACCTGAGCAAACACGCTGAAAACAGCCCTGCAAATCAGAAACGGAAGACCTGAAATTCTTTCGACCCGTAGATCGAGAAGTGAATAGAAGCATAGAATTTGCTCCGCTGTTTCAGCAGCCCCAGAACCGTAGTGATACATGTACCTACACAGAGCGGCGCTGAATTCAGATCCGAAAAGACTTTACCGCTACCCAGAACACCATCCCCAAGTTCCAGCCTATGAGACAGGCTTGACTTCCAGGGTGCCGTTTGTGGACTCCATCTTGACCTCGTTTTCACTTTGTAAAACCTCAGGACGCCATTTAATGAGGAACTTCCTCGCAGACGGTTTTGCTCTATCATCTGGGACGAGGTTAGTCAAAATGTATTATCACGGATGAAAGCGAGTAGTGTGCACTTACTAGTCCGCCACATATCCTCCAGAACATCGACACATATCGACCGCACGGGTGGCCTGAACATGTAGAGATACTGCAACACGAGAATGGCAAGCTCTATGCGCTCAGGGTCTTCGGCCATTCTCTTCATCCGTTGCAGGATCTCACGGTCAATCTCGGGAATCTCCGACATGAAGCGTACAAGAACTTTGTCTGTGCCTTCGATATAAGCGACAAGACCGTCCAGCAATCTCAAGGCGCACTTCTTGTAGTTCCCCCGAATGTCCGGTCGCGATGAGCCTTTGCCGTTTGACACAGACCTGAAGTTCTTCTCGGCGGCTTCAGCGTGTAGACGGTCGTTATACCATTCCTCGTTCAACCAACTGATAGCCAAGTCAAGGCGCCTTTTCCAGTCATACATGATGTAATTGTAGAGTCCATCTCGGATTGCCTCGGCGAGGGCGAAAGATCCCCTCTTCGCGATGCGACCATATTCCGCTTTTATACCTTCCTCCGGATCATCGAGACCGCTGGGGGCGCGTGTCGCCAGGCGAGACATGATCGTGATCCAAGAATCTCGGTCAAAATTGCTCGCAGCGAGGCGATTGAATCCACCTTTTGGCACTTTCGTCTTCGCGGGCGGCTCTTCCATTGCGGATAACATACTGAAGGCTCGCCGTATGGTTTCCTCTCCGTATCTTTGGACTTCTTGCTCCGTTAATGGGGGTGCGTCTGGTAGCTTATAAGGTGCAATGGTTGCTTCCGGGAGAGCCCTTCGGGCAATCTCGTCGGGTCCTACACTATCGAGCCGGTTGATGACTTGCTCCGCATCTTCTGGCTCAAAATCCGGCTCATACTCCTCTTCCTCGTCCACCGCAGCCGTGATGTTTGGCGGCGCCGCATGCCGAGACGCATCTTGTAAGTATGTATTATAACGGGCCCGTACCGCCTATGTGGACAGTCAGCACAGACCTCTTACATGCAGCATCCAGCTTACATTGACGGCATTGTTGAGTTTGGTTTCGTCAATTGAATGAAGAACAGACACCAATATTCTGACGAGTTGGTCTCGGTCCTGGAAGATCTGTACATCGAAATTTGCTGTGCTGGCAGTCGGGTCCAGGGTGTATAGTTGACGATAGCTCACAGGGCCTGGTGGAAGTGGAGGGTAGGTAGGCTCCTTCGTAGGAGGGAGAGTAGCGCCCAGTCGCTGCCTCTTTGCGGTATCAAGTCCATCTGTTGGTTCGACCGGCGCCGGTCTCTTTCGGCTGGCCTCATCGAAAGCATCCACACGCATCCGGTGCATGCGCTCCAGGTATTGCTGAATACGCACGTTGACACTACTTTCCGGGTTTCTGAACGGGTTAGTCTGGGGACAGACCATAAGTTTACGGACCTTACCTCTTGAGCACGTTGACAAGCAATGCCCGCGTGGTCCTCTCCAACGACCTGATCAGGACCTTGTTCTTCGGGGTCATGGGCGAGTTTGCAAGCTTCAAGGGATTGAAGTTGAGCACGCTGTTTAGGATCTTGTTGGCAATGACTGGTCGGCGTTGTATAAGCGCACCCAATGTGTTTAGGGTGGCTGTGACAAGCAAAGCATCGCTGGTCACCGTCAGGGGTATTCCAACAGATGAATCTGGCCTATCTAACCTGTAATCGCTATGTAGAGTGTCCAAGAGCCGGTCTAGAAGCCCGGAAGCTTCTGCCTCGAGGTTCGCATACGGTATTAAAGGGTGATCGCGGGGTACGTGTGAGAGGGAAATGTCGTTCGGATCTTGACGCTGTGAACAGAGTGAGATTGTGTGAGTGACCAAGGGGTACAGGGGACTATTCACCCTCGGATCCGCTGTCTGTCCCGGGGTCTGGACAAGCACCACTTGCTGGACAAACTTGACACAGCATATTCGCACGCCTGGGATCGCAGAGTCCATCCGCCGCAGTATACTCGATTTGATCGTCGACATGATTTGCCAGCTTTGCTTATCGTTGGGGTCGGAGATACTATATACACATTCGACCATGAGCATGAGTTCCGGAATGTCGCGTAGCAAGGGAGCTATTGGGAAACAGAAGCAATGGGAGTCGATTGGGCAGAGCCATGCCAAAAGCCATGTAATACCAAGCATGATATCTAGAGGAGGGAATACGTACATATGTCTGTAGACTAGAGGGTATATGCATGCCGCTGCTTGTATTGCGCTTTTGACGATGCTGGCATCGGTGGCTTCGACGAACTCATGGAGGGTTGGAAGCACAGTCAAGGCAGATGAGGCCTTGACATCTGGCGCCCACGTAGGTGAGGCAAAGGTCTCTGCCAGAAAGTCGGCGCCCCAGCGCTGTACCTCCAATGTTGCATTTGCATTGACGCCAATGATGGGGAGCACGCCAGGAATGATGGTGGGATAGTATCTACCGTCCCCGAGAGCAAGACCGCGAGCAGCCTCAAGCTGCGCGAGACTCTGCGATGAAGAGCCCATGATGTGACGAGATAGTGCAAAGGATAGGATTAGGCGTTTGGAAAAGCTATGCTTGGTGAGATTGCCCAGGTGCTTTCACGCGCCGAATCAAACTGCAAGCGCAACAAAGCCCGACCTGCAGATGGAAGTAGGTCTCATTCCCTCCACGAGAATCCAGTATTGGCAAAGCTGTGGTCGTGCGGGGTATGCGGCGAAGGGATATCTCTGTTCGTATGGGGAGGGGGCGGGGAGGAGGAGGGGAAGAGTGAGGGAGTTGGTGATTGATTGATGATGAGCAGCTGCAGTACTCCGTACACGACCTCAAGTGCTTCGCTTGGTGGAGCGCGTGAACCTTGCCCAGCCCGTGTGGCCCGTGCGCAGAGCCGCAACACCACCGAATGGTTCCGAATGTTCACGATTCCAGATTGTCTGTCCCGCGCCTGAGCCTTGTTCATTGCCGGTTGCGAGCCTGCTGTCGCCATGCCTTAGTATGTCCTTGATATGTGATTTGCTGGTACAGGTTATCTGATATCTGACTCTTCCAGCCGACCGTTCCAGTCGACTTACTATGACGCGAGGATGCGGGCGTCGCCCGCTCTGCTGCGTGCGCGCGCCCCATATCTTGTCAAGAACACCATAACAGGAGCGGCGGTCTGCGGTATTGTCATTAGCATCTGTGAGTGCAGCTCTGAATATGCACCTGCCATAACGCTCGGAAATGCTAATGGCTACAGACGCATACACCATACATGCCATTTCCCAAGACGAGTTCGAGGATGTCATCGTTCCGGCCGAGCCTATCCGAAGACCTCAAGGGGAAGCGCCCACCAATACCGAGAGCTTGTCCCACAAGATGCAAATGAGGAGATCGTAGCATCAAGAAGACGGGCAGTCAATAACGAAGTAGCGGCTGGAAAAGGGACCGCCGCGAAGCCAGCGAGTCTCGGCAGTATGCGCAGGTTGTAAATATCTGTATTATATTGGAATACAATGACGGGCGTTGGCGTTACGTGGAATGGAGGGATTCGTTATGTCGGTGCAGCTCGTTGCCGTCCGTTCATCATATGCGGTCATTTCTTATTTTCTACTAAACGGTGATAGAGAGACTTGGGAAGCTTCTCCACATATATCGAATGCTTCGCCGACAACACCAATGGAATATTTAGACACCAGGTGCACGAAATTCAAGGCGCCTCACACGACTGCCACGCCTACTGTGTACAAGGCGAACGGATCTCCCTTCTCCCACCTTGGAACGTGCCGACGGTTGCCAAGCCCGGGCTGCAGTGATACTGAGAGCAAATGGACCCCAAGGCAGACATCAGGCAAGATGCACCAGCATAATAATAATCCTCATTCAGCTCTAGGCAACCCCCCACTTCAGACTCCTATGCCGCGGTCCTATTCGCTGATGTCTAGGTCCCATTGCAGCATAGCTGACACACCTGTAAGGCAGAAGGCTGAGTTCCGGTCAGCAGCTGTGGATTTCTACATAAGTATATCAACCTTCATTTCCACTTCTTCCTCGTCATTCATCTCCACGTCTTCTTCGCTTTCTTGTCTTGCGGCGTGTTTAATCCGTTTGAAGAGATTCGTATATGACCTCGCAAGTGGACGGCGAGTCCTGGACCATCATCCCCTCCATCGCAATGGCTTCTACCATTACTCCAACACAGCCCGATGCCAAATCCCCAGCGACGGAAACAAATGCTGGAACCTCTCCCGACACAATCGTCGAGACGGAAACTACAGACAAGAGTGAACTTGAAAACACTGCAGAGGAGGATACTTTCACAGCCAAACCCGACCCTGGAGACTCCAACACCGCAGACCAGCTCGACTACGACGATGAATTGGACGGCCCCATCCGCCATCGCCGCGTTCCCATCTATCCCGGACGTCGTAACTATTCACCCAATCGGCCCAATCCCGTCTTTCTGCGCGCAAGAGATGAGCCAGAACCGTTCTGCATCCCTGCCATCCACTCGTCTGCCAAACTGCTCGCTCAGCTAAATACCTACGACGGCGTCGTCGACCTTCCCTTCCCAGCCAGGAGCAGCGTCTACCTGACCACTTTCCCCTTCACCCGCCGCGATGTCATCAAGTACTCCGGCCTCTTCGCTCACCCCGCCGAAGGAGTTTTCATCTCGGAGACCAAACACACGCTCACCGAGTTTGACGAGTACCCCGTGTACCCGAACAGGCCTCCCCGAAACCGTGGAGACTACTATGACCCCATCCCCTTCGAGGACAACCTCCCACGTATTTTCCTCTCGCGGGCGCTGGACACAGCCGTTGTTCCAGAGGACAAGGGCGCAAAGTTCTGGATCGTGGTCCAAAGTCGTCAGAGGCCCAATGCGCGCAAGCTGCTTGTTATGGAGAGTAGGAAGGCGGCGGGGATTGTTATCTACTATGAGGCCTTGAATGGAAATTCGGTGATTTTTGTGGGGGCCGTGTTGGGGGAGAGGAAGACTGGAGCGGGGATCAAGATGAAGAAGGTGGACAGTTTGGAGGAGGCTGTTAAGGCCCAGGAGGAGGGAGTGGTGGGGATCATCTGCTGAGGAGGTTTGGATTGGCCGGGAAGAGATGTTTTGATGTAACGGCCTTGTTTGCGCGCTGTTTTGGCCTGCCAGTGTCGCGATTGGGTATATGGGCAAATTGCTGCGATGTGTCACGTCTTTCTTGTATCTCAATGCCCAGACATTATGACCGTCATGAATATCCTACAATCGAAATTGGGTCTGCAACCTACAACACACTCTCCTATGTTGCCTTGTCCTCGTGATCCTGCTTCACCCCAAACGTATCGCCTCCACTCCGCAGAAACTGCTTCTCCTCTTCTGTCGATTCTCTTCCAAGTGCTCCATTCCTATGCGGATACCTCCCAAACCTATCAATGATATCCTTATGTTTCCTGGCAGCATCCACTTCCGAAGCAATAAACGCCCGCACCTCTTCCTCCTTCTCCTCCTCCGACAACTTCCCCAATATCGTCTCGAGCCGCTCGTGCGCCTCCGGGTCCTCGGAGTGCATCCAGGGCATGTAGAACCAGTGTCTATAACCTATCGAGTCCTTCCAGAGCGGGTACTCATCGATGCGACCGAGCGGGGACTTCGGCGCCATGAGCGCATCAACAAAGCCCTTGGAAATGACATCGTAATGCGCATACACCTTCCGCAGCCCCTCACTCGTGCGAAACAGATTCCTCGACATCTGATCCAGCAGAATCACCAAGCTCAGCGCCGTCCACGCAGCCTCATCTTTGCCCCTCGCTGCTACTCTTTCGTCCGCATTCCTGCCTTCCAGGATATCCTCGATTTCCCGCAAAAAGGGCTCAGCGGACGGATTCGGAAACCTCTCTGGGGATATGGCGTCGAGGGCTTCGCTGAAGTTGCGCGCGCATACGGAGTCGAAGGCGTCGCGGTCGTCGCCGGCGAGGAGGAACCACCTCTTGAGGACGGAGATGTCGACGCTGCGTTTGGAGAGAGGCTGGTCTTTGAACCAGATGTCTCGGGCTCTGTGGTACAGAGAGGGGTTGAAGACGGATTTGGGCAGGGTGAAGGTGGACATTTTGCGGGAGAGCTGGGGGGGCTTGAGGACCGGTTGTTGGTGTTTAGAGAAAGTGTTGAGGAGTCGCAGCGGAGCGGGTGTTACTAGGCGGGTGAGCATCTGGCGGTTAGTTGGATTACTGAGGGTCCTGGGTATTTATATAATGCAAAGATCAGTTCCACCGGATTGTCAGGCTGAAGTTCGTCTACGATGTTCCGGGCTTGATGAGGGCTATCCACGAGTGGAGACAAGAACAGCAGATCCCAGAGCTCGAGGGCGTCGTAAGGTATGGCCCTACGTTATAAAGTAGGTACTAGATAGCTGTGTTTTGGACTGTATCTTAATGTTATTAGACGGCCTCTCAATGCTGGATGTGGCTGGATATGTTGGCCAGCTAAGACAAGCACCGAGAGAACCCCACCCTCCCCCGGTACCTCACCCAAAGTCCGACTTCGCGACAGCCGAAGCTCCACACCTCATTCCCTGCCAAGGACTTAGCCCTGCACTGGCGTCGCAAATTTTTATCAGATGGATCAGATAATCTAATCAGATCCCGTAGATCACTCCGGCTGCAGTTCTAGGGTGCGCGTACGCCCAGTAGCCTTCATCTAAGGGCGGGACACTATCCACGTCGCACTCTAGGGACGATCCCGTTGCAGGAAGGTCCATGGAGGGCCGGTAGCGGAGAAGTGGGGAGGGGAGGGATGTGTTTGGTCGGATGGACGCCTTTATAGAAGGCGAGGTACCCGAAGCTGTGTAGAGTTTAGCACTGGGGTTTCCCTATCACTTGTCATTTTCACTGGAAGAAAGAAAAAACATTGTGAAGATCGAGAATCATGGCCAGTTCGGAAGAAGTCACGCTGAACGGCCTTGCGACGAAGATCGCAGAGCTCGCTGACACGTTGACGAAGACGCTCAAGGAGAACAATGTCCCTCTTTGTACATTCGATGTGGATAGCCCCGTATCTTACGATTCTCCCTCGCCAGATATCTACATGCAGCGTCAGACTCTCATACAGACATGCATGGATCTGATATACCTGGCCCAAGGCCCGCGGGAGAGCATCTTCAACTACGCACATTCGGTGAGTTACCCGCTCCTCGGATCGAATACTCCAAAGTAATAGTAACCGACCCTCTGAAGGCAATGCCCGATGCCGCCTGTCTTAACGTCCTCAACTACTTCAACTTCTGGGATGCCGTACCACTGGACGGCACCGCCTCCTACGCCGACATTGCAAAGCACACCAACCTCCCCGAGGAGGTCGTCAAACGCTTCGTAAGGCATGCCTCAACGCTGCGAATCTTCGAGGAGACGGAGCCAGGCAGATCGGCCTCGCGCGTCAAGCACTCCTTCCGATCTGCGCCACTGGCTCGCTCCAAGGGCCTACGTGCGTTGCTGACTACAACTTTGGAACTGTCCGGTGGGCCATTGATGGCGCTGCATTTCGCCTTGGAAAGGTATAGTCAGGGGAAGCCTGCGCTGCCGAAGAATATTGATGAGACGGCGTTTGCGTTGCTGTACAGTGGGGGCCAGTTTGGGAAGTTCAAGAACACGTGGGAGATGTTGGAGAATGACGGGGAAGGGGAAAAGAAGGGGTGGAGGCAGAGGGAGTTCACCGTCTTTATGGATTTCTTGAAAGAGATCTTCGGCCTGGAGGGCGTGGTTCTGAATGCGTACGACTGGAGTGCTCTGGGGAAAGCAAAGGTTGTTGATGTAAGTCATCACCGCTCCATACTCTTCGACATACGTACACAGTCTTCTGACTCCGTATACAGATCGGCGGGTCGGCCGGTCACGATGCCTTCACCCTGGCAAAGAAATTCTCCGACCTCGAGCTCGTGGTCCAAGACCTCCCTCAAGTAGCCCCAGTCTTCGAGCAGAACCTCCCCTCGGACCTCGCATCCCGCGTCTCATTCATGGCCCACGACATGTTCCAGCCGCAACCGGTCGAAGCGGACGTCTACCTCCTCAAACTTATCCTACACGACTGGCCAGATGAGGAAGCCGTCAAGTTGTTGCGTGCTCAGATTCCCGCTCTGAAGCCTGGAGCTCGTGTCATCTTCATTGAGTATGTAGGCGCGGAAGAGGACAGTGAGGATGCGAATCAGCTGCCGCGGATAGTGAGGGGAATGGGGTCTGCTACGGATCTGAGGGTTATGGCACTGTTTAATAACAGGGAGAGACCGGTGAGCGCTTGGAAAGAGATTTTCAAAGCCGCGGATGAGAGGTTCGATGTCACGAGTGTGAAGTCGAATGCTGTGGCTTTTTATGCGGTGGTGGAAGCTGTCTGGAGGGGGTGAACTAGAGAATGTCTGGGGAAATTTAAAAGAGATGAAGGGGATAAAACTCTGTTCAGCAAGTAGATCGGCTCTAATAGATCGAACGTATTCTTTTTACCCTTCTCCGATATTTCGCATTTGGTGGTTACTCTTCATATTCTTGCACCTGATGGACCCACAACATCTCCCGCACATTATTTACACTTTGTAGGTATATTGCGATCCCAATGCAATGGATCGCTGGCTCCTCCACTGGGCTCTCTGCAGTTGGAGTCAATGGCGAGCCTACAACTAGGTCCCCCACGAGGTATGGAAAATGGAATGATGGCTTGACGAAGCACGATGCTGGAAATTGCAAGTCATTCCAGCCTGGACTGTGAAAGGCGACGCCTCTTGCGTCCCGATTACTTGGCGTTCTCCTGAGTCAGCAGTGGCTAGACATGTGAGCCGCTGAGCACGACGACAAACTTCCGAGGCTTCGGGACCGCGGCTGTGAAAGAAGAGGCGACCAAGCCTTGGTCGCGCTACCACGGCCGACTCCGCAATCCACTCCTCCCCACACTCCGACCTCCTCTCAACCTCCATCTCGTTTTCACTTTTCCTCCTCTGGGCTCAAGTGTTCTGGCGTTATTGTGTCGTTGTTCTCCTTTCTCAACCCTTGAAAAGGCGACCGTCATCGTCCCAGTCCCCGCAGGTCGCCTCCGTGTCAACGTCACCACGAGCGGTCTCTCTAAAGGGAACCTGACTCGACTGCGTTTCCTATGCTTCGCTGAGTGGCGACCGTATCAGTAGAGATGGCAACTCCATCACCACCGAAACCCTGGGAAAGAAGCGGTGGACAGACCAGCGCCTCGGTTGGTGAGTTGACCTCCATCAGTCCCGGCGCATCGGTGGGCTAATTACTTTGCAGGCCTTACGGGCTCAAGCACAACAGCAACCATGCCTACGACCACATCAACAACCTCCACATCGACCTCCACATCGTCGTCAGCGCCGCCACTGCCTGACCTACCAAGCTCATTATCTTCGACTGCGAACCGCAATGCCACAGCCTACTCCGCCATGAACGCAAACCGGTACACTTCGCCCTACGGTGGTATGGGGGGATATAGTTCCTATTCGTCACCATACTCCACATTTGGAGGCGGATATGGCTCCATGTATGGCGGAGGTTATGGCGCGGGCATGTACGGCCGGATGGGCATGGGCATGGGCGGCATGTACGGTGGAATGGGCATGGATCCAAACCATCCGCAGAGCCTCACGCAGTCGTTCAGCCAGAGCACACAGGCAACGTTTCAGCTGATTGAGAGCATAGTGGGTGCCTTTGGAGGCTTTGCGCAAATGCTGGAAAGTACCTACATGGCTACACACTCCTCATTCTTTGGTACGTTGTCGTTAGTTAATTCGCAGGATCAAGCGCTAACCCCTCCGCAGCAATGGTATCAGTTGCAGAGCAATTTGGCAACCTACGGCAAACCCTGGGTTCCGTCCTTGGTATCTTCACATTGATGCGCTGGATACGGACAGCCATCGCAAAACTCACAGGGCGGCCACTTCCAGCCTCCTCGAAAGAGCTCACGCCAGCCAACTTCGCCGCCTTTACCGGACGCCATCCGGACGGGAGTCCCGTAGGCCCCAAGCCGTCGAAGAAGCCCTTCATTATGTTCATGGTAGCCGTGTTCGGTCTACCTTATCTCATGGGCAAGCTCATCAAGGCTCTTGCCCGCTCACAGGAGGAGGAAGCGAAGCGGAGGATGTTGGAGAATCCGCAGACTGGCGAACCGCTTGACCCGAACAAGCTGGAGTTCTGCCGCGTGCTCTACGACTTTACGCCCGATACCAACATGAACTCGGTGCAGGGACTCGACCTTGCAGTAAAGAAAGGCGACATGGTAGCAGTACTCAGCAAATCAGATCCCCTTGGCAACCCCTCCGAGTGGTGGCGATGCCGCGCCCGGGACGGCAAAATGGGCTATCTTCCAGGCGTTTACCTAGAAGTGATCCAAAGGCGACAGCCAGCACAGATTACCAGCGGAAGTCAAGCGGGCAGTCCACCGGCGAGCAGGACGGCCACTCTGACTGATAGCAAGGTTCAGGCGCTACCACCTAAAGTTGAGGGAAAGATTGGTGACATTGGTGTTGAGAGCTTCCAGAAGGGCGCATACTATTCCTGATCATTGAGTCGTTAGAGCTCTGTTTTTCTTCTCCTTGCATTTTTGTGCATATCCGGTTTTCATTTTGGTGCGTTTAGTTCCAATTCCCAACGGAGTGAGTTCATTCACGAGATATTAATGGTGGGTGGTATGGGTGTATTTCGTCCAGCGTAGAACTTGGAAAAGCTGGCTGTGAAGCGCCTGCTGTAGGGCTGTCTTCACTGGCAATTGACACTGTAAGAATGTCAGTGGAAGTCCGTCAACTTGTTTTCGCAGATGTCCTGACATGTGTGTGGTTAAGTGCATCTGGAGAACCAACGCGACCAATCATCCCCACAAACATATACACACCCTACTCCTCTTTCACCACCGAGCGTACAATCCCCTGTGACTTCTTTGTAGGTTAGCTTACCTATTCGATGCGGCTCGATTGGCTACAATTGAAATTTTGCTGTTAGTTGGAGATTCGCTTTGAGGCTTATTATTCACCTAGATAGAGGCGCTACGTAGCTATCGCAAGGCCTGTTATATGGTGGTTTCCTGGCTGCTCAATCCGACGTTGGAAACCTGTGATATTGAAGGTGTTCAAACCATTACCATTAGGAGATACCCTGCATGGTCAGGGCCTGGAATGCAGGTGAGTGTGGGGGAGCTTTCCTGATTGGCTCATGCTCTGCTTGTCCGTGAGGTCACAGTAAAGCGCGACGACGAACCTCCAAAAGCCTACACAAAACACTTGACACAACTACAACCCGTTCGCCTCCTCCGTTTGTCCCATAATTCTGTTCGCGACCTTTCCACATGTCTCTTTGAGTATATTTGCAGCGTGAAGCTCCCGTCGATTTTGTGCCCCGCTCTTTCAAACCCTGGCTGTCCTACTGATTTGATACCTTCGAGTTTTACTGTCGAGTACAAGCTGCATTATATCGTGCTTCCAGGCGATTGAGGCGACATGTTGGCATCAAAGAGACTAGGGAAGGTATGACTGTGACTCCCACGTCTTAGCAATTGCTGACATGTATCGTACGTAGGAGTTGACAAAGGTAGTCTCCAACTTGGACCTGGCTTGTAAGAAGCTTACGAATGCTTCCGCAGATGCACGAAAACCTCGCGCCGGGTATTACGAAGATCAAATGCGACGACTTCCAGGAATGGCTCATGGACATTCGTGTCGACGATAATCCGCTCTATCACGGCGAGGTTTATCGGTTGAAATTTACCTTCAGTAATGGCTATCCCATAGAGGTAGGCCTGCTGTTCTCTCGTGAAATCACGATCGATATGCACCTATGCTTTCCTTCGCTAACGTGCACCACACTGCTTAGGCTCCCGAAGTAGTCTTCGTCCGCGACGAGACCCACCCGATTCCCATACACCCACACATATACTCAAACGGAATCATCTGCCTGGACCTCCTCGACAAGTCGGGATGGAGCCCCGTAAACAATGTGGAAAGCGTGTGCGTAGCTCTGCAGAGCATGCTGGCGAGCAATACGAAGAACGAGCGGCCGCCTGGCGACGAGGACTTCGTGAGGACCAATCGGCAGCGGCCAAGAGATATAAACTTTGTCTTTCACGATGACAAGGTCTGAATTGGAAGCCGAGACTCTACCATATGGCTGCCCGGAAGAAGGGCTTACTTGATCATGCCTTGAACGATGATTATGAACACTGGTACCTGGTTGCTTGGGAGCGAATGCGTTAAGGTTGCATGGCGTTGAAGGAGGTTTAAAGGAGTCTGGCCGGGGTACCAAGCATTGCTACGTTATGTGCGAGGTCCAACTGCATGGTACAGGCAGGGCCAATGCGAAGGCATTGGGCAACGTCTGTTGCTTCCTCCATGGCTCATGTATCGGAGGGCAGCATGAAGATCTGACCCTTTTCCTACTGGGCTGACTCTTTTGCCTACCCGATCTCTAATATAGAATCCTTATGTTGAGGGTCTGCGTGACTAGATCCCGAGTTCTCTGGAAAAGTAGAAGCAATGAGCACGTCTCTTCGATAGCATAGATATTTCTGGCCGCCAAGCCGTTTGCGCCCGTTAGACTGGGCGATCCAATCGGAGAAGTTTGAATCATGCCTACCGGGAACTGTCTCCAGGTACAATCTTCACCGAAAATATTGCCCCCGAAATCACCGGTCGTCTGTTGGATGGCAATGTCTTCGTCGGCGAGACCCCTACCGGCCTCGGCAACGCGCATCGGACCGGAGAAATGAGTTGGCCGGAGGCACGCCGCCAAGAGTTCGAAAAGTTCAGACAAATTTCTGAGCTAGCGCAGGCGCTCAAAGTTCGTTCAATTATTAGACCGCCTTTCCCACCTCACCCTCTCTCATCCTACTCCACTCTTTCCCCCCTTCGCACTTCATACATACCGAAAACGCAACCATGAGTGACGAAGTTTATGACGGTGCCATCGGCATCGATCTTGGTGAGCCATAATGCGCTTCCAGTTTTCCAACAAATTTCGCTAACTGAACCCCGCAGGCACGACCTATTCTTGCGTCGCCAACTATGAGGGGACCAACGTCGAGATCAGTACGCACTCCACACACCTCGAAATCTAGGGAACCGTCAGAACTGATTTGCTTCGCTAGTTGCCAATGAGCAGGGTAGCTTCACGACCCCCTCGTTTGTCTCGTTCACGAGCGAGGAGCGTCTGATCGGCGAGGCCGCGAAAAACCAGGCCGCTATGAACCCAGAGAACACTGTCTTCGACGTCAAGTGAGAAATGTCTCCTCGAGTCCGTGATCGCGCATGCTAATGCTGCCAGGCGTTTGATCGGCCGACGATTCGAGGATGAGACTGTCCAGAAGGACATCAAGTCGTGGCCCTTCAAGGTCATCGACCAGGGTGGAAACCCCATGATCCAGGTTGAGTACCTTGGTGAGACCAAGGTTTTCTCGCCTCAGGAGATCTCCGCCATGGTTTTGGGCAAGGTGAGGTTTGCGCCCACTATCTCGCGGAATAAGCGTCTAACACCCGCACAGATGAAGGAGGTTGCCGAGACTAAGCTTGGAAAGAAGGTCGAGAAGGCCGTCATCACGGTTCCGGCCTACTTCAACGACAATCAGAGGCAGGCCACCAAAGACGCTGGTGCTATCGCTGGTTTGAACGTTCTGCGTATCATCAACGAGCCTACTGCCGCCGCGATCGCGTACGGTCTTGGCTCTGGGAAGTCCGACAAGGAAAGGAACGTCCTCATTTACGACCTCGGTGGAGGCACCTTCGACGTGTCCCTTCTCCATATCCAAGGAGGCGTGTTCACAGTCAAGGCTACTGCGGGAGAGTAAGATTCCCATGGTTTTTCCCCACCACCTTCAAATGGCTAATGGACTTCAGCACACACTTGGGCGGCGAAGACTTTGATCGTAATCTTATGGAACATTTCCAGAAGGAGTTCGTCAAGAAAACCGGAAAGGACATCAGCGGTGATGCGCGTGCCCTGCGCCGCCTCCGGACAGCCTGCGAGCGTGCCAAGAGGACTCTCTCCAACGCCACCCAGACTGCTGTTGAGATCGACTCACTCTTTGATGGCGAGGACTTCAATGCTAGCATAACGCGTGCTCGTTTCGAAGACCTGAATGCTAAGGCTTTCAACGGCACCCTCCAGCCTGTTGAGCAGGTGCTGAAAGATTCTGGCATTGACAAGGCCAAGGTTGACGAGATCGTGCTGGTTGGCGGCTCTACCCGTATTCCCCGGATACAGAAGCTTCTCAGCGACTTCTTTGGTGGCAAGAAGCTCGAGAAGAGCATCAACCCCGACGAGGCCGTTGCCTACGGCGCCGCGGTTCAGGCCGGTATCCTTTCTGGCAAGGCCACCTCCGCCGATACCGCCGACCTCCTCCTTTTAGATGTTGTTCCCCTCTCCCTTGGTGTAGCTATGGAAGGTAAGCACATCCCAAAGACAGTATCACGGACTTCTATTCTCCTATCACGTGATCGTTGCTTACGTAATATCGTTGCTTACGTAATCAACCTATAGGGAATATATTTGCTCCCGTAGTACCGCGTGGAACCACTGTTCCTACTCTGAAGAAGCGGACTTTCACCACTGTTCAAGGTTTGTGCTCGAGAAAACTAACTTTTGACCATTTTACTGACCCACCCCTCAGATGGCCAGCAAACGGTGCAGTTCCCAGTTTATCAAGGCGAACGGGTCAACTGTGAGGACAACACCTCTCTTGGCGAGTTCACTTTGGCCCCTATCCCCCCGATGAAGGCTGGTGATGCCGTCCTCGAGGTGGTCTTCGAGGTCGACGTCAACGGTATCCTCAAGGTTACTGCAACTGAGAAGACCTCCGGCCGCAGCGCCAACATCACCATCTCGAACGCTGTCGGCAAGCTGTCGTCTACTGAGATCGAGAGCATGATCAATGGTGAGGATAAGATAACTCCTTGCAGGCGGCTCAGTTACTAATGCGGTTACAGATGCTGCTAAGTTCAAGTCCAGCGATGAGGCTTTCAGCAAGAAGTTCGAGTCGCGGCAACAACTTGAGTCGTACATTTCCCGTGTTGAGGAGATGGTCTCCGATCCCACCACTTCCATCAGGCTCAAGCGTGGCCAGAAGGAGAAGATCGAGTCCGCTCTCAGCGACGCTATGGCTCAGCTCGAGATTGAAGATGCTAGCGCCGAGGATTTGAAGAAGAAGGAGTTGGCCCTCAAGAGGGTCGTCACCAAGGCTTTCTCCACTCGTTAGATGTGGCAATGAAGCATCGTGTGGTAAATGAAGTTCTTTGCCAATGATGTTGGAAGGAAAAATTTGGCTGTGGCATCTGTCTCCCCATTCTTGTGGGAGATGCAAGCAATAGACCGGGAGTTACATATCCTTCAGTTTTCCTTCTTTTCCTACGGCTTTTCTCCGGCATGGTGAGAAATGGATGGCTTTCACGGATGGAAAAGTATCATGTATCTCACTGCTGCGATACATGAGCTTCTTATGAAGCCGGGGCAAGATATGACGGCCTTGAGATTGTGTTTAGATCTGGGTAATGGAGTTTGTCCTTTTCTGATGAAATCTGATGTTTCGTGTTTGCCTCTGTGTCTCATTTTGATCTGCCATTCTCCCGTTGTAGGTCGCTGTTTCCATCTATGTGAGGGCTCCTATCTATATGACATATGTGACATATTTGGCTAAATCCCATGATCATTCCAAGGTTTCCATCTCTACTTGTCTGCCTTCACTCTCTCATCCCGCCTGGGCAGAGCGCACGACGATGGCCTGGCATATCCTCATTGATTTTCCTATGGTGATTGAGGTTCTCCAACGACGACAGGTACTAGGTAAGTGTGGAACAGCAGTCGAGTAGAGCCCGGCTACCTCACCCTCTCTCGTCTGGGTAACGAAGCTCATTTTCTTCTTGGCGTGAACGGTGCAGGACGCCCTGTCTTGGAAATTTCAACTGTGAGACAGGGAGCTATCGCAAATTTGGCGAAGGAGACAAGGAATTGAGGCAAGCAGTCTATTATGTAACTGACAGAGCCACCAGAAACCAACATGCAAGAACTTTTGTCTAATTGCTCATTCACTCCGGAGAAAGGAAAAGCCCCACCATGAAGCGCCGATGCTGATGCTCACAGTGAACCACTCCAGATCTATGACCCATCGATCCGATAACTTGTTGTACAGAATGGAAGCCTATGGCCCTGCAAACGAGTGTCTGGTGCCACTTGTACATCCATCAGCAATGACCATGCAAATATCAGAGTGTATGCTCACCATGGCCGTTCCCGTCAGTTGACAGGAGTGCCGCACACAGGGCAGCACTTTCCCGGGATGACCCAAACGGTGTCGCCACGTTCCAAGCACGCAGGGCATCGCCGACCAGGAACCTGAAGGTATCAGTTATCAGCAATAAGCTTTCATGTCAGGAGACCACACTCACTGGCCAAGTCGTGATGCCTTCACCCTCATGCATAGAAGGGGCGCAGATTTTGTCGCTGGAAATTCGAAGACACATTGTGTGGACGGCAGAACGTGATTTGAGCGGCAACTCGAAAAACTTCTGAAAGGAGTGAACGGTGTGTAATACTCGGATTACGACTGGGGTAGTGAGCGTTGAACTTAGGAGGCCGACGAGGATCGATGACTACGATATATCGGAGGGAAGAGAATCGACGTTTTATATCCAGCGACGAGCCTTTCAGCAGTCACTAGAATTTGCGTCTTCACTAATTAATTTTCCGACTGTCACGGCGTGCTAGCCGGTAGCCGTCTGCCAGTACATTGTATCCCCATGGAGAGATCGCATAGCGACATGTAACTGGGTACTAGCCCAGAACCCAGGCAAATGTGTTTGTTCCGCGCACAATATGCAGCCAACCTCAACCACAGCCCCAAGTCTCAGAAGGCGAGTTCATTCTAACGGCTGGTTGCCGAACCTTCGTGCTCAGAGTTCAACTAGGGCAGCCTGCCGTGGATTTGCATAGGGACACTGGAGGTATGAGCGTTTCGCTTGGAATGTGCCAGCGCAGGTAACTTTGCCAACAACGAAAGAAGAGCCATCTCCTCTCGGGATCAAGTGGGAGGTATCCTCCAGGCCTGGTCGGAACATGAAACGCTGAGTAGCTGGGCAAGCTCACATTTACGGGCGAATATTTTGGTAAACGCGGATCTTTCGACTGACCGGTAGACAGAAAGTACAGGTCAAAAGAATGGAAATGGGTCTCGTCGAGAGAAGAAAGTGACTTGTCACTTTTTCGCAGATCAAGCATGGGACGCTAGACAAGGAACAGCGCCACCCGCATCGAAGTGCAACCACGTCCACGGGTTATCTGCTCTGATGCCTCTACTTCCAACAAGGTCCATGTGGTCCCAGATAGTTCTTACTGGTCAATGCTACAGGTCCACAGCGAAAAGCACTTATGCACCGCCGTTGGTCTCGTTACACAACTCCATGCCATGATCCGGTTTCACCCCACGACTTTGGCATCAGTAGACCTCACGGATTGTTATCTTGGCTACTCGTGCTAACGGGTTTGTTCTTGATCTCACGCAGGGGTACCCGCGCCTGATACGTGAGTACTGTCCCTGGGTTGAAGATCAACAAGAGCTGAGCTAGATAGTAGGGGAAACGACAAGTACGTTGTAAAAGACTGCACTCTGGGAGAGGAAGAGTGACTATTGCAGCACCTTGCTGGGTTACTACGACTATTGGCAGGTGCCATACATGGCTCGACACTGCGAGAGCCTCCAGGCAATCCTCAGAGGTACAACATCATTCTCTAGCCCAACTTCCCTTTCAACAAGAATCACGAGGCATCGCTACGTGCTACCTTTGCTTCCGGACATTCCGCACCACAGAAGATTCTGTCAGTGTCACCCAGTATTTCCCGCATGCGAAGTGTAAGCCATCTCACTACTTCACCATCAGTTCAGCCTTCAAGACCGGCAATTCCGATTTTGACATTGTCGAGTTCTCTTAATTCCACAGTCTTACAAAGAGTACAGCGCCCTCGGCTCCACTGTTCAGGGAGATTTCATGAACCCGCAGCCATGGCCGTACGCGGCGTAACAATGTACCTCCTCGCCACACTGCGTACGCTCTCCGCGTTTCTAAACCCACCCGAAGGAAATTCGGGCCTGTCTAACAGCTCACTTGCGCAGAAATCGTATCTGTTCAGATGACGTCTCTGTTTCAAGCCGGACCCCCTGTGTTCTCGCTAGAAACGATGTCGCAATTTGGGTTCACTGGCACCAGTACACGAAACGCGGTTTTGATCCTATTACCACGGTCCTGAACAGATGACAATGGGTCTTGATTATACCTCTTCCGTGCTGCCGAGTTTCTGATAGATATTCCTCCAGACAGCACTCACTACATCTTCTCTTCAGTGCTGCCCTACTGATAAGTAATCCTCCAAGAGCTTCGTCTCAGATGTTACCTAGGTATGTTGGGGACGAAGATATTTCTGAAAGCCTTCCGTATAAACTCATTTTCACTTCGACATCCATGTCTTGCGACACCGATTCCCCACGGCCCTCTACATGACAGTTGCTTCGTGGGGGCTGCCTACAGTAGCGGATACGAAAGTTGCACATCACATACAATGGATATTGCGATACCTTGCTCCACGCTTTGTAAGTTCTTGTACCTTCGTGAAATTCTAATCTCACAGCCTTATCCGACACTTGCTTGGTGCCTGGATAACGACATATTCACTGTTCTTGCCTACGTTCTTTGTGTCTCCTACTGTGGTAGTATTCATAGAATTACCGTAATCTTTGCTCCTGATAGAGTAGCATTGCAGCCACCACCTAGTATCCGAAACTCGTGGTAAGGTCATTGCAATCCCGCTCGATTGCTCGATCTCATTATCATTGCTTGGCTTCCGCCACTTTCGCTCAACCATGTCTTTCTGTCTCTGTTCGTGCTTCAAACCAACCCCTCCCCTGCAGCTCGACACCACAATGCCTCCGGCATACCACCGTACGGGAGAGCGTAGTGTAGCCAGGCCCGCCAGCGCACATGTCCGGCCACCCACCGTGGGGCGGAGGTTCAACCGTGCAAGTGGACCGCCTTTCCATATTGTAAATCTTCCGCTCATGCTCGCTCCCGGCTGCAATGTATGAGACCAGCACTCGACCAGCCTGTGTCACATCTGACGAGACTCGGTTACCTCGAGCCCAGTACCCGCCACGTCTTGGGTCCGGTAATACACCCACGAAAATGTGGACTATTTCGCTTTTGGCGGGCTTTAGCAAAGTCATCTAGCTCGTGTACGCGTACGCGTACGCGTCCTGTCTGCTACGGGGAGGTATTCGATTTGTGTATCAACCGGAAGGAACAATACCAGCAATCAGACCTCTGTGCCAACGCATTTCACTACTGAGTTGTCCAACGACTCACTCTAAAGGAGAAGAAGCCGTGCGAGAAAATCATTCAAGTTACTAGCATAATTTCCATTTTTCTGCGCTTCACACGGGTCCGCATCCCCGACATGGATGATGCCTCGCAGGAAGCGGGGATTTAGCAATAAGAGCCCGTCTCTCTGTGAACCTGATCCCATTGAACGGAAAATGCTATGTGCCACATTGGCCTCGTCATGCCTCGTTCCTAGTCCACGCGTCTTTGCATGAGAATGAGGTCGAATGGGTTGCTAAATGCACGTGTCCGCCAAGTTACACTGACTTGACGGGACTAATCGTCTTCCTGATCCTCACGAGCAGCACGCCCCCGGTGATAACACCGTTGGAGTCGTAAAGATGCAGCATTCGGAGACCGGGTTGAAAGCGGTCGAGCCGGAAGCATGCCCAGGCGGCGAGGTCATCGCGAAGACGGTCGTCGTCCATAACTTTGAACCTTGGAGCGATGTTAGGCGTTTTCCCAAAAGCTTAAGGAATGACGAAAAACGGAGACTTCGAGAAAGCAGATACGGCACGAGACTGATCGTGGCCGAGACACTCAGCCCCTCACATCGTGGCTACACAAGCTGCAGCCACGTGAGGCCGTTTTTTTTGAGCCGCGCAGACGCTGCTTGCCGCTCCGATCCCAGTCCACTATGGAAACCATCCCAGCTCGCAGACGCACGACTCTGAGAAAGGAACATAGAAGCGAGAGATCAAATTTTCTCTCAACCCTACCCGGAAGGAAGAAAGAAGGGGTGATTGCAGACCAACATGCTTCCGGAAACAATCACGGAACACTGAAATGCGGAAAAGATATGTAACGTACCTGACAAAGGTCAACTCCTCAGTGACACCTCTGACGCCCTCAAACTTGATAATTTCCCGTCCCAAATCGGGGTTCTGCGAGTGCTGCGTCTTCGTCTTCAGTTTGTACTCTCCACCCTTTTTTTTCCCGCCTCCGGGAACCGGCTCGCCTTCTCTCTCCTCGTGCTTCTCAACGTGCAACTCGACCTTCACGTAAGGATGGAAACTCTTATCATCTTCTTCTTCTGGCAACGGGATGTCTTGACCAGCGATGAATTCTATGCTTAGGTCCAGGTTGTGGTGTGGGATAGCCGTCTTTTGTGTCGCTTCGTTGCTCGTGCTGCGATATCCTTCCGGCTTGAGCACCCAGCCGGCGGTGCCCGCAAACATGGCTTCGTTTTGCATCATGCCGCCATCCCAACGTTGCCAATTGAGTGCAACGATCTGGACTCCTGCTCTCCAGAATACTGAAGGGTTCAGATTCGAAGAGTTCAGGCGAAGTCCCTTTGGATATGCGCGCATGAAGAAGTGCTGGTCCGAATCAGGGGATGTTTATCACAATGGTCAGGCGAATCACCAACCTTGTTGTGCTTGAATAGTGCTGCCTGCTGGGTCTCATGAACCTCCATCAGAGCTTTCTCGGAGAGTGAGAAGACGTGTGTAGGAATCTTAGCTTCTATTTCACGGTCAGCGATTGTCACACTGAATGTAACCAACACATGCCTGGTTGTTCGAGGCTCTTGAAGGTATATCCGCCAGTATATATTCCCAGCTTCGCCAGAGCCTCTGTTATCTTGGCCTTCGGTGCAGGTGGCTTCTTCGCCGCATCCGGAAGGTCATCAGAAGAACTCGTCAAAGTCGAAGTAGCGCTATTACTCCTCCTAGGTTCCTCTGCGGGTGCCTGCAAAGTCGTTGGACGGGCGTCGGAATCCGCGGGGTGCTTTGCTGCACGCTTGACTTTGATGAGGATCTTCCTCTTGAGGTCTTTGAGGAGGGGGAGTTCAAGTTCCTCAGAGGATTGAGAGGGGTCTAGTGGTAGGTCTACGAGCATGCCTTTCCAGTATTCGGTCATGATTTCGACCATGATTTCTTGCTGCTCGGGACTGGTGTGCACCTCCAGACTGACTATCAAAGGGAGATCGGAGGAGACAAACGCATAATCGCGGATAGTGGCGCAAACTGCTCTGAAAGTGGTGTCCTTGGTCAAAGTATATCCATGGAGTACTCTGGGCTCCGCACGGTTGGTAGAACTATTCGAGCGCGAGGGGGTCTCTCTTGCTGAACCATTGCCGTCAGGCAGAGAGGGATTCTTCGGCGGCGATTTCTCCTCAGGCGGAGGTGAACCTTTCCGTCCGAAGCGCAGCTCTAGCCGCTTACGGAATCCTAGCTCTTTCTTCTCTTTCTTCTCTTTCTTGGGCTTGGCCGCTACCGACTCATCTTCATCTTCCGAGCTGGAACTGGAAGGGGGTTCACCATCCCAGACGTCGATTTCGACACAACGGCATCCCCGGAGGAGGACCTAGAAGGCTAAGGTTAAAGGTGGCCAGTAGGAAGAACAGTTGCACATACGTTCTTGTACGCATCTACGCTCGATTCACTGGACAGTTGGTTTCCGGTAAGGTACGTGTTGTGACTTGACGATATGAAGTAATTGGAAATAGGATACGAGTCGTCCAGCGGCGGAGGCGGTTTCATAACATTCGCAGACCCGGACATATAGTAACCAACAAAAGCAGACAAGGACCCATCCTTCAACAAGTCCACATCCTGTGCTGGGCCCTGCTGTTCCTCAGCGAGCCATGCCGCAATTCCTTCCTTTGTGCCGAAATTATAGCGTTTGTTCAGACTTTCGTACTCGGCTTTGAGGCATCTAGCAAAGATATCGGAGAGGTGTTTGACAGTGCGGGCTTGGGACGTGGCAGAAGCTGTGCCTCCGCCAGCCTGGAGCTGCGGTTCGTCGAGTTTGGGAACGCCTAACTTGTGATCCGCAGGCGCAGGAGGAGCGGGGGCAGCCATGGGACTTCTTTACTCGTAGGTGATGATACGATAGAATAACTATGAGGCGAGCAACAGTACGCAAGAAGCTGGGTGAGATTGGGGGTCTTGATATGCACCGTTCAGCTGCTCCCGCGGATTAGCAAACGGACATGCAGGGGTGAGTTGGCACTTAGGAAGGCGTAAGGCAGGCATCCTGTATATCTATACTTACCTGTCTCACTCAGCCTTCAAACTCCAGATTCGAGCTCAGCTGCACCGGTGAGATCTATACTTTGCGTTTGAAGTTGAGGGAAACAGTGGTGGGAAAACTGACCACCAAGCCATTAGATATCAGGGGCCAAACAACCAACCGTGGTGCGGCAGGGGCATTCATCACCGTCTTGGCACCCGTTTTATGAATTTCAACTCCTGAGACATATTGACAGTACGGAAGGGCTGCGGCAGCTTCTTGAGCGTGGATTGGCGGATTGACAATGAGATTTTTTGGTAGCTGTACACCCGAGTGTTGTGATGAATCTTAATCTTTGGCTGTGCAGGAGTAAACAGCCCCGCCAAGCTGACGACGTCACCGGAAATATCCTGAACCTAGGTACCTGAATCGACCTTTTCACATGCGTTCCCCCGCTGCATCATCGGTCCTTTTACATTTGTGCGACACTTTCAAACAGCATGGCCAAGTCACGCAGAGAAGCGGAGAATGAGGTGCGGTCGTGGGGATTCGAACATGTATTCACATGGACTGATGGACCGTGAGTCTGTGACCAACGTTCCGACCACTTGTGGAGTCTGACTCAGTCAAGCAGAAATGCTCATTATCCTCCCCATTCGCACGCTGGTTTGACTACCCACCTTATTTTGAGTGGCCGATTGACCATCTCATACCCACAAGATCCGAATCCGAAGAGGGAGACTTTCGGTCCTGGCGCCAGGCTCGATGTTGACGCCAAGCGAGTGCATGAAGTATGGATTGGTGACGAAGGCTGCACATACGTTATCGGGGAGTGAGGTTCGATTTTGCCTTGATTCACTGGATCCACAATCTGGAGCGTATCTGGCGTTGAAGCTGCAGTGAGCACACGATAATGGAATAGACGGGTACATGATAATTCTGACTAGCCCATCGGGAACACTCTGACGCAGCAGCTGATTACTGTTTGCAGCATTGACGAGTTCTGGTCCCCATGTGCCGAATAGAAGAATCTTGCCAACTGAACAACATCATAGGCATTGAAGCACCTAGGAGCCAGAGGAAAGTGCCGCCTTATCCGGCTAGGATGCAGTGCTTTATTCCTCCATTCCTCCTAAGTCGAGAACGAAACGTTGGAAAATGCTCCAGTCGGCGTTCAGAATTACCTAGCCTACTGTGAGTAACACGATTAACACTATGCCTTGACTTTGTTATCTAATCATTCGAATGTCTATGGTTCCCAGTGGAGATCACACTTATCCTGTCAACCGCGTGTGAAGCCATACGACATAAGAGCCTCGCAACCCCCTTGCGGGCCTAGTGGTCGGGATGCTTGCCTAGTTCTACCATAGGTACTCTATGATAATTCTCTTTCGCAAGACATACACCGAAAACCGATATTGCATCGCACACTAGGCGAGTACCATTCTATCGCAATTTAGCCTGAAGCTTGACTCTACAAACAATTCCCAGCTTGCTCCGCATGAAGTGGGGCATGCCAGTCCCTAAAGCTTCCTGAGATAGATTCCGCTCCTGCGAACGCGCATGCTGTTATGTGTAGCCCGCGTGAAGTGCTGCGGAAAAAATGCTCCCGGGCACTGCACCACGCGTTGTTTTTCGCTGATCAGTATATCAATTCGGCGCAGTATCGGTATATTGAGTACCGTATCGTCAACTGTTGGGGATTTGGAGGCTGATCATATAACTAATGTCGATGCGTCAAGCTGACCCGGAGGGGGAGATTCAGAGAAGCTGTACAAGATGGTCTCCGTGCAAACCTACCTGAGCTTCTTGCTCCTACTACCCACGGTCTGCTGTGGCTACAGCAATTACACGATCAGTTTCACCCCGGAATACGGCCTTGTCATATCAACAGGCAATAGAAGAATCGTGCACAACTCCGCCATCCTCGCCGGAAACCACAATACCACAGTTACTGCGCTTACGAATTCCAGCAAGGGCCTCGCATACAGTTTGATCACGCCCACAATTGCCAAGGTCGAACTGAACACCTTTTCAGCTTTCCATGGTGCGCGTTTCACAACTGAGCCCGACGCGCATTTCTATGGCGTCTGGGAATACCCCTTCAACTACCAAATCACGAACAAGGACGTTTCCTTCGACTTGAAAGGCGTGGGAAGCAACGTGGGAATCAACTGGGTCAATGCACGTGCGCCTTTCTTCCTCACATCTGCTGGATATGGCGTCTACGCAGACACTCTTCGAATGGGATCTTTTGACTTCACAACTCCGGGGCAGGCGCAGTTCATCTTCAATAGCAGCACCCTCGTCTATTACATTATCTTGCCCACACAGGAGAACGACTACAAGTCCATCATCGAACAGTACACACCACTCTCCGCGCGTTCGGAGATCCCCCCTACCTCTGGCCTAGGCCCCACATTTTGGTCGGACGACTTCACGCAAGACTTTCACGGTAGTGTATCGAATGCGCAAGAAAACATATACGATGTCTTAAACCATTTGTATGATAATGAAATCCGGGCGACGTCGGTGTTCGCGGATAGGCCATATGGAACGGGCAATCGGTCGTGGGGGAACTTTGACTTCGACCCAAAATTCTATCCAGACTCAAAGGGCTTCATAGCGAACTTGAGCGCCTCCGGCATCGATTTTAGTGTCTGGATCGCTAATCGTGGGCAATTGGGCACGGAACTCTACAACAAGAGCTTAGAAAACAACTGGCAATTCGTCACCTCTGTACCCCCAATTGGAGGTCTAGGGCCTGCACTAAACCTCTCCATCGCAGCCGCCTACGACTATTTCGAGAAGAGGCTCGAATACTTCCCCTCCGTCGGCGTCAAAGGCTATAAGATCGACCGCGGTGAAGAGGGCGAAATGCCTGACTATGAGCAGAATATCCAAATGTCGCTTTTCCTCCAACTAGCCTACGCTTCCATGGTTAAAAAATGGGGTCCGTCGCACTTCTACAATTTTGCTCGGAGCGCGATAGATCGCTCCCGTGCTGTCACGCATATCTGGAACGGCGACTCGCATGGCAACTTTACAGGATTGGCGTACTCTGTGGCCAGCGGTATTCGCTCCGGCCTCATCGCGTTCGGGATATGGGGATCTGACACGGGAGGATATACCAGACAAGGTGAATTGACGCCTACGGAAGAGGTCTGGGCACGCTGGATGTGGTTCTCCGCTTTCTCGCCAGTTTACGAACTCATGCTCGGAACGGGACATACACCGTGGTACCCACCGTATACGCAGCGGACCGTCGACGTGCTCAAACTGACGGCGAATCTGCACGCAGATCTGACGCCGTATATCAAGTCATATGCGTATGTAAATCACAAAACGGGTGTCCCGATCATACGGGCACTGTTCCTCGAGGCGCCGACGGATGATAGCACATGGGACGTAGGGGACAGTTATTTCTTTGGGGAACAGTTCCTCGTGGCGCCAATTGTTACTGAGGGAGGGAGGCGGAGTGTGTACTTTCCCGTGGGACCGTCGGAGAAGTACATTGAGTATTTCAACAAGACGTCGGTCCATGATGCGGGGACCACAGCAGATGTTTTCGTCGGCGTCGATAGTATACCCGTCTACGTGAAGCAGGGCGCTATCATCCCGCGAGGTGACATCTACCAAGGGAATGCGAAGTGGATTGAAGACTGGCAAGCATTTCTTACTATTGAATTGTTCCCCAGTTGGGGAGTCCCAGAGAGTCGATTTACGTATTATAACGGTGAAGGGGCGGACGGAAAGGCAGTTGAGATTCTGCTGAAAACGGATAAAGAGAGTAGGACGTTGAGGGTCGAGTATGGGGATTTAGGGGTTGAAGCGGCCGTTATGTGGTACTTCAAAGGTGGGAAGAGGGAGGTCAATCTTAATAGGGGTGGAGGTTTCACAGAGTTGAGGGATGTTGAGTTGTTGTTTTAGGGTCTGTTTTGATGCTCCCATGGTGCTGGGAGCAAGAAATCTCTCCGAATAACGAGACAGTATCTATACATATTCATATGCTATCTGATGTCTGGTGGTAACAGAAGGTTCTCCGCCACCTTGAAGTCCAAAGGTAGCTGATATCCTGATTTCTCCAGCAATTATGCCGGACTGCACTCATATTTACTGAACACAGGTGGTCCCCTCTACAACTTCGCCTTCGCGTCTTCAGGCTTTGCAACCTCGACTATCAGCTTTCCAGTGTTGGCGCCCTTGAACAAACCACCAAGGGCTTCTGGTGCCTTCTCCAACCCTCCCTTTACAATGGTCTCTTTCCTCTTGAGCTTGCCTTCCTCCAGCCACTGTGCCAACTCCTTCTTTGCCTCCACGAAGCGATCCGCGTAGTCCGTTACGATGAAGCCTTGCATGCGAATACGCATAGAAATGATCATGAGGTAATTCTTTGGACCTACCACCTTGCCTCCCTTGTTGTATTCGGAGATGGCGCCGCACATGACAAACCGTGCGTGGGGCTTCGCTCTTGCGAGGGCCATGTCGAGGATTTCGCCGCCGACTAGAGCTTCGTTAATATGTCGATTCCAGGATGAGCCAATGCAGCATACCATTATCAAAGTAGACGTCGATAAAGCCCTTGGTCGCAGCGCGGAACTTCTTCTCGAACTCTGGATCCTTGTAGTTCAATGCCTCATCGAAGCCTAGCTCCTCCTTCAACCACCGAACCTTGTCGTCGCCGCCCGCAAGACCCAGCACCTTCGCACCCTTCAACTTGGCAATCTGGCCCACGACGCTACCTGTGGCACCAGCAGCACCAGATACCACAACGAAGTCCCCTGCCTTCACCTGGCCAACATCCAGGATGCCGAAATACGCAGTCAATCCAGTCATGCCTAGGACTCCCAGGGAATCGGTGGGTACAGCACCGCGCGGCAGATCTAGGGGCTCAAGATGCTTGTCCTTGAGCACTGTATACTCTGTCCAACCACACATGCCACTTGCGTAGCTCCCTACAGGGAACTTTGGGCTTTTCGACGCAACGACGAGACCGATGCCATAGCCGCGCATGACTTCGCCGATTTGGACAGGTGGAACGTAGGAGCGGGCGTCGTTTAGCCATCCGCGCATGGCCGGATCGAGGGAAAGGTATAGCGTCTGGAAGAGGACTTCGCCATTTTTAAGACTGCTGGCCTGAGGAAGAGGCTGTTTCTGGACTTTGAAGGTCTTGCTGGGGATGACTTCGCTTTTGGGCCTTTCGGCCAAGACGATTGAGGTGAAACTAGACATGGTGGCTCTAGTAGGAAAGGGAAAGAAGAATTGAGATTGAAAGAATGTAAATGGGAGAAAGTAATGTAAGCTCGCTGCTCTCACGAACGAACGTACGGAGAGGCAGGGTGGATTGAGAGAAAAGAGCACAGGAAATCGCAAAGTTCTAAGATTTTCAGACGGGACCTATCGATTCTTTTGTAGTCTCGGTCCTACATTGAGTTTTGTACAGATTTAGCTACTCTTCCGTGTTTCATCGGTGTCGCCGAGAGCGCTCGGAGGTGTGGGGTTTGGAGTTTGACTGAAGAATACCGAGGCTCGACGCATGGGGTTGGCAGTCACGTGGCGGATGGAGAATCTGATAGGAACGTCCTCGAAGAGGGAATAGCTGGAGCGAGATTCATGGGATGTGGTTATAATGACTTATGATTGTAGGCTATAAAAGTGTCTTTGTGACGTTTGTGGTGATATCTGCTCCAGGATGGGACGGTAGGTATTGGACCAGATGGGACGAACATGTCTTCCTCACACCCTGTAAAACCAACATTCTTTAAGGAAACTCAGCACTGCGCAGGCATAATATAGAGTATTGGAATGGAAAGGGTGCCATAAGTCAGTGCAATGGAAGAGATGCAGATTGGAAGGGATGAAGCATCGAAAGACTGTGTTACTGCACCTATATGCCAAGGCACAACTCCCAATCCAGCCTAGCGCCATCCTCCCAACTCCAGCTTCATCATCGCAAGCTCCGCAACCACAACCACACCCGACGCACCCACGATGCAACCGCTCCGCAGGACAGCATTGAATGCTGCCCGCCGCGGGAAGGCCACGCTGCCGCGTGCGCCGCGCCGCTATGCACACGAGGACCACGGCCATGGCCACCACAGCGCTCCCGTCAATGAGCCCATGGGAGTACGTCTCGACCCCTCCGCCCGCCCACCGTTCCTCTGTCGAGCTCCTCCGACCCCTCTGTGTATACGGGAGAGATCAATAAAACATGCACTAACACAATTGGCTATATAGGCCGGTTTCTGGTTTACCGTCGGCCTCATCCCCGCCGCCTGGCTGGTCTACAAAGTCGCACAGCCCAATGAAGATGGCACCACGGTTGTCGGCCGCTTGATCGACGCGTACACGGAGAAGCAGGAGGAACTGATTCGTATCAACGCGGCGCATGCGGATATGATTGAGCGGGCGGGCAGAGATCGCGTGCTGTTCCAGAATACCAAGCCCTGGGACACTATTGAATTGAAGTATCCAGAGTATGTTACTTCAGCTTGATCATCAACGAGAGAGTGATTCCTGTGGACCGGTGGCGGCGGCACAAATTAACCTACTATGGCAATGTCCGGAAGGGGGAGGATGGGTTTGGACTGGATCGACGCTGACAATCTCTCTAGAATCATGAATCACGGCTCACCCTTCAACGTCCAGGCCGGCAGCCAAGTCAACATGGACGCCGTCATTGCCAAGTTTCAGAAGGAGGCTTACGAGGACAACGAGCGCAAGCTCGAGGCCCTGCGCAATAACCAGATCAAGTCAGAGCAGCCGTTCGAGTTCAGCGGCCCCAGATATCGGGGAGTTCAGATCAGCGAGGGTAGGGAGTTGAGGGGTGGTGGTGCGTAAGTTAACCTCTGAATAAGAAAGGAGATGTATATATTCAAGATACGGGAATTCTCTTTTGTCTCGCTGTTATTGCTATGTCCCGCTCTCCCCAAGTCGTGTCTCTGACAGCTCACCATGTATAAAACAATCTGGAACTACCATTGCATAGCCCAAAGCAGCTATGCGTAAACCTGATGTTCTCTTTATACAATTTCCAGGTCCCTCAACAATTACAGAATCAGGCCCCCACTCCATCTTTATTCTTCATTTGGTCTTCTCACGAACCGTGTCCACCCTTACTCTTTCAACCATTCATCTGCATCCCACTTCCGCTTCCAAATACCACCTTATCTCCCAGACCTCGCTTCTCATACTCTTCCTTCCGTCTTTGCTTCTCCGCCTCCTTTTGCTTTAGTTTCTGGTATTCCTCTTCTGACGAAGGGAGAATGTCCTTGTCTTTCGAAGAAGAGAGCGAGAGTTTGCGCTTCGCGGCATCGAGAAGAGAAGATGTGCGAGATGGCGATGATTTTCTGGGAGGAGATGGTAAGTATGACGATGCTGCTTGCTACTGTGACACGGGCAAGAGTGGACCGAATTGAAGGGAAGGAGAGAAAGAACAGTTATTGAGCACGGTGGGGAGGTGGGAAGATGGGTGGGTAAAGAGCTCGAAATCGCCGACTTACGAGTCTTGCTTCTGGGACGCGCCGGACAGAGGTGGTTCGCTGGTGACGGGGTGTTTTTGTGTGATGGAAAATTCTCCCGGCATGGCTGTGATGTGTGCTCTTCGTCGGGATTCTTCTTGGTTTTCAATCGCTGGACGAATTATGGATGTCGCTATTGGATATATAGGTGGGAGATGGTGTTTGCTGCCCGACTTCAACGAGGAGGGTGGTCTCCGTGTAGAATTGGCCCGTTAAATCTGCAACCGTAGGTGGACTGAATGGTAAGCGGATTTTGGTCTCTCGTTCTCTTCGTCTTGGATTATGTATGTCCAGCAGCCGTGGTTGTGTACGTGTAAATGGGTGCCTGACGGCCTTATCCAGGGAATATCGGATTTGTCCGCAACAAGGAAGCTCAAAGGATACGTAATGCTGCTGTCCAGAATATCCAGAAAACGACCATCGATGGCCGTCCTCAGGCAGCAAGATATATCCTCGTCTTACACGTAACCCTACCTGACTACCCTAAGCTTACCCCTACTCTAGCCCACCCTAGAACCGGTTGGTCTACCCATCAACCCTGGAGCCCTCCGCCCTTCGCGACGATTAATCCATGGCACCATGGGTTTCGACTCACCCGTCTTCGCACTCCCCGCATCCTTGTCCATCTGCAGTTTAACGCAACGGTCAGAATTTGACTGGTCTCGCAAGCAACCTTACCGATGACGATTTTCGCCTTGTTGGAGGAAAATCTGCATGGGTGAGTCGAACAGCTTCCCAGGCCCTCTAGGCATGGATACATTACGCACATCTCTATGGATTCGGGTAAGTTGGCCGTTCCTGGCTAGGCCTATCATCTATTATTGAATTTCCATCCATCCATACAGATGGGCACCTACAGACATGACATAGTACTATCGCGCTGAGTCGGTGAACCACTCCTCCCTACATCCAAGCATCTGCTCATTCCCAAGCTGGGCATACTTATTTCTACCTATTCCACTGTGCTGATTCGCTGCTTACCGGATCGATGCTGCGTGGTTCGCAGGGCAGGGGGGCTATCTCACCGCTGTGACCAATGCTCCGGTGGCATGGTACGGATACATGTACAGTACGCATATCTCTCGAAAGGGATGCAGCGGGAATCGGTGATGAATGAAGAGATGTTGGAGAATTGGTCTGCTGCTTGCTGCGCCTCGTGGGCTTGCTACTTTCGGTCTGCGATGTGTGTGTGCAAGTAAGTTCTTGTCCCAGGAAAATCGCCTGGTTAGAGTCATAGATCCGCGAGGCTGTGGAGTCGTTCGCACAGCCATGGCTGGGACAGTCATAATCAAGCAGCTGTACAGACGGAGGGTACGCTTGCACCGCCATCACGCCAGCGCCCTCTAGAAGCCGAATCCCACGGTTAGGGAATATGTGTCTATATGCAATACTAAATAACCAACACATGGAGCCCGATCCTCCCCTACCCCAGGTCCACCCTGTGTAATGGGATCAACGAGAAATTAAGACGAGGAAAAATGAAGGATATGGATGCCCCGACCAATGACTCCTTACTCCATACATGCGCTACCTCGAGAACAGGCGTGACGTTTTGCACCGTCACTCCTGCTGATGCTTGTAGTGATGAGAACTCTGACTATGCTCCATGGAACGCCGAGCCAGATATGGTACATGTCCGAATATCTAAACCAAGAAGAACTGTACGGAAGAGGGGTAGTGTGTGCTGTATGCTGTGTGATGTGTGCTGTGTGATCGTTACGTCGTTACTGGTGCTTCTGCGCATGACCCTCGACATGCCTACCCGACCCGCAAGCAGCGCCTCTTCAATCCCCCTCCTCATCCTGCCTTCTCCGCTGCGCAATAACCCACTTCATCTTATCCCTCGCCTCTCGCAGCTCTCTCACCAACTCCTCGGCTTCCCTCTCCTTCTCCGGTAATGATCTCCTCATCCTCTCCGCCTCCTCCACCAGCTCATCCACTTCCTTCTCCTTCTCCTTTTTATATTCCTCCATCAAATTCCGCATCGCCCCTTCCCTGGCCAACGTCCGCGAGACCTCATGCTGCAACTGGTCACTGATGATTCCCTGTCTCTTAATCCGATCGTCGTCCTCCAATCTCTGCCTCTTCAACTCCTTGATATCCTTCTTCATCCCCTTCACCAGCTCCTCATACGCCTTAATCTTCCTGTCATAGCCATCCTTCGCAGCCAGCGCACTCGTATCCGCCCGATGCATACTCTCGTACGCCTGCGCCAACTGCGCCTGCGTTTGCGACCGGTTCTCCCCGAGTAACCTCAGCGCTTCCTCGGCTTTACTCTCCGCCGCCTGCCGCCGTTTGCTCTCGGCCTCCAACGCAGCCTTCAACTCCTCGATCTTGCGGTCTTTCCGCTCGATGGCTCTCGCATTCGCATCTGCGAGGACTTGCAGATGTTGCTGCTCGGCGCGCGAGTCTTCGGCTTTGACTTTGGCGGCCGAGACCCGCTTTGCCTCGTCTTCTCGCGCGAGGCGCTCGGCCTTGAGTTCTCTGCGTAGGCGCTCGTTCTCGGCGGTGATTTTGTCAATGTATTGCGATGTCTTGCTGTTGGGGGTCGCGTGCGGGTTCGTCCGCCAGCCGGTGGTGTCGGCGCCGTTTGAGGGTGCTGGGTTTTCAACGGGGAGGGGCCCAGCGCTGGTTCGTGAGGCTGTGAGGACGGCCATGGGGGTCGCGTTTATGGACTTGTGCTGAGGTGAAGTTACGGGCTTACTGGTGGTCTCGGAGGCAGGAGGAGGTGCGTTGACGGTGCGTGCGGCTTCTTCGTAGCTCCAGGTGGTCGGGATGTTGCCGTTCATGTCATTCTTCTTCTCGTTGTGTTGTGGTTGCTGCGGCTGCTGCTGCTGATGCTGCCTTCTCGCCGTGTTGCACCCGTCAGTTACTTCGAAGATTGCGGTTTGGGTTTTGAAGGAGCGGAGCTGTGGAGTGGACTGTCTATTAGCATCTATCTCCTTGGTTGGGATCGAAATGTGCAACTAAAATGAATATTGCACGAAGAGAACGTCTGACTACGGCAACAACAAAAATCTTTCCGTCAGCCGGGCGGCACCTAGCGTCGTAGAGTAAGACAAAAGGAGGAGGGGAGTGAGAGCGGAGGTTTGACGCATGAACGACGGGTTTGTTTTGGGGTCCATGGCATGGTCATGGAGCGGTTGTCCCGGGTTCGGGACCTGGAACTAACCTGATTTGGAAATGGCTGGGGTGGAATCGTTCTTGTGCTGAAGCCGGAAAGGCGGATCGTTTCCGGGGTATTGGAGGTGATTATGTTTATGTAAGCGGATTGTTGTGGACATGGACGGTCAGACGAACAGTGAAGGTGAACATCAACCGTCGAAAAAGCCAAACCAAAAAAAGAAAAACAGTACATAGTACTGTATACAGTGGAAATCGAACCAGGGCCCTCCATGTGACAAAAAGATCGAGCAATCGAATCAGTGCAATACTGCGTGACTCCGCCTCAGCTTTGGAAGCTGCTAGACCTTTTCGCTGTCCTGTATTCAGGGCGATAATTAGAGTGATAATTGTAAATTATATACAAAAAAACACGGACTGGAGCAGGAAGAATAAGGATAATGGGCCGCATAGATGGAGAGCCTGAGGAACGCGAATAATGGGATGCTCACCGACGCAAGTTGACTTGCAGCTTTTTATTACCACAGTACGGAGTACACAAAGCTACCCTGCCTCGGTTGGGCAACTGGGACCGCAATAACCATGGCAACAGGCCGTCGCGGAGGCTGTCTATGACGTCTTCTCTCGAAAGCGCCATTGCTTATGAATCCTCCTTATTATCTACTGTACACAGTACACGGAGTACAGATGTGAAGCAAAGTATTCATAGAACTTCATTGAATACACTTGGGGAGCGGCGCATGCTGAAACTCCCACAATGGCAGTTTCGGTTCCATATGCGGGTGAGATAGGGCCATATTATTTATTTTCGGTCTGGAAGTAAGGGGGAGGCGGAGGCTATGCATGCATCATACACAGTACAGTACAGTCTTAATTATTACATTGCGGCTAGATATAGTAAACCGACCATGAAGTGCAGGTACCCTTATAGCGGCATGTCGAACAACACCATTAAATACATCCATACAAACAAGCGTCCACTCAGATACGCATCCCCATTATTTGACCAACCAAGAGTATTCGATAAATCCACCATTCAGAACGTATCCAGACAGATTGAAACCGTTTTTACCTTCTCTCTTCCCTTCTACCTACAAGAAGACATGCGATGAATACACAAAAAGTCCCGGGTAACGGAGTTCTATGCCAGCTCAAACGCCCCCGTGAAGGCTCCATACACAATCGCAGCCTATATCCACCGTCCGCATCCCCAAGCAACAGCTATCCCCAACGTCATCTTCCCAGGCGACTTCCGCAGGCTGCACAGCGCCGCTATGCGTAGACACTACTACTTCACTCTTCTCCCCTTCAACAATCCCCTTATCCCCTCAAAACTCAAACTCGCCCCGAAACCGCTCCACATCCATACCCGGCCCGACAAGATCCGCCAAATCCCTCCTGCCCATCTGCCCAAACACCCTTCTCAAGGTATCATACAGATTCGTGCTTTGATTCTGATGAATCATATTGTCGAGATCGCGCTCGCTGACTCCATCCCCGACAACCTCCCTCGCCCGCTCCTTACCCTCCTTCTCCACGACCTTGTGCATCGCCAGCGCCCCGAGCAGATGCTGCGCCGCCTCCGTGAAACATCCGATATTGATGCAGCTCACCCCCAGATTATACCTTGCGCGCACAAAGTTGGGGCGAATAGCGAGAGCGCGGCTATAAGCGTCGATGGCTTCCTCGGAGCGGCCCGAATTCGCCAGCGTGGCCCCTAGCCGATTCCACAGCAGATGCACCTGCCCCGAGGAGTTCGTAGTACCGGACTCCGTCGAGTCGAGCGCCGCGCCGAAGCAATCGACGGCCTTGTCGTATTCCTCTACGCCGTAGAAGAGGACACCTAGGCCCACCTGGACGTCTGGGTCCATATGCTCGCCTGAGGGGGACAGTTGCGCGGCTTGGATGAAGAGGTTGGTGACTTTTTCGTGGAGGAGATGCCGGTCTGTAAAGCCCATTTCTGCGTCCGATGACAGGGGTTCTTTGATCAGGCTGGGGTACTTGGTAGCGACCCAGCGCTCCAGGGTGCGGTAGGCGGTGCTTTCGTAGCCTTCGTTGGTGTAGGAGACGGCGAGGCCCATGAGGGCTTCGAGGTTGGAGGGGTCAAGTTTGAGGGCTTGTTCGAGAGCGCGGATAGCAGGTGTTTCCTTTTCGTTCTGGGCTTGGGCTTCGCCTAGCTTGACCCAGGCGGCGATGTGTTGGGGGTCTTTCTGGACGGCAGCTTCAAAGGCGAGCGCTGCCAGTGAGAGGTTGCCTCCCTCCTCCATGATCTTCATACCCTCCTCGAAGGGATTCGTGATATCGTTGAACAGGTTATTCTGCTCAAACAGATAATCTCCCATCTGCGGATCCGTGGTGGTATGCGTATTCAACCCGTCGAACCCTTCCCACTGATCCATCTCCCCCGCATGCAAACTGTCGAGGAAATTCTCTTCGCTGGCAAGTTGTCTAGCAATCTCAGTCTCAGCCTGGATGCCCTTCCACACGGACTCGAAATCGCCAAAATCCAAATCCACTGACCTGTCCATTTCGTCCAGCTCCGCCTCGATGCGCGCGTTTGCCTCCCTATCCAGAGCGTCCAGGTCCTCGGTCTCCTGCTGCTGGTCCGTCTTCTCCAGCTGCGCGAATTGTGCTTCCCAGTCGTGGTCGTCCAGCTCGACCATGCGGCCTTTGCCCTTGCCCTCCTGCATCGGCTGCTGGAAGTGCTGCGGTGTGTAGTTCTGATGCATCATGCCTCCATAGCCCATCCCCATTCCCACACCCAAGTGAGACATACCCATACCATAGCCCATGGGCCTCTGGTATGCCATCATGGATGGTGCTGAGCTCACTGTCGGGCTTGCTGTCCGCGCCATAGGATTCATCTGCTGGTACTTTGCGAACTCGGCAGGGCTGAACCCCGCCGGACGCTCTTGCATAGAAGGACCCATCGCAGCAGGCGCCTCCATCCCCGGGTCAAACTCGGCCGCCCACCCAGGCGACCCGCTGTGCTGTAGCCGCTCGAGTTCTCTCCGCATGTGCTCCATGGCGAAAGGGGATGCCGGTCCGGGTGCGTGGGGCAGCTGTGCGGGCTGTTGCATAAACTCGTTCATCATCTAGAGTGTACATGTCAGTAAAGCCTCCCTCAACTGATTTTATGTAGATAAAGGGGGAATCCTTACCCCATCGCTACCGCCGCCCATAGCCTGACTTCTCATGCTCTCCTGCAGTCCACCAGGACCTCTCCCCACGAGCCGGTCCCTCTGCAATGACTTGTCATCTCCCACATGCTTTGTGAACTGGCTGAGCGGGTTTGCCGCCGTGGAGCACTCTGCGCCGCCGAGGAAGGACATTGTTGTGACGAATTCCCAATGCTAGGCGGAGTATGTGAAGGAATATGCGAATGAGCCTGGAAGGAGGAGGGACGGGTTCTAGAGTATATAGAAAGAAAGTAGACGGAGGAATATGCACAATACGCGAGAGGGCACAAGATATTGTCACTCTCTTCAGACGCAGAGGTTATTGATCATCAGAGACGGCGGAGAGTAGTAGTCGGCGGGGCTGTTCGGCGTACCGATGCCGAGGTCCGCTTCTGACCCAGCCCCTGTCAGAAGAGACGACGAGTGGCGTATTGCTCAAACCAAAAGAGACCGCGCAGACCACATTGGACGCAGAATGCATATGAATGATTATAAGTTGTTAGATTCTACTGCCAATTCTTTACTCAAGTAAATGCCATCGGCCCAATCCTGAAGAAGCCGATACATCAAGTAACCCAAATCATGCAAGAGGCTTCACTACAGGTAGTTCTCTATGAAAGGCAGCCTCTGGGTATCAAGTCCCTAACAGTACGCCGACGCTGTGCGTTGTAGCGATTTCAAGTAGACTGGATGCAGCCAGTATACTCATGCTCTCCACCGGACGCCAGAAAATGCTCTTTTTTTGCAACGCTCTTCTCCCAATGCTCGAACAAAACGGACATACGCAAATATGCAAATACGCCATCAAGCCGCAGACATGTCCAGTCCCGCAGCTTTCAACCCATCCATGAATTCTTCCTTCACATCGCCCTTCCCACTACCACTCCTCATCTGCTCCAGCATCATCCTCTCTACAGCTTCAATACCCATCTCTTCAGCAGCACTGATCTTATCACCGTTCCCTTTCTTGCTGTCCGAAGTCCCCTCTTCACCCGCTACCATCTTGTCCAGCTCCAGCTTGGACACGCCAAGTGCGTGGATCTGCTCTTCGACAGTACCCTTCGTGACGAGTCGGACAACTTCGACCTCGCGCGTCTGGCCAACACGATGAGCGCGGTTCTCGGCTTGGATATCGTCCTGCGGGTTGAACGACGAGTCGAAGATGATGACCTTGTTCGCACACGCCAGGTTGATTCCTGCGCCACCCGATTTGGTGCTGAGCATGAAGACGTTGATCGACTCGTCGTTGTAGAACTGATCCAGTAGTGCCTGGCGCTCGACAATCGGAGTTTGACCATCCAACCGTGAATACGAGATATCCAGTGTGTCCAACACCCACTGAAGAATATCCATGACTGACGTAAATTGCGAGAAAACGAGCGTCCGATCACCATTTGCGATGTATTTCTTCAGGAGCTCAGCCAGCTTCTTCACCTTGCCAGAATCCATCCACTCGTCGTTTTTGAGCGCAAACTTGCCCAGAGCCTGTGGATACTTTGTCGCCAACTGGTGACACTGGTAGTCCTGGTACAACTGCAGCTCTTCGTAGATGATATCCGCGTTGCTGTCCTTGAATGTCTCCTCCTTCTTACAGGCTCTCGACATCTTCTTGATCACACTGTCCGTGTAGTGATGGCGGAACAGCAGCGGGTGGATCGCAGCCTGACGGAGCTTCATCATGACATTGGCGTGGTCCTTCGGCTGTCTTCCCTCTGCTCGCTCAAGGAGGACCTGCTTCTGTCTCTCCAGCTGTTCCTGGTACAGTTTCGATTGCAACTCTGTGAGCTCACAGTATTCCACGCGACACGTCTTCTTTGGTAAATGCTTGAGCACTTGTGCCTTCTTTCTGCGGAGAACGAAAGGCGTCATCATACTGCGAGCTCGATCAATACGCTGAGTGGACAGTAATGCTTCATGTGTATCCGCTTCGTTGACCTTGGCCTTATGCTTGAATACCACTTCTAGCTTGTCCTTGACCTCGCTGAAGATATCAGGCATGATGAATGCCAGGATGGAGGCCAACTCGCGCAAACTGTTCTGTAGGGGTGTACCTGTTAGCAAGAGCCGGAACTTCGCCGGGATTCTCATCAGGCTCTTGTAGCGCTGGGTGTCGGAGTTGCGAAGCACGTGGCCCTCATCGAAAATACAAGCCTGCGGCTTGCATTGACGTAGGAACTTGTTGTCGGCGGGCTTGAAAGCCAAATCGTACGTCGTCACAATAACATATATATCGTTCAGATTCTCCAAGATGACGGCCTGTTGCTCGTGCCGCGCGGCTTGCAGCCCATAATACGGCTCCACGTGCTTCTTCAGCTCTGGAGCGAAGTTCTCGAACTCCCGCAGCCAGTTCTCCAGGGTAGAGCCAGGAACCACAACAAGATGGGGACCTGGCACCTTCTTCTCCCAGAGATGGGAGAGAAAAGCGATAACTTGGCATGTCTTTCCGAGGCCCATATCGTCGGCCAAAATTCCAGAGACCTGATTCTCCCACAAAAGGTTGAGCCAGTTCAAGCCAACAATCTGGTAGTCCTTGAGTTCTATCTCCTTCTTCATGACAGCTGGCTTCTTCAATAGCGCCGTGTTGTTAGCATTCGTGCTCTTCCTAAGAGAATCGGTATCTTGGTCGCTGACGTGACTACTCGAAGGCGTCCCAGCACCAGACGGAGTTTCCAGTCCAGAATCGCGAGCAGAGGCTGATTCATTCAGGGTCTCGAGGCTCGTAAGCGCAAGCTCACCGTCCTTTGCTGCGCCGAAGACATCTACTCCCCAGGTGGCCATGGCTGCAGCAATCGGCTTGCCGCGGTCCTTGCATTGATTCACCAGCTGATCGACAGCATTGAAACCGTTCCACATGTTCGAAGCCGACTCTACCAGTCTGTGGCCAAACGTAACTCTGGGCTTCCGGGCCTTCTTCCCGTTCTTCGTCTCTTGCGAGCCAACATGAATCTCCTCTATTTCTTCGAGTGATCGGAAAGGACGGTGCTCCAACAGCTTGCGAATGTCCTCCTCTTTCTGGTTGGAAAGATCAACCATCGCTTCAACGGAGCAGCTATTAAAGAACTTCAACAACCCTTCCTCATCTAGCTCCTCTTCGATCTTGTCAGCCTCGGACTCGTCGTCGCTGATTATGCGTATTCCTTCATCTTCATCTGAATCAACTGGAACGTTCGCTTTGGGTCGCTTGATAAGACGCCCCTTCTTCGGTTTTTCAGGTGTTACCGACATGATAATTTGTTCCCGAGGCTGCGACTGGCTCTGGCTTTGCCGCACGGTGGAAAACTTCTCCTGGATGCTCTGGATCGGAGCATTAAGCCCACGTTGAGCCGTCTTCTTCGGTTGGTATGCCGATGAAGTCGTCGGCAAAGCTACACCAACCGGCCTCTTATGCAAGAACTTCAAAGGGTCCTGACTCAGCTCGTCCTCAGATGCCTGCGCCAGCTGCCTACTCGCGGCATCGAAGTCCCAATTGTTGGCTTTGAGAGCATCTTCGAGCTCTTGTTGAGAATGGCGGAAGTAGATAGCCTGAAGCCTATTGAGTTTCCTCATGTCATCAGGGCGAATGGTGTGCGTACTCCCATCCGGCACGGGCATGGCTCGAGACGGTCCAGACTGTCGCGGTACTGGACGCATCTTCTTATGCTGGGGGGAGCTACTCAAATCGTCGGCCAGACGCTTACGGTGCATGCCCGAGTTCGGATCATAGGCATAGCGTGACATATCCATGCCAAACGTGGCCCGCTGTGGAGTCTCGTCTACCCGCGTGATGGAGCGAATTTCGAAGTTAGAGGGTCGTATGTTAGACCCGCCAATGTCTTCTTCTTGCGAGTCAGGCTCCACCGGGGGATCGGACGTGAGGTCGACCGGCTTTGGGCGAGGGATGGATGGCGGTAGCAGCGTGTACGTGCCAGGTGGTGCCATCAAGTTCATTGGGCGCTCTGACGATGGCACTTGCGACCGTTGAGAGGATTGGTAGTATTCTGCGGCCGGAGAGCTGCGAGCGACTTGTACGCGGACGCGAGGCTTGTGGGGCGTGGATAAGATCTGTGTAGGCTGTGTGGTAACTGACGATTGGGGAACGTTCGGTACCCGGTAGGAAGCCGGCGGGTTCCATGGAAGCGTCGCCTGCGTGACAAATGGTTCTGAGAGCTCGTCAGGACTGTCAGACATAACGCTACGGCGAGAGGACGTCGGTTGCGGCGGGGACGACGAGATAATCGGATCTGGCGGATACATGGTCGGCGGAGTTTCAGAGGCGAGGGTAGGCAGGAAAGTTTGCTGCACACCCAAAAATAGGGCGAGGAAGTATCTTGAGACAAAGGTCTCTGCGGCAAACAAGTGTGTGCCTAAGTATACAAAGACGTGCACATTGTCGGCACAGTGTCGACAAAGAAAATGTGAACTTGGTCGTGGAGGAACAATTTCTGGGGGAACGCGAAAGTCAGCGCGTCCGGGCACGGCACCGCCACATACGGCACGAGCCACTTCCGTCACGATCCCCACCGGGCACTACATGTAGTCTACTTACACAGTATGTAACCCAACACTACCAGTACACCTCTACTCCAACCCATAAGGTCTAAGATACCCCTGGCCCAGCAACATACACCAATACCCCCCAACAACAATGGCAACGCAAAGGATCATAAGCAAAGAGAAGACGTACCTGGACCAAGATGGCAAAGCGGCGCCCGAACCCTCCAACATCACTCCAGCGGTGCCATCGTAAGTAGCTCCAATCACTCGCCCCATCGATATCCTCTCAGGTGCATTTTAACATCAAACATATAGCTCGGTCATCTGGAAACTGCTGAGCTTCACCTTCGCCATGGTCACACTGCCCATCGGCACTTACTTCTTCACAGTCAGCTATGTCTTCAAAGGTATGTGGTTTGACCCTACAACACTTCACGGTTGAGCAACGCGGTTAAGGCTGTATATCAGGCAACACGACATTTGCTGGAGGTCTAGCCGCCATCATGGCCAATGTGGTGCTAATCTCCTATGTCATCATGGCCTACAGGGACGACCAGTCGGAACGGCAAGAGGAGGAGGAGAAGAGGAAAAAGTCGTTATAGTTTAGGGCAAGGCGCTCTGGCTCTCTTTTGTTCTATTGCAAAAATCACGAGGATGCATAATTCAGCCAAGACTTCAAGCATTGAAGAATATGAACAAGTCTCGTCACGTTGGTCTGTCGCTGCCGAATTTTCAAATAAGAATACCTGCCTCCATACGCCTGCCAATAATCAAACCGACAACGCCATGGTATCAACCCAAACTCCCGAATCGCGTATCGTTGTCATCGTCAGAGAGATCCGGCTTCCTAGGGCGCTTCCATCACTTTCAGGAGAGACGATCCATCCTCTTGGAAGAATCCGGTACGTTTTCATATCGTACAGTTGGACACAAAAACCCGACCCTTCCGCCTCGTATTGGGTATTAACACACCTAGTAGCTCCTCTACGCAAGCACTCCCTCCCGACGTCGTTTCACAATCACCACCACCAGCTACGCCTAATGCTTGCTGAACCGTTTCTTAAACCAACTGCCCCTCTTCTCTTTTTCGGAGGTCACTCGAGTCAACACATTGGGTTTCCCTCCCTTGTCGGTAGACGCCTGCTCAGCCGAAGTCGTGTTCAGGCTGATGACCGGACGTTGGCCGCCGCGCTGGTCGACGTTACCCCACTGCTGTGGCGGCATCTGATTTGCGCCATGAGGCGGTGGCGGCGGCGGTACCTGGTGGTGGTGTTGTTGCTGTTGGTGGTAAGAGCCATTTTCAAACGGACGACCGTTCCCGAATCCGCCCAGCTCCGGATTGTCACCGAAGCCTTGGAAACCGTACTGCTCGGCAAGATCAGGATGCTTGCCAGGACTTGGCCGGTCAAAGGAGCTACTTTCGCTGTTCGGGTCGCTGTTGTAGGGCTCACTATAGCTCCCACCAGAGCCGTGGGTATTGACAGTGTCTCGAGATTGCTGGTATCCCGGCGAGGGATACACATTGTGCCCGGGGCCCTGACGTCCATAACCATTTTCATATTGCGAGCGGCTTTGTCGCGGCCGGCCCATATAGCCCTGTCCCTGGGTACTGCCGTTCTCTGTGTAGGGATGACGAGCAGGCATGGGGCGGGAACCATAGTAGCCTTCCTGTGGGGGATGTCGCGGCGGCATTGATTGCCTATTGTTCACAGCCGAATTCGCTGGGTGGCCGCGGGCCTCCCCATAGTAGCTACTCCTACGGCTCGCCATTTCTAGGTGTTTATTAGCGTCGAGGTCATGCAAGATGCTGCGAACGGCTTACCTTGACCTGCAGCCATGACCCTCCGTCTATAGTCTTGGTCAATTGCCTCCTGGAAACGACGGATCGTCTCGAGCGGGCGCTCCCACCGGTAGCGTGTCGGATTCGAAAAATCAGGATCAGCTATGACGGTCAGTGAGGCTTGCACTATGGGGCAACGGTTGGGCTAGGTACTTATAGGGTTTCCCTTGTCGTCTTTGTGTGTAAGCGAGCGTAAAGGTGCCATGGTGGGCGCCTCAAGGGCAGTAGCGACTGCAACATGTCAGCAAACCGATGGATTCAGCGGAGGCAAAGGCAGGGTGCATACCGGGCTGAGCTTCACTTATCGCAGCATTCGGGTCGGCCTTGGTCTCCTTATGCAGATGAGGCTTCACCTCACCACTCGGTTTATGCTGATGGCGAGGTGACAGATCGTCCTTGTCTGAATGATGCGACTTCTTGCTCTTGCGACTGACAGCGCTGACGCTCGACTTGGTACGATGCCTGCCCCACGGGCGGTGGTGCTGCTCGCTGTGGTTCTCCACGACTTGCGACATGGCTTCCTCTTGTTATCTTTGGGTGATGTACCGCACGTATGCTGTGCCGCGTTTCCCTTCTCCAACGCTGGGGAAAGTGGGAAGGTCTGGGTAAGACGGAGCAGGACAGGAGCAATTGGAATGGCTAGAACATGTACCACAAAGTGCGCGACGCAGAGTGGTGCTTGTGTACGTAGGGATAACGGATGGAGAGTAGCAGTGGGCCCGAGCGGCAGGATAAGTAGCTGAAAGCGGAGGCTGGGGTTTGTGGTAAAGATGGCGGGGGCTTGATGCGGAACAAACCACTAGTATTGAGGAACAGCGAAAATGGATGGCCAACGATGGTGGAAAGGACGGGGGGAGGGAAACGAGCGACAGAGATGATATATGACACGAAGTCAACGTGGAGGGAGAAAGGGTGGAAGGAGTGGGCTGGGTTATGGGCGGGCGGGCGTGGTGATACTTGTAAGCTCTTGCCCGCGCTGCTTGCTGCGGTCATGATCGTCGTCATCACTGGAAAATGCGCCAACCCCCTTGTGGACAGCCCATGTTTCGGAATGGATGAGTGGCGACGGGACCCGTCAAGACTTGCCTGCCAACTGTTTATTAATTTTGCACCCTTCACCGGCTGGTGCTGTGAATGGTGAATTGTCTACGGAGTACTCCGTCCTCCTCTTCGTACTGCCTCTCTGCAGCACCTTTTGACTCTCTTTTCTGCGCCGCTGCAGGTAGCCAAGATAAAGAGGCGGCGGGGAGGAGCCCGAAGCGGACGAGGTTGGGGGTCGTTATCAGTCTTTTGCCAGCAGAGCAGTGAGCGAAACCTGTAGTGATTCCTGCTCTGATGCGGAGTATACTGTCCGGCTATCATGGAACCACCGTATCAGCGCCGCCCATCCATTCCGTGAGAGGACGCGCGGAAACAAGCTAGCCCAACCAATCAGCCTTTTTTTCCCTTGCCCACCAGAAAACCAGAAGAATCCACCATCAACCGGTCCAAAATGGTCGTGGCATGGAATATTCCAGGAATTGCTCGGTTCGGTTTGAGCGACGGGGCTTGATCCAACTCTGCCCACTTTTCCCTGTTTGGGAACAAAGAGGGTGAATATATAAATATAGCAACCGTTTGGGAATCCCCGCTAGTTATCCGCACTGATGACTACTCCGTAGACGACGCTATGTATCGACTAATCAACATGGTAGCGAGAGCCCCTTACAAACCGGTGCTAGACGACTCCGCACAAGGGAACTCCATCAACCGTCCAAAAGTGGTGGAGGGACGGTCTGCTGTGACCAATCTCCCTAGCTCCGCAGGTAGACCTATCAGTCGCAAGCAACATATCTAGACACCAAAGGCCACACCAGTACACGGGCACGACAGTGTGGAGCTGAACGCGCAACCAACGATGCTGTTAACCCCGCTCTTCTCAGGATTCACCTCCGCTTCACAGTACCGTAACAATGACTGGTAGCCCACATGCCTTCGTACTCGGTAGTGTAACTGTACAAGTAGTATGCACTGCTTACCTAGACAACATCGTCATAACCCCTCCATAGGGCTGAACCCCATTTAGCGTACCGGTATGGAACTCTAATCCCGGAGATCGTCTCAGGTGATCGTGTTTCATCTTCACGATTTTCCTCTTGGCCGTCTCCACTCCCCGCGCTTCACTACTGAGAAGTGGTGCAAGCCGCCGAAACTAAGATGATAGCACTACTTGATATATTAAATGGAAAAAACCAGGATAGGCGAGGTACTCGCTTTTCCACTCCTCTATCAAAAGGAGTGAGCTTATCAATCATGGCGCTCCCCAGCTCATATAACTTGCAACAATCTCGCTGCCTCGCTCGTCATAAGTATGTACAACAATATGCTAAATAAGACGCTTCAACAGCAACAAGACATGGTAAACGCTAAACGGTCATCCCATCCGAGAAAATGCGCCAGACCATCTCCATCTCCATCTCTCTCCCTTCCCACTGGCCCCTCCTTTAAGCCAACTGCTACTACTGCTGCTCATCACACCTAGCTATGCGTAGGCATATTCACGCTCGCCTTGGTCGCCAAGGCATCCTCGCTGCGCCATAAGCTCGTCACCGTCTTCTGCTGCGTGTAGAAGTACAGGCCCGGCTTGCCGTAGAAGGTGTTGGCGCCGCCGCCCGCGATCGACTTCTTGTTTCCGGTGAAGGAGAACATGGGGAGCTGGACGCATCTTTGTTAGTCGCAGGTTCGTCTGTTCTGATCATAAGGGAGCACTCACAGGGACGGGAATGGGAACATTGATGCCAACCTGGCCCGCCTCGATCTCGCGCTGGAACCGTCCAGCAGTCGCGCCCGACCGGGTGAAGATGGCGGTGCCGTTGCCATACTCGTTCGCATTGATGAGATCGATCGCCTCGTCAATGGTGTCGACGTTCAGGCAGACGAGGACGGGGCCGAAAATCTCCTCCTTGTAGCACCGCATGTGGGGCTTCACGTTCGCAATGATGGTCGGACCAACCCAGTTGCCATTGGGGTACTTCTCGGGCTTCTGTCCACGACCGTCGAGGAGAATGGTGGCGCCTTCCTCTTCAGCGCTGGCGATCAGGTCCTCGATCCTCTTCTTGGCCTGAGGGCTGATGACGGGGCCTAGCTCGGCATCCTTCTCGAATCCACCGTTCATCTTGATCTTCTTCGCCATCTCGGCGATTTCGGGAACCCACTCCTTGGTCTCGCCAACCATGACGAGTGTGCTGAGTGCCATGCAGCGCTGGCCCGCGGCGCCGAAGGCGGCACCCGTGATGGAGTTGAGCGCATGGTTCTTGTTGCAGTCGGGGAGGACGGCGGCGTGGTTCTTCGCGCCCAGGTTGGCCTGTACACGCTTGCCCTTGGCGGATCCGCGGGCGTAGATGTACTCTCCGGCCTGGTTGCTGCCGACGAAGCTGATGGCCTTGATGCGCGGTTCGTCGATAATGAAGTCGACCGTCTTGGCCGCACCGTGGACGATGTTGATGACACCAGGAGGGAAACCGGCCTTCTCGGCGAGCTCCGCTAGAATCATGCACGCCCCCGGGTCGCGTTCAGACGGCTTGATGACGAGCGTGTTGCCAGTGACAGTAGCAATCGGAATACACCAGAGGGGGATCATTGCGGGGAAATCTGGGGGTCATTGTTAGCGCCTGTGGCCATGTGGGACCATCCGTGTCAACGCACTAAAGGGGCAGATGGCAGCAACAACACCGAGCGGCTCGCGATAGCTGCGAGTCTCCATATCCTTGGACACCTCGAGCACCTCGCCAGTCATCTGGGTGGTGATGCCGCAGGCCGTCTCAGCCACCTGCAGGCCCCGCAGAACATCGCCCTTCGCATCGGCGAATGTCTTTCCCTGCTCCAGCGTAATGCTGGCAGCCAGCCTGTCCCAGTTCTCGCGGATCAACGCAGTGTACTTGAACATGATTTGTTGCCTGTGGAGCAGGCTGGTCGCCCTCCATGGCTTGAACGCCTTCTCCGCGCTGTAGACTGCGGCCTTGAGCTCTTCGTCAGTGCTCTGCGGCACGCGGGTGACCAAGTTGTTGGTGGCCGGGTCGTGCAAATCTATCCATTGCGTTGCTTTTGAAGGCACAAACTGGTTGTCGAGAAAGTTTGGGGTATCTAGGGGGTTCTGGATCTTGTCGTGGGAGGGAGGGTATTCGGCCAGGGCGGCGGCAGCAGCGGGACGGAGATGCTGAGCGGTCGCATGTAACCGCCGCGAGGCAATCTTAGTGGCATTGGCAGGGGAGGGCATTCTGGTGTAGAGAGAAGAGGTAATGCGCGGTGTCGAAGCGCGGGTGGCCAATGTCGTGAGGTTGCGGGAGAGGACTCTGCGGGCGGCCATTGCGGAGGGAGATTTAACCGTCGCTCGGCAAATAGATGGATATGTGGATGTCCTGCACGCACGAAGCTGATGGCGAGGACCCGCAGATATATATATGAACAGCAGCTGGAGGAGCCGCAAGCGGAGGGACGGAGGGATGTGGAGCAGTGGAGCTTGCGGTTGACCCGTACAAGTTAAATGTACCAGGACGTGACGGCCAATTCGCCATCGTTGAGCCGCGGAAGAGGGGGTTCCCAGCCCGCGGATTGCCGAGCGGAGGCGCGGCTGACAAAGACGGGCCTCTCGCTGAACATCTATAGGGCCCCGACTGCTCTACATGCCCTACACGCCCTACACGCCCGCACCACCACTGGGTCACCACCGTTGTTGAGAGCGAGAAACGAGACAAGGAGACAGGGGTTTTTTATACCGTGTACTCATCAGTATGAATAGCCATCTCCTGATGTAATGCATTCCATATGATTATTCCGCTGAACGACCAACTATGTACCGCTTTCATCATCTCGTCTTGTGGGAGACATATTGTACACCGTAATAGCGCCATGCACCCAGAACCATATTCACCGAGCAAGAATCCAAAACACTTGATTTGAGAGAGCCTTCCCTCGAGTCATAAACCCATAATGCCGCTTTTGCTGCTTGCTAGAAACTCTCTCCAAGCCGCCCCCGATCCTCCTCTCCTGCCACGTCCTACGACGCGCTAGAGCGCGTGTTGCGCTTGTTCACCTCAGCCTGGGCCTTCTCAGCGCCCGTGGCAACAGCCTCCGCTGCCTTGTCCTTCGCGTCAACGGCCGTTTCCTTGGCCTTCTTCGCCGCAGCCTTGACCTGCTCCTTGGAAGGCGCTGCGCCGCCACTCAAAGAGGAGAGGAGGATGGCAGCGACTGCGACAACAAGCGCCCCGATACCACCGGCAACCTCCGGTACGGTCTTGATGGCCTCAACAGGGTCGCGCTTGATAACGTCAAGGAAAAGGTTGACCTTCTCACGGATGTAGAGAACAGGGTCCTCCTTGAAGCTGACATCAATGAAATTGGGGTCATCCGATCGCTTGGGGGCGAGAGTGTCCTCCTCAGCCTTCTCAGCGGCGAGCTTGGGAACGAATGTCTCCTGGCGGAGCTTCTCAGCGTCCTCAATGGAGTGGCCAATGTAGATGTTGTCGAAGAGAATGTCGTTCTGCATGGTCCAGATTTCGAAGCCAATCTAACCAATGTCAGCTAAGCTCACATTTGAGTCATGGTCAAACTTACAGCTCCCATGGGCTCAAACTTGGCAGGGTTCTTGTCCTCAAAGTAGTTAGGGTTCTTGATCTTCCTAGGCTTCCACTCTCCCTTGTAGGCCGGGTTGTCAATCATGGGCGCCGTCCACTTGCCCTTATAGGCAGGGTTCTTCTTCATCGGTGGCTCCCACTTGCCGCAGCCAGAGACCTCGTCACACTTGGGGTTGGGAACAGTGGGGGGAATCCAGTCGCCATCCTCCTCATCATCCCAGTCCTCAGGCTTCTCGGCCTCCGGGTCGGGGATAGTGGTGGGCTCATCCTCCAGCCAGTCCTCGGGCTTGGTAGCCTCCTCGTCGACAATCTCGAAAGGAGCGTCCTCGTCCCAGTCATCGGGCTTCTTCGCATCCGGATCAGGGATGCGGGCCTCATCAACCCAGTCCTCCGGCTTCTTGTCATTGGGGTCGTCGATCTCCTTCTCCGGGTTAACGGGCGGGGTGAAATCCTCAAGGAGAGTGCCGTTGCGAACGGACTCGCCGTCGATCTTGATCTCGAAGGAGTTATCCGGTTTGACAATGAGAGTGTAGAGCGAGGTGGTCTTGACGATGCGGGCCATTGGGGGGTTCTTGAGATGCTTCTCCTCGTACTCGCCGGTCTTGGGGTTCTTGTGGCGGAAAATGAAGTGAACCTGGGACATGTTAGGCGTGATTAGAGAGAAAAGGTTCCTGACCCAGCGTCATACCTTGTTAGTGGCACCGCACTTGTCGGGACCGAACATGATGATGTAGGGGGAAGCGTTCGAGAACTCCTCCTGGTGCAGGGCTTTGTTATCTTGGAGGAGCTTCATATAAGCACCACCGCACTCCAGGCCGTCTACACCATGGTTAGTGCAACGTCTCCAAGCCGATTGAAGCACGTCAGCTTACTTTGAAGCTTGACCTCATACTGGACGACAAGGTTCTTGCCCTTGGGGTTGATGGCCTTGGGGAACTTTGCGGAGATGGCGTGATGAGCAGCCTTGTCCTTGATGACGAGGCCTTTATCACCTTCCATTCCCTTCAGCACATGCGGCTCCTCAACCGCCCAGTTGCCAACGTAGGCCCATTCCTCCTCCGCCGACTTGTCATCCTTCTTCGCGTGGCTGGCCTTCCACCGCGATTCCCAATCGTCGGTGAACTGCTCCAGGAAGGGAGCCTTCAATGTCGTCGGCTGCGAGACCAATTGTTAGCAAGTGAAGGTTGCGCAAGTGAAGGTAGTAGGGAAGCGTACGGTAAAAGTCGGTTTAACGATTGAAGTCGACGTAGAGGACTCGGAAGCTGCTTTGCTCGGCCCCTCGACGGCGCGCACAACGGCGGCAGCAATGAGTGCCGTGGCACCGATCGTGAAACGCATGGTGGTGGGATGCTGCCTACTGTCTGGCGGAGAGCAGAGGACTTGGTGTTGACAATGGGGAGGGTTGTGGCTGGGGATTGCAGAGGAGGTTCGTTGTCGTTGTGTGGAGGAACGATTTACGTATTTGTATGGCGGAGAGGCCAGGTGGTAGCTTCGGTGGAGGCGCGATTCTGATTGGTCCCCACGGTAATGCCGATGCACCGACTCCAACAGCTGTCGAAGCTTCACGAAGCAAATTCAGGCCACTTTGCATATATCTCACAGACAGTTTCACAGGCTGCTTTTGCCAGGCTCAGCCTCTGCGGCTCGGATATTTTGCTGCTCAATAACGGAGGAATGATTGCAATATGGCAATTGCGGACAGTCCCGCTCGCTGCCATGCGGTGACGTTGTCCCTCTCCCCCGCAAACTATTGGGCGGCTTTGTCGAGCTTGCCCTCCGCTCATACAAGTACTATAACACAAGATGAGTAAAGTCACAGGCAGTACGACCCAGGCTCTATCTTTCAGGCACGCATAAGAGATGTTTTATCATACAACACGACATCATTTACCCACCGCAACTCCAGCTTGAGACTGTGGAAACGTTAGATGTTGTCTGTCTCGTCAGCAAGCTCTCTCAAAATGGCTAGCTCGGAGACACTTGTGGACAGGTCAACCTCAGAACTCCGCAGGTCGCCGGCACGCCTTCATCAGAACGAGCAAAAGAGTTATGAGCCAAGTCTAGTACGGGATGTAGGAAACTCGGTTCTCGTGTCCGCGTTCCGGTGGGAATCTTCTTTCCAACAACCAATGGACCCTTCCACTGTACGAAAGGCATGAGCCAGCCAATGAACCATGGAACATGCTCACCATATGTACATGCCCACTCATTTTACATACCAAAGCCCTCCCGTTACCCTCCTCCTGCCTCCTCCCGCTTCTCGTACCTCCCACGGTTGGGTTATAGACACTGACACACTATCAATCCAATGTCACTCTGAGCCAACATCGCGCGGACGGGGATCGGCTTTGCTCGAGTTACCCTCGCGGCGGTCGTAAGCCTTTGGCTAAGGTGTGCAATGGGACACCCGTATTGAGTGCGAGCCGGGCTGTTGGGGCTTGTGGGGTTTTCAGGAAGCAGGAGTTGATGGCAAGCTTGTCTTCGTGTGTGTGTAGGGTGGGAACGAGAAAATAGGTTGTTGGAAGTAGGGTTGGTTGTGCATTTATGGGGTTACTGTTTCTTCGGCTTTGGCGTTGTTTGATTTAATGTAGCTTTCTATGTTATTCCGGAAGCAGCAAAGCATGATCCTTTTATAACCCCTTCTGCAATCGTACACTCACTCACCCGCTCACTCACCCAACCACTCAGCAATGACTCTGCTAACCCACGCCTCCACACTATGCCCAACGTACTGACTGTGCGTTGGGAGGAAGTCGCCCAAAGGCTAGAGCAGGCGGACACTTGTAGACGCAGTGGCGCTTCTATAGCCACCCTGGATGTGGTGGAGGATGAGTGCGATGCGTGACTTCAAGAGCTTTTCGACGTCGCATTGCTGTCGCTTGACAAATTTCAGGGAACGAAATGTCGACGCTGTATGCAATAATTGAACTTTATGCATCACTGCATAACCAGTCAAGGGCCACTGACTCCACTAACCAAACCGTCCATACCCAACGTACGCTTGACTAGGTCTTGGGCAAGAAGGCGCCCGAAGGGAAGAGGAAACAGACACTTGTAGACGCAATAGCGCTTCTATAGGCACTATAATAGTAGAGGATAAGGGTGCTTATACTACAGGGTATATCTATCCTACAAACCGGCACCCCTAGACTCTGTGAATCAAAGACTACACATACATACAGACTGAATGGGGTATATGTACCAATACGCAACGCTCAAAGATACTCTTACAAGAAGTGACGTCTTCCCCTTCCTCCAAATCTCCTGCCCTTCAATTACACCGAGTCACCTCCCTTCCCATCCACCCCATTCGCCTTCTTCCCACCATTCTTCCTCTCCTCCCTCTCCAACCTCCTCTCCTCCCTCTTCTTCTTCTCCTCCTCCAACCCCGTCCTCGTCTCCTCATGGTGCTTATTCAGCACATTTCTCGTAATCAAAAAGCTCACCGCGAGGCCCAGCGCCGAAAACGCCACATAGATAATCCACATGGTGCTCAGCGACTCGGCAAAGGCCTGGCGCGCAATCCTCTTCAGCGCGGGAGGCAAACTGTTGATGAGGCCGACGTTGGCGCCAGCGGATCCGCCGCCAAATGCGGAGGCGAGGTCAGGGCCCAGAGACGCGCGGAGCGAAGACTGCTTGTGCTTCATTTGGTTTTGGAAGATGACGGCGCCGACGACGACGGAGATGGCGGAGCCTAGATTGCGAATGAAGCCATAGGCTGCGGTTGCGGTGGCAATGTCGCGCTTCTAGAAGGGGCATGAGTCAGCACTGTGTACATGTAACATGTAGGTGGAGAATGCGGGCTACATTATGGGAGAGATGAAAGAGGAGAATGAGGTAAAACAGATTGCGAAAGACCATGTGGTGTAGTAGAAATCAAGAAGCCGGTCGAACATATGGGAAGCAATCACGTGTGTACGATTACGGCCGCGCAGCTTCACTGCACAGGTGCACCCAAATGGCGCTCCTTCCTCATGCGAGGAAAGCATGCAGCAGGAACGAAGCTTGGCAGGGACGTTATGCCAACCTTAATCTGACGTTGGACAAGCGAAACCAAATCATGCAAGACATACCGGTACCAGAGATTGCAGTGCAATGAGCGGCGCCTGGAAGTTTGGTCCGACGCCAATACCCCCAACAATTTGATAGAGGATGATCTTGGCCCAAGAGGAATCGGCGCTCAAGTTGATGAAGAGTCCGAATCCCAAGGTCATCAAAGTCATCCCAAACCAGATAGGGGGTAGATATTGACCGGTTTTCCTGATGAAGACGCCCGTGCCTGCGGATACAAACGAGAGAGATAAAGCTGTGGGCAAGAGGTAGACTCCGGAAAGGATCGGGGTGGCCCCTAGCACAGCCTGGAAATAGAGCGGGAGGAAATATGAGCCGGAAATGAAGACGAAGGCATGAAGGAAGCATACGCCCAGGGCTGCGAGATTGGACCGCTTTGCAAAGATATCAAGCGGCATGAGAGGATATGGTGCGATGCGCCGCTCAATGACGAAGAAGATGCCAATGGTGACTGCCCCGAATACAATCAGGCATATCACGGTCGCAGAATCCCATGGGAACTGGATTCCGCCCATCTCGAGACCCAATAGGAGCATGGTGGTGCCGCCAATCATGGTCAAGGCGCCTAACCAGTCTACCGCTTTGAGCCCTTCGCGGATAGGAGTCTTGGGAGTATGTAAGTCGAGAACGAAGAGGATAATCAGAAAGGCAATGCCATCCAACGGAAGGTTGATATAAAAACACCAACGCCAGCTCACGTTCTGGGTGAAGGCTCCACCAACCACGGGTCCGAGGGAGGATGCCAGAGCCCAGACGCCGCCTATGATGCCAAAGTAGGCGCCTCTTTCTCTCATGGCAAACAGGTCCGAGATGGCGATGTTTACGAGCACGATCAAGCCGCCACCTCCGATGCCTTGGATGACCCTTGCAGCTATCAGCATGTCCATGTTGACGGAGACGCCAGCGAGCAGCGAGCCAACAAAGAAGATGCCGTTGGTCACAAGTATGATGGGTTTCCTTCCGAATATGTCCGAGACCTTGCCCCATATTGGCGTTGCAGCGGACGAGGCGATGAGGTAGGCAGAGCCTATCCAGGTGTAGCCAGTAGCAGAGTGAAAGTGCTGGGCGATGGTTGGGAGGGCGGTGGTGACAATGGTGATGTCGAGGGCAACCAGGAGCACAGAGATGCCCAGTGACAGCATGATCAAGGCAACCTTGAGCTTGCTGCGCGCGGGTGGCTGTTGGGCTGCGCCTGGGGCTGCCTGTGCAGTGTCTTGGTCGGCAGCAGCATGCGTGGCGTCCTTCTCGTGGGGTGCCATGGCTTCAGGCGACGCTTCATCCCTTCTTGACTGGTTCGAGGGAGTGGAGGGAGTTATGGGGGTTGAAGGTTCCTTCTTGGAGAGGGCGTCGATGTCAGCAGGCGCAGGCATCGTGGGTTCCTCGTGCGCCATGTCGACTCGAGAAGGCGCAAAAGGGCGAGATGGGAAAAAGAAAGACTCGAGATATCAAGGTGCAAGGCGATGAAGAGGGAGTCGAGGCATCACGTCTGACAGGACGCAGATGGGATTATTACAAAAGCAAAGAGGCCAGGCTCCTGGGTCTGGGGTCACGATGGATGGCCTCGCCTCGGCAGCCGAAGAGCCGATGCGTACGGTAGGCAGTCCGTATTGAAGTCCAACCGAGCGTGAGCACACGCAAGATACAAGTTGGACGCCAAACAGAGAGATAATGATGGGGAAAGTAGCTTTGTAGGGACGGCCGTCCCATGGACGCGGGTGAGGCCCGTGGGGGGAATGGGACTCTTCGGGTGCAAGCAACCTTGGTTTGGGTCAAATTTCTTGGCGTCTTGGCATGCTTATAAAGCTGAAGGCGGGGCGGAACAAGACTACCAGTCACGGGAGCATTACTCCGTACTGTGCACCTGCAATCCGCTCCAGTGCTCCAGCTATTATCTGTGCGAGTTACGATACGATCCACTGCTTCTACTGTGTACACTGTATGCCTGCGATGGAGCTCCAGATGCACACACCGGGACGTTGAATGATGGCTCCGCGGAAGGCACACGTGACCGCCTTATGCATGCGAGTCCAGATGTCGGCTGTACGGAGTACTCAGCGCTGTGCTCACAGTAAACAAAGGCCGTCATCGATCTACCAATGGCAGGCTGCGTGTCTCCATCCCATCACAACGCCAAACCAACGGGCGCTGGGCAGAGTGACGACAGAAAAGGTCACTTCTATCAATGCACCAGAGAAGTCTCCGCAGACGGAAACAGAAGGAGCACAGGCAGAAGAAGCATTCCGCCGGCGGGCCGAGTTGCATCGGCAGCCGTGACGCGTCTCTCCCTATCACAGTATACAGAGTATTGTTATATCTCGCAGCATCTGAAGAGAATGATGTTACTTGTATGTATATAGATAGAGATCGGTGGGGACTTTGGCAGGAGCGATGCAACTGCCCCCGCCCGTCTGCCCGTACCCCCGCCCTGCACCCCCGCCTCTCGCAACATTTGGAACCCGCCTGATCGTGCCGATCTGCACGCACAGACGGCGGTCTCGACCACAACTGTGCAGCCAGATTCAGTTTCGCAGGGCTTTTGCCGTTTCACCCCCAAGGCCCTGTGCCAACGTGACCTCTCCTCTCCCCCAGACCCCATGCGGTACCCTCTCTGCGTGCCCTGCCCACGCCCACAACACCCACGCTGCTACTCTTGAGCACACCGCTGCCCTTGCCGCCAATCCCGCATTCCTCACCTCCCCGTCCACTCTCGCTGAAAAAACGCCGCCTCCTCCTCCGACTCTCCCCTCTCATAGAAACACCTCAATTCCTCCGAGATCAATCCACCAAATAGGCCCGGACGCATGTCGACACCGATACAGCGCCCGTTTGCCGAGGGATTCACGCTGGAGAAGGGCCTTTCATCCATTACGACACTGGTGACGCCGCCAACATCGCTTGCTTTTTGATCTCCGCACTTTCGCCCTCCCCCGACTTTCCGGCTTCCTCTCTCTCCCGCACCAGGAGCCAACCGGATCCAATTCAACCATGATGGGTGAGGTCGCCTCGTTGCGCTCGTCCGCATCCCATACCTCCTTCTTCGACTCGTCTGCCTCCTTTGACCGCCGCACCCGCAAGAAGAGCTCCTCTCACTCCGACCTCGTCCGCTTGGCCACCTCGAGTTCCACCCTCTCGACCTCGTCCAAGGCCACTTCCAACAGCAGCTTCTCACTGCATGTCGATTCCGATTCGGACGATTCAGAAGACGACGGCTTGCTTTTCCCCGAATACTCCAAGGGCACACAGAGCCGCAAGGACATCGACAATGTGCCGCCCTCGAGCCCAGTAGGCGCTAACATAACCCCGAGTTCGCCAGTCGAGACAGCAGACTCCAATTCGCCCGTGGGCGCGTTACCCGATCCTCCGCTACACTTTGAGGATGACACGGCCGTGAAGGTTGAACCTTCCCATCATGTCGACTACCTCACATACGAGTGGCGAGAGGAGAAGGATCTTTGGTCGTCGTGGCGCCATATTGTAGAGCACAGGAAGGTCTATGGTGAGCGGTCCAGGCTGGAAAATGCCTCGTGGCGGACATGGGCAAAGAACCAGTTCAAACTGAAGACCGTGTCGCCAGAGACACTGGATTGGGCCAAGGAATTGGACGTAGCATGGCTCTACGGGCCCCTACAACCGGCTTCGAATCGATCCGTCTCGCTCAATCCCTCGGAACCCACCAGTCGGATATCCAAGACCAACTCCTTCGTACAGAAGAAGCCCATTCTCAAGAAGAGGAGCATGTCCGAGGTGATGCTACAGAACTCCATCTCCGCATCGTCGCTGGTCAAGCAGGCGGCTGCCGCAGTTCAGGCCCAACAGAGAGCTGGTGGCACCCCTTTGGAGCCACGACGCCCTCGGCCCATCCTTGCCCAAACCCCGTCGGATTACTTCACGTCGGCCATCCCTTCGCGCACCGCCAGCAGAGACCCTCCCGACTACTTCTCCTCTCGATCTACATCCGGATTGCATACCCCCGAGTGTGGCGAGCGCAAGCACATCCGGTTCGACGAAAAAGTCGAACAGTGCATTGCCGTCGAATGCAAAGGGACCGACGACGACGATTATGATGAAGACTGGGCAGCCAATGACCACTCCTCTGATGAAGACATGGTCATGATGAAGACTGCTCGGAGAAGACGTCCGCGGCCTAGGAAACCTTCCAGGACCGCTTCCGCTGCCGAGACCAAGATCATTGAGAAGCTCCCGGCTACCACGCTCAAGTCCCAGACGGATTCCCCCGAGGTCTCCGAACACCACCTGAGCCACTCGTTATTTGGTGTCTACCGTTCGGCGCGGCTCTCTCCGTCTCCCTCGCAGGAGACACTCCGGCCGTCGAATCCGTCTACGAACTTCCTGCTGCCGAATGAGGAAGACGACGAGGAGGAGGATTGGCGTTCAGCCCGCGCTTACGAGGTCAAGCGACCAGGTACACCCACACCCCACAAAATGTACGCCAGCAGCCTGATGAACGCCAGCAACCCCGACAGCTCGCAAGCCGAATCGTCCTCCTCTGGGGGTCTGAAACGGACAGCATCGGGCGTAATGACGCCATTCCAAGGCGGTCGCGACGACGACGTTGAGGGCGCAGTTCCTCCCGGCATTCTCGGTAAAGTCGTAGACACGGTGAACACTGCTAGAGACATTGCGCATGTGATCTGGAATGTTAGTTGGCGGGGTTAGACATTCTGCACCATTACAAAAGCAAGCTGACAAGGAAAAGGGAAAGGATGGCTAAATGTATAATTCACTAATCATCATCACTAGCTGTAGTGTTCTCCTTTCTCCGGCGGTCTCTCTCTCTCTCTGGGGTTAGCATGCATGGCATTTTTCATTTGTTCGCTTTTTCACCTTTCTCTGTCACTCGAGTCTCTCGACTTGGGCACTTGCATCTGCAGGCGGTTTTCTCTCTTTTTCTCGAGGTAGTACTAGCCTCGTCATTGGGGTGGCACTCTGTCCTTTCCTTCTACTTTCCTTTTTCTTGGCGGGCGATAACACTTGTACGTACACATCTGGGTTCTCGGATTGGGAACAGTGGGTTATCGGACTAGGATCGTGGGGGTTATGGTCATGGATCAGGCACGCGGTGTCTAAGGGATTCTATTGGGAGAGGAAAGGAGGGACTGAGAAGGGCAGGGTGCAGCAACTGGTGGTGTATGGGGAAGACGTATACGGTATGCTAGGGAAGGGTAGTCTAAGGCGTTGGATGGCCCGCAGATAGGCCATACTTGCCTTGTAAGGCTGATGAATGGAAATAATCAATATCATTCGTGCTGCGTGTTGAGGATTATCGTCGAGGTTCCATCAGCTATTTCCCTCACTCTGGTCGCTGACCTGGAAGCCGTCAGCTCCAGAGGGGACAATACTACGAGAGGAACAGTGGCATTGAGCTTTTCCTTCCCTGTCTTTTGGTAGCTACTCTGTGTGGATTTCACACGAGATGAGTATACGACGAAACATTTACGTCAACTTTATCAAACCCACATCCACGATCATATTCAACTCCCTAGCCCAAATTCCCGTGACATCCAAGATTCACGTGCCCAGCTACTTACTCCACACAGGAACGCCTCCAAAAAGCGTTCGGTCGCCCTGGGAAAAGCCCAAAATACATTAAAACATCACTGAGTGGGGGTGCTGGTTGGCTTCACTGTCCCGATGTTGGTGGTGGCACATTCTTGATAAAAGCAGCCCTGCAGCGCACCAGTTGAACAAAGAAAAATAAACCGCATCCCCTCAACAGCCAGCCGGTCGCCGAGACGACGAATGCGGCGGTGCCAGTGTTGTCATGTAGTCTTTGTTCGACGGGTTGTTTCTTTTAGAGTTTCTACATCGAGTTCAGTTGTACGTACCCTAGGGTAGCATTGACTGCCTAAGCTATTTATCGATAGCGGCGTGCTTTGGCGTCATTTACCCATCTATCTACAGTAGCAATCCTTGCTAGCTATTTTGGCAGTTCGCTATCGATTACGTCTAGCTTGTATAGTACATGTTCGACAGCTCGGCCGCTCGCCACCGAGATATAAGCTATCTATCTAGCTATCTATACCTACAGCAACACGGGTCGAACATCAGTCAAATTGCGACGAATTGAGACAGAACTGCCACCGTCGGTACTGGGAAAAGAAAGAGGAGACCAATCATACACTTCTACATCTCGAATTGCGCTAGATAGCACGTCCTTGCCACCGACGTAGAGGGACTGACTCTTGCCGAATCGACATACAAGCGCAAGGTAGACACAGAAAGGCTGCCATAAAGTTCGTATCCGCCGCCGATAGCTGGAAAACGGAGGGAAATTCGAAATTAAGGGCAAACAGGAGAGAGGGACGGAGAAAAAGGAGGAGGGAGCCCACAATGTGCTACTACAAATTGTACATCTATGACGGATGTGGGCATTCGCTGCGGTCGGTGAGGCCGGCGCGTAGGTGTAAGATATACTGGGGATATGAGAAGGAGAAGGAAGAGGAGGAGCAGCGGAGAGAAGAGCAGGAGCTGGGGCGAGCGATGATGGAGGAGGGGAGACAGCGGGGAGAGGAGGAAGATGTTGCTGCGGGCCAAGGAGTAGCAGTTACGGAGAGTGACAGGGTCGAAAAGAAGCACGACAAGCACGACAAGCACGACAGCGCCGTGCCGTCGGAATGGGGCAGGGCTTCGGTTGAGATTGAAAGAGGGGAAGGGCATGGGAGCACCCACGGAGAGGGATACGACATCCCACATCCACACCCACGCCCGCAAAACCACAGCAATCCATCACATTCCAATTCCTCAACACCCACCTGCCCCGACATCCTCACCCACGCCTTCCTCTCCTACATGATCCACACCCTCTGCCCAACCTGCGCCGCCAACCGCGATGCCTTGCTCTCCGACGTGCAGGACGGACACGCAATGCAGTTTGAAGACTGGAAATGGAAAGTCAAGTATTGGAGTCCCGTGCCCGAGCAGGCGAGGTATACCATGATGGGTGGTGGTGGTGGGGATCATGGCCAGGGATGGGGAGAGATGATGGGGAGTTGGGTGAGAGAGAAGGGGTCCGGGCTGGGATGGGGGTTGGAGGGATTTCTTGGGGGTGGAAGGGGAGGAGGACGGAGGGGACGGGGGAGAGGGTGATGGGTGGTGGTGTTCTGAGAATGGCGGTTGGCGGGGAGGAGGAGAGGTAGAGTACTGTGAAGAACGGATGGAGACTCGCTTTGCTGGTTTCCTCTGTCGCCGGCCTTGGAGAGGCCTGTTTTGCCTGTTTGAAACCTCTCTTTTGGAACGTCACCTGTAGCGTCTCCAGATTACAAAGACCATCTCCTTTTGTCAATCAAGATGCATTAAGCATGCGCGAATCAAGAGACGAGTACAAAGCCGGAGGTTGTTACTGTCGTCTGCAATTGTCGTACAAATTCGCTTCTCTTCCTCTGTAGGGTCACGGCGATCTTTCCCGGCGCCTTCATCTTTCCGCTTGGTTATATACAGTTGCAGATCCCTCTCGGCTCGGTGGGTTACCACCCTGTTGTAAAAATGCTCCTCAATCCGTGATTACTTCTTGTACTGCTCGTCGAGATAGTTCTTCTGCGCAAACAGGTAACCCTTGACCTTGGCATCCTTGAGCAGCTCAAAGTACCGTTCTGAATCCACCGGTTAGCGTATGCTCAATCTCAAATTCGCTCTTTTCCATTCTTGCCCAGAAACTACTCCATCCACAATATATCCCTTTAACCCAAACAATCCTCGACATAGAGACGCATCACCCACCTCTCAAATGCCCGCACTTCTCCAAATGATTGACCCCCTCCCTCCGATAGCACTTGCCCATCTCCTCCCTCACCAACCGCGCCATCATACTCCTGACCCACTGCTCCCTGAGGATCGCATCTTGCGCGGCCTTGAGCGCGACGTTGTCGTCGTAGTCGACGCCCTCGAAGGTCGGCGGCACCTTGGGCTTCTTCGCCAGGAACATTTCGGACTCTGGGGTCGGCATTGTGGCGGCTGGGGTCGTGGATGTGTTCGCGGAAGGGTGCGGGGTGGGCGGTGAGGATTGAGCGCGAGAGGAGGGCGCTCAATGGGCGGTGGTGAGCGTAGTGGGTGTTGTGGGCTGGTTCGAGGTGACGATGGAGGTTGAACTCAAGCTTGCCGAACGGGGATAGTTGCCAATCACGTGATCACATGATATCATCGAGTTAGGCAGTCCTGGGATAGCAACAGGAAATTGAAGCTTGACGGAAAAAGCTAGAGATGATTTATTGATTTGCATCAGTGGTGCTGCTTGGATGTTCAAGTTCGAGGATTCATGGAGTGTCATGAAGTTCGGCCTTGGCGTTGCGTTCCCCTGCCTTCCATCGTTTTCGACTGCCCCTTCGTCTCTTCCTCCACGTCGTCGATAATTATAGATGTGTGTTTAGTGCCTGCACCCCGGCTTCCTGAGCTCCGAGCACTTGTTCATGTTCCTGGTAGGAGACTAGGCTCTAGAAACCAAAACCCTATGTAGGTGCCTCAATCCCGCTCGGATGCTGTCTATAGCTATACACGCGGTGACATCCAAATCGCGTGCAACGTCCAAGAAGCGATACTGAAGTATTACATCGTATTTATCGAGAGCAATTCCAGTAATGCGGCCTCGATTGACGGTGCAGCCGTGGTATCTGATAATGTTTGGATGAGGGCTTCGCTGGATAATCTCAAAGGTTTCGGCCTCCTCGATGAGCATTTGAGGAAGGGTCTTTGTTAGTTCCTCATCATCGAGGTACAGCAATTGGGGACGTTTGATATGGAGATTTTGTCGATGACTTTCTGCGCCAACAGGGAGATGCGGTGGCGCCAACGCATAGACTTTCTCATCTGGTGTCTTTTGCAAGTCTCCTCCTATGTCCTCGATGGTGAAGTCATATTTGCGTACACCAACTGTCTAGCCGAACCACACCTCATCCTGGTCATTGACGTAGAAATACGTCGTGCGTAAGAATGCGCCAGTTTCGTAGCTGTCAACTTCGCAGAGACGTGTCAAGTCTTTCTTCGAATTGATGGTTCGTCCGAGCTAGGAGTGTTCTTAGGATGGGATGGGGCCATCAGTTTACTGATAGATAGTAAGTGGAGTCAGGCAAGGTTGGTGTAAAGCTAGCTCAGGAGACGGCGGGGAAGGGGTAACGGCGGAATGATTTTCCGTTGCCCCTGTCTTGTGGTGTCATAGTCCTGAGACTACTGCAAGTACATCGCAGACCAGCTATAACGATTGACGATATCGTACAACGTGTAGCACGACTGCAGCGCAAGCCTAATAACGACGAAGTTCTGCGTTGTGACTTGTGGTTCTTCTAGTATCTCCATCGGCAATGCCTTTCCCTTTCGTCTTGCCTACAACCTCTAGCATCTCCTTTAACGATTACTTCAGCAGCTCCACTCACCCGTCTCTACCACTCTGCACTACCACAGCTCGGGGTGTGCTCCGGGATGTCTTGAAAAGACACAAGCGTATGCCAGCCGCATCACAAGCTTCGAACCTCGCCACTGTACAATCGGCCCTAAACGACTACATCCCCTATCTGTTCGCCCTCGATGCGGGTCTCAGCGGAGCCAGTTGCGCTGGGGAGGAGATTGACCTGGTCCTTGTCAAAGAGCTGGAGGTAGAATGGCGAACTACACTTTCTTCCACCCTGCCTGGCCGGGAACCTCCGCGTGTGAAGCTGAAGAGCCTCGAGAGCGAGCTGTTCTTCACCCTCTCAACCCTGGCATACGTTCACAGCCTGCAGGCTCGAGCACAGTTGCGTACCCTTTATAGCGCCTCGCTCCCCACTCCTGAGCAACGAGCGACAGCGATAAGCGCGTCGATGAAGAGTTTCCTCGCTGCGAATTCCATACACACGTATCTTGTCAACAGGGCAGGACAGTGGACAACTCAGCCGGCGGCTGTAGATATATCCATTGCTGTTCAGGGAGCTTTAGCTGAGCTTACTATGGCGGAGGCAACTCTTATCACCGTTCTGAAGGACGACCCGTATCCTACCGTGGTGATTGAGGATCGGAACAAGCAGAACAAGGACTGGATGTTCAAGGGCGTCGAAATACCAAAGGTCCGCGCCCATCTCTTCGCTCGTCTATGTTTGGCATCTTCAGAGCATGCGGCGAAAGCACAAGCTATGCTCAATCGAGCGTCGAAAGTGAATGAGAGTCTCCTGCAATATACAGACGACTTGAGACGAACCGCCAAAGCCAAAGCATGCCGTTTCTTAGGCATCGATGCGGAACTATCGGGCAAGACAGGCGAAGGGATCGCCTGGTTGAGGGGCGCGAGGAAAGAGCTCGGGTTTACAGCTCTGGGCGATGACGAGGAGAAGAAGTCATCTGGATTCTCCAAGCTCAAAAAGGAGTGGCAAGAGAAACGGGAGGATCGGAAAATCGAGAAGAATGAAGGCTGGGGAGCGGACGCAGGGAAATTCGAGGAGGGTCGTGTGTTGAATATGCTTCTGGACAAGTGGACGAAGATGAACGACACCGTAAGCCTACGTTTCTCTGCTGTTCGAGTGACTATTATGCTCATTCTATCAGATTGGAGTTCAGCTTGTGCCTCCGTCAGAAACCCTTTTGGCGACCATGCCCTCAGGACGAGAGTACCATGTTCCGAAGATGTTCATCACGCCCGCATTGGATGAGGATTCAATTATCCGAATGAGGGCGCCTCCCGATCCTTCTGACTCTGCATTCAAGGGAGACGAGGATGATAGTGCGTCTGATGATGAGAGAGATCCTCCTACCGCTCCTGGCGCTTTTCCTAGTGCTACAACTGACTATGGTGGTGGCACCAGCTACTATTGAACCTGGCCTCCTCTTCCGGCCTCAAGGTAACTACAGCCAGCAGCACAACGTGTGATCCCTCCAATAATATGAAACACGCCGTGACCAGAGGGTACCTTCCAATGCAGTTTTATCTGCCTCGTTGGGGCTAGTGTTCATAAGATTAGCACTTGCCCCTTTGGGAAGGCTTAATATGTGACTTAAGAACCCCAACTGTTCCAGTCACAATGTCTACTCAGCATCAACATTGACCTTCAATGCCTCTCTACTACGAGTCAGAGCGAGCAGAAGAGGGTGGGCGCATTGCTGAGGCGTTCAGAGTGCTGCTCTGATATACACATGCGTCACCCCCGCTTCTTCTCCAACCAGATAACAGCGCCAGTAACCTCTGGCGTCAGCAGGACAGTTACATCCCCCAAACGATAACAGATAAGTGATCGCAGCATACAGTTGCCCTCTCCGATAAGCCCGGGCCGCCCGGGGAAGATCAATTGATATATATGAGTTCAGCGGGATTCCCATGGTTTGCAATCTCCGCTGCACTGGAGAGTCAGCCCCGTTATTACAACGACACTTCCAACCCAGGCTCCGCAACCATGGCTTCACAGCTGTCACACAAGAGACGCAGTGTGGCCGAGGAGCCCGTGACTTCTGTCCTGCCTGGTGGAGATATACCTTATGATCCGACGCACGATTTCGATGAGGACGAGGAGGTGTTGGCGGCTCTCGGGTACAGGTCCGAGTTCAGGCGCGAGTTCTCACTCTTCACGACGTTTTGCGTATCGTTTGCCGTGTTGGGTTTGCTTCCGAGTTTCGCGTCGACGCTGTACTATGGGATGGGATATGCCGGAACCGCTGGTCTGTATCGATATGGTCCGCCTGAGCCATCATCTTGCTGACTGGTTCGCACAGGCATGACGTGGGGATGGATTGTTGCCATGGTAGGAATACAGTGCGTCGCCAGCAGTATGGCAGAACTATGTTCTTCGATGCCAACGTCTGGGGGACTCTACTATGCCTCTGCCGTGCTTGCGCCTCCAGGCTGGGGTCCATTTGCCGCTTGGATTACTGGTTGGAGCAACTGGCTTTCTCAAGTCACCGCGGCCCCATCTGGTAAGCCGATATCGAAGCTCTCTTCAAGTTTGGCGAGCTGACTGTTGTGACTAGTCAACTATGGCGTAGGTTATCCACGTTGTCATTCTTGGAACCAGATGCTCACTGCTGTGACCAGGTCGCTGCCATGATACTTGCTGCTGGCTCGATTCAATACCCCAGCTACGTGCCTACCCACTATCAGACGTTCCTCCTCACGGTCTTCCTCATGATTATCCACGGGGTCATGTCCTCGCTGCCAACCAAGTGGCTCGCCCACCTCAACTCCGTCGGCTCAACCTTCAACTTTGTCGCTCTCGTCATCGTCATCATACTTATTCCGGCAGCCACAGATCGCGAATCGCGTGGCCTTTCTCGATTTACCCCCTCCAGCGAAGTCTGGGGCACCATCTACGAGGGCACTGCCTTTCCGCCGGGCGTCTCGGTTCTAATGTCCTTCATCAGTGTCATCTGGACCATGAGCGGTTACGACAGCCCCTTCCACCTCGCAGAGGAATGCTCCAACGCCAACATCGCCTCTCCTCGCGCTATCGTCCTCACCTCCGCGACCGGCGGCATCCTGGGCTGGTTCCTCCAACTCACCGTTGCGTACACCGTCGTCGATATCGCAAGCGTGCTCGATTCGGACCTGGGCCAACCTTTCGCAGCTTACCTCATGCAATGTATGCCCCAGAAGATTGTCCTCGCTATTCTGGCCCTGACTATCATTGCGGGATTTTCCATGGGGCAGGGCTGCATGATTGCGGCCAGTCGAGTCACCTTTGCCTATGCACGCGATGGCTGCTTCCCACTTTCACAGTACTGGCGCGTAGTCAACCCAGTCACCCAAACGCCCGTCAACGCCGTCTGGTTCAACTGTATCATCGGTATCGTCCTCCTGCTTCTCATCTTCGGCGGCGAATTGGCCGTCGGCGCTCTCTTCTCCATCGGTGCCATCGCCTCGTTCGTCGCTTTTACGATACCGATATTCATCCGGGTGTGCTTCGTAGGGCATCGCTTCCGACCCGGTCCGTGGAATCTGGGTCGCTACTCTGCGCCGATCGGTACCGTGGCCTGCGCGTTCGTCCTGCTCATGGTCCCCATCTTGTGTCTGCCGAGCGTGGTAGGCGCTGATCTGACACCGGCCGACATGAACTGGACGTGTCTTGTGTATGGAGGACCGATGTTGGCGGCGATGGTATGGTGGTTTGTGTCGGCTAGGAAGTGGTTCCATGGGCCCAAGGTGAACGTTGAGCATATGATGCTGGGGAGAGAGGGAAACGTGATTGTTGGGGAGGGAGAAGAAAAGGAGACTGGGTCGGATGTAGTTGTGGAGCCTAATAGGGGGGTGACGAAGGAGGAGGTTGCGGCTGTGGGGACGGAGGTAAAATGAACTGCCTAGTCCGAGTTATCTTTCTGCAAAAAGAGTTTGTTGTATATATGGGCCGCTGCAATTCAGTAACGACAGGGAGAATCGATCACCAAGCCTTGAAATTCGTTGTGCCTCCAAGCAAAACCATATATTGGATCCCCTAAGACCTTTCATTTCCTCACGGAGCGTACCAAAGAATGTCCTTCTCACCATGACCATTTGAAGCGAATGACACATTAAATATTACTGGAGTCCATATACCCCAGAGACAGCAAAAGATCGTAGACATCGTAAAGAATGTGCGTGGGCGGTAGACTCATCATCCCAGTTCTCAGTCTCTGAGTTCTCTTCCGCTTCCCTCTTCCTCTTCCTCAACCCTCCTAAGAGAAGTCAAAACTTTGGTCTTATCAAACCCCGACGGCACTGCTCGACCTCCCCGCAAACACCGTCATCAACGCATCTCGGACTTCAAACTCCTCCAACACAGCGCCGAACCTGGCAAAAATCGTCAGTCCCACGTCGTCATCCTCGTCATCCTCCTCCTCACGAGACACACCCCGTCCTTGAAGGAAGGGAAAAGGAACAGAAAAAACACATCACACATACCCATAACACCTGACCTTGCCCACCAACTCGCCCTTCAGCATCTCCACCTCGGCCGTCCCCAACCCGCACTCCCTGACGCGCGGATCCCGCAGGATCATGGCCCACGCCTGCACGGGCGTCAGTTCCCCCTCGAGCGGCAGCTGGCTGCTCAGGTTGAGCAGCTTCATCAGGTCCGGGACGCTGATGTCGGGCATGCGGTGCGGGTAGGGGACGTCGGGGTGGGCGAGGACGTGGGATTGCGGCGGGCACGTGGCCATGAGGGCGTGCCCGCAGATGAGGTGGCGCTGTTCCTGCTGTTGCTGGGGTTGATGATGTTGGTGGGAAGGTTGAACTTGTTCAGCCTCTTGAATCTGTTGTTGTGCTGGTGATTGTTGTTGTGGTAGAGGGTTTGCTTGCTGGTCGTTTGCACCGCCCGTGGTGGTGGTGCCGCCGTCCCCGTTGGCGCGCACCATAAGGAATTGCACGTGGTCTTTGCAGGGTTGCTCGAGGCTGGCGAGCAGTCAGATAACTCTGAGCTGGGAGAATAGCAAAGCCAGAAACACTGCGAGTAGCAGTAGTAGCGACAATAAACATTAGGCCGTAGATATGCATATTGCATAAGGCGGATGCAAAACAGTGATGCAAAGGATGGACGGATGGACGGACAGACGGATGGTTAGGAGAGGACGCTGATAGCAATAACGACGGAAGGAAATAAAGAGGCAGGGGATCATTGCTGGGGCGGAGGAGAAAGATAGGGCGTTCGGTCGTACGTTAAGACAAAGTCTATCCCGAGTTGATCATAGTCCAACCCTGGATTAGGTTGCTGTTGTTGGAGGTGCGGCTGCGGCTGCGGTTGTGGTTGTTGTTGCTGTGGCAGAGGCGTTGAGAGGGAAGGATGGGCTGCATGGCCGGATATCGACCCTCGTGGCTGGCTAGGAGGTGATGTGTAGCCCGTCGAATTGGAACCGGGGCCGTAGCCATTCGATACGCTGCCTCGCGAACTTCCTCCGCCGTAGGAGCTGCTGACATGCGAGAGACCGTTGTGGTTGCTTGGGCTGGCCAGATCGTAGGAAATGCCATGAGCCAGGAGGACATCTCTGAGTCTTCGATTTTCCTCGGAAAAGGAGTCCCGCTCGCGGGAGGTGTTGGTGAAGATCTCTTTGAGGCGGAGGACTTCTTGCTCCAGCGCTTTTATATACATTTCCTTGCGCTCTCGATGAGTCCTAGATGCAGGATGAGTCAGGGGTTCAGCAGAGAAATACAACAAGCGGCACTGCACCTTTGAGCCTGACGATTCAGCTCTTGTCTCCTCGTCAAAGCAGGTTTGCTATCCGGCTTTGGCCCTCTCCTCTTCGGTGGTTGTCCATCTGAGCGACCTTAGCACGGAAATCCAGTACTGTTCTTCGACATGCAAACCTCTCGTCGTCTTCTTCTCCGTCAAGTTTATGAAGAAGGGAAAGTTCGCCAGCGGACTCTTTGAGTCACTGACTTGCGTGTGCCACTGACCATGACTCTCCTGATCTATGACAAAGTTAGCCGCGCTGCCTCTCCGGCTCGCCGGCATGCTCATCTCGGAGATGCAGTCGGAAGGGCGGCGGGAAGCGGGCGAGGGGTAGTCTGCAGCCGTGCCGGACGGAGGGTAGGTTGGCCCCATGGCCAGCTCGTCCGTCCATGACATGTAGTGGTTATGTGACATTGAAGGAAATGGCTATGGAATTGATGTGAAATAGTCGAAGGGTATTAACGGAATAGCGAGCAGGAACCCGGAAAAAGAAACTACAATATGTAAAAGTACGGATGGGGTTTGACATCGCCAAAGGCCCCAGAGTTCAGTATATGTATCTCGGTTGCGGAACAAGGTAAACGATGGTGAAAACAGCTGCAGTCTATGCAGCAATTCGGCAACATCACCCGCCGGATGGAGAACAAGGCCCATCGTCATGCTTACACGATCTCTTAGCCTCGACGAGACTCATGATGTCTCTGACGAGTGCTTCGGGCCAAACAGAGTGGCCGAAGAAAGCAAGTGTTGCAGAAAGAGGCCAATGCCAGCGACCGTCGCACCTTGCCAAGCACGATAATGGTCAGAGACCATCGACGCACAGGGCGACGTCAAAACGCTCCAAACACGATGCATTGAGAAGACGGACGAAGTAGGGGAGAATGGGACTCACCTGGGCTATTGTTGTACTCTGATTCCCCGCCTAACGGCTCTGGAGCCATACCAGCCATGCTAAAGAGCTTGCATTGATCAGCCTCGAGTCCAGACGGCGGTGGGTCCCCGTGGCTCGCGTCGATGATCCGCGGCCTGGGGTCGATGGTCTCTCGGGTTCGTGAGTTTTATATACGTCAGCTCGAGGGACGTCTGAAACATACAGCTGTGCTGTTGACGGTTGATGGTTGCGGATGGTTGTAGAGGCCCGGAGTGTACTTCCACCGCTCGGATATAGTCACCTATGCGAGTTCTCAGTTTCGTCCCCACCCATGCAACACCACGTATCCACAAGGAGAGTATCGCGGGTGTATGGTACGACTGCGACAGAGACGGAGATGCGCCACAGAAAGTGGCTGGTGCACAATGGGAACGGCAAGCTGGAGCTTTTCGCGTCGCAGATATGGTTCAACCACGAAGGGAGGGGCCAGTCGAAGTTAAAAAAAGGTTTGAACGTGGGGAACATGCCAAGAGACTGTTACGTGCAGCAAGAAGGTGAGACACTTACGGGTAAAGCGAATAACACCGGTTCTGAAGCAGGATAGGTGTGCTGGTTTGAGCAAAAGGTGTAGCTGTTAGCTGTGTCAATGTGGCCAGAGACGGGGAAGCAGATTTTTGCACCGCCCCCCCAGACTGACGGCTATTTGGAATCACAAGTCTCGATGCGGACCTGTACGACGGTGCTGCCGCACGAGCGAGGCGGCGTATTGAGGATATTGTTCTTTCTATCAAGTGGCGGAGGAATGGAGGAAGGAAAGCTGCGTTCGCAGCGGCACAGCAGTCGTCCGCTATGAGGAAAGCTTGATGACCTCGAGACCCATCAGATGTAAGCGGCTGACGAAGCAAGGGAAGATTTGTGCTGACTGGCACACAAAACATGCTTCGAGCGGTTTTATACGGACCTGATTGCAGTCCTGGTAGTGCAAAAGGCTGTCCAGAGAGATGGAGATTGACCACAGGGACAAACTCGGTCGACATGCGGTTGGTCAACGCCATATGTTCAAATGCCCCTACCAAATTGGCGCACTAACGCGGTGGACTCCCACAGTGCGGTTCACGAGTAGTCCAATCGGCAAGTCCGCTGAAATTCCTACTCGCATGTTGGAATCCGGAAATATTACCCAATATTCGGTGTCCATCGTTCAGAGATCGCACGACGCCATCCTCGCCTCGTCATCAACTGCAAACTGAATCAATATAATAAGCTGTAAAAAGGCCTAGCCATCTGTGCATGGCTCAGCCAATCCACGTATGTTCTGATCAGCCTCGTGGCTCGCCGTCTTGGATTCGATCGGACGGACGAATCGTGGCTGACGGGCATATACGCAATTGCCCGAGGCTGTTCGCGACCAGAATCGAGATTGGCGCTTCATATGCTGTGCTTTAATATAGTGTTACTGCAAGAGCGTTATGCACGTGATGTTAATGGGTAATAAGCATGTTCATATCCTCGCCGCTGTCATGTTCTTCGCGATGAAGAAGTCAAGTCATCTGACCAGCGTGTACGGCAGGAGAGCAGGCGCATATTGCTGCAACGCGGACTCGATCGATATGCAATGGATTCATCGGGAGTCTATACCACCTATCTACGCGTTACTTGACGGACTTGCATTCGAGCTGTACATGCCTGAGGCTCGCTTGAGGATATTGACCACGTGCTCATAGCTTGCTGTTGGGCTTGTTCTGAAGGATCGACTCGATCTCGTCCACGACTTCGTCCGTGAGCTTTGGCAGCAGCTGAAGTGCCTTGCAGTTATCGTGCACCTGCTGAGGCTTCGTTGCTCCAAGAATGACAGTCGAGACGTTGGGGCTGCAGTGGTGTCAGTCAAACTACTTCTGCCTTCTTTGTGGCGCAGAGGGACTCACTTCTTCGCCGCCCACGCAAGAGCAAGCTGAGCAGTGTTTCCGCCCAGACGCTCAGCGACCTTGCCCAGCTTCCTGACTTTTTCTAGCTTAGCCTGTCCCTCGGGGCTCTTCAACTTCGCCGCCTCCTCCTTAAACATCTCGTGGGTCGCAAACCGGGAGTCATCGGGGATACCCTGATCGTACTTTCCGGTCAAAAGGCCAGAAGCCAACGGGCTCCAGATTGTAGTACCGTATTGGAATTGTTCATAGAGGGGTGCGTATTCGCTCTCGAATCGTTCGCGGTGGAAGGCGTTGTATTGAGGTTGTTCTGCCACAGGGGCGATGAGGTTGTACTTCTCGGCGATATCGTGGGCTTCTTGGATCTGCTTTGCGGACCATTCGGACGTTCCCCAGTAGTAGGCGAGGTTCATGTGGATCGCCTGCGTGAACGCTTCTACAATCTCTTTCATCGGGACGCTGGTCTGCGTGAGCAATCCGTAGGTACTTTTGAGATGTCTTCAGAGTAACTCACTCAGGGTCATGCCGATGGGCAAACACAATGTCCACGTACGGTTGCTGCAACCTCTGCAATGAGCTCTTCAGGCCCTCCACAATATGCTTCTTCGACAGACCCCTCGTATTCGGCTCCTTTCTGCCCGTCCCAAAATACACCTTCGTACTCAGCACAAATTCATCCCTGGGCCAGGCCAACTCCTTCAACGCCCTTCCCATCTCCACCTCACATTGGCCATTCGCATAAACCTCCGCGGTATCGAAGAAATTGATGCCATTGTCCCACGCCGCCTGCAGGCAGTCCTTGACTACGTCGCCCGTCTGCGTCTTTCCGTACGTGAGCCAGCCGCCCAGGGAGAAGACGGAGACTTTGAGGCCGGCGGGGCCCAGGCGCCGGAATTGCATGTCGTGGGGCTGGTATTTAGATTCGACGGCGGCGGACATTTTGGCGGGAGAGAGAAATTGGAGAGTGCGAGGCGTGATGCTTGTATGACGGTTTTATCGTTGGATAGTGGGTGGGATTGGAAATATTTGGCGAAGACGTCATTTATACAACTCAATGGGATGGTGGGATGAAACATAATGGCGGGGCTGGCAACCGAGGCAAGAGCCCCGCCACTTTGTCCCGGCGCTATCGGATATAACAAGTTTCAAGGTGGGTAGTATTCGTGATGGAGTACACTGGCAGTGAAGTTAACCTACCGACTTGTAGATTGACTAGAAATGATCGTTGTTATTTTCTGGTGGTCTTATATCGTGGGTTCCGTCAAATCAGGAAGATCTTGTAAGCAGTGCTTGTCCTGCATGTACTGGCATCCTATATAATCTATTCTCCGTGATGTCAGGTATATGGTTGGGGGTAAGGAGGCTGCTGAGAACGAGTAGATGCTTCTCCCTCGCTGGTGTTCAGATATGTGGAGAAGCACTGAGTGGATCATCTCCAATTCAGACATTGGAAGCAGTAAAATCAACGCCGGCTCTGAGAAATTGGTCGAGATGCTACAAATGCGAAACAATGCGGCGAGTTAAGGGAGTATAAGCCATCGGAATGGAGACACAGTACAACCAATGCATCATACTTGGATGGCTGGAAAGAGAGTGACCACGTGCTCGAGCAAGCATTCTGTCATCATGCTGCTTTCTCGCCCTCGACTTGCGACTGCAACCCTTCCCTGTCTTCCGCATTTGCTGTCGTGGTCTTTGCACCACTGCTTGTAGCCGCCTTCTCGTCCGACTCCTCATTGTCCGTGTCACCCTCATCTTCCTCATCATCATCACCCTCCACTTTCTCTCCCACATCCTCCTTCCTCGCCGCAGTAGTCACAGCCGGCGCACTCTTCAGTCCCGCAGGGGACGACGCCTTTCTGGAACGCTCGTCTTCAGTATCCTCCTCTTCCGAACTGCTCACCTCCGGAATCGCCTCCTCCTCTTCCACCCGCTTAATCACCTCTGGCGGTGCTTCCTCGACCAGCTCGCCGTGGAAAGAACTCGTAGAGGACGCTCGATGCGTACGTAGCGGAGGACTCGGAGACCGAGGTGCGCCCGGCGTCGCCGGCAGGGCTATGTTGCGCGGCGAGAGAATTCCGCTTGCATCTCCACTTCCGGTCTTCCTAGGCGTAGACACCGATGCAGGAGAGTTGACCTTCTCTGCCAGGAGGGGGTTCGTAGTGGAGATATGACCGGGCGTAGGTTTTCTAGACGCTGCGATCTTCGCGGCTTCAGCACCCATCTGACGTATCGCAAGGTTCTGCTCGGACGACGGCAACGGCGTCTTGTCCTTCGGCGTCTCAGTCTTCGGTGAAGGAACGCTCGCTGATGCTGCTTGTGCGGGTGCTGGTTTCGCGGGCGCCGCGGCTGGGGTGGCGGTTACGCCTAAGGCTTCCTTGAGCTCGTCGTACTCGTTCCATTCCTCGATTTGTTCAAGGTCCTGGGGGAGAAGTCAGCCTTCTCTTTCTGCGCCTAGTAACCCTCATGTCTTTTCCTATAGATGCTGGGCCACTCACTCCTAGCACATATCCTTCCTTCACCAGCAGCGGCAACTTCTTTCCTTGTGCTCTGCGCTGGAACAGCTTCCGCGCCAAATCATCTGTGGCCGTATCCACGCCCTTGAACGGTATCTTGTTCGCCTTGAGAATGGTTTCGATGCGTGAGGTCGCTGTGATGATGTGCGAGGAGCCGGCGGTGAGGGAGGTGAAGAGGTAAAGAGTAGGGTCGTTGTCGTATACGGCGAGCTCGGCCATTGCGCGGTTTTGGTAATTTGTGTGATGACGAAAGAAGATGAAATAAGCCTCCGGCACCTTGCACTGTTACAGTGCGAGAGTAAGACGGTGACACCACAGTAGTAGGGTGTCTAATTGTATGCTGTCGTGTACAAAGTGGGGCTCTACCTAGGTAGTTCCGTTTCTTAACACGTGATGCGGGGTAGCTCCCGAGGCTTTTACTTGTATGGTACACTGCAGGAGCTAAATGCAGAGTCTCTTTTCTTTAGAAGGGGCTGGGGAATAAGAGCCTACTGAGAGCTAGACGTAAAACCCAAAAAAAAAAAAAAAAAAAAAAAAAAAAAAAAAAAAAAAAAAAAAAAACCAATCTTGATTACGTAGAACCGACGCAGATACCTTTACGTTTAAGCGAGGTGGCTCTAGGTCTCTTACCAGCAAGCAAAGGTACAACAAGAGTATACAGCCTTCCGTGGTCAAAATACGAGGGCGGGTCTGTTTCGCTGTCTCGAGAAATCTAGAGGCAAGTTCTAGGGACGCGCCAAGAAGGGAAGAAGAAAAAAAATAAATGTTTGCGAAAGGAAACTTCACTGGAGAAAGAATAGTCGACCCTTGGTGGGTGGAGGAAACCAGTAAAGGAAGGTCGAACGCATCTTAATCACGCATCCTGCACAATATGTACACAATACCTGCATGCGCAAGCAGTGAGCCAGTTGGTGTACGTCGGTGTAATGGGGAAAAAGCTCTCGTCCGTGGGATGCATGCCCATCGCAACGCGGTTTCAGTACGACCAAACCTCGTGGTTGACGGCCTGTTCCATGTGAATACCAGCCGATGTACCTCCACACCCCAGTTGCGCTCCTGCAATATTCAGGCTCCAACGGCGAATGCCCGATATGCGCGCTTTACGGAGCAAACCTTGACACCACAGAAGACGGCAGCTCCAATCGCGAAGCCCACATGTCACTACTGCAGCTTCCCTGGCCGCTCTTCACAGCCTTTTCGAGTCATGAGAGCATAGGTTCTGTTTCCCAGCCTTGAGCAGATTAAATTGCCTTTTATCATGTACCATCCGATTGAATCCCAACTCGGCCAATTCACTTGCAGGCGCCTAGAGAATATGCGGCCTATAGGGTCCCGGCTAAACAGCGTTGCGCATCTGGAGCGCATTTCCCACGTGGACTCTGGAGCATATCCGTTCGCTTCCAACAAAAGCAGAGGTGTTCCAGGCGGGAGCAAATCGGTCGAGATTGTACGACAGGATATTCATGCACGCTATGACCCCGGATCGACGCAGGGAACAGCAGACAGGCGAGCTTCGTGGATATTGCGTGAGCGGCAAGGGTGAACCACAACCAGCCAGGCCAGGGATTTCGGATCGGAGCGGCCGCCAAAAGTCAATATCGACGAGCCCCTGGGTGGTTGAAGGGCCGAGGCAACACCAGGCTATAGAGCATGTGATTTATAGGCCAAACAGAGAGAACAAGAGTTCGAGATGTTGTAGGCGTGCGCATGGAAAGCATACTTGTGAAGCCTTCTCCTTTGGGGAGAGAATTGGAGATCGTCTTGAGTTTTGAACCATTTCGAAACATTATGCGATTCAAATCGAACGGCAGTCGACGCATAACGCGTCTCGGAGAAGCGGTTCGGAAAATAAGGGATGGGACGGTGCGCAAGCACGATTGGGAAGTCGGCTTCAACGCGCCGGCTATTCGCAAGTGGCATGCATTCTGCGAATAACGTCCATCAGAGTATCGTTTTCCAGTGCCGCCGCAACCCTCTCCTTGTCTCCGAGCTGCTTGTTCACCGCCTCGTCCGTGCTGTGGGTGCCCTTCTTTACGCGGACGTCAACCCTGAAGCGCGGCGGCAAGGCTTGTTCGAGCCTCACTCTGACCCCCAAACCAATGACGGTGGCCAGAGAGCAATGGGTGATGGTAGGGGTGATTTCTACGACGACGGTGCTAATCTTTGAGTGAGGAGACGTGGGCGGGTATATGTGAATATCTGGCAAGTTGACCACGGCCAGTGAGCCCAGCGATAGGGGGTGCTCAGGGTCTGATATGGAGGAGATGAGGTCTGTCATGCAGCAAGTCATCAGCCAAGGGATGGACACAAGGCAATAGACACCCCTGAAACACAGGGGAAACGCACTGAAAGGCGGCCTACCATATATTTCTAGCTCATCGATGTCCTCGACCGAATCGTCGTCGGAGTCGCATGACGAGACAGAGGGCTCGAACGGATCGCTCAAGTATGTATAGGAAGGGACGAGAGCGTCAAACAATCCAGTTCCGCCATCTTCGCGCTTCTTGACGGATGACTCCCTGCGACGCGAGGGCAGGTCGGAGGGGTTCAGGATGGTGGGGTTAGCGTTATCCTTGTCGAGCTCCATGGCGGTCCGACGATGAGGGAGAGCTGGAGGCGGTAGTGTCGATGGAGTGGGCAAATGCGCTATTGCGAAGGTCGTATAGTGGCTTGCGGACCCTGGCTGTATTGGAAAATGAGCGGTAACAAGGTGGTGGTGCAGGGATTGCGGAAGGAGAGGAATGGTGGTGGGAAATCCATGGATGTCAAGAAATGACAGGAACGCCAAGACTCACCCCTCCTTCCATCCAGTCTCCCACGTCGGCACCACCGATGCTGATCGCACAGACACGGCACAGACAGTTCCGCCCTCCAGTGTGCCCATGCGCAGAGCACAGACGAGCTTTTACAAAGCCATGGAATTCACTCAGAGGAGGTGCTGTTGAGTGATCACCTTAGGTGATTGGGTGCAGATTGAGCAGTGAGCAGCTGTGGAAGCGATCCATGATGGTAGTGGATGTGCTCTGCTATATGAGGCTCGCTCAGATAAGTACGTGCATCTGATGATTCACGGCAGACGGCTCTCTATGTTACCGCTGTCGAAATACTCGGTAGGTTCTGCTGCTCATGCTCCTGCTCACATGTCCCACAAGACGAACTACAAGTATATGGTATGCGGAGCAGAACTGACAGGCGACCATCCTGTCGGCAAATCATCGGGACAACAGGCCAGGCGCAGGTGTGATATCGAAAGGTTGTGGAGACATTTTGAAAAAAGCAAGCACACGAAGACTGGCCGGGGGAAGGTCGAGCGTTGCCAAGGCGCCGGCTGTGCTGCGCTGTGAGATGGCGGGGAGAATGGCGGCTTCTATGGGCTTCGAAATTCCTTCTCGATGCCTCATGGAAGCTCCGCAACGAATGTCGCTCGCCCGAAGATTGAGGTCAAAGATGCTTATCGCGTAGATGGCGTTTGTGTGGGCCCTTCAGGTACAAATACAGCCGCTTGACCACCTTCGCTACTACGAACCAACGAGGCATAACCGTCATACTCGGATACCGTCGACTGCGGGAGCAGCCGGTTGCGTGCCCGGTAAATCATGGGTTCTTGTGCCGGTCGATGGATGTCAGCATTTTGCCGTCGGCGGCAAGAGACGTTCTTCGGTACGGAGGAATGGTGACCTCACAAGAAGAGGCGAGACGGCAAGCGGCGCAGGCTGGCGACGCCCGGCGTGTACTCGTCATGATGGCCGACGAATGTGCGAAACGCAAGTGCAACCTTGTTGGAAAGCCAGGAATTGACCAACTTTCTTGACTTGGGCTGATATATCGCAGTGTCCTCCCGGCTCCGTACTGTTCGGTATAGTATTGTCTCTGAACAACGACAACTGGTGATGGGACGGGCATACAAGTAGTCGCGTGCAGCTGCCGAGTCCTCACAGCACACGGGAGGACCGTGGGATTGGGACCAGCATTGGAAGGCTGAAGAGTGTCTGCAACGTCGAGCCAGCAACCTGGAGCTGCGAGCCGTGACCATGGCACCCTGCTGGCCCGTTGTTTGGCCTTGTCCGTACTCGTATCCCGCGCGGCATGCGCATGCCCATGCACGCCATGGTGTGGGCTGCTGCGACCTGGCTCGAGGGTGGCTGCAGAAGTAAGTAGCTGCAGAAGTGGTGAGCCAGCAGAAGAAGTCGGTGCACAGTCCCGGGAGGTCGCGAATACGAAGCTTGGAAAGGCCATGTACCAAATGATCTCCACCAGCCCTGGAGGAGGAAACAAGATGAAGATTATGCTCCTTCCCTTCCTGATTTCCACAGTACATCGTACATATTGCGCTGCGCTACTGCACCAGGGTTGGGGGCAGCGTTACGCTGAGTCGCTGGACGGAAGGTTCCTGCGTTACTCTGACGACGTCCTTTTCGCCGGTCATCAGAGGGCGGCACAGGGAGGGGTTCCGAGCGAGCGACCACCGTCAGATCTGCGGACTGTCGAATCGCGATTTTGATGGTGATGCTTGTCCACATACTAGAAGGGCCGTCAGCAGAGAGAGGAGCTTCATTCAGCCTTCGTCATGGGCCACACAGGTGGACCCACGGCGGGACCCGTCTGATTTCAAAGGAGACATTGTCATTTGGAGAGGGGGCGGTGGAGTCGTCGTACTGATAGTGTGGTATCCGAGGGAAATGAGGGGGGTTTGGCAGTCTGTCACGGGTGAGGGTAGTGGCTAGCGTCGCTAAGTAGATGATGCGACGCCTACTAGTCAGCCCTAGGCGTCAGAGTGGTGTGGTAGAAGGGTGGAAATAATGAGGGTGCAACCACGAACTCTGTGGTGCAGGCTGTTTCTGGGAGACTGGAACGGTGCGAGAGATTTCTGTGCAACGGACCAAAATTGCACCTTCTCTCCGCGAACAGTATCATCATAGCAGAGGCCGCGTGGGTGAGCAGAACAGGCCGACTCGATCAACAAGTTGAAGGACCGAGTGCAAGTACTTTTGGTACGTATGCATCAACACATGCTCGGGAACGTACAAGTAGAGACCGTAGAGCGGCAGGGACACATCAGATCATCAGCCATTATTGTTGCAAAACGGCAAGGCTCCCTGTCTGCGCAACTTTCTCCCATCGTCCGCTGCAATCATGGTCCATGGTCGATGGTCGATGGAGACGGCGCCCTGTGTTGCACCGTGCCCGCCCTTGCGAGCGTGCCATGCGAGCCATGGAGGCCCTGCGCAACCCTCCGAAGTCCCATAAAAGATGCAGATGACATGGCCTTCATATTGCCCCTTATGCGAGTAGATATCTGCTGGATGCATTCCCATCAACGCTCACCGCCGCCAAGCTTCAGTCTGCGCACGCCGCTCGCCGCACACCCATCTTCAACGCCATCTCCAACCCGGTCCTCCCTCCCCTTCTCTGCCCAGCCATCATTAATCATTAGCGGGGGAGCTTCAGGTGTCGCGCTTACGGCACGCCACTAGCCTACTACAGGGAGTCTACTTGCATTGCTCTCACTCACTTGGTCTGCTCACTACTGCTCCGTGCTCTGCAGGCGGCTGAACACCCGGCCCTGGTGTTTCTCTCCAGACCTCTCCTCCTCCACTGCTGCTGATGCGGTATATTGCCATGGGCCCGGAGCTCCATCGCGCGTAGTCCCAGTTTGCCCACCGCCGTCTTCCCTCCTGCCTCCCTCCGCCTCTCTCGCCGTTGCACTCTGGCGCTCTCAGAATCCTTTAGGTGTGCCGCCCTCGATTGGTTCTCGTCCCAACTTCCGGCCGTCACACTTCGCTTTGGAACGGCCATCCTGGGAACCGACAAACCCCGCAGCCACACTGCCACCACCACTCCTCCGCCGCCACCTCGAGTGCGCTCGCTGTCGGTCCGTCCGTCCATCGCAACATCGAACCCTCAATCCCCTTCTCCTGCTCCGCCTATTTAGGTAGAGACGATGGCCCCAGACACATCGGGTGGTGGTCGGCCGCTGCTGCCTCAAACGGCCCAAATGCAGAGCTTCACCTTCGCCCCGCCGACCTTGCCGCCTCGGGAAACCCAGCGCAGTAAGTTGCTACCACGCCCAACACCAGCACACACCCCTCCACATACGTCCACTCGCTCACTCACTCACTCACCATGCTATGCAGATTATGTCTTCGTCGACGAGCACAACAGGCACAAACGCCTCAAAGGTGCGCCCTCCTGCTTGCTGCCGCTGCCGCTGCCGCTGCCGCCACCCGCCCTTGCAGCATGTGTACTGACCCCAAACAGTCATGAGGGCATGCGAAGGTTGCCGAAGACGCAAGATCAAATGCGATGCCGCCACTACCAATTCCTGGCCATGCGCTGCCTGCATCCGCCTGAAACTGAACTGTGTCCCGCCAACCGTCAGCTATGAGAAGGATTCATATGCCAACACGCAGACCTTCGAACTCGACACCAAGCCCCTGGAATATGCGCCTCCCCTCGACCCCCATCACCATTTCCAAAGGCACAGCATTGCCGCCATCCCTCAGCCGTTGCAACCCCAGATGCCTGTGGGCATGCAGCCTGCCGTCTCCGCCGCCTACGTCGATGGTATGCCCGTGTACCAGAATGCATCCTATGCCGACCCTCCCGCCCAGGAGCACCTTCAATATCCCTCCGTACCTCAAGGCCCAATGCTTCAACAGAATATGGCCTACCCGAATCAGCACATCTACTCCGAAGCCCCAACCGCTGCGCCCGCCGGGAGCATGAGCCCAATCGAGAGCGAGGCTACCTGGAGGACCGAATCCATGACCACTCTGACCGACGCTCTAGGTGAACTCAAAATCGAATATGATGCAGTTGGTGAGTCCTCCCATGTCTCGCGCAGAGAACTGCGTCTGACTTTCGTAGCTCCATACATTGCGAATCAGAAGAAAGCGCTCGCGGAAGCTCCGGCTCAGGAGGAATATGAAGTGCAGCTGCCTCTCTCGTCTAGCCTAGACCATACAGTGCGCATCCCGCCCGAGATGATGCCCTCGGACGAGAAAGCACTGCAGTATTTCGAATATTACTTCACCAACATTCATCCCTATTGTCCCGTCATCAACAAGGCATACTTCTATCAACAATGGCAAACAGCCCGCGCATCCATCTCGCCTCTCATGTTGGAGGCTATATTCGCTTGTGCATGCGTCATGTTGGAGCCGGCCGAAGGCAACAAATGGTTGGCCCTCGCATCCAGTCGGTAGACCTGCAGCCTCTCTTGGCATGCCATGACTGACATAAAGACAGAGCATGAGGAAAGCTTCAAAGACGTTTCACGCTTGAGCACCATGCAAGCCATGATTCTGTTGCTCAAGGCGAGGGAAGCATCACCGAAGCGCGGCTACTTCTGGCGTTCATGGATGACGGTAGTGAGCTTGGTGGCAATGGGGAAAGACCTCGATTTGCATGAACACCACGAAACACACCAGATGGGGAGGCCTTGCGGCTCCTCAGTACATGACTGCATCACGAAAACGAGGGTTTGGCACATGCTCTTCGTCTTGGAGATCATGGTTGGCGGTCCACAAGGTGAGCAGAAGAGGAAGAGTAGAGTCTTGCTATGTGCTAATGACCTCAGGTCGCCTTGACTTTGGAGTCGGTCTGGACACCGTTGATTTTGAGATGCCGCGGCCTACCCCTGCGCTCGATGCCACCGAGTACCAGATTTCCCGACAGTTTTCCCAGTACATACGTATCATAAAGAACATATACGAGACATGTATCCTATATGGGAGGCTCAAGAAGAAGACCAACGATTGGGGCAGGGACCCCACCTTCATTGCTCACAACAAGGATTTTCCCGCTTGGCTGCGGGATCTTCCCGAGGACATGCAGATTGTCTATCCCCCGGACGGATCGATACCATGGATCCCTTCCCATTACATTGCAAACATGCACACATATCACTACTTAGGACACATTATGCACCTGCGTCCTCAGCTACACGTCGTATCCGACCCCAATGACAGTGCCTGGAAGCAGGCCATGGCTTCGGCGTACTCGGCAGCGAAGAACATGTGCAAACTGCAAGAGGCAGTACTGAAGGTCTATGGTCTGCCCGGACTATTGTTCATGCAGAGAGGCATATCTTTCACTGTTTACGCAGTGCTCACCTGCATCATGCTACACCTGGTGAGTGGACTTTCGCGACATGCAGCCGCATGGCTCTAACCATACCAGGTCGCGATAACTAGTCCGGATCCTGACCTGAATAACGATGCTAGGGAGTTCTTTGTACGGCATATGCGGATTCTGGAGCAGTGCACCGGGGTATTGCCCATGCCGGAGATGCAACAACAAGTGAACAATTTGCGCCAGGCCTTTTCTGCAGATGTCACGAAGCCCTTCGAATTGAAGCCGACATTCCCCTTCGGAAGCCCTCAAGTCACCACCCAGGCCAGCCCTTTGAGCAACGACGGCTCCTACCGAACTCGTCTGCCCAGCCAACCTTCACCGGTGGATCAACCAGGTCAGGTCAACTACCATGCACACCCTATCACTCCACCAATCTCGGCTTCCGGTCACGAGTCGAAGGCTGACTCTCCCGTAGCTCAGTCTCTGGTCATGATGGCTTCCGGTCAAAGGGCTCCCCAACCGGCAAATATGCCGATGCAAGAGCCCGTGCAGTGGAATCCGCAGAGAATCTTTGAGTGAGTGCTCTCTATTCGCTGTCTATGGTCCATATCTAACAGGTTTTCAGTCAATGGAATGTAGCCTTTGGTACGCCTGCTCCTCTCAGTGCATCCTCACAAGCATCCCCGCCTCTAAGACCGCCTCCCGCAGGAAACTATGAGGTCCGGACGCCTCAGGAACCTAACCAGCCGAATTACCAGCTACCGACGATCTCTCCCCAGCCCAACAACCTGCAGGGCGCACAACCGCAGCTTGCACCCGCGACCGGCTACCCGGCACCGAACACATCCTACGTGACTCCCACCATGTGGCAAGAAGTCGTTGCAAGCTCGTTCCCAGACAACCTGAAGCGCCGATGGGACCAGGGGAATCCGGGATTGACTGACCAGTCCATGTACAAGAGGGCGCGCTGATATCGCCGAGCAGGCCTTGGTTGCTAAGAGCAATAGAGCATCCCGGTGGTCAGATTGCGCGGCTCCTGCTACGTTCGCTCCGTCTGAGCCAGCCTACAATCAGTGACGTATAAGGTCACTAGGTAGGCTTGAGTCAACTCGAGGCGGCAACGATTGATCTCGATTTGCCACACCAGGCGGGAAGCAGATACGGGAGTTTGCACAGGGTCGAGCGGCCCGCTAGTCTGCGATGATGCGAGATCGAAGGATGCGGAGCCGATACGGGGATGAAGCTAAGCGGGGTAATGAGGCCGCATATCCGTCACCATACAACAAGGAGTTTCGATCAGCGACGCCAACACAACGGATTTGCTATAAGCTCGGCCGCATATCCGTCACCATACAACAAGGAGTTTCGATCAGCGACGCCAACACAACGGATTTGCTATAAGCTCGGCCGCTTGAGTCCGCCAGAGCCCCCATGTATATTTATCTCTGTGCTATTTTCAGCGTTGATACCCATCAGGCGCTGCTTTGGCCGGAAAACTTGCATTGGACAGATTTGGGAGGTTGGGCTTTTCCGAACGGATTTTGCACATACGGCGCCAGGGAGCATGGTGCGTAAAAAGTGGTTGGTAATCATCACCATTATTGCTTTAGCGAGGAAAGGACGGTGCATGGTTTCGCGTGTTGTTTTTCTTCGCTGTTTACCTTGTTGTGTATACCCCTCTGTTCTTGTCCGGCGTCTTCCTGACAGACTTGACCTATCTATTCCGTATAATTATTCAACATGATATCTGGAGGAAAGGGAATACTTACGATGCAGGACCCTTGATGCCTCCCACGTGGCAACTCTCGAATAACCTGGTTAACGACAGATCTTGGTGGGTGCACCATATCTATATTATATTAAAGCCCCCGCTCAACTCTTCCTCCAATCGGCAACGAGGCGACTTTGCACGAGTGTGACGGTGTTCTGGACCTGCTGAGGGCAAGAGTGGGGCGTGCGCCGTTCCGTGCCTGAAAGGGTAATTTGGGAGAGAGGCGAGGCTGGTGCAAGGGCCGAGGGTCGGTGCATGTGATGATGTGATGTGACTATCATTCAATGTTCTTTGACTTAGTGTACGGAGCATGCGTGACATCTTGAACGGAGTTTATTGGAGTGGTTGGAGGACACTAGATTTGATAAACTCGCGACCCCATACTGTGTAGATGGAGTTGACCCAAAGGTGCGGACGTGCACCTGGGAGTCAATTGGCAAAAGGTTCTGGTACGTACGTACATTCACGCAGTATTTACGTTGGACTACGAATATGGATTAAGGTTTTGTGAGCTTTGCTGGTTCAATTGGGTTTATGTTTTTTGACTCTGCTTTCAGAGGTTCGGAAGGTGTCTCGGTGCTGCTTGGGAAGCTGATTAGCTACATAGCATGGTATGTAACTACGGCCTGGGTGCGAACAACACTTCGTCAAGTCTATCACTTTGTCTAGAGGAGAAATCCTTGAGTACTGCAAGGACACCCGTGACTGATCGCGACCAGGCGACGACTTGTCACTAATTCGGTCAAGGGATTAGAAAGCCGATGTTCCCGTTTCATCAGCTGCTGCGTCCTTCATCTACAATTCACAATTATCTATCTAGCAATCCACATGCATGACTAGGCGGTGAATTGATTGATCATCACATGATACCGCGTTTCCCCTAGGCCTAGGGCTCCCACGCGCAACACCAGGCGGGGCATCCACGCGTCTTTAGTCATGGGCAGTGCCTTGCTCGTGTGAAGGCGCCCGGCAGGATCAAGCCCGGCGCTGGGCGGTCAGAGAAGGGCCTTTCCCAACAAGCTAAGCTAGGTAGGTTTGTCGTCATTTGTGGTTGTTTCCCGCTCTCATAACGATCCTTCCTCCTGACCAACTCACCAACTCACCGCTTCCTCGTGTCGTACCCAGGTATGTACGCCATTCCTTTCCACAGATATAAAAGCCGCCCGTTGCCCCATTGCCTTTCTCCTCCTTAACACCAATCTCCATCAGCCTTGAGCATCGACATCGATTCGTCTGACGTCCATAACAAGTGAATTAGAACAACAGCGATACAGCAAGTATGACCAAGGGATCTTCGGGCTCCACCTCCAACTCCAACTCGGGCTCAGGCTCAGGCTCTGGTTCTGGGACCTCCGGCAGCGGTGGAGGGTACACGTATACGTCGTCGGGGACGAATAGCCAGGTATGTCTGACTAGATATCCTCTCGACATCTGCTCTTTTTGGATCTCAGTGCTGGAAGATCCGTGTACAAACACGTCATCATTTCCACTGCAACCGACCCCACTAGAATTCCTCTCTTGCACCGAAACGCACACCAAACCTTCTCAACCCCCCATCGTCCGCTGACAAACTGGCTGACGCCGACATAGGGCAACCACTACTGCTCCCGCGACTACGGCTCCAGTGCCTCCAACAGCAATAGCTACCACTACTCCAATGCCAATGGATCGTACTACTACAGCAACCCCAACGTATGCTTATAACCCTCCTATGACGTTGATGCGGCTGCTGACGTTGTGTGTCAAACAGGGGTCTACCTACTACAATTCCGGGAACGGGTATTCGAGGTACAATTCTGGAAACTAAACGCTGGGTTATGAGGCTGTCCCAGCACTCCATGGACTGTTCATGGTGAGCGAAATGCTGGAACCGATGCTTGGTTACGCTGGTGAGGCGAGGTATTAAACAGCGGCGGGTTATGGATACTCTTCGATGTATGCTTAGACTCTTCGGAACTGAGAATGCATTGATGAATGTCGTCATGCCGTGCAGCAGGTTGGGCGGTGGTGATTCAATCAGCAGTTTGCTTTCGTTTCCGTCCTTGGTGCCGTGGGTTCTCTATGACGGTGCGAAGGATGGATCGAAGAACGATATACTGTGTAGATTGAGAGACCAGGCCTGCGCTTGTTGAGGAAAAGATCCATTGCAAGTGTTTGATGTTGTCAGCAGCAACGACAATCACTACCCAATAAGGCTAGCCCCACAATCTTATCCCGTGACCACGCGACACTCCTCCCGCGCGTCATGCCGCGACCAGGACGATGATGAGCAACTTCAGGGTCGGGTCGCGAAAGAGTCTCCTCACCACCACGCAACCGGAATGATCAGACAGTACTTCCAACGAACCAAGACGACGGTTACAGATGCTGCTGCCGCGAATCCTCCTCCTACGAAACGTCGCCGATTGAACGATTCCTCAGGCCCCGGCCTTCCCAATCCTGCAACTGAATCGCGCGATGGTGAGACAGCTGCAGAGTCGAATGGTGGGGATGGAGAGGCGGAAGCAACCGGGCAAGAAGACGGAGGAGTGGAAGGAGAGGAAGAGGAGGAGGTGATAGCGGCTAAGAAGACGGACTTGGAAAGCGCATTACCTGCCGTAGCGAGGACGGATCGGGAGGCCATCGAGGAGTATGAAGCGTTTAAGGCGTCGCAGAGCGACGCCAATGACGGTTTCAACGACAAAGAAGGCCGGAATGGTGGCAGCAACACCGAAACCAGGTTACAGGACAGAAAGTGGGTTCCCGGCAAGAGCTCGATATACGTTGATGCGTTCAATCTGGCGCTGGATACGGTGTTGGAGGAGGAGAGCCATTTGTTCGATCAGGCGGAACGGGAGGTGTTTGCCGTGTGGATGGGGTTGGGATACGAGGCACAGTATTTGTATGTGCTTTTGCATATGCGTCTTCTCTGTCCCGGAGCTCCACATGTCTAAATGTCATCCAATGCTGATAATTGGTATTCTGGCAGATATGTACGGCTCTTCCTGCGAAAGACGGCGGCGTGGCATCGCATTCGCAACTTGGGGTACCATGGCGACATCGCGGACATGGAAGCCGCGGTGGAGACTTTGCAGCGGAGGCGAGAATTGCCTAGCATGTCTACAGGCGCGGATATTCACCCGGGGGAGACGGAGGTTCCTGCTGAGACGACGCTGGGGCAGACTTTCACGTTTGCGGATCGGTCGGAGGAGGAGATTACGACGCTGGAGGAGGCGTCGTCGCTGCTGAGATTGGATGAGCTCAAGGCGCTGGCCAAGGACGCGAAGGTGCAGGGAAAGAACAAGAAGGAATTGCTGAAGGCGTTGAGAAGGGCGAGTCAGAGGCAGGTGGGGTTAGGCTTCGTGGGGTTGAAGAGGTCGGATACGGAGTCTTCAAGGCGATCCTCTGCGTCGGGAATGGATGTAGGGACTACGACTGAGGTCGACGACAGCTGGGATACTGCGTCTGAAGCGAATCGAGATGGCCATTTCCTCCGCAAGATCATGGCCGAGACGGGACCATGTATACGGCTGTCTGCGGCGCCCTTCAAGCTCTTCGAACGGGTCCACCTGGTCTTCTACCGGTCTACAGAATGGACTGAGAAGTCCCTGACGACCATCATACTGGCGAAGATAGCGCGGAGGAATTTCCCAGAATACATCGTCTCCCGCTCCGCGAATATATTCTCATCGCGCTCCTCGCTTTTGGAATTTGAAGCCGCCATTCGGACCCAGCACCGCGTCGACAGTATCCTTGAGTTCAATGGCCGGCCTACGGAGCAGGGATATCAAGAGGTCATTGATATCTTCGAGGCAGTGTATCCGCGCTGGCATGCCCTCGTACAGGAGGAACAACGCAAAGAAGAAACAGTGTACCACAGCGGCGAAGGCGCCTATCTCCGCAGGTTGTCGCCCGCCTGGGTCTATACACGCATCATACATAAAGCGGCTTCTGTGCTCGCGAGACGCAAAGACCATCTCCGCGAGCATGAACTGCTCACTGAACTTCTGCGCCAGAGGCTCTTCCACCACTCGCGGCGGGGCGCATGGTATCAGCGCAAAGCGCTGCTCGAAGAACACTACATGGCCGCCTTGTGCACGGCATCTACCCCGACATCCCCTTCCAGATCCATCGCAAGGAAACATCACGCCCAAAGTCTGGAAGCGGCAAAGAAGCACTGGAAATGCGTCGCGCTGCAGACATGCGAGACGGGACTCCAAGACAACCTCGTGCACCTTATCCACCACTACGACCTACAAAAACGCATCACCAAGCTCGAGAAAGCCCTCCGCATCCCCAAACGCCTGCAACACGACTTCAACCATGTCCCCCTCTCCAAACCCGTCACCGTTACGGTCCGCGGCATCCGCCTAGAACGAAGCGATCCTCCTCCTCCTCCCGCCGCGTCCCGCAACGCAGGTATTTCACCTCTCACCCACTCCAACTCGACCAAAACCATCTGGCTCGACCCCGCCGACCCCGAACTCAAGACCACCTGCACCGTCGAGGAAATGTGCCTCTCGCACTACCGCAGCCAAGGCTGGAAGGGCTACCACTCGGAATCCGGCATCCTGCGCACCCTCTTCGCCTACCTCTTCCACGACATCCTCTTCACCTACGTGCCCAACGTGTTCCAGACGCCGTACCAGACGTGTCCCCTGGACTTGCACACGGATGCCTTCTACCCCACCCGCATCTCCGAGATCAACGCGAGGTTGAACGAGACCTCGAATGGGGCTGCGCCACAGATTGTGAGGAGAGTGTGGGAAAGGGAACACGAACGGAGGACGTGTATTGTGGGATTGGATTGGGGGTTTGAGATCCGGGATTTGGACGAGGTGGTACGGTGTTGGGAGGGAGGCGCGTTGGCGACCGTGTGTAAGGTCCTGGCGCAGGAGTACGGGGAGAGAGGGGGTGGGGTGCCGGATTTGTTCTTGTGGAGGGTGCGGGAGCAGGAGGGGTTCCAGGGAGAGGGAGGAGGAGGCAAGAAGGGGGAGGTTATGTTTGCGGAGGTCAAGAGCGAGAACGATAGGTTGAGTGATACCCAAAGGCTTTGGATCCATGTGCTGACAGGGGCGGGAGTGAGGGTGGAATTGTGCCATGCTGTGGCCGACGAAGTAAGAGTCATTCCATGATACGGCAAATACAAACATAACGTCGTCACTGTTACAATGGCCGCCATGGTCTCGTGCTCAATACGATCGAAATGAGAAAAAGCTTCGATTACTCCCCTTCTGTGAAAACAGCCGCCCTCCTCATCATGACATACACATACATACCAAACAGCTATGCACAACAAAGAGGACACTTAAGCCTCCCACCCCCGTCCCGATGATCACCATCTCCCTCTCCCTCGATGGCCTTCTCCAAACACTCCTTATGCCAAAGATGCCTGCAGGCAAACACCACCAGCGGACTCTTCGCCACGGCGTCCACCGAACCTTCCTCGGCTCCCTCATCTCCATCCTCGTCCACGGCACTCCTGCCCTTCCCTTTCCCCTTCCCCTTCCCACCACACGCCTCCTCCAACCTTCGCCTCAGCCTCTCCCTCTCGCTCTTCTCCCAGCTTTCCCATATGACACTCCCTGCGCCAGGTCCCCAAGCTCTCCTCCTACATCCCTCGCAGACCTGGCCTCTAGGTCTCCAGCCGCGTTGGCGCAACTCCGTAAGCTCCCTAACGCCTTCAAAACCTTCTTTATCGAGGAAGCGGTTCGCGAGCGAGAGGATCGTTTCTTCAAACGTGTAAGCTGCGAAGATTTCCTGCAGTACGGCGCGGAGGTCGCTGAGCGAAGGGGACGAGTTTGTTGCGCGCGTAAGAAATGTACGTAGAACGCGGAGGAAGGAGGGGTTGGTCTGGGGTTGTGATTTCCGCCGGTGGGGGGTAGGACGGTCGTTGTTTGCGGGCAAAGTGGTGGCGGCTTTCTGAGGTGGGATGCTGGTGGAGGCGAGGAGAGCGGAGAAGGTATGTTGAACTGATGAGCGCAACGTGGCTGTGATTTTGTTCGTGTCGATTGGTCTGGAGTGTGGAGTCGAGGAGGATATGAGAATGGTGTGTAGTCCAGAGATTGAGGAAGACGCTTCTTTGGCTAATGTGACAACCTTGTCTACCAGGTCCAGCCATAGAAGCTCGTCAAGGGCGAGATCCTCCTCTTGCACCTCACCATAGGCTGACTTGCGACTATCAAGATATGATTCTGCAGAGCGATCCATGGACTTTGTCTGCCCTTGACAGAGCCATATGCCGACCTTCACATACTTCTGAATATCATTGAGAAGGTCTTCTACGGTCTCTTCCGTATTCGCAGCATCCGGCGTTTCTGCTGCAGCGCCCACAAGTCCTGTGAGAGCGGTCTGTAGCGTGCTAAGGTGTCTCACCAGCCGATCCATTGCGTCCTTGACAAGACCATCACGGGCCATCAGCACGACGGCGGCATCGACTATCCCACTCTGTTCTAATGCAGGCAGTACGGGACCGAGTTTGAGATCACCTGAATTCAGTAGACTGACAAAGTCGGCAACATGCGCGCTGTTATATCTGCACATAAGCTGCACGTAGCGCTCATTGAACCCAGAGGGAAGGTCTTCAGGTGGAAGAGGCCGCTCTCCCGTTGGCGACGCCTCCGGCTCGATCAAAGAATTCAGGTACCGATACTGGAGCCCAGGGTCATTTTCCAAAGCATCCAGGACCGGCAGCAGCATGTCGGGCGCGTATCGATTAAGAGTCAACGCAGCTCTTGCCGCATCTATAGCGGCTAAATCAGAAGCTCGATTGACGAGTATCGCTTTGATCTCCTTGATTTGCTTTTTCGGCATGTCCCGCGCCGGTCGCAAGCAATCTGCAATGCAGTCAAAAACCTCCTCACCACTTTCAGTGTCATTCAGATACGTCTCGATGAGCTTCGGATACTGTTGCGAAGCCTTGTAGACGGCCTTCAGAACACGATGGTATCCGGCGTCTTCAAACAAAGCAACCAAACTTAGTAGATCCGGAGGATGGTAGACAGAGAGCAGGTATTCCACAGACAGCTGACAATCGTCCTTCACTGCGTCGATTGGGTAGTGGCAAAGTCCAACTAGAACTTTATGCAGCGAAGTGCCCGGTAGCAGTATGTGCTGGGGGTATTTCGGAAGATTCCGGGCAACGAACATGTAAAAGTAGATGATATCCTCAGGGTCGAAGTTGTCCTCGGTCATAATGCCGAGAAGGATGTTGATTATAAACTGGCGTGTGGGCGTGAAAGCAGCGCCACCACGTAGGCCATTAAGTTGATGTAGGGCTCCGCTTTCTTGGTCCTGGTTGAGGAAGCTATCTTCAAATGCTTCGTTAAGCATACTCATGAAGCTGGAGGTATCGAATTCAAGGGCCAAGTGAAGGTAAGGGAATGACGGTTCATTGCTTTTGTCACCCCGCGTGAGGACAACATTGTTAGAACCGGGTGGCCACGGGATGTTCTCTCCTGAGAACAGAAAGCTATACATGTCTTTCTTGGCCCGATAAGCCTGATCATCGTCCATGAAATCGCCACCAGGGTAAACCCTGCCAGTGAATGTGTAAGCCATGTATGGAAATATCTTCATAGCTGAGTCTAGGTGGATGCCCTGCTTGTCGCCATTGGGAGCCTCCTTACCAACCTCGCCTATCAGAGAGAGCAAGGCGATGAATGGTGTGATGAAGTCCCCAATGGCGCGTGTCCAGACATATACCAGGGCGTCATACAGGTTGTATTGCTGGCAAAGGGTGGTGACTTGGTTGATATCCATTGTGTCGGTGCTGAGAGAACATATCATCTCCTCCAGCGTACTTGCGCGACCGGACGAAGCGTAAAATGTAATAAGTTCCTTCAGCGCATATGGGGGCACGGCAGTAATCTCCTCATCGAGTATGTACCGCTCAAGGGTCTCAAAAAAGACCTTTTCCGCTGAACCTTGCTTGAAAGCTTCGTAGACATCTTCGAAAAGGAATTCCAACTCTTTCATCTTGATGCATGCGCGAAAGCAGACCTCTGCGAGCTCGGGCAACTGCTGTTCCTCTGCTGGATGGTCCTGAGCGAACGTATACTTGAGTGATGCTGAAATCATGTCAATGAGTTTTTCCTGGACCAGACCATGTCTTGCCTTGTCATCGGCAGGCAGCCCGACCGTTAGTTTATTCGTGTCCCCGACAAAGTACGAAGTCGCAAGGTTTATGGCAGCGATGAAGTCACCCTCATCCATCAACGCAAGTAAGCGGTCTGCCCAATTGGACAAGGTGCCGATTGAAATGTCATTGACGCCGAGCAGGAACAGTCGACCTTTGTAGGCACGGAAGCTCATATAGAAGGCGTCCGCGACGACGCCATGCATCGACGTATCTTCCTCGTCAAGTTGTTCCACTACAAGTCGTAGTTGCCGCGAGAAAAGGTCCGCGTGATAGATGTGTTTCTGTAGTAGGTCAAAACTGTCGGTCACTCGCAAAGCATCGGGGGTATCTTCTAAAATCACTAAACGCTGGCTGATCGTGAGGACTCCAAGTACGGATCTGCTAAGCCATTGCACTGCTACAATAGCTTCTTCGCATTTCCACCTACTGCGGGGATTGAAATGCAGCTCAGTGGGCTTTGGCTTTTCGTTCGGGGGTGGCGTGATACAAGTCACATCCAAAATTGTAAGAACGTTGGACCAGCAATACACCAACTTCGTTTTTGAGATTTGCATCGCCAGGTCATTCGTGGAATGCTTCAGTTTGACTGCTGGAAACCAAGCAAGGCACCCACTCAGCGTGCTGTGTGGTGCAATTTCCTTCGGCCTCAGCGCCTTGTGCTGAGTCTGTGCCACAGGTGTAGTGGATACGATGACCAAGAGATAGGGAGTAAGAAGTGCCGTAAGTCCCATGTCGTCTGTCGGTTGCTCGACGTTGCCAAGCGGGAGTGGTGCGAAGGCAAGCACAGAGCTTGGCTTGCGCGGTCGCTCTGATGACTTGATGACCAAGGGATATCTACCCAATATCCGAGTTATCTTCACGGTCCGTGCAATCGCTCCTAACCCTCTAGTCGCAAGGTGAGAGAAAGCCATCCCACCATCATCGGCCGACACAAGAGCAGTATGTCGAGTACCAAGGAATCCAACATGCAAAATAGCGACACCTGAGACGTGCCCATCGGAGCGCCTATCATCCAAAGTCGCTCGGTCCAGCGGGGGTATGTGAAGGAAGGGTTTTGCCGGTCTTGAGAGCTCCCAGGTGAATATATGTCCAGTCGCATGCCCGCCCGCGACGGTTGTATGATCGGCTGAGATAGCTAGAGCAGTCACTGGGCCGCATTCTATAGCTATTATATAATTAGAAAGCCTGGTTAACAACATGTTCGGCCGACGTACCCTTGGTCCCAGGGCCAATGATAGATTTCAGGACTTGTTGATAATCGAACACGAGGATGAATCCTTTCGAGGTTCCTACGACAAGTGACGCCGCCACTGACAGACATGTTGGTCGGCCGAAGTTTCGCTTGCCTGCCTCGGAAAATACCTGTCCCGTTATTTTCTTCAGTTTTGTCCATCGAACAACCTCCCAAGGCGCCTGCGGCGTATCGGCTTCGTCTTGTTGAAGTTGAAAAAGTCGATTACTTGATATAGAAGACTGACGCGATTTTGGAGACAAGAACGCAGGTGTGGACGCGCGTGGTGTGCTTAACGGCGAGGGAGACTGCCGAGCAGAGAAACGCCTTTCGAAAGGCTGGAGGGAAGTAGGCCTATGGGGACGCAGGGAAGTGTATGATGCCGGGACGCTGCTTCCAGGGGAGGAGACTCTAGACCCCTGAGACATCAGATGAAGCCAATATGATATCGGAGATCAGAGAACATACCTGTATTGACGGAGTGTCGTCAAGTGCGGAGAGGGAGTCTGGAGTAGTTGCACCTAGTGCAGGAAATCCGATGGGAAGATCCGAGTCCAGTCCCCCTTCAACAGTGTTTGTGTGACCATGTTTGTGTCTGGCGAAGGTGAGTTCATTGCCGGTATCAATAAGCGCGGTGGAATTGCGCTGTTCTTCGTCGACCGAGCCAGCATAGCCTATACTTTGTGTATCCGTCGTCCCTGATCCATCCTGCGGCTCAAGACAAGAGTCAGCTGCAACCAGCCCAATGCTCGGGGTATCGTTGTCATCATTGGGGGCGTCAGTGAGGCTCCCGCCCGAATCTGAGCTCATGAGGTTTGACTTCTGCCGCGCATTGCGTCGCGGCCGGGTATTATGGCTCCACTTGTTCCTTAGTTATCCGTTGTTGTGAACACTTGCTCCTTCGATTGAGTCCGTGACGAGCAACCCTGCTCTTCACTTCGTTGCGGGGGGAGGATGGCGCCGGATCGCAACGCGTAGGAAAAGTGCGTGGGTTTAAATCTACTGAATGTAGAAGCGGAATCTCTCTGAAGGAGGCGTCGCAAGGGCGCGGAGTCGGCGCAGGAGCAAAAGCTCACAAGCTATTCGGGTAATGGCTGTGAGGCCGCAGCTTGCTGCAAGCTTCATGATCAATCAGGCGTTGTCGTCAATCATTGATCTTGGCAAACGCCAAGCCAGTGGTTCCTACTATGTAGAGATTGGGGGCCCAAGCTCCAGAAATAACCTCACCTCACCAATTCTACCTGTGCCACAGGAACAACAGCGAAAAGCATACCGGCCGGTACCACTCTTGTAAACGCGCAATGTCTTCGATAGGGCCGTCCCCCTCGCCACACCATGCGAAACGAGGCCGCGATGCCGACAACGACCGCTCTCCTAGTCCACAGTCCAGCGAAAAGCGCCGCAGGATTCTAGGCCCAGCACCACCACCAGCCTCCGACTCTGCACCTAACCAGTCGCCCACGCGTGTTCTTGGCCCTTCATTACCTCCCACATCACCATCACGCTCCAGCAGTCCGGAGAATGCTGTCGAACCCGCACTGCCTGGACCTGTGAAGATCCCTCGGGTCATTGGGCCATCTGCGCCTCCCGCTCCTCTTTCCGAGATACCACACAGCCCGCCTTCAGACGATTCAGACAGTAGCGACGATGAGTTTGGTCCGGCGGCCCCGCCTTTAGGAACTGACTATGCGGGTCACGAGGAGAGATATGCGTCGGCTCAGCCCTCTGTGTTTGACACAGATCCACAGTATGCAGAACACGCAAAGAAGACTCAACGTGATGAGTGGATGACGATGCCCCCAACCCAAGATGATCTTGCGGCACGAATGGACCCCACTAAGCTACGCGCTCGGAAATTTAACACAGGAAAGGGTGCACGTGGAGCCGGCTCAAGTGGGAATGGCATGGGTGTCTGGACAGAGACACCTGATGAGAAGTTGAAAAGGCTTCAAAATGAGGCTCTCGGGGTGTCTGCCCCAGCAAATATGGATGGTACCAGTAAATACCCTAGAAAAAGTAAGGAAGAGGAAGATAAGGCGAGGCGCATTAGAGAAAAACTTGATGCGGCGAGGGGAAAGAGCCTTATGGAGCAGCATAAGGAGGGCGGAGGAGGCAAAGATAAGGAGGACGACCCTAGTAAAAGGGGATTCGACTGGGAGAAGGATATGGGCACGGGCATGAGGATCGGAGACAAGCAGCGTAACGAGATGCTTAAAAGGGCGAAGGGATTCGGGGACCGGTTCTCGAGTGGGAGCTTCCTCTAATCACGCTACGATCATCTCCATTATACCGCTCGAGGCCTCACGATATTCATCTTCGGTCGTCCTGCATGTTCAAGTTGTTGATCATAGATTGCGTTGTGGGGGCATCATTGACAGACTCTGAATGTGTGAATAGTTTCGGAATGGGAATATATCCTGTAAGTCCCCTTAATGGACAACATAACCTTTCTCAAACCTCGTAAACGGCGATAATGGCTAATAGGAAAGAGGCGTCGCTGAGCTCTATGTCATTTCTATACCCAGTCTGGGGTTCCTTGCATGCCAGCATCGTCCTCCGAAATCGTTTCCTTTTTGTAGATTCCATCAGTCTTCTTCTGTGAAACCCCCCATTTTCTCGTCTACTCCCTGCTACCTTTAGGCCTCGGCAAGGCGGAGTTGCGTGGCTTTTGCCACCGGCCGCCATTCACTACCGCCTCCAAATTCTCTTGAAATCGCTCTGCAGGTGAAAGAGAGCCCCACCGTTCGGCTGGCAACCCCAATCAAAACAGAACGGTTGCCTCACCGACATTGCGCCTCATGAGCGTATATCTTGCTGCCGCCGAGACTGGAAGCGCACCGGGGTCTTACGCCTTCCCCTGCCCTACATATTCTATCTCTTCCTATATAAACACAACCTCCCTCCGACTCACCTTTCTCCCAACCACAGCGCCCCATCTCCACCGTCGCCCCCCGTGCGAAAGCACAAAATGCCACCCAAAGTTTTGAGGCGCGACGGAAATGAGACTCGGACTGCGCTGCGCGTCCAAACCCAAGGCGAAGATGATAGCGACGTCGAGATGGATGATGCCGTGTCCGACCAGATGGCCAGCCCTGTCGCTGCTCGCAAAGCCCCGTCTATGGCCCTGAAGGCTATCAAAGCCCGTGAAAAGGCGCTGGTCGACAAGTTCGCAGTCGTGCAGGCCAACATACAGAACGATCTCGAAAAAGACGATGGCGTTGTAGTGGACTGTTTCTTCCATGCGAAGGAGAAACGCGCTCCGGTAAGGCGCTAATGGCCCATGATTCGCAATTTATGACACTAACATGTATCTGCAGATGGATAAGTCCTACGACTATACCCATCTCATGAAGCTGGTATCACCCATGCCATTTGTCCTGGTGAAGCAGGTACGTAATATCTCGGCCCATGATCGTTGAGATCTTACTGACTCTGGAGACCATCCTCACCGAAGGCGAGTACGCAGGTCATGTTGCCATCTTGGTCAAGCAGTCTTTGCCTTTCCCCTTAATGAGGCTCCCTATCTCCGTTCGTACCAAGGTGCTTAACTTTATGCTCAAGCATGATGAAGAGGCCATCCGGGTTTCTCTCTCCCAGGGAGGAAAAAAGGCAGCATATTCGAAAGAGTTCCACGGCAAGAACACGCTCGCCATCCTTGCGACATGCAAACAGATCCGCGATGAGGCGGCGCCTCTCCTCTACGGCCAAACCTTCGTCTTCCCAGGCACTGGCGCCCTTACCACATTCTTGCTCCAAATCGGCCAATTTAGCAAGTATCTCCGCCACCTTGAACTCGAAACGTACACCGGTGCCTCCGCGCGTACCATGTTCCACCTTCTCGAAAAGGCCACGTCGCTTGAGATACTCCATTTTCAACATATCTCCTCTAATGAGAGGCCGAAAACGGCGGTCAAGAACATATACAACGATGCCTATCCGTGGCTGATGGCCGTTGGTAAGGAATGTCCCACCAAGGGTCTCGAGATTATGCACTTTCACGAGGCGGCATTCCACCGACGTGACAAGAACGAAAATGGAGAGCCCGAATCCATCAAATGGAGCAGTGCAGAACATGAAACACTCCGCAGAGGACTTCGCTTGAAGTTGGAGAAGGCAAGCAGGGCCAATGCATCATCTTGAGGCTATCACGCCCGATCCAATAGTTTCTTATAGCGACTTTCTGGGTTCTTTCGCTTTTGGGTGCGTGATGGCGATTGATGGGCACGATATGGATTTTTCTGGGTGATGGTTTCGGTGCGATGCTTCTTCCCGCTTTTATGCGGTGTAAAGTACATTCACTACAAGTCCTGTACGGGGAAACACAGCCTACTGGTGTTTTAATGATTGCCTCAAAGTATGTCAACTACAGTGAGCGACTTGTGATCACTTATGCTACCGTGGTAGGAAGATATTGCCAGGTGGTCCTGATCAACCCCATTATTGCAGTCTTAGTTGCGGGAGCTGCACAGACTGAGGTGTTGCAAAGATCTCCAGTCCAAGTGAGAATACACCTAGGTGACCGCCACACGGATGAGTCAGCCAATTGCGATCCGTGCGCCGCCGCCAAGTATCTCGAGCTGCAACATCCACAAGCTTCAGCGGCGGCAACCTTATCCCAACAATTCCCACCACTATCCTCTCTGCTGCCACATCGGCATTTCTACCGGATGCCAGTAGTTGCGATTGAAAATGTCTAGTGGTGAGTGTGACAGTCTGCGGGTCCTACCCTGTGCGTGCGCTAATAATCCTGTAGCCGGCAAAAAGTCCAAGGCGCTCGACGCGCCCAAGGGCAACTCCAAGGCGTTGCTGAGCGAAGCCTTCGACAAAGATCTATACGACAGCGGCGACAAATACTCTGGATACAACACCTCCATCGCTGTTCGCGATGAAGACGAAGATATGGACGATGTCGGCGAGATCAACGGGAGGCGGCTGGTTGCGCAATACACGGCCACCAAGGACCAGCTCAACGAGTTTGCGCATGGAGACACAGAGGAGGCGGACATTCTCATGAGTCGAGAGGAGCAGGCCCAGATTGCGTCGCGCGAAACCGATTATCAGAGGCGTCGCTTTGACCGCAGACTTTCACCCTCTGGTGAGGAGAAGAGGAGTTACAAGGAGGTAATGAAAGAGCGCGAGCTAGAGCGCGAAGAGGCCCGAGTGAAGAGACTCATCGAGGAAAGGGAAGCAAAGGGGAACGAAGTTCTCGATCATGTACCCACGCTCAAGGACGGCGCAAACGGCACGGTTGCTGTCAACGGTGATAAAACACCGCCTATGGACAAGTCGACCAGGCGTAAGCGTCGCTGGGACGTTACCAACGAGGAAGAGCCTACAGGAGAGGAGACCAAGAAGGAAGATCGTAGGGACAGTACCAGCGTGGAAGAACGGTCGAAAGAAGAAGTCAAGAAAGAGCGCGGAACGAAGAAAACCAAATGGTCGGACGCGACTCCTGCGGCTGACGCTGCGATGGCCGCAACACCAGCGCCTGATGCACCTGTACGGTCGCGTTGGGATACGACAGCCGCTCCAACAACCATTGCGGGTCCGTCGCCTAGTCCCGGGGTAGTCCCGGGCCCTGTTGCTCCTATGATGAGCTTTGGAACCGACATTTCTTCGCGAAACGCACCTTTATCCGATGAGATGCTAGACATGATGCTTCCCAAGGAGGGATACAAGATCCTGACCCCTCCTCCCGGCTACGAGCCTCTGCGCAGACCAGTTGGGATACCCCAGCTGCCTACAGGTTATAACGGCTTCCTCCTTCCCGAGGAAGGTCCGAGCAATCTGATGGGAAAGCAACTACCGACGGAGATCCCTGGTGTGGGAGACCTGCAATTCTTCAAGACTGAAGACATGAAGTACTTTGGGAAGCTTGTTGATGGTGCTGACGAGAATGAAATGACTGTCGACGAGCTCAAGGAGCGAAAGATCATGCGATTGCTGTTGAAGGTCAAGAATGGCACGCCCCCAATGCGCAAGACCGCGCTTCGACAGCTTACCGACAACGCGCGCCAGTTTGGCCCTGGACCGCTCTTCGACCAGATTCTGCCTCTGCTGATGGAGCGTACCTTGGAAGATCAGGAACGCCACTTGCTCGTCAAAGTCATTGACCGCATCCTCTACAAACTTGACGATCTCGTCCGTCCATACGTTCACAAGATCTTAGTTGTCATCGAGCCCTTGCTTATCGATCAGGATTACTACGCGCGTGTGGAAGGGCGTGAAATCATTTCTAATCTCGCCAAAGCTGCTGGTTTAACTCACATGATCAGCACCATGCGTCCGGATCTCGATCACAACGACGAGTATGTTCGCAACACGACCGCTCGTGCTTTTGCAGTTGTCGCATCGGCGCTCGGAATTCCAGCTCTTTTGCCATTCATCCGGGCTGTCTGCAGGAGCAAGAAGTCGTGGCAAGCTCGCCACACTGGTGTGAAGATTGTCCAGCAGATTCCCATCCTCATGGGCTGTGCCATTCTTCCTCATTTGAAGGACCTCATTGAGTGCATTTCGGAGAACTTGAACGATGAACAGCCGAAAGTACGCATGGTTACTGCTCTTGCGCTTGCCGCACTCGCCGAGGCATCCGCTCCATACGGCATTGAGTCTTTCGACAACATTCTTAATCCCCTGTGGACGGGCGCTAGAAGACAGCGCGGGAAATCGCTTGCAGCTTTCCTAAAAGCCGTGGGCTACATCATCCCGCTCATGGACGAGGAGTTCTCTAACTACTACACCGGTCAAATTATGGATACTCTGATACGCGAGTTCCAGTCCCCGGACGATGAGATGAAGAAGGTCGTGCTCAAGGTAATATCTCAGTCCGCAGGCACTGCAGGTGTCACGCCCACCTTCCTCAAAGACAAAGTTCTGGATGAGTTTTTCAAGCACTTCTGGGTCCGCCGCATGGCTCTGGACAAAAGAAACTATCGCCAAGTTGTCGAGACCACGGTCGACCTGGCTCAGAAATCAGGCGTTCCAGAAATCGTCGGCCGTATCGTGAAGAATCTGAAGGACGAGAGTGAAGCGTATCGGAAGATGACGATCGAGAGTATCGACAAGATTATCAGCACATTGGGTGCGTCAGGTCTTGAGACACGCCTCGAAGAGTTACTGGTCGATGGCATAATCACTGCCTTCCAGGAACAAACGGTTGAAGATCCCATCATCATCGATGGCTTTGCAACAGTTATGAACGCTTTGGGGGAACGCGCGAGACCATACATGACCCAAATCGTAGCAATCATCCTGGCACGGTTGAACAACAGAAGTCCTTCAATCCGTCAACAAGCGGCCGATCTCATTTCGCGGATTACCTTCACCATGTCCAAATGTGATGACGACCCTCATCTTGTGTTGCTTTCCCAGGCACTCTACGAATACTTGGGTGAAGAGTACCCTGAGGTGCTTGGTTCCATCCTTGGCGCTCTTCGAGCTATAGTCACTGTGGTTGGTCTACATGCTATGCAACCTCCGGTCAAGGATCTACTCCCTCGTCTCACTCCCATCCTTCGCAATCGTCACGAGAAGGTCCAAGAGAACACCATTGATTTGGTGGGCCGGATTGCCGACCGAGGTCCGGAGTTTGTTCACGTACGTGAATGGATGCGCATTTGCTTCGAGCTGTTGGAGATGCTCAAAGCTCACAAAAAGGGTATTCGCCGGGCAGCTAACAACACCTTCGGCTACATAGCCAAAGCAATCGGACCTCAGGATGTGTTGGCTACTCTTCTGAACAATCTTCGGGTTCAGGAGCGTCAGTCCCGTGTCTGTACTGCTGTTGCTATCGGCATCGTCGCTGAGAGCTGCGCTCCGTTCACTGTCCTTCCCGCTCTTATGAACGAGTACCGTGTCCCTGAGCTGAATGTACAGAATGGCGTCCTGAAAGCTCTCTCCTTCATGTTCGAGTACATCGGTGAGATGGCAAAAGATTACGTCTACGCGGTTACGCCCCTCTTGGAGGATGCCCTGATCGATCGTGATCAGGTCCATCGGCAAACTGCGGCTGCGGTGGTCAAACATCTGGCTCTTGGATGCATCGGTCTCGATTGCGAGGATGCGATGATCCATTTGCTCAACCTCCTGTGGCCCAACCTTTTTGAGACCAGTCCCCACGTTATTGACAGAATCATCGAAGCCATTGAGGGTATTCGAAACGCTGTCGGCACCCCACTAGTGATGAACTACATCTGGGCTGGCCTCTTCCATCCCGCGAAGAAAGTTCGTCAGCCGTATTGGCGCCTCTACAATGATGCCTACGTCCAATCTGCGGATGCAATGATTCCTGCTTACCCTCATTTCGAAGATGAAGTAATTCGGAGGCACGAGTTGGATATCTTCATCTGATCATCAAACATGTCCGTCCTTCTGTGTATTTTCCGCGGTTCAACAAGTGCTAACAATGTTAGGGCATTATTCACCTTCTCTCCCCCTTGTGGTCACTAATCGCTCTGGATGGCCTGACACGAAGTAGGTTATCTTTGCACAAGTCGATCGAATTGTTCAATGCTCACCGGCGAGCCTCGAAAGGTACGTGCAATTGCGATGCTGTTTCCGCACTGGGACTTGCCACCTCAGCTGCCCTTCACTGTCAGCTGTGAAGGTTCTGTACAATAGCTTTTCTGCATGGGATGGAGTTGCGTGGAAGCGATGGACTACGGAATGGGCACAGAAGTCAGGCTTCGGATGGATTATTGTAGTGTGATTTGAGTAATCAAGGGTATGTGATCATAACGATTGCCCCAGATCCTCCTATTGATCGCTCCAGGTGCTGTGACGTGATACCCGCTGCATAACGTTGCTTGACGACAGTGATCTGCGCCTGTATAGAAACGAAAGCCACTTGTTCACCTATGTGATAAATGGAAAGACTCAATGCACCTCGTATGCCCCTTCCAAGCATGCCGAAGCAGTTGTAGTTTCCTCTCGGCATGAAAGAGTGGAACAGGCCCTCATCCGCCGGACATGCATCATCCATCTTCCCTCGAATTCTTGTTTGCTCGTCGCCGGGCACGTGCAGATGTGTACTACCATCTATCTCAAACGTGGGCAAAATACCTATTCTTGGTTGTCAGCTCAGCTGCGGGGTAACTCTGGTGGACACGCCGTAGTATGCAATACGAGAAATGTGAGGCCTGCAACGAAAACACAGCGTATGTTGTGAAAGGGGGGCAAAGAAGAGGGCTTGCAGAGATGAAACAGTACAGGAGGGGGCATGTGGGTGCGGAATGCCGCTTTCGCCTCTGCGCTCTTGATATTCGCTATCTCGTATTCGGCTTCTGAAGGATTGTGCTCATCTGGAATGTGTGCTACGCTTCATCTTCTGAGTTTCTCTTAGCCTCGCGTGTCTTCTTATTTGACTGCATAGGCGGCTCGTGGTTCCCAGAAGACCGGGTTTTCTCGTGCTCTCGTCGAGATGGTTAAGGTTGCTCAGAGTCACCCACAACACACCGGACCCTCCCAGGAACACTAACCATATGGAGTGGTCTTCTTCTAACATTGGCGAGCGGAGAAGCCGCTGTGCGTCCATCTCGTCTTCCTCTTCAACCCACGAGGATGTCGACGACCAATATCCGCTCCTGCACTTGAAAACACGAGGGGCCCTGCGGCAGAACTCAGCCAAAGCCCAACAGATATTGGGACTGGTGACCGTCACTGGATTCCGCGGTGTCGTACGCGAGAAGAGCGATTACCATAAATCTCTCACAGGATTGAGGCCGAACGGGGAAGAGCGGCCGTTGCTTCGACATCTTCGCTATCTGGATGACAGCAGCTCATTCACGTCAACTGTATCATCGCACCGCTCCGTCGATTACCGCCTTGAGGAAGACTTGGGCACATGGGAAGGCCAAGATGGTGCTACCTTGGGACGTGAAGTCCTTGTTGGAACAAGAAGCCAATCTGGCAGGCGCGACTCGCAACGAAATTCTTGGAAGGCCCAGCAGATGCTGGGATTGATAGATCAATATCCCCGTGCCCGTAAAAGAGCATCACTCCAGAGCACAGTTCAGGGACAACGACCACGATCGGAAGCGAATTCTGAAATGCACCCAGATCTAGAAGAGCTCCTAAGGTTGTATCAGGACGATGCCAGCCAGAAAGAAGTTGCTACCGAATCAGGGCAAAATCAATCAGAGGGGAACTCACCTGTCACCGTGTACAATGAGTGGGAGAGCTCAGGTGGATTGTCAACACCCCAACGTTATACAGCAAACGGATATATCAACTTCTCGCGACCACTGTCGCAGCAGTCGCCGAATTCACTTCGCAGCGAGGCGGCCGGAGAACGATTATTCCCTCGAACACCCCACATCACTAGAGATGACCTAGGTTTACCTCGCACGCCGTCCTTCGCGAATACGCTCGTTTTGGCCAAACCGATCTTTGAAAGGGTTGTGCCCAGTGAGGATAGGGCAGAAGATTCGGGGCATTATTCGCGCCTACGCCACCTGTCCTCGCTGTGGACTTCGTTACCCATGTGCATGGTGCGGCTCGGCAAGAAGGGGTCCAAACCGACTGCGACTGATATGGTCGGAAAGGAAGAGGGTGAGGAAAGGATTCCACTGACAGAATATAACTTGAGAGAGTATGAAGGGCGTGTAGGACCTAGGTCGGGACATTTCAATCAAGACGCCCAAGCAAGCCCTCTACCATCACTAGTAGAAGCGGACGATTCTCCCTCCTCAAAGGCTCCAACTGGAATAGATGAGAAGCTCTTACCGAGTCCACCATCTTCGTCAACATCCTGGTATTCAGCAATGTCTCCCCCAAGGCCATCAACCGTTGCGCCATCTCGGATTCCAACTCGACCACCGTCAACGACTCCAACACTGCGTTCAGTTGAAGTTATTGACCGTCAAGTTGACCTTGCCGTATGCCAGGTTTGTAGGGAAGCCAAAGTCTCTTCCGCATACCCAATCCGCCAATGCACAGCTAAGTGCACGCATCCTCCGCATACCTGCATCGATTGCGTCCGAGACTGGATAGCTTCTTGCATTCGATACAAAGGCTGGGATCAATGCGTTTGTCCGGAGTGTCGGGAGAGCCTGGATTATCAGGATGTGAAATTCTTCGTTTCAGAGGACCTTTTTCTTCGGTAATTCCTCCCATATCTCACTTCCGTCACGGCTGAGTAGGGAGAAGTAACAAATTCGACTATTAGGTACGACAACATGGCCGCTCGTGCGGCGCTCTCGAAAATTCCGGCCTTTTACTGGTGTCTCTCCACTGATTGTTCGTCCGGCCAGATACACCCTTGGCCGTTGTCATCCCATGCCCCGTTCGTCTGTATTGCTTGCAAATACACATACTGTCTCAATCACCCTTCGGTTCCTTATCATGCTGGACTTAGCTGCGAAGAATACGACGCTCTTGTGGATGCGCCAACCTCAGCATCCAGCACAGGGGAGCACTCTGGTCTGCAAGCGCGGACTGTGCAAGAAAGGCTCGACGAGCAGATGGCGAGGGAGATAGGCAGACGGTGTCCGAATGCCCTTTGTGGGTGGTGGGTTGAGAAGAGCGAGGGTTGCGATCATATCACATGCTACAAATGCCAGTTTGAATGGTGCTGGGAGTGCGGTGCGCCCTTTGCCGTCATCAATAGGCGGGGAAACAAGTTTCACAGGAAGGGATGTCGGTATTATGGGTAGGCTCCCTAAAAAGACGGTGAAGGATATCAACAACGGCGGCACCCGCACATAGCCACTGGCTCGTTTGGATGCCCACGACTGTGAAAGCCATAACCACGGCCTACGGTTCGCACAAGAGTCTTAGATCCAGCTTCACACACCTTTGGGCCTGGAGCTGGCGTTAGCCCAAATTCCATATAAACATACCTTTCAACCCTACTTTTCCTCTCAAGCAACTACCTTCAGTTTCAACCCAGACAACCCACACAACCCACCGTTTCCAAGTTCTGAGGACGCATTGTCCCAATCGATCTGATCCTGCAAACACTTCCTCTTCAGGCTGCATGGCACAGACTTCTACTCGCTCGCTACCTCTCGCGTACCATGGACGGTGCGACAAACATGAGGAAACGTCCATCTTCTTCAAGTGCAACGGAACCCGCACAGACGGCACTCCGTGCACCTCCAGTCCGCGTTCAGAGCCGTACCACAATTACTTGCCCACATGCGGCCGTCATAAACATCAGATGATAGAGGCCGCACGGTGCGAAGCAATCGAGAGTTGCGGAAAACCCTGCTATCGACTATCTGCGGCCGACCCCCCCTTTAACCTGTGCCTTATACACTGCGGAGGCACAAGCACTCTTCGCTGCTACCTGATGGAGTTGCCTGCTGAGATTCGAATGATGATACTCGGGTACGTACTCCCCGCGAAAGTGCCGGCCCGCCGTTATCACAGGTCTGTGCCTTGGAAAACCTATGGCCTGGACCTGGCCATCTTGAAGATGAACAAGCAGATCTGCCGTGAAACGCTGGACGTGCTCTATGGGAAATCGGAATTCGAGGTAATCGTCACGCATGACAAGATGAGCATGATGGATAGGACGTGGAAGCGGCCTAGTGCCGGCGGGTCGGTCCTAACATGGACGCAGGTGCATCCTCCGAGCATCTTGCAGCGGATTAGAAAGGTGAAACTGCGGGTCTTGCTCGGTGGTGGTACAGTCCTCCTGCCTCTTCACGTCGGAGAACCTTCTTCATGGATGAATCATATTACAGGGGTGAGTGGTGCAAGAAGGTACGAACCGAACGCATACTGACCACCATTTCAACGCAGATTGACTCTTCCCTTTTCCAGTCGCGGGACATGGTCCGCAAACTCGTTTGGGTCCTGCAATCCAACAAGATGACACACCTTTCCGTCGAACCCGAACTTCAAGCCCCCTCAACTTGGGAGGCCGATGAGGTGATGGCGGCCATCCGCCTTGCCTTGGAGCCTTTCCGAGAACTCACTGTATTGAAGTCAAGGATCCTCGGTCCACTGACGGTGACATATCATCGCCGTAACCGAAACTCATCCCCAGTGACCCGCCACGTTGGAGCTCCCAATCCACGCCGTGCTGAGGCCGAAGATGGGGAATACCGCCTCTACCAGCGGAACTTCTCAACCGAACTTCCCATGCACATGTGGTCCGGTAGGCTTCCTCTGCCTCGCCCCGCCGTGGCCGCCTTACGCTTATACGCCGAACTGGAGCTTTTCAGCTCCGCCGTCTTCATGAAGAACCCGTCACTGACTACACCGGCGAAGGCCTCGGACAGCGAGCCCTTTTCCGGCCTAGACCGGGTCATGCATCTCGCGCGCCTTGCACACGAGCAATGCGATCTCGTCATGCTGGAAACTATCAAGTCCGCCGTCCTGCAGAGATGGTGCCAAAATACACACGTCGCATCTTTGCAGGGTCGGCAGGTAGGCTATGCCGCTAGGCTGCTGCTGAGGAGTTCGCCCGTAGTGCCTCCGGCCGCTGTGCCTCCTCAGTATGTAGACCGTCGGTGGGATATGTTGCGGATGGGTCGCCCTCCTCGCTTTGCTGGGACGACGGGTCAGCAACACGCTGAGGAATTAGTAATGACCGAGGACGAGGCGAGGGTGTACTATCATCTGCCTGGACGGGGTGTGACATGGTCGATGCCGAAGACGCCGCAGATGGTGAGTATTTGATCTCTGGCGGAGGGTAGGAATGAAAGAAGAACATGGCTAATGGGACGTAGGTACGCGCTGCGAGAGAGCGGGCTAGGCAGTTACGCGGTGGGTATGGTGGATCTTGAGAGGCCCCGAGAAACTGCGTGCATCAATTTTTGGGCGTCGTCGGCTCTGAGGTTTCTCTGTCCGCCTCTACGCCGGTGCAGACATGAGCATGTATCAGTAGGTGTAGGTGAATCCACGTGGCAGGAAGGAGCGGCGGCAACGATATCTGTGCTTGCGTTTCAAGTGGGAAAAACGGCGGTGGTTTGGAGGCAGTTATTCTTTATTTCTCCAGTCATTGAATACGTACAGATGCTTAATAATTGAGATGGTATTTGGAGCTCGTTTGTGTCATTGTGTCGTTGCCTTTGCACGGGTCGAAGGTACGAAGCTTTACCCATCTTTTGCGTTTGAGTTAGAAAATGGTACGCAGAACAGTTCAAAAATCGAAATGCGTACAGCTCGGCAAATGTATTCAAACTGCGGATGAAACAGAAAGCCTTCTGACATCTGTCACTTCGGCGCCACATTCACATTGATGGAAGAGAATAAAAAATAGCCATGATAGTACAAACCCCCCTTTCCTACCCAGCCATCCTACTGGATTCCCCCCACCTTTCTCTCTACCAAAAGCTCGTTCACCCCTCAACCCTTAACACCCCCTCTCACCCGCATGCCCACCTGCAACCCAAGCGGCTTCCTCAAAAACCCCTCCCTCGTCTCCATCTCCCCCTCCTGCCGCAGCACAAACTCGTACCTGCTAAACACCGTCGCCACAATCAGCGCCAGCTCCATCTCAGCCACGTTCCGCCCCACGCACGCCCGGGGCCCGTAGCTGAACGGGATAAACGCCGCCTTTTGCCTGTCCCCCACGGAGCCGTCGAGCCAGCGGCTGGGGCGGAAGGAATCTGCGTCCGGGCCCCAGATGGCCGTCGAGTGGTGGATGGTGTAGGCGGGGACGGAGAGGACGGTGCCCGGGGCGAAGTGCGTGTCCTGCAGCGTTATCCCCTTCCCTGGTGGGATGACGCGGGGGAGGCCGAGTGAGGAAGTGGAGTGGATGCGCATGGTCTCCTTGATGACGGCGTCGAGATACGGGAGGTCCTTGACGGCGGCGTAGGTGGGGACGGCGGTGGTGTTGGATCTGTCGGGAAGCGCGGCGTCGAGTTCTTCCTGCAGCTTGGTGATGACATCTGGGTTCCGGAGGCAGTGGTATAGCAGGGCGCACGACGTGTTGGACGTCGTGTCGCTGCCGGCGATGAGCTGGGTGAGGGCCTCGGCGGTGAGTTCCTCGCGGCCGAGCTTCTCGCCTTTCTCGTCGCGGCCTTCCATGAGGCGGGCGAGGAGGTCGACGCGGTCGGTTCTAGGGCCCGAGAGCCGGGCGTTGACGCGGGCGACGGCGATCCCCGCGAGGTTCTCGACGGCTTTGATGCCGTTGGTGAAGAAGGGGTCCGGTAGGTATTTGGCGTAGGGTTTCAGGGCGGGAAGGCAGCCGATGGTTCTGGAGGATTACTTTAGTATAGTCTTTTTATAGGGATAACAGATGGAATTAGAGGATAGATGAACCTACCCCGACACCTCTCCTCTCCGATTCAACACCTCAATCGCTGGCGCAAACGTTGGTTCCGCATCGGGCGTCATCCTCACCTCCGCAACATCCTTCCCCGCTTTCAGCATGCCAAATGGCGCACCAAATGCCAAATCCCCAATGACGTCGAACGCTAGGTAGTTGAACCAGTTCAGCGCGTCCATGTCATAGTAGTCGCCCTTTGCCTGGGCGGTGCGGGTATCCCATTGTCGTACCAGCTCCTCGAGATTGTGATGCATGTACTGCTCGAATTGCCCCACGGATTTGGCGGAGAAGGTGTGCGAGACCGTCTTGCGCTTGCGGGTATGTTCGGCGCGGTCGCGGGTGTTGAAGAGGCCGCGGCGGATGGAGACGAAGGCGTCGTAGTAGTCGCTGGAGAATGTTTAGTTGAGTACCTTATGCCTCCGCTTCTTCCACGTCTTTAGGTAAAAGTTACAGCTGGATTGATATACCTCTTCAGGAAGCCATTCCCGTGACCGTAGATTTGGGGAATGGCATCGGCGTCGGCGACACTGACATGGTTTGGCGCTATGCGGACCAGGACACCGTACTTCTTATGTGCATCATCCACGGCGAGATAGCGTCTTCCTCGTCGGGCCTGGTACATGAGCCATAGGTTCGAGAAGGGAGCGGGGAAAGGGCCGGGTATGCGACGGAGAGAGCAGTTGCGCAGATATGGGAGGAGGTAGTATAGTACAGGTAGAAGGAAGATAGTCCAAGGGGACAGTAGCATAGTGAGGAACATGATTCTTCCTTTCTAAAAGAGGAGGAGTTCAGAAAGGGAGGATGGAATAAATAAGAAGGAGTTCCCTTGAGATGTTGAATCTCTCCAAGCGCAGGAGTCCCGGATTTTTATAGCTCTTTTCTCACAGCTGCAGCACCACCTCCACCCCCAGCCGTAGCATAACCCTTGGAATCACCTATTCCTCGTCTCGTCTCGCACCCGCAAACGGTCGGCCGTAGACATGCCTGCTATCCCTTGCAGGACTCCAGAAATGGTATCCAGGAAGCTCCAGGTCTGCGCACATGGATATCGACGACGTCAAAGCAAGCTAAGCGCCAAGCTTCCTTCCATCCAATCACAAGCCTCTCCCAGCCTTTCTAATGAAGCCGAATCCCTCGTCCGAGCGACGATGGCGACCGCAACAACATCAACCCCGCGTTCCAGGGACGCTGTCCGAGTTTCCCCCGCAGACTGGAGACGATCACGGTGTGGGAATGGGTCTTCAGCGGGGATAACCATGGCCGTGTGGGTCTCGTCTATGTGCTGGGTGAGAATCTCAGAATTTTACCATATGTCCCGACTTCGTCTCCCGGACGCCGGATGCTGGAGGGCGGAAAGCTATGACGGAATGGATTCCGAGGGTTGCCCACAGCAGATGCACTTCGCATCTTGGAAGTTGAATCAAACTCACATGCTGCATTTGGTCTTAGTTGAAAGAACGATGCTCTCTTCAACGTAGTGATCATGGTATAGTACTCAAGCAAGAGGAACTTCTACTGACTCCGGGAATCCGAGCGTCTACTACCATCAAACTCGTCAAACAAGTAATAGAGGGGATCAATATCATTAAGCAAAGAAATAACCCTTCCCACCACACCGGCTGCGTCCATGGTATCGTCCATGGTATCGTCCATCAGAGTCAATCATTCATTCCGCGACTCTTCCGATGCTTCGAAGAAATTCAAAATGGCCTTGACCGCCATTGGGCCCAGCCCGTGAGGCGGGTAGCAGATGTAGCTCGGGTCGTCCTGAGCGCCCAACTTCTCTCGGAACTCGGTCTTGTTGGTGAGCTTCAGCTCCGTCGCAATGGCATGGTAAGCTTTGCTGAGCACCTTGACTTTGGCGCCTCCGACGTTGTGGCCCGGGGTGAATTTAGAGCTGGCACCACCGCCAAAGGTGACGGTGGTGGCACCTGCCCCCGCAACGGCCTTCAACGCGTGTATGACCGTGTGCTCGATGGCGCCTCCTGGCGCGTTGGGAAAGTCCAGCGAGTACTTGACCTGCCAGCCGTGATCAGGGCTGAGCTGCGCCATGGCGACAAATGCCACAACCGTGCCATCCGCCGTCTGCGCAATGTGATACTGGCGGTGTTCAATGTCCTGCCAGGGGCGAATGTTTGTCAGATGCACCTGGCGGCCTTTCCGGCTGGCCAACCACTCCTGTACGCGGCCATCCACCTTCTGCCTCATCTCCTCTGGCGGAGGAGAGCCAATCGGATAGTCCGTGATCTTGACCCCTTCTCTCTCTGCTTTGCGGATCTTGCGTTGGATCTCCGAATCCTGGAGCGCAGGGTTGTTTCCTGGGTCGACTCGCTGCTCCGCAACCACGGAGAAGGTGCGCCAGTTGAACTTCGACGCCAACACTTCTTCCACCTCTGACCCCACCAGGAGCCACAAGGGTTTCAGACCACGCTCTTTCTTGATATATCGAAGATATCCGGAAATGGTCTTGACATATTGAGACGAATGGCACAAGGGGTCGCCGACCGTAATGGCGTAGCCATCCACAGGGACAAACCCAACAGCCGCTCCGGTGAACTCGTCACGCCAGATTTCCGTTCGAGGCTCGAGCCAAGACGTGTTCGTAGCATCGCCATAGTTCGCAATGAGCTTCTCGATGGGTTGGAACTCCAACCCAGCCATGACCCGATCCTTGCCCTCCCAGGGTGGATGCATGGTGCTCGCCTCTGGGTGGCGCAGTTGCTTGATGACAGGCTTCGCGGGCAAGCTCTTGGGATCGCGGGGGAACATGGAAGCGTGCCTGATGTTTCCAAGGTTCAGGAAGAGCATCAGGATACGCTCTAGACCGATGCCGCCACCACCGTGGGGGGGTGCGCCCCATTGGAAGGCCTGAATGTATTCCTCCATGGTCTGCGGGTCCATTTTCAGCCTCGCCAGATTCTCCAACAACATGTTCGCATCATGGATACGCTGCCCGCCGCTGAGAATCTCCTGACCACGCAAGAAGATGTCGAAGGCGTTTGTGACATCGGGATTGTAGGGATCGGGCATGGCGTAGAAGGGACGGGCGTTGCGAGGGAACTTGTCTAGCACATAGTAGTCGGTGCCCAGCTTCTGCTTGATGACACGGCCAAGTTGAATTTCGTCTCGGGTACCAAGATCCTCGTTCGGATCGAGAGGGTTGCCATCCTCGTCCCTCCATCCCGAGTCGTTGAGCATCTTCACAGCTTCGGCGAACGGGATGATTGGGGTCTCTTCCAGCCATACCAGGTCCTCGTGCGGGAACTGGCGCTTGACAAGCTCGACCTCTGTCCTGTAGTTATTATAGATACCTTTGAAGATGGTTTTGAAGGTGCGGTCCAATGTGCGCAGGACTTCATGATAGTGCTCCTCAATCTGCATTTCGAGATCCAGACCAGTATACTCGGTCAGATGGCGATAGGTGTTGCTGTTCTCCGCGCGGAAGACGGGACCGATCTCGTACACCTTGCCAAAGTCGGCAGAGATGCACATTTGCTTCGGTAGCTGTGGGCTCTGGGCAAGGAAAGCCCCACGGTTGAAATATTGCACCTTGAAGACACTAGCTCCAGATTCGGACGCACCACCTTGCAGCTTTGGGGTGTGAATCTCAATGAAGCCTTCTGCATCCAGAGCCTGGCGGAAGAGGCGGCAAATGCCGGATTGGATGCGGAAAATGGCTTGTGATGTGGTTGTTCGTAGATCGAGGACGCGGTTGTGCAGTCGAGTGCGGTCCGAGATCTTGACGCGCGTATGGCCCTCTTTATGGCCCTCTCTGGCAAGTTCTTCATCCACGTCGGCTTGGGAAACTTCGGCCTCGTAAACATTGAAAGGCAAATGCTCTGTGACAACGGCCTCGACATGGAGGGCGTGCACCGAAACCTCGACGTCGTGAATCGTGGCTCCTGTGACCTCACCCTGCCTGGATTGCGGCTCTTGCAGGACGCCCCTGACAAGCAGAACGCTCTCGGGCTCTAGGTGCTCTGCCCAGTAGAGCATGTACTTTGTGATATCGCCATGCTCCACCAGCACGCCTTGTATGGTGGCGGTCTGCTGACGGAACACGAAGAAGACGAACTTGGAACTCATCTTCCTCAAGTGATGTAGTCTGGCACGGAAGACGACCTCCTTGCCCACATCCTTGGCACTCAGATTCTTGATATCAATGCGGTGGTCATGTTTGATGTCGCCGGCGTAGCTGTTTGGATGGATCAAGCCGTACTTGGCTTTCTGCTCTGGTGTCAATTCTCTGTCGGCCTGCTCGGCCATCTCCTTTCTCCTCCTCTCAATCTCGGCCTCCTTCTCCTCGATTTCCCTGTGGCGCTCCTCGATCTTGGCCTGTTTTTCCGCCTTCCGTAGCTGGTTCTTGGACATTGGCTCGCCTTCTCGATTGAGGGGGACATCCTCTTCGCTAGACGAGTCGGCGCCCAGATGCAGCTTCTCCCTTAAGGCGCGGACGGGGCTCGCAGTACTACGGGATTGTGAGGCTGAGCGGCGATGGTGGTCGGTGGCGGCGGATCTGAGAGGAAAAGTCGAGCTGCTATTTGGGCTGTCGGTGAATCGCGAGAAAATGCCGCTGCTCCTGGGGGAGTCGGGTTTGGGTGGCTGGTCCACGCTCGAGCGGCTGTCTGCCAGAAGGTCGGACGCATTGCTGGGCTTGAACTCGCCGCTGGGGCGGCTACGAAAGATTGAAGTCTTAGGCGAAGTGGGAGAGGACTCGGTGTCGGACGTTGGGTTACTGTGGCTGCCCGGCTTGAGCTTATTAAGAGCCTTTTTGAGAGACATGGTGGGGGCGGGTGCTTGAGGCACAGAAGAAGGCTCGGAAACTGAGCGCACCCAGCAAGACCAGGAGCAGCCAGAGGACGCTGTGGGGTGAGTACTGTAGAAGGGACAAGTGGGAACTGGAAGGATAAATCAAGTGTTGTGTTGTTTACTAAGGAGGGGGGCGGGGAGGAGGGTGGGCAAGCGTGGTTGTACTGGTAAGAAGGCTGGATAAGGCGATGACGTCGTGAAATTAGCCGTGGCGCCGGCGGTTGGGTTCCAGAAGCGGCTAGCTGGCTGGTGGTGGGTGCAAGGCAAGGGAACAGCTGGGCAGAGAGGGAACTCAAGGACACGGGATGGTGAATACTGACAATACTTGTATACGTACAGTACTCCTAGCAGTGAAGGGGAACCCAGATTTGCTGTGTACTGTACACATGCACAGTAGTTCTGGCATCCATCTGATGACTCTGGCTCTCCTGATTACTCATATCCCTCATGGGCTGCTTAAGCAACCCCGTCGACCCCACGTGGGCTCACGCGAAATTCGCCACTATTATTCGTTCGGGGCCAAAGCATAGTTCTGTGCACAGTGCAGTGTACAGTACAAGTACAAGAATTCCGTACACATGCGGCATTGCCAGCCACAACCGTTTATTTACTCCGACATACCTACCAGTAGGTACCTAGGTACTCTTAACTCTGCGTACTGTGTACACATTACTATCAATCTCGCATTGTCCGTGTCGTCATCGCATCCTGCTCCCGACAATGCTAGCTACTAGGAACATGGATCGAGGCATATCCGCCGTTCCTTGATTTTCCCACTGGTGCTGACAGCCGGACAAATGCCATGTGTTCCCTGGACTAGTCCTGTACCTGTATTATTCGAATTCGGGATACGTGACATCATCGGCGGTTCCAAACCCTCCCCAGTGCTCAAACTCGTTGCAGAACTTTGACGCTGCTTTCTGGTAGAAGAGATCACCTTCATCGTCGGCCCACGTCTCGTTGGCTACCCCCATTGCCCGCAATGCTATCAAATACCCCAGCGTCAGTGTACATCCTAGGCAAGAATTCGGCTGGCGAACCTACCCTTGACGAAATGTGCATCCGAACGGTGCTCCCCGCTGACCGCCGCGACCCGTATTGACTCCCAATCTCTCAATCTCCCGTAACCCTCAATGAGCTCCAAGTCAATCGCAGGCCGTGTCTGTGCGATATACACAGCGAGTGTGAAGAGCCACCATTGGCGTAGGAGGCTGACGTGGTGCTCGTGCGGAACCAATGGCAACAAGATACGCACCGCATGTGACGATGTCAGCAAGTGCACGAGGAAGAAGTCAAACTTCGCCGATGCCGGCGGCTCCGTCGCGAGAAAGACGGCCGTCGCTGTCCTCTGCAGCTCCCTGAACTGAGCCGTCGGATCCGTCAGCTCCCACGCGTTCCAGTACTCAAGCAAAGGCCCTTCCTTGTCCACAAGCACTTTGGATATGTCTCCGCTACGATGATCGTAGAGGCCATCGAACCTCTTATCCTCTCGAACCTTGTTTAGGATATCGAGCAGCGACTGGGAGCGGAATTCGCCTGGTTTCGTATATGCAGGGTCGTCAATGTACTTGTGAAGAGAATTGTAGCAGCAGGCCGCTAGGGCAAGTGCCTCGATAGCTACCGTTCGCGAGTTGAGCTCGTATGCATAGCCCAGGTGAATCAGAGGATGGGCAACTGTTGCATCTCTTAGCATAGTGGTGGCATTGCACAACTAACTTTGACTCGACGTACGCCCTGCAATGATGCCATTGATCAAGGGTTCTCTTCCTTGAAAAAGATACTCATCGAGTAGCAGCTTCCAATCGTACCTCTTCGCAACTAGCTGGTCTTCGAAGAAGTCGACAAATGCTCGTTGGTACCTGGTAGATGGTCAACGAGCCATGGTCACCTTTTGACGCAGTCACGTACTCTCTCTTTCCCAGAAAACCTCTCCAGTCATCCTTGGATATCTCTCCCGGCGAGTCGCTCCACGGTTCAAGCTCTTCCGCCTCCTTCTCGTATATGTCATGCAACTCCTCGTGCGAAGCTCCGAGGAGGTATGCTGACCCCAGAAGCTAGAATGCGAACTCAGCACCCGTCCTTATCCATCTTGGGAAGCGGCATACGTGCGGTGCATGGTTGTGGAAGCGGAGCTGGTTGTAGAGGATCGAATGGTTCGCGTGATTCGCCTTGAGCAGGTGCTTCAGAGAGCGCGCCCTCCTGTCTGCAGACGTCTCGACATCGTGGATCGGGACCGACGCTAGCTTGACAAAACGACAATCTGCACGCTGGCTGTCGCTCGGAGAGCTGCCTTGCCCACCAAAGAATGGGATCTTGAATCTGGGTAGTTGGAACATGTTCGGACTGTTTGATCGATCCAGGATGGAAAGGATGAGAAGGATGAGAAAGATGAGGAGGAGCTTAAGTGGGGTTTTTGAAGCTATGACCACATTCGGCAGCAGCAATGACATCGGAGTGGGATGATGTGACGAGCTGGTGCGTCCGTATCGGAGAGAGAACTCCATCTTCAGGATCGCGCACAACGACGTTGAGTCCAACTGGACTGCTCATCACGTAGAACTGCTTTGTTTCACCCTCCTTGCCACGGTAGTACAAGGTGAGAACACAATCAAGTCGCTCCGTAAGCCTTCTAGTAATGTATATAGACGACAATCTGACTCTCAACTTTGGTGCAACCGCTACACACAAAACGATGGCCTGCTCGGTTGCGAACCAAAGCCAACTATGCCTCACAAACGCTCCTTAATGGAAGGGTATCACGCTTAGTACTCGCCCTCTTCCATGCCCTCTTCAAGAGAGTCGCTGGCAACCTCTTCATAGTCCTTCTCGAGAGCAGCGAGATCCTCGCGAGCCTCCGAGAATTCGCCCTCCTCCATACCCTCACCAACGTACCAGTGGACGAAGGCACGCTTCGAGTACATGAGATCAAACTTGTGGTCAAGACGGGACCAAGCCTCGGCGATGGCGGTTGTGTTGCTAAGCATGGCCACGCTCCGATCGACCGAGGCAAGTTCACTGCCTGGAACGCTGACAGGCCTACAGATGGTGAGCCCAGTTCAAGAGAGATGACAAGTGGGAAAACATACTTGGTGTAGTTGATACCGAGCTTGAAGCCGGTAGGGCACCACTCAACAAGATTGAACGATGACTTGGCCTTGAGGGCTGCTGCTGCTGCACTGCAGTCTCTTGGGACGATGTCGCCGCGGTACAGAAGGGCGACAGCCATGTACTTCCCGTTGCGTGGGTCACAGACCACCATCTGGTTGTTCGGCTCGAAGCCTGTGCGAATTAGCTTCGAGGTCACTCATATCGAGTGGAACGCTCACATTGGAAGGTCAGCTCGCTGACTTTGAAGCTTTCATGAGAGCTCTTCTTAGCTGAAACAACCGGTGCGTAGCTGATCAGAGGGTAGTGGATACGCGGGTAGGGGACCAAGTTGGTCTGGAACTCGTTCAGGTCGACGTTGAGGGCACCGTCGAAACGCAAGCTGGAAGTGATAGAGCTGACAACCTGGGCAATGAGGCGGTTGAGATGCTCATAGTTGGGGCGGGGAATGTCGAGACTGCGACGGCAGATATCGTAGACAGCCTCGTTGTCGACGAGGAAGGTGCAGTCGGAGTTCTCAATAGTGCTATGCGTAGAAAGGACAGCGTTATAGGGCTCTACAACGGAGGTAGAGACTCTGGGGGCAGGATAAACTGCGAACTCCAGCTTGCACTTCTTGCCATAATCGGTAGAGAGGCGCTCAAGGAGGAGGGCACCAAAGCCAGATCCAGTTCCACCACCGAATGAATGGAAGATGAGGAAACCTTGGAGGGAGGAGCAGTTGTCTGGGCCGATTGTTAGTTGCTGTCGCACATACTCGTCCCAAACACCCACCAGCCACGCGACGGATCTTCTCGATAACGTTGTCGACCATTTCCTTTCCGATGGTGTAGTGACCACGGGCATCTGGTTGCCTGTCAGCGGCTACCTTCCCGCAGTGTCTTGCACAACCTACAGTTGTTTGCGGCATCTTCCTTGCCGCTGATCAACAGCTCAGGGTGGAACAGCTGGCGATACGTGCCGGTTCGGATCTCGTCAATGGGCTATACCGTCTATTAGCGTTGGCCCAAGCAGTCTGTTCCGCATCACGTACCGACGGGTCCAAATCGACGAAGATGGAACGGGGCACGTATTTTCCGCTGCCAGTCTCGGTGAAAAACGTCTCGAACGAGCCTCCCTCCGAAGCGTCCTTCGCATCCGGGTCAGGGCGACCATCCGCCTTGAGGCCGTGCTCAAGGAGATATCTTTGCGGCTCAAGTCAGCATGTCGAATTCGAAGGAGGAGGGCGTATCGTACAGCTCCCAGGCGCTGTTACCCAACTGGGTACCGGCCTGGCCGATATGGAGGTGGCAGATCTGTCACATCGCTACGGTCAGTCCCTGAAATTCAGCGCAGAGGCGTTGTGGATGCTCAGGAGGCAGTAGCGGGGTCGGAACAGCAAGACATACCTCTCCTCTCATGGTGGATCAATTCTGGCGCTGTATCGAACAGACTGGACAAAAGCAATCGACCTCAAGGGGTAGGAGTGTTGTTGGGAACTGTCCGTCGTGCAACGAGCGGTGAGGACAACGGGGGGAAGCGCTGTTAGTGGGGCAGCCGTGTTTATTTGGCAAGCGCGGTGCACTGACCACCGCGATGCAGGGGCAGGTACCCGAAACGAAACAGCACTTGCCCTGAGTGAACATCCCCACGTGATTCGATGCAACAGATTCTCAACCTTGGAACTCCCCGACCAAAAGAACCCTTGACGTGCTCAGCTAGGCGATTGAAACTCAAAGACACCATGGAGTTTGATCGGTGAGACTGTCATAGTGATTATATCAGGATGTATGACATCGTACAGGTTGAACCCTATTTCAATGACACGATCCACCATTACTGGGATTTGATCTATCGAACAAAAGACTCAGCTTTATTGTGCTATAAGATAACGTTGAGGTATCAATTTCCACCAAGCAACGCCTAGGTATTAGCTATTTTGATTAGAGGTGTCTATCGATGTACATTACAATGCTGATTCGAGCAGTCTATGATGGGCCGTAAAACTGACCTCAATATTTTCAACATCAAAACGCCGGTGGAAATGCTGCCTATGGTGGGGGAATCAGATTGTCACCAATTGGCTGGTGCTGAATAGGCAATGTAACCTGCAGAGGAAGTAGGTGGCGTTAGTCGTCAGGACGTGAAAGTGGCTGTAATATGAGAAAAGACAATGGTAGATAATGTGGATGTCCTCAGTACAGACGCTTCATTTCGATTCTCTCAGATTGAGAACGCCGAGGTGCATGGAAAGACGGTCCAACCTCTTCCGCTGCCATGGGTCTTGGGGTCCGCGAAGGGAGGAATGCGTCATTGCTGGTTCGGACGGCAATCGGGCTGACAGTTCCACTCCGTGGGTCGATGCGCTCCCTAGAAGAATCGAACTCTGCCTCGGGTATATCTTCCATGCCATTCTCCTCGTCGGTGTTTCGACGTCCCCGCCCAAAGAAGCGGTTGCGGTGGCTGGCCCGCGATGTGCGACTGAATTGGCGATCGACCCCGCTGGAGCGACCGGTGTCATGGGAGTGTCGGGTACCTCCTTCGTTCCGTGAGGGTGCTGTGGCCCTCGCGACAGCGGCTCTTCTGCGAACCTCGGACTCCCGATCCTCGAAGACATCACCAGGCATATCTCCAGCACCGAGATCCTTCATGCCTAGTGAGAAGTCGACACGACGGGTCAGAGTACTCATCGACTCTCCACGAGATCGTCCCCCGGTACGAAGGATTGAAGGATGAGTGCTTAAAAATGCGTCCTCTGCAGGAGGTGGAGGCACCAACGGTTCATCCTGGGGTTGCTGGTCTATGGTGCCCTGCGGATTATCCGGAGTGCCATTGTGCCCCACGCCGGGAGTCGCCATATGGGGAATATTCTGGAGATATATCGGGAAACTCTCCTTCTGCCCGGGGAAGCGCATGCGGGGTCCCTCGATGCCGCACTCTTGCATGGCAACCATGAGGGCGCAGATGAACTTGTTGCGCCGCTGCAAACGGAGCAGCTCATTCTGCCAGTTGGATTTGTAGAAGAAAACCACGTTCAATGTTAGGGCATGGACTTCGCCGAGATCCCTCAACTCGGTCAGGATGTTTGGCTGGTACTCGCGCTTTTCCGCTTGAACGAATTCCAAGAGACGGGCACGAAGGTTTTCGATCTGCTCTAATGTTGTTCCGAACTTGATAACATTGGGAACAGCCTCGGCAAGGGCGCCGGAGCGTCGCTGATTGAGGATGAATAGGGTATTCAGGTAACTGTTGGGCGCCTGAACAACATGCCCTTCCATCTTCTTGAACTCAGTATAGAGAAGGGAGATTTTCTTGACGAAGTAGTCATCCCCTAGGCCGTTCTTGCCGGTATTGCCGTAGATGCTGACGCGATCTCCAACGTCAAAAGGATGCTTGACAAAGACAAATATAATGGACTGTAGGAATTCCTGTGCAGTAGCGGAAAAGAGCCATGACAAGGCGAGAACGGTGGAGCCAGCGGAAGTAAGGACTCCGGAGGCCGATGTGGAAATGAGGGAGATGAAAACGAGGATGGTGATGACAAAGACAATGAACATGAAGACGTCGTCGAGCTTGCTCACGACAGAGTCCAGATCCTTGAGGGATGCGGTTATGGCCTTGCGCTCGCGGCCTATCTCGACGCACACGGCTTCCAGCTCTTCCATGGAGATGTCGCCATTCATGTCCTTGTCAAACATGGCGAATGCAGCGTCGGCCTCCTCGTCATTGTCAAAGGCGTTGCGAAGGTCCTCGGGATGTACAGTCTCGGTGTCTTCGCGTGCAAATGTACGGTACAAGCGACGTGCCAGTACCTGGCTGCCACTAGCGCTACTGAGGAGCGTCAGCACGACCTGGTGAGGATGAGTGCTGGTGGCGACTTGTCTGCCAGTGAAATCGCCCGCGACCTTGCCGGCAATGTCGCCGAATTTGCTGAAGACGTGCTTGGTGCTCTTTTGGGCCTCTTTTACCAGCTTCGCAGGGGTTCGAGCGCCGGAAGGAGCCTTGTCAGTCTTTTCCTCGAATTCGGAATCGTCCACCTCTATCTTCTCCTTGGAGAAGGTGTACAGCTTGGTCAAACTGGCGATTTGGAACTTGTTCAATTCGATGCGGTCGGCGTACGTGCGGAGGTGGAAACTGATGGCGATCAATTGGATGATGATCTTTTCGACGAAGTTGAGGATGGCGCCGACGAAGATGGACACGAGCACCTTGTTCATGGTCCTCTCCCAGTCTCGTACCGATCTGTTTCCGTCAATGTGATGGTTCGTCATGGTTGGGAGAAAGGAGATCTCAATGGCTAGCCACCAGAAGAAAAGGGTTGCGGGGAGTTCGAGCTGCTTGCCCATATCTCTCCACTTTTTGCTGTTGTTGGTGAAGAGGCTGGAGACGATGCCAATGGGCCAGGGCAGGCATTTTGCGAGGATCCGGCCGGCCCAAAGCGTCAACCAAACGATCTCGAGCCAGATGCAGAACCACATTAGCCTGACTCCGCCAACACTGGCGGTTGTATACTCGAGGGCGCCAGCCAGCAAAGGGATGAGGATGATGAGCACAACGGGCGTGATGTAGATGAAGTAGCGCACGATCCATACGGACTGATGGACCCTTTTGAAGAACTTGGCGAGCTTGTTGGTGGGACTCTCGGGTGGCTGGTACAGAGCGGTCCTCTCGTGCAGTGGGTTGGTAGCGGCGTCAAAGTCATCGATGGGTTCCTCCTTTCTGTGCCTGATGGAACGGCTGTGCGACACTCTGCTTGCGGCTTCTGCATTGGAAACCTGGCGTTCGACCTGGAGCATGGCCAAATCGTCGGTCAACCTGCTCGCCTGCTCACGGTTATGGGAGGGCGAGCGTAAGGAGCTCATTTTGCGCAGGTCAAGGTCGGTGTCGACATTGAGCTGGGTTGCATTGGCAGGCAGCTTGCCATCTCGTGCGGGTTGGTGGCTCTGGTGGTCATCGTCGACGACGGTTTTGCCATCATCGGAAGAGCGTTGGCGGTGTGGAAGATGGGTGGAGCTGTGCATACTGTAGGTCGGCTCAGGCCGATGGTCGACTGGACTGGTCATGTCGGAAGGGGTTGGAGAGGTTGTTATGGTAAGGGAAGAGCAGACGGGTCACCTCGACCGGGTGGTTCGCCCGAGCGCGAGCCCGGAATGACGTCGCGCGTCCTGCAGCAGGGTTAGGGAAGAATTGGATGGAAGAAAAGGAACAGCGAGGTTGGCCAAGTGAGTGAGTAGAAAGGTGGTAGATGAGAGACAGCGAAAATACGGACGACGAAGCGGAGTAACTAGTACTGTGTGAGTAAGGGTGGCATTTCAGGGTCTGGTGAAGGAGAGGCGAAGGCGTGGGATCAAATATAGCGGCGGGCGGGAAGAAGGCTCATTCTCCGCGATAGTCCGACAAGCCGTTTGCTGGCAGACGGGCCATCCATGGATCCAGGACTGGGGGAGCAGAAGCAGAAGGTGGGTTAGCGGTGGGTCTCCAGTACTGACGTACCACAGTACTTGTACATAGTAGTGAAGATAATGACGGACGGGGATCGGCGAGGATGCCTGTGCTAAGTTTATCACTCCGCCGTTGTTGGACAGCAGAAAAAGGCCTTCGCGGACGAGCTGGGCATTGTGCAACATATTTGCAGCCATCTCCCATTATTCGCCTGCGGAACTTGTTCATTCTGCTCTTTTGTGTGTGTGTGGGCGTGGAAGTGGCCAGAAGGGTGCCGAAGTGGACCGTTGAATTCCCAGGTTCCCAAGGCTGCTGGAGTGGCGAGCTCTTGGCGAGTGGTTCGCTTTGCTTCGGAGCAACCCGACGTTTAGCCACACCACCTACGTACCACAGTTACCGAGTCTCTGTAGAAAGCTTCAAGACTGTCTAAAAGGATATATCCTCCCCTATGTATACCTGCAGCTCGACAGGGACAGTTGCTAAGTATTGCTTTAATGGATTTATCCAAGCTCGGGATTCCTCAATCCGTCCATGACTCCTCTTTTTTGGTAGACCTTTCTCATCTTCACTTGCCGTCTTCTACCTACCTCCTTCGCATCTCTGCATCTATCTCCCCTTCCAAAATAAAAATTGGCCATGCTGCCTGTTGACGTTTGGGCTGAACGTCTTGTCAAGCGAAAGCTGCCATGTGCTGTGCTTCACTTATCCCCCGGAGGAAGACAACGCCATGGAGCAAACCTGATCATCTCCTCAGATCCCCTATCCTCGCTATCTTCGCTTCAAAACATAAAGGTGGAAACAAAGGAAACTGTATTGGCCTCTGTGGCATATATGATCTCATTCCACTCGTCCTAAACGGCCACGCAACTCAGACATCTATTCACCCAACCTCGACCTCCTCGTCCCCTTGGACACGAAGCGTACCCTGAACGCTGCGAGGACCTTGTCAAGGAAACGAGAGGACCACAGTACCTGCCACGACGGCTTGCCCTGTTCTGCAGTCGCCGCTGCCCTTCTGCCGCTGCAGTGGAAGCGCCTCCCTTCGACCTGTCGTTTGCTCCTGCCTCAGTCTGCCCCAGCCCAGGCAGGCACCGACATCATGACAAAAGAAACGCAATATAACTCCTTCCACTGCCAGTCTCTTCGTCTCCTCATCTTTCTCAACACACCTCACTTCTGAGACACATTCAGTCTGCCTTCCTCGCTCCACTCCTGATACCCAACCCCAGCCCAATTCCAGTCATCGAATCCAGCATGGCTATAACTGGTCAACGCCCCGAGGCCGATGTGAGTGTCCCGAAGATAATTCTTCCTGCACATCTAACCCGAAATAACAGAACGCCCAAAACGTTCTTCACGATGTCATCGAGAAGCTCAAGATGGATCCCACGTCCATCACTCCTGACGATGCTCGACGTCTCCACGAACACTTCACTGCCATAGACCCGAGCACAGCCAGGATCATCGCAGCTGTCGAAGCCAACCCCGCTAGCCACGACGACATTGCTGCTGCCACCGGAACCACTGAGGCTCTGAGCAAGGCTGTCCACACGTCTCTCCACACCATCGTTCAAGACCTGGTCTCGGCCGTGGACAAGAACCCGAACGATGTCACTGACGAAATTCTGCGTTTGACCCAGGTCGCCTTGAGTAGGATGCGTTCTGCCCTCGGCATTGCCAACGCCCCTCATCCTGAACTCGAGCCTGAACTACACGAGGAAATGGCAAAGATTGCCCCCAAGGTCAAGCAAGGCACCGTCACCAAGGCAGAGGCAGATCACCTTCACTCGCTCGAAGCCCGCGCCCATGGACACACGGAGAAGGGTGGCTTGACCGCCGCTGCCCAATCCATCGCTGCGAAGCGTGACCGCAGGCAGTCCATCAGTAGTGGATCCAATGATCAGGCTGCTTCCGACATTCGCGGCCTGGATGCCCAGGAGCAATCCCACCGTGACCGCCAGGAGAATTTGGACAAGGTGGAGGCTGTGCTCCGTCCCAAGATTGAGAACGAGCCGGAGCATGTCACCAAGGAGGATGCAGCTGTGCTGGTGAGCCGCGAGCAGCGCGCACACAACGTTGTCCACAAAGGTAGTCTCGCTGCACAGGCTCAGTCACTGGCCGACCGAAACGAGAACCTCCATCCTGCTAAGGCCGAGATCTGCGGCAAGGGCGTCGACAAGATCACCAAGGCCGACGCCGCAATGCCTCAGAGTCGCGAGACACGTGCTCCTGGGACTCACGAGGAGGGCTGCCATGCTTCTCCAATCCAATCCATAGCCGATAAGAAGGAGGGCCACGGCGCCGTTCCAGCCCAGTAAATGGGCCACTGCATGACGAGGATGGGGGATCGGTATCAGTGGTTGCACTGGCGATGGAATGATGCAGAAGCTATGTCCATGGGGACGAAAACACGGATCATGTATAACTCTAACGTTGTAGTCAATTAGCTCAATGGATGGAATGGACCCCGGCTCTATTGCCTTGGGAAACCCGACTCTGCTCGCCCATTTCCCCCTTTCTGCCTTGGGCCACTGGTCATGTATGACGTTGATGATATTCCACTGCCCGGAAGCCTTGCGTGGTAGGATGACAATGAACACGAGAATTATCCTTGACCAAGAGCAGTTGGGAATGCAGCGTCCCTCGGATGAAGAAGTCTGTGAAAGAAGACCCCAAAGCCCCCTAGTATAAGCATTTGATCTATGGTATCTCTCCTGATCCCTCCAATTATACACAAGTCCTATCCATACTGTGACGACACAAAAACCATCGTACTCAACCTTGGAACCCTTCTGCGCCTCGCTTACAAGAATCTACACTGGGTGGAGAAAAAGCCCTACTTGATCTCCGTCTTCGCCAGCACATCCGCCAGATCGTCGACCTTCTGGTCCTTCTCCTGTGGCACGGTTTGCTCCTCGGCCTGCTGGTCAATGGCAAGTTGCCTAGCAGCCCTCTCCTCGACCTCTACACCTTCTTCTTCCTCTTCCGCTTCCTCAGCCTCCTCCTCCTCTTCCTCCGACTCCGGCTCCTCCAAATCGTCCAGGTCGTCGAGACCCCAGTAATTCTCGTCGTCCTCACCCACCCCGTCCGCAGCCTCCTTGCGCTCCTCGAGAATCGCTCGGAGCTTCTCAATATGCTCGTCATCCTCGTCGAACTGGTTACCATTGAGCTCAATGCGGCGGAGAGCAGGGAGATGGGTGTGCGCATCGTGCAGGCCCTTGACGCCCTTGGCGTTGATCTCGTTGTACTGCAGCCGGAGGACCTCGAGCTTCTTGTTGTTGCCCTTCTGCAGCGCTTCGAAGAGGGCCACGCCTCCGCGACCGCTGAGCAGACAGTCCCCTACGCCGAGCTCCTTCAGCTCGGGCCAGCCGCCGACGACCTTGCTGAGGGCCGTGGCGCCCGTGGCCGTGAACGTGTTGTCCTGGAGGTCGAGTAGCTCGATCTGCGAAGCATGCACCAAGCCACTGGTGAGCAGGTGCGTGATTCCCTCCTGACGGATGCCGTTCTGCACCATCTTGACCTCTTTGACGCCCCTGTGTGCGGCATACGCCTTGGCCCAGGCGGCCATGCTGCCGTTCTCGAGGCGGTTGCGGCCGCAGATGACCGTCTCGAGGTTGGGGACTTCCTTGCCTTGGCTGCGCGCGGCTTCCTTCTTCTCTGCTAGGGCGGTGAGGGCGTCCGCGATGAGGACGCCGGCGGCGGGGCCGAGGCCGTTGTTGTTGAGGATGAGGTGGCGGAGGGGGATATGCTGGGAGAGGAAGTCGACGAGGGGGGCTTGGGTGTTGAGGCCAAAGGCGTTGTCGGAGAGGTTGACGGTGTGGAGGTTCGGGAGGGTGAGGAGGGAGGTCAGGAGGTGCGAGAGGGCGGGTGGGATTTCGGAGAGGAGACGTGCGGTGAAGATGTCGGCGAGGTTTGCGACCTGGACGTTGGGTTAGCTCGTTTCAGAATCTGCTTACACGTATACAGAGAGTTCCAGTTGCGCCGAGCTACGTGAAGGATATGACTTGTCAAGCAAATACATCTTCCTGTACAGCTGCCCGGCGTCGCGCCCCCCCTTTGATGGCGGGGTAAAAGGGAGAGAATACTGACCTTTAGTTTCTTCTTCGTTTCCAGAACTTTAGCCAGTGCCTCCGAAGCCCCAATACCCAGTGTGTTCCCTAGCAGATGCACCTCCTCCACATCATCGTTCTCCCTCAGCGACTTTATGTAAGGTTCGATATCCTCCGCGGTATCCAACTTGAGGCCCCTGCCCTCGAGCGAGAAGACCCTGGACGAGTCTGCCATTCTCGAAAAACCCGAAAGCTAGCAATATTGAGTCGCAAGGAAGGAAGGAAAGTCGTGCAAGAAAACGGAGAGCGAGAGTGTATCGTTGAGTGGTTTGCTGGTTGTGCTGGTGCAAGGAGGCCAAGTGACGGAGGGTAGCCTGGAACAATTTGTTGTTTGGTGGGGGTTGGTGGGGGTTGTTGCCTTTGCCGCGGAAACAAGCCCCAAACCCCTGCCCTCGGCGTGGCGCGCTCTCACGTCTGGACCTGGCGCGCCAAGAGCATGAAAGTTGCGACATCCAATCTGGACAGAGCGCGGATTTGTAAAGCAGAGAAGGGAACCATCAACATCGCAATACCTCACAATGGGTTCAGGGCAGTCAAGTATGTGCGATGCATGCTCAACATGCTCAGCATGCGAATGAACAGGCTAACCGCTTCTCACCAGCCGTATCGCAAGCACCGACACCAGCCGTCGGTGCACAAGCCCCTCCCAGCAATGCCGTGCAGCCCGCCAAACCAAAGGTATGAGATGATTCCCATCCGGAGCCTGAAGCCAGACTGACCGTGGGAAATAGCCATGCTGCGTATGCTTAGACGAGAAAGCCGAACGGGATAAGTGCATGCTCTTTTCCAACTCGGACGACGCCCAGAAGGAATGCGCCGACCTCGTTCAGAAGTACAAAACGTGCATGGCGGGCTATGGATTTCAAGTGAACTAGAGGCACATTTTGGGATTCATTGCAAGACCTTTCGAGCATTGTATACTACCCAGCATGCACCGGCGTCAACAAGGCAGGACAAGTTCCGCGTCATATTGGTGTATTTCTAGATTTATAATGGTTGTACATGAATAAAATGCGATATCTATCAGAGATTTGGGTATCTTTTGTCAGGTCCATCCACTATGGCGACGTTACTGCGCCTTGCTTTTTACCTTGGTACTTCCAGACCCAAGAATCCCGCTTTTGGTTGCTAACCTCCACAGACACCACAGGTAGCAGATTCCGAAACCACCGGCGCCTACAATGGCGTTCGAGACCGTCCACAAATCCGGCTTGCCGCTGGGAGGAGGCCAGAATGCCTCCACAATGTGCCATCCCACCATGACCAGGTAGATGTTCAGATGCAGGACCTTCGTCAGGAGGTTTAACCCGCCCCTGCTTACGAAGTGGTACGCGGAAAGGGATACCGGCGGCAGCCCCAAGAGATAGGCCCATAGCAGTGAGATGACAAAGTACGGGACCCTCAGCTCATCTCTTTTCAGAAGAGGAAACATGGTCCAAACCCCCAGCAGGTTGGCGAGACCGACCCAAGCGCGTATGGATGGGAGTAGTCCGCCTGCACCGCTGAGGAGCATCGTCATCGGTAGGAGGGGGAGCAGGACATTCTTCTCATGCACCTGGTAGGAGCAGAGGAAGAAACCCCAGGAAGTTGCCCCTAGTCCGAGTGGCAAGAGCTCTTTTCGAGGTTTGAGGAACAAGATCAAACATGGAAGCGCGATCGCTGCAGACGTGGCAACAAGGGCGGCCCTTTGAAGAAGCTCACTAGGATATCGATTCAGCTTGTGGAACGTATGAATCGTGCACCAGATATTGGCGACTTTGTCCTCGAATAGTCCTCGTGCGAAGGGGAAAATCCGATGTATCGATTGTGCCAGTTGAACCAAGACCGGATAGTACCAGGACTTGTCGTCCAGAGACACAGGCAAAGCGGCTAAAAGTGGGGGAGCCGGAAGGTCGTGCAGTTGCTCGCCTTTCTGCATGTCGTGGACGACACCGAGCAGAAAAGGTAGGTAAAGTCCGATGAAAGAGAGCACCGTCGCCAAGGCAATGGCGCAGAGGCGGGTCAAGTTCACCCTAGGGAAGACGCAGATCCCTAAAAGGTAGGCAAAGACAGCAGGTGCGTAGAACAGGGCCATTTGTTTGAATCCGAGGGCCGCAACAAAGAAGACACAGCCCCAAAGATGTCTCCCGGCAACCATGCTGGACATGCTCGCAATCGTAAACCCAAGCATGACTGAGTTGTACTGGAAATGGCCATGATCGATGAGTATCAGTCCCGGCTGCATAAGGATGGCCACAAGGGCGATGGAACCCTCCCACACATTGACATTCTCCAATCGAGAAAATCGGCGAAGGAATATGATGAGTGCGGGCACATAGATAAGGTATTCTGAGATGAAGGAAGTAGCGCGCATGTATATCTTTAGGGACGGGTCATCGAGAGCGCGGGATTTGTACAAAGCAAACCAGTCACGGTTGATTGCAGAACCACTGAGGGGGGTAAGCACAAGGTCGAGAGCGGACAGGGAAGACATACATGACTCCTAAGAGCCAGCTATGGTATGCTGTGAGCGGAGGATAATCCAATCCCCACCATCCCAGGTCATGGAAGTACCATTGGGAAACAGGGAGGTGTTTGGTGATCTCCATCCAATGCCTTTGCGCCTCGAAATCCCCATGCATTGGGGGAGATTGAAACCCGGAATAGCCCCATAAACCCGTTGTCCACCGGAACAACCCCGCCGCCATCAGGATGAGCGGAATCATGACCCATTGCGAGACGGTGCCTTTTGCAGGAAATAGGAACGCGACGAGGGGAAACGCAGGTTTCCGAGTGTGCGTGTTCTGGTCCAGATCCAGCGTGCCGTGGGTGACATGAGCTAGGGAGCCTTCTTCAATCTTCCTTCTCCGCCGCGGTTTGTGCGCCTGTGGTGATGCCATGATTCGAGGTCCAATCGTACATGGCGTAGGAAGCCGCTGGACTTGCTCACATGTGGTGAAGGTTGGGATCCGCACTACCAGGATTGCACTTGCGCTAGCGCAGGGCTGGATTAGGGGCTCGGCAACGTTCACCGCCCAAGGAGCTTGGACCAGCTGCCGTCGAAAATTTCCCAGGCCGCACACAAAAGTTCCCCCGTCGCGCACGCCTCTCGCTTTTTCCTTCACCCATCCGCCTCCCGTCTTTTCTCGTGGCAACCTCGTCTGCACAACTCTTCAAATATTGTTTGAGGGCTTCTGAGGGCTTTGCGACAATCTGAGGGCATTCTTAAGTACCAGAACATCATCAAGTCAGTGGGCATTTGCGGCTTTTCCTTTACACAGGTCAGAGGGGCACGTCGCCGTTCGACAGAGCGCGACTGCAGTCTGTGGGCTTTTTCGCCACTGAGGGTTTTGTCTTGTGTCCTCGGCTTTTGTGGGAACACTCTGCCTGGTCGACACTCTTCTGTGGGCTCCTGTGGGCTACTCGTGGGCTTGAGGGTTTTCCGCCTTGTGCGGGCTCGAGAGATACCAGTGGGCTTTTCGCACGTTGAGACATCCATCCAGAAGCAGGCTTTCAGCGCGTTGGTGACCGCCAAGGCACCCACACCGCGACGACACATCCTCCATTATTGACTTTTTTGCTTTCCTTCCCTCAGTTCCAACCATATCTTCTGCATACTGACACAGACAGAATTCAGGCTATTCCCCGTCAGCATGTCGAAAACGAAGTCCACTAAGACCGACGCCAAGGCGTCCAAGAAGGCCGTTACATCCGGCGTCAAGGAAGGCCGAGTAGCGAAGCCGGCGCAGACCCCCAAGGCGAAGAGCAAAGACATCGCCAAGTCGGCCGCTGCCACCATCACAAAGGAGGAGAAGAAGAAGAAGTCTAAGAAGGCTCCTACTCCGGAGCCCGAGTCCGAGTCTGAGGAGTCTGAATCTAGCAGCAGCGAGAGCGAGAGCGAGAGCGGCTCAGAGAGCGATTCTTCCAGCGAGGAGAAGGTCGCTCCCAAGAAGGCTCCCGCTGTTAAGGCCGCTGCCAAGGCTGAGTCTGAGTCCGAGTCAGATTCCGACTCTGACTCCAGCTCGTCCGAGAGCAGCGAGGATGAGAGTGAAGACGAGAAAAAGGCTGCTCCCAAGGCCAACGGTGTCTCCAAGCCCGCTGCTAAGGCCGAAACTTCCTCTGAGTCTGAGTCCGAGTCCGAGTCTGGCTCTAACAGCGAGAGCGACAGCAGCGAGGAGTCTGAAGATGAGAAGCCCGCTGCGAAGGGCAAGGAAGCTCCCGCCAAGAAGACGAAGGCCGAGACCTCGTCGGAATCCGACTCTGACGAATCCAGCGAGTCTGACTCTGATGCCAGCGACTCCGAGGAGTCATCCAGCGAGGAGGCCAGCGAGAAGGAGGAAGAAGCCCCTTCCAAGAAGCGCAAGGCGGATTCTGTTCCTGAGGAGGCCGTCAAGAAGACTAAGACCGACGAGGCTGGGGAGGGTGTCAAGAACCTCTTCGTCGGCAACCTCAGCTGGAACGTTGACGAGGAATGGCTCCAGCGTGAGTTTGAGCAGTTTGGTGAGATTACTGGCTGCCGCATCATCACCGACCGCGAGAGTGGCCGTCCCAAGGGGTATGTTTGATCGTATATGTTTTTCCCGATCGCCATATTAACGTCTGTACAGCTTTGGCTACGTTGAGTTCGCCAGCGCTGAGTCTGCGAAGAAGGCCCAGGCAGAGATGCATGAGTACGAGCTTGACGGCCGCAAGATGAACGTCGATTTCAGCACTCCTCGTCAGAATAACAAGGAGGGTGCCGGTGAGCGTGCCAACCGCTATGGCGATAAGCGCAGCCCGCCCAGCAACACCCTTTTCATTGGCAATATCTCTTTCAATGCAACCAACGAGATCATCTCCGAGAAATTCGCCGAGTACGGAACCATCACTCGCGTCTCACTTCCCACCGATCGTGAGACTGGTGCCCCCAAGGGCTTCGGGTATGTCGACTTCAGCACCACCGAAGAAGCCCAGGCTGCCCTGGAGGCCTTGAATGGCGCCGAAATTGAGGGACGTTCCATCCGCATCGACTTCGCCTCTGCCCGTGACAACAATGGTGGAGGTGGTGGCGGCTTCCGCGGTGGCCGTGGAGGTGGCCGTGGAGGAGGCCGTGGCGGCTTCGGCGACCGTGGTGGACGGGGCGGACGAGGTGGCCGTGGCGGAGGCCGTGGCGGACGTGGCGGCTCCACCAACCGTGGTGGCTTCGGTGAATTCAAGGGCCAGAAGATTTCCTTCTAAACGTGTCTGGCAAGGCCCGATGGTAAGTCGTAGGCTGGGCAGGTCACGTCTCATGCGTAAGTGTGCTGTACGTTCATCGACGACGTGTGTTTTATGGTATTCCTACCGAGTTCGTTCTCCGTATCTCTGACTCGGGCTCTGGTCTGGCGTAACGGGATCTAAAAGTAGTGTTTCTTTCTCTCCTAAACCACAAATGGTGGTTATACACCTGCTAGGTAGCTGTCCGTAATGGATTCCAGATATCTATTCGAAAAATGGGTTCTTATGCTTGCGAAGTCGTCCCAAGTCCTATTGGTGTTGCTGATGCGCAAGATAACTCTCCTCTGACTGGACACCAGTCTTGAGATAAGAGTCCCTGCTACAACTCTTTTACTTACTCGTACAAGCTCCTGTGGATTCAATAGATCTTCCAGTTCAGACAGGAGAATCCCTGCGTGCATCCCAATAGTTCACACATGTTCGACAGCGCAGTGGCTCCAAGGCCTTCGAAAACACCATATTGCGATATTGTATAATTCATTCAACTCTGGGAGCGGTTCAGTTAGAGTACATGATAGTGCTTTACGTGTGCCTTCCCAGCACCAAGGCATGCAATACGGTCATCTCGCAACCGTTTCTCAAACGAAAATGCACCTGTCTGCCATGCTATCCAACATCGGACAGATACTTACGAACCAACCTCCGGCATTTCTTGTAGATGGCCTAGCTGCCTTTGCCTTACCCCCGCCTAGTCAACACAACTTCCAACTCGTCTCCGACCCGATACCCTAGATCCCCATCCCACCTCACATATCTCATGCTCGCATCTAGCAGCCTTCCGCCATCCCAACCTCCGCGGTAGACGTCTACGCCTCTTTGGGACAGAGCATGCCACACAGCCCTGAACGACTCGCCCTCTCCTTCCCAACTCCCTCTCCTCGGAGCATCTCCTCCTTCCTGATCGGCTTGCTCGCCGTTGTCACCACCACTGTCGTCGCGAAACCATATACCCTTCTCTACCATCTGCGCAAGGTCGTCCGAAGGATCCATGGACGCCCAGATATCCCAAGGACGGTACTTGATCAGGACTTCCTCCAGCCTCGGCCCCTCCTCTTTTCCCTTGCCCTCCCCATCCCCATTCCTCTTCTTGTTCTCTTCAGGGGTAGCATCCGAGCTAGACGAAGCCACCAACATCGTCACCGCCTCCACCAGCACCTTGACCCAATACCTCAGCTTGAGTGGCAGCGCATAACCAGGACCCCTCGCATCCGTGCGTCTCTGGAAGGCGCGCTTCGAGATGAAGAACAGCGGCAAACTGATACTTTGGAGGGCGGGGAAGACGGTTGGAGTGGAGAGGTAGGTGAAGAGCGGGACGACTTCCAGGTCGATGAGGAGGTTGAGTTTGGTGGAGACGTCGTCCTGGGGGTCGAGGACTTGCCCGTCGCTGTTCTCGTCGTCGTCGTCGTTGTTGGTGTCGTTTGCTGGTTGTGTCGGAAGCGCGAAGGGGTAGTGCGAGCCGAAGCCAAAAGGATCGTCTTCGACGGCGGGCACGTAATGCTGCGCACGTCGCCGTCTGATTTCCAGCGGTGGGAAGCTGGGATAGAGCGTGTCATCCTCGGCACCGTAGAAGTTGTCGTTGTAGGCCGAACCCTCGTGGTCATATTCGTCGTAGCTGTATCCTTCATACCCCTGATTGCCCTGACTGCCCTGACTGTGACCTCGCTGGTATTGCACTCTCCTGCCCCACCCTTTCCTGGCTCTTTCCCGCTCTCTCTCCCTTCTTCTCTCGGACTCCATGTCGCCCTCATACCCGCTGACATATTGCAAATCTATATCCTGTCCATCCCGCTCCCACCACCACTCGTCCGTCTCCAAAGCGGCATTCCCGCCGGACGACGGCTCCCGTTCCGGAGGGTAGTTCCGCATATTCGGAAACGTCACCCAATCAAGTTCTATCTTCTTCAACCACCGCAGCCACTTTCTCCCTTCCTCGGTATTCCCGTCATCGTTGCCGATGCCGCCGCTACCACGATGCTGCTCCACCCGCTGCAGAAACGTCCGCAGCACCCAGGGCCCGCAGCTGAGAAACACCGTGTGCCGTTTGAACAGCGTCTCGAGCGCCTCGGCCGCAATCTGCCGGTTGAGGAGCAAGGGCTCGTGGTGCAGGAGGAGGAGGACCGTGGCGGGCGAGACGCAGGCGAGGTGCTTGATGTGCCGGCGTTCGAGGCGGAGGGCGCGGTCGCCGCGCGGGTCGGGCAGGGAGAAGACGTGCGAGTATATCTGTACAAGGGACGATTGGAGTTAGTTGGGGTACCGTATGCGCAGTCGGATTGTAGGAAGTGCTAGTTCAAATAGACCAAAACCTCCAAGAGGTTGGTGCCTCAAATGCAGAGGCGTTCCAGATTTAGACAACCAGAATTGGAGGAAGGAAGGTGCTGGAGGAGGAACGTGCCTGATCCCGCAGTTCACGTGGTAGTCGAAGGAAGGCGGGGAGCCGGGCTTCGCCTTCCATCGCGTCCTTGTTGCTCGCAAGAGTAGAGTGTAGGGTGTGTTGAGCTTGGAGCTGCCATGCAAAAAACAGTGGCGTCAGAATGGAGGGACATTTTGCGCGAGTCATGTAGGTGGAGCTACGGGGCTCGACTGACGCGCCAGCACGTGATAGCCTGTATTCACCCAAGCGGGTCATAACCTCGTTCCATTATTGGTGCAAAGAATTTCTGCATTGCGCAAAGTACGGAGTACTGTAATGAGAACGACGATATAACGATTTAATGCGGCTGAAACGGTCGCGTGCGCATAGGCGCAGATGGTGCCAAGGTCATCCAAACCTTAGCTCGACGTCGTATTCTTTCAGAACGTCAAGGCCTGCGTCTCTGCCAGTTGCACAGTACGGTTGAGTGGTGTTTTAGAGGCACAGCGTCACATCAATCTTTTGATCGTCGAGACGGTGTAGCACGAAGCAGCAAGCAATTCTGTTTCAGACGTATTGGATTCTCGATTCTAGCAGGTGCATACAAATGTTCAGATGTCATACGACGGGATACAACAAAAGTGGTGACGGGTTCGTCGACTTGCTGAAGGCCTGACGCACTGGACACGAAGCCGTTTCTGATGTTTCTGTGCGGCAAACCAGGTACTCGGATTGCTGGAGGGAGCCAACGCTGCGCTTTGATTGTGCAGGGGATGTGACCAGCAGAGGGAGCGGCACTAGCGAGGCTTTTGAATGGTCGTACAAGAGTTGGGGAACCGCTGTTGGTGCGGCCAGAGTAGGCAGGTACCTCTCCTTCCTTGTGTCGCGTCGATGTCCGCTTGAAGCTGCTGGTCATGTAACGGGTGAGATGGGAGTGCGAGGCTGTATCCCTTGTTGATATTATGGATAGCCGTGGTCTCAATCCAGGCCTGGCGGGGGATGAGTGTCCAGGGTGTATACAGAGTTAATCACAGAATAAGGGTGGGCCGTGCCGAAGAGAAGCCGCAGCGAGGGATGGTGGATTCGACCATTACTGTGCAATCTATGTCATCTGCGGTGCCAGAGCAAGGTGATGATGGCGGGTGTGGTGCAACATGATGCGAGGGGATGGGCGGCTCCCTAGACAGTGTACTAGAGGTAGTAGTGCTGTGTTCACAGTACCTACAGACTGCTGGGTTAAAGGTAGCAGGTGCCGAGGGAAACAACCGGGCGGCGGACATGGATTAGTTACTTGGTTCAGAAGGTTCCATGGCAAAGCGGGATCCGTGAAGAAGATGAAACGGGGGAACAGGGATACAAGGCTTTTATCCTACGGACACAGCAGCTGGTGAGCCGGAATATTATTATTATTGTGAAGGGGTGCAAGTTAGCAGGGAGTGATGAGGGACAGGCAAAAGAGGGCGCGAAGGCAGCGGACATTTTGGCAAAAGTCAGACGAGGTTGCAGGGCTGGAAGGATTGGGTGCAGCGTCCCGGGTTCGGGGATCAAGGGCGTTGGGTAATCAAAAGTGAGACCATGTACTCCCAAGGTGTACTACTTCCTACTGGCTGTTGCAAGTAGTAGGAGGGACGACTCACAAGAGGTGAGGAGCTCGTGAGGTGCAAGTGGGTGCCAACGTGGGTCCGGAGGAGAAGTACTTCCGTACATGTACAGACACAGAAGGGCGAGGCGGTTGGAGGTGAGGTGGAGGTGATGGAGGTGCCCTGGTGGAGGGAGGGGTGGGTCATCCCGCGGCTCCTGCCCTGCGCCTTCCCCGATGCAGCCTAGTTTCGCTTCCTTGCTCCAGTCATTGTAACCGTAAGTTCCCACACCAAGTACTCGCTGCACCTCGACGTTGCGGACGGGATGGTGTACATCAACATGCGTGGGAGGTAGGGATCGATAGAGAGTGATGCTTGCAGCACTCGGTAGATCTTCCACCAGTCTGCTGCTCTTGCACCCGCGTGGCTCTGCGATGCCGTGGCGCAACCAGAGGGAACGCTGGCGTGTGTGATTGCACACCAGCAGGGAGCAGTCCCACTACCAGTACCTCCGTCGCCGTCACTGGGGTCGGACTGTTGAGCAAAGCCACGCCATCGACTCACTGTGGACGTCTCCATATACTACTACTGTGGACTACCGTGCACAGCAGTCGTACTTATGTATTAATTATCTAGACGGCTTTTTTCGCTACTCTTCCCAGGAAATATCTCCTACAGTTCACAGTCTGACCAGGACCAGCCCCCGCCAGCGATCGCCGTATCCAGCGAGCCCTAGTCCCGCCCTTACGAGATAGGCGACGGGGCTCCACGGGGTTCCCACGGGTCTTGGCCACGATTTCCCACGTGCATGCCGCAAGGCCGCCACCAAACCCTCTTTTCTTTCCCGCTGCTGCTTTGTTGCTTGTCGCTGGGCATCGCTGCGTGCGCCAATAACGAACGGGGGCTGCCCCATAGATTTCTCTCCCCCGAGTTCCCCGTTGCGACCGCACCACTCCTCCGTCCGTCTGCCTTTCTTTGCCTTCGTCTCCCACGACTCGACAACTGCCCACATCTTGTCGCCGCCGTGCTGGCTTGCTCTCCTCTGGTTGATGCAAGGGACGCCCGTTGCAGCTGTCATCCACAACAATTCGCCCCGTCTCGAGAACCCTCCATCTCCCTCGCTGGCCCGACCCCACGGCCACGCTGACTCGGTACTCCTCCTCCCTCGCCCTCTCTTCTTCATGTTAGCAAACTCCTCCTCCTCGACTCGGTTCCGTACCGTGCACGCCTGAGCTCTCCACCGGGAATCGCCATCCACGCCTTGTCCCATCGCCACTCTCTCCTGCCCCCAGTGGTTCAAATCGGTCCGGCCATCGTCTCCGTCGTTGTGCCGGACGCCGCCGTCAACCCTTATCCTTTGGCTCTCCGAGCAGACCTTCTCTGCAGCCTCGCCTCGCATTGGCTATTCACCGTCCACCTAAGCCTGGAACTCGGTGCTTTCCATGAAGGCCTGACCCACCCAGCAATCCGCTCGTTTGGCCTGCCGCTGCTGCCCGCTCAGCCGTTGCTCACGGTATCTACGGTGCTCCGCGATTTGCCCACCCACTCTCGCGCCTGTTCTCCTTTGCACGACCGTTGTGCCTGCCTCTGCCACTCGTGAGGTCGGGATTCGCTTGGCGAAGGACATCGAGACCCGTTCGAGTGCCCCGCCCTAGAGACGCGATTTTTCCCTTCTTTGGCACCACGCTGCAACAACCGCCTTACTCTCGTCTCTCCTCCTCCCCGGACCTGCCCGCCTATCTGCCGACTTTTCTCCTTCCTGCGCCCTCAATCTTTCTTTTTTCTCCCCTCCCAACCCTCTCTCCCAATCCTATCTTCAACCTGTTGTTGCCCGCAGCCGTCTCCCCCAACTTCCCCATCTGGCACCTCTCCCGCCCTCGCTTGGCCAAGCCCTGCATTGCCTCGTGCGCCAAGCTCCAACCCCACGCCCTGCCATTGGCCCATCCATCCTCCTTCACACGTCCTCGCGTCCGCTCCAAGAGGCAATCTACCTTCTCCAATTTACGTCTACGGATCTTGTACACTTGTTGAACCCAGATCAACGCTCACGTCGCTGGTCTCTGTCGCCGCATCATGGAGGCTCATCCCGCCCACCAACGGCCGCCAGCGCCTGACACTCTTTCACAGCATACCCTTCCTCCCATCGCTTCCTTGACCAATGGCGCGCCGCTCGTCGAACAAAGCCCCATTCGCCTCACCCAACCCTCCGAAGCCCGTGATTCGGGAAACTGGTCCATTTCTCAAAGCAAACGTAAGATTCCAAGGCGCCACTCCATCCATGGCTCCTCTGGCTACAATGCCCCAGCTGACCCAATCGAACCTGTAGACTCTTCATGCGTTTCCAACACCACGGGCCTGCACATTACGTCCATTCTCAACTCAGACGACTCTCCCTCCCGTAACTCTGTTCCCGATACCCCGTCTTCGTCAAGACACCCATCCTTCCAGGTACCACTTTCGTCCAACTCGCGCAAAGGAATCCACTGACAAAGCCTAGCCCAGCGTCGTCCCCTCATTCAGATCCGAGTTTGATAATCGGCTGAGCGTCGAGTCGAGCCTGCATGAAGACTCGAGACGGAGCAGTGTCGATAGCCGATTCAATGGCTTGGCTATATCAACCCCCTACGATAGTCAGAACGCCTCTCGCGCTTCGCTCGTCTCGAACCTCCAGCAGCAAAGGGGAATCACCAACCCGGATCAACGTCCCAATGGCCCCTCACCGCTGTCGCCGCTGAGCCCTAGGGCTGGCGCGCGGGTGAGCCAGCCGCCGCGCCGCGCGCCCGTCATCAATCCCAATCCCCGAAGTGTCTCTGGCATGCCAGATCCCATGGCGGCCTCTCCAACCAAAGGTTATGCTTGGGCGTTTCCCGACGATGATAGACGCGTGTCAAGTAGTGGTGAGTCATGCGCTGGTCATCCCATGTCACGGCAAAACAGCCTTGCCGCCTCCATCAGCAGTAGCATCTTCACAATAGACTCCAATCTCCCCATGGGTCAAAAGAGATTCGGACAGGACGGCACGCATTCCATTTCTTCACGCGTCCCGGCAGGGCTGACTTGAATAGATCTCACCACAACCCATCACCATTCCATGCAACATCGCAGCGTCACGAATCTGCAAAATGCCGACCAGCCCACGCCCTCAACCACCCAGAGCGGTTACAGCCGTACCCCAGAGCTGCGCCACGGCCACAAGATGGCGGAGCGGAAACGACGAAGCGAGATGAAGAACCTCTTTGACGAGCTGAACACGATTCTGCCAAACTCCGCGGGGAGTAAATCGAGCAAGTGGGAAATCCTGACCAAAGGTACGTTCTTCTCCTACGCGTCCATGGGGTTGCGGTCAGCTCATGATGACGTCGCAGCCATCGAATATATAAAGAGCCTATCCAAGGCGCATCAGGAGGCTCGCGCTGAGCTCAACCGGCTACGGCCCGAAGCAGAGTATTATCGGCGGACACAAGAGGAGTGCCAGCTTCTGCGCAACGAACTGGCAACGGTATGGCAGCACCTCCGCCGAGCCGATCCTCACAGCCCTCATGTCTACGGAGCCGTGACAAGCTCGCTCGCACAGGAAGCCGCACAAGGCTCGGTTCCCGGCAGCGCTCCCAATATCCTGCCGCCCATCCAACAACAGCAACAACCGCAACACCCTCCCCCACCCCCCGTGCCGCAGCAACCTCCCCACCTCGCGCAGCCCATGCCGCAGCCTCCTGGCTGGCCTTCGGGTGCTCCTTCCGCTATGCAAGGTGTCGAATTTGGCGGTATGCGTCCATACGAGCAGCGTCACCGCTGACCTCACCACCTTCCCCTCCATCTCCGATTGCCATGTACACTATCCTACCGCGTCCGATGCCTTGGCGTGAGGGCCGTATCCACCTTTCGAAGCTATATATATTATTATGTTCAACAGAAAGAGAGTGATGGCAGGTCTGCGTCGCACCGCGCCAGCCGTACCCCTTGTAGGATCTATTTGCTTTACACATTTGCAGCCAAAGTCCAAGGAGACTGGTTCGATTCTGTTGTTTCTTGTCCTTCACACCCTATGTCGACCAAATACCGGGTTCGGCTTCCCTCCCTGTGACGACCGGATGAGGGAAAGAGTCTCTGAAAATGATGCCGACGCGTGGTACCGGATCCAATTTTTTCCTTTGTTCTTCACTTTGCTTTAATTTTGCATGGAAGATTTATACCTGGCTCGGCAGGGCCTGATTTTGGGGTTGGGGGTTATACGGGAAAAAATGAGCTTTTTCTGATGGGAAAAGCAAGAAAAAGGGTGGTTCCTTCTGGGTGGTTGGGAACTTTGATTTTTTGGTCCCTCTTCTGTTTGTTGTACCGTCAGGCTTTTGGAGCTGAACCGACCCTCGAGTTACGTTACACGCTCCGATATGTTTTGCTTGTATGCTCGCGAATGAAGTATTTTATCTGAGAGCCGAGTTAACTGTGGGATCATGGAACTCCTGGTCCTCGAAGAGTGTGCAACGTGTGGGTGCGTTAAAGGAGAGATATGAGGGATTAGCTTCGTTAGAAGACAAGTGCAATGATTTACAAGGACAAGATTGCTCTTGGCATCATTGCCAGTGTGGTTAAATAAATTCATTCTATTGATGCTTTTTTCCCCTTCGAGATGCCTTGATTGCCTGGACGGCGTCAAAGTTAATTACCGTAACTTGCTACTCCTGGCCGAGTGTTATCACCCCTTTTCATCTGACTCATCATCATCATCCTTGACCAACCACAAACAGAACGTGAGGGCCCCAGTTCAAAAAGCAGAACCTTACTTGTATTCCGAACGACCTCCTCTTCCTTTTTCCTGCTCAAGTGTTCCCAGGCCATAGCAAAGGATCAATGGCGAATGCATGACGAGGCCCCGCGTGTCAGCGAACTTAGTCTCGCTGGGTGGTCGACCACACCGCAGGTGCGCTCACTCACGGTAACCAGTATCAACATGGCGGTTCTAACTCCTAGCTTGAGATGCAAAGAGACACGTCGTCAGATTCATTCATTGTACAAGAAACTACGGAGTACACATCCTCCAAAGCAAAGGCCCCTCCCACCCTTTCATCATCTCCTCCCTCATACGCTATACACTAGCGACACCGAGACCAAGCGTCATCGGGAAACGCTCAACCCTGTGGCCAACTAAGCTCCATCTCCCACCGCAAAACACATGGGGTATCGCGCTTGGCAAGACGCTAGGAAAGGATCCAGGCATACAACGCGCTGCGCTGTGCTTCGCCCCTCTGGGAGAGAGAAAAAAAGAGGAAAACAGTGTTCAGACATGTTGCATTACAAAGAAAAGCCGTAGTACACGACAGGCAGTGCCAAACGAGGAAGGCACCTTCCTCGACAGGCCGTAACAAGACGCATCAAGGCCGTTTGCTTCATTCGTCATTGCCAACTTTCCAGCCCAACTTCCTACGCTCCTCAAAAGTCCCAGAAACTCTTCGACTCCGCGGCACGCGTATGCGTCTTCTTCTGTGCCGCCTGCTGCTGCTCATCTACACCGTCGTCGCCAAGCGTCCAGTTGCTCGTGGTACCCTTACGCCCTCCCATGCCGTTGCCGCTGATATTGATTCCGCGTTCCTTGGGGGCATTCTCCTTTTGCCTTTGGTGCTGTTCGGGTGACTCATCGTAGAGACCCCAGTGGGAATCAAGGCTACTGAGCACCTTCTTGCGGTCGGCAGGGATCGGCTTGGCCGTACCATTGCCATTTGACGAATCCTTGGGGAGAGCCGGACTATGGTCGGTCATTTCCCAATGGCTGCCGAAGTCCTTCTGGCGGTTCTCGTTCTTCACAACGGTCGTCACATCTCCCAGAGGACGCTTGACATCACCTTGGTGGGCATCATCGCCTTCATCATCGGAGGTGGAGTGGAGAACATGGTCTTTGTACAAGCCCAGGCCCTTGTTGTGCAAACGTCCTCTTGAAGGAGCGGCTTCTCTGCGCGCTTCGGGAGTGTCCTCGTCTTTGAACTCAAAGTGGGGGTTGGCATCAGGACGCGGCTTGTGTACTACGGGGCGGCGAACCGGCGAGGCTTCCTCCTATATATGATTGTCAGCATACGTCGCTCTAGGTGCAGAGCGCTAGCAGCAAACCACAACAAAAGAATCCGGCAGAAAGAAAGGACCGACCTCATCGTCGCTCCATCCAAAGTGGCGAACGGCTTCACGCAAGACCTTGGGTTTCGTCTTCTCTGGTGTAACAAAATCTTCGAAGTCCCATTGCGACATGTGCTTTGTCCTTGTGGGTCGCGGCGGTTCTCGACCTCGGGGGGTCGGCTCATCTTCATCACCATGTCCAAATTCGAAGTGATTATATTTCTTCGCATTCGTCTTAACGCTAAGCGGCGTCTCCACGGGCCGAGCGTCTTCACCTTCGCCAAACTCGAAGTGGCTATACTTCTTTGCATTTGTCTTCACGCTGAGCGGCGTCGCTACTGGCTCCGCTTCTTCATCAAAGAGTCGATTCGGTTTGTAGTTCTTGCCGCCGCCAGCTTTCGTGGGAATGCGCTCGGTGTTGGGGACTGGCCCCTCCGCTGGGGAAGGAGACGCTGGATCCTCGCCTGCAATGAGTTCGGACAAATTGCGAGATCTGGGCTTTGCGGATTGTGCTCGTTGGGCAGACGGCTGTGAGAAGTTGGATGTCTCGTTCTCAATGTCGCGGGGTTGGAAGAGGTTTAGAGAGGCATGAGGATCGTTCATAGCGTTGCTCGTTGTGCTACGGGAAGCAGGGCGGCCGGTAATGGTGACGTCGTCAGGGCCGCGAGACGCAGTAGAGCGGCGGCAGGACCCAGCCGAAGCGCCGGAGGTTGCAGCGGAGCCTGCGCTCGTGGCAATGAGGTGTGCTTGTTCCTTGCCGTCCCTGATGGGCCAATTGCGGGCGCGGGCGCCAATGACATCGATCTGCTTCAGGAGAGATCCTTGGTCCCAATGAAGGCGGATCTGTGTGATTTTCTGGTCTTTATCGAACTTTACGAAGTGTATCTGCGAACAGGACCGTCAATCTTCCACTATCGAAACCGACACAAGGAGCAACTTACCATGGGAAATGTGACAGTGCGGTCAGCGACGAAGTTGTCGTCGAGGCCTGGCAAATATGCGCCTCCACCAGCTACAAACTCAATCGTGGTCTCCACCTCCAGACTCAGAGCACTTGCATCCTCAATGGAATTCAAAACTTTGTCGCCCCTCTTTTTCAACAGCTTCTCCTGGACGGTATAATGTTTGACAATCGCTGCGGCGGTATTAATGCTGGTCAAGGTGGTGATGTAGTGCAGAGAGGCGTCGTCGACGAGGGCTTCAGACGAGGGCCTCGCCAGGAATGCCTGGTAGATTGCGCTGAGCGTCATGTTCGCGCGCAAGTTCGGTAACGGTGTACTCAAGTAAAACTGTCGATGTGTCGCCTCGAAGGAATATCGCGGAGCTGCGGGGAGATGGGGGAGAGCGAGGGACAGAGAAGAGTATGGGTGTGGGTGGTAAGTTGAAGGTTAAAGAGAGAGAAGGTGGGAACGAGGGAGCGAGGGTCGCGTCGAGGTGAGCGAGTGAAGGAAGGTGCGACGGGCGGGCTTATTTGGAGGGAAGGCGCGCGCCGTGCGAGGTAAACAACCTGGGGGGTGGGAAGGAGCGCACTGCAGGAGTTGTCCTGTTGGGGGAGCCCTGGAGAGTCTGCCCGATAAATAGAGGCATGCAGGGGCCCCATAGCATGCCCCAGATTAAAGTGCAACGCGCCCCGCAGGGCGATGAGATTACATTATTTTTGGGCGCGTGGAAACGGTGGAAACGGTGAAACCCCGGACGCCACACGAGGGCCGCGCCACAACTGAACCCATCTTGGCAGCGACAAACGATGGGCAAGAGTTGATGGCGCCGGAAGACGAATATATGTATAGGATTCAATTGAACATAACAACGGAACAGTAACTATTTGCAACCTGAGAAGCATCAGTCCTTACAAAAGTACTCCGTACATACATTACTGGTCCAAACCATGGTTCTCTTGCAGACCAAACATTCCTTTGCCTGGCGTGTTTCAGATGCTGGTTTGCCGTCACGTGAGGTCATTTCAGGACCAGGGTTGAGGACCGCGAATCCAGCAGCGCCTCGGATGGTGGAAGAAGTCGAACAATAACGAAGTAGAATGAAATGGGAGCTCAGTTAGGTAGTGGACGATCAAGTAGCTGAATGACATAAACATTGACTGACGTACAAGGCGGGAAATGTCAACAAGGGAGGCATGTAGAAGCAGGCAGCGACAGCTCGGAGAAAGGGTATAGACGAGTCAGAGCTCAAGGGACATCGGGGCTTCCGTCAACAGCATCAAAGCACGTCTCCCAGCAAAGGACCTCGCTTGGGAAATCGCGCTCCACGCTCGGTCGTTCCCTGACAAACCATGCGAGCGCCGCCCCAACAACGCCAAAGAGAGCAAGACTGGTCCAGAGAGCGTAGTTGGTCGTTGTCAGGCTAAAGTCGCTGCTCAGGTAGAAGCTGGCGCCCGTGACGGCCACTGCCAATGCCTTGAAGAGGTTGGCGGCCTGCATCATGCCAACAACCGTGCCGGCTGAGAATGCATCGGGCGTCGTGTTGAGGACAAGGAGGGCCACCAAAACCGACGCTCCACCAGCTAATGTGTGTTTAACAAGAATCGACAGAATGGAAGTGATGGCGACGAAGCAAGCGGACGAAGCAGCCAGCGTAGCCAACAGGGGCGTGATGATATAGAGAGCCGGAAAGAGTGCTGAGATGCAGCGATAGAGTTTCAAAAGGCCGAAACTGTCAATTCCACGGGCGAGGGTATACAAGATCGCTGTAGCGGCAACTCCTCGAACGGTCAAAACGGTAATCCCCAGCCAATCACAGGGGATTCCCATGCCTCCGTGATGAGTGCTGCTGTGTCCCAGGTGGGGTAGTAGCATGTCAAAGGTCGATGCATGGAGGGAGAGCAGGGAAAATGAAGCCAAAAGGACCAAAAAGGAGGGAGCTTGAAGAAACTGACTGATGGCGATGGGTTCCGGACGAACTGCATTTCGTATCACGGAAGAGTGGCCGGCTGGTTCCAAGGAAAGGAAGCCTGTTTTCTCGCAATCTGGATCAACCTCTGCAGAGCATCGGATGGACCGATGTGGGAGTGTCTGCGAGCGTTAGTCGCACACAATACCCGACGTACAGTTTGAACTTACCTCCTTGAGCATGAATGAGGCTGTGACAGCAACCAAGAACACAAGGCTACCGCAAGCGATCTGAGAACCCAATGCTGAGGGATCAAAGTATCCGGAGAGAAAGCCTTGGACAATAGGCCCGATGGAGCCGCACAGAGCGACTAGAGGCAGGCGAGACACATGCCTCGCTCGCTCTTTGGTGTTGGTGCTCAAATCTCCGATCATGGTCAGTGTCATTACCATGACAGCTGAGCTAGCCACCCCAGATACGAAGCGGAAGATGGCACAGCTGCTGATGGTGGTGGCAAACCCCATGCTGGCACAGCATCCGAGCATCGTCCATAATCCTGCCAGTGCGACTTTGCGTCGTCCAATGCGGTCCGCAATGTAACCCCAAAGAATACCTGCGGTCCCACCAAAGGCGTAGGCGCAGTCCAGGATGCTGCGAAGATACGAGGTAGACAGCGAGCCGCAGTACTCGTCCTTCGCAATGAGTTGCTGGAGCTGTGGTTGAAGACTCGAGGCCATGATGCTGGAACGATGTCAGCACAGTAGGAGAGAAACATGTGCTACTAGACTACCTACGCTTCGGCGAGAAACATGACATAGACCAACGCTAACTGTCTTCCACGGCCCTTGCCTGACGTCTCCAGCGGGACATTCTCCTCCAGCTCCTCCTCTTCGATTTCTGACTCTTCAACTTGCAGGATCTTATCATATTTCGCTAGATCCTTGACCGGAATCAATGACCGGGTACGTCTGTGAAACCCCAACATGGCCGACTTATAGGTATATTAGCGGAAATGGCTATGGCTTTAGGTAACGATCGAGGGGATTCCGTTGGGTGAGGTTCGCGACCAGCGCGAACCCGTAGATCTTGAGTTGTTAAGGATAGTGATGGCCACAGCGGCCAAGCTAGATTGAGGGAGTGACTGGAAGTTGCAAAGACAAGGAAAGGTCGAGCTCCGCGCCTCAAGAGAGGTTGGATGGTTGAGGGGAGATTGTATGATGGGGAGATTTGAGGGCGGTTCGTGGAGCTCGGACCCCCGAGACGAGGGGGCGCTACTGGGCTTGGTGGTCTCAGCTTCTCCTGGAACCTTGGAGCATGCCCTGCAAACTAGCCGACACCATCAATAATAGGGCGGACATTCGCCCAATGATATTCATTAGTTACCATTTCGTTCTGTGCTCGACCAGTGAGATCCTTCAGGAGAGTGACCTCGCTCCGTGGCTCTGACAACGAAAACGTCGAGTAACCCCCCCACCCCCCACACGATGACGGCTGGCGAACGTGACATGCGGGCATCAACGGGCTTCTCAGAGTAAAGAATAGATAGATATGCTGCTGAAATGGGGGCGCATCATCACAATTGACGGAAATTCTCGTTGCCATTAGATCGAAGATCCTATCAAAGTTCGAACCTCTACATAGTACTTATGCCCTTGGCTCATTCGCCCACCTTGTTCATCACGCAGTCATTGCCGATTACGCCATGAGTTTTGACCATAGAAGCCCCCCTTGCCAACGCCTGGAACAGATGCACCGTTGGGAAAAGAAGAACGGGTTAAAGTGGAAGAGAAGACCGATAACACCTCGACCGTGCAATGGGATGACCATATCGATGGATCAGGCCCGGGTATCAAGTGTCCGAAGCGGGGAAGGGATCTATCAATGCGAAGCCCGACTCAAATATGCCTTTGACCTAGTGACCTACATCCTATGCATGGATTAAGTCGAGCTCTTCACAGGTGCACCACGTAGGTTGCACTCACTCCATGGTCGCTTCGGCTGACCTCCTGACTCTCCTGTTGTAGATTTTTTTATTCTCGGGCCCTCCCCACAGCAGCCTTGAAGCTTCTGGGTTCACCAGTGTTCTGGGATCGTAGGCTGGCGCCTCCTCTTCGATAGCCTGGATGATGGCATTTACGTGGGAGCCCATATCATCGACGCGTCGGGTGTGGTAGCAGACAATGCCCTTCGGGGAAACGCGGTGATGGAAGATGGGCGGATCCATCACTGCGCGCGGAAGTTCCTCAGGGAATCTTGGGCTCAAATGTATCTGAACGCAGATCATGCTTCCGTCAAGGTTTGTCATGGGTCTTCCGAAGAGCACCAGACGCCACAGGAAGGGGTTGCTGTCCACGAGGTCGAGTTCGACATTGACCATTTCTTGATTCTTGTACGCTTCAACGACCTGTTCAAACTGCCGTTGAAGATTGACTGCCTTGCTACTTTCCTTCTGGACGGCTTCCTTTCCCTCCTTGATCCACTGTTGCTTCTCTTCCTCGAGCTTCTCGTAGATCCTTTCCAGGCGCTTTTTCAAGGCCTGGTACTGGAAGGTACCGTTCATGCTGTTCCCACCGCCTTCAAAGGGCATCTTCTGAAAAGGCGTATTATCCTTGTGCTTCATGCCCTCTTCTTCGATGGCGCGCTTGTAAGACTCGTAGTACCAGAGGAAACGCCGCTTACAGAGATCTTTGAATGGCTCCCATGCAGGCTCTTCATTGGCAGCCTCAAACTCGGGCTGCACGGTGATGACCGGACCGTTTCGACCCTGGTCTATTCCGAGATAGCCCTCCAGTCTATCGATGACAGATATGCGAAGGGTCTCATGCCGTATTTTCGCCGCGTATGCCGCCTGCATGATCTTGTCCTGCGGCGTTCTGGCGTCCTCAAAACCGGGTTCGTTTTCGTACGGATTCTCGGACATGAGGCTTTGTATGGAGATCAGAACTGACTCCAGGCCTTGGGCGGATGACCACTGCTCGCCAGGCTCTCCCCTCCATGTCCCGAGGATCGAAAGACACACCTTCCCCCCTGCATATATGTTTGGGTTAAACCTCGTCTGGCCACGATCGGTTGTAATGGCTTCTACGGTGGGAGGTTTGGTGGGATACTCTTTGCCGAACCTGATTTTGAACTCGAAGAACCCGAACTCATAGGGGGTATCCGGCGGTCCCACGATTAAAGCTCGCACATGGCGCACGTCAGAGTCCCTGCAGGCTGCTGCGAGAGCTTCCAAGGGTTAGTATATCTCTCCATAATAGAGCAAGGTGAACAGTACAGAGATCAGCCGCCTTCTGAATCTCGCCCAGTTCCTATGAAGAAGTCAGCCGTGATGTTGCTTAAGCCCGGCAGCGCCCGCCGACTAACTCACCCTGGAGATGCGGAGGATACACTGGTTGGCCATCTAGGCGGACCTGGCGGAGAGGCCTGAAGGTCGACGTAGCTAAACGGGGGATGGAGATGGTGATGGAGAGTGAACCCCCAAGATCGAGCGTCTGTCTGGTCAAGGGCATGAACCTTTTAAATCCGCACGAAATCCCGAAGTGGTGCCTAGAGGGTAGAATGCGAAGGTGAAGGGGGGAGGAGCTACTGTGTGTGTCCTAGAACAACCCGCCCAGCCTAGCATGAGCGCAGGGGCAGGGGTCGAAGCGGGCCGCCAACACCACGGTCTGTGCGCTGGATCTGATCGTGGGGGACCGTGACCCTTCCCTTCCGTGCATCTCTTCAGATCTGGATTTGCGCAGCCGAGCCATCAATTCAGTTGCACTTCTCTGCCCCTTCTTTTCTACGATACTGGCATGCTAAACCTCGACTATTCCCTGCTCTAGTGGCCGCCCTTCGATCGCGCTCGATATGTACTTCTGGGCCTTGTCGCCCTAACCAAGCGTTGGCAACATGTGAGAAAACCCGCTGAGCTCACACCTTCAAAGGCTGAGAAGTCCAGGGTCGTCTTTGCGCTCTACATAATTAGCAAAGCCGGCGGGCTCATCTACAATCGGGAGTTCCACACAGGCTTGAAGAAGCTCAGCAGCAACGATCTGTTGATGCTCGCTGGATCATTTCACGGGTAGAAACCATCTTTCCTAGCACCATCGTGCAATACACATGCTGATTGACGTCTGTAGCATGCATGCCATCACAAAGCAACTCTGTCCTGCGGTCCCAACCCCCGCGAACCCAGCGAGCAACCCTGCTGCTCTCGCGCCTTCTCCCTTTGCCTCGCGACCGACAGGCCTAGAAGTCTTAGAAACGAGCCATTTCCGTATGCAGTGCTTCCAGACCCAGACAGGCACCAAGTTCCTTCTCTTCTCGGAACCGACACAACCGAATATCGATACAATGATGCGGAAAATCTACGAGCTATATTCCGACTATGTCATGAAGAACCCATTTTATACCGTAGAGATGCCCATCCGCTGCGAGAAATTTGACAGGGGCTTGGACGGATTTGTAAAAGTGAGGAGCTGAAACCAGCACAATGTGTTTGTGAATCGAGCATCGCCCTGAAAAGGCTGTGGAGTTGGACGCCTCTGCTCCTAAAAGTACTGCAGTGTGTGGGACCCGCGGCGTTTGGATCCTGTGATGCGAGGCCGTCAGCACTCTCTAGGACCGAAACAGCCACAACAAGTTTGCGCTAGTCGATATTGCCCGACGAAGTTGACAACCGGACTCGATCACATCTCTCACTGGGTTGGGCGCAGTCTCTCCATCATCCGAAGGCTGGGCTAAAGGTAGTTAAAATGGGCACAAGACCCACCACATGTGCGATGGCAGGTTAAGGGGGCCTGGCGGTACTGCCGGCACAAAAGTGTGTGAGGCAATGAGAACACGCTCATGGAATTCTATAATTGCATTACAAGTTCCACAGTCGCGCCATGTGGCTCGGATACCTATGGCGCCTGTGATTTTGTTTCAACCTCATAGAAACCATCGCTCTGGTCAGGCAGTATCCATCTTGTCGTCATCGCCCTTATCCTTCGTTTCATCCTTGCTGCCGCTCGGCTGACCTTCGGCATCGAGCAGCGGCTGCTTTTCGTCCCCCTCTGCTATACCTTCTAGCTCGGTTTTGCCTTCTGCAGCCTCCTTCGCCTTCTTCTCCTTCTCTTGCCGCGCCTTTTCTTCCTCGTAGCTCATCCGCAATGCTAGTGCCAGCTCTGGATCAACAGATGGATCGACTCCAAATTCGAAGGCGCTGCCACCGCCTTCGCCTCCCTCAGCACCTGCACCACCCCCGGCGGCTCCTCCGGCGCCACCCTCGCCGCCTAGTATCGGGGTTGTGAGAAGGGTGTCACTGAGCAGGTTGGAGCTCGGTTGGATTATCTCAAGGTGGGAACCTTCTGCGCTCTGGCAGTTCTCGTTGAAAGCTTGCAACTTGTGTATAGTGTCGTCACCGAGCTCTCCGAAGGCGACGATATCGATGCTAATGCCGGTCTTCTTCATGCGCTTCGACAGCTTGATCAAGGCCTTCTCGCCCTCTTCGATCGGACTACAGGTGAAAACGATTATGCGTTGCTTCTGAGACTTATTCTGACGATGCTTGAGGGCCAACTATGACAGCATGTCAGCAAGGCCGCGACCATTCGAAGGCGCCATGACTACCAACCGCTGCTACGTTCAGTCCCGTAGAGAAGTGCGAGGTGCCTTTTATCTTCGTCCGATGAAGACCATCAAGGATTTTGCCAATATCCGTCGTCAATGTGGTGAGGATCTCGGGTGTGTTGCCTCCCATGCTCATGAGTCCGACCGACGACTCAGGATTTGCTCCTGTTTTCGCGGAGAATATGAGATTCGCAGCATCACACTGTGCCTCCCACCGTGAAGGTCTAATATCGTTAAGTCTCAATCGGTAGACTTGAACTAGAGATACTCACACATAGTCGCCATTCCGACTGCTTTCGCTATTGTCCACCCTAGTCCATGATCAGTTTAAGAGCGCGCAAAGTGAAGGTCCCAACAACGTACACTATCATAGTAGCTTCCAACACCATCTTGAAGGCTATGGGCGAGGAAGGCTTTCAGGAATGAGGAGCTGCTTGTCGCTGGGAAGCTTAGGTTGGAGGGGTGTGGAAGTGAGGTAGGTAGGTGCTGTTGGTCAAGCTTCCAGGGTTGGGCGGGTCCGTGCCAAGCTGTGGCGGACCATTTCCTGTGGCTTGAGGGCACGTGCTCCCACGCCAAAACGCGGCACCCTCACTCCCACTGTCAACATTGTATCTATCTTCACCCAACCCTTTTTTAACTGTTGCTGTGGCCGAAGTGGACGCTGGGGGCTCTTGAATTTGCGCATCGTAACTCCAGGTTGCTATACCACCCCTCGTGCCGCCATTACGCGCATACACGACAGCGCAATAACAAAACAAACAATGCCACGGATAGCGTTGTCTGCGGAGGCGAAGGCTGCGATGCGTGCAAATCTTGAATTGGAGAGTTAGTCGTTGGGCTTCATCGCGGAGTTACATGGGCTAATGATACAAGTGAATGCGAGAAGAGAAAAGCTCCTTGCGATGTGCGACGCTCAATGCGCCAGCCTTCGATCCCGTCTGGAACGAAGAGTCAACCGGGTTCCCAGCAACAAGCGCACAACCAGACTGATTGATATCCTCGAACCTCCAATTCCCCAACAACCCACTCAAGTCCAGAAAGTGAAGCAGTCCCCTCCTGCTCCGTCCCTCCAGGCGCGCCGTACTCGTCCAGCGCAGACAGGACCGGCACCTGCACACCAACCAGCTACGGCAAGACCTATCGTGAAGCCCTCAGGGAAGGGTGCAGCAAAAACTGTGCGTGGCATGAAGCGTGTTAGCGACGACATATCCACGGATGACAAGGAGAACAACGCAGAACTGGCGGTCCCTAAGAAAAGAACAAAGGCTGCGCCCGCTTCTCGGACCCGGGCCACACGAGCCGCATCTAAGGTTGAAACAGCAAGTCAGATCCTCTCACCAAAGATGCACAATGCTCGGCCGGCGACTCAAAGTAGAACCAGACGCCAACGATAATTCATTTTGTGATGTTTCCATCACCGTTAGCATGGCGTTTGGAGTTTGAGCTTCGGCTTTGCATATGGGTTGATCAATGGGCTACTGTACTTCGGGACGGTGTTGGGGATCAGTGGTCTGGGAATCTTGGAAGGACGGCGCCGACTACCTGGAGGAGGGCGAGCGGTTCTTTGTTATATCTATGGATTTTCTATCGCAGTGATCTGGACTGGCGTACTGATGTGCTGTGTTCTTCGGGCGGTTAATCGAGGCGAAGTCAATCCCATATGGAAACATGTCACGGATCTATGAGGTTCTCGTGCTTTTGATATTTTCTCATGACTTTCTAGTAGACTATACGATAGTCACAAGGTAATATGACGAAGCTCCTGGATCGAAACTTGGAAGATGATTGCTCTCGCCCTCAACATCATCATTGTGCGAGCTGCGCTGCGCCTTAAAAATCATGTGTACTGTCACAGTCCTCTACTGTGTATGTACATGGGTGAATTGCAGTTCCGGCCGACGGACCAGTCCTGTCCCTGGCCCCCACTGGATGGCAGCACCAGTGAGTGTTAGCGTCACCAGTACTAAAACTGTCCTTGCACCTGCCACGAAGGCCAAAGACGTCGGACACTGAGAGTCCCGCGCAGATGCTCACAAAAAAATACAGACGGCAGGCTACTAGTTGTATTGCGGAATTGCGCAACTCAAGCCTGTCCTCTTGTACTCTGGACTCCCTCTCCACGTCATGGGAATAAGACCGGGACGAGAGACTTTGCGCAGCCTCGCGCTTCACATGACACAGCCCCCATGTTCTTGACAACACCGCTCGTAAATACCCCAAACCCTGCGCGACGGACCAATTGATGCTTGCCGCGGCCCTGGTATCTGGCTTCACCGGTGAACTGTGCACGGGCGCTGGGCGAGCAGCAATAAGAAGTGTTAGATGGGTAGTCTAACAGGAAGCTGACCGCAAGTCACGCTCTTCTCGCGCGGGACATGGTCTGCGTGTGGTGGTGAAACCGGTGGGCAGAGGATGCCTTCAGTTCATTCATGGGCGTGCAATTGCGAATCCTATTGTTCCCCCAGCGAGGAGAAGGACGTCATTGCTGCACTGAAGCATGCGTGGCGGACGACGGTTTTCGGGATATGGGACTATTGAACGCTATTGTACCGTCTGCCCTGGATTGGTCAGCGGCGGGGGAATCGCGAAGCAGAAGGGATGGGTGTTGCGCGTAGAGGGCCCAAGCTCGACTGTTGCCTGCTTGGCATCCATCCAACCTCAGCCCACGACTTCGACAGACAACCTCCTCCCAAGCCCCCCAAAACTCCTTCGACTCACCTCTCTTGCGCTCTTCTCACTTCTCTCCTTCCACTTCAGCCTTGTTTTTGAGGCCTCGTCACCTTCCACCTGGGCCCCTGCTCTTTTGTGTGGCACTTCGTTCTTTGCAGCACACCTCGAACCGTGCCAGCACGCTTACCCTGCCAGCACCCTTCATCCCACCTTGTGCTGCGCCGCCCTCTTAATCGACCGACTCCCCAAGGGCTCTCCCGCTTCTGGTCTCCCCCAGCGCCCTTCCAGTCCTGTCCACCGACTGCACTGGCTTTCATTTCGCTTTTTGTCACTGTTGTTTCCTCTTACCCAAACCAATTCGCCCGGTACATGAGCCCTTGGTTCCTGGTCCTGCACCCTCCTCACCTTCCGGTTGAGTGGGGTCATCCAGCTCAGTGAGAACCCGACGAGACTGCAGTTGCCGTACCTTGGAGGCCGCCAGCTTCGGTCACTGCTCTGAAAAAGAAGGCTGTGTAGCGACCAACTTCCCCGGACCAATCTCTTTCCCACCCAACTCTTCGAACATCCTTCCAAAGGCCCAATCCCTATCACTGTCTCGGTGAGTCATTGACGGAAGCCACTCGCCGCATTGGACGACCCGCTGATTGTGCACCCTGGATGCAGCAACTCCTGCTTTCCCACCCAGTCACAGTCAACATGTCGGTACACCAGACACACCCCCGCCGCCGGCCCTTTAAGCCAACGGACCCCACGGTTCCTTCACTCAGCACCCATGCCATGCAACTTCGCAAGAGCGGCACCTTCTCGTCACCAAAGTCCATTTCATCCGACCTCTGTGACTTGGACAACCATCGCTACATGCCCCGTCGCTCCCCTACCAGTACCGAGAGCCTCGAGGAGCTGATGAATGACGCCGGTGTCCAGCGAGTGGCCAAATTTCTCAAAGATTTCGAGAAGAAGCTCGCGGGTCACAAGTCGTCGGCCGCCAGCATTCTGAACGACCCGGAAGTTCTCCCTGTGCCGAGCTTCATGCTTGACAATACCAGCATCGACGGGACGCCCATGGAAATTGACTGCAAACCGACTGTAGCGGACCAGAACCCCCACGAACACGCGTCCGACAGCGGTCTTGGAACCAGCCTGCATGATTCCAAACTCGGTAAGCTGCACATGTCGCCTTCGAATCCGCCGACACCACGCTCTAACACATATAAAGGCGACAGCCGCTCGGTTTCCACTTCAGCAATCTCCTCCCACTCTGCTGTAACCCAGTCCTTCTCCGCTCAAAGCGCCCTGGAAGAAAAACATACCTTAGGAGAGCATGCGTGCAAACAGATCCACGATCTAATCATTAAGCCTATCCTCGCAGAGGAGTCCCTCAAAGACTTCCACCCACTGATAAATGACGTCCCTCGACGCATTGGAAACAAGAACATCTGTAACCTCAGAGACCTTGAGAAGACGTTGATATTCTTGGCACCGGTAAGTGGTATCCGATATCTTTCCGAGAGTGCAAAGGCTCATTGCATTCTCCGTGGTTTTAAGGAGTTCTCGGCGACACCCGCATCGTATCTGCGTTTCTGCGAGCAGTCAATCCAGCTTTTGCATGCGACAGTCGACCACCTCTCCGAGCAAGACCAGCGACTTCCGACCGATCGCCCATACACTAACAACTACTTTCTCGATTTGATCGAACAGATCCGCCGCTACGCAGCAATCATGGCCGCCACCCGTCAAAAAGAGGAAAATGGAGAGGAGCTGGACGAGATGGATTACTCCCGGTACGCTGGTGCTGCTGCATCATCACCCCAACTCCAGCTAATACAACGCAGTGATGAAAAGATCACCCTCCGTGGCGGTCTCACCCACAATGGCCGGCCCGTCGAGATAGTCCGGATCAAGAACGGCAAGACCATTCCCGTGGTCGAAGGTGCCGACCAGGTTGATACCGGCTTTGCAGCATCTAAGCGCGCCCTGTCTGATGCTGACATGGATGACGAGAGTGTCACTCGGTCCATGGCCCGCCGCAGAAAGTCTGAAAAGCCGGGAGATGTGGAGCATGTGTGCCGTGAGTGCGATAAAGTATTCAAACGGCCTTGTGACTTGACGAAGCACGAGAAGACGCATTCTCGTCCTTGGAAGTGTACCGAAGAGAAGTGCAAATATTTCGAGCTCGGCTGGCCGACTGAGAAGGAACGTGATAGACACGTCAACGACAAGCACTCCGCTGCCCCACCTCAGTTTAAGTGCAAGTATCCTCCTTGCGAGTATAAATCCAAGCGCGAATCAAACTGCAAGCAGCATATGGAGAAAGCACACGGCTGGACCTACGTGCGATCCAAGAGCAACGGACGAAAGAAGGCTCCCACTGTGAGCAGCTCTACACAGAGCCCACCGACGCCAGTTTCTCCGTTCCAAAGCACACCGATGTCCGCTTTCCCCACACCAGTGACTCCGTTCATGGTTTCCCCGACAATGCCACTCATGCAGGACTCAGTCTACTCGTATGACTTTGGCAAACCAGCGCTTAGCTCGAATGATCATCTTGGTGATTATCGCCGAGACTCGGCCACGACAACCGATGGTTCCAATTTCACGTATTCCTCCAGACATTCTTCATTTGAGCCTACTGCTTTTGAGAATGCGCTCACACCAGAGGAGACGATGTTGAATCATGGAGATCTCTTCAACGGCATGAACGGGAACTTCAATAACATTGTCCAGCAACCCACTCCGTCATGGGGTGTGGCCCAGTTCGACGATTGGTCATTCCCGATGAACACTACCGCAACCATCAATCAGCCAAACATGACCAACACGTCCACGTCGAATACCTTGTCGGCGGTAGCTCCACAATTGTCGCCCACAGCCCAAGCGCACGTCACACTTTACAATCCAAGCGTGAACGTTGACGAAGGCTTTATGGAAGACAGCTTCACTTTTGACCTTCCCGGCACCGACTTCACGCTTTTCGAAAATATGCAGCCGGCTGGAATGACGGAGGCTTCGTCCGCCAATTTCTTCCAGGATATCAATCAGTTTACGAGCCAGTACGACGACAGCCTGTATGCCGGGCCCAATGATGGTATCAACCTGGATGACTTGATGGACTCTTCCCACCAGCAGTAAGGAGGACTATCTGTAGTCTCGAACGCCAGGGTGATAGAGACGGGATATTTTTTTTTACATTTCCAATATTTACGACTTCTGAACTGAATTACACTGGCATTGTGCCTATCGACGGAAGCTTCTTGGTCTGAAGAGATGGAGCTTGGTCCTTAGTTTTTGACCCCTGGATTTATGTGCCCAGTGCGCGGAACATATAACAGAAAACCCAAGAACAAACGGCCGTGGAGGTACTATATCATAGCGTTGCTTTTCTCTCCTCCTTTCCAAGCGATTCATGTATCCGCCTCTCTTCTCTATTATCAAGGCAGTAATGGAGCGTTCAAGCGGTGTAAGGTGATGCAATTCGATTATATCTGGTGTGAAATAGTTATCATGATTGGCTATAGTGCCGGGCTGCCTACTTCAAAATGAAGAAGTTTTCGAGCCTTAATTTGCATTTTAGCATGACTCCCATGATCCTTCACTCTGCACTGCCATGGACACCTCAAGGAGGGGGTCATGGAATGAATTTACGTCAGGTGTTTCCAGCGCCTTTAGCGGCTATTGCAATCCATTCGCTTGTTCCATCGCGCCTTGGTCCTATTTATGAAACTGACATGTTGAATTGTTTCTGTGTTCTTGGTATTTGGGCGAGGTAAAATGGGTAGAGATAATGTTATTAAATGGCATCGCACGTATCAAGCTGCCTGTCTTGGATCCATCTTATTGAACTGTGAAGTTCCCTCTGAATTATACCTATCTATTAGTCTAGCCAATGATATTTACTGTCCCTTCTTCTCCCTTTCCTTCTTCTCATTCTCCAAGATGTACCGGACACCCCTCCGAATCCCCTCATCGAGATCCACAATGGGCGCATACCCCAACCTCCTCTTCGCCTTCTCAATACTGTGATACTTGTTCTTTGTGCTATACCGCACCTGCGCGCGCGTGAGGTTCGGCGTCTTCCCCATGACCCAAAACAGATTCTCGAGTATGGCGCCAATGGTCATGGCGACATTTTCCGAGAGATGCCACACCGAGGACAGGGGCAGGCGATCTCCCGCCTCGTGCCAGACGGCGCGTGCAAAATCCCAGAAATATACGGGTTGGCCATTGGTGATGAAGAAGGCCTCGCCGTCGACGCGCTCTGTGTCCAGCGGCACCGTAGGCAGCATCTTGTGTGTATCTAGCAGGGCCTGTAGAGCGAGGAGATGGCCGTGCGCGACGTTGCCGACGTAGGTGAAGTCGAAGAGATTGTTGTTGTCGCCCACTTGGAACTTGGTCTGGCCCTTGTGGTAGGCTGTGACCATCTTGGGGAGGAGCTGGATGTCGCCTTCGCCGAAGATACCCGCGGGGCGGATGGCGGTTGTGAGGAAGGTGGGTGGTGTGCGGTTTGCGGCGAGCACGGCGGTTTCGGCGTAGGCCTACGATTGTGATGAGAAACTTGTACTGGATGAACACTTGGATTTTCTGACCTTGGTTGTTGTGTAGTACTCCGGCTGTGCGTCGCCCACAACTAAGGGGTACTCTTCGTCCGCGTTGACGAGCTCGACATTCGGGCCCAAGATCACGCTCGCAGAGCTGGTATATACAAAAGCCTTCACGCCCGTCTCTTGCGCCGCCTTGAGCAGGTTCTTCGTCCCTCCAACATTGACCTTGTCGTGGATCGCGGGCGCAAGGTGGAAGTGGGGAGACGCGGTGTGGATAACGCCGTCGGGTTTCAATCGCTCAAACAGGCTCTTGACGCCTTCATAGTCGGTGATGTCGCAGTCATGGTAGGAAACATTGGGACTCAGGTTACGGTTTGAGCTTGTGCGGAGATCGAGAACGGCGATGGAGGTTTTGGGATGTCGTTCCACGAGCAAGGAGACGATGTGAGAGCCCAGGAAGCCGCATCCGCCAATAACGGCAATCCTGCCTAGTGAGGGTACTGAAGGTGCTTCTCTGCGTGAGGCCATTTTGGCGAGATGGAGCTTGGGGAATTTATTCTTCTCCGCACTCTGAAGGTATTTCCCTCATCCAATTTGTGATCGATAGCTGCATAGGCCGCCCTCGCGTCCCTGGCCATCACCCCTGCCATTGGTGTTGCGGGAGCTAGCCACAATCGGTTACAGTTTCGGATATACTCCGGCCTTTCGGAGGGTCTTCCGACCTCACCTCACCACTGGTCTTGAGGTGTCGATAATTTACCACACAGAAAACTCAGCATGGAGCGATCATGCTCCCCGGAGACCTCCCCGAATCCGCCTTCAAGGAGCTAGGTGTTGACCTGGACAAGCTCAGGATTTCCACAGCGTCTCATGCTACCGCCAGAGCGTCACCAAACTTGCTGCACGCAACGCCTTTGTCCAGGGACGAGCCGCCGCCAGGCGCACCCTCGATTGTATTGTATGCTGAGATCTTGCTCCACATACGGACAGCCACGCTCTTCGGCTCACTGCGCACGGGCAAGACGCATGATACCAAGGCAAGGCTCTCCACCGATGCCACCTGCATCACCGTTTCCTACGAAGGCGAGTCGGCGACTCTCCGCCTGCCGATGAAGGTGAAGGGAGGAGGAAGTGCAGTGGTGGAGATACCAGCCGAGCCGCCCAATAAGGACATAAGCGTGCGACTCGAGGTCGAGGAGCGCGAGGGCAGTAGCTTCTTCACGGGCGCCCACTCCGACGAGAGGAAGGCTAATGTGGTACCGTGGGATGCGGTCTCGCTCAATGAGATGAAGACCCTAAGCGTTCTTTGCAGGCACTGTCAGAGCCCTGTGGTGGGCACTGGAAGAGTTACGGAATGGCGGGACCTTCCCAATGAGAACTGGGCCGAGATGATGGACTTCTGGCACTGCCACAAGCCGGATGAACACCACTTGCATGACCACGCACACCACGAAACCTTTTCCAAGAAAGGGTATGCCGCAGGAAGTAGGCTCAAAGCCATCCAGAGCATTGGTTTTATAGATCTCGCGAGCTTTCTGCTCTCTGAGCAAGACTGCGAAGGCGTTCAGGTAGGTCATTCCTTGTTGTCAAGTACGCGTTCAGATCCAGCACTTTCGCGCCTGTTCTTTTCTTTTGCACGTCGATACAGGGCGACAAGAAGATGGCTCTAGTCTCTCCATGGCAAAGTCATCGATACTACCCACCCGAGAAAAACGGTCTCCTACACGACCTACGGCATCGGTGCATCCTCGTCCGCATGGTCGATGGGCGGCCGGTGGCGTGGGTGAGCGGCCTGCATTCCACTGACACTTTCCGAGACCCTTGGAAGTGTTGGGATAAAGTCCGGGCTACATTTCTATCTTAATTCACCTCCTCTCGTCAATGCAATCCTGTTTTCCACATATCATTCTCCTCTCTATCGTCAAGGCCATCGTCTAACGCAGTGTAGTCTGGTGCCCGTAGCTCGGATAGCCCAAGGAATCTCCTCACTTGTAAAGCCTGCAGCCACGTCCTCGGAGTGCTCGATGAACAAGCGAGCGGCTGGCGGGTCTGGAAATGGGCCCTCAGCATCGGGGCTGCAGGGCCATCCCTTCCGAGCGCATCACCAGCACATTCCGCCCATACATACAGCATTCAGAAGTGGATTTCTGCCCGTCTCCTCTTCCTGATCGAAAACCTGGGCATTAGGAAGTTCCATGTACATGCCGATACCGACGGCGCGAGCGTACCGTCGCTCCTCATCTGGGTCTTCACCCCCGACCTCCTCTTCTCCTCATCCGTACCCTCTCACAAAGAACCCCGCAACGACCCAACGCGAGCTATGAAGATCTTCTACCAGAAGAAGGAATGGAGTCCGCCTAAGCCAGGAGAGGCGGAACCGGCCTCTGTCGAGGAAGTAAGCTTTCCACAAGAGTTATTCGATGAGCTACACTCCGCTTTAGAAGAGAGCCAGCAGCTGTTACCTGTCAGCGCTCGACGCTTTCAGGGGTGGGATGTAGGGCTTCTGGAGAGATTTGATGTTGGAGAGGACAACAGAGCAAGACAACACAACAACGAACAGGCATGATGGATATCGAGAAGTGATGTAGGAGGATGAATATTGAGAAGAGGATTAATATGGTGCGTTCGAGGAATGGTAAGGCTGCTGTCCCTCTGTCCCACAAGCCACCATGAGCGATAACCTCACTATCTTTCATAGTTTTCGTAGAAGGTTCTCCAGTCTCCCCAGATGACATACTGCTCATACTTCCTCATCAGCCTACCCACAGCATCATGGCCACCAACGACTATGCCTGCGCCAGCAAAATGGATATAAAAGTAGCCGGGCTTCCACTCTGCGGAAATGTCTGTCACCGTTTTGTCCTCGTAGCACCTGATCTCGGGAGGATACGCATTCATCAGATACGAGGGTAACCGGAGTGACTTTGCAGCGGCCTCGGGATTCGACTTGAGCAGCCGTCCCATGGCGTCCTGCTCGAGAATATTGTCGTGCTCCTTTTCCGCCACGCTTGCGCGGACCTCGTCGATAGCTTGGAACAGGTCCAGGCTGCGTTTATGGCCGCGCACAAGGAACGAGCCCGTATTGAGACCGTTACAGTCATGCGTCACCAGCAGATCAATATCGTCTGGGTTCGGAGCACGCTTGAGATTATCCTCGATAATCTCGTGCACCTTGATGTCTGTGTTGGTGAACAGTGTGTCAATATCGACCCACCAGATCCAGTCGTATTCTCCAGTCTTGGCCAAGCGCTGCACCATGTTGTACTTCCACCACCAAACGCCGTAAGGGGAGTGTTGCTCAAAGTCGACTATGAAGGTGTAGTTGTGGCGACGGCAGTAGTCTGAGGAAGAGAAGCGTCAGTGCGATCCGTATCACAGCAAGTAGATGTCTTGCCACGTACGATCCTTGTTTTTGAGAGACAAGTGGATGTACGACCTTTCCTCGGTGACAGCGGTGATGACAGCGATACGTAGACGCCTGGGTACTTGAACAGAAGGTGAGGTAGCAGCAGCCGCTTCTTCAGGTGAGACGATGAGGGAATTCTGTAACAGGGCATGCTCGCGATCGCCTCCGAGAATGAGTTGCCATCCGAAGAGCATGCAGAAGAGGACAAGGAGAAGTGCCGTGGGGCTTGCTCGCAGCAACCTGGATATCATTGCTGTTGTCAATGGTGCTCTGGAAGATCCGCAGACGCGTAGGGTCCTGATGATATGCCCTTGCTATGGATATCTCCTTTTCGGGAATGGGATACGGATAGTTGAGAATTTCCCAGGGTCTGGGTGCAGGTGGAGGCAGCGTGGTGTTTTGACCGGACCTTCCCCCGAGTAGAGTGTCAAGAATCCCCGTCGAGGATTGCAATGGCTTCCCCATTGTGTTCGGAAAGCCTCACTACACTAGGAGAGAGCGTTGCCGCGAAGTGTTCAGGCGCGTGTCAGTCTCGAGAATGGTTCGGAAGGTCCAGACGGAAACATCGGATTGAGGTTAGGGGACTGTTACGGGAGTGTCCCACTTTCTCCACAAAGCGTTTGGAGCTCGGGCCACACCCGTCTCTCATGCCCACGGTCCCTTGCCTAGCTTCATATCAGATCGTCCATCCCAACCACCTCTTTTGCATGAGTGCCAGATCACTACGACAGCGTAACGTTGAGGTTTTCGTTTTGTTTCTCATTGATTTATGCGCAACGATTTGCAATGTCCGGGATTCGCAGCGCGCATAAAGCAGGTGCTACACGGCACTCATTCCCTCAGAAGCCGCGAGGCCTCTTTGTCAATGGCGTCTGGCAATGTGAGACCTTCACCTACGTGCGGAGTATGTAGGCGACGGGGGTTAATGGATAGGCAGGCGAGTGTAGTCCCCGGCTTCCGGCACTTCACCTTCAGACGAAAAAGGCGGGCGCTAATAAAGGCCGTTGGTGTGAGCCTTGACCATTCTGTCCGTCGTGAATATGGCGCTGACGAGCTGGTAGTCTACACCTGTCAGAAACAGCAGGATGATGTGAACCGATGCAAATTCTTCCTCTGGGACGACGATGCAAAGCCTCGAGAAGAGCGTGCTCTGCTGAACAATTCCCGCTCCGAGCCTGAACATACCAACCGTACTCCCTCGAAACCTCGGAGAGTCGCCAGCCCTCCGCCCCCGTATACAATAGAGGCGGCGCCACCCGATGCTCGGAGGAAGCGCAGGCGGGGATCATCGGAGGACAGTGATGACTTTGGCCTTGACTCGTTGGATTCTATATCGGGGGATGAGCTTCTCGCGGCGGCAACCAGTGAGCCTCCCAGGAAGGCAACAAAGCAGGACATGTACACAACTCCGAGGAGGAGACTTCCCTGGGATAATGCGCGTGGCGGCATACCCACACCTCAGACGGATGAGAGCCGACCCATGTATCAACTCCAAGGCGGATTGCGGGAAGCAGGCGAGTTCGCGACGCCGTCCAAGAGTAGACCTAGCGGAGCAGCATCGTATTCTGAGTCTCCCATACCGTCACCCTTCCAGACGCCAACGCCATCACGCTTCAAGGAACCCAATACCGCACGCTCAGAGATGGGACTCGTGGACGAAGTGTTCCAGTTACTTCAAGAAGAGAAGGTGCATCTTCATGAGCAGGCATCTGCCAAGCTGCGAGCAGTCCTGGGTAAACACTCCAGAAGAGCCGAAGGGAATGCAAAGGCCAAGGAGGTACTCCGCCTGCGTATCAAGGCGGAGGAAGCGAAGAATATGGAACTGTCTCTACGAAACAATACACTGCAGGCCGAGCTCGAGGCGGCGCGGGCTACGATAGACCACCTCAACTGGGAGAAAGAACACGGGGATGAAGGGTGATGCCTGCCAAATCTGGATTCAAGCATTCCATCGGGTTATTTCGTTGACGGATAAACTTGGATTCCGTACCCATCAGCCAGTTTAGCATATCTACTACTAAGAGGAGGTTCGTCAGGTGCACAAGGCAGAACTTATAACTACAAAGTCCAACTACAACCTTCTAGCTTCGCTGAGGAGACATTGAACACTACATTCCTCTTATCTGTCCTTGTCGCTGGAGAAAGGAAAGGCTAGCCTAATGGAGACGAAGTGCGGGGGTAGCGAAAAGCTTGTCCAAAGCCTTGTCCATGAATAGACGGATCCGTGCCATATCGGTATCATAGTGAGATGCATGTAGCCGGGCCTCAGCACCGTCATCTTCATCTCGACGTCTGTGTGACATCGGCATGCCCTCTGTATGACCCGATGCAATCTCCATCTCCACCAGATTGGCCTGCTTGCCACGATTGTGGGGTGCCCAAACCGGCCCGCAGCGCGACATGTGCGGCTCTGCGCGACAAGTGCGACCCAGTAGTCGTTGCGGGACTTGTGCGTTCGCCACCACGACACTCAACACAATGGATGCAGACGACACTCTACACTACGGACGTGCTCTTCCATTATCATCTCTGCCAGAATGTTCCGCTCTTGCCCCTCGTACATATATCATTCAAGGCCTCCATTGCACCTTTGGTTGTCCCTTCCTTTTTGCAATATTCCCCTATATTAAGACTTGCCGGTTGTACTGTCGGCTATCAAGTTTAATCAACTGCACACCACACTACCACTCACGCCTGCGCCCTGCACCCCATTCCCAGGGATTCCAAGAGCGGATAGATTACACCACATCGTCGCGTTCACGGGACAGCCCTATTGCGGAAAAATGTCACAACCAGGCCCTACCCGCTGTTTGGGCAAATTGCGGGATCCCTCCCCGGCCATGGTGACAACAACAATATTCATATCAAACCTGCACTGCCCGTCATGCGTGGCTAGCATTCAGGAAGCCCTGGCTGCTCTGAGTCCAGCGCCTGAATTCATCTCTCAGTCGTTTGTTTCCCATTACGTCGTCATACGCCACAAGGCATCCCTTGCCTTGGACACGATTCGCGACTCCTTGGAAACGGCAGGATTCGACATACACAGCATCTTTCAGAACCAGACCTCCTCCAACGACCCTATCGAGGTATTCGGCACTGAGCCGCGCGATCCCGTGTGGAAACACAGTCTGGATCAAGCAGTGTCCAAGTGGATCAGATCGGGAGCATCTGGCATCTTCTCCAGCAGTCCAACGAGGCCAGAGGATATGGAGAAGCGACAAAGACATGTCGAGCATTGCGAGCAGTGTAAGGCCGAGGCAGAGGGCCTGAAATCAGAACCCGCTGTCATCCACGCCGAAAAGATAAACATGTACGATGGCTTCGATTCATCAGGGTCATTGTCTCCAGCTACGGACGACCTAGTGGTCGTTAATGCAGTCATTACACCTGATCTCTACAAAGCCACACTGAGCATCGGGGGAATGACTTGCAGCTCTTGCGTGAGCAGCATCACCCGAGCTGTTCAACAATTACCGTTTGTCCGATCAATAGATGTCAACCTCCTCACACACAGCGGCACTGTCATATATGAAGGCAAGCACCGGGTCGACGAGATCGTAACCGCCATCGAGGACACTGGTTTTGATGCTACCGTGGATAACATCACAGAGGCTGAACCCCACCATCCGGCTCAAAGAAGTGCAATTTCGCCGATTCATCATGACAAACGTTGGAGAGCCGTCTACGCTATAAGCGGCATGACTTGCAGTTCGTGCGTTGGTCATGTCACCGAAGCCATCAGAAGCCATCGCCCCTGGGTAGATCAGGTCGACGTGAACCTCCTGTCAAATAGCGCTTCCGTCATCTTCACTGGGAAAGACCATCTACCCGAGATCCAAGAAAGTATCGAGGATGCTGGGTTTGATGCTACCCTCGACAGTATCGTAGCCGAAGATGACGGTAAGAGGGAGGTTGTGGAAAGAACGGTCAGTATCCGTGTCGATGGGATGTATTGCCAGCATTGTCCTGGGAGGATTACACGGGGCCTCGAAGAACGATACGGAACGAACTACACTTTCGAATTCAAGAATCCGCGTCTGACGTCCAAGGCGCCTAAACTCACCTTTACGTATCTCCCTGCTCCGCCCGATTTTACAGTCCGACATATCCTCCAGACGATCAAGGATCTGGATCCAGCGTTCCAGCCAAGGATCTACCATGCCCCAACCATCGAAGACAGAGCTCGGGAAGTGCACTTGCGGGAGAGGAGGCACATCCTATTCCGCATGCTCCTTTCGATCACTGTGGCAATACCCACATTTCTGATTGGCATCGTCTTCATGAGTTTGGTTAACCCCAAGAATCATATTCGTCAGTACATCATGGAACCCATGTGGGCTGGCAATGTCACACGGACTACCTGGGCACTTTTCATACTTGCCACTCCAGTGTACTTCTTCGCCGCAGACATCTTCCATGTTCGCGCAATCAAAGAGATTCGCGCCATTTGGAGACCTGGCAGCCGCATCCCGATCCTTCAACGGTTCACTCGTTTTGGCAGCATGAACATGCTCATGTCCTTGGGCACCAGTATTGCTTACTTCGCTTCCGTCGTGGAGCTGGCTCTGGCGGCCACGAAGCAGTCTTCGGGTGGTATGACTGACAGTTACTTTGACGCTGTGGTATTCTTGACCATGTTTCTCCTTATCGGAAGATTCCTGGAGGCCTACAGCAAGGCTAAAACCGGCGATGCCGTCACCTCGCTTGGCAAGCTGCGACCCGAGGAAGCTATACTCGTGGAATCCGAGACTGGCGATCGGAAAATTGCGACGGATCTTCTAGAGATTGGTGACATTGTTCGGGTACCGCATGGGACATCTCCTCCATTTGACGGAATAATCATCGAGGGCAACTGTAACTTTGACGAATCCAGCCTCACAGGGGAGTCAAGACCGGTAAAGAAGGAAGCTGGCGACATTGTCTACTCCGGCACAATCAACAGGGGCCAGCCTATCAAGGTCAGGATCACCACCATCTCGGGAACATCAATGCTCGATCAAATCATCAATGTTGTTCGGGAAGGGCAAACACGCCGTGCACCTGTGGAGCGCGTGGCAGACACCATCACCAGTCACTTCGTGCCCTTCGTTGTATGCATTGCCATAGTCACGTGGGTAGTATGGCTCAGTCTCGGTACGTCCGGGGTTATTCCAAAGGGCTGGAAGAACGAAGGTTCAGGTGGATGGGCGCTCTGGTCTTTGCGATTCGCCATCGCGGTTTTCGTCATCGCATGTCCATGTGGCATTGGCTTAGCAGCGCCTACTGCTCTTTTTGTCGGCGGCGGACTTGCAGCCAAACATGGAATTCTCGTCAAAGGCGGCGGAGAGGCGTTCCAGGAGGCGAGCTCCCTGGACTGCATCGTGTTCGACAAGACTGGCACTCTTACCCAAGGGGGAGATCCTTCTGTGACCGATCACGCGTTTGCACAAGCGCAAGATGAGTCTCTTGTTCTTGGTATCGTCAAGGCCTTGGAGGAAAGCAGCAGCCACCCTATCGCTCGTGCTCTCGTCTCCTTCTGCAATACGCGGGGAACGAAAACGCCTGCTGCGAAAAGTCTCGATGAAGTTCCCGGGAAGGGTCTCAAAGGCACTTTTTGCCAGGATGGCAAAGAGATAGTTGCGATTATTGGGAACGAAGCCTACATGGCAGATCACCGTGTGTCCATTTCAGGGGACGATGCTGCACGACTCCAATCTTGGAAGGCTAAAGGCCGTTCAGTGGCTTTGGTAGCTCTCTTGCATCCGCTCATTCAAGCGCAGAACCAAAGGCCGTCAAGCCCGGCGGCTCCGTCTGCGACCGCAAGACCGTCGTCAGTGGCGGAGCACAGGTGGGAACTGGCAGCCATGTTCGGCATTGCCGATGCCCTACGACCGGAAGCCATCAAAGTCATCCAAGCACTCAAAGACCGCGGCCTGGACGTGTGGATGCTGTCAGGCGACAACCCTATAACCGCCAACGCTGTCGGCGCTCAGGTCGGAATCCCCTCATCCAACATCATCGCCGGCGTCCTCCCCGACCAAAAGGCGGAGAAGATCAAGTACCTTCAACGCACGCTCACAAAGACCAACAAAACCTCCCTCTTCCGCATCCCTTTGCTCTCCCGCTTTCACACTCGCAAGCAAGCCCCCAAACGTGCCATCATCGCCATGGTCGGAGACGGCATCAATGACGCGCCCGCCCTCAGCACGGCCGACCTCTCCATCGCCATCGGCTCCGGCTCCGACATTGCTCTCTCATCCTCCTCATTCATCCTGATCAACTCGCATTTGACGACCCTGCTGACGCTGTTGGACCTCAGCCGCGTCGTCTTCCGCCGCGTCTACTTCAACTTCGGCTGGGCGCTGGTTTACAACTTGATTGCCATGCCCGTGGCCGCCGGCGTCCTCTATCCGATCAAGACCGGCACGACCCACATGGCCATGCATCATAATGGCGTGGGCATGGAGGGTGGCATGGGCATGGGGGACGGTGGCGAGAAGCATGTGAGGTTGGATCCCGTGTGGGCGAGTTTGGCAATGGCACTGAGTTCGGTGAGCGTTGTTTGTAGCAGTTTGGCCTTGAGGACGAGGATCCCAGCAGTGGGGTTCAGGGACAGGAAGGAGGCTGATAATGAGGTGGAGAATCAGGGCATAGCGTGAAGTGATTGAGGATACTCTTTCTCCATGGCGGTGGATGACGAGTCATTCATTTTCGCAGGTATCGCATTTGGAAAGAGAACAGTCTGGATGGATCGGAATTGGTGTAGATACATACACTCACTGATGAATAGAGGTTTTTCACCAACGTAATGTCTAAACAACTCACACGTGCTCACCATCCTGGAGTGAATTCCTGTTGTCGGATGTTGATAGTCATCTATCAACAGGCAATACCAACCTTGCATCTGACACTGTATTCTTGTCTTGTTTCCATTGAACAACGAACCGTGCGTCGGCAACTGTACGTGCAGATGTAGATCTAGCACATCGTCCTCTGAAAAGTAAATCCAGGCTTCGAAGTAGCGTTTCAACAAGTTTGTAATCAGTCATCGTCACCTGGCTCATCTATTACGATCCATGTGGTCCTGCATTTGACAGCCGCACTCCGCACCTCGCGTTTCTTATCATCCAACGCCCCAGTCAACATCTTGACGACCTGCTTGCGATACGGCAACACAATTTCCTGCCTGAACTTCTGAGCCACCAAAGTCAAGCATACGAGTGCCATTGCGCGGACACGAGCCGGTGTGGTGGTAGACTCCGTTACGCCCGCAGCAGCCATGGGTGCGTTTCGACTCGGCGAGGGCGTGGAATTATCCAAGAGGCGGGCGATGAGAGCCCCCGCGTGGCCTTCGACGGCTTTGGGACTCTCCTGGACAATGGACGTAAGCGTGCCAATGGCGGCTTCTTTGACAAGGTCCTCGCCTCGAAGATCGAGACTCTGGAGCAACAGCGGCGCTAGCTGTACCACCTCCTCGACCACGACCTCGAAGGGTATCCACTTTAGTATGCCACTCAACGCGATCAGATAGTTCGGTTTCATCTCGGGACTTGCTTCTCGGAATGATTGCGTGATGCTGGGGACTAATAGTGCGAAAGATTTCTGTTTATGCAGGCCGGATATCTGACAGTGATTTTGCTTCGTTAGCAAGTCGTCCGGCTGGAGCAGGGTCGCGAAACCCCTTGCGACCGTCGCGCCCTGCGTCGGGTGTGATAGAAACGATAGGAGACGAGGGTAGAGTGATGATAGAGACGGACTGTTTCGGAGGAGTAAGGCTCTCAGACAGGCAAAGATGATGCGTATCCTCGATGGGTCGAGCTTTTCAGTCGAGAAGAGGTCGACGGGTGGGTTGATCAGGGGCTCCATGCAGGTCCTGAGCGAAGGGGTCGGGATGTACTTGTTAAATAGCAGGGATATTTGACGGAGCGATGCTGAGCGCACCGGACTCGATATATACGTTTGCTGGGAGAAGTCTACCAAAGAGGATATGAGTACCTGCACCTCGCATGGTAGTGCGGTTTCTTTGCGGAAAGAGGCCAGCAAGTGCGTGGACACGACCATTGTCTTAGTTTGTTCGGGAGGCGTGCTGCTGTTGAAAGGCGGCACCCGGTCCTGCGGCACCCCCTTGAAAAGAGTGTACAGTTCTGGCGAAATCTGGCTCTGCAGCTCAACAGACTGATATCTCAGGATCACATTGCATATCCTCCCAACTAGGTCAAGAGTTCTTTCATCTTCGAATGCCTTCGGGCGTTCGCCCTCTGTTCCGGAAGCCATTCTTAAGAGAGGAAGAACAATATCCTGATAGTAGAGTGTGGCACCAGGGGCCTGCTCAACCTTTCCAATATTGGCGTTGAGAGCGTACAAGATAGCGGAAAGAAGTGCGACAATGTAGGTGCGCGATGCATTCTGCTTTACTGCGGTATGGAATTTGTTCTTCAGTCGTACGATGACCGTATCGAACACCCGCTCTTCGCTCGCCAGCTTAGCGAAAGCCTCCAGTATCTGGACGTACCCTTTCGAGCCGTCAGAATCACTGTCCGGAAGTTGTGCCATGAAGGCTGGGAAAGCCTTGTCGACGACCAGCGAAGGTTTCTGATGTGCAATATCGACGAGTCCACTAATGGCCGCTTCTTTAACTTCGTCCTTGCCATAAGACTCTTCGTGGATGACTATCGAATGGAACAATTCGATAATTCTGCCGATGTCTTCGTCGCTGAGGAGTTCGCGTACCTGGGCCAACCGTAGCAGGCCATCTAAACAGACCATACGGAAGGAGACTTCTTTGACAGGAGCGGTCTCTAGGCCATTCAACATGACTTCCAACGCTTGATCCTTGAATTGTATCAAGGTATTGACAGGAGGATGCTCTCCAGCTGTGCCAATCGAGCGCCAATCCCCGTAAACGTGGATGTTTGCGCGAATCATTTGAACCATGACCTCCAGCAAACCCCTTCTTTTTGCAATAGTATCCGCAGTCTGGAATAGACGAAGGAGATGGGGGAGAATTCCGGAAAGCAGGGTGTTGCACACGCCAGCCGATACGTCAGCGATCTTACTCAATATCCTTGCAGAGGCTTGCGACTGTTTCGTAGGGGCATCTTCCAGATGTTCATTGCACTCCTTCATTATAGGCCGAAGGTATGCCTCGAATGGCCCTGCTGTGCCTTGTGATAGAGTCTTTGCGATCGCTGCCAGGCCATTAAGCGCTTCTTCTGCAAGGTCCTCCTCTTGTACGTTCAGAATTTCGAATTTGAGGGCATCCCAAAGGGTGATTGAGTACAGTGACATCGTCTGATGGCCGTATTCCGAGGCGGTAGCCGTGATGGCCTGTAAGACGTCCCGCTTCGTGTTCATTGATGTGGAATCCAGTTTATCCAACAGGGCAGGGAAAGCGTAGGGAGCAAAGTCCGGGGTGGAAGCAATGCATTCTCTTAAACGGTCCTTTAGGTCCTGAGCAGTTATCCCGTAGGGATCTTCGGGACGCGGTCGGAAGGTGATGGGGAAGTAATTGAAGACGGCATCAAACAGCAGCTGTCGACATCAGCCTGGAAGCTTATACCTCGGTCTACAACGCCTACCTGAGCGTCGGCACCGATACTCCATTCCGTCATAGGAACCTTCAAGATGGCAAAGACAATCATGAGGTTCCGGGGGTCTTTCTCGCCATCAAAGTATAGTATGAATTTGGACATGAAGTCGGGTGAGGAGTCGTGCAGATTCCGTAGGGCTATGTTGGATCAGCATTCCCCTATATCTGTAAACAAGAAGCTTTACCGTCTCTGTATTTGGCCATCATCATGTCTATTAGACGTAGGACGGGGTATCGTTCGCTCTGCAGTTTGTACTGGCTGAGAGGGTGGGTGTCCTCGAGTAAACTTGGGTATGCATAAGCTTATAACGACGATATAAGGTCTTCAGGCAGGGATACGTACGATTCCATGATCTTTGTAACTCTCTCATTCTCCCACTTCCCTCGCTCCTCAAGAGCAATCAGTGCTCTCGCGCACGAGCCTAAACTTCCGCGGTCTTCGATACGGGAAAGGACGAAGTCGCATAAGAGGTTTCCTGAATAATTTCTCAGAACCAGACCGCTTTGATTCACAGCACCTTGAACCCACTTTGCTGAAGGGAGAGGACCTTCTGCGGAACAGCGGCCAGGACCTCGGCGAGGTATCCCACAGCTACTCTGTGGATTAGCACAGCCAGCCACGAGGGTGTCCAGTGTCGAGACATACTTCTACTCCTGACAGTGGCATCCTCGCTGTTCAAATACTCTCCCAGCTCTCCGATGAGCGTGAGCAGCTTCAACTCGCCATTTTCCAATCCTGTACATAGACGTGAGCATAGCACCCCCACGCGGACGCGGCGGAGGAAACTCACGCTTCGCCGACTGCTGCGCTACGGCGGTCGCTTCCTGCTTGTTGCGGTCATAGTCCAACAGGTAGCGTTGGATGTCTGACATGCTGAAGGGAAAGGAAGGAGATCCAGGATCCAGTCCCAGCACGGAGACGAGAGCGGTACGACTATCAGATATGAAGTCGCACAGCGGTTCGGAAATGTGGGATTGATACCAATGACGATGGCGGCATGTCTGCTCGCTGATTGGACAGAGCCGATGCCGGCGACTGTGGGGCAGCCTTCACAAAAAAAGTTGGGCGGCGTCGGCTCATGGAGGGGCATGTCGCCGAAGCAGACTCGGACACGAAGCGCAATTAATTCTACGGGGTTTGGAGTCAGAGGCGCATCATTTGTGCTGTATTGAAGAATTGACCCCTTCTTCAGGTTTTCCGCCTCTTCTGCCAAAGACACACTCTTCAATTCCTCTACTAGCAGCGCTGCGACCGCCCTGCGTCAACACCCATGGCCGAAGAGAAACCCCATTGCAAGGTCGTACTTGCAAACAACATTGCTAAGAGCCTCCTGGAAGAGGTCCACGAAGGCCTGAAGAAGATTCCGCACAAACCGAAGCTTGTCGGATTCCTAGCGAGCGCAGACCCCGCCGCGCGAGTCTATGCGGAATGGACGGGAAAGACATGCCATGAGAAGTAGGATACGGTCGAGACACTACACTTGTCTGGAGCTAACAATTTCCTCTCATAGTGGCTTTGTCTTCGAATTGCGCGAGGTCGACCGTGAAGAGCTTGAAGACGCAATCCTCGATGCGAACTCCGATCCCGCCGTCGACGGCATCATCGTCTACTATCCCATCTTTGGCTCCCGCCAGGACCAATACCTCCAACAGATTGTGTCCATCGACAAGGATGTCGAGGGCCTGTCACATCGCTACATCTTCAACATGTACCAGAATATCCGCTTCCTGGACCTGCAGAATACAAAGAAGAGTATCCTGCCTTGCACACCGCTGGCTGTGATCAAGATCCTGGAATACCTCAGGATATACAATACGATCCTTCCCTACGGAAACAGGCTTCATGGGCGCACAGTGACGGTGATCAATAGGAGCGAGGTGGTAGGTAGACCACTCGCAGCGCTACTGGCCAATGACGGCGCATGTGTATACAGTGTGGACATCAACGATGTGCAACAATTCACTCGAGGCCAAGGATTACGGAAGCGACGCCATGAGGTCGTAGAAAAACCGGGTTGGACTTTGGAGGACTGCCTGCCCATCAGCGATGTGGTCATCAGTGGTGTCCCAGGAGACAAGTACAAAGTGCCGCAGCACCTGCTCAGGGACGGCGCCGTGTGCATCAACTTCTCGAGCGAGAGGAACTTCAATCCGGATGTGAAGGAGAAGGCGAGCATCTATGTCCCTGCCATTGGCAAGGTGACCATTGTGGTGCTCTTGAGGAATCTCTTGGTGAGTAGCCTCTTCGCGCCTGTCGCACCACATTGCTAACGGGGGCAGCGCATCGTGCAAAACCGGCTCGAAGCTGAGGCAGAGGCGAAGGAGGGCAAGATGCACGACGACGCAGTGCAGACGACTGAATAGACCGGTTCCAGCGCGATAAGCAACCTGCACCGAGGAATGAATACCTCAAGTATAATGATACCCCTAGATAAACGGCGGCCGTTTTGAATAAGAGTCGAATAGAGCAATCCCTGAGCAATCTGTTGTACACGGTAATAGAAAGAAGATCGCATATCGGATACTGTTCGCAACATGAATTTGGACAACCTAGTCAGAAAGCCCTTTTGACTGACCAGAACCATTCCCTCTCATAGAAACAGGGGTACAAACTACTCGCGCAGGTGAAAAGACTATCCTTCCCTTTGAAAAATGGTATATCATGAAACGCCGTGTGCCACATACGCCCAGCCAATGCAGATCGTAATGTACTAGAATTTGCCCTTCTTCGGCGCCGGGAGTTCCACACCGCCATCATCGCTGTCATCCTCCTCCGCAGCCTCGCCGTCTACCATCGTGTCTCCGTCATCTTCACCCTCCTCTTTGTCCTCATCCCTTCCTCTTTTGAGGCCCTTCATCTTTCTGGTTTGCAATGTGCTAAAGTCCTGCTTGCCTACATGAACTTTGCCGACCTTGTCACCCATGATGTCCATGTCGATGTTCTTCTTCGTCTTCGGTTCGGCGCCCTTGGGTTTCTTCATTGCCTCCTTGAGCATGTCGGGGTCCGCGAACTTCTCTCGGCCGACCGTGAAGTCGAATCTGGGACCCATCTCTTCGAGTTCCACGCGCGGGAGCTTCTGTCCGCTCCGCATCGTCCTGATAAGGTAGAAGCGCAAGTGGATCTTGGGTGCCGGCTGTCCTTCCTCCTCTTCTTCGGCGGATATTGAGATTTGATATTGCAAGCCAGTGACATCTACTTCCGTAGTCTCCTGGCCCCTGAAAAAGTCCAGGAGCAGCGATTTCGCCAGGGTATATTTTGTTTGGGTTGGCGATTCGAAGACGGTGCCATGGAAAGCAATGAGAGGCTTGAGGCCCGTGCCCGGCTTCTTGTTCTTGAATTGCTGCAACTGCCGGAACGTTTCGGGGTTGATGTACAGCTCCAGCATGTCAAGGACTTTGTAGTCGAACGTTCGGATAAAGGTCAGGCAATGGGGCCGCTTTTTGGAGTGGATGCTGAGAACTATGAGGGAAGTGTCGTTCTTGGAAGAGAAGAACTCTAAAGCTGGTGCCTTCAGTTAGCATCATCAAGTCTTTGGTTTGTCGGACCAGGAGGGACCTACACGAGGCATCCTCAAAAGGGTGGATGTCGTTCTTCTTATTGAACCGCTCACAAAATGGCCGTTTCAGCGAGGTTAGGTCCGAAACAGCGAGTTTGAGGATTTGCGAGCTCTTATTGCCGGTTACGAAGAGTACGGTCTTGGTGTTCTCGTGCATCTGCGGAGCCCGCTTCTCCATTGCGCGCTTTGCGCGGGCATTTTTCGGCTTCCTATGACCTCTATCAGGATTTCACATTTTATTGAACGTTGAGGTAGACATACGGCTTCGTTGTCAACATTCTGTAATAAAAGCAATGAATTGGTGCACCTGTCTTCACTTTGGCGCATTGGGAAATCCTCGAAACCTAGGACTTTCGAAAAATTCATCGGAATTCGGGGAAACCATTATGCGGCGGCCAGCTCCGGCTCCGCGGGGCTCTTGGCAGGATCGGGCGGCCTCGGAGGGGCAGAAGCACGTCAGTGCCCCGATATACTCCTACTTTAATAATCTTTCCACCTGCAGTGTAGTCCAGCCTGAGATTCGAGCGGCAAATTCCACTTCTTTCCTTACATCTGCAACAACGTCCAGAGTATTAACCGCAAGCTTCAAAGCATTTCACGGTATTCCAGAGAGGTCCCACCAAACATGGCGAACGTTCAGGAAGTCACCGACGAGTCCTCCTTCGGATCGACTATCTCCGCGCTCCCACCGTCGACGCTGGCGGTCATATATTTCCACGCTCCATGGGCTGCTCCGTGCAAGCAAATGTCTACAGTTCTCTCTACTCTCGCCAGCACATATCCTGCCGATGCACCTCTTCGGTTCTTCTCCGTCAACGCCGAAGAGCTACCGGATGTGTCGGAGGCGTACGATGTGACTGCAGTACCATATATCGTGCTGCAGCGAGAAGGAAAGACTCTAGAGACTGTATCGGGCTCTGACGCATCCAAGGTTCGCGCCGCGGTGGAGAAATATGCCGGCGCGGGAAGTGGCGACTTGAATAACACTCTGCCCCCGGCTCAGACTGTCACAAAGCCACCTCAACCCAGCGCGCCCGCCAACCAGTCGGATGGAACGAAGAATCTAGCGGCGTATGCACCGTCAGCCTCGGAACAGCAAACGGCGCCTCAATATACCTCGGAGGAGCCGCAGACCAGCAAGGAGGAATTGTTTAAGAGGCTGGGTGAGCTGACGAAGGCTGCTCCTGTGATGCTGTTCATGAAGGGTACACCCAGCGCTCCTCAGTGTGGGTTTAGCAGGCAGACCGTCAGCCTATTGCGGGAGAGGGGCATTCGATATGGCTTCTTCAACATATTGGCCGATGATGAGGTTCGGCAGGGGTTGAAGGAATATGCGGATTGGCCCACCTTTCCGCAGCTGTGGGTTGGCGGTGAACTGGTTGGTGGACTGGACATTGTAAGAGCCCAAATCACCTTATCGTGCTTCTTATCACAGTGCTAACGACTCGTAGGTTCGGGAAGAGTTTGAAAATGACCCGAACTTCTTGAGCGAGTATTCTGTGAACGGCCAAAAGGCTTCGGCAGCCGCGTAGGACGTGAATCGAGAGAAAGGAATTGTTGGCTTTGGTTTGGTGGAATGCCAACGATCTTTTACAGATTGTTGAATGATGTCCTATCTTGGAAACTTTCCTCCTCCTCCGACCAGTGCTGACCAATATTGCGACAAGCCTTGGAGTTGAGAGGCTACGCAAGGAGGTAATAGTCGGCCAGGTGGAACGGCAGGCATCATTGCGGTATCTGCGCGCCTGGCGTGAGGCACTGGTGGGGTACCTGGGACCTTCTGACAAAGGTTTCTGTTCCATCTGAGGCCAAGGAAGATAGACGTTTTTGGAAGCAACCCTCACCATGTCCATCGATAGGCAGGTTAAGATTCCCTTTCCACCACATGTTTGAGTGCATTCTCTGAGTCGTTGCAACCTTCCTCTGATTTCTTGCCCCATAGATTCAGGTCTGGAATATGTAGCATACGGGCTAGCCACGCTTTATGTCGGGGTAGATAACGGAAGAATCCAACCTTGGAAATTGCTCGACGGTGATCTGGAGTCCTGTCCAGTTTCAACGGAGATGAGAGTGGCGGTATCAATATGTCGGAAGACGTGTCTGCGACTTCGCAGGAACACGCCCAAGGCATGTTGGTCGTACACCAGACCGATTGTAGAGGACTTCTCCTATAATAATATTCGTATTCATGAAAAACACCTGCAGGGAGGAATAATCCATGGTTGATCTAGGAAGATCCAATCGCAAAACTCCCAATATGGGCTTGAGCTAGCCGGAAAGCGCTTAGTGTAAATACCAATCACTGCTTCAATTTCATATCTGTAACTAAGTCCTTCCCGCTATACCAGTTCACCTCGGAAGTTTTGCAGACTGGATATGGCATCAAACGTAGATTCCGCCGGGGCATCCCAGCCGCCTTACTATGTTGCTAGGTCCGATATCTGCGTCAGTGGCAATGAACGGCGCGTTGGCAATGGCATGTTTGCCTCGCGCGATTTTGAAGCGGGAACACTCATCTTCGCACTAAAGCGACCTCTGGTGGGCGTCTTGGATACGAAGGCGCTGCAAAACACATGTGGAAACTGTTATGCATCCGCTCAGGGAACATCTGATGGCTCGACAATGTTTTTGGACAGGAGCATCCAAGTAAGCGCCTGCGTGGGTTGTAAATACTATCGATATTGCAGCAAGGTCAGTCAATATCAACGACTAGTTATTGTTGATGAATAACCCCATATGTCTCTCAGGTCTGCCAAAAGAAAGCCTGGCAGAGAGTCCACAAGCACGAGTGTAAGATACTCAAGGAGCTGAATGGCAGAGTGCTCCCGCCCGCTGTCCAAGCCACGATGGAAATCCTGATCAGAAGAAAACACGGCTTGATTACGGAGCAGCAATGGCAGATGCTTTGCGCTCTTCAAGCTCATTCTCTCGAGCTCAAGCAAAACGGCAAATACAACGATATCGGGCTCATGGCAATGGGTGCCTTGAACTTTTCGAGGACGCAGGACACTTATACTATCGACTTTGTTGAACAGATGTATTCCAGGGTGAGGATTCGATCTAGTTGACTGTGGTGTAAACAACTCATGGTAATCAATTCCAGGTTCTAACCAATTCTCTGACCTTGGTTACGCCGACATATGACCCAATAGGCCTAGTCATGGACGAAAGGATTGCAAACATCAACCATTCCTGTGACCCGAATGCGTACATCGTCATGGATGGGCCGGAAATTGCCGTGCGGGCGCTCAAACCGGTGCAAAAGGACGAGGAGATCTACATCTCGTACATTGATGCGACCCTTCCCTATGCGCGGCGGCAAGCAGAGCTGAAGAGTCATTGGTTCTTCACTTGCAGATGCATCAAGTGCCAAAAGGGGACTACTACGTCGGAAGAGGCATGGGCTACTGATCCTCACGACCTTAGTCACGAGTGGAAGCGGAAAGGGACGGCTTTGTTAACGAAAGACCTTGCAACTGATGCTAGAAATTACGTAGGGGAGTCACAGGACGAGAGGATTGTTGCAGCACTCCAAGGCTGGGTATTCGACACGTATCAGACGCAGCAGAGAATGTCTGGCGCCGAGGCGATCAAGTGCATTCAAGATTGCATGCAAGATTGCCACAACTCCAGGTTGTGGCCGGTATACCGACAGCCTTTCGCGGCATTGCGAGACGACCTGATCGTAAACATGCTATCAGAGCAGAAATATGCGAGCGCCTGGCCACACTGTGCCAAGCGCTACAGAGACATACTACCCGAGCTGTACCCTCAAGTGGCACATCCTATCCGTGTCATTCAGGTATGGCAAACAGCACTATTGGCCATGTACCTGGCAGGAGAGAAGGAATTCGTAATGGAAGGCGCAGACATGTGCATCATCGGCTTAATGCTGGTAAAGGAGGTGCAAGGCCTTTGCGTGTTGAGTCATGGAGAGACCAGCGCATTCACTACGAGTGTGAGGCGAAAGTATGAAGAAGTTCTTGGAGGTCTCGGTCCTGGCGTAAGTATCACAGACAGTCAGATGAAGGAGCAGCGGGAGATGCTATTCAAAATGGCAGATTCTGTGGCGTATTGAACCGGGAGGTCCAAAGGCCAGAATCGGAATCGGAGAGAGGGTAGAATGTGAGAGAAGAGGATTAAGAGTCGAAAGAAAGCATATCTGGAGAGAAGCGCCCAATTCTGGGATGCAGGTCCGTCGTGAGCCCGGAACACACGGTGCAAGTTCGTGCAAAAGAGTATTGCGGGATTCACTCACCACGTCATGTACACTCACTACCGTGTACGCACCTCGCTTTCACCAACACGATCCCGACCTCACTCTTGCCTTTCACTCACCGCCTGGAGCACTCACTCACCCCTTCGCACTATTTATACCGTTCTCCCTCCATCTGTCGCACCTTTGCTCCTGACCTCCACCCACAACTCTCGCACACCGGTCTCCAGCGTTCACATTCGCAATACAGTCCCGCCACTGTTATCATCCGGACCATTTCGCCGCAGCCTGCATCTGCTACCATGGCTGACAAGACTGCTGACAAGGCTGCCGACAACGGCGGCTCAAAGATGCTCTCTACCGAAGTCGTGGCGATCTTGCTTGCGGCAAATGGGATCTCCAGCATCTCCATGAACCAATACGACGCGATGTCTGCTTTGGACGGCACGCGTACCGCCAGCTCTTTCCAGCATCAGTTTCGCGCCATTCTCAGACGGGCCAAGGAACTCAAGGCGCGGTTGGACGGTGGAGAGAAGTTCGTCCCCGTTACGCCCAGCAAGAAGCGTGGTAAGTGTCGAATGCCTCCAGGTAAAGGCTCATGGACCGAGCAATGCTAACTTCCAGACTAGCTGCCAAAGCAGATGACGGCGACAGCCCCACTAAGCCGAAAAAGGCGAAATCGACTCCCTCCAAACCGAAGGCGGCTGCGAAGAAGGCGAAGGAGAAGAGTGTACTGGACGGTCCCGACCATGAAGAGTTTGCGGATGACTCCAACGATTCTGCGGAAGACTTCCTGACTGGCATCCAAGAGTTCATCAAGGAGGAGAAATATGATGATGAGTGACTGTGGATTGGAGGATCCTTAGCTTTGGTTCGTGGATTCGTGGACAGTATGCGTCGGCTTTTTGAGCAACCAGATTCCATCAAGCCCTTTAGGTATTGAGAATAGGAAGGAGCTGTCACTGATCCGTACACGGGTCATAGTTTCTTGAAGGGGTCGGGCAGAGTGATTTCTGGGACCATGCTGTTACCTCTTTCCACTTTCCACATACGACTGAGAAACTCACGGCACTTGCTCCGTACTGCCCATTTTCCAAGTCCAATTGAACAAGTATTCTAGAAAGAGCAGCAATATGACAGAAGTTCTAATCAGCTTAAGCACCTCCCTCTACGTGTCATGAGGTCTGAAACGAAGCTCTACCGCTAGCATGGTAAGGTAGTCCACCTAGAGGGGAATCGCAGTGGGATAGTCGGTAGGACGTAGAAAGCGGCAATGCACCAGACTTGAGGTTCGTGAAGTTGTTGGAAGCGTAGTTTAATAAGATGTCGTCTTCTCCGAGCCTGTGTACAACAAGCATGATCCCTCCAAAGGGAAGAATAGCCGGCGGGAACTGCACCAGGGCTGGATGCGACGCGTCTCGTCTGGTGTCGTTCGGCATCGGAGGTCGAGGGGATTCCGGTTCTCCAGAAGATTGAATTTCCAACAGGAGTACGGAGTAACATCTACGTCATGTCCAACAACAACAGGACTGGCTGATTATTTCCATCCTCAGCGTACCGTATACGTACAGCGTCTGGCCAGCTGTTCCGCATATTCGGAACCACGCGCTTTACCTATACTGGTCGGACTTAAACTCCAACCAGTAACCGCTTGACTCTAAGAGGGAATTTCTCGACTTCCGCATATCCGGTTTAACTGTCCAGACGCTGTAGTGGTGCAACTCGCTACCCCTGAATTCCCCGGATTATCTAATCTTATTGGGTGACAATCTGCAGGTTCCCGATGCGGCTAGCGGCATGGCAGCACGAGGCCGGCCCATGCCAAGGCGACAGCGTCCCTGCGCTAGCCGAGATCGGGCGGCGTCGAGGCACCGCACCTGATTGGATGCTCTGGCAGTTCCCGAGGATCACGCCTTTCCCTTCTTGGAAGTCCGCAATTTGAGCATTCCTGCCCGTCGCTCTGGCGGCGCGCACCTCCTCTGCGCCGTTCCCTTGTAATAATAATCAATAATAAAAGTCAGCGCCGCCCCCCCTGAGCTCCATGCTCCCTTCCTTTCCCTCTCACCTCCTCGACAGTCTCTCGTTCCCTCCGCTCTTTGTCCTCGTTTGAGTGCTTCAGCCTCCCACACTCGTTCACCAACATCGTTACGCGCTGCACTTTTGTGTACTCGGTAAATAGCTTTTAATCCAGTATTACTCCAACCGTCGCCATGCGTTTCATTCAGAGCATCCTTGCCGGCGCTGCCCTCGTCGCTGCCGCCTTCGCCGAAGTCAAGATCAACGAATACCCCAAGGAGGTCCAGGCGGGTCGTACCTACAAGGTCACCTACTCGCCTGCCGATAACACGCCGACCACCTTCATTCTCCGCAAGGGTGACAATGCCAACCTCGACACCATCACCACTCTGACCGGTACGTCTCGCGCTGGCAGAGGCCGATCCACCGTTCCCGACGACTAACGGATATCAGAGTCTGCGACTGGCGGCGAGTTCCAGTGGAGCGTCGACAGCGCTCTTCCCAACGCCAACGACTACGCCCTTGAGATCCGTCAGGGAACCGACGTCAACTACATCGGCCCCATCACCTTGACCGGTGGTTCCAAGGCCACTTCGTCTGCTTCCAAGGCCTCTTCGACTCACGCCTCCACCTCTTCGGCTCCCAGCACCCTGACCACCTCCACAAGCGTCGCCACTGTCTCGAGCACCGTCAGCGGAAACGCTACCGTGACGAGCGCCTCGCTTTCCCACTCCAGCACCGTTAAGCCCTCTACCACCCCGACCCAGACTCTGCGCGCTCCCGATCAACCTGGTGCCGCCTCCGCTTTCGGCTCGAGCCCGATGGCGGTCCTCTTCGGCGCTGTTGCCGCCATGGTCTACCTCAACTAGGTTTTCTGGTTGCTTAATATTCCTTTGATACCTGTTGAACAGTACTGGTAATGCGGAGGGTTGATGTGCGGCTGGGATTTTTACGTTCTAATGCATAGTTGGGTCAATCGGACGATGACATCATGGACGTGGCGTCGCCATTTTTCTTCCGTGTACCATCGTTCAATAATATACCACACACAGTACACATGACTTCTTATATTTGATATCACCTGGAGGTTACGTGTGCACAGTTGCGGCACACTAGGGCCCTGATCAATCGCCGATGTAGTGTTGGACGATGATCTGACCCCTAAACAGCCTGAAGCCCTCTCGACGTCAGACGCCTCCTTTTTTGTACCAACAAAGGATTCTGTCCCCAAGACGTCTGTCTGCCGTCGGAGGTTTATCCGTTGTACGGAGTACCAGACGGTTATTTGCATGCCGGGCCGGCGCCGTGTCATCTGTGTCGCAGTGTGCCACTCTTGGGCAGTTCGAGCACCAGGTTAAGGCCTGCCTGTGCAACTGTGGTGCGAGTGTGGTGGTGATGGTGGTGGAATGACGTGCATGTCGTACGGCCGACTACTGTGTGTAAGTACTGTACTCCTTGGAACAAAATGGATAGATCCATCGGGTACTTACAACCTGACCTCCCAACACGTGAATTCAATTGCGATCCTCTTCTACGACTACACAATAGTCCTCGAAATGATGCAGATAGTTCTATAGAAGGTGCCAAGAAAAGGAAAAAGGGGTATGCTATGCGACAAGAACCAACCGTCCAACCGACCCCCACCTTTGGACTCTGCTCCCCATGTTCACAAAGCAGAAAACATTATTAAAGAGAAATCTCCTTCGTACGATACGAGCACGCAGCGCATGGGCGGCAGGGGAGAAGCGCCTGATTTTTTTGCCCTTCACTCACTCTACTCGCCCCCAAACATGCCCGCAACGCCTTCCAACCCGGGACTTCCACCCCTCACAATCCCCGGCTGCGTCTCCACGCTCATCTGCATATACTGCTCCATGACCTTGCCCCTATTCCTCGCACCTCCGCCACCTCCAATCCCCCTCCCCCTCTCCACCTTGCCCAGCTCGTGGATACTCACGCCCCTCAAACTCGCCAACAGATCCAACACGATACTCCTCTGCAACCGCTCATCGCTCCTGTTCGCACTCCTCAGCTTCGCCAACCGTCGATCCAGCCGCGCGGGATCCGACCCCACGCCTGGTAGGCTCAACAGGATATTCCTCGGCGTCTCCTCCTCCAGGAGAATAATAGCCGCAATCAGGCTCGCCAGCTCCTTCTGGCAATCCACAAAGTACGGTTCGTGCAGGCTCGTGATTGCGTTCTTGAGCACGTCGTCGCAGAAGAAGGACCGGATGGGCGAGGCCTCGCGAAAGCGCGGGATGAGGGAGCGGAGGACGCGGATGGTCGTGAGCACGGAGCGGGTGTCGCGGACGCGGAGCGTCGAGTTGCTGAAGAGGAGGATGGGCGAGAGTACGGAGAGGTGCGAGAGGATGAAGGTGGGCATGGAAGGGGACTGGGCTTGGTGGTCTTGTTGGGTGTTGTCTGTGCTAGGTCAGCGCATCTGCCGACATGGTACAGAAGAAGCGGTACAGTAAAAGCCCAAACGATGAACATACCTTGTCGGAAATCGAGGAGACTGGCGACAAGTGAAACGGATGAATAGGTGAGTTGCCGTAGGATACTCTCCGTCTTCATCTCGTCGGTTAGGTTATCATTGTCTCCTGCCTGGGCGACCTGCCGGTTGACAGCATCCCACTCTGAGCTGATCTTCCGATTCAGCTCCCCGAACAGGCCTTCAATCATAGGCGGAAGAAAGTGCTCTCGGTACTGAGCTGGGCAGCCTTCGATAAGGTGTACCGCTACGCTGAGCAGAACGGAGAGGTGATGCGCAGATAATGCAGCAGCGTTGCTAAACAGGGCATGGCTGAGTGGACCCGGCAAGTCGCTGATGCTGTAGAAAGAATCGGGGAAGCGGGTCAAGGAGTAGAGAATGAAGTAGGAGCTCTCGCGAATCTGGCGGACCGTGCCTCGAACAGTGGATGCAAAGCCTTCATACGTCGACTTGGAGCTGCTCACCCTTGCGAAGAAGTCCTCGCGGCTCTCGGTCGAGATGCCAGCTTGCCAGAACCTGTCCGTTAGAACTCGCCGGATGACTTGCTGTAAATCGGGCGGTAGATGTGCCCAGCTGGCCTCGACGTTATTGAACGCTTGTGCATGGCTGCAGGTTGTTAGTCGGGATGGAGCACAATAACGAATGGAAAGCTTACCTCACGAGCTGGAGAATGTTCGGGAGTACGACAGGTATTGCATCGGCCCATAAAGACGCAGCAATCTCATATGCAGGTGATCCATCACGCAGCTTCTCGATGGACGCCGCCAGTAGCGTTTTCGTTAGCCGTAGCGGCAGGTGCTGCCTCTGTCAGAGATGCGGGACAAACAGTGTGGGTTACTTACGTTTGAACGTTCCAGAATAGCCGCCTGTAACGCCTGGCCTTCGCTGGGGAGAGGCTGGTCTGACCAGTCCTGCACGTCTTCGAAGTTGTGTGTGGAGAAAAACTCCGGGAGGTGCTCCATGCCCAGCATAGCGCAGAAGGACTGGAAGTTGGAGATGGATTTCGTGAGCTCTTCGCTTTGCCAAGCGGCATTGACTTGGCCCAATATCTGCCTCATGCGGTTGGCTTTAGTATCTCTATCTAGTGTTGTGCAGCGATGTCTGTTTGCGTTAGTACTCATGTGTTCGGAACTCAATTAACAGAGTTTTACGCACATGATTATGAAGAGAAAAGCGTTGAACGCCAAGCGTTGCCTCTCGTCTGATTCCGGAGACGCAACTAATTCCTTTATCTTCTGTTCTAACGTATCGTATACATTCTAGTGTAGAAGGGTCAGCGCTTTGACTCATGAAAGCATGGAGAATGGCATACCATGAAATCGTCCGGGAACTTCATCGCGAGCTTCTGCATCTCCAGGCTACACATACGATCAAGGTCTTTTACGGATTCCGAGTAGGGAAGCAAAGAAGGGTTATCCGCCAATTTGACGGTGAGTAAGTATTCGAGGAAAGAAAGTGCAAAATGCGGTCGGTCCGGGAGGGCTTTCGTCGAGAATGTGGACATGAGTTGGACGACTTTCTTCGTAATCTCCGGATCCTGAAGGACGTTAGCGAGGCAACAGCTCGAGATTTAAAGGTTATACCTCAAATCTAGCTTGTATAAGTTGACTACACCACTGTTCAAATGACTCTTCCATTCGGACGCGTATGTCCTCCTATTCATGGTCAGTCAGGCACGTGGTGGACGTGGGTTGGAGACGGCATACAAATTCTTCAGGATCTGCAGACGGAGGCATGGAGAGCCACTTCAGGTATCCTTTGAGCGCCGCATCAATGATTGTTACATGTGCATCTACACGCAGGACCGGCATTGAGCTCTTGGAGAATGTTTGTGCTACAGCCTGTCAGCAAGTCAAGCAAGCCGTAGGACGCTGGACATACGTTGAAACGGAGGCTCGTCTTGGTACAAGTTTTGGAACATGGTCGTAGCCTGGGTGAGCACCAGCGTCATGGCGTCAATCGGGTGGTGCCGCACCGCAGTCTCGATGATATCCACACAGTAGCGTCTGTAATTTCCGAGAAAAGCATGGCGTTCCGGAACGGTATCTACGTCTTCATTCAGGAAGAGGATAGTGGGATTCTCTGAATCCTCAGGGAACGCTTCGTAACGGATCAGGCGCGCACAACATAGCTCCAACAGGGGCATCATGATCTGTTGGGCGAAATTTTCTCGCAGGAAGCGAGATCTTAGCAGCTTCGTCCAGCAATGCAGGACCGGGATAGAAACAAAAAGACTAGGGTTACGAGTGATGTCGAACAGCAGCTCAAGAAAGCCGGGAATGTTACTTCCTTCTGGCAGATCGCGGAGCTTCTGCTCGACGAACAATCCGAGGCTGTTACCAATCTAACGTCGTCAGCGAGGGATCCCATGATGAAGGGCGGGCAGACTCTACCTCTGCAATCTTCTTGCAGAGCATATACTTTTGCTCATGGATATCATGCGCATCCATGTCGGACAGTGTCCAATTGTATACTTCACGCAAAAGATTGACACTGTCGACCGTGAGCATGGGGCTGACCAACTCTACGATGTCTTCATCATGGAGATGGTGCCGCAGATATATGGCCTGGATGACTTCAATGGCAGCCTACAAGGAGGAGTCAGTCAAGGAAAGCCGCCTGAAGCTGGCTTGGGAATTTACCAATTGTAAATCTACAACAGGCGCAGCCAACACCCTGGAGACATTCTGTATGATTTGCAAGGCGGAGATGGCCTTGGGCATGATCCACGACATGGATGCTCGAAGGGCGTTCATGGTCTTCACGGCACAAGTTCGCACGCGTTCCTCGTTCCTGAAATCCTGGGATAGGCACCAATTGAGATTGTCGCACAACCGCCTCAACCAGCCCTCGTCACCAAACCGGACGGCTAAGCCTTTGTCACGAGTGGGAAGCTGCTGGGTGAGCACTTCGGCAGGGGTGAAGATCTCGACGCAGGCCCGACCCAGGTCGCTACCCCGTAGTCCCGCCGTGGCATCCTCACGGTTGAAGACTTCCTCGGACAGCGTCTCCAGCACGTACAGAACAACGGCCTGGTGATGTAACGAGGTTTGCCAGAGGGCCACCAGCTGCTCGTCCATGTTGAGCCATTCGTCGCCCCAGGAGCGCTTCGCAACTTCGACCCACAGGTGAGCGACCTTGTTCCGTAGGTACACGGGATCATCCTCGGTGATGCTCTGGGCCAGCTCAACAACGCAGTCCCGGAGCGCCTCCCCTTGGGCAACGGTAAAGTCTTCCCAGTTATAGAGGATGGCGTGCTCGAGCATGGTGAGGCCATAGTGGCGGAGCTGTGCAGGCTGAGAGCGGTCAAGGGCGAGGTTGCGGCCATGGGCAGGGGCATCGGGGTGATGCTTTGCAGATTCGAGGTATTGGGTGGCCTGGCGGCGGGTGGTATTGGAGCTGGCCGGGTCGTAGATGGAATGCAGGGCCTCAAGGACTTGGGAGAGATGGACTTGGGCGACGTGGACGCCGTTCGTGCTGCCGTTGGGGGTGGTCGCGTGCGGCGGGTCGGCTTGCCAGGCGCCGTCCATGGTGATGGAGTCGGCTCGACCAAGCTTCACACCTGCGGCAGCCAGGCGCTTGAAATGGAGTGCGACAATGGCAGCAGGAACAAGCGGCGGAAGTCTGCGGGCGACTTCGCAGGCCTCGGATGGAACGCAGCGCAAGGGGCGGTGGTGGAGCTGGGGGGTGTGAAGGAGGGAAAGTTTGTGGAGGTCGAGGTCGAGCTTGCGCTCGAGGTTGAGGTTGAGGTTCAAGTCATGGTGGTCGTCGGCGGAGAGCAAGAAAACTGGGCCGGGCGCCATAGTATCACCGACGCCCGCCCCGCGCGTGCTCGATATTGTATTGAAATCGGTCCGCAGTCCTGGTGCCCCATTCACTGTCAGTAACTCCTTCACCCACAGGCCGTTCATCGACGCGCCGGAGGGGCTCAGTTGCGGGCTTGGGCGCGTCACCCACAACGCGATGTCACGGGGAATCGGAGCAGCACCTGAGCCGCCCTACCAGCCAGCCCTGGAGGTCGAGGATGCACGTCTCCAACCTTCAACGTCTCGAGCTATTTACTCTACTTGTACATGGCCGAACCACGAATCTGGGGAAGACGGCTCGAATTACACTTATCTCGGGGTCCCAATCCGACTCTGATGACCGTGGTGCGCAACTCGGCTTGGCCAAACATTGAAGAGGGCCCCTGTGTCCGGACAACGTGACAATCGAACGACCGCCCAACACATGGTACATGAGGACCCTATTCTAGACCCTCCACCGCCACACACACGCGCACACCATACACATCAATTTCTGGCTCGCCTACCGATTATAATAGTAGATGGACGACATCCGCCTCCTTGTCGATACACCGACCGCCTTACATAACACTGCACCACTCCTGGACCAATGCATAATACCCAAACTCGTCCTCATCCGAGTCCACTAATGCCCCTTGTTTCCGTACGACGCCCTTGATCGTGATGCTCTGCTCACCCTGAGCATGCCACCACTGCAGCACCTGCTGCGGCCCCTCCCTCCGCTCACTGTGAATGGTCCACTTGCCTCCGCTGACCTCTACCGTCGTCTGGCTGGTGGGGAAGTGGAATTCAGGCAGGAATATCACCGTAGGTGCTTCTTCGCTGGTTGGGCTGGCTGCCACCAGCCTGAGTTTGAAGCTGCAGTTGGCCAAATCGAATCCGAAAGACGATATGTCTCCATGCACTGCCACCGGCGTGGGTCGGATGAAGGCTTCCGCCGCCCGTAGTCCTTTCACGGCTTCAGCTGTGGATCTGAAACTCATAGTCTCTGCTGCCATGGCCTCGCCCAGGTTTTCGGGGGACACACGTGACCTATCGTCGGAGTGCGACTTGGAGAAGGACGGTGACGATGTGTCAGTCGATGCTCGCGACTCTTCTTCCGAAAAGACGCCCGCTGGCACGACTTTGTCGTCGATCGAGTAGATGGACAAATCTTCGCCGTTCCAGTTGTCGCCCCAATAGTGGTTGTTCTGGAGGCCTAGTCAGTAAAAGCGTCACGACAAACTCGGCAGCGTGCACCAACCGTGACCACATATGTCCACAAGGTGAACCCGTTCGCCATGCTTTCCTCTAACGCAAAGTGATTTGCGTCCAGGGCCGCAATCTGGCTGCTGTAGTTTCCCGTGCGATAAGCCGACTTGTCGTTCATGTCATACGGAATCCCAATCTCCGTGAATACGCAGGGGTGGACGCCCATCTTCTCCCTCCCTTCTTCTCGAATTGCCCTGAGCTGGTCCGCAAAGCACCTTCGTATTGCAGTCTCTCCGATTTTCACGGCAAAGGCTGGGCTCCAATACTTTCCCCGCAACACGCCAAACACATCCACGTTCCATAGCCGGTTCCTTACACGGTTAGTCGTGTCGTCTTTGACAGCACACTTTCCTTACCATTTCTTGGTCATCAAGGTGATGCCATCGTAAAAGTGCGGGGAGAAGACCATGTTCGGATCGTCGTCTTTGGTGTCCTTGATAGAAGGAGGAATCTCCAGTACAGGAGGTTGGATAAACATGAGTGAGTCCGGGAAGAAAGATTTGATCCTGGCGCTGTATTTCCGGTAATGCGGCATGTAGTAGTTGTTGGTGAAGTACTCGTAGTTGATCGGAGCTCCATTCTTGGGATCGATTCCGAAATAGTCTTTCTTCAGCAGAGTGTCGGTCGCGGGATCCCAGACACCGTGCTGCGCCCAGAGACACTCGCCTAGCTTCCAACCTGGGTCACGCTTCCAACCGTACGAGCTGTCGTCATAGTCGGCCTGCAACCACGCGCTCTTTCCTTCAGGGTCGACGAGAACCTCTCCTGTCCGCTTTGGCCCCATTCCACCGAAATCCCATGTGGGAATCTCACAGGCCCTGCCGGACCCGGTGAGGATTGCTTGCCAGGCAGTGGGAGAGGTGCCCTTTTGAAGTTTCTGTTCGGTGGGGATCTTCTCAAGGTCTTGGTTACCAATCAAGCCTCGATTCGGTTCGTTCATGCTTTCCCAGCCCACAATCGGGTCATGCCAGAGGTCACCGGCTTCTTTGATTCGCTTCGCCAGGTGAGCGCAAGCGTTGATGAAGTGGTCCTGCAGGTAGTCCTGTATGTTCTTCCCGTCGATGATGGCCTTGGGAGCAAAATCTCGTCCTGCGAAAAAGAGCGTAAACATGACCTGGCAAGCGAGGCGTGTGTAGTTGGTAGCCCAGATCATCTTCGGGAATTGATCGGGCTCGGAGTACGTGTTGTGGACGAGGGCGGCTTCGGTGATGTTGAAAAACCTGGGGTCCAGCCCGCAGGCATACAAAGTCCACATGGGCGCTCCTGAGCCGCCGGAGAATCGAGACCACTGGCACACTGGTCAGATGCCATATCTACTGTTCTTCGGAATTCCTACTACGTACAACATCCTGATGCGGGTCCATGAATATGTAAAAGCCAAAACGCTTCGCCACCCGCAGGATGGAAATAGTGTGCTGTATCCATGCCTCGTCATACTTGCCCGGGCCTGCATGCTCGATGGCCTCCCATGTGAAGATATATCTGATGGTGTTGTAGCCCCATGATCGCAACCGCGCAAAGTGCGTTGCCGCATCCTCAACGGAGAAAGGGCGGTTCACAAAAGATACTCCGTCGCCGTCAAAGAAACCATCCGCAACATGCGAGGGCTGTGAGGGTGTGGCTGGGAATTTGGCATCGGCAGCGCAGTTGATGCCATGAAGAGTGACCTCACGGTTGTGGGCATCGCGGAAGGTACTACCATCAATACGCAGCCGGAGAGACATGACGTGCTATCAAACGAGAGTAGAGGACAAAGCAAAGAAGAAAATAAATGCAAGCAGACAACTCGTCTGCAGTACGTGCAAGCGGTTGTTGCTGTCAGCGTCGATGCATGACGTCCGAGGTTGAGGTGTTACCGCTGCGTGCTATACTCCTTTGGGTATATACTGGTTGGAGGACCCCGGTCCCTGCCTTGATGAACCACGCCTCCCCGGTGCCTTGGCAATCTGCGATACGACGAGAGGACAACTTTCAGAAACGCAACCTCGACCTGTGTCCGCAGCTTTGCGCCCCCTTCCATATAAAATCCTTTCCTCCCCCCCCAAACATCCCCCGTTGATGACCTAGCTTGCCCATACACTACAACTCGGCCCTCCACGTCGGTTGGCTCGACTCCCCACTCGTTACAGCCGCAACACCATCGCCATCGCCATCGCCATGATTGTCCCGCTGTCCACCTTGGCCCTGGGGCTGCTCTCCGCCGCACCGCTGGCCCACGGGCTCTCCCCCTCTGATATCCCCGCCGATAGACCCGTGTCGCAGCTGATCAAAGACGCAAGCGTCAAGCTTGCCTCCGGAAATACCCAAGAAGCCCTTACCTACTTCGACGTCGCCATCTCGCGCGATCCTCAAAACTACCTCACCTACTTCCGCCGTGGCGCCGCTTATCTATCCTTGGGGAAAGCCGCACAGGCAAAGAGCGATTTTGATAAGGTACTGGAGATCAAGCCCGGTTTTGAGGGCGCATTGGTACAGAGAGCGAAGATTAGGGCGCGCGAGGCCGACTGGGCAGCGGCACGCAAAGACTACGAGGCCGCTGGCAAGACCGAAGAGATAAGGGAACTCGAGGAAGCTCAGGGGGCAGCTGTGCTAGCCAAGGAAGCAGCAGAGAAGGGCGACTGGGACGCTTGCATCACCCACGCCGGAGTGGCCATCCTGGTCGCTGGTGCCGCTTATGACATCCGGAAAACAAGAGCAAAGTGTCGTTTCGAAAAGGGCGATGTCGTAGAAGGCATCGGCGATCTGCAACACCTCTTGCAGATCAACACGGGTGATATCGGTCCTTATCTTCAGAGCTCCGCCATGGCCTTTTACTCCTTGGGTGAAACGGACAAAGGCCTCAAGCACGTTGCACAATGTCTGCAGTCAGATCCGGATTCCAAGAAATGCATGAAGCTGCGGAGACGTGAGAAGAACCTGGATAAGCAGACCAAAAAGCTCAGACAGCTGTTTGAGAAGAAGCAATACGTAGCCTCCGTCAAGATGCTGGTCCCCAAGGGCGACCAGCCAGGCCTCTTGAAGGAGATCAAAGATGGCTTCGAGGAATATGTCAAAGAGGGTTATATCTATCGAAACTCGCCGCAAGGTCTATACTCAAGTTTTGTGGAGATGGCGTGTGAAGCATACAGTGAGGTATGAGGCTCATCAACCGCCCTACTACGTCGCATACTTACCCGAGGTAGATGACCAATAAGGTGGAAAAAGCAACTCCGTACTGCAAGGAAGCGCTACAATACAACCCCAACTCGCTCTACGGCCTTCTCAACCAAGCCCAACGCGAACTGGACGCCGACGACTTCGAAGCCGCTATTCGTACCCTCGACGCTGCAAAGGAGCACCACGGCCACACGAATAAGGTACAAGAAATGCTTCAGAAAGCACATAGTCTTCTTAGGCGCTCCAAGCAGAAAGACTACTACAAGGTCCTCGGTGTTTCCCGTGACGCCGACGAGCGCGACATCAAGAAAGCCTACCGCAAGCTCTCCAAGCTGTACCACCCAGACAAAGCCTCCGCGAACAATCTCACCCCCGAAGAAGCCCAGAAGAAGATGGCTGCCGTCAACGAGGCATACGAGGTCCTCTCCGACCCGGAGCTCAAGCAGCGCTTCGACAACGGCGACGACCCGAACAACCCCCAGCAGCAGCAGAATCCGTTCCAGGGCTCACCGTTCGGCGGGTTTGGCGGCCAAGGGCAGCAGTTCTTCTTCCATCAGGGAGGAGGACAGGGTGGAGGATTCAAGTTCCAGGGATTCCCTGGTGGTGGATTTGGCTTTTAGGAGAGCACCGGGAGAAATGGCGTTCGGGAGGATACAGATGAATAGTGCGCAGGTGCATAGTGCATGCATTGCGGCTGCTTTGAGGTATTCGTGTTTGTGGCATTGCTTGGGCGTTCGTCAAGGTGGGTTTGTATGATATCCTTTTTGCTTAAATGGGAGGGGCGGTAGACTCTCATTAGTAGATGGTTCTGTGGTGTATTGTCACAGTGAATTGTTATATCTATCAGCCAGTTAGGCGAAAAGCTCTCCTGCTTTTAAGGCTCAATGTGATGGTCCCGTTGACCATTTGCAGACTCCGGCTGTCTAATTCAACTTGTCAAGTCACAGTACGTATTCAGAAATGAAGACGGAGAAATGCGTGATTTATCTGAGTGGGGTATCTTTGTATCGTATTCACATATAGTGACTTCTATATCACTTCCCATCTCGGCCCTCTTTCTGCAAGTATTGCCTCAACAACGACTCCGTGCTTTCGGGGTCATCGCGCTCCTCTGAGTCCTTCCAATGGCGATAGAACTCCAACACCACTTCGACAGCAATGAGAGCAATAATCGCCCACTCGAGACGGAGCCCGTGCTTCTCGCTCAGGGTCTCCCGAAGCACACTCGCAATCTCTTGCGCGAAGCCAATCTTCTCGTTCAGTACTCGGATGCGCACGCCGACGTCCAGCGCGCGCCCCACCTGTTCGTAGTACTCGCCCAGACCCAATTCGTGGCGGCTATCCCAGAAGATGTCCGGCAGCGAGTCGGTCAGTTCAGAGTAGAGGTTCAGCTGCGCGCGGATGCTGAGGAGTTCTCCGGTCTTGCGGAGAATAAAGGATCGCGTAAACGGCAGGTTCTTCCTGCCCACAGCGATACTCTCGCCTCTGGCGAGCATGGTCGGGATTTCACGGGTGGATTGCTGGTAGGAACTCAGTAAGCTTTCCAACACGGCGAGCTTCGTGGAGCGGGCAAGGCCAGAAGAGAAGGCGATCTTGGCCAGGACGGTGTCGACCTCGTGGCGCTGGTCTGTCTCTTCAGACCGCGCGTCGGAGGCTTCTGGAATGCTTTCCGCTTCCGCTTTGGTTCCAAGGATGATCGTGTCGCCAATGATTTCGCTGCCTTCTTTGGTGGGGTCCTCCACATACTCCAGGTCTTCTGTTTCCAACAAGTCTAAATGTGAACCTTCCGCCGCTGCTGGTAGGATGCGGTTGACCAGATGCAATGCCTCCCTCTCTCGCACATTCCATGTAACCAGTGTTCCGGAAGGGAAAATGAAGATATCTCCATTTTGGAAATCCTTAACCTCGGAAGGCCGATCACTGGTCTGGATATGAATAACCTGGGGATACAATCCCGTCTGGAAGGGGTCGAGTTCGTATCCCTGGGCCTTGACCAAGTGTGCCACGGTGGAAATGTTGTATTGCTCCGCGGCGCAGTATGCAGTGACCGTCTTCGTCTCCACCTCGGGGTCTACAAAGCGCTTGTTGCCCCTGCCCTTCACGAAGCCTCGCGACCGTTGCGCTTCCACGGCGACCCGTCTCAGTGAGGATGTCTTTGCTGCATTCTTTCTCGAGCGATTCCGTTCTTGCTTTTGCTGTTCCTCCTTTGGTGCCGTTTCGGCCTCAACGTCCACCTTTTGAGTGAAATCTACCTTCTTATATAGGCTTCGATTCGAAGAAAAGTTCCTTGACGGGAGGGATGCGGCGCCTTGATATAGACTGGAAATTGGTGCGCGGCTCCGTTCGGCGGCTGCCCGCGGGCAAGGAGCAAAGCTCCCAGTCAAGCATCTCAATGCATGCGGTCGAAAAACGGTCATCTCCGGCCGGACGGACCTCTCAGCATCGTGCCCGTCGCAAGGTCCAGGCAGTGAATTGTAGCAGAAGTGAACTCATGGTGGTCCCAGAGTTTTGGGAGCCCCATGGCTTCCCGAGGGCTTGGCACCATCGACATCATTGGGCTTGAGCTGCAGCAACACTTCCCCAGCAGTCTCCATCCCAGCTGCACCGTTACCACAGACAGGCGCCTCCTCGTAGACGGCAGCTCATGCATTCAGCATGGCTGCCGAGGCCAACGATGACGAAGCAGCAGCGGCTGCCGCGCGCGACGAGGCCCAGCGCCGCAGACAGGCCACCATCAGTGGGAAGGAGAGCATACAAGAGTCGGAGAGCAACGACGTGGACAGTGAAGACGAGGATGCGGATGAGGAGCCCAAGTTGAAATACACCCGTCTGACTAGTAGCCTGGCCGCTGTATACCGGAATGGCGACGCGACAAGCGCATTCATGGTTGCGGGGGACAAGATGGTATGACACATGCTTCCCCCAAGCTCTGAGAGCTATCCCATGTCGCGTTTCAATGTGCTGAGATGTAGTTAGATTGTGGGCACTCATAATGGTAACATTGTAAGTCGACCTTGGAGCTCCAGCGCCTGTTTTAGGAGCCAGTGTTGACAGATTCAGCACGTTGTGAGTGTGCCCTCCTTTCAAGCGCTCCGAACGTACAATGCGCACAAGTCCGCTTCAGTCACCGCGCTCTCCGTATCACCATTCCCACCATTCCCACCATCGTTGCCCATTCTGCAGCCGCAGTCTCCCAGCCGGAACCAGGAGGGGTCGGATACTCCAACTAGACAGGCACCACCTTCAAGCAATCCTAATGCATCCCCGCGGACTCCACGACAGGCATTGGTGCCCAATATTCCTTCGAATCAGATATACATCGCGTCCGCATCCATAGATGGACACGTTTGCGTTTCCTCCCTGGTGGACAGCAAGGACGTTACGCTACGGAATTTTGCGCGACCACTCCAGGCTGTGGCGCTCTCTCCCGACTACAAGAACGACCGGTCGTACTTGTCTGGAGGCTTGGCTGGTGAGCTGGTATTGACTACTGGAGGCCAAGCGGGAGTCCGGTCCAACGCAAATACAAGTCATGCTGCAGCCACGGCCCAAGGGTGGCTTGGTGCTATAGGGCTAGGAGGCCACACCGGAAGAGACATCATTCTGCATTCAGGAGAAGGTGTAATCAACGCCATCAAGTGGTCTTTGTCAGGCAAGTTTGTGGCATGGGTTAATGAACACGGCATACGTATCATGCGAACCAATCTACACATGCACAGTGCTGATTCAGAGTCGGCCTGGAAGAGGATCGGCTTCATTGAGAAACCCAATCGCCGAATCTGGGAAGAGATGGCCGGCGTGTGGAAGCCACGTCTTGAATGGATTGATGACGAATGGCTAGAGTCGGATGAGGATGAGATCATCAATCTCAATGGGCACCACTCCGTGGAAAAGGCGGACTCGACCCTACCGCATCAAAGGGCGGACAAAACTCAACCTAGCCACAAGGAGGGCAAGAAGGTGAAAGTGGAGAAGTTGATAATCGGATGGGGAGATGCAGCTTGGGTGGTGCACGTTCATCCTGGAGGGACCGGTACTGGCAGGGATGTTGGGGAGAGGTCGGTGGGCAGCGTTGACATCATCCATTTGTAGGTATTTGGAGTCGTCGTTCGATTCTTATTGCAGCTGACAGACCTCTTAGGCTTCGGTTTGACGATTGTATTGTTTCTGGCATTTCGCTCTATACCCCTTCCTTACTCATTGTACTTGCATATCGCACACGCGACGACGACGATAACCCTATCACACCAAACGATGTCACCCCGAGACGGGGGATGCATAGGCGCACAAATGGCTTGACACCCGAACTCAAGCTTATCGATGCAGCGACCTCGGACGAGATTGAGGTGGACTCTCTCACGGTCAGCAGGTATGAGAGCCTCTCAGCAGCAGACTACCACTTGAGCACTTTATATGTGCCACATCCAAAGGCCATGACGCCTGCGCAGAGGAATGCATTGGAAGCAATAGGAGGCGGCATCTGGGATGCTGGTTTGAGCGCTGCACGCATCCTCAGCTCTGGTGCTAGCCTCATCAGTATGCCTAGTGGTGCAGATGTCAGAAGCTCTGCGTCCGTGTCTTCTGCTGGTGCAGCTGCAGCTGGCGCACCGCCGACCCCAAAACGGCAATTGCATCCTCATCCAAACGCTACAACTGCTGGCCTCAAGATCTTCATCCAGAGTCCATACGATTGCGTTCTTGCCGTCAAGCGGGATCTCGGGGATCATTTCCACTGGGAGCTGGAGCACGAGAACTATCAAGAAGCATGGGAGCTTATCGAGGATCATCCCGAAGTTATCGCAAACGCCATCCAGTCCGTCCCAGAAGCATCACCCATGGCTACACCAACGAGAAGAGCAGGCAGTCTACAAGAATTTTTTGCCGATGAGAACGAATCGCAGACTACAATATCAGCAAATCGTGCTAACCAGAACGCAGTTGTGGAGCAGGAAAAGCGTCGCATCGGAGATCTCTGGCTTCAGCAATTAGTCAACGCCGGGAACTGGGCTGAAGCAGGCAAAGTGGCTGGTCGGGTACTAGTGACGGCTGCAAAATGGGAACACTGGGTGTGGATTTTCGCTCAGGCAAATCGTTTCAATGAGATCGCGCCGTATATCCCGACGAAACAGCTGCAGCCTCCGCTCCCTTCCATGGTCTACGAGGTCGTCCTGGGTCACTATCTTTTCCACGACCGAGTGCGGTTCAAACATCTGCTCGAAGAATGGGATCCCGAACTGTTCAATATCGACAGTGTGGTGGCTGCTATCAAGAGCAAGCTATCGGCTGGTGATGTCACTGAGGACTCTGTCGAAGGTAACGAGCAGGGTCGCGATTGGCGGATCCTCCAGGATGCGCTGGCGAAACTGTACCTTGCCGGCGGGCACCAGCGTGAAGCGTTGAGGTGTTTTATTCGGCTTCAGAATGCAGACGCGGCCATGGCGCTCATCCGTGACCTCCACCTGGTGGAAGCTGTTCGAGATGATATCCCGGGATTTATCCTCCTTCGTGTCACGAAAGAGCAGTTGGAATCTGCTTCATTGTCGGAATTGGAGGAAGCGTCGGCCGAGGCTATCCAGGTGCTCGTGGACGAAGGATGTCGCGGCATCGTGCCGGCAGAAGATGTGGTGGCTCAGCTGCAGGGAAGGCACGGCCACTTCCAGCCATTCCTGTTCTTCTACCTTAGAGCTCTATGGAAGCCACAACCCCATGAGCGTCACTTCAAAACTGCCCAGGAACGTGTTGCCGCTGATCGGCTGGCCGCGGATGGTCAACTCATTGCGGAAGCTTTTGCAGATCTCATCGTAGAGCTCTTCGCCGAATATGATCGCTCCCTACTCATGGAGTATCTCCGCAAGTCGCAAAGCTATGATCTTGGGAAGGCTGCTGCCATATGCGAGAGGGAGAACTATATCCCGGAACTAGTGTACGTCTTCTCAGCGGTATCTTTTAACAATCAACTGACGCTCCTCTAGACATATTCTTTCTAAGACCGGTCAGACCAAACGCGCGCTTTACCTCATTATCGAGAAACTTTCAGACGTGTCTGCAGCTATTGCATTTGCGAAAGAGCAAGATGATCCTGACCTCTGGAACGACTTGCTGGAGTACTCCATGGATAAGCCACATTTCATCCGTGGCTTGTTAGAGGAAGTAGGTACGGCCATCGATCCCATCCAACTGGTAAAACGTATCCCGGAAGGTCTAGAAATCGAGGGTCTGCGAGACGGCATTGGACGCATGGTTCGCGAATACGAAATCCAACACTCGATCTCCGAAGGCGTAGCAAAGGTCCTCAGGGGCGAGGTTGCAACCGGCATGGACACTTTGCGAGAGGGTCAGAAACGTGGCGTGAAGTTCGAAATCGTGCCTTGCGAGGAAGACATCTCGGACACCCAGAGTATCAAACGTCATGGCCCGCGTGCAGAAAGAGACAGCGCGCAAGGAGGAAGAGAAATAGATGTGAGAGCAAAAGGCGTGGATGCTCCTACCGCAGCAGCCGCAGCAGCCCGGAAAGGTGACGGAGCGTTCATATCAGCAAGAGCAAATATCTACCCCGATCCTCCTCCTCCTCATCAGGGGTCTGACAGCGAAGCATCACCTGGCCACTGCACCGTCTGCCACCGACCCTTCACGCTTCCCACTGCAGAAGAAGAAGAAGAAGCCTTCCTATCCGAAGATCGAGACCCTGATGCCCCGGTACCTCCATCTCGCGACACTCTCGTTGGATTTGTATGCGGACACGTCTTCCATCTTGCCTGTCTTCTGCCCAAGACGTCGGTGGCCCCTGAAGTGGCGAAGTTGCTGCAAAAGCAATTGGTCAGTGATGTCCAGGAAGATGGATATGGGTACTGGGGACGCAGTGTGGGCGCGAAGGTTGCGCATGCGCATCTGATAAGGAGGGCGGTGGGGAGTGGATGTGTGGTTTGCCGCGCGAGGGAGGAGCGTGGGGATGTCTGACCTGAATGTCGTAGAGGAAGGGAAAGACTTGTAAATAGAGTGCGGTTGGGATTAGGATATGATACCGTTTGGGAACTCGGGTCGGGAATTAGCATTGCATTAGATGCTTGGGTATATGTATGGATGGATGGCATAACCAAGCATGGTAGAATTCTCCGGACCTGTATTGTAGGATATATCTACCGTTCGATATCTTTTGTGTTAGTTAGCATGTCCTACTTAGATCCGCTGATAATGTGGGACGTTCAGATGATAGATGCAATTAGTGATGTATGCGGCTTCTAATGATTTGGTATTCTTGGTTTGGAATGGTTGAGACATCTCTACTTATGCACCTGGGTCTCATCAAATAGTTACTCGACGCCCCTGGCGTCCGCCACTATACTTTCCCATACACCCTCGTAGTCCGGCTGCCCGCCACCATACGTTGCTTCGAAGTTCCCAATAGCCAGGCTGCTCAGGAAATGCCTGACAACCCTATCTAATAACTCCTGCCTCGCCATTTGGGTGATCTCAGCGCCTTCTTCCTTTTCCAGACTGTTTATCAAGGGATCCAGGAACAAACGTCGCTTAAGCTCGGTTGCAGACTGGCTAGTCTGCGGATTCTGTATTTGAGACAGTGAGCCCGCCGAGCGAGAGTGGGTGTGAGTATGCGCCCGATGCGAGGTATGCGTTGAAGTGGAAGATAAGACCTCAGAGACTTCGTCCGCGAGAAAAGGCATATAGTTAACCGATGCGGGCCTGTAGACCGCATCGATAGTATCGCACAAGAAGTGCCACTCGATGAGTTGAAACTCGTCCGGATCAAGTACAACAAGCTGATCCAGCAACTTGCATATCTGTATGATACCCGCATTGTTGTAAGACTCTGCATGCTTGGCGTCCGGTAGCAGCGACGTTAGACCGGATGTCAATTCGGCGTTGATTATTGGCCAGAGAGGAGCGAGATGAACAGATGAGGTCTTAAGGACGATGGCTCGTAGGAGGATGAGCACCTCAGCCCTTGTTATGGAGGAGGGTGACGAAGCCGGAGTGGCCGATAGGAGCTCCACGAGCTTGTCAGCCATCTGCGGGAGGTTCGCTGTAAACGAATCTTCCTGCGCCGCGAGGACAAGTAATGCAATACGCCGTAGAGTCAACTGTGTCTTCCTGTCGGCTTCTTGGCGCGCCGAGGCCGCGCCAACACCGAACATAATTCCTGCTGTGGTCGGAGCTGTGATTCGGGATAGTAGCTCTGGCAAACGCTCCTTATCCGCCTGGCTCCACTGCTCCAGTATAGGAAGCCAGGACGACTTCAGCAACGGCAAAGGTGTGTTGAAGAACCGGGGGTCATTGAACGCATCCGTCACCTCTTTCCTCCAGAATTTGTTGCTTTGAGAGACACGGGCGAGATGGTGAATCAGGTCCAATACGGACTTGGGTACATTCTCTGGAAATCCTTTCGCTCGTAGCGTTGGCCCGATGACGCTTTGTGATATGTTCGTAACAACCGCACTGACACGATCGTTATCGACGAGGATGACAGGCAAATATGGGATGATAGTATTGAGAATTGAAACGACGTCAGCCGCTCGTTTGTGCCCGCTTCCACCATTTGTTGAAGTCGAGGTCTTTTGAGAGACAGCAATCTGAGACGCGTCCTGCAGAAAACCCATTGAACGGGTTGTGAAGACGGCCGTCAGAATCCTCACGAAGATATCCTATTACAGCGTTAGTTGAAACTCAAGCGATAAAACACGGCACCTACTGCTAGCTCTTTCCTCATCTTCCGCTGCTCTCCGAAATTTGTATTGTCCACTTTCCGGCCGATGACAGCTGTGAACTCCAGGAGAGGTGGCAATATTTGCCGGTGCGGTAGAGGATTGGCCAGAACATCCCGCAGGAAAACCGTACAATCGGACCATATCTCGTCCATAGCATCGTCTTCCAACGATTTCGTATAGTCAACAAGGAAGGCAACCAGATCAGTGTCAGCTAGCTCCGAAGTAAGCGTGGATGTGCGATTGGGGTCTAGGGCATTCGGGTTCGTGCGACTGTATACGGCGTTGAAGATGGCTGGGATGGTGTGCTTTGGCTTTGAACCATTGAGAACATTCAGCAAGCCCGTAACCGCAGCCGCTCTCGAGTCATCTCGTGAGAGGCTGGTCCACAGGGCGATCAGAGTCTCCAAGCATTCTAGAGCTTCCGCAGCGAAGAGATGTTCCAAGATACGTCGAGCCCGATTACGCATCCTCAATGACGTGTACGCAAATGAAGCTATCGAGGATCCGTCGGGCCGCCATCCATTCGAACCATATCCTCCCCAGGACCAGATTGTAAAACAAATTCGGACGGTGTCTTGAAAACAGAGCAGTACTGTAAGCCTGCTATTGGCTGTAGGTACCCGTGTCTGAATTGTCTCAGAAGAAAATACTCCAGAGACCATGGTGCCGAAGAAACCTTGAGGGTGTTCAGGCGACTTGTTGGCCGTCGTCTTCGTCTCCTGGATCCGCAGACGTTGATGGGCTGCAGCTAGGAGCTGCTCGAGACCATTGATAAGGTGTATAAGTGTTGACTCCGGCGAGACCCCCGAACCAGGATTAGAGGCGCCAAAGACCCCCTTCAGCTCCTCGAAGGTCGTGTTGATTTGTTTACAAAAGCATTCTACCAGCGGCAGCAAGTTCTGAAATATAGCATCAGAGAAAAGAGGTAGAACTTGCGCAAGGAAGTGGACCCAATCACCCAACACTTGGCGACTCTGCGGAGATGAAAAGCCATACTTAAGGCAATCCACGAGCTGAGGTGGCGGTGGTATGGATTCAGCATCTTCCTCGATGGAAATTCTTTCCACGCTCAGGGACATCCTTGAACGATGACCTTGGTGCTGGCCTGGCTTCTGCTCCTGCTTACTCCGTTCGGTTTCAGGAACCTCTATGCGGATTTTAAGAGCTAGAAGTATTGCATCGAGCAAAAGACTTTGTAACACCGGGGAGGAGAGTCGAATTCTGTCCATTAAGCGCACCTCTAGCTCCATGTCTCGCAGTGATGCTGCGTATGGGCCTCGATAGATTCGCTGGATGATGCGCACCGATGTTTGCGAGAGGTCTTCGTAAATTTGTCTGGCATCGTCCTGGCCACGCCCGAGGGTAAGAGCAGTCAAACACGCTCGGACAATCCATCCTTGCATGGAAGTCCTTTGATCAGGCGTGTCCGACTGTTGGGAAACTGGCTCTTCGGCCAACACAGCCCAGATAAGAGGCGATGGCTCCTTTATGATGTTCAAAATATGCGTTAAGTAGTATAAACACTCCTCTGTATCATTCCTGTCTCGCCGGGATGGCTGTTCCTGAGGGACTCTCGCAGGAGCTAAGCTCTTGTTGTCGCGTAAACATGATAGACTTTGCAGATGAGTGATGAGAATCTCAAATACTTTGTTCAGGGACGGTACGGTCTGTAGCCATGTCCTCATGAAGGAGCTGAGTTCGGTTCCTTCCTTCGCTAGTGAATCCAGAAGGAGGAGTAAAGGACGAGATAGCATAGATGGGAAGTCTTCTGTAAACGAGGACAAGGGATTCGCAATTCCACTTGCCCTCCTAGATATGCTTCCACGCTTTTCTGTCTGTAGGCTCAATTCGTACATGACGTGTGTCCAAAGGAGAGAGAAACGTTGGCCACAATAGAAGGCGTCCAAGCCCGCATCACACTCGGAGCCACTGGCTTCTTGGGATACTATAAAGGCAATCGCGCCTTCCACGATCCGATGAGATGCCGAAATAGCATGTAACTGTAAAATGCATCTGGCAGCCTCGACATGGAACTTTGGCATCACAGGGTCAAGGTGGCGCCAAAGGGCCGATATGAGTGGGTTCAGAATGGTTGGAAGGCGACTTGGCTCGAAGAACGGATGAGATGGTCGTGCCGTCTGTAGTGAGGCAAGTACCGTCGTCATGGACATAAGGTGTTGAAAAGGTGCTGAGTTATCCCGTTGACCAGCGTTTGAGAGGACGCCTTGGAATCTACTCACAAGCTCTGACTCATCAAAGACGTCCAGTCGCCGGGCTTTTAGGATAAGGCTCGCTAAGATCCTGGAAGGGATTTCAGACAGGGTTGGAACCGTGCCGGCGTTGAGAGATTTGAAGAAGATGACCGATGCCTCATGCGTGATAGACTGTCCTATCTCCGCGGCTGTGAAGCGCGCCGGGTAGAACTCCAGGTTGCCTTGTTTATCCTCGTAAAACTCCTTGATTTTCTCCAGAATCCTTTCTCTTGCAAGAAAAGCACGAGTCACGGGGTCACCCGTTTTGACATCAGCGAGAAAAGCCCTGTCCGGCAACTCCTGAACAAGAAAATCCACGATCTGAAATGCTAGATCAATGAGATCTGCTGGAAACGGCTCGCCGGGTGTGGAGCTGTCGTAAAGAAGATTGAGTGTAGATAGTGCCGAAAGTACCATGAGGGGCATGTGGTGGACGAGCATTTCTTCCTCCCTCACATTGAAGCGAGCAAGGATAAATCTGGCTAACTTCAGACGCCGTATAGACTCGTGCGCATCCGTTGAACCGATGTCAAGGGCGGACAAGACCAGATAGACCAGCTTTCCCCATATCAAGCCACTCTCGACGCCGTCAAAGAAGACGCTAGCACTGCGCAAGACCTCGTCCACTTGTTCCTTCGCGGCAACTTCGCTGTATGATTGGATACTCTGCAGTGCAGGAAGAAAGATCTCGGGTACAACAAATCCGCCAATCTCCGCGCGGTCCATGAGAGATAGACAGATACGAAAGGGCCGCGCGCGATCGGAAGGAAGAAGAGTGGGCTTGTGAATCATTTCCATGATATTTCGAGTCAAGGCACGGAGGCCATGCTGGGAGAAGTACGCCGCGTGATACGAAGACATGTCCGTGGCAACACGTTTTTCGTCTGTGGGAGACATAGCTGTATTTGGCGCTTCTGCTCCCATTGCTGGCTCTGGTCCCAGTAGCCATGCCCATAGCCTCCGATTCAAGCTCATATCTCTTCGCGATACCACGCTGACAGCAGCTCCAACCAAGCGCTGTAGATCCCTATGTTCTATTCGTTGTTGCAAAACGGGCGCATCCAACGGGAGGTGAGTGACGAGCATATCCAGAAAGCCTCTTTGAATGAGGGCATGGGCGTCAGTTAACCCCGCTTCAAAGCAGCGAATAAGAAGACCTGGTTCGGGCGTGATTGCTGCTTCAGATTCGATTGACGGTGCGTCGGACGGCTTTGGCAACTCTAATGACGAGAACTCACGGCCACTGGATGCGGAAAATTTGGGCAGACGTCGGACCAGGTAGGCCAACGCGCCTTGCCGCCTTGAAGTATTCGTAATGGTTGCGAGGAAGAAGCACTGCCAAAAGTGCGATGAGCCGGCTTCGCTGTTCAGTCCCACATCATCGTCTGAAGGGTTGCACATCACATTGCGAAGCTTGTCGAGGGCAGCGATAATGCGGTCGAAGTCCTCGCTTGTCTCATCCTCAAGTCCAGGAAGAAGGGAAAGAATTAAGGCTTTCAGAGCGGGACGCAGAGCAGTCCCGTCTAGTCTCAGTATATAGTCCTCCAAAAGAGATAGAAACAAGGGGCGAACGGAGAGGGAGGCGAATGACAGGACGGGCGCCAGGCCTGGAAGGTAGAGTTGGAGATCGCGAGCCAGCGCGTGGAGCTTGGGTCAGTCGTTAGCTCCGAACAGTATACAGGTGCACTATGTCATACTCCTATCCGCGAGAATATGTATCCGTAGACATCAAGGGCCTTCTGATGGACGCCCGAGGGCAGTGTTGGGTTCAGGCATTGCGCTAACCTGAGAGCAACGAGCTCGCTATGTGGAATAGCTGGCACTTCGGTTGGCTGGCCCGACGTCTCAGGTAGGTGTGACTGAAGAGACTAAACCAATACTATAAGCGGGGGCGCTGGAGGCAAGTACAGGAGGTATTGACCTTCAGCAACCGTTGGAGGAAAGATATGTAGTCAGCCCATTCCTGCTGCGCGGCGTCCCACAAGGCAAGCGAACGTTCGACCGCAGTTTCATAGCGGCGGAACCCTTTGTCCTTCCGAAGAGCTGTTACAGTAGCAAGCCTCGGTCAGCTATGATTCAAGCTCTAGGCGCCTATACTACACATACCCTCCTCGGTGTTATGACGCGTCGCACGGGGTGAAGGTGAAGAGCGCCCGGAGCCTGTTGGGGAGAATATCTGCAGGCTCGCAGAAGGGTCAAGAGACATGCTGTGCCGCAGGAGAAAGGGCGCTTCCGTAGGCCGAGTTCTGTACGTAGAACATGCTTGTGCCGTATCGCATCGCTATATACTGTTACTGCCCACCATGAACGGACACCAGGCCGCATCGTCGGAAGCTCGGCGGATCATTTGTTCCGGTGAACTCCGCAGCGCATCACATGCATGTCGTCAGGGTGCCCAGGTGGTAGTGTCTACATTTACGACCCAAACACCACCACACACGGTCATTACTCCATGCATACCGCCCGAATTTGGGAACTCTCCACTCCTTTGTCTCTAGCGGGCATACTTTGCTCGCTATGGATGACGCCTCAATGGTATTTATGTAGCTCACGTAAGGGGAGAGCTACCCTCGGCTGACAGCTCAAGGCACCTCGAGGTCCGCCACACCCGCCACGCATAGTCCAGCAGCGGATCTATACCGCACCTCATCCCAACGAGCCACCGCCTGCATATGATCCGCCTTCATACGAAGAAGCAACCCGATCTTCGTCTGCACCCTTGCTTGTAGGACCCAACCTAGGCTACGGAACATACCAGGCGTACGAAGACCTCGAGGCCAACTCGGTTGCGAGCAGCAATATCGAAGAGAGTACAAGAAGCCTTCCGGAATGGGTGGGACAAGCACTCGTAGTCATTGTGTTCCTGGCCATCATATACATGTTTTGGGAATTCGTCCACGATGCCGATCTCGACAACTACCCCTGATGGCCCTCCTCGAGACTTGACTCCAATATCTCCACCAGATTTCTGCTGGCAATGCGGACACGGTTGCGGGGCGCACGTCTTTCCAGTTCCGGAGAGACCAGAGTAGTGCTTCTCATTGCAGACGCAACGCTGACTGCGATCGTTCCCATCGATTCGCGGTTGGGACGAGAGAGGAGTGCTCCGCCACCAGCCAGTTCGGAGTCACGTGAGCGAAAGCAGCCACATTCCATGGTTTACATTCGAGGCATTCTTCCCCTGCTAAAGCTCCACATGGATATAAGTGGACACTCCAATATAATCCGGATTTCAAAATAATCCGGACGGAGCACGTCAGCGTGCCATTTTGGGTTGAACCACGGGCAGCTCCGACTTCTGGTACAGCCATGTTGTCTTTGGCCATACGTTGCACAATGCTCTGGTGTATTATACCATACATGACTTGGAAGTCCCATCACTGAGAATGAGCGCATCCATATCGCAGGACTTTCGAATAATCTCCATCTTGCAATTCTTTCGCACTAGCGTACCCCGATCCCCGCTCTGCAGTTCGGTTTTAACAGAGTTTTGGCATGAAGAAAGAGATCGAGAGGATGAGCTTGTGAAAGGCAATTCATCCCGCTTCTACAGAGGCAGCTCACTGGGATCAACGGGTTGATTCTACATGATGCTATGCTGCCGGCTCGCTCCGGTCGCAAGACTGTATGTACGAGAGTCCTTGAAAAAATGAAGGGCAAAAAATCGCCCGATAGGAGATTCGAGCTCCTAACCTCGAGATATCTCGCAGCTTGATTACTAAAAGTCTCACGCGCTGACCAACTCTGCCAATCGGGCTTGAGAAAGACAACAATTTCTTGAATTCCTAGCCACCATACAGAAAACCCGCGCCAGGGTTAATGTAGCCTATGATCTTCACGACGTAAAGGAGAAGACTCAAGCTCGCTTCATAAACTAGTCATCGGGGCACAGGCAGCTGGCTTGTAGGGAGGATAATAAAAAGCGTAACCGCTGGAAGAATGACTTGGCCTAATCCAGCCTACAGATATCTAGTCGGCCTAAAAGAGTGGAAATTCTTGTTATAAAATTTCAGTGATCTACGAAGGCACAGCTACACAGTAGACATTTCGTTGTGAGCGCATCCATGTCTGACTGCAGTTGAAAACTGGGGTGCCAAACCCGTCAGCAGCTCCTTCTGGAGATCCTGCCCGTAGTATTACCACTGATTATGCAATACAATACTCCCGTAGTCAACCGGCAAATCGAGTTTAGTTAGTAAAATGGCCCCATTGGCATCCCTTGACGGACGCTTCCTCTCTTCCCACGACTGCCAGCCCCCAATCTCAATACTTTCTCTGGAATGGTTCATCTCCTTCAATCCTGATATAGCGATCAATCGCAGTGGCGCCACAGACCCGTCATCTAGTGAATCCGGCCTCAAGGGAAGGGTTCTGTACTCCTGACCGCTATACCGCGCTGGCGACTCGGAAATCGTGCGTATGTCCATACGGTGATCCACGATGAGTTGTTTATATATTCCGCCCAGACGCTCGTGGTAGAAATCCCACCGACCGATTGGAGCCGGATCTGCACTAAACAACCTAAGCAGAAGAGGTCTAGTGACGACGACATGGTGGAGCAGAGCTGAATGAGAATTTGAAATGACGAGTCAGGCATCAGTGAATTTTTGACTACGGGCTGAAGTGTCGACATCTTGATAGTCTGCCGATGCATGCAGGTGTGCTTTCACCGCTACGCCACCGGCGATCCCTTTTGTAGGATTCCGTAGGGCTGATTTTGCAGATAGAATGCTTGCCGATCAAGAGAGAATTGAACCCCGTGTTTCCATCCATTGGTAGATTACGTACCCGCCATGGCAGATGCGGATAATCATATGGGAATCAAAGGGTTGGCACTTCTTTCCGGCGTCTCTCTGTCGTAGTCCATGTTCAGATTTGCCGCCGTCGTCAGACGTGGACTTAACATTATTACGCCGAATGGAGAGCGACAGTAATCATATTAATAGAGAGAATACACTTTTGACGTTTCGTCTTTTGAGAAATTTAGAGGTCCTCCTCGATGGAAGTTGGAGATACGGCCGTTCGAAGTGCGAGAGGAACACTGAAACGTTGTTCCTCCACCCATCCAGCTGCCGTTCGAGATGATGGTACCGAGTCATTACCTCTGTCTCATCTGACGTTGAACGTATAAGCCCGAGATGAACCGTGAGGTATGTGCAATGGGGCGACCATTTGCCCGTTAGAGAAGTACCATCCAGCTGGATGGATTCACGCATTATCTCAAGAACGCGGTATGTCGACTACATTTGTAGCCCCGCAACGGCCCTCAAGAATTACTCCGTTGGTATACTGTAGCTGCCGAAGTCCACGTGTCAGGGTTCCTTAGTAGGCCCCGGATGTTTTGAACAGCTGGATGCAATGCCCGTGGCTGCTTTGTATGGGATCCTTGACCTGATTAGTGGATAGCTATGTCTATGGCAACCCACTCCACAGCGGCATAATTATAAACCATGCTTACATCTCATCCCTGGCGCAGTCCGGCTAGCGGAGCCGACAATGTACTCAAGCTCCTTCTTGGCGTGACCTTCGCATCATGCGATGTTTGCAGCGTGCCAAAAACCGGCAAGATGCGTCAAATGTAGTCAAGTCATCTGTAGAAACGGTCAGCTATTGCGACATTGAGACGATGGGCTCCGTTGGCGCATTTCAAATCATCTGTGTTGTTAGACATAGATCGTCTCCGCCATCTGCAGCCTGTCAGCCTTGTGGCATGTGTGCGTAATAATAAGGCCTCCCACTAACCGCGGAAGTTTCAGACTAAGGGGTCGCCCTGGATAGTTGACTCGGTACCTCCAAAAACAGGCGGTCAGATACATCCCATCGACTAACCGAGCTGAGGATTGCCACCGTTGCAAAACATCGACGTTTCAAACGGCCGGAAGCGTAACTTGTCGTGGGAACGGTTTGGGGTTGCAACAAATGCGAGAGATGAATGTGAAAGAGACTTCAACAGAGAGAAGAAATTGTGCGAGTGGAAGTCGTATTCGCATTATCGCACCTTTGAAAAAGGTCGTCTATATGCAAAGTAGCTCAGGCATATCCCTATCAGAATTGGCCCGCCCGGTAACGCCGCAATCGTGCAGAGTGACCAGACTCATGTCATTCATATTGCGGCGCTTCTGGTCATAAGCCAGAAAGGCGGTTGTATTATTGACTCGAACGAAGGTGAACGCTGGACGAAAAGTTGAAGAACCGACGGTTGGGAGGCAGAATCACTATCAGTGTGGCCCCGAACCTAGTTGCTATCGGTGTACCTTCTGATGGATGCGTTTTACATGATCCCTCTGTGTACATTCAGAATCAACATGGCAAGGTGGGAGCAGGGCGCATACCATGTTGTCCACTCTGCTGAACACTCTATCGCAGCCCTCCCATTCACAAAGGACACCTGGGTTGTGGCGTGCTTCATGTCTTTGCAGGTCTTTCTTGCTAGAAAACCCACCACCAGTGGATTGCGGGCAGCCCTCGTAGTGACAAAAGAACGACTTTGTATGTCTCTTGTGGTGTTTTCTAAGATCACAGCCTCTCGAAAAGACCGCCTTTGAAGTGCAACCCGGATAGGCGCAACTCCAAGTCCCGTTCTTGTTCGGTATCCCGTATGCTCGAAGATCTGGCGAGCCTGGAGAAACGGATCGTGAAGGAGAAGAACGACTACTCCTGGGAACCTCTAGTCCCCCTGCAGAAGAAGCCGAAAGTGATCTTGACACCCGCGTTGGGGTGACGGAATGCGATTGGAAACCAATTTCAGGGCTCAGTGTCTGACCTGAATGCGCGCTCGACAGAGGATAAGTCGCAAAGGACGCATCTCTTTGCGGGATTGTCAGGGCTTGGGAACCCTGGGAAGTCCAGTACGATTGTGCAGGATATGAAGACATCATCATGGGTCTGTATTCTTGCGGTCGTGTATATACTGGTCCAACGCTGAATTGAGCTAAACCGGACCCATGTGCGTGTTGTTGGAGTGGTGGTGAATATATGATACTGGGAGGCGTCTGACAGTTGCTGGACGGAAAAGTATAGCCATATCCGCCATCTTGCTCGAAGAATGCGAGTTCTGCATCTGAAGGCAGGAAGTTTGTCATGTTGAGTGTAATGGTGGCAGTCAGACGGCAGAGTCGGGTGGTCGAGTGAAGGGAACTGCTCTCGGGGCATACACCTGGGTGTCAGAATGGAGTCTGCGAGCGGTCAATGTGTCGAGGACTACGGAGTTACAGTGCAGATAGTAACCTTTATCGACTGGGCGATAGCAAACCAAAGCTAGTCAACCGCTAATGGGTGTGTTCGGTAGTCGAGCCAGGGTGGATATGTATAGGTTAAGGTTGAGCACAGGGATCCACTTTAGTAGGTCTAGCAAAGGCTTGGTGCCCGGAACCCTCGCTGCGGCCCCCTCGCGGTGGCGGAGTATTAGATGAGTAGGTATGCTCGTTGCTGCGAGGATAGGTGATTGGTTTGTGGAGGAGGCAGTAGAGTGCCCGGTTATATTAGGAGGGAGTGGATGAAGCTCGATTGACTTTGGACCCGTCTGCTAAGAATGGAGGCACAGCAGCTCAAGGATGGTCCTTTCACTTCGTGCTTGGGCTGTTGTGAGAGTTGTTGCCGCTCTCTTGCTTGGGAGTTGCGGCCATCCATGCCCAATTGACCAGAAGCGTGTGAGTAATGCGAGGTCAGTCTACACAACCTTATCCCTGATTACGGCACCTATCCTTTGGCCAACGTGTGCAGATGAACGAGCCCTTTCGAACTGAACGTTGGAGGTACAGGTCCCGCTGCGATGATCGCGAAGAGAGCTGTGATAATAGCTATCGACGAGATCCCGATGCCTGGCTTGCTGTGATCCTCGTCAACCTAATGTGAGAGTGTCCTTGACTTCTTGGGATGATCGCTAGCAAAATTGGTTGGAGAAAACATTCCCGGATGCCATAGGGCCATTCGCGCATCCCACACTGAAGGGCTGAGATTCTGAGCGGTTGAATACATGACGCGAAACAGCCATATCCCTCCATTTTCAACAAGGTCCCGGAGTGCTCTGATTAGCTACGGAAACTCCATAAGTAGCTGTTTTGAGTGAGACGACAGTTTGAAATAAGCCCACGGTTGGGTCTCAAGTATTTGCGCGCCGCACGGTGCGTGTGAGACGGCATGCGGCATCCGGGCGAAAAAGGACCCGGGGTGCAGTCAACGGCGGCTCGCTGTCTCTGCAGTTGTCGGTGAGCTTTAGGCTTACCGCCGCAGTCAAGGTCCGCTACTGTCGGGATGGTTGGCATGCGATTGAGGCGCATTTACGCCCAGAACAATGCAACGGGGCGTCGCAACATGCAGTCGGCAGAAGCTGTGTGACAATCCAGTGTTGGAAGCATCCCAGTTATTGGTGATGAGAGGCTCCGCTTATTTACCTAATTCCTGACTCAGACTCATCTCCAATGAAAGAAACAGCAGAGAGGGTACGGTTCATCAAGACAGTCATAGTTTGACTCTTCTTCAGGTGTGAGGAGCTTTTGGCATCAGACAACGGGGTCTTCGCCTCCTGAATTTGTTTTTTAGATTCAATTATCGCTGCCGGGTGCACTTAGCGCTCCACTTCGTCGCCTTGCAAATCAAATCCCTTGCTAGAGTACCTGGAGGACCCTACACAGTATATCGCAGTTTGAAATAGCGTCTCTCAACAATGTGCGCAGGAAGCTTAAGGGCGAGGGTGAAATGCAACATGGGGACTCGGGACTGAGAAACACCTGGGCAGCACCCTTGGAGGCGTCATGGAACACTCCAACTAGTCATGACGGGCTTGAAAAGAGGAATGGAAGAAAGACCAAGAGGCAAAGTTGCCTCGAGTGGTTTTGACACGGTGAGGGAGGTTCGTTGATTACTAACTGCAGCTCGCTCCTTCCTCAGAACATCCACACCGGTGAGATAATCCGATCCGCAAACATTCTTTTGACGTCTAAGTCCAATTTCAGTCGAATCATCCTTTTGGAATACTGTTACAGTTCCCGCGTCCTATGTCAACAACGCCCTCTTTCCATAGCGCGATGATCGTGACGGTGTCCACCCTCCAATTCACTGGCCGGCATTTCCCGCATCCGACCGGAAGGACTGTGTTGGTCTCCGTTTTGAATCAAATACAGTCGCTACTTTCGATCTTCCTCCGTACTGTATTCAACTGCTTATCATCGGCAACTGTACGCCTTCATCGCCATTGGTCAGTGCAATCCTCCAACCCTTGACAAGTTGTGAATCAATAGAGCCAGGTCTATGACCTGGACTGCATCATACGAGATAGTCTCTTTTTGATCGAGGCTTGATAATAATACTAAATGAACAGGGCAGAAGCATCACTCGTTTGGTCCCCATCTCTTGGGTCTGAGCGATCGAGTGCGGCACGGTTGTTGGAACAAGTCTCCCCATGGCTCAATCAACTTCGAATCCAAGCGAGCGTTCATCACTGGGATACCGTCACCCCAATCGTAACCCGCCATGCACGCGTCAGGGGAACACCGTAAACGCACCCAAGCAAATTTCAGTGACCATCATGCACGAGGATCCAATTGCGGTGTACACTACATATGCTCCTCATTCCCTAGGTGCCCTATGATCCTCGTAACCCCATGCATCCTTTCGTTGTGTGCCACTTACTCGCAGGATTGAAGGTTACTTCCTGAGAATCTACATTTCAAAGGGCTTTGCCGCAGCGCACAACATCCCCACCAACTTACATGCCTGCGGTTGGAGCATCATGTGCCGCTCTCACACGCCTTGCGCCGTAGCCGCCAGCTGTTGAGGGTGTAGAACTAGCACAACGTTGAGTTCACGGACGCCAACTGAGCACTGAAGCGGCGTGGAATCATCCTCTGATCAATCCAACTGTTGGGCCATCCCGGAAACATTCAGTTCCGGACGTAATCGGTGAGCTCTACCTGTTGTTGTTTTGTCCAACGGTAGACCGACTGGCGAGACTGATTGCTACGTGGCGCCCATTCACTGCTAATGTTCATGCCAGGATACTGTAGCCGGGCTTTTCGAGGCCTATCTGTTTTGGATCCTCAGGTCTGCCAGTTTCGCGTGATTAGTTACGTCTAGACCATGTCCTTGGGATATAGGTACTAGAATCTCAACGTCTTGAAGGGTTTTGTTCGATTGCGTCAATCTCACAGGCACCGGAGTAATATCACAATGAAGAAGCTCATAATGGCCACTCGGATTCCGAGGATTTTTTTGGAATAGGAGACGAATACAATGGGTTAAACTAGGCGAGGATATCATCTGAACGAGCCCATGTACCAGAATTTGCCGGAAACGCTTTGCCGTTCCTTAGAGTCCGTTAACTCCAATAGAGGTGAGATTTCCATTCCATCCGAAACACCCAACGCCAAATCCCAATTCCATGCCACTTTTTAGTGCAGTGGCACGTCATGCACCGACATACCACAATTCAACGCCCAGTACCTCGAACTTGGTGCCCTCATCGCTGAGTGGCTCATTCCCGAAGGTGGGACAAGCGCTTGAAACGCCGTTCTCGAGATTATCGTCGAGCCAGAGGCCGTAATGGCCATCCCTGAATCTGTCAGCTCCAATCTTGTCCAACTCATACTAATACTCTTACCCCCCGCCAATGCTGAGATAGCTCTGCTCACAGAAAATCATATAATCATTGATGCCGCTGTAGGGGAACGCCTTGAATCTTATTCGCTCGGGGGTATTCGTGCCACTGTGGCTGCCTTGTCCCGATGCAGGCGGGCTTAATGTATGCGACGGCTGTGAAGCCGATATTGTGGTCATGCGAGGCGCATTTGTGGTATCGGCGCTCGGTGGAAGGGGTAAGGACAGCGCGTCTGGGAGTTGGAGTAGGACGGAGGCGCGCCAGAGAAAGCATTCGCCGTTGCCGTAGAAATGGGGTGAGGGATGGGGAGGGTCACTGAGGTATGCTCCAAACACCTGTATGTCGAAGCGAAGAATCATCAGTACTGTCACCGAAGACGATAACTTGAAGTATAGCACTTACACCCCCGGATCCATCCCGCACCACCAATACAAACCCTCCCCGCTTCCCACGATACTCATCCGCCTTCTCATACAGCGTCGCCAGGCTGACCCCGTTCTGCTCAAGACTATAAGCCAACTGCCACTCATCCACCAGCTGCAAACGCGGCGGCATGAGTAACCGTATCTCCTCCGCCAGGGCCTTGGTTAATAACCTCGCCGACGCCTGTGTACTCGCGCCCCAGCCCTTCAATGACAGCGGACTCAAAGGCGGTGGTTGAAACGGGCTCAATTTCCGCTGCGGTGGGTTATACACCCCGTCCATACTGTCCACACTCTGCACACTCTGGTTGAGACTCGTTTGGCCCGACGCAGGTCGCTTCTCTTTGTTGACCGGCTCGCTGGAGATGCGGCGGAGAAGACCGGAGACAGCATACGATACTGGAAATGTGAAATAATTCGAAGAGCGGGTTGAGGGTGAAGGCGAGGAGGTTGAGGAGGATCGGGAGGCGGCTGTGCTCGGCATGGATGCGGAATTCCAGTTCCGGATCGGCAACGTGGATGAGTGAGTGTTGGGGTTTGCAGGTGGATGAGTGGTGACGTTGCTGGTTAGGGCTGCCGATGCAAGTTGGCTGACATGTCTGAACCCAGCGCTTTATGGCGACTGCGAGACCGAGAGGGAGAGGTCGAGTTTCGATGTCCAGGTGAACACTCGTCCTGAGGTTGATGAATTGGACTGAGGGTTGAGAGTGACTGTGTTTTCCCTTTCCGAGCTGCTCAGGTACGTGGTGGTGCTTCCCCGCCACCATCGTTCGCGCACCCCAGAAGCTTGTTTTACGCTAGCTATTTTAGGCACAAATTGTGTAAGGTAGTAAGTAGTAAAGCTCCACAAGTGAACACACCTGTATGATAACGAGTGTTCCGACTGTTGCTTAGCCCGATTCATTTATACTGAACAACAGATAAGAGCAAGGAGCCACTTCAACTGCTTGCTTACCGAATCAGTTTGACAACTCTTTGAAGCAACATTACCCTAATGCATTCATTGAACTGGTCAAAGACCAATTTCAGAAACGCCTACTGTAGTAGTAGGAACATGAAGGAACTAATGCAGCTCTTTTCCGAGCAACACAAACATAGGATATTATGCTCTACAACATACAGATTCTCAACAGCAAGCCATTCACCTACAGTGCTCGTTCCCGCTCAGCTCTTAGCAACAAGCTCCGTCAACCGTCCCCAGCTCTCAGGCGACCAAGGGGCAAGCACAATCGCCCTTTGCGCGTCCGTCGCCGCGCCAGTCCCAGCAAATGCGCTTGCCAGACCTTCTGCACTCAGATTTCCATTAGGCGGCACACTCCTACTGGCCGTCTCCCGCGTGACTACAGCCGGGAAGCCGTGCCCCGTGGCATCAGAAAGATCCTGCCAGGCAGCATATTTCCACGGTGCCATGACTATGGAGCGTTTCAACTCATTGGTAGCTTCGAGCTCGCCACCCAACAGCAATGCGATGGCCTCGCATACCTTTTCGACACGGAGTAGTTGGGAGTCGTCGAGTGATTTGTCAGTGCGCAAGGACTGCAGATCATCTACCACAGCAGCAGCCGTCTCTGCATCTGCGTCCAGAACGGCGATGGCTCCCAGTAGAGTAAGGATACCAACATGCCGTTCGTGCTTTTCTATTGCGGCAAATAGCTGCTCTCTTGCAACCTCCTTCTCGTCAGTTCCGCCTTTGGCCCACAGGACCTCTGCGAGGAGGCATATGATATCGGGATCTGAACCAGTTTCTTCCAGAGAGGTCCGGAAGTAGGTCAAACTTGCTTCCAGGTCCGAACGATTGAAATGCGCAAGACCTGCTGTCAGACGGGCCGAAAGACGTATACGATTTAATGCATCTGTGGACAAGACAGAGATGTCTTCGAAGTCAGTCAGGAGATCAAGGGCCGTCTCCGCCTCTTCAACTGCAGCTTGGAACTCGTGTGTGGCCAGCAAATTGCGTGCCAGGTCTGCCTTGGCCTGTGCATACCGTGCCAGAGATGACGTAGACTCGGACGTCTCGTAATCCTGTTCAGCAGCTTCGCAGATGCTCGTGAGCGCTTTGATTGCGGCGTCGTGGCTGCCGATTCTCTCCATGAAGAGGGCAGCCAAATGTTTGTGAGGCATATCGTGGGGAGCTTGGAAACAGAGCTGATTGAGGGCGAATAGAGGTTGCACCAAGTGGGTAATGTTGTTGGACGCTGCTGGTGACGAGGCCAGATGGTCAAAGGTAGACAGCGCGTACTGTCGCTTCGTAAGCAGTGTGGACGACTCCGCTAGTTCAAAAGCGTGCGTAAAATGGGAGAGCGCCTCGCTGGAATCCCCGTAGAGCAAAGCGATGATACCTTCGCCCACCCATGCTAGAGCGTAATCGGGGTCGGTGGACTGAGCCCGTGAAAACGCCAAATGTGCCAGTTCTTGATCGTTTTGTAGCAGATACAATGTGCCCAAATTGGTCCAGGTACGGGCACTGTGCTCGTTGAGGCTGAGGGACCGTACAAAGCTGTGCTGTGCAACTTTGGGATTTAACGTTGTTGTGATGACCCCCATGGAGTTCCAGAACTCGGAGTTTCCAGCTTCAAGTTCGATGGCGCGCTTGAAGCATTTCATGGCTGCTCGCAGGTGTATAGATAGGCCAGGATCCTCCTGCTCCTGCTCGAGGCATACGTGGGTGCGGTACTCAGTCCATCCTAGGTTGTACCAGGCCACAGCTTGGGCGTAAACGTCTCCAGCACATGACACTATGGCCCGCTTTTGGGCCAATATGGAAGCATACAGAGCTTTTGGCAGCAACCCTCTCACTCCCTCAGTCGAAGACACCAACGTGGCCAACTTATCGGAGCCGACGCCGTCCAGATCATTGTGGCTGTCGTAATCAATCGGAGTGACCCCCTCAGAGGGCCTGCTCAAAAGATCTTTGACTTTCTGTTGTGGGAGCTCGGGCAGCTTCTCTTGTACCCAGGTAAAAACTGCAACAGCGTCTCCGACGGCCTTCCACAGATTGAAGGCACCAGGCTTGACATCGGCGGTCTGAGATGCGACATCGATAGCTTTGCATGCCGTACTAGCAGCTTCTCCAAAGAATCCTGTGTCGATGCATCGCCACGCTTTCTCGACCAATGCCTGGAGAAGAGCAATAAGGACGCCAAACTCCCCTGGACGTTGTTTCAAGACCTCCTCATAGCCGCCAATGGCCTCGTTGAACTCGCTAAGCTCGCGATGAACGTTCGCTAACATGTACTTGGTGAACCAACTGTCTGCATCCGCTTTCCTCATGACTACGCCATCAGTAGGATTTTCAGCGTAGTTGAACGCGCGAGCTGCGGAATTATATCGTCCGGAGTTGTGGTAGCTTTCACCAAGACCGACATAAGAATGATAATCATCCGGACTGATTCGGAGTGCTGAGAGAAACATGACGATACTTTGCTGGAAGTTCAGCTTATTCATGTTCACCACACCAAGGGCGGAGAATGGCCAACTGGCACCCTGTTTCGTGGACCCTGGGGCAGCACGAGCTTTTCCTGAATCGACCACTCGTTGGGCGATCACCTCGACGATGTCCCATTCGCCTTGGTCGGCGAAGTATCGAGCTAGGCGTTCGGCGGCAAGCAGCTCGGAAGGAGACAGCTCAAAAGCTTTCTGGAAGCATTGTCGTGCTCTCTTGCGGTCGTGGTTATAGTCCTCGTAGAAAATACCCAGCTTCGTGTATGCAGGGGCAAAGTTGGGATCTGCCTTGATCGCAGCGAGAAATTTAGCATACGCACCCTGCCGGTTCTTACGTGCGGCTTTCGATGCGTCTAGTTCCCAAATGCATACACCAATGCGGTACAATGTCTGAGCGCGTAACTCTCTCCCTCGTGGTTTGGAAGCATCCATCTGGGGATATTCAAGGTATTCCTGCAATCGGTCCAATGCCGTCTTGTAGTTCCCGTTGAGCCCCTGGCACCACGCGGATTCAGCGCCGATGCGTCCATTCTCCGGATCCTGTTTCAAGGCTTTCTCCAAGAAGTCGACTGCTTGCGCATATTCCTCCTCTTCCTCCAGGATGAGCCCTATCCCAATGAGCGCTGGGGTAAACTGGGGCTTCCGTTTCAAGATGGACTGGAAAATCTCTTTGGCTTCCGCATGATGCCTGGGAGTCTGGTAATACACCAAGGCGGTGGCCAAAGTGCTGTTTAGTGCATCTTGGATCCTGATCAAGTCAGTTCTGCTCAATTTATGTTTAATACTTTTACCCACCCTTTCAAGGGAAGACCAGACTTTCTCGCTTCTGTTGCTGCAAGCTTTAATCCTTGTCTGCTAAGCTCTACGGCGCTCTCGTACTCCTCCAGTGAGAGCCAATAGTCGGCTAGAAGGCAGTGAGCTAATGGGGATTTCTTCGCCTCCTCCAAGCCTTCCTTCATAGAGTTCAGTCAAATGCCGGTTCAGTGTGAGATATATATACTCACTGTCATCAATAGTAAGCAGTCTTGCTGCGAGCGAGGCGCATCTTGAACGGCATGAGGTGTCAAGGCAACTCCGCCTTCGCTGAGATCTGGAACTTCGTCCGAGAGCGGGTACTTGGATACGCCACTGCTCAAGTAGCCCGTTATAACCTTTGAAAGCCCGTCCTCCGGAAAAAGCTCAACGAAAAGCCTCAACGTGTGGATGTCAAGGTCGAGCAGGTCGTGCGCGCTGTCGGCGTGGGACGCCATGTTCTCGAATTTATCAAGAGAGGAACCAGTCGAAGTGCTCCGCAACGACGACCTCTATTTTTGAGGCCCCAAGGAGGGTGATTGGGAAGCAAACCGCGATGCCAAAAGCCTGCGAGTAAAGTTGTGAAAGGTCCACGGGTTCGTGTTTGGAGTTGGATCTTTATCGATAAAGCTAAGGTACAGGCTTTTTGGTGGGGCAGCCAACCCCCAGAAACTCTCACACCTCAACATGGAAACACCACTACATGGCACATTCATAAGCAACAGCGCGTGATGAGGAGGCACCTTGGAGTTACCATCGTTTAACCACCAATCGTACGCTATCATGTCCTCGAAGGAAGCGAAAGCCGCTCTCAAGGCCGCGAAATCTGCCATCGAAGCGAAGCAGTGGGATGAAGCCATCAACAATGCTTCCACCGCGCTGGAGCACGACTCAAGAAATTACTTCGCGAAGTTATATCTAGGTAGAGCCTACGATGGTCTCGGGAAGTTCGAGCAATCAGCCCAGGTGTATAAGGAGGCGACGCAACTACGACCAGACGATCCACAAGCATGGCTGGGACTAAGGCTTATCTACGAGAAGCAGGGTCCCAAAAAAGTTGACGAGAACACGCGTGTGGGTTCGAAGCTTGCCGAGATATACGCTGCCGCAGACGACGCACACAAAGCGCAAACAGCCATCAATAAGGTAGTTGACTTTGCCCGGAAACATGGTAATCCACGGCAATACGTTCGCGCGCTGGCTACCCAGCTCCCCACCTCTTCGGTATATTCATTCCTCGAAGGCCGATTGCCCAATCCGTCATTGACGTATATGCGCATGGCTGAGACACTGGAGGCCGAAGAAGGCAAGACGATCAAGAAACTCATCGAAGAGCGCAAGACGCGGCTAGGTGCAACCCTCGAGAGCACGACGGCAGAAGTCAAGCTGGAGGTGTTTGAGCATAGCGAACTAGAGCATATATACGAGCAGTTCATCGACTGGACGGATGACGATGAGAAGCGGCGGGAGTACGAGGAAAAGTTACTACAAAGGGCATACGATCACTTGCTGGTACTGCCGCCAGGGAAGAAGACGAAGAAGAGGAAGAAAGTGATGAAGTTGGCGCACGACATGGTCATTATCAAATACCCTTCTAGGTTGGCGTTCACGATCGAGCTGGAGTGGAGATCTTCCGGAGATCAAGAGGATGTTTAGCTCTTTGTTGCACGCTTGTAACAGCGACGGCGTTCTGGATAGGCTCTCATGGACTCGGGCTCCATTGGTTTAGATTCATTGTCCATTCATTGGGTATCAAGAGGTAGTTTTGGGAGAATATCATCATCCGCCGGACTGGCAGACCCTGGGCGTCATGGCACTACATCTTCCGCATCCCATGTGTGCTCACATTCTCTCATGCGCGTCCAAGCTCATGCATTCGCAGCATCCACGACCCGCGCTCTCTCCTCCGCCGAAAAGCAGCTCAAACCCTGTTTCAGTGCATGCACCAGCATCGGAACACTTCTAATTGTGAAATCGTTGGCCTTGCGCACTTGGTCCAGGTCATCTGCAACCTCGGCAGTTATTTTGCGCAGGTAGATAGACCTGAAGTCCTCGGCTGCCCTCTGCGGTTTCGATTCGGTCGTTGCGTTCGCTACCACTCGAGTGTTCTGGCCGTGGGTCGATGTCCCAGCGCCTGTCGTGGCAACATCTTCGTTTGCCACGCCATTGGGTATGTTTGAGTGTTTGTTCCGCGTCGTTTTGGGCGATAAAATATCGCTCTCGCTCTCGCTCGAAGAGGAGACTAGTCGTTGGGTTAGCACTGATCCTGTATGGGTCAAATTGGGACAAGCCTTCTGTCCTTGACGGCTTCTTCTTCCTAGATTTCTTGCGCTTCAGCGCGGGATCTTTTTCAGGACCCGCCATACTAATGTTAGTATGTTTTGGGAACCTGGAGATGTTCTTCAATTGAAAATTGATCAGACATGGATTCCAGCCTTGGAAGAGGTTACCTATCTTATCAGCACGTGACAATCCACGAATTTAGGGTTAGCGTCACTTGATGACCTCGGACCTCAAGTGGTCAACCTTTCACGTTGAGCGGAATGGACAACATCCATGGATCCACCATAAGGCTTGTGGTGGGCCTGCTGTCGAGATCACGCCTCGATTATATTGTGAACTAGAAAGCTGGGAGCATTTGCTGTGTTCGATCTTGAGCAAGTGACCTTCCACCTGTCTGGAATGGCCCATGTGTTGCAAGCTAGCTTTTGCTGATATATCTTTGCATTGGGGTCAAGTTGATCTGAGATGAGTTTTTTCTCGATATGTTCGGACTGAGTTGAAGGGCAAGTACACGCCCAATATGGTTCTGCGTTCTTGGGACATACTTCTTGCTAGTGTTGTAAAGGGAGTACGTTCAAGAGACTGCTCTGTTTGACCGAAGTAGGGAATTTTGAGCAACTATAGGGCAGGTCGGGGTGGTATCTAATAAACGCATTCCAAGGGTTGCCCGAAAATGCACAGGTGAGGAGACGCGCTAAATAATAAGACGCGCTGGCACGTTCTCCAGTGACCACTACAGGTTTCTGACCCTGAGAAACCCGGATGCTTCTCGCTCCCACACCACCATCATTGACCCGTTGCAAATTCTAATAAACACACAGCTTCTATCGCTATACTCTTGTATTTTATTTTCTGTCGTAGAAATGGCCACTTCGAAATTGTTCAGGCGCGCTCCATGTCCGCGGCTTTCCCATGACCCTATGTTGGCCCCTTCCCAAAAGGGGCGAAGCGCGCAGTCTCACCTCCTCAGGAGAGACATCAAATGCCGGCTCATCTCTTTCTGCTAACAATGCAGAAGGATAATTTGTAATCGATCCAACATGGTGTTGTACAAAGTCGCGAGCGTCATCACCGGAACCGCTTCTGATGCGTCCAAAGCCGATGAAGGTGCCTCCCTCACAACGGTCCTCGAAACTCCCGCCCTCCGTATAGAACTCGCGCTTCTCATACTCCTATGTACCGATTCTATGAGACACGAGCTGCGCGCCACCTTTGACCCCGATCAGACTCACGAGCCGAAGACGTCCAACACAGCTTCTCCTCCACCGTCGCGAAGTCCGGTGCACGACCTGATAAGCTTCGATGGGCCGCAAGATGAGACATCGCTCGTCGCGGAAAGGGGAAGGAGCCGGCGCCAGAACGAGACTGAACGTCCGGAGATGCAAGCTTTACGCCGGAGTGCTCTCACGTTCTTCGATAAGTGGCGTGCCGGCGTCCTCAATCGGGTCTGCGAAGTCCTCTGCTTGCGGAGCGAGGTAGTAAAACAAGCAAAGATGAGGAGAGCGCGGGATAGGGAGAACGCCCAGAGGACGAAAGAAGGTACGGCGCTGCTGATTGATCTTGGTATTGATCCTTTCGCCAATTTCACCTCCGCCAACAAACATGACGAGAAGTCTGGGTTCTATGAGCGCATCGACAACAAAATAGCCGGTCTAGAGAAGGAGAAACGGATACTGATACTTCACTGCATTTTGCTTCTCCTTCTAAGCTTGTTGGATTATCCTGCCCATTCGCGCATTCTGCTCCTCCGTTTGGCTTGCAGTTTGGGGATTGAACTTGATACTGTTGCCGAACATGAAAAATCGGTTGCTCAGGGACTCCTCGCAACCGTTGCCTCTCGAATGGATGCGGAAGAAGCTGCTAAGAAGCAAGCCTCACAGGACTCGGCCACGAATAAGTGGAAAATCGGGCTTGCTGCTGTAGGCGGAGCTGTGCTTATCGGTGTCACTGGAGGTCTTGCTGCGCCACTGCTGGCTGCCGGCGTTGGCACTGTGATGGGCGGTTTAGGCCTCGGCGCCATATCCGGCCTATTAGGCACGCTTGCCGGAAGCTCTGTGCTCGTGGGGTCACTGTTCGGAGCCTATGGTGGGAAGATGACGGGGAGGTTGATGAAGCAGTATGCCCGCGAAGTGGATGACTTTGAATTCATCCCGATTCAAGGTATATATACTCCAAGCTTGATAGCTTCCTCTGCTGACTTTCTGCAGATCCGAGCCGTCCATCTGTACAGGGTGCCAGCGAGTGGTCAGACGAGGATGAGGCTCGCGACCCCGCGAAGAGGGAGCAGCATAGGCTCAGAGTTTCCATTGGCGTAAGCGGATGGCTGAACTCCCCGTCAGATGTCAACAAGCCTTGGGAGGTCATCGATAGTACGGGCACGGAGCCCTTCTCCCTTCGGTTTGAACTGGAATCCATGCTTCGCCTGGGCAACTCGCTCAACGATGTCCTCTTCAGCTACGCCTGGGATGGCGTGACATATACCGTCGTCAGCCGTACGCTTCTTGGGGCACTGTATGCCGGACTGTGGCCGCTTGGACTTGTCAAGGTCGCCAGCGTCCTCGACAACCCGTTTTCCGTCGCCATCGCACGGGCAGACAAGGCCGGAAAGGTTATGGCGCGGGCTCTCATTGACAAGGTGCAGGGCCAGCGCCCAGTTACCTTGATCGGGTATTCCGTCGGAGCTCGAGTGATCTATTCATGCCTGAAGGAGCTCGCTGAGCAGCATGTGTTCGGGCTTGTGGAATCAGTCGTTCTCATGGGTGCGCCAGTACCCTCTGACAGCTTCGCGTGGCGGCAGATACGATCTGTGGTCGCAGGACGCGTGGTCAATGTCTATAGCACTGAAGATTACATTCTGGGTTTCCTTTACAGATCTACCAAACTCCAAATGGGTGTAGCTGGGCTCCAGGATGTAAAGGATGTTCATGGCATAGAGAGCTTCGATATGAGCAAGCTCGTTTCTGGACATGACAAATACCGCTATCTGGTTGGCAGTATACTGGTCAGGATAGGATTTGGGGAAGTCGACTTCAACAAGGCCGCCGAACAAGAACGTGCGCTGGAGATGGCTGAGCGGAAGAAGGAACAGGTTCGTGCGCAAGTCCGCAGACACAAAAAAGACAGCCAGCATGGAGACCCATCCTCGCAAGGTCCGGTCGAAATGGTTGTTGTGCCAGACAATGGTGTCGGGGGTCTCATCGACCTATCTGAACCGGCACCCTCTCGCACGACTTCGTTTCCAGCGATGACGCCGAGCGCCTCGACGAGGCCCAACCAACAGCACTCGATGCAACGACATGTCACAGTGCCGACAACAATACCATTCACGAGGCCCTCCCAGGGTACAGAGCTGCTCTCTAACAGCGCCTCCCCGGCCCAACACTCATTGCACACTCCGCCATCAGAGGATGGCAGACCAGCATTTGCCTCCGCATCACGCGCACACACACGTCAAATCCCGTCCAATATAGTGTCCACACCTGCATCGCCCCCTCAAAAGACCAACCTGACCGCCCAAGGAAATCCCGACAACGAGGATGAGCACAAGATACAAATGGTGGATATCGATGCGCAGAAATTCTCTCCACCCCTGGAAGAGATGTTGAAGACTCCTCCTTCTCAGCCTGCGCTGATCGAGGTGGCGGAGGACAAGGCCTCGAATGTCAATGTGCAACAGCTGGAAATTAGTGCTGAGGACAGTGATGACGACAGTGTCGATGAGATGGATAGTGACTTTGGCGAGTTAACCATGGTCGAGCCGCTGTCTTTGGAGGAAGAGAATTTGAGACTAATGGCGTGAAGTGGCGTCGGGTGGAGTATCGGTGTGAAGTTCACAACTTTCTTACAGAGGCATCACGGAACGTTGCCATTACCTTCTTCACTTTTCACCTCGGCGGTCTTGCCACATGTGCAGCAACGCTCAGTTAGTAGTCTTTCAGTACAACTAAGTTAGCTGACTCGTACTCTCTCCAGGACAGCACAGTAGGGAATTCTCTGTTTCGGCTGGTTACATGCACGCGTGTCGAGAAGAGAAGGCTCCAGGACTATTCAGCCTACTTGCAGTTCAACGCCGAATATCCCCTTTGAAGATAACACTCAGCTCCCAAGCTTCTGATCGCACAAAGTCCTTCGGCAAATCAATTCAGCTTGTTTCCCAAGCACAACTGGGGCTGCCTGTACTCGCTGCCCTCAATTCCAGTGTCACTCTCTCTCAAGGTATGCTTCGACGCATGCGGTTTCAGCAAATTTCTTCACTTTTGGGCGTCTCTGATCGATCAAAAGGCCGGCAAGCTCGATGAGGAAGGGTTGAGGAAGGTCTTGGGCCTCGGCCAACAAACGATCCTTCGTGACGCTAGACCACATATCCCGGAAGCAATCCTCTGATGCGGCTACTCTCGGGTGTTGATTCGTAGAAGATTTGGATCGCTTTTCCCGGAGGGAATGCTCCGCAGCTCGAAAGCTGAAACATGCGATGGACAATGGCATTCTTCGTAACGGGATCTTGCAGCTTCTCCGCTAGTGCATAGATGCGAGCCAGATCCATATAGTCTGCTTCATAGCGGCTGGTCCATTCCGCGTCATCCTTGGGCAACGGTTCGCGGTCACGAGGAAGCTTGCTTGTGTAGACGAAGCTCAGATACAGCCTGAAGTGCTCAGGATCGTCATTTGGCATCTCCACGATGCGCTCGATACCCTCGGGCCAGTTGCCATTCAGCGCTCGACGAAAGAATTCGGATCGAGCGATGAAAGGCTCGTGGGCAATGAACTCCTTCCTCTCTAGACCTTGGCCCACGTGGATCGTGACGGGAGTGAAGCGGTCGAAACTGCGGGTGTTAGCTTGAGTTTGGGAAGGATGTTTGCATGGGGCCGGTTTCTTCCTTACCTCACGACGCAACGGCGCTTTTGCGGAGACTCGGATACAATCGCCATGATATCGGGAGCTCTTGATGCTCGTATCGCGGTCGAGGCGTCGATGATGGGTGACCGGCGTCAGGTAGGCGACGAGGGGAGCGCCCTCTATATACATATCTGTCCGCCCGACGCTCACTTCACACTTTGGGGTGGTGAGCGGGCGACAAGAGCCTCACATGGTCCTCTGGCTGTCAACTTCATGTCACTCACCAACGCACGTCTGTTTCTCACCGACGCGCTTTTCCTCACTCACCTTCGCAGCTTTGGCCTCCGCTCCGCAATCCTCGCACATTGGAAGCCGTCCAAAAACTCGCTCGTATAACACTTGGTACCCCGTGGGGGATGGGACCGCTCGTCTGAGTAGCCGTCCGTCTGCCTGCGTTCTATATCCTAAAGTTTGTTGACACGGCCGTTCGAAGTGGTGGACGGTCGGATTCACTATGCCAGCATTGGTCCAGCCGATAGCAATAGGGCACCACTAAACCATACAAGTACAAAAGAGACCGGCCCCAGCGCATCGATCTGCGACCGACGATGAGGACCCATGCAAACCCTGTGCGAAATGCTCAGCCCACAACAAGCTCCCCCGTGCCGATCATTAGGCGGTTGCGCCGGGTCCCTCTCCGTCTTGGGTGAGGGTGCGGTAGAGGGCGTACCGGGCATCTTGCAATCAAAATAACTACTAGGTAGATAATCGCTCGTCATCGGCTAAGGATATAAGAACACAGTTATGGACGGCCCACGGCTTCGTCCGAAATGGCATACTTCCGGGGAGCTACTTGGTAAGAGGACGTACTAGAGTCGAGGGCCGTGGACCCGATTGGGTGAAGAGTCAAAAGTGGCACCGCGGGGATGCTGGATAGGAGCCGAAGCATGATTAATCCACTTTTGCGAGGTTGCGAGGTGGTTGTGGATCTGATGCATTATTCGAGTAGTCCGTATTTTCCCCGTTAGCCTATATCTGTACTGTGTAAAGATGGACCCGAGCGGCCAACCAGAGCCTGTGGAATGGCTTCCCGTGCCTGAGAGCCGGTTCTGGAATCTGCAAGCCATTGCTTCTTGAAGCACCTCACAACGTCGGTCTATGGTGCGGGGTGCAGTGTCGCTACTGTCCAGGTACCGTCAAGGTACTCCGTACACAGGACGGCCTTGGTGCAGACTGGCTGTGCCATCGGTCCATCACGGCATGGACCATTCGCTTACCGGCTGGCTCAAACTTTACACTCAGCAGACAAAATCCCCGAGTGGCCGAACCGTGGGAGGCGAGCAATGTCCTCTCCACCCGAAACGATCCATCACATTTAGCAGTCAACAAGGTTCGCACTACAGACTCGCGGCAAAACGCACTCTTGGCTCATGGCGATATTTGGGTTTGAGACTGCATTTGCTCCGGCTTAATAAGGCTTTCCTTTGCCAGTCGTGCCTGGACTTCCTTCTCTTACGTCGTTGGACATTGAAACTGACAGCACCGATTGTCCAGATAAAGTGTGGGCGCAACCCTGTATTGACCTTGCCTAGTATCCTGGGATAGTCAACCACATCTTGGGAACGCCCCGCCTCTCCAGATCCCTGAGGATCCATTGGGATCGATTCTCAGGAGCCCGAACGACGGCAGCATGGCTACATCTCCAGATCTCCCTCAATTGCCCCCTGAGATGATTGCTGCCCTTGCAAAGGAGGATCAGTCACCGCAGATCATCGGCGTCGTCGCGGCCTTCACTGCGATTGCCTTCGTCTGCGTGGTGCTACGGTTCTTTGTTCGCATCACAATGGTGCGCATAGTAGGTATGGAAGACTACTTCATGGCAATATCAATGGTAAGCGTCGCCGCCTTGTCACTGCGTAGGACCGAACTGACCCCCCATAAGCTCTCGTCGATATTTACCTCCGTCTGCCTGATACAAGGTGCAAGACTTGGCAATGGAAGGCACATGATCAACGTTCCCATGACAAACGGGAAAAGGATTTTTCTGGTACGTTGTGGAAGCTGATGGCTTTAGGAATCCGTTACTGACGGACCAGTACCTTTTCTTCGGTATCCTTACATACCATATCAGCTTGACCGCGACCAAATTGTCCATCCTGCTTCAATACAGGCGCATCTTCACCCTGAAGAATTCGAGAATAGTGATATACATAGCCATGGGCATATGCACCGCCTGTGGCCTCACGGCCATCGTCAGTGCCATTTTCACCTGCGTGCCCGTGGACGCCTACTGGAATTTCACGAAGAGGCCATTCTCCAAGTGTGTCAATCAGGACGCGTAAGTCGCTGAGCTCATCGCCACCAGTTTGGACTCCCCGCTGACGAGGTATAGCATGTACCACGCCAATGCCGGCATAAACATGTTCACCGATCTTCTCGTGGCTGTTCTTCCTATTCGCAATCTGTGGACACTGCGGATACCGTTACGCCAGAAGATCGCCGTTGTCATACTGCTGACTCTCGGTTGGTTGTAAGTTTTCCCCGGGCCTGTTCATTCACAGTCGCATATTCACACCTTCTCAGCGTCGTCATCATTTCAGTGCTGCGCCTTGTCTTCCTCGTCAAGGTCGCACAGCATCCCGAAGATACAACATGGTATGGCGGTCCTGTCGCCTTGTGGTCCGCTCTTGAAATCAACCTCGCCATCGTATGCGCCACGACGCCAGCACTCAAGCCCCTGATCGTCAAGGTCCTCCCCAACTTCGGCACACGGTTCGGGACGATACAGCCGAACGACGTTTCGGGACAGATTCCAACCATCACGACCCACAGCCAAAGGAACAACGCCAACTTTGTGCGACTAAAGGGCATGCCGAGCCATTCGAGTATGGGCGATGCTGTTCACCTCAAAAGTGGGGCTGGTACCGTGCTCGAGCAGAGTCATGGTCATGACGAGTGGAAGGAAATTCGTGTTACGCGGGATGTCGAGCAGGGCTCGATAAACGACGATGGGATAAGTGATGAGAGCCCCAGATCGTATATCCAGTATCCCCCGCCGGCATGGCCACTGCAGTCAAGTCGATGACCCGGAGTCAGGATTTGCTATTACTTGGGGGGTGCCGCTGGAGCGGCGTTGGAATATTGTAATGAGTCGACGCGACACGTATAGACTTGCGTCTTGCTTCTTCCGTTTGCCTGCCATAGTGCACATTTACCATGAGGCCTGAGGAATACGATTTAATGAAACCGAGTAATGAATGTTATCAGATATCCATTCTACCAGTGCCCAAGGTCCCAACAAAAGAAAATTGGCATGTCAATGCTGATGGCTTTACCACAGATATTCGCCGCTATGGTTCCTCGTCGACATGAGTACTATGTCTACAGGATATTGCGTTTGTCTCGGCGACCGGCGCTCCCACTTCCGCTTTTCTTTTTTCCTTTCTTGTCCTTTTCTTTTTCTGCCGCTTTTTTCGCCTCCTTCTGCATCCTCCGCATGCCCCTTTCAACTGCAGGAGTTCTCTTTATTTCAAAACTTTCCCCCTCGCCCCTCTGTGCCAGCTCTAGTTGTATTTCTCTCTCCCTGACCATGTCCGGCAACGCCGTTGGGTTTGTGCAATCTTCAACAAATCTCGTCTTGCATTGGCGACAGGCATTCTTGTCATTGTCCGTCGACACCCCGCAAGCATCACACCTTTTCACCCAGTCGCCGTCTTTACCCCTATCCCTTCGCGTCCAAGTGACTTTACCCCGTTCACGGGGCTGGTGGCGGTCCTGCTCCACTGTCTGGCGACCGTCTCTTATCATTAGGCTTTGAGGATAAGAAATACATGGTGAGCTGGGTCAAAGGCATGGGGAAACGGTTTTGGGGGTACATACTCGCTTTGATCACTATATCGCGTTTCCATGGGATCGAATTCGCGCCGGCCTGCGGCCGAGGAGGTATTCTCCGTATCCTCACTACTGGTTTCCCATCGCGTCGGGTCAACAGTATATCGGCTTGATTCTGCCATGGTGTGTGGCGGAAAACGTATAGAGCGGCTAGATGTTCCTGTATGTTGAAGATTCAAAGTATATCGAGTTTGGTAGCTGAGATTTCGAAGATATTTCTATATGAATGATGTGGGCGAGTGTTGTATGTGTGAGAATAATGAAGCCAGCACAGCGGCGCCTTTTATACTCGGACTCGAACTTCATCTCACGAGCCTTCGGATACGGATGACTGCTACTATAGTGACTTCTCATCGTTGTTTTGACTCGGTCGGCCATGATGATAGATTTTGCAAGTACTGTGGAATGATGGACTTGGTTTGTTATAGGTTCGTCAAAGGTAGTGTGTCGTGTAGAATGCAGTGTCATGCGTGACTCCGGAGCTGTGGGTCAGCAGTTTGAGGAGCGAGGATTTGTAGCAAATAATAAAGACACTATAGAATGACGGACTTGATTAATCACGGTTCGTCAATCGTGGTGTGTTGTGCGTGACTTTAGAGACGTAGGCTAGGACTGTAAGATGTGTCAGTATTCTAGCAGGTCATAGCGACGGAGAGTCAGGGAATGTGGTATTGGGACTCTTGTCGATAAGCATGGCAACTGTGTGGGCATGACTACGCTATGGGAAGAACTGATTCATTGGCTATCTAGGAGTGTGCATGCGTATGTATGTAGTTCCCTGTAAAGGGTGTAGAACCTAGAGAAGGAATATTTCGCATGATAAAAGTAATGAACGGCAAATGGAAGGTGAGGATTTCAGCATGCGAGCTGAACATGCCTTTTATCAAGTCGGAATACAAGTCAGATTCCCGTTACTATGCTGATTTAGAAGCGCCGCTCCCAAGTCCAAGATGCTCATCGTCGCTCCGTCACAGGTCAGTGTGAGTTCGCGGATCGTCTCTGCAGACGACGGATTACGGAAATTCCTGTCATTCAAAACACAGTTCACCAAAAAAAAAAAAAAAAAAAAAAAAAAAAAAAAAAAGGGTCAAGATGCTGAATGCAGAAAGTCAGGGGCGCCAGTAATCCAGATTTCAGCGCTCCGAATAAATGACAGTCGCCATCCTGCATGGCCTCCCAGATAGCGAACCGGATGCTTCGAGTCTCGAATCTAACTGTACACGAGACAGTGACATTGAATCTATACTGCTAATACAAGCCTAGTAGACGGCCTAGTTCTTCTACGGATGCAAGAGAGTAACAGATACTTTTGTAAATGGTCTATATATCACTAAGTACAATATCCAATTAGTGCGATCGCTCGTAACCTAGACCTGGATGAAAAAGAAGACTACTCTACCTATGAATATTATGATGGCGCGTCAGAATAAACATTGAATGCCGAATACAGGGATTTCAACCTTCTGGTACATACCGTGTAGAACCCACTGGTTGTAGATACCCTGTACCTCTATTCTTAGTCGACTTGTCCAATTGACGACACTGTTTTAGTGTGCGTATATTCTGTCATGGCTTGTCCTTGTGGGCGTACATTTAAGACCAACCTTAGCGGTGCCTCCCGTCCTTTCAGTCCACCTCTCCGTCCTCATCAGTCTGCTATCCATCCTATACTTCTCACTGCATCCCAACGTCTACATGCCAATGCCGTTTTATGACTCTCGACTGCCAGCAACGATGCGCAGCGGCAGCCACCTTGTGGCGGAGCATCCCTTGGCGCGAGTGAGTCATCGTGGCTCACACCCTCCGTGCGCCTCAACCACATTGGGACAGGGAGTCATCTGCAATTGGGGGTCATCCAACACAGGTAGACTGAATACATATATAATGTCGTGAGTTTCTCAATATTCAGAGCATATTTACAAGTCTGGTTTGGTTTCGCGTTCGCTCTTCGTCCTGTCGGGAGCTCGTTCATCTCTTCATCTTCTCTCCCCCTTTCATTTTCATACCTAAAATTACACCCGAGTCTCCCAGCCATGGCGAGCGTCGGCAACACATCAGCAACTAAGCCCATCGCTACCACCTCTTTTGATACCGCTCTTTGTGTTATTCCTCCCTTGAACCAATGCACCGAAATCAATACGCTGCGATCACTTTACGATAAGAGTTGGGGAAGGTGGCCTCAACATATCAATCTTGTCTACCCCTTTGTGCATCCGGAAAAGCTGCCTGAAGCAAAGGTCCGAATCGAAGCTGCCCTTAGCAGCTCTGCATCCGTGGCCAGCCTCGGTGCTAGTCTCGAGCAGCCAGGATACTTCGAACATCGAAAGGAGTATACAGTCTTTCTTGGGGAGAGCGACTCACCAACGACTGCCTTGGAAAGCTTGCGATGCACTGTATTGGAAGCGCTGGGTCAGCCGTCGACACCGTACAAGTTGCATCTTACGGTTGGACAATCTGTGGATAAAACCGAAGCAGCGCGGGACTTCTTGCTGGACAAAGTGAGGCGGCTTCCTTGTCTAAAATTCCCCATAACAAGCCTCGCAATACTGGTTCGGGAAACCCCGGCGAAGCATCAGAGAGAAGCCAGTCGTATGAGGCTTTGGGGAGTCATTTCACTTGGATCGGCGGAATTCATACCGAAACCCTCTGAATTCTGGCTTTCATATCCGAATGAGCGAGGTCCTACTTCTAGGCCGGACAGTGCAGTTGCAGAGCACGGGTTTGATGGTGCGCACGCCCTGCCCGCAGACAGAAGAGCCCCATCGGAAGTCGCCTATGCTTACAATCAGGGCACATGGGCTCCTTGTGCCGGAGAAGAATGCACTATAAACTTGGATCGGTCCTTGACCGTCTCGAGCTATAACGTTCTGATCGATTCGGAATATCCCCCGGCTCGTGAAAGAGACCCGCTTTTGCTTGAAGCCATACTGTCCGACACCGCAGCCGCTGATATTCTGGTCCTCCAGGAGGTGTCCGATGACTTCCTGTCCTACATCCTGGCCACACCAGAGATACAACGGCGTTACCCCTACTGTAGTCACGGTTCCCCTGACCAACCAGACACTGGTCCACTTCCGAATCTTCGCAACATTGTACTCCTAAGCCGCATGCCATTCACGTGGGAGACGGTGCCGTTCCAGAGAAGGCACAAAGGCGCATTGGTGGCTTCTTTTGGAGCCTCCGAGAACGGACCCTCAGATTTTCACTTCATAGTTGCTGGCGTTCACCTCACATGCGGCCTCACGGATGGCTCCGTAGCGGCCAAAAAGGCGCAATTACAGAATTTGCTATCCTTTCTTCAGCAGCGGCATTCAACTAAACCGTGGATCATTGCTGGAGACTTCAATATCACGACTTCCACATACACCATTGAATTTGCTCTCAAGCACAGATCGATCACTCAGGAAACAGGTAGTACTCTCAGAAACATAGAGACCATGATAGCTGAGGCAGAATTGCTGGATACATGGTCAGTGGCCAGGATCGAGGCTACTGATGACCCGCTTCCGGAACCTGACGATCTGTACGACGGAGAGTTCGGGGCCACCTTCAATCCCAGAACGAACATCCTCGCGGCAGCCACGTCGGGAACTTCGAATAACCGCCCACAGAGATATGATCGTATACTTCTGCGGGGAATGGATAAGCTTCGCATCAGTCAGTTCAACCACTTCGGTCTGCCAGGAGACAAAAGCGATCGCTCTGGGACACCAAGCGATCACTGGGGGATAAGAGCATCCCTTCAACTCCTGCCGCGTACTGGAGACTGTGCTGGCAATGAGTCCCAGCCGTTGAAGCACCGTCCTATTGACCTACAAGATGTGTCCACAGGACTGACGGATCCCTGGGACCTTCATGCCGCTCTCGCCGCTCGCGGGATGATCCCTACTGAAGAAAATGTCGAAGCGTTCAAATCTGCCTTTACGCGCCTTAAGGATGTCCTCCTTGGGCCCACTGAGGAAAGGATGCCTCAAGTCCCCCTGGTCATAATCCCTGTCGGTTCCTACGCCCTGGATGTATGGACGTCCACCTCTGATATTGACTGCCTGTGTGTGGGCACAATGAGCCCCAAAACCTTCTTCAAGCTCGCTCGTCAACGGATACGCAGAGCGGGAGTGTCCGGTATTCGTCTGATAAGGAAGGTGGAAGCGAAAACAGGTATTATGTTTGAGCTTACTGTCAGAGGCATCAACGTTGACTTGCAATACTGCCCGGGTGGCCGTCTTTTGGAAAGGTAATTGCCAATCAATATGTACCTAACGGGCTCTAATGGTGTGTTAGGTGGTCTGAACTCCCCAATTTGCATCCCACAGATCCGGTTTTCGACCTGCCGATGCTTTCCTTGCGGAAACTCAAACCATATCGCGATCTCGTATATATCCAGCGGACTCTGCCGTCACTGGGTGCTTTCCGCCTTGCCTACCGCGCCATAAAGCTTTGGGCCCTTCAGCGTGGCGTCTACTCGTCCAAATTCGGATTTCTGGGCGGAATTCATATCACGCTCATGCTTGCATCTATTTGCAAAGGATTGGTTCATGTAGCGGGTGCGGTCACAGCACCCGCTCTTGTAAAGATTTTCTTCCACCATTACGCCCACTTTGACTGGAAGAATGACATGGTGTTCGACCCCTTCTTCCACAAGACGCGACCGCGTTACCACAGGAGTGCAAGGGAGCCAATGGTCGTGCTTGGCTATCACGCACCCAACTCGAATGCGGCACATACATCAACTGGTCCTGGTCTCGCTACACTGGTCAAGGAATTCAAGATAGCGGATCAGCGCTTGTCCGCTGTTGGAATGAGCTGGGACCAGTTCTTCACCGTACCCGGTGGCGCAGAGAATTACCTTTCTGAATTTCTCGGCTCGCATGACGGATATGCGCAGATCAGCATGCAATACTGGGGTCGTTCTCTTTCTAGAGACAAGGGACTTATCGGCTGGGTAGAGTCCCGCTCTCTCCTGCTTGTCGTCGGTAAGAATGTAGTATGCTGGATTTCTCTTTGTTACTGACGCTTTTTCAGATATTCACAAAGCCCTTCCAGACATTGAAGTTCGAATATGGCCTTCACGTCTCAGTAACCGGGGACCCGAAAATACAGAGACCGGTTACGAAGGATGTTTCGTCATCGGAATTTCTTGGAAATCATACGCCACCAAGGATCGAAGATTGCAATTGTTCGAGTCCTTGCAAAAAGCGTTCAGCCGGTTCCTGGACACAATCCGCGGAGAGGAGAAGAATTACGATCGTAATACCTGCTGGGTGGACATCTCGTTGGTGAGCCCTGCTCAGGTGAAAGATCTTCGTCCTGAGAGCACGGACTGGGGCGATTATGTTGCCGACGCTGACTTGGACTCTGACGATGAAGAAGATGATATAGGAAACTCAAATGAAGACAGCCATCAGCCCACTATCCCCTATGTCCCAATCCGGCCGCCTCGTACCTCTGCCGTCGAGGTAAAATCCAAGCTTCGGCCCGCATCCGACGTGTTGAATCGTCTGCGTTGGGATCCCGGTTGTAATCCGGGAGCTTTCATCGTAGGATATGAGGATCGTTTCGTGGGGGCGAAGGAGATGGACCTCGAAAGGTGGAAGTCGGAGAGTACTCATGACGAGTTTGTGCCTATGCATAGAATCCTCTACTTCAGGAGGAAAGCCGATGGAGTGGTCGTCTGGGATAGAAATGCGAGGTTGGATAGGATTTTTGGTAGTGGGATCGGTGATAGGGAGTAGATGAGCATGATTGTCCATCTACAGTACAATCGAGTTGCGAAAACACACAGATTCGCGGGGTAATATATGTCTGGAGCATAGACTGTGTGAGTTCTGTGCGCTAACCGGATTTAGACATGTCGATGAGGCGCTTCAGGCTATCTGCATCCTTTGAAAGCTTGGCCACGACCTCATCTCATCCAGCGCAGTGTCTCTGATACTCCCCTCTTCACCATCGCTCTTGTTTCGCTGGACTTGCTATGTTGGCGACATTATATCTCAATAATACCATGTCCGCTCTGCACTGAAGGGGTCCCGGAACGTGGCTGAGCTCGGCTCGTACCACCTCATACACTTCAGGTTTCGCAGAGTAGCCGGCGCGTGCAGGGCGTAACATGCCTGCAGGCATTGTCAATGCGTCCGTCTTTGCTGCATGTTAAGATTATGGGGAAAGGAGACGGTTCAATTATGCTTCCCGCTCTCAAAATACCCGCTTTGATTCCTAAGATGCGGTTCCAGGAGCATAATAGTAAGAGCTCACATAGATTCTAACTGTTCGAGTAGAGTACCTTCTCACAGGTACTCTCGTTCATGATTCTCTCTCAACTTTCGCCTGTCAACTTTCTGTCTTCTTCGTCGACCACGGCTTGATGCATGCTCCCGGGGAGTCACTTCTTGAGGGCAGTAGCGCCCTGCGATCATGATCCATCTCAGCATATATTTTCTGGTCTTAATTATCCCTGTGCCTGCATTCGCACGCATCCAAAACTATCTTTACGGTATACCCAGAGGTTTCAATCCTGATGCCAGCCATCAAGCAGAAATCGAGTTGCCGACTGTGATCACGAACGCTAGCTCTGGAGAGACGTCCAACTCGATCACGCCGGCTGTGCCTGGATCGCCAGTGTCCGCGGAGCCATGTGCAGTCATCAGCAGCATTCTGGCAGGCCTCCCAACCGGTGCCCGGAAGATTGTGCCCGCTGAGCTTGGTCTTCAGTGTCTCCAGTCGGTTCCGATCGACACAGCGAACAATGTCCAGCTGATAGAAGAGTTGAAACTGTATGTGGCCTGGCAATCGAACTTGGCATATCTAAAGAATCCGCCTGCGGACTATACAGAAGCGCCTGTTGATCTCATAGAAGAGATGGGAACAATTCAGAATAGGCTGCAGTCCGGTTTCTACAAGAACGAATACGAGTTTCAAATGGACCTGAGCAGTCTCTTCAACAAAGCCTATGATAATCATCTGTCCTGGCAACCTGATATCCTTGCGGCCGCGATGCAATTCCAAACGGCGCCTGGAACTGAGCTAGTCTCTGTCTCCCAAGACGCTCGAGAGCTTCCCCAGGTATTCACTTACCGAGACATCCAGTCGGTCCAGCAGGATCCGTCCTTCCAGCCATCACCTGTGCAGACAATCAATGGCCGGAATGTTGGAGAGTATCTCTTCGACGTCGCTCGCCAAGCTGGGTTCCATGACGCTGATGCTAGATGGAATGCACTTTTCCCTAACCAAGCCATCACTTCCACGGGAGTCTCTTTTCTCGGATCGTTTCGAGCTGGACTCTATCAAGGATCAAATACAACTCTCGCCTTCGCCAATGGAACCGAATCAACTACGATGAATGTGGCGGCTGTATTTGGCAATTTCACCGGCATAGAGAATGGACGGAATTTTGCAGAGAGGTTCTGTCAGGGACTACCTGTGACGCCTGGTATTTCACCGACTGCCACATCTTCCGCGGGAGACAATTCTCCGGCACCTTCGCCTATAGGATACCCAAACCCAGTGCTAGTCCATCCTAACATCTCCTTGAGCGGCTACTTCATGGATGCAGACTACGGAGCAAGTTCCTCATCACCGAAGTAATCCATGTGCTAACGTCTTGCAGGACATAGCAGTTCTTTGCATACCGTCATATGATTCACCCGACGTCAAGATATTCCAGGACCTGTTGCGTGAGTTTATCGCCAGATGCAAGGAGAACGGCAAGTCGAAACTCGTCATCGACCTGAGAGGTAATGGAGGAGGAAACGCCATTCTTGGCTACGACACCTTCAAGCAGCTCTTTCCACAGGCGGAACCGTTTGGGGGGACCCGCTTCCGCGCGCACGACGCATTGGAAGATGTTGGGAGAATGACGGAAGAGTTCGCGGCCGGCAGGACCTACGCCCAGAGCAACCGGACCGCATTCGTGGAGTATTTCGCCGACATGACGGAAAACGACGTTATTTTATTTACCTCTCCTTTTAATTTTAATCTGCAGCTTGACGTGGACCAGCTGGATTTCGCGTCATGGGACGGAATGTACGGGCCCGAGCAAAGCAACGGGGATCAGCACACCAGGACCACCAGATACAACTTCAGTGACGAGGCGAGTTATGCGCAGCCCGGTTTTTACATATCTGGTCATGGGAGTCTTGCTCAGGATGCCGCAGCTGAGCAACCTTTCCAGAGTGGAAATATTATAATGGTATGTAATGCCCTGGGAGTGGCTGATCTCCGCTGACCATGCAGCTTCACGACGGCATGTGTTCATCCACATGTGCCATTCTCTCCGAGCTTCTTAAGAACCAAGGAGGCGTTCGGAGTATTGTTGTAGGCGGCCAAGCCAGAACAGGACCCATGCAGGCAATCGGCGGAACAAAAGGCGCTCAGTCGTTCGAATGGGACGATATCCGAATCAGGACGCAGATGGCGTTTTTGTATGTGCTCTGCATCTATCGTTCCACCGTTCAAGGAATAAAAAGCTGACATGTGTTCCATGTACTCAGCCTGGGAAGCCCAGAACAGCAGGCTCAGTGGAACCAAACCGCGCTCGGCAGAACCGCATTTGCAACCCAAATCTTCAAACGAAGCGCCTATTTTGGAGATCGGCCCGCAGGAGGCATAAACCTGCGCGACAATCTGCGCAAAGACGATCCCTCGCAGACACCGCTTGAGTTCATCTACGAGGCCGCTGACTGTCGCATGTTTTACACGGCGGAGATGATCAACGACGTTACGAATGTGTGGAAGGGAGCCGTGGACCGCATGTTTAAGGGCGAGCAGGGAATGAAGCTGTGTGTGGATGGGAGCACGGGGCATAAGAGCAGTGTCACGGGCGGTGGGCAGTGGAGAAGTGGGGAGGTTCCGGCTGAGCCGAAGGAGCGCGGGCGACAAGGTGCTGCTGGAAGAATAAGCAGCCCTTTGGTGCTGAGCGCGGTTGTGGGGGTAATGGTAAGCCTTTGCTTGTAATCTAATAGATCGTCGGAGCATTTGCATTGGTTGGTGTTGGTGGAGCTTCTGTAATGAAAGCCAGGAAAAAAGCCTCATGGCAGTGTTTGGAGAGTGCAGAATGAAGCGGAGGGAGTGTGTGGATCAAGTAGAGCAGGTATTACGGTCCTGAAGCGGTGACCATCTGCAATGGTGAAATCGGATATTGCGTAGGCGGTGAATGAGTGTTGACGCACTCTCACTTGGCTGGACTCCGCTACAAACGCGCGGCTATTTCGAGGGCAGTGCTCATCCCACTCTCGAGCTTCCCTATTTTTTCGACTATATAAGTAGCTAAAACTACTAATCAATCACCAATACCGCAAAAACGTTCCTGGAAGAAGTGACGAGCGCCGCGCTGTGATGGCGCATCCAGAAGGGCCAGCATGCTGAGTCAACCGACACTTGAAGCCTCAGGTTCGATTCCGGGTTTGTCAGCTTTCCGGAGTCACATTTTTTTAACTTTTGTTTTGCTTTTGCGGTTCCTACATCTGAGTACAGGTAAACACACCAAGGTTTGTAATGCTGCCACGCTCCGTTAGTAGCTAGATAGGCCCTTTTAGATCTTTTGTATAGCGATTTTGTGTTTTTACAGTCATGTCCAGCTGTGTTGGACTTTCGCAATTCCGCTGTATAGAACACATGCCGGTAAGCCCATGGCCGGCCGTCACTTCGGTGCGGAATGCGTGCCTGGCCGACGACCTACACAGCTGCCTTATTGCTCTCTACAGCCTGCTACTCGAAAAACGTGTACTGATTGCTCCGCTATGCATCGGAACCAGGGCGGTGGTGATCATTCTTACTGGTTCAACGCTTCGGGGACTACGGACGGTCGAATGGAACCGGTGGGTGAGAAGCGTTTGCAACACAATCTATAGATATATACATTCCCTCATTATCTTCTGGTCATACCTCTTTTTAGACTCCTCAAATTACAGCCGCATCTGCCAACTAGGGTCATTCCCTATACTAACCACCCTTTCTCCCTACAGCGTCCAGTACAAACTGCACCCTACCGCCCAACCAAACCCCCAAACAATCCATCCCTCCTCCTCCTAAGAGTATCGAGCTCCACCTCCAATCTCCCCACCTCCCTCCTCGCACTCTCTCTCTCCGCCGGCAGTCCGGCAAACTCATCTACCTCTTTCTCCACCGCCTCAACCGCCTTTTTCAATGCTTCCAGCTCTTTCTGCGCTTCCAACATGTCGGCTAGTGCATCTACAGATGTCGCTAGGGTCGAGATGGGGGTAGTACTGGCTGAAGTGTGTAAGGAGTTGGTGCGGCTGTGTGTGCGGGAATGGGTGATTGAGCCTGAAACGGAGCGCTGGCGCGAATGTCCACCATTGGCGGCATATTCGAGATTGCTGAGGCGGTCTTCGGCATCACGTATCTTGGCCCGCAAATGTTTCGTCTGTCTCATATTATCGCTCGTTTGGCGTGGCAGATTCTCCGGTGTCCTGAATGCGGGGTTGTTCTGTAGTTCGGCGAGCTGCTGTCTCAGCAGGACGTGCTGTTTTTCGACGTAGGATTGTAGGGTTTGGATGTGGGTGAGGTGGTTTGTAAGAGTTTGGCAGGTCGTGGTGTGGGAAATCAAAGCGTGCGCCGTTGCTTGAGGGTCGGCGGTGGGGAGGGAGAGGGTGGTGGCTGTTTCGGCCAGGGCGGCGAGGGTTTTGGATGCGGATGGCGGCAGGGACGACTGGAGGACTGCTAGAAGCTCCGGCGGAGGAGGTTTCTATATCGTCGAAGGCATTAGTATCGTATGCTCTTCGGGTACGAGCTGTAATGAGACTGGCAAGATCACGGAAAGCAGACATACGTCGTTCAACTCCTTCAGAGCCTCCCTCTCCAATCTCTCGTAGACGGCTCTCTCCTCATCGGAGCGCTCATTTACCAGCGACAATTCCCGCAACACTTTCAATGTCTCGTCGTTGCGCTCGAAGCTCGGTATCGTCCGACCGGCGTACTTGTAGCTGAGCCAATTGTCGATTTGTGCCCAGTCCTGCGCTTGGGCACGCTGCTGGCGGGCCTTTGAGGGAGAAAAAAGATCGGCCGCCGTGAGGTTATCCATACTGTTCAGGGAGAGATGGAATGGTGTGTCTCCATCCTCGATAATGTGTTGTTTGTTTAAGGTGAATTGAGACGGAACGGCTGACAGGGGTACCCTTGCGCTCTGAGCTGCGGGGAAGCTGCTGTGTAACCACTGTGACGTCCCTCCCCCGCCTGTGCACAACATTCATCCTCTCAGCTGCAGGTGCGTCTTGTAGCACGCTTCTAGAACCTCTTGCGAGAGTGTTATCTCGTTCTGACTTCGCACTTCTCCTCACCATAAAAGGAGACACTTTCTTTTCATTAACCACAGCACTTATATCATCCCTCCAGCACAATAGCTTCGCTCCAAAGCTACAGATCTATCTTCATTGTTGTCCTTCTCGCAGTCATAGCTCCTTTGCTACCCTACTTCGTCAATCTGCCGTCCTTATCACATCTATTCCGCTCAGTAGCGACCCCGTTGCAAAGAAGAGGACTCAATATGGCGTGGCGGTCCAGTGGCGTTTCCAATGCGGATTTGGTCGAGCGGCTGCACCAGGCCGGCTTGATCGAGGACGACAGGATTAAGGACGCCATGTTGAAGGTAATCCTCCATCCACCTTTTGCCTTTCCCTCTCAGTGAAAGGATTACGCACTCCTACCTTCTCCATGACGCCTTCATCCTAACATCTTCCAGGTCGACCGCGCCCACTTTGCTCCGTCGTACCCTTACCAGGACTCTCCACAACCCATCGGCCACCACGCCACCATCTCCGCACCCCACATGCACGCCTCGGCCTGCTCCTCTCTGTTCCCTTTCCTCTACCCAGGCGCCAAGGTCCTTGACATCGGCTCCGGCAGCGGATACCTCACCGCCGTATTCGCCAACCTCGTCGGACCCGAGGGCCGCGTCATCGGCGTCGACCATATCGAACCGCTCGTCACTTTGTCCGTGAACAACATGCGCAAATCCGAAGCCGGAAGACGCATGCTGGACTCCGGTAACGTGCGGTTGGTGACGGCCGACGGGCGCAAAGGGTTCCCGGAGGAAGCACCGTATGATGCCATTCATGTCGGGGCTGCGGCGGCCAAGCACCATGAGGAGTTGGAGGCGCAGTTGAAAGCGCCGGGGAGGATGTTTGTGCCGGTTGAGGAGGGCTGGTCGCAGTATATCTTCGTGGTGGACAAGGATAAGGATGGGAACATCACGCGGAAGAGGCAGTATGGCGTGCAGTATGTGCCATTGTGCGATCATCCGGATGCTCCTAAGAGGAAGGATTCGAAGCATCAGTAGAGTCGAACTTGATCGATTCACTTGCAGGCTTTGATGGCGGAGTCAGGGCTAGGGCCGTGTATACTGTACGGGGTTTGAGCGGTATGGAAAGGGGTTGGAGAGCTTAAGGACGACATACGGACTATGGTTTAGGCGTTTTAGGTAATCGGCTGGCGTTATGGACAGCTTGAATTGACTTTCCATTTGAACATCTCAACCAGCTGGTTATGAAGCCCTGTAACTTGTTCGTGACTGTTCTGCGGTGGCATACCATGATGCATCGCTCGGATAATGTGAATAGGCCTGGCCGAGACGGATACATTGATTTGCCCCAGGAAACCAATGGTAGCACGGTCCCTCTGGTCAAACCATAAAAACAACGACGAAGATCAACCATGTAGGACCCTCTTACATCTCTCTACGAATGCCAGAAGAACAGCTGTTGCATTAGGTTCTAGAGACGACAAAATGTATTAGGAGAGATGGGAAACAGAGACAGAAGCAAATTTGATGAAAACAGATCCATGCACCAATCAACCAGGTCAATAACCCACCACTACTCGCCCAACAAAGCCCTCCAACGCCGCCACCCCTTTCTCGCCCCGCTCCGTACCTCCATACAAGCCCGGTCCACCACCAGGGAGTATCAACACTTTGGCATCCACCTCAAAGAACTCCCTTGAAGTCATGAATTGGAATGCGACAACAACGGCGCTCGTCCCTGGAGTCCCGACGATTTCGCCATCTTTGTCACTGTCGTCGTCAAAGCCGAATCCAAAGCCGTCATCATCGTCCTGTTGCCCGCGAGCCGCCTTGTCATAACTACCAACTCTTTCTCCCTGCTCTTCCGGTGCAACGCTGACTACCTTCGCGCTCGCCCGTACACTGGCTACATACACCACCACTGCGCTCCCAACGCTCAGACTCTTAGCAGCCTGGGCATTGTGCCCCAGGAACCGCACCGTGATGACGCGATTAGCTCTCGGTTCCCCATCCGCAAGCACCATCCCTTTCCGGATTCTGACAGTGGCCGGACTCGCAATCGGAACGTCTACGGGCGCGACGCCAATGGTGCCTACTTGTCCTGCATACAGACTGCGCATAGGGAGCCTCAGATTACGAATGGATGTGATACGGACACGCCGCCACTCCTGGTGCTTCTCGTTCGCGGACACGGATATAGTAGATCGACGCAATGCACCGGGGAACGAGCGTGACGGCTGTGCAGCCGGGGGACGACGTGACCGCTCGGGAGCCACCGTAGAGCCAGGTCCGCTGTCGCTGTCGTCAGACGATGCGTCGATGTTGTAGGGGCCGAGGAGAAGCTCGCTGCCAACGCGGAGGGTGCCGTAGCGGACATGTCCTCCTATCACTATGGATCTGTCCTGAGAAGATTTCGTTAAGGATGGATCCATTGCAGGAGCCAGGATGTTGCTGTATACGTCTTCGATGTGAAACAGCGTGCGCGGGCCGTTCTCGGGTGGTGTAGGATTGCGCGGGATTGGAAGCTCCCGGAGCAGAGCATGCAGCTTGGTGATACCGGTGCCTTTGACAGCACTAGTGAAGACTATAGGGACCAAAGCGAGCGGGGAGTCTTTCAGGGTGTTGACTATGGGGCCGATATGAGAGAACTCATCCGCGGAAACGGTGTCGAGTTCGACCTCTGAGCCAGGATCAATTGCTGCCGATACTATCTGAGGTTTCCTGCCTGCATCCTTGATCGCCGTTAAGATCGGGGATAGGGTCTGCCGTAGGCTTGGCTTGTTGGCTAAATCGTACTTGGTGATGACGATGACAAGCGGAAGTTCCAAGTTCAAACAGAGTCGAAGATTAGCATGCGATAAATCGGTCTCCGAAGTGCTGGCGCTAACCGTATCGTGGGATCGAAGCGAAGAATCTTCAGTGCTGCCTGCCGATATACAAAGTAATGTCCAATGGGGATCCCATCCAACCAAGCCACGGACAGTGGTTCGACGGAAACGTGGGTGACCGGCGGAGTCTGCGAGAAGCACCAGCCTTCCTCCCTCTGCAGAGGCATGGATATCGAGCCACTCTGACACGTCCCCAGTACCATAGCTGACGACCTGAGTTGACTCTCTCGACCCGCGGTGATCGAGCACATCCCTGTAACCAATGAGCTCTTGAGTAACCGAGCTTGTCATACCCGAAGCAATCTCGTGTCTGTGTCTAAGCAGACTGAGCCGACTCTTGCCCCTCCCGTCGTCTAGTTCGTTGCTTGAAAGGGTCCCCAACAGACTAGACTTCCCAGTGCCGGTAGCACCCGTCAGAGAGACACGGAGTTGTTGCGTTCTTGGATGGCCTTCGTACTTCGCGCTTCCTGATTCCGAGACACATGTAGTGCTGGGCAAGGTGGTTGGATGGTTGTCGGTACGTGACTCTCCTATGCCGGCATGTTCAGGTATATGTTGATCTGGATACACAAAAGCCTCCACAACCCATAGCTTGCTGGCCCTTACTATTGGCTTAGATTCGAACCCGGTATGATCTTCTTCAAGCCATTCACAGTCGCCAATATGGACCTTGCGGATGATGTCCACGCGACAGCCAAGGCTTGCCGCCATCGCGCGAAGATTGTTGATACTCTCTTCCATTTCGTCCTCGGCTAACCCGGCGAATGTCCCATCATCAGCCACCCCGATCTCATATAACGCTCCTTTGCTCTCTTCGAGGCCAGGAAGAAGTCGCTGGGGTACAATAGGGGCCGAGAGCTGTGAATCGTCGGGGAACTGGGGTTCGATCAATGGAGATGAAGATGAGACGTGATGCTGACATGACTGTTGCAAGCGCCAATATAATTGGGTTGTGAGCTGTCTTAGGCGGTGCTGTCTTGACTGGGTCGTAACTGACGGAGCAGGAGGAGTCCCAGGTACCCAAGGTTCGGACACACTTCGATTTCCAGAGGAAGATCCAGATTCAATGCGGCGCAGCGACCCAGAGACACGTCCCGCAGTGGTCGTACGTATGAACGATCTGCGACGTCGTAGGAGAAGATGCAGCTTATATTCGGTTGGGCCCTCTTGTGGTTCCGCCTCAAGCTTCGTAATTCCGCTCAGCTCGACAGCAGTGATTCCAGGATCTCCAGAACTGAAGATGGTGCTTTTCTGGCTCTGCGACATGGCTGATGCGGAATCCTGAAGGCCGCGACGCTTGGGCTGGGTCCCGGGTGCGGGAGTCGCCCATGGTGAAGACACCCGCGGAGGGCTGTGATCAAAAGTAAATATTGAGATGGACGCCATCAGATTTGAGAATTGCAATATATCCGGGGCGAGTTGTTCTCCCGTCAAGGAGTAACGGATGGAATCAGTGGGCGCTTGCGTGTCCAGATGAACGTTGCCGTCGTCTACAGGATAAGGAACTAAGTCGCAATATTGACCGGGAATTTGTATGAAACAAGTGCGTCTGGTATAATCGTGACATTAATGGGAGCATTTTGGCGCAACTGGATGGCAAACAACAGGTGAGTCAGTCCTGAAGGGTACGCTTGAAGCAGTGGCTTGGACAATGGCGATCGAGAAGCCTGCCGGCTCTACTGTAGCAGATCAAAAGACATTGGAAAAAGCTAGGGGTGCGTATGATCAGGGGAGTGTATGCAAATTGTACGATGGATGGTAGTCAAAGGTATACGTGGTGAGGACGAGGAGAGGTTGTTTTAAGGTTGGCCCGAGCTCCCCGTTGGAGTCATTGTCTGGCACGTGGGGGATGACTAATGATACTCCCTCCTGTCTCGCATGCAGGGTGGCTTCAGGTCTCCATTCTTTCTCGGACCTTGATATCACTTGTGCCATCTAAACCTGGACGGTCAGCCAGCGTGCTACAACAGCGGAATCCATGTATGATGAAGTTGGCATGGTCCCGCCATTAATGTGTCAAGCCGCAAAGTGGGAGCTATAAACCTGCTCACAGCTACTTCTCGGGCACTAGGGTCTGTAGATATATGAAAGCACAAAAATTGGTTTCAGCTGTTTCTTTCACTAGCCGCAGACAATTGCGTTCTTGGTACGGGAATGCGCCATTGATGAACAAGCTGAAATGGATCCCTTTTCCGTTATGCGACTTGGCCAAATCGAAGCTCTCACAGACTGACCCAACGCGGCCGCCTTCAAATGACCTCCCTGAGGCTCTGGCTCGTGCAAAAAGACATCCCCATGTATTCCATCACCTTTATAGGTTCCAGCTCTTGTCTAGGCCACGGCCAAATATCCCCTCCGAGCAGTGAAACTTCCCCCTGCCACATAGGCCGGAGTGGCTTACAAAGTGGTTTACAGTTGAGCATAGTCTACCACCGTTACCATATGTATAATATTTCTCCTTTGGTTATTACAGTCAACATTTCTATCCAAAGGTGGGTCCCGTTTCACTACTTTCCAGTGTCGTCGAACAGGGCATGGCGATGATGGCTACGTCCTACCTTCATCAACGGTCTCATTTTTCTTCACAGTTTTCCACACTGACTACTGCTAAAGACCAATGAGATAATTAGCTTTAGAGCTCAATATTGCAGTGTCTGACAAATTGAGCTGTGCGCGCATTCTTAACCGAGTCAATTCACCGGCGACAATTACAGTGACTGTGACCCAGAATCAAATTAGCTAAAAGACTAATAGCTACTAGTACCGTTACCCATTGGTTAATAATATCCCCACTCTTGATGCCAGTTTTAAGATGAACATTCGCAAGAGAATTATTGCTCACAATCGTGGCGAATTCAGGTCGATTTCACCGATCGCGATGTCGGCTTCTTCTAGCTACTAACTTGAACATAGTGAATGCCTTAGGAGACGCCCAATGGACCAACTGTACGACCGGGTTGTGGTCAGAAAGAATATGAATCTAGATCCTGACGTTGGATACTGCTCATTGCGAAGCCCCTGTCGCAGTTCAAGTGAGTCGGCTCCAGCATACACACTTGAAACACTCCCACAGTGGATAGTATCAGCAATATTCCGTACGGGGAACCGGACTTACTAGAAGAGATTACGCTGCCTTGCCATAAAAAATGAAAATGCATGATGCATGCGTCCTCGAGTAGGCGCCGGCTACTTACTGGTCAATGGCTGTTCCCCAGCGGCACTCATCCATGCGTTTTCCCTCCGTCTTCGAACTGCAAGTTTGACATGAAAAACCACGAAAATTGGCAGCTGCATCTATGAAGCATTGTGAAGATGCATGGTAGCAACGGTTCCTCAGGTCGCCCAGCCCCATGCATTGTCTGTCTCATAGCTCTGTTCCCCTCACTCAAGTGTTCTCTCCAGAGCCGCTACCAGTAGAAGTATATCAAAATGAATGCGCTCACCTACCCCTACCGAGTCGCATGCATCAAATCAGGCGGGGATTGGCTATGCTTTTCCAGTGTCCACCACGGGACCTCTTCTTGGGGGTCGAACGGCGCGTATGGAGCTTGCCTTTCAACAACAAGTATTACTCAACACTCTGTTGACTTGTAGGTGCTTTCCATAGCGCGATTAGTAAATAACAATTGTCGGCACTAACTCTACAAGTGAATCAAGGCGCCAATCTCGATTCAGCTCGCTCTCTCCACTCCTGACGGTCGGCAGCTCCAAGCATGCACCCACTGCACCCACTGCACCCACTGCATTGGGACTCTGGGTCAGCGAAAGCGCCTCGCGTAGAGCCTCGCCACAATGGCGCGGCGAACCATGAACCAGTCAGTGATTGCATGCTGCACTCTCAAACTTTCTCCCTGATGATACATCGGTATCTCAAAGGATCAAAAAAGATCTCTCCAAGCGCCATTCTTTGTCGTTCCTCCCGTTGCTTAGCATTCATTGATGGGTATTTCTTTCGCTTCGCTGCAGACAAGCCTGGCAGCGGCGAGGGAAGTGGACGCTAAACGGGGATTGGCAGCCCCTCGGGTTCCCGTAGGGCTGGACGATGGGTTAGGATCGTTCTAAAGCATTGCCGCGGTTATCGTAATACGAACACAATCAGGCCGTGGTTGCGCGAATCGATAAAAGTGTTAACTGGACTTCAGCGTTGTCGAGCTGCACCCAAATCAGATACTAATGCGCTGCCTGATGCTGCGACAGACTCGACTCCACCACGGCACTTCTCGTTTCGTGTTGCGGTTGGGTATGTGTTGGAGTGTGGTAACGCCGGTTGATGCAGCCCATGCAGCAACGCACACTGTCGTCCCACCTGCGGCTACCCTTGTAAATGGCGCTGGCGCTACCGGTACCGGTAGTGGCCCGCCGTTAGTTATTTCGGCGGCAAGCCGGGTCCAAAGGTCGAGTGTTTCGGGCCCTTTTCAATACTGTAATGGAAGACGACCGCTTTTTGACCTTAAAAACGGCCCTTCGTGACACAGATGCAGTGAAACAGATGCAGCCCTATGGCATGTCTGACTGTGTGTGAATCTCGCCAAATTGTCCATTGAGGGCAGCGGCTGCCAAAGAAAAGACGTCGAAGCTTCTCATCCTCGGATGATATCCGTAACAGGGAAGGGAGGAAACTTGGAGACATGCAAGTGCGCCATCTGACTAGCAGTACGGCCCCCAACATCCTTCCCGCAGTTCCGTTGCGATCATCTTGAACGACGAACCCTTGCGCTCCAAGTCCCGGCTCTGCAAACGTACACAGTAGTAAGCGAGGGTAATTATACCCTACAAGGAACTTGGTGCTTCTGTTCCATTCGAAACTCTCCACCTCTGAACAGGGACATGAGTACAGAATATACCGAAGAACACTGGGCATTGCTGTTTGCAGATTCAGCAGAGCATGAACCATGATCAGTTGGATTAAACCTCCCAGTCATCAGAGTACGGATAGGCGGTGCAGTTTCAGAACATGCTGGCTGATTTAAACGACCAATAATACCGCATTCTCTCGCACGAAAAGAATGCAGCATCACACACGCCAACACGACCTCGAAGTGGACGTCCACAACCAAGACCGCGATGTGACGTCTATCCCTCTTCCGATACATGCAGCACCTGTTCCAAGTTCCAAGTTCCAACCTTCAGCTTGGCAATGCACGTCCGAATACTAGAACGTCGCTATTTGCTGTTGGGCTGGTGGCGCAACACCTGCCGAATGGAGAGTTTTGACGATACGTACGAGTGTTTGGTGAATGTACTACTGGGACGGCAACACTATGAAACCGATTTCCAGCCAAAAAGCATGACGCTGCTATTTAATGCGATACTCGCATACTCTGTACAGTAATTGGGGAAACAAAATCGTCGAAGGAATGGCGCCTCCCGCACCCATAAACAGATCTAATCGGCCGTAGGTTTTAACTCCGCAAAATAAAAACCCCACGTCAAAGCATCGTCGCAGCGCATCATTCTTAGCACCGGCACTACTGCAGCCCAGTCGCATGGAGAGTCAGGACAAGGCTTCTCGCCCCTCCCCCCAAAATCAAAGTCTCACCCTCTCCACAGTTTAAAAGTGGCCCCCTCCTCGACCGGGAAATCAAGCGAGTCCCAGAACGGCAATCGGCGTAAGCGGGGAGAGAATGCGTTGGCGATTGGGCTGTGCAGCCACCCATGCTGGACCATGAGGGTTGGAGCAGAAGGCCACGAGACAGCAAGCGGCAAGGGATGATTAAGCTTGCTGCTTGGGCTGGATGGGAGGTGGGATTTGGAGGCGCCTGCGGGGAGCGAGTGGAACCGCTGGCTTGAAGGAGCCGTCTGACGGCTCCAGTGAGGTGAGCAGGTGAGCTTGAAAGTGCTTCTAGAAAAGTTCCTCTTCCAGACAGACAAAGTCGTAAAATCAATGCATGCGGTTCTGTCGCTGACGAGAGAGACTGCGTGACATATAAGGAGGGATATGACATGACCATTCTATCTATACTCCGAGTGTAAATGATGCAGGTTGTGCGGTCTCAGCTCTTGAGCCACATTCCCTGACCGAAAGGCCAAAAGAACTCGAGGGGCGACCGACCAAGAAGTCAATGGATAAACCGATGTATGAATTCCAGAATCGAAAAGGGAGACGAAAAGGAGAACTCCGTTCCCATGCGAAGAATCCAAGTCTAATAAAAAGCGCCTCTAAATCTTGCTGCGGTAACCTTGCCGCGGTGAACCTGAGGTGAGCGTAATGCGAACCATGTCCGGCTCTGAAATATTGGTCGGTGAACCTTTCCTTAGCCTGCGCCGGGAAATTCGAAATATAGCGTCGTTAGGGAAATTCAGACCGCTCTCTCCAGTCTCTCTTCCTAATCATAGCGCATCGAATCAGATTCCCATAGTTACATTATCCATTTCGCCTTTTACGCCGCATCAGGTCCTGGATATCATGTGTATGAAGATGACGAGAAACGAAAGCGGCAGCAGACCAAGCACCGATGCTCAGCCCTACCGCTTACCTGCTCGAATCTGACGTTCGACGGGGCTTGCATTTCTCGTGTTGCATGTGGCCGTTTCTAGCAGTGGTACGCGTGAACTCCGCCCCGCACCGTGGGCAGTAGCTTTTGGCTGCGGTGCCCGATTTCTCGCGCTGGTGCCGTAACAGATTGCTGAAGGTTGAGAATTGCCGCCCATTGCAGCCATGCTCCCAGCATTGGGGCTTCGGCCGCGTGTTCAAAACGCGGGGCGGGACATTGTTCCCTGGGGTGGAAGGGGTTGAAGGAAGGCCGGAGGCAGATGTGCTGTTAGGAGGAACGAGTCCTGGTGACGGCTCGTAGGCAGGATAGCTAGCGGCAGCGGAGGAAGGCGGATACATCGTCGATGGCAAGGTGTTGTAGCCGCTGATTTCATAGGTGGTCGGGGGGTAAATGGGAGCTCTACTGGCTGTCAGTATATATCCACGAAAATGAATGGCTTCCTCGTACGGTGGGTAGCTAGGTGAGTTACTGGGGAGTGGCGACAAAACTTGTCCTGGAAGGCCTGGATGTAAGGCAGGAAAAGGGTACGATTGAGAGGAATTAAGCACAGCTTCGCCAGACGCAGGCGGATACATGGGTGCCGGACTGGTCCGCAAAGACCCTATCGGCTGTTGATATGGACTGCGAGGCACTGACGGCTGCTGGTATGGCGGCAGAATATTTGATCGCTGGTCTGCTGCGGGGGAACGTGAAGTATAGCCCGGTATATATGCCCCCGAGCTTGTAGGTTGATGTGAAGATACGCGGGAATCCGCGTACGACTGTTGGTAGGATTGGTCACCGTAGTGGTTCATTGAACCGTACTGCGCTGGCATCATATACCCCAATGTACTGTCTTCATGTCAGCAATTTCACCATATGTGCAAAGTATATTCCCCTACCTCATGTCTTGCAGATTTAATGATTGATTCTGCTCCTGTTCAGAATCTGCAGAGAGGCCAAGGCCGTATCTCAGATCTGCCTGATCGCTCGGTAGAGAAGGTAAAGTCGTGGGGATGAGTGGCGAATGTGAGGTCGGTTGTGCTTCGAGATTCTGTGAATCGTTCTGCGTGGGTAGGGACACTAAGTCGGTCGAAGATTGATGGGGTGATTGGTAAGGAGTGAAGTCCAAGTGAAGAGACTGTGGGAGGAGCAGCTGGGAGGGCGCGTTTTGTTCGAGTCCTGAAGGATTCGAGATGTTGCTACGTGGAAAAGTCTCTGGGGCAACGGATGGATCCCACACGGATGGATGAGCCTGCTCGGTTTGATAATCGACAGATGCCTGGCGCGGGGTGAGTGCTGTTGCGGCACGGTGCGGGCGCGGGGCCTTAAAGCGCGGTAGTTCGGGTGGCTGAACAGAGAGGTTCTGGTCGGCGCGGTTTCTGAGTCTTCGTGAGATGGTGGTCGATCTTGAAGAATGCTTTGGAGACCAGAGGGTCATGATCACCGGGGAAGAGTCGGCCACATATGGGAGAGGCTGAGTACCAGGGGGGTGAACGTACACTTGGTGCTATTGACTAGAGCAGTTTGGTGAGGGCTTTATGGCAGCCTTATGGTATGAATGAGTAGAAAGATATTCGCGAGGCAGACTTGTTTGGGTCTGATTTCCAGGTGTGCCTGGGCCATGTCACGGACTTTCATATATCTCCAGCGACTTGCGTATCTAAGCTTCACAGGTGGCTCGCAAGTCTCCAACAACGACCTCCCCTGCCCAGACGGTAAGCTACCTTCAAGGGATGGAACGTGCTCTGGCATTCTACCCTTAGCTGCATTCAGACCGTGCGTAAGGGCAGGGGTAGTGACTAGCCTCCAACAACGGGGGTCAAGGGCCTGACGAAAGAAGCGCTCTGCGTTCGTTCTCTCTTGAAGTTTGGCAGACCAGGGCGAGAAAGCTGGGGAGACCGCATCGCTGGGAATGGATGCATTTACTTGAATCCAAGCAGTAGTGCCTGTAGCTATCCTCTAATTCCCGTTATGGAGGCCACGTTACCCCGGACCACGGACAAATCGTGCGGATGCTGCTTTCCTCTCAGCGGTGAATTGAGTGGACAAGTTCGAATCGCAGTTGCTCAAGTTGTTTGGTTGGTAGTGCTCAACGTCAAACTTGAACGTGCCCTACCTACGTTGCTTCAACGGCCGAAAGCTAGTCTCAGACGCGGGTATCAACGTATCGCCGGTCATCCTGACTACTTGAGAGAGCATCATCGAGTTCGCGCTTGTGCTCGTGGGCGTGCAGGAAGCACGTGCGCATGTCATCGCCGTCTCGCTGGAGCCGCCACGGCTGTCGGAATTGAAAATTCCAGAATGATCTTACAAAAGATGGCGACAAATCCGCAGTAGTCTCCTGCATGCTGTAGGGGGTGGTGCAGTAAGACGATCTCCAGACAGAGGCTGATAGTGTCAAAAAGGGTGGACGAGGTTGTCGAGAGTGTGGCAAGTGTGATTGCCAGTGTGTTCTCCGCCTCGGAAAGTGTCCCGGCGCCAATCTCATCGAATTTGATCATTTTCGGCATCTTTCGCGGACCACACGTGAGGTTGCTCTTCCAAGTCGTCTCGGGATGTAAGCACTTGTGAACGCCAAGGTCAAAACTCATTGGCGGCTTTGGCTATAGCTAACGTAAGTCGAATGCGAAGGGTGTGAGCAGCAGTAATAACTCGCCAAAACTGTACGGTAATCAACTGCGAGCTATTCCCCTGTGGTCGTAACAAAATGTTGGTCCGGAAGTGGTCAGACCTGTGATGAACTCTGACACTGCAAACGGGCTCGTCAAAGATCCACAGACCACATCACGGCGTCCAACAACAACAAAAGATGTAACGCATTATCCCAACGGAAGTAAAACAGAGTCCGAGCGATGTCCGTTATGCTCCTTACGCCTGGCAAAACTCGACAAACATTTTGGCGGTGTTTTAGAAGGCCAGGGACTTTGAGGCGCAGCAGCAAGGCGAGATGAATCGAATGTCAAATATTTGTCCACGTTGGCTTGCCCGAAATGACAGACTGCATTTTCACCCAAAATCAGCTTTATTTGCCCGACAAGCGTCCCAGAAAATTACAGCTGCTGTTGCTGCGGTATGGCACATTGTCGGGCGCCTCGAAGATGGCTGGCCTGATATGGTGCACGTGGAGACGATTCCGACAGATTGATCCACGTTGAAACGGATTGTGGAGCACGATAAAACACCACCGAACATCTGTCCCCTCTTACGGCCAGATTACTGCAGAAGAGTGGTGTCAGAAGCGTCACCCTGTATTGCGGCTCGGGAGGCGTCTTTTTGGCCCCGCGGTAAAGGGAGTGACGTGATCAATGGTGGTCCATCGATACCATCCAATAGCTGCTTAATCCGAGTTTCCCTACAAAAAAGGAAATATCCTCTGAACGCTGTTCATCGCATGGTTTCCTTTTCATCTTGAACCCCATGTCTGTCGGCGTTCTGGCGCCTCTTCTTGCTCGTCCAGAGAAGTGAAGTGGCCAACCTTGGGAAGCATCCTTGGCCTGCTTTCCCCGTGCTTAGAGCTAGTCAGGAGAGGAAGCTCCCAACAGGTCAGGTGGTACGGTTCCGACTGAAGTAACAGGGTATTTGTTGCTGGCGCATTATTGTCTGGCAGAGAAATCTGCAGCCGCGAAGAGAGGAAATACTTTTGTAGCGCTGGCGGCTGCTCTCAAAGCGATAAAGGGGTAACGTTAGTTTTTGCCAGATCACAGTGTGCCATAGTCGTAGCGTTGCAAATTTCGGGGTGTAGACAGGATGCATATTGTGCTTTCCCACAAGTGATCACTCGTTACATTGTAGTCATGAAGGTATCGCTTCGAGCGCACGGCGGAAAACCTGAACCAATTTGTTGGCTTCTTCCAAACCCACACTTACGCGAACCAGATCAGATTCGACTCCCCATGACGCAGCCTACAGAGATTAGTCGGTCGTGAATTCGCATGGGTGCAGGCACTTACCCAGTCCAGCTCTCCGTAGTGCGCGAGTATCACATAAGGTGAACTATCACGGTTAATTGTCGCTTTCACTCATGCATGCAGTATCATAACCTCACCTAAGCGTGAAGTTGGTGCCCAAGCTTGGACCTTTGACAGTGTCCAGGTTATCAAAAAAAGCCACAGCGTCCTGTTTCGTGTGGAAAGTCACCGATAGGAGACCTCCGTAACCGCCTCCTGGATTACGACATCTGTCATAATACTGGCGCGTGGGGCTGTACTTTGGATAATACACCTGCTTCACTGTCGAGAGATGAGTTTACGTTGCTGTCATGAGAATTGCATCCTCACCTTTTGGGTGCCCGAGGAGGGCATCGCAGATGGCTTCAGCATTGGCATTGATCCGCTCGATTCGTTTTACAAAGTCACGGCTGTTGCGTTCAAGGAAGAGGCTATCCTCCGCCCAGTGGTTGTCCTCATAATCCGCGTCCCATACTTTCTTGATCTGTTGATAGAATTTGGCTTTCGGATTGAGAACGAGACTGTTGATGCTAAGCAGAGAAACTGGGTATTGGAATAGTGGCACGAACCTGCCGCCCATGACGTTACTATCTCCACTGAAGACTTTTGTTAAACTGCTGACCACGATGTCCGCGAAAGGGAGAACGTTCACGTTGAGGAAGTTTCCAATGGTCTCGTCGATGATGACGGCGAAGTCGTATTTGTCTGCTAAATGGCGAATGCGTTGGATGTCGGGAGACTTCAGCAGGGGGTTACTAGGGAATTCGGTGAATAACGCTAGAAATCTCTCCCCATTTTCTAATCGCTTCTCCAGGTCATCCAACTCCTCCGAAGAGCCGAATCCATAGAATAAACAACCTGGGCCGAACTTTTGGGCGATTTTGAGGGTGTCAATATAAGGAAAGCTGAAGGTGTGAGTAAAGTGGGCCTTCCGCAAACGCAAACTCTTACCCGAAGACTATGCTTTTAAGCTGACCCCTGCTCTCCAACAAGTTACGGTGGGCATTGAAGATTGCGCTCATTCCGCAGGGATAGAGGTAAACATCATCTTCTGAGAAGCCAGCTACATGTCTTGTTTTCTCCATGTCCCGTTCCAAGGCCAGAGCTTCGGACAGCTCAACGTCTGCAGTCAACGAGCCAGCAATTCGACGTCGCACAGCCAATTTTGCATTCTTCGTCAATGACAGATTGAGGTTCCTGCCAAAGCGCTCCTCGACGAATTGAGTGGGATCTCGAGTTTCCGCCGAAACATTCGTGATGTCAACTGATGTCTTCCTCTGATACCTCCTCGGACCTTTGCAGAACCGCGACATCTCTTCAAGTGCTGGGGAATCAATGAGACCTCCCTCGAGAAACAATGCATGGCAATACTCTGCTCGTCTGCTGGAGATACCGTCACCGGAGTGTTGCCAGAAGGCCTTTCCCGTCCGGAATGCGTCCTCAGGGAAAAGAACAGCTGAGATTCTTGGAGAAATAACAGCTAGTTCTTCTGACCTTTCCTTTGCTGCTGCAGGGACAAGGTCAATGATTCTCACTTGCGCAGGGCTCAATTCAGGGGCCTGCGCCCTGAAGAAGTCTTGACACCTGCGAGCCACAGCAGGGGAAGGAAAAAGCAAGGCTCGCTCTCCGGGTCGACCATACTTTTCCAAAATTGCTGCTGTGAATTTTTCAATGGACTTGTGAATGAAAAACCTGGAAAGTCAGCAGATTCGTGAGGATGAACTCAAATCCCGCGGACCTTGGATAACCTGTCTTCATTTTGGCGACCACCCACTCTTCGCCTTCTTCATATCCGACATTTGCTCTCCACGTAGGCAATGACACACTGACTGCCTTCACTTTTATGAGCCAGATGCTCAAACAGCCTCAAACGTTTAGTGTTGACTCACGTGCTCGGTCATCGGAGGCAGGGTTTCTCCAACATCGATATCGTTTTCCGCGATTGGTACTGTCATGATGAGTAGGCTGGGAACGGAGGGGAAAGATAGAGCAATTGACAAGCAGAATGTAGAAGGAATAGGGGAAGCTACAAATTTGCGATCATGAAGAAGCGTGGCAAGCCAACCTAACAGTTTATGAGTCTGCGTCCGACTTCGGCTAGACACTACGCGGTTATCGATAAGCGCGCATCAGCCACTGCACCGCCAGTTCTCTCAAGCCACACTTGAACGTCGGGAATTTTTTGTTGTGCAGAGGAAAATACGACTTCCTCTCCCAACACCAAATATGGCAGCGCCTGTAACGAAAAGAAGAAAGCTACGGCATGATAGCGACAACGGCTCCGAATCCGAGGGAGAAGCGGGCGGGGTGCCCAGCGCGCCTTTTGACAGTGGAAGCCATACTCCAGCGTTCAAAGAAGCACAACCCAAGCCGTCGCATACTAAATCCGATCTCGCGCTTCAGGATGGCGTTTACACGTCCGAGGTGTTTAAGTCAAACATCTTCAAGCTTCAGGTTGACGAACTGCTTGATCAAGTCAGGTTCAAATACGGGAAGAAGACAGCGCTGGTCGAGACTGCCATGCGAAAGATAAAAACCATAATCGAGCAGCTTCCCAGTCGGGAGCCGTTGCCGGTAGGTGACGATGCGAACACATTTGCCACTCAAGCTCACTCTGGTTAGATTGTGGACGCTGAGACTGCCTTGCGTTCTGAAGGCGTCGCTGTCCCTTTCCCGAACCCACGCCCACCGAAAGACGCCAAGTACAAGTTACAGTATGAGAGACCTTCCAACATAAACGTGACGGGCAGTTTCCCTCTAAAGACTGCGACAAGGACGGACGGGGACTTCGCCATCGACCTTGTCGTGACTATGCCCAAGACGCTGTTTCAGGAGAAGGACTACCTCAACTACCGATACTTCTACAAACGAGCATATTATTTGGCCTGTGTAGCTGCTGGGATTCAGAATTCCAAGGCAGGATATTTCAAGACCTCCTTCGATTGCTTGAACGGAAATCAACTACAGCCCGTCCTGGTTGTGCATCCTAGTGGCGATAACGGCGCGGACGACTTCTCCAGCTCCAAATGCGTGGTTCGGATTCTCCTCGCTATTCCTGAGAACACCTTCCCCGAAAGCAAGCTGCGCCCCGGGGCAAATTGCATACGTTCTCAGTTTGCGTCTGAGGAGGAGACGAGCAACGCAGCAGGGCCGACTCCATTCTACAACGCCACTCTTCAGTCTGATGTAGCTGTTACCCCGTATCTCAAGCTTCTCCACTCTGCTGCGGCGAAATGCGAAGCCTTTAAAGACGCTTGTATCCTCGGTCGTATCTGGCTAAGACAACGCGGATTTGGGAGTCGTATACGTAAAGGCGGATTTGGTAATTTTGAATGGGCCGCGCTTATGGCCGTACTCCTCCAGCCTACACCAGGTGCAGGCACTCCACCGCTATCAACTGGCTATAGCAGCTACCAGCTGTTCAAGGCGACTCTACAGTTTCTTGTGAAGCACAGCCTAACGAGAACTCCTTATGGCTTCAACGTACGCGACGTCACGTTTCCAAAGACAAATTTCGCCCCTGTTTTCTTTGACGGACCCCGAAATCTCAACCTTCTCTTCAAAATGACGCCCTGGTCATACTCGCGGCTGCAAAATGAAGCCAAGGCGACAATTGATATGCTTGGCGACTCTACGGCAGATCATTTTGAGTCAACCTTCATCCTCAAGGCGGACCTGTTGACTTTTCACTATGACGCAGTTTTGAGAATTCCTTTGTCTAGTTTGGAGGTAGATCCCGTGAGTGAAGACTACGATGAAGCTCTGCTCGAAAAGCTTCGTAGCCTTTACAACACACTTACGCGAGCCCTTACTGACAGGGTCACGACTCTGGACCTACTAGCGCCGGACCACGATACCTGGGAGGTAGCCTTAAAGAGGCCTCCAGAGAGTCAACACAAGTCTGTACTAGTCGTCCTCAGTACAAGTCCATCCAACGCGAATCGCACAGTTGATCTTGGACCTGCCGCGGAGAACAAGAAAGAAGCAGCCTCGTTTCGCCAATTCTGGGGCGAGAAGGCCGAGCTGAGACGGTTCAAGGATGGTAGCATTCTCGAGAGCGTAGTGTGGTCGGTCAAGGACACATCGGTCCCCGTCATGGAACAGATCATCAAGTTCACTCTCAAGAAGTATATCAGTGCACAGGCAGCTGAGAGGGCAAGCTTCACTTTCGATTCGTACGCCGCCATCATCCCCTCTGGTCGTGTGCAGGGTCAATCAGGTGTCTTCGCCTTTTCTGCAAGGATGAACGCTCTCGCCAATCTAGAGAAGGACATCCGGGGTCTTGAGGGCTTACCCCTTCAAATTCGCCATATCAAAGCAGCTGATCCACAACTGCGCTATTCAGCGGTTGATGTTGACTCCATGCGGACCCCGGCGTCAATAGTCATTCAGTTTGAGGTCTCCGCTCGCTGGCCTGATGACCTTTGCGCAATCCAACGCACAAAAGTCGCATTCTTCCTCAAGCTGTCGGATCTGTTAGCCGAAGAGAGACCCGAGTATGTCACTCGAGTGGGACTTGAGAATCAGTCCTCGCCCTCAAAGAATCAAGCCTATCTTGACATCATCCTCCCCTCCGGCTTTTCTTTTCGACTGCGTATACAACACGAGCGCGAAGCAACCCTGCTGGAGCGTCAGCTGAAAGATAAGACGCTGGATAACCAGTCACGGGAGTCAGCTGCTTCAGCACTCGCTATCTACAATAGAGATTATGTCCATGTTCCCGCCCATACACAGGCTCTGCAAACCCTATGTACACGATATCCGGCTCTGTCACCTTCGATACGACTGACAAAACGATGGTTTGCCTCGCACCTCTTGTCCTCACACTTTTCGACCGAGCTTATCGAACTTATGGTCGTGCGCACTTTCCTTCAACCTTACCCTTGGGGTGTTCCTTCCACCGCAACAACTGGCTTCTTGAGAACGTTGTTGTGGATGAGTCGATGGGACTGGAGACATGTACCTCTAGTTGTTGACTTCTCCTCGTCCGTCTCTGCTCCCTCAGGTGAGCTTGGAACAACAGAGAAAGCCAACGGGAGTCTGGGAACTCAAGAACTGCAAAAGATCCAGACACGGTTTGAAGCTTGGCGACACATCGATCCGGCGATGAATCGCGTTGTACTGTTTGCAGCAACGAATTTGGACAATGATGGGACGACGTGGAGTGACAGGGGTAATCCTGAAAAGGTTGTGGCGGCCAGGATGACCGCTCTTTCACGCGTTGCTACAAATGTTTTGAGAGCACATGAAGACAGTCTGATAGCGTACATGAACGGCAAAGGACCTGGTGAAGATTTGAACCCCTTCAAACCCGAAAGTCTCTTTGTTTCCGATCTTGGGGACTACGACATCATCATCCGCCTCTCGTCAAGGTTCTCCACTAAATCGACGAAGAAAACAGAGCCCAAGTTCAAGAACCTAGCAGTGCAGCAAGGCTCTCTCTCCGAGGAAGACAAGCGGAACGTCGGGTATGCTCCTGCGGCTCTTTTTGCCGAGGACCTGCGACAAATCTATGGTGATGCTGTACTCTGGCTCTGGAACCCGGAAAACTTCGATGTCATCGCTGGTTTGTGGAACCCTATGGTCACCGCAAGAAGGTCTTGGAAAGTCAAGCCTGGGTGGAACAGCATGCCTCAACGTTCAGCGAAGGACAAAGAGGGTGAGGAGGAGGATGCTGGTGCTGACATTGACATCAATAAGGGAGCGATATGTAATGAGATTAAGAGATTAGGCGGAGAGATGATTGCTTCGATTGAGCTTCGTAACTAAAGACCTACAATAGATATTGATGGCTCTATGCCGCATGTTGTATACATTGGTCTCGCGACCAGGGTAATTGAACTGTATAAGTTCATGAGCCGCGTAAGATATCATAATCAATCATAGTTCTAAAAATCGATATCTTTTGCACCGTGGGCATACTAGGTACCCTCGCGCAGAACCCGCTCTTACACAGTACAGAGAGCGCACCCGCCCATGTCAGAATCATGATACGGAGCAGGGCATTCCTATCACTCCCGAGGTGGTACGACCACGCCTGAAAAGAGTCGCCACAGACTCGAAAATGTGAGAATTCATCGGCATGTTGAGGGAAAACCATGCATACACAGTGTTTTCTGTTATTAGAGCTTCGCCACGATCACAGCACTCTGGTACTACGTCTGGCTGTAACGATTGTCGTACCTACCAGAAAAGGGGTGCGGTATCAGCCCATGGCCAGACTCGTGCGGACCGTGTGCTGGAGACGTCTCTTCCGTGCTCCTCCCTTTTCCATGTCCATCTTCCATGCAAATCATAGAAGCTACACTGTCGACTTGAAGTACTGAGAAAATCCCCAGATGGACAAAAGTACGGCCCTGATAAAGCGAGTCAGCTGTTCACCAGTGGAATCGAAGACCATCAAGGTTGTGTGGGGCCGCCCAGCATCAGGTTGTGGGGGAGACTGGAAGAGGGGTACAACCCGACGATGCCTATAACGATGTATTCGGAGCGCATTTTCGAGATGGATTTGTTAGAAGCGAGTCCGTAGGTTTGTTTCAATATATTTGCTGGTCTGAACTCGTCTCCCGTCGCACCATGGCATTACTTGTACTTCCGCTAATTCCTCCTCTGCTTTGGAAAGCGGGACTCATCATCTCCTCTCCCATTCTACTTATATTGACAGCGTATTTCTTCCTCGTCCCCAATGTCCTCAAAGACCCGCGGAGGCGCAAGCTCCCTCCCGGTCCCAAAGGCCTTCCCTTCGTGGGTAACATGTTCGATCTAGCCGACACGGAAGCAGTCCGAGGCAAAGTAATAGAATGGCACAAGCGATACGGCGACATTTTCTACACCAAAATCGGGGGCACGGACTTTGTCTGGCTCTCCTCACCCAGAGTCGTCAAAGACCTCATGGACAAGAAGAGCAGCGTGTATTCATCCAGGTCGCCGGCTCCACTCGCTCAAGACGTCGCTAGTGCGGGAAGACGACAATTGTTTATGCCCTATGGGGCGAGGTGGAGAAGTATAAGAAAGCATAGTCATGCGTTGCTGAATCTGAACGCATCTGTGAAATATCAGCCGGTGCAGGATTTTGAGTCAAAGCAGCTGCTGGTTGAGTTCTTGGACAGTCCGAAGGATTTCTATCATCAGAATCGGAGGTATTCAGCGTCAGTTATTATGCTTGTGACTTACGGGTATCGGATTCCGTCCTGGCAAGATCCTCTGATCAAAAAGATATATGATATCATCGACAACTTCACCGAGATGACGTGAGTTCAAAATTCCGTACTGTTATTCCTGCTGACAGAAGTAGAGCGCCTGGTGCACATGCAATTGACAGCTTCCCGTCCCTCACTTGGCTTCCCCAACAGCTGCTCGGCAACTGGCGCACATTTGGAAAGCATGTCTTTGATCATGACAGCAAGATATACCTAGACCTCTGGAATCGTTTAAAGCGAGAAACTGACAGTGGCGAAGCACGCGACTGCTTCACCAAGACCTTCTATCTTAACGACCCTCAGAAGAACGGTATTGACGATCTTTCTGCTGCATACACATGTGGTGGGCTTATCGAAGCTGGATCCGAGACTACGGGAACGACATTGAACAATTTCGTCCTATGTATGGTGTTATTTCCTGAAGCGCAGAAGAAGGCCCAAGAAGAGCTAGATAGAGTGATCGGTTCAGACCGCATGCCGAATTGGGAGGATGAGAAGGACCTGCCGTATGTGCGGAGTCTGATTAAAGAAGTACTTGTAAGTGATGATCACCTGTTCTCAGACGGTGCTGACGGTAAGATTAGAGGTGGAGACCAGTGAATAAATTCGGTATGCCGCATGCAACATCTGAAGATGACTGGTACAATGGATACTTCATCCCAAAGGGTTCTGTTGCAGTCCTGAATTGGTGGTGAGATTAAACGATCGGAAAATGGCACGATAGTGACTGAACACGTTCTTTAGGGCAATTCACAGGGACCCTACGCTATGGGACAACCCTGACGACTTTAACCCCGATCGGTACCTCAGCAGACCTCTTCCTGCAGCTGAGTACATGAACATCTCGGATCCTTATGAGCGCGACCATTTCACTTACGGTGCAGGTCGGCGAGCTTGTCCAGGTGTGCATGTTGCTGAACGATCGCTCTATATCAATATTTCCCGTGTGCTATGGGGTTTCAATATCGGAAAGAAGAAGGCGCCCGACGGTAGCTTCATCGAGCCCACGCAGGCCATGGTGAGGGGGTTCATGGCCGTACCGGAGCCGTTCGAATGTGATATCTTGCCTAGATCGAAGAAGCATGCAGAGATCATAAGGAAGGAGTTTGCGAAGGCGGAAAAAGAAGGCATCAGATTCTGATCCTGTATTTGAATGGTAATGGAAGTACTAGTTAGTACCCTTCTTCTTCTCATGTACCTTCGCATACGCCTTATCCCATATCGCCAGGCTCTCCGTACCAATCCATTTCTGACTCTCATTCGCCCAATCCACCATCTGCCTGAAGTATATGTTCTCCTGTGACAGCTCGACAACCTGTCCAGTCATGGAATCATCATTCAAAAACGCATCAATCGCCTTTACCGCCGTTGACAGTGGTGTGATGTGTTCCTTTGGCCATACCTCCAACATTTCCGGTGGACAAAGATTCGTTGGAATAAAAGCAGGGCAGATACAGTTCACCGTTATCCCCTCTTTCGCAAACACGGGTCCGGCTGCTCTCGTCAAACCGACAACTCCATACTTACTTGCGGTGTACTGCGGATTTGTCGTCATATAGCTATCCATAATCAGCCCACTCTTCCCAATTAGCGCATCACAAAAAAAAGAACAACTTACTACAACCCCGCCGAACTGCTGGTCGCAACAAACTTCCCCTTCCCCCTCCCCGGTCCCTCGCTCCTCCTGACATAATACTTAAACAACCACAATCCCTGAATCACAGCCTCCAAGTTCACGCTCATCGTCTTCGTATTCAGCGGCTTCACCAACCCCTCTTCATCCACGGCCGCCTCTTCCGCCAAGTCCTCATACAACAACTGCCTATCGTCGATACCGGCATTCGCGTGACAAAAGTCCAATCGATTTCCGCCCCATTCGAATGCTTTCTTGAACATGAGAGCTTGCGAGCGGTAATTGGAGACGTCGGTTTGGATGAATGTTGCGTCTGGCCCTAGGGATGCGGCGGCTGCGGATCCCGATTCCGCGTTCATGTCGGCGATGACGGTGCGATATCCTAGGGAGTGTAGGTGCGTCGCGATGGCGAGGCCGATGCCGGACCCGGCGCCTGTGACGATGGCAACGGGTTTGGACATTTGGAAGACAGATGTGAATGTCGGTCGGGGTAAGCGATCAAGAAGGGGTGTTTTGAAAGGTGCGAGCGACGGGTTTACTGAATGATGTATGAGTATGGTCTGAGCAGTCTCTAGCAGATATTTACTTGTGGGTAGTCTTTAGTAAAAAAAATGTTCAAGTCTGTCCATTATGTGCGCTTTCATACATGGTGCTTGTTGGGGTTGTGGAGAGTTACAGGGATGTAGGACCCCACATAACGACGACAGAATGGGACCGCTTGCTCAATATGCGGGGTATAGATCCCACTCTCGGGTTAGGAGACGGGAAAGGTAAAGGGATTGATAGGGGACCTATTTCTACTAGGGTACTCAATCGAGAGTAGAGTTACCTGGTGAATGTCAACCTACATCATGTTACCCGAGGTTGGCTTCCCTTCGCCGAGGAGGTCATTCCACGAACTGTTTCCGTAACCATACGGCACGGTATCTCTATACTTTTATACATGGGTTAGCCGTAGATGTACCAGATGCATAGGAATCTGTTTTCGCAGTGATAAGGATGTTTTACCTCGAGGCTTTCCTCAAGTCCTAGGTCAAATAATTTCTGTCGCAACAACGGCGGCGTGCATTGGTGTAGGGACCTCTCTAAATGTGAATTAATTAAGGAGCGGCCTTTTATATGCTAGCTGAGGATTAGAATGGGTGCTTATTACTTTGGGGTCATGGGTTCGGAAAGGCACGGCGCAGTACAAGCGAAATCCAACCGTCTACAATAGCAAATATGATTCTCCACGAAATCTTTGGGTGTAAACACACCTAGTTCTCCTTTCATGATATTGGCCGCACCTCAATTCACAAATTGTGGGGCAGTGTGGGGAGAGCCACATATTTACTAGAAAGGTAGTAATCACGTCCACGAAAACCATAACCATCGGTTAGTTGCTGCCATCATGCCATTAGAGAGATCACCTTCTGGTCGAACATACGTCGTCCACCGAAACGGACAAAAGACTCACTATATAGAGAATGATTTCGCTGATCCATGGAAGGCGCATGATACCATCCTCATTCAGCACGGTTTCGGACGCCATGCGGAATTCTGGTACCATTGGATTCCTGTGCTCTCGCGGAAATATAGAGTGATTCGAAGAGATTTGCGCGGACATGGGTATTCGAGTTACCCAAACCCAGGAGACGAATATGAGTATACCGTTCATACGATCCTCGATGAGATAATCGACACGTTGGATGCTCTGGGAGTTGAGAAAGTTCATTTTCTGGGAGAGTCGACGGGGGGTATGTTGGGGGAGATGTTGGCTGCGAGGTGAGTGAGTATCAGGGAGGCGAGATGCCTCAGTCCTGACAACCTACATCAGAAACCCAGAGAGACTGCATTCTCTGACAATCTGCTCCACTCCAACGCACCTGCCAGAAGCAGCACTGAAGCTCTTCGCCTTCGACAAAAAGGACTGGCCGACAGCATGCCGAGAGCTGGGCTCACGCGGCTGGTGCGAGGCTCTAAGTAAGATTCCAGGCACCATACCAATTTCCGATCCGGATTATCTACCATGGTACCTTGACCAAATCAGTGTAAGTGACGGTGAAGGTCTAGCTGGATACGCAGAATTCCTTACCACTTTGGATGCTCGGTCTTTTCTATCGAAGATCCGTGTTCCAACACTTATACTCGCGCCCGCGAACAGCGCGGCTGCAAAGCTGGAGGATCAGAAGAAACTTGCAGAAGAGATCCCTGGAGCGCGTTTGGAAGTTGTTGATGGACCTGGACATGAGATATATGTCACTGAAGCGGAGAAGTGCCAGAAGATGTTCTTGGATTTCCTGGGGCGGTTGGTCAAGTAAAAGGCGAGCGAGGGCGCAATCATGCTTCAGACGCGTGAATGGCATATCCCATATTCTCTTTCAGAAGCTGAACAGTGTACTGTAGGTAGGTAGGTTGGTTCCTATGGGAAATGTATGCAGACGAATGCCATGGGGCTCAGCAAAGCCAAGTCTTACCCCTGAACTCCACAATCTCAACCGTTGAAATATCGGTGCACGGTTCAACCAGCGCTCTGGCGGTGCAACGGCGCCACACACAGCCTCACCCCTCGGCCCCAGTTTCACTTTTTCAAATAAATCCAGATCCACTGATCATCTTGTTGAAAGTTACAAGCTCGCAGACATGTCTCTTCCAATCACCTCTACTCACACAGTAACCGCATTACTCTGGAGAGCTCCTCTTCTCCACCATATCCACCTCTCGTTGTACCATCCGACCCTGATACCCGGTGTGCATGCCCCTCCCTGACGTGCAGCCAGCACCCCCAAAACAGTTGAACCCCTATTAACCCTCAACTTGCAAACTCGTCCTTGCATGAGTTCGCTGAAGACATAACGTCGCTCCCTCCCAATCTCCAGGATCTACCATGTCCACCCCACCTACCACCACCTTCGCCAAGGAAACCCCAAAAACTTTCTCCACGCTCTCCATCCTCTCCCAATCCAGCGTCGAAGACTGCTCCAAGGAGCGTCAATCTCTCCTCCTCCGCGACCTCGAACTCCTCCTCGACCTCACACCCAGCACACTCCGTTCCAACCTCCTCGCCCTCCCCCGCGAAATCCGAGAGCAGATATTCCAGCATGTTATTCCCTCACGCGACAACGATGAATCCGCCCGACCAACCCTCCACACCCCCTTCTGGTCCGCCGACATGATCCACGAGCCCTGGTCCCACGACACCTTCGGCTACGCTCCCAGCGTCCCCCTCCCCTCCCGCCTCCCTCCCTATCTGCTCCTCATAAACCGCCAATTGCGCGACGAAATCCTGCAATGCTACTGGCGCCATTGCGACATCACTCTGCACGTCGAGCTGCGCAATTCGCGGAGCCCGTCGAATCCTCATGATTGGCGAAAACCGACGGTTGGTACGAGCGGCTCGGTATCCGGATTCAAATACTCCCCACACGTCCGCTCGCTATCCATGCTGAAGGAAATTGCCCACGTGAGGTTCTACGTCGAGTGGAACTACGCTCTTCCCACGGGTCTGGGAATCAGCACGGCGGCGCGTGCGGCGCGAAGGGAGTACTATGTGGAAATGGTGGAGGACCTTGTGCGGACAATGGGGAGGATGTTGGAGACGGCGGGGCGCATAGAGACGATTCAGCTGTCGATATTGTTCTTCTGGACACAGTCGAAGGGGATGGTGAGGGTGCCGTATCAGCTCTCTATGCAGGATTTGTTTGACCTGGAGGAAGTGTGTAAGAGGGGCGCGGAAGGGAGATGGTTGGGGATGTTGGGGGGTCCTGCCCGTGATGGCGAGGATAAAAAGAAGAATAAAGGAAATCCGGATGAAGAAGATATCAACGATCCGTCGGGCGTTGGCTACAAACTCCTCGTCGAGCACAGCAAGGGCACAGAACAAAGCGGCGCCATGGAAATTTACATTGCGCGGGATCTGGAGGAGGCGATGGGCCGTTCCGAGAGGAGGAGGGAGAGTATGGCGAATGTGGATTTCTATGGCAACTTTGGCGTCGTGGATGTCTTGCCGCAGCCGGCGTATAAGCCTGGAGGGATGATATAATTGCGGGGAAAGGCATGAATATCAATAGCATCGAGCCCACACACCTACGACGAAGTCTTGGTAATCTATAAACCGACGAACTTCTATGACCATGTCTATATGTACCAACCATCCCATGCCATGCCGAATGCGATACAATGCAATCGTCACCAAAGGACGCTATATGCAAATGCAAAAGAGGATCTCCCATTTCCACCCCCCTTCCCGCTACAGCTTCACCGTCGTCCTCCTTCGAATCCTCTCCCCATACCGAATCAAGACAAACGGAATCGGAACAAGCGCAACACTCAAAAAAGCCAGCAGCGAATTCCCCCACCCATACCCCAACCTCGCATACATCTGCTGACTACTCAGCGGAATCAGCGCGGCCGTCAGACTCCTCAGAACCGTACTCGCCGCCATCGCACTCGCCGCATGCACGGTGAACACATCCACCAAGTACGTACTAGCAGGCATGAAGGTCATGAGCAATCCGAATCCGAGGACCCCGGTCCCCACGACGGGAACCATGTAGTGCGTCTGAGCCTGCACGCTCCAGCCGTACCAGAAGAGACCCACAGGGAGGAAGAAGCCGCCTACGCACATCATGCCGAGGCGATGCTCGGGCTGGAAGTCGCCTCGGGCAATGTGCTTCGCGACCGTCTTGTTGCCGAAGTGCGTAAACACCCACTGCCCGAGTAAACTGCCTACTCCCAGGCCGAGGAACGAGAGCCCGACGACGCCGCCGTGCCAGGCGTACTGCGTCGTGAAGACGGCGGTGAAGGTGGTGAAGAGGATGTACAGGTAGGCGTACGTCATGGCGCAGTAGATGGAGATGACGGTGCAGATGGGGGCGCGCAGGAGCATGCGCGTGGGGCGCACGATGGAGAATTTGAAGAGCTGTTTTGGCGTGAGGCCGCTGTCGAGTTTGGATTTGAGAGCGGCGTTGCCGGTCGAGGCGCGGAGGCGGCGGGCTTTTCGTTCGAGGAGGACGGGGGCAGAGGTTTCGGACATGAGGATCATGGAGACTATGGTGAAGGCGCCGGCCTAGGGGAGGTTAGGGCAGAGTTCGGCAGTGTTTGGTGGTGAAGGACGGGCACTTACAACTATGGCGACCAACCAAAAGTTCCATCTCCAACCTCGGGCTGCGGTGAGGTAGCCGCCTATGATGGGGCCTACGCAGGGACCGATTGCTGATGGACAGTTAGAGGACCCTTGTAACGAAATACAAGGCTGGAAGCTTACTTGGACCCATCATCCACACCACCATAGCCGTACCTCGTTGCTCCCGTGGTATGATATCTGCGATAGTACCACCCCCAAGCACTAACGGTGCTCCTCCGAAGCCTAGACGAAGACAATCAGTTTACGACGGCTGATATTATGACGGATAAGACTTACAGCCCATGAAGAAACGAAACACAATGAACATGCTCATGTTCGACGCCACGGCCGCCGCGATGGTGAAAATGATGAAGAAGACATTGCAAGTGTGATACAAAGGCAACCGTCCATACATCTCCGATAGGGGCGCGAAGAATAGCGGGCCGAAAGCGAATCCAAGCACATAGACGGACACCATGAATCCCTCGAGCATATCGTTCGTCGAGTGGAATGTCTTCATCACTTCCGGCACTCCAGGCGCAAACATGGACGAAGCGAGCGGCGTAAGGAACGTTATACACGACACCACTGTTACAGTGCCCCATTTCTTCTTCTCGGACCAGTTCATTGGATTTTGCGGATCGTCTGGACCATCCCAGAACACGATCTTGGGATCATGATGTTCTTCTTCATCCTTCTCTGGTGCCGCCTCGCTGCCGCTGTGACTTTCCACCAAACTTGTCAACGAAGATGCGTTCCCCTTCTCCACATCGATGTCTTTGTCAAGCTCCATGGACGGAGATTCAGCCTTGCTTGGCGGCGCAGGGCAATCGTTAATGCTCCCGGCATTTGTAGGAATGTCTGCATCGTGGCCTTCGGCGGCTGCGAGTTCTACGATCTCGCCGTGAGTCGGATGTCGGTAAAGTGACTCTGGCATGACGACCAAACGAGATTGTCGTCAGGCGGAATGAGGGAGTACAGATGGTAGATCGTTGAATTTATTCAAAACTGTTACACGCGGAGGGTGTTTGTTGGAGATGATCGATTCCGGAGTAGAGTTGATGGACCGAGGTATGCTGGAGATGTTGTTCTCTATATGAAGGCGCCCTGCTATAGCTACAGATTTTTGGATTTGATCGCGAGGGAAGAAGAGAAAGCACAGACGGATTGGAAATCCCCGTGTGTAGACATATAGGTTCCTAGTCAGGTCGTCGACTCATAAACAAAACGGGTGAGGAAACCAAATAAACCTGGAATAAAAAGCTGCAATGCGCCATCTACCTATCATGGGGCATATGGATATTAAGTAGCGAATAGAGCACCGCGGAGGGCTAGCCTGATGGACTAGATGGGAGGTGGAGGGAGGGGAGGGAATCCTCACAGTGCCGAATTACCGACCGCAAGGTCGAGTTGGGTTGCCACTAATGACTCCCGCTGTTAAAGCCGTAAATTCCATGAATGCTTGTTTCCGCGACCGGTGTCGCAACCAACAAGCACAACTGGAAATCCGAGAGCGTGGAACCCACGGGTCGGGAGCGACATAACGTTATGGTGGAGATGTGGAAGAGGAAGAGGTCGATGAAAGAAAGATGGAAAGGACAATCCAGCTCCTGGCTAGTATTGCAGTGATAGAGAATACGCATCAGTTGATCCCAGACTCGAAGAAACATCGATTCCAGATGGACTCATGTATAAGTGCAAAGTGAGTAGGCGTGTCATGGCATGGGTATATCAGATCTCGGCCGAGATTATGTGCCCTATCTGATCACCTGTCATGACTTTCGCGGACTCAGACCGTACCTTTGTCCACATCCACCTAAATCGATGCTCGGGTATACGTCCCCCGCAATGATGCGGGTATCCAAATCGAAATCGATACCAATACAATACTGCACAAACACTCCGCGGCTCACCCTACGCCCTCCGACTCTTGATTCCCCACCTACCCACCTCCTTCATAGCCATCTCGCCGCCATCTTCCAACCTAGCATCCCCCAGCACCCCAGCCAAACACTTCCAGCCATCCCTTCCTCCACCCCACCTGAGTACCTCGTTCTTGTACTTCTCCCCGTTGTCTCTGCTCACACTTCCCTCTGGCCCTCTCTTCTGAAATACGTCCGACCAGATGTGGCTTGCAATCGCCGTGTCGAAAAGGTAGGAGTAGTACGTGGCTCCGTAGCCAAAGAGATGTCCGAAGAAACCTTGCCATGCTGTGCCTTGGGGCTCAGGGATGGATGCGTACTTGTTGAATACGTCGTGGTACGTCTTTGTAGAATCGAAGGAGCTTTCCAGAGGAAGGGACGAATGATACGCCTGGTCCAGTATAGCGAGTAGAATCTGAGCTTCCGTTTCGGCAGCCTTGGTGCGTGTGTCGATTGCCAGGCGCTGATCGAGCGCAGACTGTGGTAAGGGCGCATCGGTTTCCCAGTGTCTTGCGAATAGTGCCAGCACTAAGGGTGAGGATGCGAAATATTCCATTAGGACTGATGGCAACTCTGCGAAGTCGGTTGCGCACCGTGTGCCACTAACATTCTGCAGCGCTGTCCGGCCGAGGAAGGAGTGCACGGCGTGTCCCATCTCGTGGAAAAGGGTCTTAACGTCGTTGAAGTTGAGTAGCGCTGGCCGAGGAGGATGGTGAGACGAGAAGTCGCAGATGAGTGCGATCGTCGGTAGTTGGAAATAACTGTTCGTTTGGGGATTGAGAGCTACAGCCATGCCGTCCGTTGCCGCCTCAACAGGCGAGGAAAATGGGTGCTGAGTAGCTGCAGCATCCTGGATTTCCGATTCCGATAGCTCGCGGGAGCAGCGTAGTGTAAAATGTGCCGGATTCGGTGTTTTGCCATCGCGGGAGAAGAGGTCGCAGTACAGCACGGCAATATGCCCATCAGTATCAGAGACGACGTCTAGTCGTCGCACATCGTCTCCCCAGACCTCGCCAGGCTGGGTTTCCCGCGGTACAAGGCGAAGACCGTATAACCTGTCGAAGAGGCGGGAGAGTCCCTGCATCACCGTGCCGACTGAGAAGTAAGCCGAGAGAAAATCAGGAGAGCGGAGCTTCATGTCCATGTTGGAAATGAGGCGATGCGTGTAGTAGAACTTGTCCCATGCGTGGATTTGAGGGGGGGAATTCGACTTCGTGTCCGTCATCTTCAACTCCATCAACTCTCGCAGCTCCTCTTGAACCTGATGCCTGTTGTCTTCGATCAGAGCATTTAGGAACTGATTGACTGCCTCCGGGGACTTTGCCATCTTATTCTCCAACGTCATATGCGCGAAGCTCTCATATCCTGACAACTTTGCCAGCTCCGCTCTGTTCCTCAACATCTTCTCCAATCGATTGATGCTACTCTTATTGGCTGTCCGCACAGCCATGTATATCTCCTTTCTAACCTCGGCGTCATCCACGTATCTTAACGCCATCTGTGCCTCATGGTTCATAGTATTGATCTTCGTCTTCCCCCACTTCGTCAACATCCTCACCATTCCCGGTTCCAGACCCCTCATTCTCGTGCTATCGAACGTCAATGTCGGCGTCGCCGGGGCCATACGATCGACAAACTCGGCGCCATCATGTGCAATCTCATTACTGAGCTGGACAAAGCGCTGCCTTGCGCCGTCTGGCAGCTCAATCGCCGACCGCGAGAAATCCTCAAGCAAAATCTTAGCCACCACTCGCTCCTGCTCAGTCCACGATTCCCACACTTCGGGAACATCAACGGCCTTCTTCAACTGGTCATTCAGCACGGTCGTCGTGTTCAGCTGATTCATGTACTGGAACATGATCGCATACGCCTTATTCGCCGCAGCCTGCACTTTTCGATCCGGATGGGTGCCCCGTACAAAGTCGGCCAGATCGATGACCCGACATAGCAGATCGCTTAACCTGTCCAGATCCCTCACCATGCTCTTGTACTCCTGCACCGAATGCGCGGAGCTCACCCGCCGCACTATCCTCTCGCACCTGTGCAGCGTTATGGTGACAAAATCCAGAAACCCGTCGGGATGCGTGAGATAGCGATTCCCTACTATTCCCGTTGGCGGATTCACTTTCGACTTTTGTGAGAAGGAAGCCCAGAACCGCGCATCGTCAAAGACCTTGCGGAGTGTCTCATCGTCCCGTTTCGCGTAACCGGTAGTGAGGCCGTAGAGCGAGGAAGCCGAAGGGGAAGAAGCATGGTCGCGTGTGGAAGTGCCAGCAGCGACGCTGGTAAACTTTCTGTCGAACTGCGACTTCTGGCGACAACGTGCGCATATCCACGGTGCGTTGGAGGCCGGTGCCTTCACCCTGGCCAGGCGCTTGAGCATGGCTTGATCTGTGTAGGGAAAAAGGAGGTGTGAAGCATGGAAGGGATGCAGTTCCTATCAGATGTCGAATCTTCCCGTCGGTCCCGGCTGGCGGCGAAGAGAAAAGCTCGGACCGCCCGCTTCCTTTTGACCTCCGAACCTCACCTCCTCACCAGATTCTACCAGGGCACGACACTCTTCCCCGCCCATCTCCATTGCGCCTTGAACTCGTTTACAATGGCTTTCAGACCGCTGCTGCGGAATGTATGTATCTTTATCTCGTTGATGAGAGGGCAATTGGCTAATGAGATGCAGAGCGCCGTGGTTCCCGGCCTGGCTGGAGTCGTCGTAGGATTGGGCACCACAATGTACTCAGAGCGAACACTACACGCTGAGGAGCCGCCTTCAGAGCAGAATACCCTATCATTGGTGCGCTCTTCTTTCCGTCAATATGCCCAGTGCACATGAGAATTAATACATAGCTCCGCAGCACCGCCGCAAACCCATCTACGACGACCTCCCACTCAGCAGCACCACTCCCCTCCCCTCGACACCCACCACACCTACCGAAACCGCTTCTACCACCCCACAAGGCCCTTCATTGCTACCCTCCCTACCAACACAGGATACACAACCACCTGCCCCCTACCGACCCACGCCCACCGACCGCCTAGCCGCGCACATCCGCAACCTCCGCCTCGCCCTCCACAGCCAAGCGGTCACAGCCGAAGACGCCGTCAACGCCGCACTAACCCGCACCCTCGCCCTAGAGCACTCCTTCACCAGCACCCTCCAATCGCTGGCGCCCCCCAAGGAATCCGGCGAGAAGCTCTTCCCGGGCACCCTGTACGTGCTCGTCTCCGCAATGGCCGGCAGCATCGTCACGCGCAACCGCAACATCCTGCTGCGCGCTTCCGTGCCCGGCGCCGTGGGCCTCGTGGCCGCGCATGCCGTGCTGCCCATCACGATGCGGAATGTGGGGGATCTGGTGTGGACGTATGAGGAGCGGTATCCCCCGCTGGCGGATGCGCATTTGAGAGTGAGGGAGCGGGTGGAGCGGTTTGTGGCGACGGGGAGGGCGCATGCGGGCATGGGAGTGGGCATGGTGCAGGACAAGGTGGGCGAGGTGAGGGGGAAGATGGAGGAGTGGGTGAAGCAGGGGAAATGAATACATACATTTCTTTGTGGAGCAGACGAGGCTATGTATCCAACATGTATCTGTACACCTTGGAGGAGCCAGCGAGCGAGAGCTGCATCCTTGTAAAAGTAGCCCTACCTTTTGAGATAGAGTTTTGCATCACCCAGGTGCAACACACCTACCGCAAATTCCTTTTCACATGTCAAACTGATTCAGGCAATTTCAAATCCCTCTTTCTAGTCTCGCATATGGTCTTCAGATATCACAGACGCACCATCAAAAACGCATTATCAAGCTTCTCGTAGAAACGATTATCTGGTATTCGTATTCATCTTATCCCATCTAGACACTTCGCAGAGGGATAATCCTACCCCAAAATCCATAAAATTACAGCAAGAACGCCGCGCCCAAACATCACACATGTTTTCTCAGAAAAACTGATACGGTTTTGCCTGTCCCTCGACGCCTTTCGTCCCCTCGACTCCTGACCCACGCCAGTAAAATGAAAAACGGAAAGGATATCTCAGACGCCCGCTCCCGCGGAGAACCAAGAGCCGCGTACAAAGTACGAGTGAAACAACGTGAGGAATACGATAGGGGGAATGAGGAACAAGAATGTACACACCGGATTCTCCCGAGATAGAGTCCATTTTCTCCGACTCTAGAACAGTTTGCATCGACTGATTGACTGCGAGCTCGAACCCCTAATCCAACTCAATGACATCCTGCTTCGACGTGCCTCCTCCCCCACCCCCATGGCCGCCCGCATTAGGATTACCTTGCATTGGTGGTTTCTGGGGTCCGCCAGGGGCGTTTGCGTGAGCGTTTGGATTCCCCATATTCGCTTGCGGGACACGTCCCACGTTCGGGAAATTCAGGTTAAGGTTGAGACCGGGATTACGTCTATTGGCCATGGTGTTCTGGTTCGGAGCGGTGGGAGGTTTACTATTGGGTGGGCCGGGAGGTTTATTGACGGGCGCGGGTTGTGGAGGTTTGCTGACTGCTGGATTGGCAGGTATGGGAGTGTTGTTATTAGGTAGTCTGTTACCAACCCCGACCATAGGGGCTTGGTTAGCGGTAGACGGGGGCGGATTAGGCGCAGAACCACCCTTCTGTTCTTGCTTGACTCCCGGATGCGCTCTCATCTGCTCGGGTTTGACTCCCGGAGGAGCCTTCAGCGTCCCCGACCCCACGGGTGGAAGCGGCGGATATCCACCTGGAATCGCACATCCAATAACAGCCTGATGAAGTTGCCATAGCGCATCCGGGATCCCATCAATTTGCGCGACAATGGCAAAGCGCAAGCCATTCCAGCGCTCCCCGGGCGTCTTAAAAATAGCGCTGAGTGCAGCTTTGAGAGAGTCGAGTCGGACATGCCTGGGATGTCGTTCAAGACCAATCTTTGAGTCTTTGGGCCTCCTGTCGTTGTCATCGATGTGCCATTGCAATTCATTCGTTTTGCGTTTTAAGTGGATGTCGAAGGAGCAGAGCGGGTTAGCGTAAGTGATGCGATATTGGCCTATATGGTGGGAAAATATGGCAGGGTTTGACACGTTCCCTGGTGTAGAATTCGCCAGCTTCTGAAGGCCATGGATCAGCGGTCGTGTGTAGAGGAGTGCCGCGCACAGGCGGTCCAGGCCGTTGACTGCGCCTTCCGGAGGATCGAAGGGGGCTCGGTCGTTGGCGATGTCGTTCAGGAACTTGGCGATGCGATTATGCGCACTGGGCGGGGGAAAGGTAACGCGGACTGCTTCACCGTCGCCAAAATCGACGGTAGCTGTGTCATTCTTCCCGTACTGGAAGTGTACGCTCTGTAGGGAAGAGTGCAGAAGCCTCAACTTTCGTTTCTTTAGGATGATTGCGAATGAGCGCAGGCGGTCCACGTCTCGTAAGCGTGCCTTGAGCTCGTCGATGATCGACTTGCCAAACGGCGCCGAAAGAAGCATGGAGAAATCGCCATTGGCGGAGAATGTACAGTTGCTTTGAGGAGAAGCGGCCATAAGCTTCTGCATGTCGACGGCTGCTGATTGAACCATGGTCCCAGTTACCATATGCGAGACTCTCTGATGGATAACCGACAAGCCCTGGCAAGTAACATTGAGAGCAGGGCCAAGCCAGGGGCTTCCACCGTCCTTGTGACGGAGCATGTCCGACGTCCGCAACTGTAATGCCCATCCGGTGCGACGTTTGGCGGATGGATCTGTCAGTGCGACCACGTCATCGCGTAACTGATTCTGAACCTGCATTGCAAGGAGTTGACGTCTGGCAACGCAGAAGGTCAGCTGCTGGACTGCAACTCTCTCGATGCTACCAAGAGTGGTTCGCGATATCGGTATACTCTTCAACCCCGAGGACGGGGTTGGTCCAGCAGAAGCAGAGGCTAGGGGAGGCTTCTCCCTCTCCAACTGTAACTGCTCCGCGTAAGCAACCGCGGGTTCTGCCGTTGTCACCTCAAGCAACCACCAAGTCTCCCCGGACGGATCGATGATTGCGGCCAGTACCCATTGCGGGGACCATCCTTCAGGAGAGTAGAGAGAGAAACGAAGAACATCCAGGGTGGTGACACGCTTCAGATCGCTCAGATGCACCGTGACCCTTGGCATCAACCACCCAAGCTGAACAGTACAACGGTAGATTGCATCTTGGAGTGTCTGCGCCAGCAGTTGAGTGATATACAAGGATATAGAAGCTGTAGGATCTTTGAGGTGGTTGATGGCATGTTCCGCTCTCGCTGCCATTGCCGTGCGCGGCCGTAAGATGTACTGTCCGGTGATTGGTTCGATGCCGACGGTGGTGCTGTTGCTCTGCCGTCCGAGAGACACTTCAAGCTTGTTCTCAGCAGGGTCCCATCCGGACAGCGATGCCTGCGCTGTCATCTTGGGGGGCAAACCGTCTCTCGTGTTCCGTAGAATGCTAGCGATATGCAGAGAGATGACCCTCTTGAGCATACGCTCCAATGATAGACGAGTAAAATCGAAGTTGAGATCCACATCCTTGACAAGTTGCCCCTGACGGAACCATCGAACTTGCAGTGACGATATGGGTTCCCCGCGCCATGTAATCTTGCCGTTTTTTGGCCTATTCTTCGCAATGCCAAACTCAATCCAGCTTTTTTTCCCGGGCCGATGCATCCAGTATTGCACCACCAGGCCGCGGTGCACGGGTTCAACCTTGATGAACCCCGCCCAACCACTTCGCACCAGCTCCAGGGCTTGGGACTTGAGCACACCTATCTTGTGCGTTAAGACAAAGTCATGGAGGAAATCAAAACAGCCTTTGAGGCCAAATTCGCGTAGCGTGTAGTCGAGCTGGAATTTCAGGTGGCGGAAGAAGGCGGATGTGTATGGGATGTTCGGGGATGGAAAGAAGAGGAAGCGTAAATCGGTGAACCACCATGGCTCAGAAGCATCTTCAGTGAAGGTCAATAGATCCATTTCAAACTCGGAATCAACTGTGAACGTAGCACGACCCGACCGGACGCGCCACTTTTTGAGATACCACGGAAGGTCCTCGGCGGTCATGAGCCGTATGGAGGTGGTTGTGTCTAGGTGTCTGAACAGCTTGAGTGCCTGACTGGGTGATAACGGTTCGGGCGGAATCAACCCCATCTGCGCAATTAGCATCAACATAGCTACAACACATGAAGTTGACCTACATCAGGTATCCAATCCGCTTTGCCTTTGGACAGGATTTCGAGAGCGGTGCGAATATCGGGATTGCGTTCGACAAGGCCATAAGAGAAGAACTTGAGTCCCCCGAACCGGTCCTCTGCCAGATCTTGCGCCCACTCTTGAGCTCTAGTCCATCCACAGATGTGTACAAGCTTGAATATCGGCAGCCCGTACTTCTCCGCCCAGTTGGTCAGTACGAGGAGTTTGATGAATCTGGCCCGATTGCGCTGTGCGAAGTCCATCAGCATCTTCCTTTTCCGCTTGTTGCCTTCTGAGTTATCCGGGTGGCCGTTCACATGGGCTCCCACGCCGTTGGTCAATACACCATTGGGCTGCTGCTGCTGTTGCAACTCCGCCATACTCTGAAGGGTATCATTCAGTTCGACGAAACACTCTTGCGCAGCGCGTTCATACAACTTGGCGAGCGGGGTAAACGCATCAAGGTCTATCCGAGCAATTTCCTCGGGCATCTCGGCCAGTTGTTCCGCCAGCCTGGCAAAGAGGGCCGTACAAGGTGGGCCATGCATGGTCGTGGAGTCGCTTGCGCCATTGACAGGAGGTATTGGTGGGTGGGGAGAGCGGTCCCCATTCACGAGTCTTCCATCATATGTGCGCTTCCGGCTGTCTCCCTCTTTTGCGTTCGCGCCGCTCGAATTCATGACGAGGAGGCCTGGCATAGTCCGTCCCGGATCTTCCGGCCCTTGGGCGTGCGCACCGCTCCGGACAGTGTCCGCCGCCTTCCCCTTGTCTCCCTCCGCTCGCGTGGGGGTATGCGCCGACTGTATCTTGCGGTAGACAAACTGGGCCCACGCGGCGGAAGGTGATGAAAGAAGGCAGGCGCAACGAGCCGCAATTGGATTTGTGGAGGTCGTAGGTTCGAGCGATACGGCACCGAAGCAGAGAGCCTATTCAGAGTGTGCGATTTTCTTTCAAGGCGAGGGTGGAGCGCACGTCAAGTGGTGACGTGAGGCAGTTGATGCGGCTGGTAGAGGGCTTGGCCGTGATTATCTCGTGGTTGCTTTGGGCATCGATCACGGTGAAAGAGGGTTGCGCACGTCGAGATATGGGGGTATGAGATAAGGTTCGTCCAGATGGAGAGCGAGGGTGCGTATCAGGCGGTTGCGGTCCCCAAGACGCGCGTTGAGGGTGAGTGTGGTTGTTGGAGGAGACGTCGCGGGTCTGAGGAATGCGGATGCGATGATGTGAAGGGAAGGGAAGGGGCTTGGCAGCGGGCGGTCTTGGCGCCAAATAAGAGAGCGGAAACCTTGGCATCTGGCATGCTTCGCTTCACCACCCTTGCCCTCACCCTCCCGCCTTGCCTTTGTGTTCCTCCTTCCTCCTTGTGCCCCCACGGGGTAAAACACAGAGCGGGTGGAAAGGTCCATCGAGTACGCGTGCAGTCTACGAAATCGCGACGGCGACTAACCTCACCGCAGCCGCTACACACTCCTAGGACACATTTGCTCGCAGTCGCAGGATTCAAACCAATCTGAGGTTCGCATGTGAGAGGTTGGGCGGATCACCTGGGCTCAATCCGGAACCTATATTCTGATCACCTCCCAAACGGGCCTGGCTGCACCTGCTTGCTCTATCCACAGTACATATCTTGCTTCTCCGCCGCCTTCTGCAGTTTGGTTCCTCCTTTCCACCCTTCGCTCCATCGTCCCCGGCTCGCGTCTTCCTGCTTACTTCTCTCCCCGGTGAACATGTCCCTCTACCTCTTCCGGTGACGCAGTGCCGCCCAATCACAAGCTCCCATGCCGCCACCACCGCCGGAGCCTCTCCCTCACGATGTCGCCAACGAGGCCGACGACGAGCAGAGCCTCTCTGAAGGCGACTCGGAAATGGAAGACCGACAGCCGCTGCCGCTGTACGAGGGCGAAGACGTGCGCTTAACAAGCAAGCAGGAGCTGTTCGGCTTCTACATGTATGGCTGGGCCGCAGAGGTACGTCGCGTATGCCCATAGCTCACGCGCAGCTCCAGATAGCTTACAGCGTCACAGGTCTTTGTCGTCTGCGGAATCGGTAAGCTTTGAAGACGGCATGTATGCGCCCACCTCACCAATACCTCCTCCTAGGTTCCTTCATTCCCGTCACTCTCGAGCAGCTTGCGCGCGAAAACGGCGTCCTCCTCTCGGACCGGTCCACGCCATGTAAATCCGCTCTCGAGTCCAGCGCGCCCTCAATATGGTCGTCGAATCCCCCGCGCGGAGCTGGGCAGCAGTGCATAGTGTATATCATGGGGTTTGAGATCAACACGGCCAGCTTTGCCATGTATACCTTCTCCATCAGCGTCCTCCTCCAGGCCCTCCTCATCGTCTCCATGTCTGGCGCGGCAGACCATGGCCGCTTCCGTAAAACGCTGCTTCTCTGGTTCGCCTTTGTTGGGTCAATAGCCACGATGCTCTTCCTGCCCATGGTGCCGAAGCTATACATCATGGCGGCCGTGTTGGCTATCATAGCGAATACGTGCTTCGGAGCTTCCTTCGTTCTGCTAAACTCCTTTCTGCCGTTACTCGTTCGACATCACCCAGAGGTTCAGTTCCCAGATGGAACACGAGAGTCCTCGCTTTTGGATGAGGGCGATTTGGACCGACTGATTGATCCCACGTTCCCTGAAGAAGAGCAGTACACCAACCATGTAAACAGCGGTGAGAGGAGCAACCATACGGAGGGCAGTGAGAACCACCACATGGACACTCATCCCAGCAACTACCCATCCAACGACCTCTCCGAAGTCCCCAACGAGACCAGCGCTCTTCTCCCCCACCCCACCCTGGAGCAGTCCACCACCACCATCCCCACCCCGGCCTCCCACGACCTCATCTCCCTCGAACTTACCCTCAGCACGCAGATCTCCTCCCAAGGCATTGCAATCGGGTACCTGGCCGCCCTCATCGTGCAAACCCTCTCCATCCTGATCGTCCTCAACTTTGGCGCTGCAACCCTTGGTCTCCGCACAGTGCTCTTCCTCATCGGCGCATGGTGGTTCGTCTTTTCCCTCCCAACCGCATTCTGGCTTCGCCCTCGTCCAGGCCCGCCTCTGCACCTCGCCACGTCCTCCTCTCTGTCCCGCTTCAAGCATGTGCGAGTCTTTTGGGCATACTTCGCCTACTCCTGGCGCTCCCTCGGCCGCACCCTCACGCACGCAACCCACCTAAAAGACATCCTCCTTTTCCTCCTCGCCTGGTTCCTCCTCTCCGACAGCATCGCCACCGTCTCGGGGACCGCCGTCCTGTTCGCGAAAACCACCTTGGGAATGAGCTACGCCATGCTCGCGCTCATCAACGTGATTGCCACGACGGCCGGCGTCATCGGCGCGTTCGCGTGGAGCAGAATAAGCAGGTATATGCGCTTATCCCCGAGCCAGACGATCCTGGCTTGTATCGCGCTCTTTGAGCTCATCCCGCTGTATGGTCTTCTGGGGTATATACCAGCGATCCGCCGATGGGGCAGCCTGGGATTGCAGCAGCAGTGGGAAATGTACCCCCTGGGTGCCGTGTATGGCTTCGTGCTCGGGGGTCTGAGTTCCTATTGTCGGAGCGTGTATGGCGAGATGGTGCCTAGGGGGTGGGAAGCCGCGTTCTTCGCCCTGTACGCGATCACGGATAAGGGGAGTAGTGTGTTTGGGCCTGCGGTTGTGGGCGCCATCACCGATCGGTGGGGGGAGATTAGGCCGGTGAGTTCCGTTTTCCGTTTTCCGTCTTCCTCCTCCTTTTCTTCGTTGTTCGTCCTCTGAGACGTTGTTGTGGAGTTGTATATGGGCATAGCTAATTCACCTCTTTAGGCATTCTGGTTTCTAGCCGTCCTCATCGGGCTGCCCTTCCCCATCATGCTGCTCGTAGACGTCGATCGCGGTAAGGCGGACGGTATCGCTTTGGTCACTGCCCTGGTAGAGGAGAATAAGACGGAGCAGGAGCAGGATGCCGAGGCGGATCGAGTGGTTGCTGCGAATCACATTAATGGGTTGGAGCGTGGCGAGCAGCATTTCTGATGTTCTTGCATGTGCGGATTCGCTTTGTTTCGCATTACATTGCATTGGTGGGTTCAACGTAGTTGTCTCGGCTTGTGCGTCTGCGCTCATCTAAGCAGCTGATGGTATAGGTAGCGAAAGAGAAGGATCTCATATCAGAAGCGGCGTCAACATATCATAATATGACCCGTTCTAACTTGTCCCGCATCTTTCTGTCCTCCTCCCTCTTCCACATCGTCCGCCCAAAACTCACATGTTTTTTTTCATCACACCCCTTATTCCAGCTTCCTCATTCCATCCTTTCACTCGTCCAACCCCAACGCCTCCCTCAACTCCTCCCTCTTGTCCTTCTCCCCCACCAGATCCTCAATCATTCTCCACATTTCCCGCTCGATCCTCTCCCTCCTCTTGGCTATCCCATTCCACTTCCTCCACTCCGCCTCCGCCTCCATCCTCTCCTTCTGCGTCACCTTCTTCGCCTTCCCCGTCTTGAGCGTCTCCAATCTCGCCAAAATGTCCCGTTTCTCGGCTTCGAGCGACTGGACCGAGGAAACGAGATCGGCGGTTGAGAGGGTGGAATTGAGGGTCGACAGCGTGGAGCGCAGGGTTTTGATTGTGGTCTGCAGGGCGGTAGTGCGGGATTGGAGGTCTGAGGTTTGCGCCGAGAGGGCGGCGAGTTGCTCCGGGGTGAGGGCGTCGTCGGTGTTCTGGGTTGGTGTCAATACATGTTTTTTGGGATCAACTTATCTCTGTTGAACTCTCATGTATGGTGAGATGTATCACGTACCTGGATAGTATGATACACCACCTGCTTCCCTTCGCACCATCAGCAGTGCTCTTGTCATCACCCCTGCCTCCTTCAGTGGGAATGCATACCAGCAGCCCTCCCCTCAATCTTATTCTGATCCTGCAAATCCTTGAGAATCTTCGCCGCGGCCGCTACTCTCGTCATCAGCAGCCCCTTCTCTCTCACGCAACAGAAGACACTACTGTGTAGCTGACGAAAAAACGAACCTTTAGTGACCTTATTATGCAAGTTCGCCGAGATATCCGTTGCCTAATTCTTCCTTTAGCACGTACTCGCTCGCTCAGCAATCGCTAGCTAGGTATACAAGCGAAGGAGGGACGTACGGAGTACGGTCGACTGCGAAGAGAAGTCGTACATAAGCGAATGCCCATTGCAAATGCAATACCACGACATTTCTCTGCGTCTCGACTCACTTCTGTTTCCCTGCGATGATACGTCAGTCATCCTGTAGCAAAGGAGCAGCGTGAGCTTTTCTTACGCAGGTAGTTCAGAATCGTATCCGCTGCCTCATTGGCAGACACCTTCTCCGTCTTCTCTTTGCGGGGGGCCATCTTCTGTGGCTGTTCTTGGTCAAGATTTGGTGGAGAAAGGACGTAAGGGTAAAGAGGGCGAGATTCTAAGAGTGAGGAGGCCGGGCGGCGGAGGAGTGATGGTGGTGCTGGACCCGTGGACGTTTGCGTTGGGAAGGCGCGGTGTATGGACTGATCCGGAAGGCACCACGGACTTCGCTTCTTACAACCTTGGAACCAGGAACCCTTCGTATCCACCTCTTCGGCCTCCCTTAGCGTGGCAGCAGAAGAATACTAGTCCATAAGCAGTCCACCTGTACGGCACGGCACGACGCAGTAACCCTGAAAACATAGCTTTTACAGCCTCCTCACATCTAAGATGAAGAAGCAGTTGGGCTCCAGCATAAAATATGGCGATAGCATACACCATCTCTAAGGTACTAGTAGTAACCGTGAAAATCTTGCGGGTATAAGCTTCAAGATTGTCAATCAGAAGAAAAAAAAATTCGAAGATGATTATGCAAGACAGCCCCCAAACCACTTCCCAAAGCCGCCGATGTTATGCGAAGGCAAATTGCCGGAAATACACTACGATGCACATCGTTCCAAAAGTCCGGAATGCTCTTATTTACATCACAACCTAGACGAATGGTGTTAGTGGACTGTAATAACGGGTGCAGGGCCAGTACATACGCAATCACTCTCCTTGGGCGGTGCCCCAATGCCCATCTCGTCGAAAGTCTTGGGGCCCTTTCCAGGCGTCGTCGGCGCTGCCGGTTTCGGACCTGCTGGCTTACCACCTTGTGCCTGTCCTTGCGGTTGTTGCTGCTTGAGCGGCGGTGGTCTCTGAGCCCCTCCCGCCTGTGGCGTCTGTGGCGACGGATCCCTCGATGGGCGTCCGGAAGGAGAAAGTCCTGGCCCCGGCCCCGGTGCAGCGGTGGAAGGTCGGTCCGGACGTGAGGATGTTCTGCTCTCTTGGCCAGGCTGTACCGTCGAGGGTCGGGTGTGTTGACGTGGTTCCAACGGGGCGACGTATCCGACGTCGGGGAGTATGGGTTGCTTTCCGGGTGGCGGGCCGCCTTGCTTCTGAAGCCTGTTGCGCCCGTCTGGCGCGACGTAGCCGATATCGACGGGTTGCACTGTTGGCGGTCTATCGTATGCCTCTGGTCGCTGTATTCCGGGTCCGCCGGGCTGCCTGTAGGCACCAGGACCTGGCGGAGGTCCGCCTCCTGGAGTCCGTCCGCCGCTGGGAATGCGTCCCCGTCCCTGGCCCATCTCGTCCATGCTTGTGTGAGGCCGCAGAGGTAGAGCTCCCATATTGCCTGGCCCTTGAGGCGGCGGTTGCCCACGTCCATATGGATCATTGGGTCCGTATACACTTGGATGGATGTTGAACGCAGGACCGGGAGGCGGTCGTGTGGAGGCGGACCTGAGCTCTGGCGCAAAGCCACCCGCCATGGGCGGTCTAGCACTTCCGACTCGGGGCGGTCCGTTGTCAAGAGGATAGGGTGCTGCTGTGGCTGGTCGATCCAGTGGTGCCGACGCATTTATGATGGGCGGCTGGTCAGAAATCGGATAGGGCGTAGTCCCGCGGTCGGGCCTCGTAGGTGACCTTTCCCCATACTCGTCTGCGACGGTGGGGAGAGCGGGTGCAGCCATCTTCTGCAATCTCGCTGGACGTTGCCCGCGCATGGAGCCATGTTGGGACTTGATTCTGTTGATGGCAACCTTCTCGTGATCTGTCTTGGACAAGGTGCGGTTTGATTTGGAAATGCTTTCGATGCGGCCGACAGCGTCCTTGTTCCCATTCTTTGCCGCCTTTTCGTACCATTCCAGCGCCTTTTCAATGTTTACGGGGATATGCATGCCAATCTCGTTGAAGTATCCCATCGCGAACTCTGCTGTAGGGAGACCTGCGAGTGCTGCTCGCCGCGCATACTCGTAGGCCAACTCTTCGTTCTTTGCAAATTCACCGTCGTAGCCACACAAGAACCATTTGCTGATAGCCATATCTGCTTCAGGTTCTCCCTGGCGGGAAGCCAACGCATTGTAATGCAGTGACAGAATTGGACTGAACTCACAGCCCAGACTGCAGAGCTCATACGCCGAACCCATCTTGACCTGCGCCTTGGCAAACCCAAGGTATGCTGCCTTCTCGATGTTCTGTTTGGCGGCCTGCTCGTCGTACGGAAGGTAGATCTCGGGAACGTTGATCTGGGGCAGCTCGCGAGCGTAGAGCATCCCCAATACGTAAGCTCCTTGGGGGGCATTCTCATCCGCCGTTTCGGCCGCCTGTTTGATCAACTGAACTCCCTTGGCAAAGTCTTGAGGCTGCCCGTGTTGCCCTAGCAGCGTCATCATCCCGAGGCGATAGTTGGAGGCCGAGTCTCCCGCTTCGGAACCGCGTTTGTAGTGCTGGAGAGCCTTGATCGGATCTTGCGATTGCTCGTACGCCATACCCATTCGATACTCGGCTCTTGCATAGCCCTTGGACGCAGCTCTTGAGTAGCACCTGAAGGCCTCCTTTTTATCGACCCTTAGTCCGAACTTGCCAAACTCCAACCACGTCCCTCTTAGAAACTCGGCTTTGGGGTGATGCTGGTCCGCTAAGAATTGCACCACGTTCATAGCGTCGACCCTGAGTTGGTGCTCCACTTGTGGTGTGACGGGCCGTGCCGGCTGCGACTCGGCCAGTCGCTGCTCCTGTAGCATTGCTATGTCGACGTATTGCAGCGCATCCTGAGCCCATGCCAACTGCATCTCCGGGTCATTGGAGTTGAGTACGGGCAACCGCGCATTCTCCAAGACAGCCTCCTTCTCATCGTCTGATGGTGGAACATTTGGGGGCCGGTTGGGCAGCTTGGGAAATACGGAGAAGTTTGGAATGTCCGAGTTTCCTCCAAACTGACTGTAGTCGTGCGAAGCGTCTTGTTGGATGGTCTGCGGTTGTACCGTCGGGGGTTGCTTGAAGGTGGAAGATATGCTCTGGTGTCGCGCAGGCCAGTTGCCGGCTTGGGCGTCGTGCGGAGGTTGCTCATGCTGGAAGCTCGTTGACCGCGGAGGGAAACGCTGCTCAGCCTGAAGGCCAGCTTGAGCGGGCGGCGACATGGGCGCTCGAGGAGCGTTTGCTTCCAGCTCCAGGTGTGTGATGTTTTCCTGCATGTGTTCGGGCACCTCTGGCATGATTCTATTAGGCCGCGTAGGCTGTCAGCATCTCTTCGGCTAAACCACGACAAAGGGGCCCGATTGAGTCTAATACTGACCGCTGAGGGGCTGGAGAAATGACCTCTGGCGACGGAGCGGGCATATAGTAGTCGTCAAAGCCGCCAGGGACAAAAGTTGCGCCCAACTGGGGCTGGCCTTGATTATAGCTCATTGTCCCTGCAGGTTAGGCGGAGGAGCTGGCGGAACCTTGGAAAGCGAATGTTAGCCTTTGTCGAGCACTTCAAAGCTGCGCTGAGCGATGCATCGACTTGTGAGTTGGGTGTGCGGAATAGTCATGAAGTCGGTGTAGGTTGAAGCTCTGGTGGTGAGTGGAAGGAGGGCGGATGATCACATACTGTTTGGCGGGGTCTCAGCGATGCAGGTGGATGATGATGGATCTATGCGCTTCGACGAATGCGGCGCCCTCGTGAACACTCGCTCAAAGATCACAGTCGCTCCGGCCCTCTGGTGGGCCTCTGCCTCTGAGGTGGGTGTGATGCTCCGGCAAAGTGAGGAGTGACTTGCACCGACTTGCAAGTCGATGATGGCGCCGGGTTCTGCGGGGCGAAACGATCTTGATGATGCTGCCGCAATAACCTTCAACGGCTCCACCCAACCTTTCCGGCGGTTTGTCTTGAGATATGCGCGACAAGGAGCGACGGGCAAGTTGTTTGCTATTGCCAACAGCTGTAGGGGTCCGATTAGGGGTTCTGGAAGGGACAAGAAAAGGTACGGTTTTGAACATTCACACAAGAGCCCACATGCCCGAGCTCATCAGTTTCGTTATTTTTCAACCCTGCGTCGGGGAATCTCGCTGACAGGCACAACATGATCCATGTTGACGCGCGGCCTCGGGGCATTCTCGAATTATATGAATGAGGCTCGCGGCCACGAGCTGTCACATAGCTACTACCAGTATGTCCATAAGGCTGCGGCCGCGCCTCGTTGAGGCTGAGCAGCAGAGGGAAGAGTAGCCTCCGCGTTCTGCCCCTTAGTTGTACTGTGTAGTCATTGGGCTACTCTTTCGCATCCAGCAGTCCTATCAGGCAAGTGAGAATACGATCGAGTTATATATATAGGACGCGCTGAGCCCTAGACACGACGAGGGAAATGAGGGAATTCAGAATCCCGCAGCCACAGTTCAGCCACGGCGTGCACTGCCACAGCATCATCTCCTTTCAAGATGTACAATTGTCACAACAGGCATGTCGCACATGCAACTCTATGGCACTTATTAACCATACATCAGCGTTTGACTATTGATCAACTCGTTTACCCTATCACAGATTCGCCATCTCAAAAGATGTGAAAATCTTGCACCCTGTAGCCCCAAACCATTGGTTACTCGTCCCCCGCCTTGTTCTTGCCCTTGTTTTCCTTCTTCTTCTCAGAAGTCTGCCCGTTAGTAGAATGCATGTCATCCATGACAGGTACAGCGTTTCCGCCCCTGGCTGTCGATTTTTCTTCAGGAATCCTTGCGATGACCTTTATCTCATATTCATCGTTGCCGGCAGGAATCCGCTGAACGACAATCTCCTGCAATGGACCTTCATTCAACTTCTCGTCGATGGGCATCTCCAGTAATCCGTATTGTTCGATGGCTTGCTCTTCAACCCAGACGACAGCATTTTCTATGCTGCGCGCACCAGCGTGCTGGTTGTAGAATTCCTGAGCGAGCTCCGCGCACACCATCCCATCCTCTAACACCGTCATCCGGCAGTGTGCGGCGTATCTATCTATGCCGGGCTGTAGGCTGATTGGCTCGCGGAACCGGCTGGCCAACCTCAGGATGAATTTGTGTCCGACCACTGCTACTTCAGGCTTGGAGAAGGGCAAGAATGGTATTATAGATCCCACTCGTCCTGTAAAGGGAGCCTAACACACTGGTCAAACACAGACACTTATAAACATCTTGCCCACTCACCCCAAACTCGTTTTGATAGATACTACCCAATTGCTTCTGCAGATCGGCTAAGTTGGCCTCAGCTATTTCATCCTCTGAAAGATGGCTCAGATGCTCCGTGTAATAGGCCACGATCTGTTCCGCTCCCACGTTGGTGGCAATTATCCATATCGTTTTGGAACAGTCTACGGCTGTGTTATGGCGTCTATCTTCATACTCACCTAGAGAAAATCAGTTCAGAGATCAGAAATCGCGGTGACGAGGCGTGAGTACCTTTTTCAATAACAACAAGGAGCGCATGCATCACTTTCTCGTCGGTTTTATCGAACTCGTCGAGAAACACAACCGAGCGTAATCCACTGTTTTCGGCAAGGAAGTTGTTCAGCTGAGAACCTTTCTCATGTCCCCTCCACCCTGTGGTGGGTCCCAAAATACCCCACTGATCTCTTATTTTACCGCAATCGATAACTTGAGTCTTGACAGAGAGCAGATCGCCCATGATCCTCGCCAGCTCTGTTTTCCCGTGACCCGATGGTCCGTCAAACGCCATCACCAGAGGTCCGTTCCTCTTCCCAGCAATGTAGGGATACACTTTAGTCTGCACCATTTTGGTTGCAGAACGCTGACCGACCAGGAAAAATGGCAGCTTCAATAGGTCCGACATCTTGTTCCCTTCTGCAATCTGCCGAATGCGCATGGTGGGTTCTTTCATTCGGTGCGCCCGGTGGAAATGATAGCGGTGCGTCAAATGGAACGCTTCCGCAAGCATGCGACGGACCCCTTCCGTACACCAAGAATACTCGGATCCAGAACCCAGTTGGGATCTTGTTGACGGCCCTGACCTGGTACTCAATGTTGGCTTCGGCGTGTCGAGATATACCTCCCACATATCCATCGCAATGGCCTTCGGGTCGACTCCGCAAGCGAGAAACGTCCTCACAACATCCGTCGTGTCAAGAGCTTCCCGATGGCCGTGGATGATCGCGAAAACGATCACAGGAATAGGAAATGTCTTGGAAGACCAATGAGGATCGACCTGATATCGAAGGAGGATAGCGACTAATTCGGCAGAATTCCGCTCTACGGCATAGTAAAGCGCTGGCCATCCCGTGCTAGCCATTGTCCGTTTGAAGTCGTCGGCATGCGCATAGCTCGATAGGTACGTCTTCACAGCGGAAACGGAACAGTGCTTTTGAATGGCCGCACAAAGCGTCTTGACGGAAAATGGTTTAGGATAGTTCAACCTCTGGAGAACAAGATCCGGTTGGTCGTTGCGCAATCTTGAAGAAAGCTCAAGACTTCTGAGACGGTAGTCCCCGCCGTCAATATCCCAGGATGCCATGGCCGAAATCAAGGTTGGCTGTTCGGACACGAGACGCGGGTTAGTTGCGGCGTCTTCTGGTAAGGTTGGCTTATAAGACGGCGAGTGCCGCCGACAAGCTCGTTGTACTGAATGGATAAAGCAGCGAAGTGTCAAACATGCAGAGGAACAAACCACATGAGGGCTCTGGAAACTTCCCGCTTCTCATGCATGCGATCAACAGCCTTCAAGTAAACGGAGGCAGACGATACAAGGGTGAACGGATAACTTACATCTCTAGGGAATTCGGCTTTTTTGCCCGTAGGTAGTGAGCGAGTACGCCATCGTGCAGGCGGACATTCCAACAACTTCGCAGTAAGGCCCCAGGGGGTTTGCGATTCCAAAGTCATCTGCTCGATTCCGTTATTATTTCAAGATCATCTGGGAAAAGCAGGATGGAGTGGAGCCCGCAGAAATGAGCAATCGTAAAAGGTTCTGTTTGGCCGGAGCTCCGTGTTTGTTGTTTTCGGACATGATGTATCCCGTGGTGGAAAGGGCGCACGAGAGGGTGCATGGGCTGGTCCCGAGGTGGCGTAAGCCAAGTATCAGTGCATCCATCTGATAAATCTTAACTGTGATAACACCGCTCCCCAGAAAACTTGATTACAGTTGGTGAATGCTCGGTTCAGTTGGGATCCTCTTTTATCTCAGAAAAGTCACGAGGACAGGCTGGAAGACTTTGCCTTACGAAAGGTACTAAGACAGCTGTGGTATACATGATACTGCACTGTGTCAGCTCGCACGCTATAAAAACCCAGGCTCAACCTAAAAATCCGTTACGACCCAGCCACTTGATAGCGTCAAGAGCCAGACGGTCCGCCTTATCCTTCTCTTGTTCAACCAATCGCTCATAGAGTCCCATACGCTTTTCCTTCGTCTTCGGTGGATGAGCATAACGGCAATGTTTCCCGTATCTGCAAGAACCGTTATTTCTCCAGCTAGAACATATGCGCCGTTCTTCGTTTTTCTCCACATTCAGCGAAGTTTGAGCAGGAGTGGGTGGAGGAGCTGGTGCATGAGCGGGTGCAGGTGGTGGAACCACGATAGCCGGAACTTCCACCTTCGACGACTGTGTCTCTGGACCAGAATCCGAGTCCGTGTCGTCACTCGATTCGTCAGAGTCCTCCGAGCTGGACGAAACGGCAGAGGACTCTTCATCCAGAATGCTATAACCCGACTCGGATGCAGAATCACTCGCATAGCCGAGACCAAGATCGACTGCAGTTGGATTTGATGGATCTGATGGTTTTTGTTTACCAGGTCTACTGTTTTCGACCTTGGCACGCAGCTCCTGAAGGATCTCTGCTTTCGTTCCCGAGGACGATTGAGGAACGACCGTTGCCGGCGTTGATACGATGCTACTATCAGGCGGTTCCTTTTTGACTGTTTTCCCTCCCTGTACTTTGTGCAGAAACTCAAGTTCTTTCGCTCTCCTCTCTGCGGCTTCTTGCGCCTTTTCGGCAACTCTCTGCCTCGTGGGATACTCCTTTCTTCGGTCCCGCAACCATGCGGTAATCTCGGCCGGTGTCTGCAGCGAGATTTGCATGCCGTTATGCTCAAAGGCCATCCCTTGCACGCCCATCTTCAATGCTAGTTCGGCTTCTTCGTCAATACCCTCATCGTTCTCCTCCTGTTCGCCGACACTCTTCGTATCGTCCATATCTACCTCCTTTCCAGTCAGGCCCAGCTGTATCTTCTTCCTCTTCTTCTCTCCTTCTTTCTTAGCATCAGCAGGTTGTGGTACTGCTGGAGCAACGGTTGGTAAGGTAAACCCAAAGCTCGGAACGGCTGGTGCTGTGGCGACTTTCGCCCTCTGGGGTTTCGCGTTCGGGGGTACGGTTTGGGTGGGTATCGAGGCTTGAGGAGTCTTCTGATATAGACCGTTATCGCCTCGCTTTCGTTTGTTGTTGGGTTGTGGGGATGATGAAATAGCAGCAGAATTCCCAGTATATGGCACATATCCATTGTGACTACCAACATTCTGTGGTGGCTGGGCCGTCGAGGGACACGTCATATATGGGGTATAAGGTTGTGCCTGCGTGTGCGCGTATTCCCTCTGCTGCGGACCTCTGAGGCCGCCCTGCTGTTGGCCTCCTCCTCTTGCGTTTGGCCCTGAATACTGAGCATGTTGATTTCCACCTCTACCAGAGCCTCTCTGACCGTTTCCACGTCCTCTGCCCTGCCAGCCTCTGCCGCGCCCTCTCGCGCTATTCGATCCGCCTCTCTGGCTCGCGTATGGCTCTTGCGAATCGTTCCATGTCGCTCTAGGAGGCGGTGGAGGTGGCGGCGGGAAGTTAAAGGGCGTCATCTATGCATTAATTGAAGATGGTAGGTATAAAAACGCAGCTTTATCGCATTGTGTATATGTATCGACTTGCAGACCGTGAAGTGACGTTGCAAGTTGGAGCTTCAAGAACTTTGGTTCCATTCTTATCGATAAGAGTAGTCGCGCCGGACCCACTTTATTTCTCCATCAGATCCTTAGTCTTGGCCGATCCTACTAAACCTCACATCACCAGCGCGATGTGCAGGTAGCATATCCGCACGCAACTTGACCAACTATTCTGTTGAGCATGAAGTCAATACTACAGTCATGTTCATTCTTGTATGTTCCTGCATCTATCACTCAGCATAAGACTAACGACTGGCAGACGACCATAAAGGATCTAGTTCAGATTACACCAGAAGATTTCCGGAAGACCAGCGCAGAAGCCATCAAAGATGCCATAAACGCAAAATACTCGGATCGCATCATTCCCAACATCGGGCTGGCCATCTGCCTGTATGACCTGCTGTCGACTTCCGAAGGCCTAATAGGTCACGGGACTGGACTTGTGAATGTTGATGGTTAGTATCACCGCTCTTCTGCTCTCGGCATGACGGGACATCTGACCAAGTCTTGCAGCCGAATTCCGCCTTATAGTTTTCCGCCCGTTTCGAGGCGAGATCTTACAGGGACGCATCAAATCATCTACCGAGTTGGGCATAACGAGTAGGTACAGTACTACCTGAGTACCTAACATTTCTAATCAATTTAGTCGACATGAACTTCACGTCGGAGGTATTTGTGCCCGCTCAGAATCTGCCGCCGGATACGAACTTCGACATTGCGGAAGGTGTGTTCATCTGGGACAACGAAGGTAACGAGATGTTCTTCGACCCCGCCGAGCCGGTTCTGTTCAGGGTAGAGGCGGAAGAATGGTTCGATCGGAAGCCTACGGTTGTTCAGAAGGATGAGAAGGGTGATATCATTGAGAGAAGGGACACCAGCTGGAGGATCATTGTAGGTTTAGCCTTCGTTTCAAGACGTGACACTGGCTGACGTATGCGTAGGGCTCTATGAATCAACCTGGATTGGGTCCGATGATGTGGTGGGGCATTGGGAAAGATGAAGGACAGCCCGGAAAGGATGCTAATGGTAGCATAGAAGAAAATGGGGAGATGCATGTAGACGGTTAAGAGTGTTTCGGAAAATGGTTGTATGCATATGGGCGGACTCACGGGCCTCGACGGCATCACAATCTCTCAGGACGGCCACAATATTCCCAGAATTCCCAATATCAGATCTTGTCATCGCGACCGTTTCAAGCCGGCCCATAAATTCTCCATGAGAGATGAGAAGAATCCCTTTTGCCACTTTCTGGCTGTGGTGGATGGGTATATGGTGGAGGTGATTCAGCCGACATCGCTGTTCATCGGTGATTGAATGGGATGGGAGCGAACTATTCCAGCGGTTCATAAAAACATGGTTCAATACGGATCTACATCCACACTCTGATCTGACCACAATTAGAGGTGAGAAGGCAAAAAGCGCTTGGAACTGCACGGGGAAGAAGAATCTGTTTCTGGAAAGAAAAGCCGAATACGCTTTGAATTTGCTTGGAATCTTGTAAGGCTGGGGATGCTCGGTGCTAGTGTTTCAATAGACGAATACTGTGTAACTACGATGCAGTGTATACGTACGGACGTAGACCCCAACATCACTACAACCCGTATCACGTCAGCGCCTTAACTAGGTAAAGCATACGCTTATCTCAAGGCTACTCTTGCGGCGATGTCCATTGTCTACCCTTAGAGGTTTCTCACACAGTAAGGGCAGCCGTACGCGGCTACTGGAAGCCTGTACGTGCTACCGCTCAACACTTCCAACAGTAAGTACACCCGGCCGTAACGACCGGCCGTACAGTGAGGGAGACTCCGTCAGCACGTACAGCCTCCTTACCTCGTACAGGGCAGTACTGAAAAAGTGGGTTACTACCCGGTTACGGACCTTACAAGTAAGAACTTGAATATTCAATGGGGGTAAAGGTGGGGCTGCAGGGTAGAGTAGGGTAATCTGGCCTAGTGTACGGAGTAAGTTTACTGCCGTAATACGACGTAAATGTACGGCCCATGTACTAAAACCTCCACTCTGTTCACGGGTAAACAGTGAAACCAATCAGAGGGCTCCGTTAGTACGTACAGGCACCAATCTCCGTTCAGCTCAGTAGTAAGTTAAAATCTACCCTAGGGTAGCCCGCAACTTACTATTGGAAGCGTTGCAATTGCTACCGCTTGCATGTAGCTAGAGTTGGGCATAGGTTCTTAAACGTCTACGCAGCAAAGTATTACGTTAAGTAGTTCGAGGCTTAAGACTGCAGGACTGCTTAGGGTATACATCCAATGGTAAAGGCGAAGCTGTTATGTAGTTTTGCTTAGCTACTACGGTACTATATCGGGTGTATTTGTTCTCATAGAATACGAAAAGGATGTGCTGGTTTGCGTTGCTTAAGGCGAGGTGTGGCTGCTGACGATGCGGGGGCTTAGCGTAACCACCTGGTTGGAAAGAGGCGTCTGACGGAAGAGATGGCGTTTGTGGTTTGCGTTTCCAGCCTGTTCCAATGAGATTGATGATGGAAAGCCCCCAAATCGCAACTTTCGGGTTTCATCAATCGAAACCCTAATTGCACCGGGGCCAAGGCAGATCCAGCCTGCATAACCCCCCGGCCTACTCTAGGGTAAGCATCCTCCATTCTTACACCAAGATATCCAGGGTTTTGTTGTGGTAGAAAAGCATACCCTACATAGGGTACTCGTTCAGCAAGATATATAAATGCTGGACTTCCCAAATGCTATAACCATCCATTGCCAACAATCGAGCAATCTATTGCACAACCCAAACTCGTACTACCGTTCATGATAACCTTGGAACACTGAGCCAGCAAAATCATCATGTTACTTCTTCTTACTACGCTCTTGCAAATCTCCTCGAGTTGGGCTGCGCCAACAGAGCGTGACGTTTTAACCATCCCCGTCCGTGACATTGTCCGAAACGACCTGTCCGCCCATGAAGCTCATCCGAGCTTCCAACTCTATACTCGTTGGCTGGAGACCCCGCAAGGGGCTTATATCCGACGGGATCCCAAAGCTGCCTTTACGAAGCACTCAAACATCCGTAGCGTCGACTGCCATTCAGATCTTGGGACATGTCTCTTCACCAGCAAAGTCCCATTATCTGACCCTGCGAAGTCCAAGCGGGAAAACGACGCTCTCATCCGCACGCTGGAGGAACAATTGAAAGCCAGAGATGAAGATCCGACAGCCTTGTTTGAACGAGCACTCAATAAGCGCTCCGGCTACGCAAACACCCTGTATACCAGCCTCCACCTCAAGACCTACCACGACCTTTCACCAGACGACCCAGTCGCCGGCTTCCAACACTACATTACTTGGGACTTCAAGGTATGTGGGCCAAGCAGCCAGCTTTGAGTATGTATAAAACGGAAGTAAAATAACCGTAAACCAGTGCCAAACTTTGCAGTTCAGCAGCATGGGCTTCCAATTGACGAACAAACAATTTCACATGTACAAGGAGAACGAGGTTACGGGCGAACTATATGCGACACTGATAGGAGACAACGATCCAGGGACACAACACTCGGTCAGGATTGGCATGGCATTTGGCTGCGGCCTGTTCATCAACAAATGTTGCCTACAAAACACTGGTGTGCAAAACTACGTTGGCGGGAATGAGGTCGTTGTACCCAAAAAGGAGCCCACCGAATGCGTAACGGCGAAAGATGTCTCGAACCAGAACTGCGAGTCCTACCATGGCGGCTGGTGTGGGGTGCACATCAGGCAGTACCAGAGAAACCAGGGCCCCGGTTTCCACACGGAAAACTATCGCTTCGATGTCATCTTGTATGACAGTGACCAGGAACTTGTCGGCGAGGCAGACCTGCTCAGTATCCCGAGCGGTACCCAACAAGAGGTTGGGAGCACACTGCCCTACACGTTCGGAGTGAAGGCACCCAATCTCGACGACGATGCGGTGTACATGTCGTACAATGGCGCCAGCTGGGGAAGCAACGACCAGGACCATCACTGCAATTTTGGGGCGTATGATAATGGCTTAAGGGAAGGCGATTGTGGCTTCTCATGCTAGGACGAAGCTTCGTCATTGAACACGTTGCAGATTTTCCTTTCGCCATAGATGATTTCACGGGAAGCTCGTATTATTAGACATTTGCCTTTGGGATCTTTCACCGCAGGGACCTTGGCGAAGTTGGGCGCTGATTCCATAGGATAGGACGTCAGTAGTTTATCAAAGTTGTATCGATATATCTACACACAGGAATCTGTGATTTACAGCCCCGTGGGACTATCACGAGATTGAATCACATGCTAGTTCCCGGCAGTAGTGGCCTCGCAACTGGCATCCTCCGAGAAGCAGTTTGACAACGTAGTCTATAACCTTGTTTATTTTCCCATGTCGAAATGATGTTGATGTTCGCGCTCGAATGTGTGCTGTGGTATTCAAGTCCAAATGCCGTGGAACCCGACCATGACCCACTCCACATTCCCCACCAGCAACGAAAATTCTCCATCTGCACCACCAACTATCCTAAATGGCAAAAACGTATATAGAACTCAGCAAAAATTGATCACAGCAGGATTCGAACCTGCAATCTCTTGATTCGTAGTCAAGCGCCTTGCCATTGGGCCATGTGACCACTTTTCTTGATGCGACTTGCCAATTGATTGACTCCTATGTAGCACAGCAGTCCTAGAACAGTGGCAGAAGCGTTCCTCTCCTCCCAGTAAAAGTTGTGGACTCTCTCATACCGCACCGAAAGGGTCTTTCAAGTCGCGCACAAAAACCCGTGCATACCGTTCTCATCCGAACCGCCTAGTCTCGATAGCGCTCCCGACCAACGAATCACCCCTGACCAGACCCGTCGTACAGATCACAATCCTGCTTCCCCTACCTTCGCCACCAACTTCTCGAAGCTTGTTGCCGATGAATCGAAGAGCTGCAATCTCTGCTCTCGTGACGCCTCCGAGGAAGAAAACGACGACGGTCTTGCTGGCATCGCTGTGATTTCCGTTCAACATACTTCTTGCTTTGACGGCCTTTTCCTCGCCTTTCTGCGTCTCGTCGAAAGTGGTTCCCCTGATGTATTTGGTTGCGTCGTCGAATATGCGCAAACCTTGCGCAAGCGGATTTGCCTGAGCAGAGGCTTGTGGGTGGCTACTGGGTTTAATCACGTTGGCAAGTGTCTGCTTCTGAATGATGGACTGCACGAGTCGCACTGACAGAGGGGCATATCCCGAGAACACATAGGAGATGTCGTTGGGCTCGGCCTCGTTGACCTCGTCGTCCCAAACCCGTAAGTTCTTCCGTAACGGCGCGTAGTTGGTCACAGTCCCAGGTTTCGCCGCTGGTATGGAACCCAAACCTGCACCGCCCCTGGGTGCCAGTAGACCCATCTTCTCGAGAGACGCAAGGGTGAGTAGGTGCTGTGGTCCGTATGCCTGGATGACTTCTCGTTTGAAGTTTTCCAAGTCTTTCGGGCGCATCCCAGCATTCGTTGTGCTTTCCAAAGCAAGGAGACGCAATATAGTAGGCAGAGGCACATCCCGAGATATGAATTCGGAGATGGTGTCATGTTGTGTGGTGGGATCTGCCCCTGACATGAGGTTCTGCTGAACCTCGAGTGAACGTGTGAATACGTCTGTCCGTGTGTACTTGATGATCTCCTCAGCTAACGACGTGTGTAATTTCAGGCTCGCCTGCTCAGCCTGATATCCTGGTAATCGGGCCACGAACTCCCTCAGTTCAGCAGTTGTTTTGGCCGATAGTTGGTTGCGTTCCGTACTGCTTTGCAGACGTCGGGCAGCCTTGTTCAGCAGATTACCGACCACAGCGAAGTTTGCATCACCTAAGGTCGAGTAGAGGGAATCTTTCGGATCAATCATCACCTTTCGCTTCATACTGGTTGACCCAGACCCTGTCTGCCCCGGTTGCGGTGCGGCTCCGCCGACGACTGAGGAGTCTACCTCTGTTTGGTTCGCAGATATATTGAACACCTCGTCAATAAGCCCCTCGTAAGTGAGTTGAGTAAGAAGCACTGTCGGGAAGTCGACATCCCGATCAATGATGATGAGGCTGTCGATGGAGGAACTCGGCGTCAGTCCTAGATATGATCGGCTTTGGTTGTTACTGCTCTCGCCTGCAATCACTTCAGTGCGCATTCTGATTAAGAGGTCAGCTAGTCGTTTAGCTTGATCGCCTTTTCCAATGATGCGTGGGAACAGGCCGTATCTCTGTTGCTGGAGCATCAAAGCTCTGGCTGAGAGATAGATCGGAGTAGGGTCTTTCCGCTGTTGAGTGTCAGTGATGAGCGAGACAGCCTATGATGACGATACGCACAAGGTACAAATCGGAGACCGCATCGTCCAGCTCCAGTGACAGTACATCGTCCGCTAGTGGAACGAAGAACAATGGCCATTCGCTCACGCTAGCTTCACCCAAAACTCCAGCTTCCTCGAGAAGCTGGTCAGAGACAACCGTTCGGCGAGGCACCCAGAATATCGAGAATTCGTGCTCGATTTGGCTATCACGACGTATGCGCTTTATTTGCTCTAATAAGGATGTCAGTACCGAGCATTGAAGCGAGCCTGATTGAAGAACGGGACACTGTCAAGGATATAGAAAGGTACTGTGTTGATATAGGGATCAAGACTGGCTAGGCAGAGTGGGAGCTGTCTGCCTAGCCTACTTTAAGATCCCAGCTGGACGTTGGGGCGAAGAAACATAACTTGGGCGGAAACGACGTACCGGCAACCGTCATCACCGTTTTCGCCTTCTCACCTCTGACGAGGAAGACGACATTGCGCTGAGAAGAGTCCACGTTGTCGTTCTCCAGAAAGAACGGCTTGTCGACGCCATATTCTTGAAGTGTGGAGAACTTTACCAATAGGTTCAGCGGTCCTGCGAGAGCTTTTTCGAGGACAAGGTTCTTCTTCCCCCTGACCTGATAATTTCCATGAGTAAAGGAATTGTGGTGCAAGGGGGATATTACCCTACACCTTCGAGGAGGAGAAGCAGCTCTCGGCGAGCTTTTTCAGAAATTTCTGAAGCTCGCAAGGGTGTTATAGGAGCCATGTCCTAGTGTATCATTGAGCGTTCCGATGCTGGCAGACGCTTGACGGCATTGCGAAAGCTCGATGTCGCTACTCCCAAGTCGACGGAACTGTTGTTGAGGTTGAAGCAAGCTTTCCAAGCGGTTGCGCAACGGCCAGTATGCGGCCCGAGTGAGAAACTGGAAATAGCTTAGTCGTTTTCTTGGCATCATTTCACATCCTGTCGAAGCGATAGGGGACAAAAGTTACTGTAAAAGTAGCCTCACGACCCGACAATCATAATGCTTACTCACTTTCATGACAAGATTAGAGCGTGGTAAAGAGCGTCTCCCGAGTCCTGCTTCAGATGTACTTACCGTACAATCACTACAATACACTAAGCAAAGGACGATTGTCTGAAGGGTTCCCAAGGGTTTCCATCAGCATGGCACGTATTAATATTCCTCAACGATGGATGCGTGTCATCAGAAGCCGGAAATGCGCAACAATCGCTATTACCTCCCCTGATTTGCTGCAGCCATTGGTTGCCCCATTTGCAGACGCCTTGATCGATCTGCCGGGTTTTTCCAATCGCTCGCAGGTTCAACAGACATTTGATTCAGGCAAGATGTGAACTTCGGGAGCTTAGTATTGCATAGCTCGATAGCACGAGATACGGATATTAGGAGGCCATGCAGACAGATCGGGCCGTGATGATGTGGACGGGGACGCAACAGTGTGAAGCGTTGCGCGGTAGCCTTGAGCGATCTTCATGTTCAATATTGTATGTCGAAAGCATAAGGACAAGGAGTGTATATGTGACCGAGTTTGTATGTGGCTAATCGAACAGCCAAGCCCTGCAGCTTCAGGTAACCAACAACTACTTAGGTATCGTCGAGTGATTGGAACTACTGCGTAGAAATGCCAGAGATGGTAAAGGAGAGCCTAGATTGATGATACCGGTGGTACCACATTTAGCGGTTGCTTGACTCAACTTTATGATCCCTAGAGATGGGCAAGCCTTTATTTTGGCGCCCATGCAAGATGCCATCGCCCCTCTTCTGGCCTTCTAAGGGTATCTCTAGTTCATACCAGTTCTCGTTCAGATACATCGCCGCTAATCTCACAGGTCTCATAGCCGCCAGTTGTAATGGGAGCTGCCATATCATCGGCCATCCAAAGGAGACACCGAAGAACGGAAAGAATACCCCGATGCCGTAAGGGAATACGTCCCGGAACCAGTGGGCTTGCTCACGATTTTCCGTCAGGTTGATTGCATAACCGCTGGCTGCCACCACAAATAACCACTAAGCCCAACCGGCCAGCCACATACCTGCACAGAGAATAAGAACAATAGCGAGGATGATACCGTCACGATATGGTCTTTCCTGCTCTCTTCGTATTTCGAGATCCTCATCCTCCTGATGCTTCTCGGAGCCTTCCGTATGTCCCATTATACGATGCTCAACCCAACCGAATAGTGGAGCGAATCTGATAACTGGAATTCCGAATGTATCCCGCCCAGTCCTTCCTTCAAAGTCCTTGGTAAGAGTCTGCCACCAGAATGCGCCTTCGGAGATAAAAAAGAAGAATAAGCCAAATCGGAAGACATGGACGGTTAACACGTTCCTAGCGGTTGTGCAGTGTTTCTCAACGGCCCAGTCGCAAAGTACCACCGTGGGAAATGCTAGCATGTTGACAGCGATCCAATATATTTCCTCTACCGATATCCCAAAGCGAATGAGTCTCCTGCAGAGGTCAAATGCAAGTTTTGAAAACATCCACGCCAAGATGCTATGCTCCTGTCGAGAGAGATACGCTCGCCATGATCCCAGCTGTTCGAGGGTTCGGTAGAGGAGTACACAGAGGACTGACAAGCCGCAATAGCGGAGGAACTGGTAGAAGGGTAGCTTGGGCCCGCAAAACATGAGACATTCTTCCCTATCGTACCAGAATCCCGGAGTCGCTTGAAGGCCCCCATTTTGGAAGATTCACAGGCGTGCCGCTTTTTGACGGACGGAGGTGAGGGAAGGATATGTGGGCTACCCCGATGTTCTTGAAGGGGCGTGAACCCTCTATTCAGTGTGCGGAGTTCTGTATGGTCGGGAATTATTGCGATGGGCCTTATGGTCGTGGAGAAGGAACTGTGAAGCCATTCAAGGTGAGAGGAAGATGGAAAGCGTGTCGGTCTTCATGAATACATCGAAGGCCTGCAGAGGACAGCTCAAGAGTCCCAGCTATATGAGTAAGAAGGGTTCGGTGGGGGAGGAGCGGGGCTTTAAGTAGTGTGGCCGTTGGAGTCCGTCGTCACTGCTTCGCTTATGCGACGGGGTGGGCATATCTATCTAGCTATAGGTAGTGCCTTCGATCGAACTAACTTCGACCTAATCAACCTTAGACCTAACATATGAGCCAAGAGGGAGCCGCGGAGACGATTCCGTTCCCAACAATGCTTACTCCAGGGCTCACTCTTATCACTTCACATGCACTGGCGAAATTGCAAACCATGATCTGACGACATCATTATGCAGTATTTCCAGATTCCGAAACCCCCAAGTTGAGTGAGGAGAAATTGGCCCGGCGAGTTCGGAATCGGATGACGCTATCAGTCTGGTAGACACACAATCGAAAAGCGAACAATCACCCTTAGTAGATACTTGTTCAACAGAGGTATGCAAAACACTTAAATGGATGGACAAGCATTTGGGATGGCGGCATGAGGTTCTAGTTTTCATCTTCAAAATAAGCCGCCGTCGTCTACGGAATTTCAGACATATCCTCAGTTGACTGCACATGTGTGCTGAAGACCCGGTGACCGAGGATGAAGATTGGAGCAACATATGACAACTAAGGGAACAGTTGCCAAGACAGAAACTTCGTCAGTTGGTTCTGGCGCAGTTCTTGTGGATCCAGTTAGACGGTTGACCGTGACCTCTACACTCCTTTTGTGAAAGTAAAAGCGGTAGACGGCGGTCGTATGAACTTGCAAGCAGACGTAAAAGCCATTCCAGTCCGGCTGCAGCGATTCCCTTCGCTCAGAGAGGTACGTGTTACAACGAAGGATTACCCAGAAGGATTTCAGGTGGGTTCGACGCCTTTATTGCCATGCATCTGCCCCTATCTTTACTACTCAGCGTCCTTACAATTCTGGACGGAATCTATCTTGTGCGCAAGCAAAGTCGGGAAGGCTGCTGGGGCGGATAGTTTAATAGGTGAAGTGAATACGCTAACCGGAAATGGCATAGCTTTTTTTACCCATGCTACGATGATGCGACCCGCCTCATCAACCCTCAGACCTCGGGGAACCTTGACCCAACACCGGGCTATGGAACCGTTCCCTGATCATTCCCATGGACTACCCAAACCGCGGCCAATACGTTCGGATGTGTCCGAACCCAACTCGGCTCCACGAGTGAGCTCGAATCCGGAGAGCACCTCCTCCAAGAGACCGCACCGTCACAGTCCTCCCCATCACCACCACAGACATCATCGCCACGGTTCCCGGCATGCGAGAAGCGTCGTACAATCCGCAACTCAGCTGTACCCCCCGACGAGCTTTGGGGATCTCTTGAAACAAGTCAGTCGCAGCAGGAATACGTCTCCCACTCGCAACCAGCGAGCCCGCGTGGAAGGGCTGGATGCCCACCGAGAGGTGGAAGCAAACGCCCGGCGATTAAAGCCTGCAAGCGCTGAGGATGTCGCCAGAGAGCAGGCCAAGGCCGAGTCTCGCGAAGAGTACGCCACTGCCACGTCTTGCACAATGGCACGAAACTCATTTATCTGTAGGGCTCTCCTCTCCTTGCTACACAGCTTGTCCGACAAGTCTTTGAAGACATCCCGCCGGCTCGATGACACATACTACTCAATCTTGGAGAAACTTTCCGTCTTGCGGCAAACGATCGGTAGCCTCCAGGAGCTCTCCGGCTTGACCAAAGAACTACATGATACCTTTCTCTTCGATACAAATCAGCTTACCAATGAGATACAAGGGCAAATCAAGAACTTTGGTAATTTCGATGCACAAGACGCCCAGGTCAAGAACCTTCAAGAAAGGATTCAGGCCGGTAAAGAAAAGGCGGATGCATTGATGGGTCGGCTCGCAGAGGCCCGAAGACGGGTCAAAGCTCGAGCCGAATCGGATGCGGAAGGGGAGGCACGCACAAATCGTACGTCTTTGTATACCTCACTCCTCCTACCAGCTTCACTAACGCTTGTAGGGCGGTTCCGCACCTTCTGGGGAATGCTTGGTGCGATTGCGTGCGTTGTGTTTATTATTGCTATTTTTCAACGGTTCAATCCGACATCGGTCAGCGACGAGAGACAGCAGGAATTTGAATCTGGCGTAAGACGCGCGCTCGCGGATGCTCCGATTGCAGATGAAACGAAAGAAGCGATCATTAGTCCAATCCCTGTCCGAGAAAACGAACCTCGTATTCAACCTCCGTCCGCTCCGTCGGATCGGAAGGAAGACGGATGGACGAGGGTCTTCGATGAGCTCTAGATCAACACCAGGATGGCGTTGCTTCAAACGCGTGACATACGCCCTCTAAGTGACATTCAGGATCGAGATTCCTTTACAGTATTCAAGGTATGATCTACTCGAGCTTCTGAGTGTCTTTGAAGTCCCAGTTGTTCAGATACCCGCATCCCGTCTGCAATGGCAGTTAGCTTCCGATGAGTCGGGACGCGCATTCACTTACGCAAAGGTACATTGCAAAGCTGAGCCAGCCTATATATGCTGCAAGGAGCCATCCGGAAGCAGTATCAACCTGGCTCCAGATGTACGCAAGATAACCCGTAGTGCCAGTGAGGGCGATGATGTCGGCGGTGGCTTCAATCGGTCGTCCGAATCGGAAGAACAGCGGCATCCAGATGAGATTGAGTCCGAGCTGAATAGTATAAAGGGTTGCTCCATGCTGAGCTGCGTCAATTGAGCACCACGCGGTCGTCTGGAGCGAGCGGAACCTTCGCCAAATTGTGCTTCTCCAAGTCAAGTGACTGCGTCCCCGTACTCCACGCACGATAGGCAGCGTATCCTATTATTGCATACAACACAGTCCATACTGGGATAAATACCTAAGAGGGAGGGTTTAGAGGAGGCTGCTTCAGTTTAGTGTAGACCTTTTCAGTTCGATCTGAATTGACTGCCTAGCTAATGGCTCTGCTAGCTCCGACGGGGAATAGCACTGCAACGGCGGGTTGCTCGAAGGCGAAGGCTGGAAGCGTTAATGAAGGGATGTAGGTCGTCATCTTGAGTCTTAGGATGGTAGTTGGGATATTATGTGAACAAATGGGAGAGGGCTGAGAAATACAGTAGCTCACAGAGCTTGATGGGATGGATGGCCAGATGGTGACGTCAAGTTGGCGTCGCTCGTAACATGGAAGGCTTCACCATTGCCCACATTTGTTGACCTGCTTTTTTAGGGAGAGATACTGTGTACACAGTGAATAAGTTTGATCATCCATAGTCATTTCCACTCAAGTAACTCGATCTCAATTATCCTGGACTAAACCCTTGCGAGAATATACTGTGTCTACCAGCTCCGCCTTGTTACCGAATCGTGGATAGGATATTCTAGCCCACTAAATCTATAGACTACAAATACAGTAGGTTATGAAGAAGAATATTGGTGACTGAAGAAGCACCGTGTATCGAGAGAAAAAGGAGAAGGAGGGACAGAGAGAGAATTCCTCTGTTTCTTAAGCTACTGTTATTGACTCCGTTGGCTAGCAAGTGAATCTACACTGATCTCTGCAATGACATAAATACCCGGAGTGGCTACATCTATAGGAGGATGTCCACGACGTTCGGCTGAATCCCCTGAGTGACCATGCCATTACATCTATACAACGAGAGAAGTTCTTCTATCTGTGGTACAGGTATTCAAGTTTTGACGACTACCCCATTTCATCTATGACAGACCTCACAATGCCACCTCATCCTATACCCTAATCACCACTCCGATGCCCAACCCCGAAGCCTCACGGATACAGCACGCAAGGCACGTCCGCGTCGTCCGCCCAATAACGGCATCACACCCTTCGGCTGCACACCAGGCCCTAGCCAACAGTTCCAAATCTTTTGAACCCCGCGCATCAAGCACAAGGGTCGTCTTATGGTCGCGACGGCAATAATCTGGGTTCGCATACCTGTCGGGCGATTTAAGCAGGTTATCAGTGAAGTTTGGGTTGAAAACAGCCGTTGCAGGCACGATCTTGTAGTTATACCATACATGGAGGGGATGCTCCCTGAGTGGTTTGAAATCCAGCGGCGCACTTTCTGGGCTCTGGTTATCAGTCTCCGCCGGCAGGTCCGGTTGAGGAGCGTGGAAGCGATGAACAAATAGCGGTGGCTGAAGACGATCGAACAGCTCGACTCTATGGCCGGTTCGACGACTCCAGAATCTTGACACTATCTTCTCCGTACTGCTCGTGTGCTTTTGAGGTGGCGCGCATGAACGAGCCATGGAAGGGCCCGTGCAGGGATATGAAGTGACGAAACTCACATCATGCTTAAGTGTGAACTTAACAGCTCCAGGGCCGCCACCGTCGGAGAAGGTCAGAACAGCCATGAAGGTTGGGGCTCTTGTGTCGGTCACTGGCAAATCGAGGCCCATTGGCGTGTGAGGTTCAAGAGCCCAGTTCACGAGAACAACCGAAAGGTCTGGGAGGACGCTGGAGTCGATAGGCACGGTTAGGTCCTCTCCTCTGCAGGGGCGAGCATCCTTGGGAATGAAGGATGAGTCTTGAAAGACGATATCCTCCTCTCTCCCCTGAATGGGATATTTGTTATCCTTGGGACGCCAAACGGTCATACTGCAGACATCGTACCATCCATTGGGTAGGTCAGACGTATCCGGCACTGAGATCCAGCCCATGGACTCCAGCGCACCATCCATGCATGCTATGACACGACCGAGTATGCAGAATTTGCTCCACCAGCTGCGACCAGCGTAAATGAAGCCGCCATGCAAGTCCGCTGTGTTGCCTATAGTGCCCAAAGCCACCTCGCCGTTTTCGAGCAACGTGCACATTAAATGGTGGCAGATTGCTTCCCCAGGAAGGATTAAGCCAGTCAGATAAGACCTACTGAGCCAGCCACCAATGCTCGCTATCTCAACTGTAGCATCAGAATCATTTGGATTCGTGGAGCTGTTCAAGGGGATCGTTAAGCGCAGGTGTTTCTACGGCGGAATCCGGGTCATTGCGGTGGAAGTAGATCCCGGAAATGTTGCTAGTGCTTGAAGGTTTGGGCAATGGGGTACCGTAAACACTTGTAAAAGGCGATATACTGAGCTCGACGAACCTCTCGTTTGTCGACATTAGCTGGCCTAGCGACTGTGCAAGGCTGTCAACGATGCCTAATCTATTCGACAACCCTTCTACCACTCTCTCAATTTCAGGCCAGCGGAGGGCGCTAGCAAAGGCCACAAGGCCTGACAACTGGCGCGTCTGGTTTCGCGGCAGCAGAACATATTCAGAATCATCGATCGGCCTTTGTGGGGGAGCGTGACCACTCTTCGTCGAGGGTATATCTTGCCGCGCGCCGCTATGCGTTCCTACCAAAATACCGGCAGCCTTCCGTTTTACAACAATATTGTCCAGAAAGCAACGAGCCAGTACCAGATCCCAGTCGACTTTCGCACTCTTCAGCTTCCAAAAGCCATTCCTGTCTCCACTGGAGATTTTCTGTTCGAATAACGTTCGCTTGCTCATGCTGATCACTGCATCAACCCTCAGAAGCAGCTCGCAAGAAAGGGCAATCTGTAGAAGGAGGATTTCCCGCTTTGTCCATAGACGGACTGGGGCCACATCATGTTTGTATTCATCGTTGCTCCACAGGATTTCGCCAAGTTTCACTCTCCATTCCACGACTGAGAAGTCAAACCAAACACGTACCTCGCTGAGGGCTGAAAGGAGAGAAAGAATTGGAGCATTCAAACCGGTCACATTCTCGAATCTGGGCACAAAGACAGAAGCCACCAAAAAGTTGTCGAACAGGTTCTACAGGCCTTCGGAGGTTGCCACATCCAAAATATTCTTGCGCTCCGGGCTGGCTTTGAGAGTCTCAACCAAATTTCCAATTTCTCTGAGCCTTTCAAAGATTACACCCAGGTCCACTTTGCGTATCCCCATTTGCTCAGGGTTGCTCTGGAATATATCACAATGCGTCCGATAGAGATACAGTGGTGCCTCTAGCTCCGAAGTGATGCCAGCGTCTGAAAGCGGAATTTGTAGAAAGTGAGTGAAACCGATGGAGCCAGGTTCCACCCCTTGAAGGCTTAGCATGCTCGGAAATTCAAGGATGTCGAGGGAGTATGGAAAATATGACCCCTTTCGGTCGTACGCGTGTTGTTGAGCTGGGAGATGCCCGCGCAGCGTGGCTGCGGAGAAGGCAGGGTGGGAAAGCCGAACTGTGTCTGATACATCCCTGATTCGCAAGTCGGTATCCCGGAACCATGCATGGGGTCCCATCACACCGCCGTGGTTGTGCAAATGGAAGAAAGGGGCCCCCGAAGACAGCGCCGATAGTATTCGAGGCGGGAGCGTTCTACTTTTCTCCGTCTTGTCTCTTTTCTCCCGAGTCACACCATTATCATTCGAACCGGCGGTATCTGTGTCGTTCTGGGGATCGGTGATTTTGTTTTCTTCGGACTGCGGCAACGATTGCGAGGACACCGTGTTGGGAGGTGAGGTTGCTTTGTAGGAATGCGACATGAGTACCCTATAGATATTTATGCAACAAGAATGAGTGACGTAGTCAAGGAAGTATGCGCGTTGATGTTCGTGCCACGACGCCGTTCACCTGGACATGTGTCTTTTTCCTGTTCTTGAGGAAGTCGCATATCGCCTGCCGCCTCGACTACTTCTTTCCTTCGAGTAAAACTGCAGGCACATATTGCTTGCCACGAGTTGCCTCTAATGAGATATGGTAGTGGAAGGGCTAAACCGATGTTCGTGAACCCGCCGGAGTAGAATCGCTCAATGTGAGGTTTGCCTCAACCCGTTTCTCAGCGCGGAGTATCCGTTGTGCCTGGGTTGCTTCCTGGAGGCTACGCTGATTGGGCCGAGGTTCCAAGACCACCCCGACTCTTTGTGTCCCGTGTCGGAAAGAAGATGGCGGGCCAATGTATAGCCCAAGAAAGCAGCGCAAGAAGGCATCGCAAGGTTCATTTCAGGAGCGAGAGATGGGGTATATGGCCGAAGTACAGAGTGGAGTCCGAATTTTAACGAACCCCTATCTACGTCTGTTATTTCTCCGTCCTTGTAAATAGAATGGCAGGGTTATAGAACTTACCTGAATAGGTCTTGAGCTGCGTATATGATACGCGGATAGACTGTTTATGCCTCGCGCTGCATGGAAACGGGTTATGTTTAGCAGCAACGCGTCATGTAGGTAGAAGGCAGTTCTTCACTGATTTCCTTTTTCCCGGTGACTTCAATGGCTGAAAGTTACTCAATTGTCTCTCACACCGGCGCACGCCTCTCCTCAAATGAAGGAAGGCTATATGGGCTCTCAAGCTCCAACTCGATGGGAACAACACTCAAGCTGCCGCGCTGGAAATTCGGCTTTCGAAGGCTTGATTCGGAGACTGTCTTGCTTCTTTTCCCAGATATAAAACCTTTGTAGCAAGGTAACGCGCATACGGTGACTGCGATTGTCGGTTCGAGGAATGTCCAAACGGAATTGAGGTTCGTTTGAGTGCTGAGTGTTCCCGAAAGCGAGTAAACTGTGCGAACGATGTCGAACGCGATGTCAACCACGACAAGACTGAATATGACAATCAAGCCGATTCTTGCGGATTTTTCCAGTTTCATCAAACGAGTGGTGACCATGACGAGGGGAAGTGCCATCACTGCACCAAATACGTCAGGCCTATTCAGAATCGAAGAGGTTGAACCACAAGGTATATACATACATAGAACTCCACCCAGGACGTTGAGCGTACACCTGAAAAGAGTATGTGTTAGCATAGAGTAGCAATATGAGGGGGAAAGCCAGTAGCTGTATCTGCACTACGGCCATTGCGATGGACAATATGCCGTTGACGGTCGAGTACTTACCATATAATCAGCAGAGTGAATGGCGTAGTCTCGTTCTCCTCGCAAACTTCTACTATATTGTCAGCATGGTTCAAGAATCCGACCTTATCCGTAGAGTAGTCTTACCGAAATTTGAGATCTGTGAGGGTGATCCGCATTGCCAGAAGATGGATATGATTGTTATGAGAAAACTCGTCGTAATGAAGGCAGTTGAGATCCACCAAACATAACGAAACCAAGTCGACACCGCAAAAATCTTCCAATACAAGCTTAGAAAGCTCGCTTTGACGGAGTAGAGGATGAGCCAAAAGAAGACTAGACTGGCGAAGTTCACACGGTAGCTGAGTATCATTTCATCAAGCGATGGAGGTTCTCCAACACGCCGGAGATAGTAAAGCTGAGATCGATACTCGATCGGAAGCGCTATCAAACCGACTACAACAAAAGGGATGACGAGGAAGGCAGCTATGGCATTCCAGATGTCATCGGCGTGCAGTGTCCGTAGCTTCTTCCAGCGTAAGATGAGACGACCGGCAGTAAGTAAGAGGCACACTGTCATCGTCGTCCAAGCCAGCGCCTACCGTAGGGTACATCAGCAAAAGTTCAACAACCAGTAGCCGTTTTCGTATCCAGAGCTGGGGTTCGTCTAACCTGTATTCCGCCCTTGGAAATAAGAAGTGCATGGACTGATTGGGTCGCATCTTCCTCCTGTGCGTCTATCGCGGTCATGATGACGGGGACCACGTACGTCTGGCAGACATCCAGGGTAGAGGGGCTGGTGGATTATTGAAGGATTGACATCGTGAAGAGACGATGATGAGGAGCAGCTGCGTTTTCAAAATGACCAAAATCGATCGGCCACGCTATTTTCAGCCCCATAAGAGGCCTCCAATAGGTGCGCGAGTTGCATCAGCACGGAAAGTTGGTGGTGGCGTCCGTGTCTGACCCAAAACTCTAACGCGCGAAGCATTGCATTACCCTTGTAGCTTGACCGCCAAGCCAGAACACGCCTTAATTCTGTTATCATTTTGTGGCCCATCTCCGTCAGCACTAAGTCGAAAAACGCCTCGGCAGTGGAATTTGATCGGCATGTCATTGGGTTGCGGATGGGTCGTTGCAAAGGCCGAAAGTTTGTTGAGCAGAATAGTTAGCCAGGGGAAAAGGACGACTGAAGACGTCTGAGCGGAAGAGCCTTACGCTACATCTGAAGAGTTTAGACTTCGTGACGTGTTTTGGAAGCAGGCTTCCTTCTGCGAACAGCCGACATTGGGAAGCCATTTCCTTGCACGTACGGAGTACTCCGAAGCGCACCTTGACAGAGAGTATAGAATCGGCTCGCGAAGGAAGCACTTGGCTGGTGCAATAACCCTCAACTACGATGCTTAGGAGCCCTGCGCAGCGTTGCTCTAGAGAACCTTCCTTGACAATTGAGTACACACGTAGCTTTTTTGCAGCATGAACGGCGATTACGATGAAGCGTCGATTATCCTTATAGGGTATGTAACAAAAGTGAAGACGCAGATGCCCCGCAACGCACAAGGACATAAAGAAACGGCAAGTATGGAATTGTAGCAGCTGAAAACTTCTTTTCATAAGGAGCGAAGTGAAGGTGGACATAAGCCTACAATAACTATCGGCGCTCCTGCTTCCCCGAGTAAACCACCCAAACATGGAGTTGTGGAGAACATGCGCCTTCAAGCCAGGGAAACTTATTAGATAACCCCGACATGTGTCGCCCTTGGTGATTAGTAGATATCTCCCGTCGCCCAAGATCTCAAAGTCTTTAGGAATATTGGATATGTGATTGACAGGGGCTTTTAATCTACCGCAGGCAACAGTTACGATCAAAGACGCAATGAGCCAGTTAGGTGCCTTAGGTTAAACTCAAGGGAAATTTGGAGAAGCCTGCCGGATGGAAACACTATGCCCGGTTCCTATGGTCGAACGATCCTGAATGTCCAAGTTGTACCAACGGTACTCTGAAATAATATCTTCACGGATGCCTGCGGTACCAGTGCAACGCTGGAATGGTATAAAAGCACCGCAAAATCTGCATTTCTCAGGTACTCTAACAGTAGTCGTTCGCTGACATTCTTCGTACGCTCATTATCAGTCTCTCGCTCGAATTTTCTATTTAACCCTCAACAATGTTCTCTTTCAACATCATGTTTGGTATCACCTTAGTGGCCTCTGTCGCCTCCTCTGCAGCCATTCCAACATCTTCCGATTCAGTCGCTTCTCCCCACGTCAAGCTCGGTGCCCGCCAGGCGGAAATGCCATCGGAATGCACCGAATACTGCAGTGTCGCAGCTGGTTGTGTGTGCATCACACGTCCTACCAACTGTATGTGACACCCACTTTGTGACCGACTGGCTCTAACTGGCCCCTAGGCGTTGCGACTTATCTCGTGCACGCTGGTGAGACGTGTGGAACGGTCGTGGAGCGTTTCTCCAACTTCACTGCAACGGACTTGTATAAGTGGAATCCGTAGGTACTCATCATAGCACTGTGAGCGTCCCACTAACCTCGCACAGGGAGATTGGAAGGTCGTGTTTCGGCCTTCGTGCTTATGTACCAGTATGCATCGGCGTCCCGAACTATGAGTATCCTGGTCCTGTCAAGGGAGGGGACATCTGGACAGCGGAGCAAACGCCAGTACCGATCCAACCGTCAATTGTCGCAAATTGCACCAAATATGAGTACACAGATAGCACAGGTAACCCGACACTCCAGACAATCCTCACGACGAATAAGATCACCAAGCAGCAATGGAACACCTGGAATGGTCACGCTGATGAACCGAATGAGGATTGGGCTTCCTGGGCGCAGTACTTCTCGTGCATTGCAGCATAGATCACGACTTCAGGCTGCTTGTAAGGCGCGATGCGCGATGGGGAATGGTAGTGGTGGATGATTATGAAGAGAAAAGACCTCGGGGTTGTCGTCTACATAGTATATGGAGATGCTATTACTAAGCATTTAGTCTAGTTACTAAATGCGGACTAGCTCCCTGCGCTAAAAAGGGGCTCTCAAAGCAGCCAATCAAGCGTGACAGTCCCGAACCTGTGTTTATCATTCAACTTCGATTCAAGCTCATGGGAACCCTTCCAGGGAACGTTATTGCTCTTATGGCTACAACCGCACCGTCAGACTTCGCAGTTCACAAGCCTCCTGCCAAATATGTGATTAAATCCCCGTCTGTTGTTCTCTATGGAAGCGTCGAAGTGGGCATCGCGCCGAGTTGGCAGGACAAGCTCGCCGCGTCGCTGTCAAGCCTCCCGATAGCCGTTCTCAATCCTCTACGCGAAGACTGGGACAAGACCTGGATCGAAGACATTTCGTTTCCAAAGTTCAGAGAGCAGGTGGAGTGGGAGATGGACTGTGCTAAGGTGGCGGATATCATTGCCTTCTATTTCGGTCCGGGCAGCCTGGCACCCATCTCACTGCTGGAGCTGGGCATGTATGCTGCCACTGGAAAGGTGGTCGTTTGCTGTCATCCTAATTATGAGAAGAAAGGAAATATTCAGATGGTCTGTTTGAGATACGGCATCCCATTGGTCGCAGAGCTCGGGAAGCTGGAAGAGTTGATCAGGGAAAGATTTCAGCGGATACTAAAACCTACCAACATCGGCTGAGGCGCTTTGCAAGCACATTCATTGCTTAGTCAATATCGATTATAAGCAATGGACCAGGGGCTGAGGATGGTTTTCATGACAGCTACGGTACGAAAAAAAGAGTAGATATTGCAAATGAGCGGCGACCCAGTTAAGACTCCCCCAATCACCATATCCTTTATCTAATTCCTCTGGTATGAGCATGCCCCAAGCCTCGATCATTCGAAAAGCGCTCTACGGCGATTGATACGTTAAGCCTTCTGGTGCATTGTTGGTAAATAGCACGGCGGTGATAGTGCCCTGAAGTCATTGTCAACGAGGATTCTATTGGGAAGACTATAGTATTAACCAATGTGGGATTAATTTTCAACTTTCGTCGTCATGTTGTATATATGAAGGGCTACCGAGCTGTTTAGAGGTGATGCGTTGGGCTGTACTCCGTACGGAGGACCGACCTGCTGATCAACTGAGAGTTGGCGTTGAGACTTGGAGTGCGGTTATATTTCGGCTATATCTCGGCTTATTGTGCTGTGGCACACACGGAGTGCAACAACGAATCAGTTGAAGCTATGGCGACTTCAGCAACATCAACATCTCTCTCCATTCGCACAACATGGATTTGACCGCTTGGGCAATACTTCAGCTATCGAAGTTGCTTCCTCTTGATGATGAGTCTCTTCGACAAATCGTCTCGTATGCAGAAAGCTTGCCGCCTAAAGAGGCCGCAGAACATCTCCAGAATCTTCTCGGAGATAGCCCTAAAGCGCTCGAGTTCATTACGTCTTTCAATAACCGAAGAAACCAGCAATCGAATGCAGCGTCGAAAACAGCTTCAGGATCAAGTATATCTGAAGTACCAAAGGCGAAGCCTCGGAAGAAGAAGGCGGAACGTTTTGGTCAGCTCCCTCCACCCCGACAGCCGGAAAACTATGGAGACGTCTCAGGGGGATATCTGAAGCCAGTTGAAGAGGACTATTTGGCCGCTAGCCCTAGATCGAGAAGCCCCAAACCACCTGCCGCTTCGCAGCCGCCAGCTCAAGCAACTAAGCCGGCGAAGCTTCCCCCGTCAGCTGCTGGCCAACTGATATCAGACGTCAGATCGTCCCGCAATTCCTCACCGAAGCCTAAAAGCAAGGTGACTATCCAAGGCGGCACTCCCATGCATGGTGCCTCCACCGTGCTCAGTGATCTGGACGCAGCCATCAAGTCCCTCGAGATACAAACGAACCTGACATTATCATCCGCCCAAGACAATGAAAGACGGAAATGTAACTGTATGGCAACACGGCATCCGCTCTTAGATGCAGCCCCTAATTGCCTCAATTGTGGCAAGATCATATGCGTTAAGGAGGGCATTGGCCCTTGTACCTTCTGCAATACTCCTCTTCTAAGTTCGTCGGAGATTCAATCAATGGTCAGGGTGCTCAAAGATGAGCGTGGGAAAGAGAAAATGGCTATGAACAATGCCTCCCAGAGGCGTGCTGAAGTGTCATCGACGCCGCGGCCCTTCTCAACGCCCAGGGAGCGCACGCCTGCATCGTCAACTCCAGCCTCAGATAGCGAAAACGAGAAGCTGACGAAAGCGAAACAGCACAGGGACAAGTTGCTGGCTTTCCAGGCGCAAAATGCACGAAGAACTCAAGTCCATGATGAGGCAGCCGATTTCGAAACACCAACCGCAGGTCTCAGTATGTGGGCGAGTCCGCAGGAGCGAGCTATGCAACTCAAAAGACAACAGAAGGCTCTGCGCGAGCAAGAGTGGAACTCTCGGCCTGAATATGAGAAGAGAAAGGTAGTGGCAAGCCTCGATCTGGTCGGTGGGAAGGTCGTGAAGAGAATGACGACCGTTGAGCGTCCGCGTACGCCCGAGCCTGATGAGGACATTCCTGAGCTCGCAAATCCAACTGTAAACGATGTGCAGTCGGGTCAAGGGCCGTTCAGTCGGAATCCTTTGCTAGGAGGATTGATCAGACCAACTATAAGGCCCGATGACAAAGGTAAAGGCAAGGCAAAAGAAGGGTTGAAGAAGCAAACCTGGCGCCGGGTACAAGACGACAATGAAGACAACGAGCAGTGGATTCTTGATGGAGGCGCATATGGTGGCCAGGCGGGATCTTCTGATCAGGACCACTGAGGTTAGCAAACTGGTCATACTAGGTATTGATTCTTTATCCCACAGATTTTGCCATTGGTAAGGCTGAACCGCTCCTCCAACGCTACTCCGTACACTGCGATATAGACTCACGGACTAAGTCTCTCTCTCTGCACCTCGTCTGCAGCCTCGAACACTGCCCCGCAGCAGCAGCCTCATGTGACTGGTATAGCAGCATATATAGTATTTCAATTGTTTGCCCGTTAATCAATCATCGCCAGTCGCTAATGCCTTTCCTATGCAAAGTCCACTACGACACCCTAATGGGGGCGAGTCCATGCGGCTAACCCATCCCAGTCCGTTTCTGAGCCATGGCAGCAAGCTCTGCAGAAGTTTGAGAAGGATTTGAATCCCAAGGAGATGTTCGTATTTAGAGATCCCGGACGAGAAAACATAGTCAGAGATCTGGCGGCGCTAGAAGATCATCAGCGAAGATCAAGTAAGGTCCGGCGGTTATCAGATGAGTCCAGACCTTTCTGGCCACGGTCGGAGATTATGGACAAGCCTGGACGTGTTGTCGAACACTTCTTCGGTGATGCCGCCACTATGGGGTTCTCTAAGAGTGTTGATTGCTGTAAGTCCTGCTGAAGTCCTGCTGTTGGAGAACGCGCAATGGCTTGGCTAACTGGTGATCCAATAGGTACTTCAAATGAGGCTTATGGGCATCCTGGAACAGATTGGAGATATTATTCCTAGTTATTCCCCATATTCAGACCTGTTCAAATCGCACGCTCCGCTTCGTGGAATGTTTTCTTGAGCATGGCGCGCACGCTACTCAGATGGATCACAAGGACAAGCTGCCCTTGCATGGAGCTGTTTCAAACCTAAAGGGCTGCTCTGCTCCAGAAACCATGGTGCTCGTCCGGCTTCTACTGCAACATGGCGCATCACTCTACGCCAACGGAAGAGTGCCCTGCATGGGATGCGATCAGTCAGTGTCACGGTGACTCAACCGCCAACACAGCTTAGTTCGCGCCCTTATTAAAAGCCCTTTGTGAAGAGCTTGGGTATGGGAAGTTAGCAGAGTCGCCTGACAGTCAGGGTTTCGTCTCGATCCATCGTGCTGTTCGATCCGGAGATCTTGATAAGTTGAAAAGTTTACTGGAAGAAGGGTTTTCGTCTGACTGGCTTCACTTCGGATACGGGGCCCTCTATAGATCAACACCACTGCAACTCGCCGTGCAATTTGGAAAATGGAAGCTGCAACGTTGCTGATTCTTCATGGGCCAGATATTTCTCGGATCCGCGACTGTGGACGTACCCTTGAAGAGACAGAGGGATGGGGCGCGTACGGAGCGGAGCGCCGGAAACCTTTCGTGCAACGGTTGATGGAAGAACTCACGCTCTCATGAGAACTGGAGGACCGCTGCTGCCCTTCGTCACCGCCGTCGTGCAAGGTGGACTAGGGACAATATGGGACTTTTCGGAGATACTCTCATCAACTTCTGAACTCGTTTCTCATGCATGTTATATCTTTCACATCTTTCTAACGTCACGGTTTATTGATGCCGTCGGTCTGTACTTCCCCGATCAGAGGACGGGGAAGGTCTGCAAGACCAATAAATCATCAAGCCTATTTGACAATGGAGAGCAAGAAACCATCGTAATCCTTCTCCCCCACAGTCTGCAGCACAACACCATCCAACCTGTCATCCGTACCAATGTTCTCGATCACCCTTCGAGTTCCTTCAATCCTGGAATCACCGCTATCCGGATTCGCAACGCGGCCTTTCCGCACCACATTGTCGACGATGATTGCTGCGCCCTTATTGGAAATGCCTGCAGCTGCATCGACGTAGTTCCAGTTGTTCTCCTTATCTGCATCAATGAATACCAAATCGAACTTTTCCCTCTTCCCAGCTCTGACTTCCTCAACAACCTCCCGCAACACGTCTACACCCGCACCAAGGCGGACCTCCACCCGATTCTCATAGCCAGCATGAGCAATGTTTCGTCGTGCGACTTCAGCATGATGCTGATCCACCTCGATGCTGAGGACTTTGACATCAGGGCCAGAGCTTGCCAGCCAAATTGTAGAGTATCCGCCCAGCGTCCCTACTTCCAAGATGTTCTTCGCTCTGACCAGCTGAGCCTGGAGCTTGAGGTATTTCCCTTGCGAAGGGGAAACGGCGATGTCGGGCAGACCCGCCTCTTTGGAAGTGGATAGCGCATGCTCGAGCGTTTCGTGGGAGGGTTCGGCTTTGTGCTGCGGGTGGAGATGGCTGAAGGAGTAGGTGTCGACGGCGGTCCAGCGATCGTCTCGCTCGTATTCCCCAGAGGTAGTCATGGTGAAGGCTGTGGTAGAGGAAACTAGTTAGGAATGCCTAAATGGTTGAGGCTGGGGTGAAAACAACGACGCGACTCCAATTGAGCGGCGAAGTTATATATGCGGCTTCTTTACTCCGTATGAGTCATACTACAATCCGTCGAGAGCACTCCTCATCGCGCGCATACACAGTACGGCCGCGGGGTGTTTTTGGCAGGTCGTTTGAGGTTGTCTCACGGATTGCCCAATTCAAGTTCGCGATTACGTCATCCAGGGTTGTGAAACGATTCGGAACCAATTGACTCCGCTGCCCACATCAGGGTAACACGACAGGAGGATTTCACTGAGAAAGCTGGTATCATGTACAAGTAAGTTTTTTCGGCGATGAAGTAGCGAGTCAGATCACATAGCGAGCCGGACGCAACAAATCCTTACACATGACGAGTGAAACCGCGTGAATCTGCAACATGCATTTCTGCACACCTTAGAGAAAAATACTATAACTGGTAAGGAGATTTGCGGATTTCATACACGGATTTCCCCGACTGGCTCTGTGATTTATTTCGCTCCACATTGACTCACTCTCTCACGAAAGAATTCGATTCCCAAAAGTGGGAATCTATGCTATCTATGCTTCCAATCCCCTTTCTGGTTTAGAATCGAAAGCCCTGGCCAGGGGACATACCCTCACAGGTCGTCAAGAGGCGACGCACTTCGCATCCTTTGTTTGTCCTCTTTTACATTCGACAAGAGCTGGCCATCATATCTGCCTGATGATGGCCGCCCTTCAAGCGCCCTTCCTGCCCAATTTCAGACCGCATTGGGTTTCCCTGGAAATGTCGGAGTCCGCGGAATCCAGCCGTTTACTAAACATTCAAGCAGCCAAGAACACTATGTGAAAGCTCACACCTCCTCCTATTGGTAGCTTACAAAATCTCCTCCGTACGCAGGTAATCGCTGTTACACCAGGACAGTGGACTTTACCTCCTTCAGACGAAGTAAGAGGTTCAACATCCAATCACGATGACAGTCCGAGCTGCTTCATTCCACCACCACGATTGAATGCTCCACGATCTTCGCTCGGCGCTGAGAAAATGGCAGATGAGGTTTCTAAGCAACGAAGAAGATAAAATAATCGATGGAAGGGACGCAGGTGGATATAAACCTCCAGCTAGAACTCAGGAGGAGGAACAACAGAGCAGCAGCACGACCACGAACAAGAATCGAACAACAGCTTCAAGCCCTATCTCCCTTTCCGAAACCCGAGTACTACTCCACGATGCCTGAAATCAAGGACAGCAACGCGATCATCATCGGCGCCAGCCACGGCATGGGCCTGGAAACCGCAAAACTCCTGGTCTCCAGAGGTGCCAACGTGATCATCACTGGCCGCCATGCCGACAGTCTCCAATCTGCCAAAGAACAATTGGGAGATAAGGCTACCACTCACCAAATCGATATCTCCTCCTCTGAAGAGCGGAAGAACCTGCCGAAAGTCGTCACCGCAACCTTCGGGGAGCAGAAACCGCTCGATCTGATCTACGTCAATGCCGCACACGCTCGATTCGCGCCCTTCCTCGAGTACCCAGAGGATATTCTCCGCCGCACCATCGAAACCAACTTCATCGCCCCCTTTATGATCGTCCAATCTCTGGTTCCGCTCCTCAAGGATGGCGGCGCCATCGTCTTCACCACTTCCATCTCCAATGTCCGCGGTTTCCCTGGAATGTCGGCGTACTCTGCCAGCAAGGCCGCGATCCAGTCGCTTGTAGAAACAATGGCCGCTGAACTCGCCTCCAGGCGGATCCGCGTCAATACCGTCAGCCCCGGATTCATCAGGACGCCCGACCCAAACGTCTTGGATTTCCCCAAGGAGGTGCTGCCTGGCCTTGACGCTTATGGGGTGAGCATCACGCCGATGGAAAGGCTTGGGGAACCGATCGAGGTTGCGAAGGCGGTGGTGTATTTGGGATACGATGCCACGTTCACTACGGGCTCAGAATTGGTGGTGGACGGTGGGTTGACCGCGGCCGTCAAGCCTGCGAAGGCTTAGGAAGCAGTTTGATCCACCTGAGGGTTATCGAAGCAGCTAAATAGTTTGGGATGAGTGCACAGTAACCCAACTGTTACAATATAACGACCTGCTTCACTTCCAGCTGCGCCTCTCCAGCGAGAATCCAATGTGACCTGACTTGTTCCTGAAGCTGCATCTCTAATTGACCATCATCTAAGATTGGATATGCGTAGGAACGACCACGAGCTAGCCTCTTGCAAAGCCAGTTTATATAGATGCAGGATTGGAATTTCGAGCATATAGTATCTCCAATCCAAATAAGCTCAAAAGCGTATCGAGATTCCTCAACTCCATGTAAAGTAAGACGTGACTTCTCCCAAGCCCGTTTTTACTGACCCACTACTATAGAGCGCAGGTGAGGACTAACCTTAAATTTAGCAGTGGTAGCCGCATGGACCTTTGAACCACACTTGTCACACCGCCAAAATGGGAACTAGCAAACCTTGGAAAGGTGGGAAAAAAGAGAAGACGGCGGGCTTAAGGAGACAAAAATGACAGTACTGTTCTATTTATTTCCATCTGGGCCTAGAAGGGTCATCAAAAGCCTATCTGGCAAGTGTATATCACTTTTTAGTGGTTTCGGTTGTAGACTTGTTTATGTTATATATAAGTATTTAAATTGAAAATATTCAATAACTACAGTCTCATTGGTCTAGTTGGTTATGACGTCGGTCTCATAGCTCCTATCTATGACTCCTCTTAAATGAGTAGACATCCGAAGGTCGCCAGTTCGAATCTGGCATGGGACACTTTTTTGTCAGTTTTTGCTATGTACCTATATCTATGTGTATGCTATCACATCTCACGTCTTTTTGCATCATAAACACAATCCAGGCAAAGGAGGCGCGGAAGAGGTTTCCCTCTTCCTCAGCGTGCAAAAGGCTTCCATCGGCTGAGGATACCGTTCTTAAGTATCCCGCATTGAGCTAAGAAATGTTTAATCGCTTTTACATATACTTGCATGTTCAGAGTCCATTATACTTCGTGTTCTTAGCTAGAACCCTCCGGTGACACAGATTTGGTTCGCTGCGTGGTTGTCCGTAGCATGCGTGATATTGTGTGATTCCCGCGCACCCTCAAAGTGCTGAGACGACACTAGCGGATAACTCCAGCCGTGTGACCTTGAGGGAGTTTCGGAGGGAACCCCGCCCCTTGAAAGGACGTACGTACACGGCGCACTCAATGAATCCATCTGAGAAAAAAATATTCCATTCTTGTTCAACCACAGCTACTGCTCTTTGCCATACCTACCCCGACCATCCCCCACTCCCTCGTCTCGGTCCTGCCCTACCTACCGAATCACCTGCCCGCCCTCCCTCTCGATCCCATGCAAACTCTCCAGGATTTCACTCCCGCCCAACGATCCCGTCCCTGCACCGAGACTGCCTCGATCCTCACTCCAAATCTCATGGAACCTGATCGCTGCATCGCTAGCCGCCACAACTATGCACCCTTCTTCCGCAGCTCGACGTGACCACACGTCATCCTCTCCCCTTTCTCTGCTTGTATTGGGGCTACCGGGATACGGGATTGCATAGAGCGCTCGGTTCTCGTCGTACCACGGAACAGCTCCAATTTGCTCGCAGGAAGGCCAAGCAAAAACCGCGATGCGATAAGGATGCTCCGGCTGTGCGAAGCCAAACGTAGCTGCAATTTCCCTGCGAGTGGTGCTCCAAATGAGGCTGGTAACTTGGGCAGCGCAGTCGATGGTCGCTAGGCATGCCCCAGAAATAGTGTGGTAAAAGTGGATGCAGCGATCATTCGAGCCGCCCCCGATAGCAAGCAGACCACGCTGCCAAGGACAGAAGGCGATTGCCTTGACGGCGGCATTTAGTTCCCACCTGTGCTTCTGGCGTCCCGGCGGAATAGCTAGGACGTTATTACGTCCTGGTGTCACCGTCCAGATCTTCTCTCCATGTAAGCCGTCACGGGCATCCAAGACAGCGGGTTTCTCGTGCGAGCCGGGCCGTCGTTGCGTGATCTTCTTGGTCTCGAAGAGAAAGCAAACATTGTCATTGCCACCGCTCGCAAACAGTTCACCATCGGCCGACTAAGCCAGCCCGCAAATCTGCTGGGTGTGCAGCGTCATCCGTGCTAATAGAGTTAAAGCTCCATGCCATCCGAATATTGCGCTGTTGGTTTCGCTGGGCCATTCCACAGAGTACACATACACATGGCCCGCATCGTCACCCACGAGCAGTTCCTCAGTTGGGACCGTTAAAGCATTGTCGCGTACGGAAGGACGCTTGACGACTGTGGGCCTGAAGGATACACATGATATCGGTCTGGGCTGTTCAGCGTTGAACCGTGGTTCTGCATCCGAGGCAGTCCACAGAGCGAGGCGGCCATCAGCTCTCCCTACGGCAAGGATGGCTTGTCCACCCGGAACTGAGGAGAAGGACAATGACGTGACATGATGTGCTCGCGGGGTGCTGTTGACTATCAACTCGTTCAGACAGTCGGGAGTATCCACCCCTTTTCGCTCTGACCAGAGATGTACGGAATTACCCAAACCAACCGCAAGGTATTTAGAAGTATGCGAGTAGGCCAGTACGGAGCAGTAGTAGTCGTCTCGAAGTTGCGGCGCATCGAGGACTGTATGGCACGTCAGCAAAACGCGATACGAACATGTGGAAGCGTGCAACATATCTGAATGGAAGAACTGGTACTGGTTTCCGTACATGGCGCTGTGAGCGCCGTGACACTTCAACCGTCAGTAATCCAACCACATGACATCAACCCACAAACCTGTAGCATGTTCTTCCCTGACCCAAGCACTGTCCCTCCAGATGGGCCGAGGTGAGCTTCCAAGACTGGAAAACGGGGAGCCGGCTGACGTTGCAGCGTATGAGCGAGAAGTGGGGAGCGTGTGTTCCAAGACCCTGTTTGTCGGATCGACATCCATTGCGAGTGCAATGCGTCCCTCGTGTGCTTCAAGCTCCGCTTCCGGGTCAGACCGACTTAAAAACATCGACGAATGCAGCGGCGCAGTCGTTCCACTCCCAAGTACGCCGCCCCTACCATTTGGGACGCCAACCATAGAGTCACTCGCCGCAGAAGGGCCACCGACTGTCCAAACCCCACCAGCACTTACCTGGCGCACTCCTGCTGTATAAGAACTTCGACGAAGACCACCAGGACCACGCCGTCGGCTAGGATTCACGCGACCACTGATGACAGAATGTGTCTCACGAGCGTTCCTGAGTTCGTCGTTGAGCCTTCCGCTTCGACGGGAACTCCGGCTGAAAGGGTCTGTACTAGGTCGGCTGCGGCGAAGGCTACCCTCTTCTAGGGTGAGTCGGGATAATGGTTTACTCAGCTGGAGACATTCGCTGGAGGAGATGGGGGTTCGACGCGTAGAGATAAAGCGATCCGGACTTAGATTGAGACCTGCCGGACGCGAAAGACGACCACCTCTTGCGACCCACTGACCGGGTCTGAGAGGGGAACCCGAAAGGCGAATGGTTAGCGGCTTCAGCTTGTTTGGTGATTTCTCAATATTCGTAGTATTAGCGTTAGAGGCGGATCGTGCGTGATCAATGTGATCATCCTGGCCATCAATAGAAGTTTCGGAAGCAGCGGCCAGGTCTGAACAGCTGTTCTCAGTGGCTTCAGGTTCATTGGGAGTTTCATCTGATACAGTGGGTTCGTTGTTGGCAACATGAGTCGATGGGGGCGAATATTTCAACCTTGTCCCGTCAAGTGGTTCATTTGCGGATCGCAGATTGAAACGATTGATGTAGTCCTGCCCAGGTTCAAACCGACAATGCAGTGGCTCAAGGGAAGCAAGATGACCGAAGGACTTGTCTTTGACGGCAGGAGATGGCAGGCTTAAAGTCCAATAGGCGCCAGCATTCCGAGGGAAGAGGCAGCTCCGCGCTTTTCGGGGAGATGCTGGAGTCTCTGGCGATGCCCAACCGTTCGTGCTGATGGACTTGCTCGGAGATAGCGGAGGGGTTGCCAGGCCTGGTACGAGCGCCGACTCCAGCTCAATGTCGCTATCCTCCATCACAACTGCAGACTCGTTTGAGCGAAGTGAATTGCTCGCGTGAGTTACGATGTTGTACACATTGTCGAACCGATCGGAGATTGTACGTACCCCCGATCGCTCGAAAGAGGGCACCAGGAGGAGGTGATGGACTCGGGATGAGCTGCTGTTACTGTTATCACTGTTTTGTTAGTACCTAATGATAATTGAGGTGATGAATTGAAATATGTTGCTGCAGGCGAGGTTAGAGGAAGAAGCGGTTTGTTAAGGTTCATCTGATCAGACTGGAAGGAGTGGAAGGCCACCCGCCCGGGGACCAGGTTTCGCCGACTCCGGACAGCTCGAGTAGCTACGAACCGCAGGGTGCTACCTTTCAAACAACAGTGGAGAGCCCATACACCAGCCGACGGACATGGCAAGTGTAAGTAAGTGGAAGGCGGAACTTCAGACGGAATCCAGCTCACGAGGATGCTAGCATGGAGTCTCGCGCTCCGCGATTTCAGGAGTACGTTCGGAGGAAAGCCGTCAGAAGGAGCTTCAGCAGATTGCGGCCTACAGGGAGCTCGTAGAGCTTGTGAATACAAAGGTTTGTGAATGACTCCTCCATACTACTAAAGTAAAGCTAACAGCTGCCTATCGTGCAGATTGCAGAAAGGCGGTATACGCTTGATGTACTGAGCCTTGTCACCAAGTTGTTACACGAGAACCCGGAGTACTACACAATATGGAATCACCGTCGCCGCGTGCTTGGAGCTATACTCGAGGCGCACGCGCAAGAAGGAGAACACCAGCAATCAACTGAACAGCTCGGTGAAGAACTCATAAGCGGAGATTTACAGCTCACCTTCTCCCTGCTGCGCAAATACCCAAAGTGCTATTGGATATGGAATCACAGAAACTGGATCTTGATTAAGGCCGAAGCCATACTCAAATCACGCACAGCCGGAGAACTGTGGTCTGGCGAGCTGCAGTTGGTGGGGAAAATGCTCCACGCCGACAGCCGCAACTTCCACGCATGGAGCTATCGGCGCTTTGTGGTCGACCAGCTGGAGCGGCTCCAGTCCTTGGACGTCCACGCCAGACCCGAATCACATAAAGACTGGTTAGAATCGGAATTCGACCACACGACCAAGATGATCAGAACCAACCTCTCCAATTTCTCGGCGTGGCATAACAGAGGGAGAATAATTCCACAGCTACTCCGCCGCCGCGGCGCGGATAACGCCGAGCGACGAAGGCTACTTGACGCAGAACTAGCTTTGATTTGTACAGCGATAAATACAGACCCGTTCGACCAGTCAATATGGTACTATCACGAATACCTGATGAGTACATTAGCACCTGACTGCCCGGACGAACGCCTGATTGCCTTGGATCTAACCAACAAGGAGCGACAGGAATACTACGCACACGAGATGGATTATATGCGAGAGATTCTTGACGATGAGCCGGACTGTAAATGGATATACGAGAGGCTTCTGGATCTAGCGACCTGCTATTTGCAGGTGGAAGGGGGAACAAAATCCTTCACCACCCTGGACCTGCGCAAGTGGCTGGATCAGCTCAAAAGGATAGATCCGCTGCGGAAGGGACGTTGGGAGGAACTTGGAGCGAAACTCAATATATAACGTCAAGCGGACATTGTTGGTTACCGCTGCGATTGATCTACCCCATTACTTGATCCCGATGAGTTTCTGAATGTGGATGTGTCGTCGCTTCCAGGTTTCTGCCAGGCCCACAGGCCGAGAAGAGATGACAACTTTGATCGCTCATTTTCCTGCGGTGCTTGTGCTCTAGGCCGAATCTCCTCACGAAGTGTATTGTCCCTGAATTGCGGTGCAATTTCGCGTGCCAGCGCGCTGTTGCCGCTGGCAGCCGCAGCAGCAGCTAGATCGCTGTCCCTCATCAATAGACTATATGCGCACCTTTTATGATTACTCACCGTCGGTATTCTTCTTCCAGTCTCCTTTTCTGCTGCGCCTCCAATTCGGGCTGAAAGGTGGCCACGGCTGGTCCAGTTCAGTATCTACTCACAAAATGGGCTTCCAGAGCAAAGAACATACCTACTGACACACCTCCGATAATAGCCAGCGCAATAGGTACTATTTTTGCTGCCATTTCCTGAACCTGATCGAAAACTTGTTGATGATAGTCTTGAATTGTGAGCTTCTCGATGACTATTTCCCGAGGAGCTTTTTGGATTGACGCGCTCACGTGACACGCATCATCCAGACGCGAGACGCGTCTTCTTGGCATGATTTGCCTACCCTTCAGCTTCCCCATTGTACCCCACACGTAGTTCCCACAGACATGTTCTGTTCCAAATGTCCGGATGGCGACTAAAAGGGTTTGTCCAGGACTCAGATGAAGAGGATGATGGTCTGGACAGCTTATCTACCAATTCTTCCTCACCAACGCCTCAAAGCATCTCCGATACACACGTCTTTCCCAAGCCACAAGCCGCAAGCTCGTCGCAACGCTCGAGATGTTCCCAAGATGCCATTGAATCCCCCGAAAAGCCATACGGAACGCTGGTCAATCCAGAAAAGCACGCGGAGAAAGTTGAACAACCGCTGGTCGCATCTCCGTTCACCACACCGGCTCACCAAAGGAAACCCACTGAGAGTCCCGATCCACTTCAAGGATCGCCAACCCCGAAGCCCGCTCCTGTCACACAGCTTGCCAGCAATGCGTTGATATCAGATCGATCGGGAGTCGTGGACACCTATCCACGCCTTTCAGTCTCTGAAAGCGATGAGGATGATCTCTCAGACTCGCCGTCAGACGTCGATACGCCGCACCCAATCCTCACTTCGCCGCAACGTAGACCAGAGGTCCAGGTGGTTATTCCGCAGCCTTCGACAGCGTGGCTTCTGAGCACAACAGAGAGAGTGGGCCGTTCATTGCGTGCAAGGAAGCCCATACAGTTGCATCCATATCTTCTTGAAGGGGAGATGTACAGACGAGAATGCCAGAAAAGAGGAATCAAGCCTGTACCCAGACCCAAATCTCCCGCGCGTCGAGCTCGTCACGAGGAAGATGAATCCCAAGAGCAGGACTTCGACCCGGTCTATCAGAGCCCTCTGAACAGTCCGCCACCACGCCTGTTGTCCACACCGATTAGAGGCGACCGGGGAGGTGTGCGTCGCCATGCCCACTCGGCTGGTCGTCCACGCAGTGGCGGGAAAAGGCAGGCCCATGGACCACACAATGCTCCATGGAGTCAGCCAGATGTGCCTTCCGCGAATGGTCGTAAGAGGCGCAAGCTGGACGCTGCGTTCTCAATGAGCCCAGGACCATCGGGCGGTGAAGTTAATACGAGGGATAGGCCGACAGCCAACGGGATTGCGCAAGAACATGTTGACGTATGGGGCATTCCAGACTCCCCCCCGGAGTCCAGCAGCCCAGGCGGTGGCAATCGCACTTCCCCTGATCCGGAGCTACGGAAACCTCCGAGAATAGGGATTGTGCACGTTCGCAGCCTACCTACACCTTCTGACTCTCCCGACATGCAGGAAGAGGATCCAGGTGCGGGAGCACCGAATACGAGACGTGCCGGACGATTCCGCCCCATCGTCGTATCCTCGGAAGACTCCAGTACCGACTCGTCAATTTCTAGCCCCGACTCTGAGAGCGAGGCTGAAGCGCAGGTCATCAAAAAGAAGATCAGAGGTGTGCTTCCGGCGTCTTGGATACGTTTTGATCAGCAGAGACAACGGAAAAAGAAACAAATCGCCAGGTCACAGAGCAACCATGGCAGTATTCCTGAACGAGAGGAGCTGCAACGAGGAGTAGCTCAACGAATTCTGAGGCCGGCAGCGCTCCCACCACGAGCCTCGGCACCCGCGGATCCGGAAGTTATTGAGATCTTGGACGCATCGGACGATGGAGATGATAGGGTACTGCCAGGAAATCCTAATGATGTCCAGAAGGCTGCTCGAGAAGCTGCGGAACTGGCTGCACAGTATGATCGTCGTTATGATATTGATGACGATCTAGCAAGCATGGAAAACGACCGCCTCCCTCTCTACTCGCTCGGCGGGACTGCCAGTGGCCGGAAAAGAAGACATCGTCAACTGAAGTTGACCGATGCTTTCCCAGCCTCCAAAAGACAACGTGTATTGAACGATGAGCTCCGAATCCCCGCAGGCTTGGGTAGTCGTAGAGGTGACGACGCCTTTCGGAGGACGCAGCAGAAAACTACCCGAACACGGAAGACTTCACGTGACCCGCCTGCTTTGAGCATCATCGACGTAGCTGAATCTACAGCTGGGACCAATCCAATACCGCAATTCATGAAAATAGCCATGAGACGAGTCCGTCAACGTGCTGATCAGGGTCGGCAGTCGCCAACAAACAAACATATACGGTTATCCACAGCGCAGGATACCGAAGACGCTTGCTCAATACTACGGCAATGGACGAATGGGGAAATTCGTCGGAGGCCGAATGCAAGAGCGCAAACTGGTGAGCATCCACCCTCCACAGTTCGAAAACCCCATGAAAAAGAGATGCGCTTCCCACGGACGCCCATTGCCGCCATTGCGCCGTCTGGAGCACCCCCGCCCATTGGTATGGATCTCATTGCTTTACGGAGAAAAGAAGAAGCCCTTGAAGATGGCTCAATTCTAGCCAGTACTGCCCGCACGCAATTGCCAAAAAAGCATTCCAATACACCCCTGATACTCCCGGCGAAAGGAAACCATCGTTCTGTTGTCCGAAGACAGGCACCAAATTTCCGGACTGCACAACTGGAGGGCCTTGAGTCAGAATATGGCAAAGGTTCAAGCAATATCCAGTTTCAGCGAGGACTGCGACGTGCTGACTTGTCATATATGCCCGCCGCGACCCGCTGGGTACCATCCATAAATCCCCAGCTTGCAAGATTTCTAGCCCAAGATGAGACTGCGCTTCTGTCTCCTTTACCCAACGAGGACGTAAGCAAGGCCAAATTGGCCGAAGCTATCGACAAGGACGTGTCAGCGAAGAGAACTCAGCATCGTCGCCTCCGCAAGAAACGCGCACAGAGAGTAGACGTAGAGGCTAGAGAATACAGACAACCAAGCCAGCCGACACCCATGGATTTGATTGACAATGAACCCGCAGCGCATGACACAACAGCTGATCACGCCGGTCTCGAGGGACTTGGTCCTTACGGGACCGTGTATCCTACATCCTTCGACATATCGCCACTCCCCATTGGAACGTATTTCCATTCGGAGACTTTCATCGGTCAGGAAGAGTTGAAACGAGCCTTACTCGTTTCACAAAGAGATATGGATACGTTCCCCGGCCATCACATCTTTCAAGTTGGTTCTGAACATGTCAGGTGCGGACCATGGACGGACGAAACCTGGACTCGGATTGCCTCATCATTCGATTCCTCGTGGAGTGCTTCCGATCCTTCCCGCCTTGCCGCAATGTCGTCAACACTTAGGTCGCTGATCAAGTACATTAACACCAACCTCAGTTTCCTGGATGCAATCGACAGGAGAGACTTTGTGCTACGGATGAAGAATCTGCTGAGTTCGCAGTCCGAGAGAATCCTAAGCATCGATTGCACGTGCGATGACCCAGCTCGTCCTGTTGCGACGAAGAATGAAATTGTCCGCCCTTTAGGATACATTCTCGTGATCAGCCTCCAACTTTTTCTGGTAGCACAGCACGTCGTTGTCGAGTCTTCTATTCGTGATCTCATGGCGGCGTTCATCTCAAGCTCCGCCAAAACAATCATACAACATATCATCCGCCGTGGCATTCCAGACCTGGGAATATTCCTGGAGCGGAACCGCAGCTTACTGGGTCGCGAGAGCGGTATCCAAGATAAGGATATACTGGTCGAGAGTGTTGTAATATGCATGGTTACGCTGAGACACGCAGGCATTCCTGGCTCTGGATTTTGGGACCTTGTCAGCCAGGAACTGTCCTCTCTGATAAAGAACACCAAGCATGTGAAGAAGCTAGATTCCGTTTGGGCAACTGTCTTCACTCTTCTTCCTTTCGTGGAGATTGACGCGTCAGGTGTACTCATTACGAAGCACAGGTTCGAACTGGCGAACGAGAACTGGGCGTTCGTAAAAGACATTCTGCAGCAGGTTTTCTCGCTTTACCCTGCCTCAAAAGCCGAAATGAGCTCCTCTCTGAACGAGTATGTCAGAGCGAATCTCAGGAGATGTCATGAACTCATCAAGACATGGCATTGGGTGAAATGCGACCCCATGCTCACCACAGTGCTTGGATTCTTCGCCAAGCGTCATTATCGTCCATTATCCGGGGAGGAAGATAGAGGTTCTCCAACCTTCTTGCAAGACCTTGGGGAAGAGCCCCAACTAAGCCTCATGCCATGCGATAGCGCCTTCCATATCTTTTTAAAGAGTGTGGCCTTGGGAGTGAATGGAATGAGGAATGTGTATGCGGAGAAAATAGTCCGCAGTTTCGTATCCCGCTGCATTCCAAACCATGATCGAACTTATCCCAAGGAGAAGAGCTTGGGACAGGACTCCTTGAATGCATTGAGGAACAACCATGACCTTCTTTGCACCCTATATCGGGCGTCACCCCCTTCCTGCCGCCCCAAGGTCACATTGCTTCGACGCCTGGTGGACCACGAAGGCTCCCATAGGGAAGCATGCCGTCTCAATGTGCGGGCTTGGGAAAATCTTACTCTTTTCCAATTATCAACCGGAGAACCATACGAAGTCATGCAACCATTTGCAGAGTGGCATAAAGAAATCATGGAACAAACTTTGAAACAATATCGATTGGCAAAGACTGAAGCGGATGAATTCCTGAAGATTAAAGACCACGACGGTTCAGCCGATGTAGATGCTCGAATGGTACAGTTGACGATGGGCAGAAATCAGAAACAAGCCATTGCCACTTTACGGGACTGTGTTGCTGGCATACACCGAGCAGTGCAAAAGAATCCAGGGGTCATGTTCATGAAGGATTTTCTCATCGACTCCGGCGTCGTTCAACTATTAGAACTGATTCATGTGGATGACCAAAGGTTATCGATAGTCATACGCAAAACTCTGGCGATGTTGCGCGTATTCATCTCTAGTCAAAACAAGCAAGATCCCAGGCTTGAGAGCCAGTCCAACAACGAGGAGAGCCAGGACTATGGAGACTTTCCAGACATTGAGGACCTCGAGGATATTGCTCAAGAGATGAAAGAACACCCTGTTCTCGACTGGATTCAATCCCCTCTTTGGCACCTGCTCTCAAATGCTTTCGGCACAGAATCTATGCCAGACGACAACCTTCTCATGGAATGCGTTGACACGTGGGTCCAACTTGCTGTGTGCCAGGTCTCCATGGGATTGCGCTCATGGTCCCATTATGTGGGTCCTTTCAGTCCAGTCTCCTGGCAGCAACTTCGCGATACAGAACAGAGCCGGAAATTTAGGCCATACTTCATGGCAACGCTGTTGCGCACGAAATCCGCTGCATATAAGGAGCACCGTTCCGACTTCATGGGAACACTACTGGTCTCTCTCGTTGAACGTGAGGCCTTGCTCAGGTTCCAATACCGATTGTTACACGTGCTTGTACAGTCAAGCCAGGAAGAGCCGCTTCTCAAGAATATCCCATTTTACAGGGACAATCGAACAGGCGAATTTGATATCACGGCTGATACCTTGAAGCAGCGCCGACTGTCATTGTTGTCTAGCATTCTGGCCAACATGCAAGATGACATCTACCGAGCGAAACTTGAGGAGCCTTATCGAGTCGCTGAACTGAAAAGGGAATACGCCTCGTTACTCGACAGCATGATGTTGGCGATGAAGAACAATTACCTGCAACTGGGCCAACGCTCCACTGTCGCTGGCGCGTATGTGGAGTTTGTACAGAAAATTGTCCACTTTCTCAAGCAGTACAGTTCCGACATCTGCACAGTCAACGCCTTCTTCACCGACTCCATCGCTTTCCCTCTTCCAGCTACCGACCCTCATTATGTCGTAGGCCGCTTGTGCGGATACGCCCCGAAACTGCAAAACCCAGGGATCGCAAAGCAGCTGGTGACCTTCGTGCATACTGTGGCTCAACAGGCCGCGAAAGACAACCATGGCGAGTATCTCGTGCGACAGCTCTCTACGGCATTAACAAATGAAGAAGACCCATCTCTAAGCATATCCCCACTCCGCAGTCTCTTCCTCCAGGATATCGTACCAGCCTATATCGAGGTCGCCTTCTCCAGTGTAACCGGTTTCCTGATTGCGAAACCCGTACTACAATCCCTGAGAACCATACTGAAAGTTCTACCCTTTGAGTTGCGTGTCAACGACGATGCGAGCGTCGAGACCGTTTTCAAGAATATCAGCAGTATCTCGTACGCCTTCATCCGCAGCATCGAAACGTTGAACCAAACACCCCCTCTCCTGAGCAAACCCCACGTCATGCACGCCATTTCGCTCATGCTGGACGCGCTGGCCGCGGCGATTCCGACACTGGAGTACATCATCGCCCGGGCACTGGGGGAACAGCGAAAACATCCCATTGTCATCTACTGCACTAAATTCGTGGCCTCTATCAAATCGGCCATGACGGACAGTCACTCCAACTCAGAACTCCCGCCCACCACCGCATTTCCCGTTTCCGACGTCCTGCGCCACCAACCCTCCGACGTTCTCACCTTCTGCAATCGCAATCTACAAGACGCGCTCAAGGCACATTGGACGGAGATGGGAAGCGGAGCCATTTTTTTCGGGCATGGCCATGCGAGGAAAGAGGTGGTTGTTGATGTTGGCTCGGAAGAGGAGGAGATGTGGAGGTTGGAGAGGGCTGGGAGGGAGTTTTGCGATGTTGTGCGATGGGTTTATGGTGACGATGAGCAGGATGCAGGGGACCGAGTTGGGGAAGGGGGTAGGTATGCCCTTTGCACAGCGGAGGGATGAACGGTGAGGATGCAAGAGACTGGGGAAATGTGATGTTTTCGCGAAGGATGAGCGAGGCATGCATAGTCAAGCCATCGCCAAGACACATTGGTAGTACGCCATATGCAGCCCTTTCAGTAGAGCCGGCATGGGCGCGATCTGAACCAAGGCTATACAGCTCAATAAATTCCTAACTCCATACACTCCATGGGTATTCAAATTTTTCGACAGCCCCCAAAATAAGCAATCTACCTGAACCCATCCCAAGCTATCTCAGAAAAGCACAAGCCAGCACAACAGCGGCAACAACCCATTTTCATAACGTCAACCGCGGTCCCGATCTGCAGGGCACCTCAAGACTCAAATGCTTTTCCCGCTTTGAGGCCTTCGACTTCCTCCATTTCCTCTGCACCAGCGTACGGCGTATAGCGTAGGGAGTATACGCCGGCGGGCCCCCCAACTCCCTCCAGTTCCTCCGATAGCGTCCTAGTCGCAGATTTTACCGTGGCCTGCGTTAGAACGTCCTGCGGTGTACAAGCGGGGGTGGCTCTGCCCCAAGAGCTTCGTCGGCGCTATAATGTCAATGCGTTGGGATGCTCCCCATGGTGGTGCTGGTGGTGAATGTGGGTTGCGAGCCCCAACGAGCACTGGGCTCCTCGTTTGCACTTGAGGCCGAGAAACGATTTGGTCGTCATGGTTGCGAGGGATGTGGATCGCAATCCGAAGACTCTGTATATGCGGGTTGTCCCCTCGATCAGAGCTATCGGGGAAAGGTGCCAATATGGAGCGTTATAGGTTTTCACTCCGAAGAGTGACAGATAACTATGTAGACAGAGTGAGCCTCTTGGAGACGTGGCCAAAAGAGTGATGGAGTATGTGATATGTGTATGTATCCGAAGCCGTGGTCTGAAAGAGTTGATGTAGTGTGAAGAGCAAGATCGAAGCTATGAGCGGGAACTGAGGTTTTTATATAGGTGCGAGACACTCGCCTCCGGAGGTCTGCGGTGACTATCCTTCGGGTTCCGCTCCGACGTCACAATATTAACGTGGTCACTAGTGAGCCCAAATCTCGATGGTCTACCAACGGCTTGTTCTGCACATGCTGAAACTTCTTCATTTTTCTACCAGCAGCGTCTTTGCGTCGTCAACAGCTGCCCTAGCCACTCGCTTGAGCACAGCCTTGAAGTCCGCCTCCCGAAACTTCTCCCAGCGGTCCAAGCCTTCCCCCGCTTCGATAGAAAGAGTTTCGTAGCCCTGCTTGATGACATTGCTGACCTCTTGCGGACTGAGATGTTTACTCCTCGCCTTCCCCTTCTCTTGCAGGAGTGTATGATAGTGTGATGACACGCTGAGTAGCGTCTGTATTGGGTGCTGGCCTGAGGTCTCGAGATTATATGCGTCCCGAAACTTTGTCAGTGTTTCTCCTTGCTCGACGATCTTGTAAAACAGGTCGTCGTATGCTACCGGGTCCGGTAGGAAGTTCTCGCCGTTGGAGAGCGCGAACGCAAGGAGGCTGACTAAGCGATCGATCATCTCAGAGGATCCGTGGATAGGTCGGATATCGTTGGGGTATGTTGATAGGAAACGGAAAAATGACAATAACGACCTCCATAATTCCGACCAGTGATATGCTTCTTGAGTCAGGCCTGCGTGCTAACAATATTTCTCGGAGACGCTTACCAATACGGCATTTCGCTCGACTTAGGTATGACAGGATGCGTAGGAGAACACCAAGGCAGAGGCTAACAGACTGGTCAGCAACCACCGCGACTCTACACCATGCCCACCTACATGTAATAATCGACGTCCAGTCTTTTTTTCAGATTATGATTGATACCATCGACAAGAAGGTCCAGTATTACAGCAGTAGGAACGCGATCCCCTTTCACAGCCGGAAGGTACGGCTGCCTTTGCCGGCACAAACGGACGGACATGGCACTTTCTTCGCTCGACAAGCGCTTTACCAGTATCTGGTCCTCCACCAGGATCTGTAGTATGAAAAGGGTAAGGTAAGTATACAATGCCGCTCTCGATGTCCGATGAGCATGCTGAAAGAGGTAAGAGGTGAGTGAGAAGAACGAGCTCAGGGGGGATGGTTCGCCTTTCTTTGGAGCTGGTATGGTTACTAAGTTGAAACAGAATAGCTTGTTTGCGTTGGCAAAGTCGTATGTCGAGAGCACGAGTCCTATCGCTGGACCCGGCCTGTAAGAGTTAGTGTTGTCAGACCTCAAAATCCAGGACACTTACAAAGCTGCGAAAAGAGCCTTGGTCTCCTCGGCACTCAAGGCGGGTGTCTTCGGTCTCGACGCGGGTGCCAGCACCCCCAATCCAATCATGTTGAGAGTAGACCCTAGTGTCCATCCCTCGGGTATATCATCCTGAACTGCCACGTACGCATCCCTCAGCGAAGCGCAAGTATTCCCAAAGCTCACTATGATCTTCTGAATAATACCGTCATTAACAAAGTCATCCATCCTCAACCGATACGGATTCTGAAACTCGAATCTGTTGTAGTTGGCCAACAGACCAAGGAGATAAAACGCTGGCGTAACTTCCGAGCTGCTTTCTGAGTCTTGTATGTACTATTTGCGTAAGCATTGAACGCTATGTCCCGGCGCAAACGCATACCTTCATCAGCGAAGGGAAGAGGTCTCGATGCGTGAAGTACGAAGGAAGTCCTGTGTGGAATGACCCGGCGGTCATGGCGAGAGCGGCGCGAACAGCCTTGAGCCGTACGATAGGATTACGGCCGTTCCGTATTGCGGTGTCGATGGTGGCTACGAAATCTGAGACCACGGTATCCGCATCGTCTAGTCCGGCGAGGACTGAAAGCACGTCGGAGTTCGGATTCGTATACTTCTTGCTGAGGGCTAAGTCTAGAAAGATGGTCAAGGTCTACGTCGTAAGCTTGAGAGGTGCAGTGATATTGAAGGTGACTTACATCGAGCGCAATCTCATCAGAAGGCTCCTTTGCCAGCCGTATCCGCTTGATAGCTCCCAGAAACAGCTGCTGTGAATGCCCTTGCACTCGCAGCATGCCATCTGGGCTCACAGACTCAATTACGCGCTTCAATCCCTTCCTGTCCGGTCGCAGGAGAAAGAACTCCTCCCAGAACCCCTCAGAGAGCTCATAATCGTGGTCTTCTTCAGTATCCTATTCACAATTCAGCCCCTCCCCTAGCTTCTCGCAATTCAGCAAACAACCTCAAGAAATCAACATACCCGAAACAAAGTTTCATAGAGCCTTGTGATTTTCGGCTGGAACGACTCCGGCCGCGCATCCTGCGTCAGCGGCGAGGGCTCCATCTCAGGAGCTTTTGCGCGACTTTGCGGTTCGTAGCTGATTGAAGGTTCTCTTTGATGTTGCCAGCTCGCATGTGTACCCGAAATTGTTAAATGACATAACCCCGTCACCGAATCACGTGTTCAGCCTTACACCAGGGCACCTGCATGAACAACATCGGGGCCGCAGGCGGAACCCTAATCGCGGACACTCCCGACGTCCGTTTCAATTACTCGTTTCAGACACCGGTGCAGGGGCGCTGTGCCGTAATCGCACTCCATCGTATACACCCGAGCACCATGGGCTCTCATACAAAACGTCCCGTCCTCCTCATTGGCATCTCCGGCCCTTCCTCATCTGGAAAAACCACACTGTCGCGCCTTCTCCGGGACACTTTCCCCTCAACCTTCATTCTGCACCTCGACGACTTCTACCTCACTGATGCCGAAATTCCCGTCAAAAATGGCATCCAGGACTGGGATTGCGTGGAATCGCTGAACCTGAAAGATCTCCGCCAGGCTCTGGAGTACATTAAACAGCACGGGAAATCACCGCCAAGCCTGGTGTCAAAGGAGGACCAGAATTCCGTAGGCGAGCATGGTGTCGATCCCGCTTTCATCGACAGGTGTAAAGCGTCGGTGCAGGAGTTGGTTGAAAAATACGCTTGGGACACGCCCATCGCGATCGTGGACGGCTTTCTGTTGTTCTCCGAGTCAATGGCTGAGATCCGGGAGCTGTTCGATGTGAGGCTTTTCCTACGCACGTCGTATGAGACTGCGAAGAGGAGACGCGAGGCGAGGAGCGGGTATGTGACACTGGAAGGGTTCTGGGAGGATCCCCCTGGGTATGTCGACAAGGTTGTTTGGCCGAATTATGTGAGTGATCATGCCTTCTTGTTCAAGGGGGGAGATGTGCACGGTGAGTTGGATGAGAACGTCTGCGAACGACTTAGGATACAGGGCATGCCGAGGGAGGCAGAGGAGAGCATGACGGAGTGTCTGGCATGGGCGATAGGTGTGTTAGAGGAAACAATCCAGTCATGATCAAAACACGTTGAACACTCTGCACATCTAGGAAATCCATAACCTATACCGCTCATTGTACCATCTCGGATGCACAAACTTATTCCCCCAAAGAGGTATATGAAACCCTAACACCGTGACCCATAACCATATCTGAATGCCCTGAAGGTGCGCCAATACGAGCAGATCGTGTAAGGAATAATGATACAGTGGTGCCCAAGGCGCAACATGATGGAACTCTCTTGACCGTGCTCTCCCTGCCGGCCTGCCTGCCTCTTAAGTGCTAGCCTTGGCCCTGTCGATATACTCCTGGCTGGGACTGGTATACACAGACGAGAAGAAAGTGCTGGCTTGCGGCTCCTTGCTCAGCCAAGACAGCATGCTGGTGAGCTCTTCGCGGAGCCTACCCACTGACTGTGCATCCATGTTGGTCTGGGCGATCAGCTCAGGCATGGTCACTTGAGGATGTCAATACGGATCTACTGCACTTTCAGGATACGACTCACCGAAAAGCCGAAGAAGATGCTCGCCACCATAGATGTCCGCATAGGTCTTGCCAGCCAGGTCGGATGTCGGCTTCTCCATTTCGGAGTGAATCTCGAAGAGCTGCTCACGCTCAAAGCGGTAGAGTAGAAGTCGGCCGAGAGCCCGGTTGAAGTACTCCTTCAGTCCTGCGATGACTTCTTCGAGAATATCTGTTTCGACTGCGCTGAGCCTGCGCTGAGCCTTCTGCGCTGCAAAGTATTCGTCGAGGATGATGCCGGCAGGTCGCTTGGAGGGCAGCGACACCAGCTGGAGGTTCTTGGTGACATTCTCCCAATCATCGACCAGCAGACTCTTGAGCCTGTCGGGCATGGGGATCCGCACAGCGCGGCGAGCCTGAAAGGTCTCCTCCTATGGACAAGTCAGCACTGACACAGACGACCTGCACTTCCACATGATGTTGCATGACCGTGCAGATATGCAGGAGTGCGCTGCTTCAAAAGTCACCATGATGAAACTAACCTTTTCGAGATCGTGATCCCTGAGCCTCTTCTGCCCACGGGGACCGGCGGCGGCGACGGAGGTCTGACGCTCCTCGCTTCCTCGAGCAGAGCCCTGAGTCTTCTTCTTGCTTGCAGTAGATGCTGCGCGAGCAGCGCGTTGAGCGGCAAGCATGTCTTGCCGGAGACTGTTCGCCAGGTCGCGGTTCTCCTGAGTTACCTTACGCAGGCGATCTTCAGGGACCCAATCGTCCCAGCTGTTCAAGTGTTAAGACGTGGTTACGAAGTTGTGAAAGTGAACGCAAGGTGCGGAGGGAAGGGTTGCAAGTGGAGTGGTGGGGGTAGGAGAGGCCACTGATGGGGTGGGGAGCGGAGTGAGGTTGGGGTTGCGGGAGGTTTGAGTTTGTCATAGGCCGCAAGAGAAGCCCGCTTCTCAGGGTTGGGATGACAGAGACTCTCATGAAGAATAAATAAAAGGGGCAAATACGTACGTGTTCTTCCAGCCTTTGTAGTGAACCTTGTACTGGAAACCACTCTTCTTATCATCCTCGTCCAGGGGCTTCACGTCCAGAACCTTCGCATCGTACAAGAGCTCATGATGAAAACATAGAGCCTTCTCATCCTTGCGGAACAGCGGCTCCGGTGCTGCGGCCGGCGCCATAGTCGGTGAAGCCCTGATGGCCGAAAAATCGCAGTGCAAGCGCTGTAAAAGCACGGGTCAGGTGAGGCGGTGACGGGCGCAGCCTACAGGGTCCAGAGGCGTCGTCTATCAAGTCTTCTACGCCTTTCTGCGAGACACTACAAGCTACAGGTGTCCAACGGGTCAAACAAAGGGAAGAGACGGTGATTGCGCGGAGTGATAATGATGGTTGGAGTATGCGATGCGCCAGTATAACTGCCTCTCCCGTGCACGGACCCCAACGCGTCGCGCTTCCCTTTCCCGCAAGTCTCCATGAATAATCAGTGCAATGACATTCACTCCACACGTCCGGTCTCTCATTACTCCTTGGGGCCCCAGATATTCGACCCTTGCCAACGTAGGGCAGAACTCAAGCTACATCCGCCGCAATGCCATCCCAAGAAGCCGCCATACTCGCCGACTTTCTCCTCGCTCCCGCCGCTCTGAACAACTTCCTGACACTGGACGAATTCACCAACATTCTACCCCGCTCCCAACGCGAGAACCCAGCCGTGAAATTACTATACCGCGAGCTTCAGCGCCTACGGAATGAAGACATAGAGGCTGTCCGCAGTAACATAGCGGACGAGGTCAAGAAGTCCCGACCCCTCAAACGAGAGTGCATTCGAGCACGGCGACAAGATGATCACAGTGCTGTAGCTGGACTAGATCCGGTGGCTTTGGATATGGAGGAGGAGGTAGCGAACACTTCTCTTCTCGAACATGAGCCCTGCTAACTTGGCGATTACAGCTTTCCGGCTATCACCAGCACAGAAAGCAACATACACTGCAGACAGTCCACGCGGCCATGGAGGATGCGGCCAAGAGCATTGAGACACAAGTACAGGAGATGGAGAAGGACATTCAAGAAGCGTTGGATGAGATACAGAATGCTGTCGGCGAACTCAGCGACTTGCGCTATGGAACATTTCCCAAGACTGTAGGAGGAGGGAACATTGGTGAAGAGGTGTTGACTACACTCAAAAGACTGGAGGCAGCATGCACACATCCCGCTGGTTGACGAACCACTTCGAATTGGTCTTGTTCCGCGGCCACCTGAGGGTTCAAAGCCGCAGATCGACACTATTATCCCACGGAACAACTCCGCATCATGCGCAGAAAGCTGGATTTTCTCTAGCCGGCGGGCTGTCTGCTATGGGTCTCAGAGGACCGGCGGAAAATTCCCCAATATGGAGGACAAAGCACTTGCGCTCATCTGCTTTGTGGTATGCGTCGAGAAACCCCGCCCAGCCGAAAGCATCCACCTTCGACTTCTCCACAAAATCCTCCGCTTGACTATATTGAGGAATACGGGGCCCCATAGACATGCTCTCACGTGCTGGACCAGACTCTACAACTCGTTCGACGGCTACCGGGGTATGAATCACTGATGCCGGGGTTCGGGTAAACGGCAGACGACATTAATATAACCTGAATCTTCAATTTCCTCCGCGACACGTTCTTCTCCACTTCCAAAGGAGACAAGGAGTCCCGTCCCTTCAAACACACTCAATTACGCACGAATTAAGAGCGAATCGCACCGCGAATCACTGGCACTGGAGACGCTTTAGCCTCACGATGCGGACCCAGTTACTCTATTTGAACGTCGCGCACGACCCAAATTAGCTCTAGCGGAGTCGAATATAGATACAAGAGACGGGAATGTTTCGTACAATATGGGATTCCCTTCAACCGCAGGCCAACGCCTTGATTATAAAAATCCCGGCACCCTAGGCTCGGCCATCCATCTCCCTCCCCGTCAGTGACTACTGAATTTCACCACCACCACCATGCGTCTCCTCTCCCTCCTCGCCGGCTACCTGTCGGTAGCCTCCGCGACGACGCTCGGAAAGCGAGCACCCACACCCGGCCAACTCTCTCAAGTCACCGGCGTCGGTCCCACAAATGCTGGATTTTACATCTACGTCCCCAAGAAGCTCGCCGCATCGCCCGGCATTGTCGTCGCCGTGCACTACTGCACGGGTACCGGCCAGGCGTACTACAACAACTCGCCCTACAAGACGCTTGCCGAGCAATACGGCTTCATTGCCATCTACCCCAGCTCGCCTCACTCGGGCACGTGCTGGGATGTCAGCTCCAAGAAGACGCTGACGCACGAGGGAGGCGGAGACTCAAACACCATTGCCAACATGGTCAAGTGGACCATCAAGGAGTACAAGGCCGATGCCTCCAAGGTCTTCGTCACCGGCAGCTCCTCGGGCGCCATGATGACCGTAAGATCCCCTTCTTTCTCATTCCTCGGCTCTCCTCCCCCTTTTACATCCTTTTCTAACCTTGCATCCACACACAGAACGTCCTCGCCGCCACCTACCCCGACGTCTTCGCCGCGGGCATCGTCTACTCGGGCGTCCCCGCGGGTTGCTTCATGTCGCAATCCGGGGGCGTCGACGCGTGGAACAGCACGTGCGCCAACGGCCAGTCGACAGCGACGCCGCAGAAATGGGCCCAGGTCGTCTTCGACATGTACCCGGGCTACAACGGCACGCGGCCGCGCATGCAGATCTATCACGGCTCCGCGGACACGACCCTCCGCCCGCAAAACTACCAGGAGACAATGAAGCAGTGGGCGGGCGTGTTTGGATACGATTACAATAAGCCGGAGAGCACAAAGCAGAATGATCCGCAGAGCGGGTACACGAGGACGATCTATGGGCCTAGGGTGCAGGGTATCTATGCGCAGGGTGTGGGCCACAGTGTGAATATCCGTGGGAATGATGATATGAAGTTCTTCGGGTTTGCGGCTTAGGAGGGTGGGAGGCGCAATTGACGTGACTTGGGAGGGCGAGGAATGCTGTGGCTTGTGCGGAGTTGGATATGTCTTCAGAAGGGTTTTCGAGCGATGAGAAACGAAATCGAAAGCCACCATTATTGTCGCTTAGGTCGTCACGGCGAATTCAGCCTCATGAGCAATGACGTCTATACATTCAACTCTCATACAAGCCGTCCAATCCCCATCCATATCCATTCTTTCAAACCAATCTGTTATCCCAAATCCAAGCGCTCCGTCGCTCGCTCTAAGATGAACAACCATTAGCTCAATGCCTAGGAAGTTCTTGCCCAACCAAGATGGCTACAAGAGTAACATGAACTAAACCACATATAAGCAAGACGCGAACCTCTTCCCTTGTTTCCATCCATCACCTTAAATCCATCAACCCCGTGACAAAAGCAAGTAACCAAAGAGGAAAGCCAACAAGGGAGGAAAACAAAAAGGAAAGTTTGCACATTCTCAGTTCCCTTTTGTGCGGGCAACAGAGGGGTATCATAAATGCATGGACCCATAACGCCTGTCCTCTGTACGCCTGCAAACTATCGCCGGGATCGCGGATGACACGAAGGAGAGCCTTCATGCCTTTCAAAGGGTTGGTGCCGCTGGTTCGCTCTATCGTTAGACATTATGACCATTCATATGGCGTTGATATCTTGACCAAAGGTGGTGGCAGAAATTTGAGAATGATCTCATCCTCTCCTTCTGCCGATGTAACTCTCGTGAGTCTTGTTGCACTCCTGCAGCATCTGTAGAAACTCTGTCGTCTCCTTCAAGATGGCAGCCTTCTTGAAATTGCCATTCTTGATTCCGGGAACGAGCAATTCGAGTTTGTCGAAGCCCCCCTTGATCACGTTGCGACGCTTCTGCTCCGAAGCAGTGTGGTTGTTGCGCTTCTGCTCGTTGGTCAGGTTTTGCCTTTGCCGTCCCTGGCCAGCCGGGGTTGATCGCTTCCTCTTCCTAGGCGTGGACTCGTCAGCCGTGGATCGGTTCCGGCTGGCAGTGGAAGTAGAGGAAGAGATTCTTTCCATTGCAGAGCTTTCAAAGGCCACGCTCGTCGTTGTGCTGACTTTGCGCCTCTTAGCTCTTGGCCCGTTCGCCTCGTCCTCGCCGGAAGCTTCCGCAGACTCTGCGGTCTCTGTCTTGATGGATACTGTTGCACCGTTGGTAAGTTGAGCTGAACTGTCCAGACGAATGGCGTTATGCATGTCGTCTGTCAAGCGGTTGACTATTGCAGCTTCTGCACCCCGGCTCGCAGGTGTATATCCAAACGGATTGAAGCGGGTATCTGTGCCATACACGTACGGCCTCGTCAAGGACCGTCTCGGCGACACCAATCCTGTAGTGGTAGATGCTATTTGGCTAAAACGCTCGGCTAGTTGTTCGTCAACAGAGCCTCTCTCCGAGTGCAGTGGTAGCATAGCGGCAAGCGGCTCTGGAATCGTACCGTGTTGAGTTTGGATTGTGAGTCGGTTGGCTATGCTATCTGGGATGACTTGGACACGAGCAGGAGCCAACATGGAAGTCATGTTGAGAGTTCCCGACACATGGAAGGGGTCGCTCGCCGCCAGTGCAGCCTGGAGACTGTTGTAGGGCCCACTGGTCACTGTTGTGGCCTGGAGACTGTCGTAAGAGCCACTGGTCACTGGTGTGGTTTGGAAAATGTCGTAAGAGCCACTGGTGACTGTCGTGGGCTGAAAGTTGTCGTAGCCACTGGTGACTGTCGTGGGCTGAAAGCCGTCGTAAGAGCCGCTGGTTACTGTTGTAGGTTGAAAACTGTCGTAAGAGCCGCTGGTTACTGTTGTAGGATGAAAACTGTCGTAAGAGCCGCTCGTGACTGTTGCGGACTGGAAACTGTCGTAAGAGCCGCTAGTTACTTCCATACTGTTGTATAAGGTCGACGTCGCCCGCACAGGAGTTTGTGTGTTGGCGAGAAAACCAGAAGAAAACATATTCCCTGCGTAAGGGATGGACTGCTGGGCTGACCGGTTTTGATCTGCAATAGTAGAGACGTCTACCACACTGGGTGGAGGCGCAACATCGTAGACGCCAGCAGCTGCCATGGTTTCGTCTGGCAAGGGGACTGACTCGTCTGGCGGAATGTCCTGGGGCCGGTTAGAGAAAAACTCTTCCAAGGAGGCTTCTTCATGCTCGCTCAGCAGGCGCCGGTCATTGGGGGCATCAGCGAAGGTGTTACCTGCGGAAAACCTATCTGTAGGTATGATCAGAAAACTGGCAGCGTGGAGAGCAAATCAGCACGACGTACATCCAAAGGGAGCAGCGGTGTCAATCGGGTCCCAGGATGCCATCGGCTGCACATGCCTTGCGCTTAGGAGAGCGTTCAGTGTGCCGCTTGTTGAAGGTTGATGGATGGACTTGATATTTTTCGTGAGGGACAAGTGGGTGCGGCGGGTGACGCGCCTGCTTGCGGACGGCGCGAAGGGATGATGTCAAGGCAAGCGCGTAAGGCACCTTGTCCAAGACAGATGAAGGGGGAGAGGTAGCAATAGGGCAAACGAAAGCGTGAATGTCGGAGGAGCGATTGTGAGGCAGAGGAGGATGGCAGAGGAGGATGGCAGAGACGCGGTTGTGGGCAAGGAATGAGTAATACGCGCACAGTGGTTCCGGGGACCGGCGGCGGTGGTGCGCTAGCAAGAGTACGGAGTATCCACGGAGCGAATTTTGAAGCAGCGCAGGGCGATTGGTGGTGGTCCAGTGAGGCGGACGGAGGTGGTGGGAGTGGCTGAGGATGTGGTACTGTAGGGTAGTATAGGGCCGGGGACGGCCGTTCTCTAGTGGCCGTATAGGCTGTGGTTGGTGGCTTGTGGTTGGTTGGTTTGTGGTGGAAGAGGAGGAGGAGCGTGATAAGAGTGACGATGGTGACGATGGTTGACGGAGAGTGATGAGAGTGAAGGAGGGTGTTGGGGGATTTCACATGTCAAGTACTCGCGTAACTTCCCCAGATCGGCTGGGGCCGGCCGTCCCTTGCCCTTGCCCTTGCGCCGCCACAACGTGGATGCCAAGCCTCCGCCAAGACGACCCGTTGCCAAGCTTCCCCGGATTTCCACGATGCCACCTTGCTCTAGGGGAACGATAGTTTTTCAGTGAATGATAAAAATGGAAGTACTTGTACATGCTCTCCCAACTGATATTGGCCGCATACTTCCTTGCTGCGCAGTACTCGTTGACCTGCCTCAAGTGCTCCCGGTCGTCGCTCGCGTGATCCCGTGATCTGCCCCTCACCACCATCCGCTTCTGACCTAGCCTGCCGAGGTTGCCGAGGTCCCAAGTCCAGGGCGGTCATCATTCCCATTCCGGATCCCCTTTCCATCACCAATGTCTCCCTCTGACAAACCACTGCACCTGCACCTGCACCTGCGCCTTGTCAGACCGTGAGTTGTCCTTCCCCGAGCCCAGAATCCCATCAATCAATCTATCCTGAAGACAGCTCTACCATATCCGAGCCCCATACTGACATTGCTTTGGCACCAGCCTTGCAAGAGCCTATCTCCTGGGCTTGCTCTCCACCAGTGGTCCCCGTCTTGCTCGCGTCCTGCTCGCGCTGGCAAAGGGGCAGCTATGCTACCGATCAGCATGCAGTCAGGTGCGTAGCCATCCTCTCCTCTTTCGACATCCTCTTCCGAGCAGCTTGCTGACACTTGAGGCACTAGGTCGCTGAAATCCTCCACCATGCCATCCAGCCCTATCGCTTCCCCGCCTTTTGTGGCACACTTGTCGGCGGCGCCTGCCTTCTCCAGATCCCTATAGGCGCCCTACTAACCCTCCTCCTCCGGCTTGTCCCCAGACGCTGTCCCGACCCTCATGCGCCCCTCCGGCTCACCCGCTTCATTGCAGCCCTCGTCTCAGCCTCTGTTTCCTTCACCATGCTGAACCGCATCCCTGCCAGCGCCCAATTACGATTGCAGTCGGAGAAAAACAGGGAGGCATCCCTCAGGTCGGGCCATCCCGGAGGTGCTGAACCCAGTCCCTTCAACGATCCGCCCAAATTGCGCTCATTGGATGTTGACGATGCCGCCCTCAAAGCCGGTTCCCTTTCAAGGCTGCATCTAGCTGGACGCACAATGGATTTGACGCTATTCGCCGTCACTAGAGCACTAGACATTGCTATAAGCAGTGCCTGGGCGCGCCTTCCAGCCAGGACCTCGTCCAAGCTTCGAGTCGTACCCAACAACGCCCCGACGTGGCTGTTTTGCTTCTCTGCCGCTAGCATCATGCACGCCTGGTTCTACAGCCCCTTGCAACTTCCCAGAACCTACAATAAGTGGATCTCTGCCGCGGCGGAGCTCGATCAGAGGCTTCTGACTGCCCTCAGGCATGCGCGTTATGGTAACTGGGAGTACGGGAAGGATACGGGCATGGCTCCTCTTCTCGGGTCCATGTGCCGCGACTACGGCCTGCCGGAGATTTGGGGGGATCCCGCCCACACTGTGCCTATCCCTTGTGAGCTTGTCCACATGGGCCAAGGTAAGAGCTGCGAGAAACATGCGCTTTGGAGGTTCTGGAGAGGTTGGGCTTTTGCTGCGAAGATGTATGGGCCCCTGCAGCTCATTGTCTTGCTCCGCAAAGCGATCAAAGAGCGTAAGCCCCCGGGTAGGCTCCGCCTACGCCTTCAGTTGCCTGTCATCCTCGGCGCCTTCGCCGACATGGCGCGAAGTTCGGCCTTTCTGGGAGCGTTCATCTCCCTGTTTTACTATGGTGTTTGTCTGTCCAGGACACGGCTGGGTCCCAAGCTTTTCTCATCCAAGACCGTGACGCCTCAGATGTGGGATTCGGGACTGTGCATTCTGGCAGGGTGTCTCCTCTGCGGATCTAGCATACTGGTTGAACACGCAAAAAAGCGCATTGAGATTCTCTTCTTTGTCCTGCCGAGAGCAGCGGCAGTGTGGTTTCCAAGACGCTACCTCCCGAAGAATAGGTGGAAGGAGCACGTTGCGTTTGCATTGAGTGCGGCCTTGGTCTTGACCACTGCGCAGGAGGACCCAGCGAGGGTGCGCGGTGTATTCGGGAAACTGTTGCCGAGAATTCTCAAGACAGATTAGACAAGAGGGATTAGACGGCGCGAATCAGACGGGACGGATTAGAGAAGACGATTCAGAGAAGACGATTTAGAGAAGACGATATTGGACTGGTTAAAGCATGGATAATGATCACGAGTCCATTAACCGCTCATCATAGTCTTCAAAGCCACTCTCCCAGCACAGCCTCATTAATGTTCACGCCCAAGGCTCAACCACAACCTTACACCCACTCACCCCTTCAAACACCATATCCAGCCCTTCACCCACCTTCTCCAACCCCCCAATAACCTTCGGCGGCACCCCCTGGATCCACCCTTCCTTGATCCCCCGCTCCAGAAATCCCCCCTTTGACAACGCCCAGTCCCTCCACTCGCGATTCTCCTCGGCCCCCGTCGAAAACAAATGCATCTGCGCCGTTATCCCCTTCGGCAACTTGGGCATCCCGGGCCTCTCGTACGGCAGCAACGCAAGTATATGTGCGGGCGTAACAGCCCCTTCTTCCCCATCCGGAGCCAAGATCTTCAAAATCGCAGAAGCAGACGCAGGCAGCGCAATACAATCGAACCAATAGTCGATCTTGCCCAACTCCCTGATCCGACGTGGAGTGTCCGGGTCCGAGTGATCGAAGATAAAGTCGGCGCCTAGGGATTGTACCAAGGGGAAGTTGCGAGCAGAGCACGTGGTGATGGTTGTGTAGCCGGCGAGGCGGGCGTAGGAGATGCTGAGGCTGCCCATGGCCGAGGAGCCGCCGTAGATGAGGATTTTCTTTCCGTTTTTGGAATCCGGGGAAGGGGGGATGGTGGGACGGGTGAGGGCGAGGCGGTGGGGGGAGAAAAGCGCCGAGGGAGGTGTGTAGGATACGAGTGGGATGGCTTGGATGAAGGGGACGTCGCCGATCTGTGTTTGAGGTCAGTTCTCCTGCTATCCGTCCCTAGTTCCTTCACTCCTTCACTACTCCTCGACTGTGAGGCCGAGAATATCGGACGAGACAATACATTCGGGACAAAGTGGAATCAACACGCACCTCGACGACTTCCGCCTCATCCACAACGCAGAATCGCTGATGGCCCCCGTACTTTGCCTGCTTCTGGCTGAAGATCTTGGTCCCGCAGGCTACGCGGTCGCCTACGGATACTTTAGTCACGCCGGGACCTAGGGCTTCGACGACACCGGCAATAGGGCTACCCAGGATGGTGGGATAGCTCATTTTCATGATGGCCAGCTTGGCGACTTTGGTGTCAACGGGCTGGATGCTGGTAGCGTGGACCTTTCGGGTTTGTTATTCGTGATGGACGAGGAATTGGCAAGGTCATGGGGGAGCGTGGAAGGGGGATGATGATGGTAGGGACAAGGAAGAGTGTAGCATAAATAGGTATACATATTTTCGATGGGTAGTTGGGGATATGGTACAGAGTTAGGGACGCACCTTCACAAGCACTTCGCCCTGACCCGGTTGCTCGAGCGGTGCATCGCGCACGACGAATCGTCCCTTCTCCGACTCGAGGAATGCGGCTCTGTTGCTCAGGCTCATGGTGACGAATCCGCGAATTCTCTCCTGCGACTGGCTTTGCCCAGAATATCTATTGCTCCTCAGATATCCGTAGTTATATCTAACAAGAGGACCGATGCGCTGAATACGAAGTACCATAGAGCTGTGGACTTGGAAGTTGGAGGAGACAGCTAGATACTAGTATTGCCCTTATATATATATATGTCGTTTTGACGTGCCGCTAACGTACAGGAGCTATATTTATGCTGACCAAGCTCCCCGTCCCACCTTCCGACCCCGTGCGCACATATCTGGATAGGGCGTGAAGCTTGTAGTCGGGGATATCGGATTATACAATCCAAGCTTACAAATGCAATGCATGAATCACACAACATCTCGACGATAACATTGATGGAACCAGTACATTGACGTGTCAATGTGGACGACCATTAGAATAGAATATCTCCGACCCAAGGAGGCTCTACCTGCACTATCCTGATTGATGTTAACGCAGTAAACTTTTCATAAACGTGGTTAGCTCACGAGGGAGAAAAGTTGGTAGAGCTTTAGGCGAACATCAAGACGAAACTACATGTGAGCCTGGTTACGCAGAGGGAATCGAAAGGGCAGCATCACCAGCAAAGACAGAGACAATTGTGATGAAAGCAGACATATCCATTCATTACTCGTGACTATCGTGGTATCATTCATTATCATCAGCATTTGCCTCCCTATCCTCGAACACCAGGAACTCCCGTCCATCTTCTCCAACTATCTGCTGCCAAACGGACTTCACCCGGTCCAGCACATCGTCATCAAAAGCGAGATCTAGCGGGGAGCTAGGGAGCTTCAGGACGTGCTGGTCACCCACAGCGGGGGCGGGCTCGTCGGACGAGGATGAGCGCTGCTCAAACTGCATAGACCAAAGAACAGTCGGACGAGGCATGATATCCACCGTATGGAGCAGGGTATCAACAGCAATCTTCAACAATTGAAAACCGCTCTCTCCGGTCAGGGATGTTGACGCATACAATACACCTATGGAATTGTCAGTCTACTGTCTGCTAGAAGCATGGCAAGCAGAAGGTGATTGGAAAAGCCATTTCAGGTTGTCAGAGGATGATATCGTCAATGTTGTTCAGACAATGTAGATAAGTATTCATAATGGTGATCATCATAAGGCTGGAGAGAAAACGCAGGGGCGATGTGAACTTACTTTGACCAGAAGGACATTCTCCAGTGTCGCTAGAATGAACAAAAATGTGCACAGGCGGCAGATCGTGACTAATTTCGGCACCCTGCGCCAGGGATAATGATCCACTTGGAAAGACGACCACAGAGGATGCCGGCGATGGAGCTTCCTCCGCAATTTGCGGAAAGAGAGGGGTGAGCGCGGACGAGACAATAGACACTGATTTGCAGTGCTGTAAAGGTTCAGCGACGCCGAACATCTCTTCCTTTACAATCCATCGAGACGACACAGTTTCGCCATCTTTCAGGCGAAGCGTGGCATGTTCTTCTCCTTCCGTTTTACCCTCATCGTCAGTGGGGGTGTCGGACAGTCCCTTTCCAAGGACATAAACGCCTCCACCCACTGCACATGAGCGGCATGCCACTTGGACAACTTCGGACATTCCGCCCCATTTCGGCAGAACAGCGCCAAACCCAGGGCCGAACACGCCAATGGAGCGCAGGTGTCTGGCTATCCGCCGCAGCGCATATTCCGTCGACGTGTTGCTAGGAGTCTGAGGTGACAATGTTAAAGCGAGCAGCGGCGGATGAAGGCCGACCGGTACTTTAAACTGTTCAGACAAAAACGTAGGGAAAGGCTTAGTCCGATAACCTTCCCAAACCTCTGCCTGCTCTTCGAAGTCGACAATGAAGCGCAGAAACTTCATCAGCGCTCGCTTTGCTTTGAAGTCGAGAACCTGGTCTTGAAAAACATCCTCCCTTCCACTGGGCACCTTAAGCAATCTTCCATGCTGTGGTGCCCCTTCGGACGGGGCTTGGCCCTCAGCTGGCTCCTGGAGCTCCGACGAGTATATCCACCAACTACCTACAGCTAGGAACTCGAGTTGGCGGTATACCTTGGAAGATACCAGATATTGAAGCAAAGCCGAGCGGGAGTAGATCAACTGAGGGGTAAGCTCGAAACTATAAGATCTCGAGGAAGACAATCCTGGAGTAGGCCCCGACGGTGAGGTGGGGTGCTTCGAGACGGACACATTGGCGAAGGCGGCAGTAGGCTCTGCATAGGTGAGCCTCAACACTGTGGAATGAAGGGGGCAGATGTACCTTTACGCATCCTCTGCGCCCACCCTTCAGCCTCTTGCAAGCTCAAGGCAGCTTCAGCACCTCCATAGTAGTTGTTGGGATCAATATGTAGAATTTTCTTCCCCGAGCGAGAGAGGGCTCTTCAGAGGCTGCGTCAGTCAGATTGCGTACAGTAACTGTAACAGTACCCTTGGCACGTACAGAGCAAGTAGTGACTGCTGTAGGCCGGTGCCTACTATGACCACGTCCCATTCGGTTTTGTCGAGAATCTCCATGGCTGGAGGTAAGTGATGGTGGAAGTTTCAGAGGAGCTTTGATCTTTTGCAGGATTTCGTGGCTTGGCACATGACTAAGCTTCGCGACTTTGAAGAAAATCTTGTGACCAACCTCAACGTCGCTCTTCAACGCGCTTGCTGAGGGCACATTCCTCAACATGACGGTGCCCGTAAAGCACAGTATCTTCATTGATTCTGATTGTGCGCGTGAGAGGAGTCTTCGTCCGGTATCTACCGCTTTGGATTTCAACTGAATTAGCGGCTCGAATGTGGCGATACATGCACTTGCGTCCCCTGAATGCTGTTTGGTGTCGTTAACGAGACCCATGAAGTTTTGCTTTGCAGGTCGCATTACTCCGTACCTCCGTACTCTTCATACGGCGGGGATGGTGCGCCCGCTACCCAAGCCATTTTTCTCGTGCGCTTCATATAACGAAACTTATCGCTGTGGTCTTTGCAGCTGGAGCACTTATTATGTACCTGTGACTTTGCTGGCCGCGCCTTCCGACAATTTCAGGCGCAGATCGACCAGCAAACTTGTTCTGGAAGGCGGTGTTGATTATTGCATATATCATAGTAAAAACATGGCCTTCTTTCAAATAAGTACCATCCGCTCAATCGGCGACATCTTCGATGGTCTAGTGGTCATGATTTCCGCTTGTCAATCCTCACGGTTTGCGAGCGCGGGAGACCGGGGTTCGATTCCCCGTCGGAGAGCTCATTTCTTTTTTGCTTTTTCAAGTATATTTCTTTTTGCTCTTTTCTTGTGTTGGGTTGTTCGCCGCTTGCTTCTATTGCCGTCTAACTGAACATCCAGCTGCAATTCCCCTGTAGGTAGAATTACCTACCTCGCGCAAGCTCATTAGCTACAACCTAATAATGCGGCAGGTAGAATCGAACTCTCAGCGGAGTCCCGAAAAAAGAGCTGTAAACCATCCTTCGAATCCTTGTCAAACTCTGTTTCATCTTGATAACCTTACCAGCAAATGCTAGGCCCCTAGCTGCTACATCCGTAATGCACTGTATTACACTGTCTGCACCCTAGGGCAGGTAGTTGGAAGTTGAACCGGTGCTTCGGTTTGTGACTCTTGATGGGATCCCTTGGGGCCTTGATCACCAGGTTGTATCGACGGTTCGACTTCTGGAGATGTTAGAAGTTGGACCGGTGCTATGGTCCGTGACTCTTGGGTGGATGCCTCAAGCACTGGCTCACGGGATTCATGACTTCTATGCTCGTTTGGTTTTTCGGGCGAGTCGGTGTCTGACGGCTTGGTAGCAACCGGTACCGGGGACAAAGAGGAGCGGTTGGGCTCTGCGATCGTGTTCTCTGGAGGGTATGTCTCGGGTTTCGGGGCGGGTTCTAGTGAAGGCGACTCGTTTAGATTGGTTAAAAGTAGGACCGGTTTATTAATCCCGACTTTTCCCTCATCACACAGCATATTTTCATGCCCAACCGGCGGATTTAGTAGTTGAGTTGGCGGCACGGCAGGCACTGTACCGGTGGTCTCCTTGCAGCCCTCACATTACATTAAAGTCCAGCTTCAGGCTTCTTCTCGTTCGGTTCCACCGAAATTGCTCTAGTATCTTCGGCAGCACCCCCAGGCAGAGAACCAGGCAGAGAAACCAGCAGACGGACCAGCGGTCGTGTTGCTATCTCGCCCTCCTCTTGTCGTTCTGTAGCGATATCTGTTTACGCCAGTGCCGTAGACATATACATAGCGGGTGTTGTTTGCAGAGCGGAGAAGGAAAGCGGAAATAGGAGACTCCCACCAGGGGATACCGCCTGCATCGCCCGAAAGGTATTTACTATTATCTCTTAGAGCTGTTGCATTTGCTCTAGAGAAAACTAAGTATTTAAAGCGATAGTATATTTAACTGTAGGACTAAGATTCTAGAATACAAAGCAAGTAGAAGTTCTAGAGTACGAAGCAGGTAAAAGTTCTAGTATACAAAGCAAGTAGAAGATAAAAGGAAGATAAAGAGAAGGTAGCGGGGGAAGGCTGTAGTTATATGCTCGTCTGAGCTGACCTCGGCGGTGAGCTGTGGCAACTGTGACGGCCGCCGCTCAGGACCTCTTTTACTCTCACCTTTCAATCCAAGTATTCTGCGGCAAGAATGTCGTTGACGACCGCGGCTTTGGCCTCTTTTACTCTCACCTTCGGGCGGGATCCCCCCAAAATCTCCAGCAGGCCGTAGTCGCGAATCTAAAGGTAAACCTGCAACAAAAAAAGGGATTAAGAAAAGGAAGAGAGAAAAGCAAACTGCTAAAGGAAGGGGGCTCTTCCAGTTGTTCATTGGCGTAAATGCTCAACGTATCCTGCACCAGCATGCCCTCTCGTATTCCACGTAGACGGAGAGGTAGATAGGGCGGATGAGAGGCACAATAGCAGAAAGATAGGGACTTTTCATAAAAAGCTACGGAGTAGGAGAAGAACAAGACAGCAAAAAAGGAGAGACTAACAACATTCAACAGGCCTGAGGCGAGAGGGTAGAGGACAAGTACAGGGCCGACGACACATTGGCCGATCGAGTTAGAAGGACGAGTACATAGAGGAGAGGAAAAGGAAGATAGCAAAAGCGCAATAGGGAAAAGATGCGATGTAAGATACGAAGAAAAGGGGAAAGAGGAGGGAAAACGAGGTGGACAGAAGTAGGGAACAACAACAACTAGGACAGGCAGAGGAGAGAGATAATTAACAAGGGAGAATAAATAGATGAAATAGAGCCAATTAGGGTCTACTAACAGGACTAATCTTGAATATCCCTTAAAAGCAACCGAGCGACCATGAAAGGTCGAGGTGCCGCAGGTACGAAAGTGAGCGAGGCGCAGTATACCAAATACATTACAAGAAAGACATGACACCATGATGTGTAAAGGGCGAGCAAGATGTGACAGCTACTTGTCGCTACAGAGGGCATTTCACCTGCACAGTTCCTGGTGATGAAACCTCGACCTTGATATCACAGACGATGTCGTTCAACAGAGAAGCCGCTGAGCAAGCGAATAGATTTTATGGATTTCCATGAAATAGCTCAAAGTCGTTGATGGATGGCGCAGCACATGCTGTCCAGTCTGGTATCTAAAACATGGTTGTGTCCCTGCTGAGGGTATTTTAGCATATTATGATGCCGGAGAGCGGGAGAGGCAGCTCCGGGAAGGACAAAGTTTTCTCAGAGGTAATGCTACTTCAGCGCCCATGCTGGCCCCCTCGGGATATTTTCCAACAAAAGAGAGAAGTACAATAACGCCATCCCACGAAGCCGGAAACCGTGAATTTCTATACCGTAGATGCTAGGGCAATCAGAACCCTTAATCAACAGGAGCATGCTTGAAGAGGAAAGAAACGCTCTCGCCGTTGTGCGTGCGGCGGCAGGCCTCCGCAAGCTGTACAATAGTCAGCATACTCTATCATATAAATTGATCCTGACGAGACATACAGTAGGGCTGATATCAATCGTCTCAATCTTATCGCACAGCGCCTTCTTCTCCTCATGCGGAACCGTATTGGTCACCACAATGTGCTTTAACTTGCTGTTGTTCAACGCCTCGATAGCGTTTCCACTTAAGATGCCGTGTGTTACAATTGCCAAGGCGGCTTTGGCACCGTGCTGAATAACCACGTCGGCGGCCTTGCAAAGCGTGCCGCAGGTGTCGGCCATGTCGTCAACGATGATAGCAGTCTTGCCGCTGACATCGCCGACTAGAACCATCTTGGAAACTTCGTTGGGACGCGCGCGCTCCTTGTGGATGAGGGCGAAGCCGAGGTCGAGAGAATCTGCTATCGAGGTAGCTCTGGACATGGGTCAATGCAAATTCACGTCGCAATGAGCATATAATGTACCTCTTCGCACCTCCGGCATCCGGACTGACAATGACACAGTCCTTCACATCCAAATGCTCCCGTATCCACCTCAGCGTGCTCGGCTCGGCATACAGGTTATCGACCGGGACATTGAAGAAACCTTGAATCTGACTGGCATGGAGATCCATCGTAATAACGTGGTTGCAGCCAGCAGTTTGAAGCATGTTGGCCATGAGCTTCGCCGTAATGGGCGCTCGCGACTTGTCCTTCTTGTCCTGGCGGGCATATGGGAAGTTGGGTATCACGGCGGTAATGCGGCGGGCAGATGCGGTTTTGCAGGCGTTGATCATGATGAGCAGCTCCATGAGCGCATCGTTGATGTCACCCGGAGGTGTGGACTGCAAGATGAAGACTGGAGAAAACAGTCAGTCAAATGCGCCTAGAGCAAACGTACTGTTTGCACGCACCATCCTCGTCTCTGACAGACTCGCCGATCGTCACAGACGTCTCCTGGTTTGAGTATTGTAGGACCAGAATCTTGGTCAACTCAATTCCAAGTCTGCAGTGACATTAGATCTAAGCAGCTACCGAGTGATTGAGGACCAGGTGAAGCGTACCGGTCAGCCACAAGTTTTGCCAGCTGCGGGTGGCTGTTTCCCGTAAGCAGTTTTATGCTGTTGGTTGCCATATCTGTGGTTGCAGTAGCGCCTCATATTGAAAAGCGGAGACAGAGGAAGGCGAGCCGCGCTCTCCAAGTTTTCGACATCTGCGGCAGCGGGACGCTCGGCCCCGCTCGGCCAGTCGGTGAAACGTAGCTCCGATGTCGTACAGATGAAACAACGTCCAGCCCCTCAACACACTCCCGCATGGTTTCTCTGTCGCAGATTTGGACAGGACCGGAAGCTGTCCCGTTGAGCTAGTGGCGTGCTGACAGTCTCCGCACCTTGTAAACGATCTTGAAAGTATAGTTGAAACATCCACGTCAAGAGAACTTGCTTAGAAAACGTAAAGCATGAAACTTTAAAATACTAATCGCTCGCCTGCGTGAAACACGGTTTGTCATAGTTCACGGTGTTTGAGGACATCGGAAAAGCAGCCCACGAAACTCGCGAGGATTGCGTGGAACTCCGGAGTGAGAGAGGGCACATCGATGACAATTGATTTTCGGGGATACTGCTGCATCGGACATTCATCACGGAGGGAATCCCAAACAATGCAATCGGTGAAACGCTTGGCATCGAGCAAATCGATTCTGAATTAATCAGCCCGTGCAGAGCAACCCCTGAAAGGAGGCTGGGAGGCTCGCATGAACGGATCTTTCCACCATAAGCTACCTACAACTCAACAAGAATGACAAAAATGTTGCTCAACCGTTGCGTCGGCTGCCAACCGAGGAAAAGGAAAACATGATGACGGTGTTGGAAGCGTCCCAAACGGGACTGTGACTGGCAAAAAGCAAAGTCACTTTGTGGCCAACTTTGTATTAGCGGTGGTAATCAAACGCTCGGGTATCTGGATACGAAGAAGAAGTGAAGGTGCTTGGCGAAAGGAAAACGTCGCCCCATGCAAGAGACATGAGACTGCTCATTAATGCGTCGAGAAACATTATAATGACATGGGAAGAAGGAAGGGTATGGACATCGACCGTGACAACATAGTACAGGAGGGTAGTAGTATTACGGCGTAAAAACAAAGGCGTCGCCGGGGCCAGGTGAGCGGACACAATTAGTCTAGGCCGTCGTCTTATGGGACGTAACTTTTGAGCATATCATCATCGATATCGTGTTTCGCCTCTAACATGCTTGCTCGCACATCTTTCCAATGGCCTGTTCAATGTCCGAGAAAAGGTTCAGGACATGACCATCGGCATATATCTTGATGGATTGGACATCTCTACGCTCCGTACGCGCGGGACTCTCGGCCTTGATTGGACTTCGCGGTGGCGTGTTCTCGGCCAGTTCGGGTTGCATTGCCGACGGCTGAAGAACGAGAGCCGCTGCAACATGCTCCAGAAGTTTCTGACGGAGGCGTAGGCGTCTGTTCTCGGCTTGTTCAAGCTTGAGGATGAATTCATCGATAGAGACATCAAGTTCGGCTAGAGCTTCTTCCTGCTTAAGTAAAGATTCGCGAGAGAAGATGACTGTCTCTCCTCGCTTGAGATAAGAGATCATGCGGCTATGAAGCTTCTGACGCCCAGCCCGTAGAGACTTGTACGTCCTCCGGAGGTAGTCACAGCGCTCATCCAAGGCTCGAAGTTCCTGGTCAAACTGTAATTAGCAACCATGTCTTATTCATCCAGAAGGATTTTCTTACCCTAGACATTGATGCAACGTCTCGCTTTTGGAGGACTTCGAACTTTTCTGCTTGGTCGTGCGCTTGCTTGTGGAGGTGTTTCTTATCTGCTTCGTTCATCCGTACCGAAGCATCCTGGACTCGCATGCCTGTCGGCAGCTGCCAGGTATCCTGCACAGGGGGTTCCAGGATGTTGGTTTCCGAGCAGGTCCGACTTCTCTGCCTTTTGCTGGACCGGCGCACTGGTCTACCGCGATCCATTACGGATGTATCCGACATGTTCCTATTGTGTGCCGGCAGGGGATCTCGCTTCTCAACCCGGGGCGAGCCGCGGCGGTCGAGGGCAGTTAATGGCGATGTAGCACCGAATGGGTTTGACATGGCGGACAAAGGCGTAGCGAGGCCGACGCTTGTATTGGGAGAGCGTCGTGAGTCAAAGGCACTTAGTGGGGTCGTGCCCCCGGAAGTAACGGATGCCGGTGTGATGAGCTGTGTTTTGCTGGATTTGGAGTGCAGGACAAGAGGGGCGGGTGAGCCTCGGCGCTCATGAGCGGGAGACTTTGGTGGTACTTCCGGTGGTTTCTCAATGGCATCAGGAATGGTGCTGGTATCAACCTTCAAGGTCGGTTTAATGCCGGGGCTAAGTATAGGAGATAGAGGCTTCCCAACTGGGGCTGAGGGTTCGAGCTCGACGGCTTTAGCGGTTTCCATAGTGGAGGATGCGTGCTCCTCAGGAGGAATCGACGAAGGGCCAGTTACGCACGCTACGAGAGCGTCGCCAAATGGGCCACTTCTCCAGTTTGTGCCAGGGGCACTGGTGGATCTCTCATGGGTGAAGACTGCTTCGGATGCAATCTTGCGGAGGGGAGGGCGACCCGGAATAGTTGCTATGGTAGGTCAACGCAGTGTATATGGATGTCACTGAGGAGCGACTTACGAGAATCAATGGCGGCTTCTTGAACGGTAGCCATGGTTGAACCCAGCTCGGGCACGCTCACCTTACGACGCCTAGACAGTGAGCCACTCCGCTGCCAGAACGGAAGGCCTTCACAAACGGCAGTGTCACTTAGGGAGGTCGGGGAGCGGCCCATGGAAAGAGCAGATAGTTTATCTGACGAAGCAGCAGACTTGAGGACTCTCTGGGGTGCAGGCCACAACTGGTATCTGGATGCTGATAGCACCTGGGGGCTCACAGGAGAGGTACCCTTCTCCAGTGGGCCAATGCTTTCCACTGACTCTTTGTGAGCCTGGAGGTTTCTTAGTGACTGGGACCGACGGGGTATATGATAATTCATTTGGGTGAAGAGGATGCTTCCGGACTTACGAGAAGTTTTGAGGGGGATGTTTCCTGAGGGATATAAATGTTGGACTTCGCGGCGTCATGCCGGATGCAATTGGCAATGTGTGTCATGGCAGGGGCCTGAGAAGACCGTGGCTCAGTGTGTGAACTGCAAGGGAGATGAGACTCGGGAAGCGGGCATGTCAAGCATGAGTGCGTTCCCTGCGGTCGTGTTTGGCAAAACGGGAGTGGGGTGCTTTAAGTGTGGCTCCTTAAAACTTCTATTGATACAGTGAAGACGAGGAGGCCCCTGCCGTAAGGACCCAAGACTCAAAAAGTAGGTTGACTACCAATCGCGGACGGCAGTCTAGGCTGTCGATGGACAACCTTGAGATGAAACGCGGCCGTGAGTTCCCATGTCTGGCGATTCGTGGGGAACCTGCATGGGCGTGTAGCAGGGGGGCTAGGTGCCAGACTGCACCATGTTGCAGCTAGCCTTGTCGATAAGAAGGCCAGCTATAGATCGGTTGCGAGTCAACTGTCGAAGATTTGCATCTTTCGTCCTCGACGGAGCAGAATGCACATGAATGCAGGGCGGGGGCTGCCGAGACTCCATCCAGGAAGCGAAGTGCAAACAGTTTGACAGGAGTACACAGTACATACACATACCGTACGGAGAACACCAGAGGAGCACATGACGGTGGCATGCAGGCACGCAGAACTGCAGCGGACAGCGGCCTGACGTGCTCTGGTTGAAGGTCGGGCGATACCTACCCTAGGGTAGCTTGGGAGGCAATTCACTCCTCGAAGCTTTCCCAAGGCTTCGCTGAGGCGGCGCAGGTGCTCCAAAGCGGAAGGAAAGCCGCATAATGGCCGAATGAGGCCGCTGTGCTCATGCGTGCTGGATTATGAAATGGGCTGCCGAACAGATCGAGAGCTCCTGCTCGTACTGCAGGAGGGTAGTAATAATAAGTAGGTACCGTGACCCAGAAGGACGGAGGAGCCTGAGGAAGCAAGCCAGTATCTGGTTCTCCGCGCCCTGGTGCTGAAGCGCGCGTTGTGGTCCCTACACAGTACCTACAGTACGTACTCCGTTCCGTTCCACAGCCCGTCCCGCCGGAGGAGAGTCCCGGCACCGTTCTGTTGCCAGACTTGCCCGCACCGTTCCATGTGCTCCAGCACGAACCGCCATGTGTCACGACCGGCGCCAGTGCTGGTCCAGCGTTGAAAAAGGGACGGGAGAGAGAGGAAAGGAACGGATGACGGAAGGCTTGGGAGGGGGTTCGCTTGGGGTTGGTTGCTCCAGAAGACTGTGTTCCCGCTGCCACGAGGCGAGCTCTCCGGCCCAATGGGAGGCCCCCTTTCCGCGTGATGAACAGCGCAAAACGACCGTCTCGGGAGGAGAGCATGGCCGCCACAGTTTGCAGGGGCCATCAGGATGCTTGAGCTTTCTAGTTAGAGGGCAATCCTCAGCTTCTATCACAGAGGGTAGAGGATCTTTCCTCGCAGTGCGGCAGTGCATGTTGGGAAACGGTCGCGAAGAAAGCGACAGTGAATTGCTTCTCCCGCGACACCAACATCGCGCTTTGTCCTGCCTGGCGCCAGATACAAAGTTCCCAACCCACATGTACAGTACATACTGTACATGTACGGTACATACACATAATCAAGCATGTTCATCTCGCAGCAGTGCATACATACCATGGGGCTGTACCCTGTAACCCCGGACCCCCCTGCGGTGACGGTAAAACACCACGGGCATCGGTGCGTACAGTTTCCTGCACGCTCATGTCGCTCACTCTTTGGGACATCCTCTATCCTCTGCCTCAGGATGCGCAGCCCCTCTCGACGCTCACCGTCTTTTTTGGTCAGGGGCAATGGGGATACGGACACTCCCTCCTCGAAGTACTGCCATCAAGCGCTGTCATATTAGCCAGCCAGCAATCACCTGGACCGAGTCTACGCGGGTGACTGACGCCAACAATGCCCGATTTGCGGGGCACACTACAGCAAACTCGGAGCTAGCAGGCTTGATGGAGGAGGGCCGCTCGTAAAACGTTCCTCATCAGCGAGTCGTCAACGCCCTTCACCACCACCTCTGCCCTGCGTTGCTAATTTAAAAACCTTCAAGAAAACAAGCCGCAAGCGATGAAGCCATGATGGATGAAGTCAGGCTCCGGCCCGATTTCGTTCAAACCGTAGAGACTGCTGCAAACCTTGTGGGAAGGCACCTCCGTCACGATAACCGCCAGCATGATCATTGATGAACTTTATGAGAATCCTGTGATCTGCGGAGATCTCCCGTTTTCCTCTGGACGCCTGCCGAGTCCTCTTCTCAGAGAAGAATAATGTTGATATCTCGTTGCAAAACCCAGCCACTATTTCGGTCAGCCCTCCGACTACATATCGTACCACAGATCTGTTCGCCATAACGGGTCGTCTTTCCAAATAAATTGTAGGCTTCACGCTCATATTGTAGAGATAAAAAAGCCGGAGCAGGAATGCAGAGTCCAGCAAGGCTGTCCTGGTGAGGATGCTTCACACGCAGTCCACCTCCCATCCTTTTCCTGTGTCCGTTTCCCCTGCGCCTGCCCTGCTTCTGATGCAAGTCATGCCTCGAGCACACGCCAAGCATGCCCCCCTTCATCCTCACTTGCCTCATTTGCAAGGCCCCCAGCATTGCACAGACACTCCCAGACGCTGCGTACCACTACCGATTCGCACGCCGGCGTAACAAAACGTACGATGGCTCTAAAAGCAGCAGTCAGCCGTGCCTCATTTGGAGAGCTACTCGCTCGAATGCGTTTCCCTTTGGCATGGCAACGCCCCAGATCACAGCGTTGCCTTCCCAAGCAAGACCCATCCTTCTACACAAAAAGCATCGTGTGGTCCATTTCGAGAGTGGCATGCATACGGAGTACGTTATTACATATCGGATGTGCACGTCGAGGCCGCGTCTCATTCATCACTTTGTAACAGTCTTGATACGGCCGACTCCCCCTAGGCTTAGGGGAATATCCTCAACGGCGCCGGCACGCCGGGAACCATGTGACGACCGATCCCACTCTGCAGCATGAAACAATGGCCCACTCAAATCTGCCTCCGGGCACGCTCCGAGCAGTCAATCACCCACGTTTTCCTTCGTTCTGGGCCACGCGCTTTTGAGTCAGTCCGGATTTGGGACCACGATACTTAGGCTCCCTCTCTCCTTTATGCCGTCTTCTCTATGTTTATCGTCCTAAGACTCCTTACACAGTCGACATTGCGAGCGACAAGAATGGCGATGCTCTGTTGAAAGTCGGAGGGAACTCAGAACCATGGGGTGCGACTTCCATCCGATCCTTGCTCTCATGTGGTCGCCAGGAGCGGGGCTACTCAATCCAGTGCTCGCGAATTCTCCTCACCACTCTACCGTAGGATAGGTATCACACTGCTGCTCTCATATCGGATGATGCATCGTAATCCCGGAAAGCAAGTGGCTGGAGCATTCTTCAGTCGGTCCGTCGCACTCCTCAGCAATTACTTTGCTCCCTGGTATGTCTGGTATCTCTACCTGCAGCACATTGGCGAGCAGAAAACAAAAATGTGATTATCTAGATGACTGCTGTTGAGGGCTAGGGTGGCATACAACTTCATCTCCTCTCACCTCAAGCAAGGCGGTACCCCGGAAATCACGACTTTGCACCTCTCGAGTCGAGGTATCGTTTCCAAAGTCGAACGAAACAAATCAACTGCCCATTCTCGGGGCGACTGGATTCTGTTTTGGATAACCAAGGAAGGGTGGAGGGGTGGAGGCGACCCCTGTACAGCCCATTCTCCGCGTTCCCTGAACAGTGTGATACACTCACTCAGAACTCAGAACACAAGCTGCGACTACATGATCCGGCATGCGAGAGATCATGGGCTTCGTCCCTACGGAGCGCAGTTACTCCACACTTGGCCGAGACTGCGTGCGCACTCCTCTCGGTCATCCCATACCTCCTAAACGGAGGTTGCCGACACTGCCTGGATTTCGACCATCCCGTTCGTAGTTTACGATTCCATGATGCAGACATCGCAAACTTCGTCGTCAAGTATAGACTTGTAACGCTACATACCCCGCCCGTCCCCTGACGGGACACCTAGGTGCTGTAGAATAGGCAACTTGGCCATGACCGACGCGCATCAAACCGCAAACACCAGTATCCGACATGAAAGACATAAGCTCATGAGCGGATCTGAGCGTCTCCATCGCTGCAAGAACGAGCCAGCACATACTGCAGTTTGGTTCCTCCGTGATCCTGCTGGCCTCTTACAGGACGGGTGAAACGATACGCCTCAGTGCTGCGTCGGAAAGTCGCAAGCCGAAAATGAGAGAGCGACGCGCGCAACCGCCGGTTCCAGCGCTGTAGTCTACGGAGTACGGATATCTACAATTTTCGGCACACATTGACCTACTCCACTAGGCTGCCCTCGTAGATACAGCGTCAGATTCCACTCCCCAGGAGCCACGGTCCGAGACACAGCAAAAACCAGCCACTGCAAATTTCTCCGTTGAGTGTACTCTCGTGGCATTCGCATCCATCGGGGTTTTTTTCGAACGGACGGGGACGGTCCTACATTCCGTCTCGACTCCGTCAGAAGTTAAGTGATGTCTAGAATCCCTGGGCTTTCGGTAAGCAGGACCCTGCATACATCTCCGTCTGTCTGTTCAAGCATCGCATATAACAACTCGCATACTATTGTCTTATCTGCCCGGTATATGGCCCCATAACGCTCGACGGGATATAGGAAGCCGTGAACATCGATTTCCCCTCCTCTGGCTCCATGGATCCCCGGATTCTGCGTGCAGTTTATCGATAAGCATAACCATGGTCCTTCGAGTCAGCATTTCGCGGCTAAACCGTTTGACCCGTGCTTCTCCGCACTTTGGATATGCACGTTCAACGCCTTCGACCCGTGACCCGGTGACGGGTTCTGTGGCGAGACCCTTTCTGCCATTTTTCTGGTTGACAAGGCTTTTTGGGTTGGAGATTATTGGTGGCGCGATGTGGAAAGCGCTGCAACCACGGTTTCTGCCCCTCCCTAGACTATACAGACTTACGAGTCTATATCAGGCATTGCAGCCAGATCCGCTTTTCTCTTCTCCTCGTTGGTCTTCCATTCACCATGATTCTTCCATCCACATCGCTCATCCTGGTTCGCTTTTCCCCTCCCCGCTTCCTGGCTTTCTGCAATGACACGGACCTCGATGGACCGCCGGAGAATTTCCCTGCGGCCTGAGTTTGCCTCTTGGATTTAGGCGGAGTCGTACACATGCTACGCAAGGCAAGGCAAGGCGACGTCGGCAGTATGCTACCTATGCGGGGTGCGTGGAGCACGATTTGCCGTTGTTGGAGGGACTGCCCCAAGCCCTCCTGCTATATGCGAGCCAGCGTGTCTAAGGACAGGGGGAAGAGTATCAAGACCGTGCGAGAATACCGTGGTTGTGGATTTCGGAGACGAGGAGGGAGGGAGGGAGGGAGGGGATTTATCCCACAGTGATTTGCAAGATGCTGGTAGGTGTGGGTATAACAGAGTGCGGTATGAAGTGGTGCTATAGAGCTAAGACGGGTAGGTGTGGTACGGCCGTCGTTGCCTGCTTCGGTCTCTTCAGTAGGTTGGAAGCGGTGTATATATTGGAAGGAACAAGGATTGGTAGCGCTCTGGTACCTTGGTAGTACTTAGTGAACGTGTCTTTACCTATATATTCGTACAGCTCGAACCACGGATACGCATATGGTACATATGGTACATACTCTCTACAGATCGCCCAACCAGTCAACACGCCACCCTGGCCCAATTCCCCCATCGGCATCTTTTCTCCTCCCTCCAGTCTGCGTTCCCTCCCGTCCTGTCTCAACCAATCTACCGCAACACCACCCCCAACCTCCCCATCAACTCCTCCCTAAACTTTTCATGCAGCTCATTCGTCTCCTCATTCGTCAGCGTCCGCTCCAAACTCCGATAATTGCACCGATAACACACGCTCTTGCGGCCCGTCTTGGGGTGCTCGAATTGGTCCACCAAACGCACGTCTTCAATCAGGTCGCCGCAGACTTCGCGGGCGATCTCCATGACGTCGTTTTCGTGGAAGGTATTAGGGACGGTGTGAGAAGAGGATTCAGTCGGTGTGAGGCCGCCCGCGGGACTTGTCGTTGTTGTTGCTGTGGTTGACGGTTCCGAGGGGGATTGGGTCGGAGGAGAAGCAGAGGGAGCGGATGCCGGAAGCCAGAAACTCACGTCTTTGAAGCAAGCGGGGAATTTGGAAAAGGGGGTGAATTTCTTGATGTCCCTTCCCTTTCCGAACTGCCCCAGAAACCTTTCATCCGTGCTCCAGAAGAGCCGGATATCCGGGATGGAGTAGAGCAGCATGGCGATACGTTCGAGACCCAGGCCAAACGCCCAGCCAAGACGGTTGGAGACACCTGCGTTGTCGAGGATGTGTTGCTGGACGATGCCGCAGCCGAGGACTTCGAGCCAGTCACCTTGCCAGAGGACCTCGAGCTCCCAGCTTGGGGAGGTGAAGGGGAAGTAGGCTTCTACCCAGCGGACTTTGAGGGGCTCGGAGGAGTCGGATTGGGAAAGGGGGGTACCAGAGGAAGCGGCGGCATTTCGAGCAGCGGTGAAGATGGTAACGACGACGTCTTCGAGGGAGCGCTTGAGATGGGCGGCCATGGCTTCGACTTCGGCGGCCGAGTGCGTGGCTTGTAGGGGGTTGCGTTCCGGGTGGATGGTCGGGTTGGGGTCTTCCACTTCGATGACTGAGGGAGGGTGTTTGGGTATTTTAGCAACGTTGGCCCAGATGGCTTCTTCGAGTGTGGAATGGCCTCCTAGGTCGTTTCGGTCCCAGGTGCGGGCACCCTCCATCTGGTGGAAGACAGGATAGTGGCTTCTGTCGATAGCATCTCTCCTGTAGACATCGGCGCTGATGAGGTAGCCGGCGCTCTCGTTGGCGCGGAAGGTGTCGGCCTGGTGGGCGGATGTGTGGGTTCGTAGCACGGTCTCCTTGTTGATGTAGTATGTATCTGTTCGGTTACGGCCAACATGGTCCGGGGGAAAGCCCAATGAATCAAAGTTCTGCCCAACTGTGACTACGGGAAAGAGATCGTTGTGGTATTTGTAGTCCGGGAAGCGTGATTCTATCAGTTGTCGTGTGATGGCGAGAGGATGGTCTTGCTGGAGGTGTAGCCGACGGGGAATGGCTGCCAGGATAGTGGAGGGTGTATTCATCCATTCATCTGTCTTGTAGGTTTTTCCCTCTACTGTGATTTCTCTTGGTGTAGTCCCTGAGTAAACTTAGACATCGCCCAAGATATATCATTCCAAAATCACTATCGTGGTATGCATCATCAACCGCCTACCAATCGCGACAACACATGAAAAAATCGAATGCCCATTCATGCAGAGAAAGAACATATGTTCAATATGAATAGACAGATTGGAAATAAAAATGGGATTATACAAGTCATGTGATATCAAACTCACCTGAGGAAACACATCGCACTGTTGTTCTCCCAAACGCAAGCGCCAATTGCGAAACCGGGGCCCTCCAAGCCCTCAAACACTCTGACCTCCGCAACTGACGCCCCACCACCGAACATATAGGCTGTATCCGCATCCTCATTCGCGCCTCTGGTGTTTGTCACCTCCACCTCCACAGCCATCCCGAAACGAAGACCGTTGCTGACTGATCCACGCACAAGCCACGCCAAGTGCTTACCGGACATCAGGCCATTGCGGCCAAGCATCCGAGATTTCGCCAGCCTTTCCCAATACGCCCTAGACTGTTTTTTGTGATGACGTCCGGAGAAGCCGGCCAACCTTCAGGAACCTCTAGCCGACTTCCTGCTCACCAAAAAAGGGCTTTACGACTTTCGACGGAGCGCTTTGAGTTGGCGCATACTGTTTTTCCTCAACGTACGATGCATGCACAAATATGACAGCGCTTCAGAAACAGGTGCCTGCGGGCCAATTGAGGAAGAGTGAGGATCGGGTGAAGGCTCCCCTACATTATCCATTCTGGTTTGGCGGGAGCGCGAGTTGTCTCGCGGCATGTTTTACGCATCCCTTGGATCTGGGTATGTTTTTAACATAGATTGCACTATACGTTCCCAGCTAACAGCAGCTCCTCCAGTGAAGGTATATCCGCTTCGCTTCCGCGTCGTCCATCCTCGCACTCACATTCTCACCACCCATCTAGGTCCGGCTACAAACACAACCGCATGGCGCAAAACGCAACATGCTCCAAATGTTCGTCCACGTCGCCAGAGACGACGGAATCAGGGGTCTATACCGCGGTCTCTCCGCCGCCCAACTCCGCCAACTAACATACAGCATGACGCGCTTCGGCGTCTACGAAGAGCTGAAAGACAGGCTCACGACGCCAAATTCTCGACCTTCCTTCCCCACCCTCGTAGCCATGGCCTCTATATCCGGCTTCGTCGGCGGCATCGCAGGAAACCCCGCAGACATCGTAAACGTCCGCATGCAACACGACGCCGCGCTTGCCCCCGAAAAGCGACGAAACTACAAAAACGCGATTGACGGGCTAATACGCATGTCCCGCGAAGAGGGCGTCGCATCCCTCTGGCGCGGCGTCTGGCCCAATGCCTCGCGCGCCGTGCTCATGACGGTCGGCCAACTGGCTTCCTACGACGGGTTCAAGCGCGCGCTGCTCCAACACACGTCCCTCCAAGACAATATCATCACGCATTTCACCGCCTCGATTCTCGCCGGCTTCGTCGCAACGACCATCTGCTCCCCCGTCGACGTAATCAAGACGCGTGTGATGAGCGCTGCAGATCCAAAGGGCATTGTACATCTCGTGACGGACATCTTCAGGCACGAGGGCGTCAGCTGGATGTTCAAGGGTTGGGTGCCGAGTTTCATTCGGGTGGGGCCGCAAACGATTCTCACGTTCATCTTCCTGGAGGAGCAGAAGAAGATATACCGCAAGATGAAGAGCCTTGAATAGACGGGAGAAGATGTGACGGGCACGAAACTACGGTTTCTCGGACTCTGTTTGGTATCCATATAGACACTTTGGGGCTTTTTGGATGATACCCCCGAAACATGGTGGTTGAGATGAGTTAGTGGCAAGCATGCACGTTGTATATTATGCATGGTACTTGCATGGCCGGGCGTATTTGGGGCTTTTCCTGTTGTATTCTAGTGTTGTTTTGTTCTTGATAGCATTGGGGTACGTATCACTTCCAGCTGGCCGGGATTTGTTATACCTAGATACATAGCACATAGATCGTAGAGTGTGAATGGACAAATGCATCCAATGTTTGATTGATAACATGGTCCCCATAATTCTGTTGGCTAGAGTTGGCTCTGCAGCCTCTCGAATTCTGGAGCCACGGTGTCGAATTCGGAGCTGAACATAGAAGACGCACAAGGTGAAGCACGTGGGACTGTAGGCTCGCGACGCCGATTAGAAAAAGGGTATCACACAACGGATTAGAAGCGCCGAAGTGTCGGCTGTTTTCAAGGTGCAATTGCCCTATCTGAGAAACAATTGCCGCGCCGTAGGAGCCCATGATATGAACCATGCCCAGAAACCCCAAGTTTTCATAAGGGAGCCCGACGCCGAATATGTCATTCCACCGACTTGTACATCCAACACCACCCCTTAGTGCTTCATGGAAGAAGCCCTCCTCTTCTTGGCCTCATCGTGGGCAGACTTTGCCTCGCTGATACGCTTCTGGAGAATCTGGGCGTACTCGTTCTACATGAAACCGGTTAGTATCTGCAGCAACAGTCTCGAGGTGTAAAAACATACCGCGGCATCCTTGGAAGCCTCCGCACGGCGGCGCTTGAGCGCGATCCTGTGGCGCTTGTGCTGCAGACGCTGGGGAGTAACCAGACGCTGGATCTTGGGGGCCTTGGTGTAGGGCTTCTTGCCCTCTCCCTTGGGCTGAACCTCACGGCGGATAACGAACTTGCGGACCTATGACATAGACAATCAGAATCATGTTGTGCACTCAGACTCAACCCTTGGCGAGAAGGATTGGCGAAGAAGCTATGAGATAACTCACATCATCTTCCTTGCTGAGGCCAAAGAAGCGACGGATCTTGGTAGCCCTCTTGGGACCCAAGCGCTTGGGGTGTACGGTATCGGTGAGACCGGGGATGTCGTTCTCTCCCTGCTTAACGATGCTAAGGGCGAGGACGGAGAGATCTCCGGCGACGATGCAGCCACGGACGCTCTTCCTCTTGCGCTCGCCGGTGCGACGGGGGCGGTAGCAGGAGTGACCGTCGGAGAGCAGAAGTCGGACACGAGTAGGGTGCATGACACCCTGCTTCATCGGGAAACCCTGCTTGTCGTTGCCGCCGGTGATCTTGAAGATGTAGCCCTTGAACTCGTCGCCGACGCTGTCGCCCGGAACTTCCTGGCCCATACGGCGGTCCATGAAGACGCGGAGCTTGCGCTCATCGTCAATCTCGATCAGCTTCTGCGTGCCGTTGGCGGGGTACGAGATGTTCAGCTTCATCTTGACGGCTGAATTGCCTGCGAAAAAAAATGTCAACGGGGATCGAATGCGAATAGCAAGCGTGTTGGACTTACTCCGCGCGGTTGGTTTTCGGAAGGTCGCTTTTGCTGGTTCGAAATGTTCGGGCGGTCTGCGGTGGGTGTCGGTAGCGAGGACGCTAGGGTGATAGTTAATCCGCGCCGACAATTCCTCAGGTACGAGACAACCTTGGAACACATGCCAGACAACACGTGCCCGCTTCCTCACCTATCCCACGCAATCACAGATGGACTTAGGTATCAAACCGCATACAGCCATTTTCTTCACCAGCGACGATTTGGATCCGTTGCAGAGAGAAACCCGAGTTTCGGTGCGCCACATTATTGGGGGATGCATGGTATAGCGCATCAATTGGTTGTGTATAATTGGAAACATTACTAAACACACTCCATTCTCAATCATCAGCCATTGTCATATTCGAAGCTTGCATTGCCCAGGAAATATTATCAAAGGTGCCCAGAGCTTTTATGGCAACGGAGTGTGCGAATGGTATTTGCCCAGATGGGAAGTGTTCGAACTTGCTCCTGAAGGAACAATCAACACCTAGCCCCGTATCAACCAAGGTCGCCATTGTGTTCCACCCATATATATAACGCCAACCCAGACCATGACCATAACCCAAAGGGACCTAGGCATTTACTAATATACAAGAGAGAACGGCAATCGCAACGGCACTCAATGCATGAGTTCGACGGGAGGCCTCGCTGTAGCGAGTGTTTTGCCTTGCGCACGCTGTTGCGCTATTGGACCTTCAATTCCCTCCATAGCATCGACATTTGGCGTCAAAGGCGCAGGACTATCGGTCGTGTCTTCAACAGCAATCGCAGGCAGATCTGGACTGCCGCCATGATCGACAGGGTCATACACGACAGTCGCACTACCGGTTCGCCGCCTTTGGGTGATTGGGCTTGGTGGTAGGTCCCCATCCATTGCATGGTCCGGGTCGTCAATGTGGTGTGCGTGCAGTTTCGCTAGTGCGCTAGCCAGGTCTTCTGCGTGTACAATCTTGTTGGGTGCTTCCTCATTTTGCATTTCCCAGCCCATCGGAGGCGAAGGCGGCGGAGAAATGAAGAAGAGCTTGTCCGACTTGGGTAGTGGTAGGTGTTGGTCGCTTGGGTTCAAGGGTGTGTTCAGCCCGAAGTACACTCGGATGCGGGAACCCATGAGAGTTTCTCCGTCGAGCTTTTGCCGTATGAGGATGGCGGAATCAACGTCGAAGAATGAGGTTACTATTCGGCGGAAGGACTTCAGCGGCGCCCAGGTGTGTATCCGAGCATATTGATTGATGAGTTCGCGGATCTGAACGAGGTTCGCGGGATGGAAGATTTCAGGCTCGAGGAGATTCTGAGCGGAGTTAGTACAGTAACTGGTCGGCGCATGTTCCAGCTACTCACTGTGATGATTAGGGTATTGGAGGGAGGTGAGGGCTCCACCAGCGGGGGCAGGTCGGTTAGATCCAGCGAAAGTGGCGACTTCGCTCGAGACGATGGTCGCGGGTGCGCGGACGAGGTTACTTCTCCTGACATGTTGGGGAGGAGCAGCTATGGGAGTGATATGGAAATCTGAGGGTATCGGCAGCTGGGAAGTTGTGGGTTGGATGTTGAACTGTAATTTAGGAGGGCGAGGAGTTCTCAAATATGTAGGTATTCTATGGACGTCGGTGGTCTGGTCTTCCGCAACCGTCTCAGCTCCGCCACCTTCTGCCAAGCACGAGCATTTGACGACCGCATGCTCAACTCCTGATCTCCTGGCCACCCTGCACTGCCCTGAATGTGGAATTCTGTGTACAGAAATTTGCTGAACGGGCGTGGCAGAATGCGCTGCGGATTGACCTTGGACATCGCCAGCCTTGCGTATGTGGATGGTTTGCGCAGCTCGCCCAACACAGCCTCGACGTCACTCGGGCCTGGATCTGATATGTGCGGAGAGAATCGTCACCCGCTTGCGCTTCTAGTCTCTGAGAGTCAGCCTGCACTACCGTCTAAGTCACCCCCTTTTTCATCCTTTCAATATTTCAAATGAGACTGTTACGCGTCCTTCCTCTGTAAGCTTCTGGTTTGGTGAGATTGGCTGCGGCAGTGAACAGTTCGTTGTACACCCTTCGTTGGGAGGTCCGTGAATCGATATGGGCAGTAAATGCTCGTTGGCATATTACTGGGGATTCGCCGAAGTGAACGTAAAATCTATTGCCGCAGCAGTTCTGTCCGAGTACCATTGAAGATGCAAGGCTGTTGTGTTGCACCTACAAGTAGGTGTACAATGTACTCAGGCAGGTTCGAGCCGCTAAACCTAATTAGCCTAGCGCGATCTTCCCTGGGCAGGCCGCCCGGGCGCATTCACCTCAAAGAAAGTGAACGTGAACAAGAGCAACCATCCGTAGACTCACACCACCCACTAATACCCTCTATCAGGAACGTAAACGGCTGCGCGCTTTTACAGGCGACTCTCCGGGACGAATAACCTGAATCATCTAACCTAACCGCCACCATGGACGACGACCTGCTCCCCCCAGAAGACAATGGCGACCTCCAAATCGCCTTCATCGAAGTACGCATTCGCCTTGCCTACCTCTCAGCTACACGCAAAACTAATGTCCACCCAGGCCAGCAACGAACGCGCCCACTTCGTCATCAAAAACTCCAACCTCGAGACCGCAAACTCGCTCCGCCGCACCATGCTCGCCGAGATCCCCACGCTCGCCATCGACGTCGTCGAAGTCCTAGACAACACCTCCGTGCTCGCCGACGAATTCATATGCCACCGCCTGGGTCTCATCCCGCTCTCGGCGAAGGGAATCGACGAGTTGCTCTATTCGCGGGATTGCGAGTGTGACGGGTACTGCGAGCTGTGCTCGGTGGTGTTGACGCTGCAGGCCAAATGCGAGTCGAGCGACGTGATGAAGGTGTATGCGAGGGATCTGGTCATTACGTCGAGTAGAGGGAATCAGCAGCTGGGGAATCCCGTTTTGACGGACCCGGACAGACTCGGGAGCTGTATAGTGAAGCTGAGGAGGGGCCAGGCGATACATATGCGGTGTATTGCTAAGAAGGGCATCGCGAAGGAGCATGCCAAATGGGCGCCTACTGCCGCGGTGGGATTTGAATACGATCCGGGGAACAGACTACGGCATCTGGACTACTGGTACGAGGAGGATCCGAAGAAGGAATGGTACGTTTGGAGCGCGTTCTCTCTAAAGCCAGCATTCACACCATCACAGGCCCGTCAACGAGCAGCATCTCAACATGGATGGTGTCCCACCCCAAGAAGGGGAGCCCTTTGACTACGACGCCGTTCCCACCCGCTTCTTCTTCGACGTCGAGACGGTCGGTGGCATGCCGCCCGACGAGATTGTGACCAAGGGTATCTCGACGCTACAGGAGAAGTTGGCAGCTGTTATACAAGAGCTCAAGGGTGGCGATGCCGGCGACAATCTCGATTTTGGAGGTGCGCAGAGCCCGACGATGAACGGGATGGGCTACGGAGGCCAGGATGCTGGCTATACGACTCCCTATGGTGGGGGAGGCCCAAGTGCCACGGCGTATGGTGGTGCCACTTCAGCATACGGCGGTAATCCTTGGTAGATGTCAGTTCTAGTGTTTACATGACACGTGACACATGCCCTGTACAAATCACGCTTCGAGGTGCATGATTGTGTCTATGGGCTTCTGTCAGGCTGTAGGATCAGGATCAGAGTCTTTATAACTATATAAGCATTGGGTGGAGTTTCGGATGGGCAAGGAGTATCAAGATATTCAAAAAGGCCGTTTCAGCTTGATTTCCTTGTATAGAGAGAGATATGGCGATTTCATAAGATGCATCTTGCCTTAACGTAACTGAAGTATCTCCCATCACGAACTTGCAGGTTTGATGATAAGGGGTGGCTGAGAACCATCTACTGCCTCGATGCAGCGCTCTCCATTCAGACAGCCTTGGCTGCCTTCCTCGGCTTCATAAAACCAATTATACTATACAAATCGGACACGGCATATGCCAGCCAGACCATCTTTTTCATACATGCTTAAAGATGCGAGAGAGGGGAATATTTTTACAACCTCCGAGAGCGCGGAATAACGCCATTGTCCCGAAGAAATACTTGTACAACGGAAGGTAGATGAGAGAAATTCGAGTAACAGGAATTCGTGGCGCATACGAATTACGCATTCGTGGCACACGCGCCGTCGAACCTGTCGGGAGTGAGGTTTAAAGCGATGGCGGTGCTCTTGGTGCTCCTTATGAATTCTTCACAACGCCGACCTTTGCGGCGCGCAGCACGCGGCCATTGAGCATGAAGCCCTTCTGCTGCGTGTGGAAAACCGTCCCATCCTCCTTATCCGGCTGCGGCGCCTGGAACACGGCCTCATGGATATTCGGGTTGAACTTTTCCTGCTCGAGCGACGGGTCGAACCGCTCCAGACCGTGCTTCTTCAGCGTCTGCAGGAGGATGGACTCGGTCATCTTGAGGCCGTCGTGCAGGGTGACGAGGTCCGGGTTCTCCCCGCTCGAGAGCTTCTCGGCGGGCACGGTGGTGAGGGCGCGGTCGAGGTTGTCGACGCTGTCGATGAGGTCCTTGGCGAATCGTTGCAGGGCGAAGTCCTTTGCGGCTTGGATCTCGCGCTTTGTGCGCTCTTGGAGGTTGCGGAAGTCGGCGACGGAGCGGAGGTATTTGTCCTGGTTGAAGGTGGATGTTAGTATAAGAGTTTCGTGATGTTGTTATGCATAAATGACTGCGGATGAAGATTGACGACGTACCTTGAGGTTAATTATCTCCATATCTTTCTTCTCGAGTTGCTCTTTTAGTTGAGTAGCCTCATTCTGCTGCTGCTGCTGCTGTGATGCCTGCTCTCCACTCGTCTTCTGTGCTGCTGTCTCGCCCTCCTTCGCAGTTGGCTGCTCCGCATACCATCTTATCGCGCCGACCTGTCTAGGAACCTGCGCAGCGAAGGGCGCCTGCGACCGTGTTACGCAGCGCGCAGCCTGTCTTGATGAGCGGAAAAGGGTCCTCTGAAGCATAGTGAATGGCGATGATGGTCGTGTTGCGTTTGTTTGTAGTAAAGATACAGTAAAAAAATATTCGGCGGAGTTGTACGTAAATCCCAGGCTGGGCGTTGCTCGGTTGAAGGGGCCGTGCGGTCGTGGCGGGACTTCAGTGCCGCGGATAACGTTACCCTACTAATAAATAAAGGCACCTGCATCTTCTTAGTTGCCGTGATGCCAGCGATTTCAAGCCAGGACATGAGATGAGGACTGCTCTCTTTGTTTCCTCACGCTCGTGGACACAGGCAAGACGTTATGTATCCAATGTCACAACCAATTCGGCGCCGCAGCAGGCCATTAAAGCAGCATACTATCGCGGAGGCACCTCTCGCGGGGTGATATTCCAGCCCAAGGACCTCCCTACCAACTGCTCAAAATGGCCTTCCATATTCCGGCAGGTGATGGGATCGCCGGACCCGTATGGTCGCCAGCTCGACGGCATGGGATCGGGAATATCGTCCCTCTCCAAGATCTGCCTCGTGGAAAATCGAGTTCCGGAAGGAACGGAAGTCGACAATGATTGTATCGATTATACCTTCGTTGGAATGGGTATTTACAATGGCGTCGTGGATGTAGCGGGGAACTGTGGGAATATGAGCAGTGCTATCGGCCCCTATGCGTACAATGCTGGTTTGTTGGATAAGAAATACTACGCTGAATCGAATGGGCAAGTAACAGTGCGGATAAGAAACACGAATACAGGACAGGAACTCAAATCGACTTTTGATGTCGTTGGAGATCAAGCTGCTGTGCAAGGAAACTTCACATTCGATGGCGTCGCAGGTCAGGGTGCGAAGATCAAACTCGAATTCCTGAATCCGTACGGCTCCAAGACTGGACAGGTTCTCCCAACAGGCAACGCAACGGACACCATTTTAGGCTTCCAAGTATCCTGCGTAGACGGCGCCAACCCCGCTATCTTCATCCGCGCAGACGATGTGGACATCCCAGGGACCATCCTTCCCAATGACTTCAACAATCTGCCCGAGAAACTGGAACTCCTTGAGCGGATCAGAAGAGCAGCGACGGTCGCCATGGGCATCGCGGAGTCAGAAGACAAGGTGGCTGGGACGATTCCGAAGATTGGTATTGTCTCCACGTCTGCCACGCATCCTGTGCTTTCAGGCGAAACGGTCAAGAAGGAGCATGTCGATGTTGTGATACGATTTCTCTCGGATGAGCAGCCTCATCGCGCCATCCCTTTGACTGCGGCACTGACTTCGGCCGTTGCTGCTAAGATCCCAGGGACGGTTGTCGAGCAGCTACTTGCAAAAGAGTCGACGACGAAAGATATGTTGACGATTGGACATGCTAGTGGGAAGATCCAAGTCAGTGCGAGCATGGACCCTGAGAAGCCGCATTTGCCGCTATCGGCTTCTGTGTACAGGACGGCTAGGCGGATCTTCGAAGGGGAGGTTTTCTGGACCGATTCAGGGGAAGAGGAACAAGGACTGGGGAGTATATCCCGTTCTTATAACCTTGGGATGGCTTTCGTAGAAGAATCTGGGGGGAAATGATGCTTATTTGAAGGTATATGGAATCAAAACGTTCGCACTGCTGGATAATACACGATTCCATTTATCCATTCACCATTTGCTAATGTAAATGATAGGATAAGTCATTTCCCTAACATTGTGAGAACCACGTAAAGATCGTAAAGGCGTACAAATACATAATGATACCAAGCGCAACAACCGCGCAAAATGTACCTTCCCAGACCCAGCTGTACCCTCTTGATTAAATCCAAAACGCGGTCATGCACCGATTCCACGGAGTTCATAACACATCATAACACATGATCCGTACACAAAAGAAAGTCTTATGATCCGTTCTGATCAATCGCATCGTCTTCTCTGCCAAGGTATGCATTTCCTTTTGGCGGAAAGGTTGGTAGGGCGTGCGGGTCTTTGCGAGTGGACTGATTAGCTTGGAATGCATGGTCTTTTCTCTCCTCTTCATCGCAGCACTTTTGGTGTGGTTCATAGAATGATAATTGCAACCGTGGACCGTACATGGCTGCATGCGAGCCCCTTGTACATATTGTCTGTCCACCGATTCGGCCCTGTACTACGGCTTTCCACTCCGACTGAACACCCCGCTGCTCCTCTGTAGGTGGAGTTACCTACCCGACGCAAGTCAAGCGGACAACCTAATAATGCTACGGGTGGAGCTTCGTTTTAGAACCTACTGTACAGATAAAGGCATACTATAAAGCGTATTGTAAGACCTGCTAAAATGCTGCGCCTACTTGGGGTTCGACTGGACGTGGAAAGGAGCAGTACAGAGGAAGTGCAGGGGGATGTTCAGTCGGATGTGAGAAGAAGCAGTAAATCTAGAACCCCCCAGCGCCTTCCTAGCGCCGCGCGAACCCGCTTTCCCACAATCCGCCCCTTCCAAATCTCTTACGGTCAAAACGACGACACCCCGACAAATTTAATAGGATTGGACTCTTAGTATATAAACCGAAAAAGAAAAGCAATTTCCATCCAAACAACCATCCGCCTGAAGCGGCGACATCTTCGATGGTCTAGTGGTCATGATTTCCGCTTGTCAATTCACTTCGTGAATAGCAAGCGCGGGAGACCGGGGTTCGATTCCCCGTCGGAGAGCTCATTTCTTTTTTGCTTTTTTTTTTTTTGCCCCAGGTCAAAACAGCACGAAGAACGGGGCAGAGGGAGAAGTTATCATAGCTACAAAGCACTGCAAAACCAAGGCAATAGTGACAAAAATCCTTTCCCTACTGCTTTATACTACGTCCCTTTATTTTCCTGTAATAACTTAATGTTATGTGTAGCGGCTCTTCTTTTCTTAGAACGTTGATTCTAATCACTTGAAGGGATATGCCGTCGCGAGGCTATGCTATGCTGCCGAAAATGTCCCACCGAATTCTTCGTCTTTCAAAAGAGCTACGAGTTCTTTCTGCCGTAGGCACCTTATAATTATTCGTTATAAACTAGCGACGCCAGTACTGTCCTCAAACCTGCAGACTCTATCCACCACGATTAGCCTCAGAACCCGCCTCGAATCATCTAAAAATACCACCCTCCTCTCTCCCCCGGACCGGGACGATTCCATGAAAGTGGATTCGAGAGGCTACACATCATCACTTCAACAACGCCACCCGTTCAATGCACCGCCACATTCGCCACAGCAACTATCCCATCCAACCACAACCCGCGATCCCATGAACTCCCACATCCTAATTCGCAAAATCGCATCCCCCGGCTATGGCTAATGAGGGCAGTCGGCTCGGGACCCTAGCCGTGCGGAGGAAGGCCCCGGACCGCTGATTGTCACGATCGACATGACGGATTCCTGGAGACATGGAAGTGGGCTGTGGCCACGCTGGTGTGGCAATCACCTCGATAGACGAGGGTTGCGAGATGGGATAAGGGTGAGTGGGTGCCCACTTTGAGGGCTCGTGGAGAAGTAATACTCTGAGAAAGGTGGTCGCATAGTGCTTCTCGTGAAGGCGATTTCACGCTTTTGATACTCATTTCCGTTTTCTTTCTGTTCCATTCGTTACCTACCTCACCGTCGTTATGCACTCGTTTTTCGTCGTCTTGATGAGCGTGCCGCTTGGGATCGGAATAGGGAGAATGGTTCCAACGCCCGTTGTTACACCGGCACCCAGTATGTCCGAGATAGAATTGGCGAGGAGGCAGGAGCCCGATGCGTGAGTACGCCCTCAACCGAAGGCTTATGACTCCTCAAACTAAAACGCAGAAAAGGATATCACTCGCAGAAATCCTTCTCACAGCCGTACCAGAATCCCTTCGCAGGATAGCTGCGACCAACATTCCAGCCGCGTCGAGCATTCTCTGGGAAGAGTTCCTGGATGATAAGAAACCGCCCTGGTTTTCAGAGCTACCTTGGGAGATACAGGTGTATCTGATCGAGCGGTTTGGACCGGCAACGGCCGTTGTGCCACCATCTCCCACTGGACCGGTGAATCCGTCACAGACAGTAGATGTGCCCAGTCACCCGGTTGAAACAGATCCAAGCCAGCCAGCTTCAACTGTTCAGAGTCCGCCTGTACAAACAGGTCCGATTCAAACCACAGGATCAGTCCAATCTCAAAGTCAGGATGGCAGCTCAGGGCCAGCTCGGAGTACTCACGGCCCCGTTGACTCGGAGACAACGGTTGCAGCCTCTCCATCCATGACCCTGGCTACCACAAGTACTGCGTCAAGCGCAGCCGGCACGTCGACTTCAGGAGCCAGTGGGGCTGAATCTGCTCCAACAGCAGCCTCGACCGCTCCAACGTCAACCTCCATCCCAGATGCGCCACCAGCTCCTCTGGCTGACGATGAAGATCGGTCAAGAGCGCAGAAGATTGGCATTGGCCTCGGAGTCCCGTTAGGCATCCTTGGAGCTGCAGCCCTTCTCTTTGGATGTTGTACGCTCCTAAGACGACACCGCCGCAAGAAAGTCGATGGGTCCATTCCCCCCTCATCCCCAGGCTTCATCCCTCGTTTCGCCTTCCAAGAGGAACCAGTTCGACAAGAACCAGACGAACGTCTTCTCAATCCCAACTCTAGCACATCATTCTCAGATCTACACAACATGACCTGGGACGACGAACCGATACACGACACCTCCAGCAGCGGAGAATCAATGCCTACGCTCAATAACAACATAGTCCCCGCGAACAACCCCTATCAGATACCCCAACCACCAACACAGCCCGTCGTGGCTCCCGCTCTCCTCCACACCCACAGCTCAAATCGCGCTCGCGGAAGGCGAACAAGCTACACAAGCCTCCATTCCGTCACCGAAGTCTCCGAACCAGACGAAGGCGGCACATATGTTGAATCTCCCATCCTCCCACGCGAAGGTCTACCAAGACATCCTCAGGCTGTGAAACGACATTTTCCGCCACATGGGCTCATCCCCACGCCTCCCGTCCCAGGGGGTTCACAAATCAAACGCAAGCCTCTGAGGACGGGAAGTGTAGTCGAGACGACTCCGCCGAATAATCCGGCCGCACATGCAGCATCTCAGCCCCTGCTACATCAGACGATGATGGCGGAGCGGAACCGACCTCACCGACCACATCTAGCGACACAAATGGCGCAGCAGCAACATCGACGGCGGAGCTCAAGTAGCTCTGCTTCCCCATACGTCTCTCCCTTCGAAGAGTATAGTCCACGAAACCCCTTCCTCGGCGATGAAGAAGACTATCGTTCGGAATACGCCCACCAGAGATTCGCTGCCCCTAATTCCATTCCCAATCCTCAGATCTCTCACACACAGGCATCTCACATTGACGACTTTATCGATATCTCTGATGGCCTGTATGGTGGAGACACCAGTCTCTCAAGGTATCCCTCGTTGAAAGCGTCGTCGCCGAGGACGGACTGCCCGTTGAGAAGAAACTGGGCCGGCGGTGGGCATAGACGGAATAAGAGTCCGATATGGGATCAGATTTAAGAGAGCAGAAGACGATACGATTGATCGGAAAGGATCATAAGACTTTCTTTTGTGTACGGATCATGTGTTATGATGTGCTATATAGATTCACGGGTGCATTTATGGTCTTACGAAGCACATCGGAGATTGCTACGAGCAAAACAAAGACCATGTATCAAAAGTAATCAATACACCGGCAAAAACCCCACACGCTTCATCAACCTTTCTGCCAAAAGGGAGATCCATGCCTTCGTAGAGCAGAATCTATCATGGATGGTTCGTTACTCATAACTCATTAATCATGAATCGTCATCATCGCACCATAGCACCCTGCTACACGTACAAAGCAGTAACCAGAAGCAAGCAAACCAGTGACAAAGAAGTGGACAAGCAAGCCATGTCCTCTAGAGGCAGATGTCATCCCACCAACTCCTCGACCACTCACTACACCCTAAAACCTGTCCTCATCATCGCGCCTGGAGCGCCTGGAGCTGCGCCTCCTCCTAGCTGAGGAGCGGCGATGATCGGCCTCAGAATCGCTGCTGTAACTGTCGTAGTGATCCGAATAATCATGTCTATGCCGGTCACGGGACGGTGAGCGCGAGTAATCGTCTCGTTTCCTGCTGCGGCTGCGGTGTCGGTCGCCAGGTGGTGAGGCTCCGCGAGCGGCTTTCTTTCTGCCAAAGGAAGAGATATCAGTAAAGTGTCCCAGAAGTGGAAGTCAAGGCTGATCTCCTCAACACACACGGTTCCGACTCCACATATCTAACTTACTTTTCACGTCTCTTCTCCAACTCACTGCCCCCAAATCCAACAATCGCCGCACCTACAAGCGTGCTCAGCGTCCCCTTTCCCACAGCTCTACCTGCAAGACCTCCTGCCAACGCACCTCCCACCGAAGCGGTCAAATGCTTATCATGCAAGCGATCACGCAAGTCGAGGTGCTCGAACCTTTCGCGAAGTTTGTCAGCAACCCGACCGCGACTGCGGCCACGGCGGTGTCCAGCTGACTTTGCCCTGTGACGCTTTCCATCATCGTGATCGTGACGATGGCGCCGCGAAGATGAGTTGCTGTCATGACGACTCGGCGGCTCGTAGTAGGGGGTGAGTTGGTTGTCTTCGTACGAGGTTATGGAAGGCTGAGAGCGGGACCGGTGCCGGTAGAGCGGTGGTGGGGAAGGGTAAGAGTTGCCGGGCGCTTTGTAAGGTGCTGGCTGGGGGCTGTATGCCTCTGGGACAGGCGGCTCGTACTCGCGGGGTTGGTAGAGGTTGTAGTCTGCGCCGGGTGGAGGAATCGGAGAGGGGGAGTAGCCTGCGGGTGTGTACCGTGCCTGGGCGGTTGAAGGGTGAAGCGCTGAGGGCTGAGGGGTGTTAGTAACGGACCACTAGGAGAAAGACGAGGAGAGTCGTTAATTACCTGAGGCGCATACCCGTACTCGGGCCTGGCCGACGAGCGTCGGCCGTACTCGTTCCCCATGGGTGGAGCATAGTCTGCCGGGTTGTATGGCTTGTACTCGGAGGCTGGAGGGGGAGGAAATTGCGGCGCACGCTCTGAGCGATCCATGTCGTATACGTCGTCGAAGTCACTGCTTCGTTGTATTCCTCCGTCTCTACCACGGCCGTAGTTTATCTCGCGGCTCGGGCTCTGTCCAACGCTCTTGGCACGGCGCCGACGCTGTCTGTCCCTATACTCGCGCTCGTGGTCTGTATCGTCGTACGCGCTGAAATCGGAGTAATCGGTTGGAGGGTTTGTATCTCTGTGGGCTCGTCGCTCTTCACTGCTGCTATGTGGCAGTTCCCGCCTCGTTCGACCGTCTCTGTTCTTGTGCTTCGCCTTCTTCTTGTCAGCGGGCGTAAAGAAGCCACCTGGAAGCTTTTCCCAGAAGCGATCTGGTATGTGGTCTGCGCCGTAATCGATTGCTTTGAAGGCGAGGAGGGCCATGTTGCAGTGCTAGGGTTGGCGGGGCTCAAAACCGGGTCAGAACACGGACGAGGGGTTGGTTGCAAGGCTGACGTCGAGGGTCCAACGCCGGCGCAGGGCGAAGTGTGATTGGTGGCCTGATGAGAGATAGTTGCGGAGGTTGAGTGACGGCGGAGAGAGGATAATAGACCGCTTCAAGAAAAGAATCAATTGAGGAATGATGAAATGTGGTGGTGTTGTGGTGAGAGGTTGTCGTGATGGAAAGCGCGGTTGAGAATATTCGAGGAGCAGACCACCTGTTAGGAGAAGCTTCCAGGCTCGATTTGAGATTGTGGAAAGAAAAGAAGGAAATAAGTGTGCCTTTTGGATTTCTCTGCTTTTCTTGGACCCAGCCACGCTTCGCTGGCAGGAATGCCCAAATGATTGCGTTGGATAGTTCTCCCAGATGGGTCACGCTGCACCAACCGTACCTTTACTATGATGTCATAGATCCATTCGTCGCTAACTATCAATAAGCCGGGCCTTGAACTAAACAGTGCTGTGGTACTACTGTATGGCAGAGGGCCCTGCGTTGAGAATCCACTTGTCATCAGTCATCGAGGAGATGATGCATGCAGCTCGATGGCGCGAATCCGATCGGCGTCTGTACATGCGATTCAAGCCTACGGCCCCGAGTGACTGTTGTGCTGCGGCATGACGAAGTGGACACAGGACAGATCCGGTGCTGCTTGCTGTAGGACACCAACGTCGAGGTTGCGAGTACAGGAGCAGCAGAATTCAATAAATAGCTCCTTGAGGAACTGTCTCAGGACGACTAGGGAATTTAGGTGCCCTTAGTATTCCTCACCGGTGCCCGGCCCGGCCCTTCTCTCACGCCGCTCAGGGGCACATTGGCCAGGTACAGACAGGCTCGAACGGATATGTCGGATGACGAATTGATATAAATGCCGTGGACTATCTATAGTTGGGCACCACGAGGCCTCTGAAGTCTGTTAGCTACTAGTTCGTTTGTGCAATGTCGGTGTGGTTTTGAGGAGTTTGTTAGATGGGCGGATGCACTTGTGCAGATACTTGTGATAGAGGCTGGGATTTTGAGAAAGTGTTATTCGTCTATATCATCCGCAGAAGAACCTAGCCAGATTATGACGATCTAATAGCATTCTGGCAGCTGGTGCTTCCGCCGAAAGCATCTGCATAATGCAAGGAGCCGAAGAGCTTTCTCCCCCTGCCAATAACCTGAGCAAAAGAGAGGAAATTGGTCGCTGGCAGATTGCAAAAAGTGCAGAAACACATTTTGCCGTCGCAGAACCACGAAGGTAGAAGAAAATAATTAAAAGGGAAGATGAAGAAGTGAAAAATAAAGCGAAGAAAGCGAAGAAAGCGACCGTGAAGGAACACAGTCGGGAAATTCCGTGGCTCCCCTTCAGAGAACTCGACATCGGACGCCGTATACATCTCAGTCCAACTCAATTGTCTTACCCCCATATTCACGCCAGAATTGCTCCTCTATCTGCTTTTGCTGAGTCGCCGGGCTGTCCTGTTTAATTCTTTTACGCCTCTCAGACGCTCCATCATCGTCGTCAGCTCCGCCGTCGACGAAGAGACCGAAGCCAGCAGCAGCCCTCTTTTTCACCCTTCGATCCGGCCTCGCTTCGATCCGAGGCACAGCACCAAAGAGCCGGAGCCTCTTCTTTGGTACGATCGAACGCCGTAGACGGTTCAGATAGCGGAAGTTATTCTCCCCAGAGGAAGGCCCCGACGAAGACGAGGAAGCCAAATTCTCAGACGAGAACGGCGAAGAAGGCGACGAAGCTGCGGAAGAACTGTTCAGATCGATGCCTTTGGCGGTAAGAGTCTCATAAAGGTCGAGTATATCTTCTTCCTTGTCAATAAGGCCATGATCAAATGCTTCCAGTGTCTGTGCCGCTGACAGGAGCACTAGCTCGGCCATTATGGGCGGAAATGCGTTCCCCACTTGTCGCATTGCCTGTGTCTTTGATCCAGCCAGATAGAAGTCTAGGTCGAACCCTTGCAAGCACGAGGCCTCTCGAGGCGTGAAACGGCGGGTCCCGTCGAAATAGAGAGCAGCAGGCCCTCCACTGGCGGTGATACACTTCATCATGGGTCCTTCTCTTGGATTATACGGAATTCCGTTGACGCGCTTTTCTTCCCACGGTTGGTGGTAGTGATCGCGGGTGCCCGGTGGAAGCTGCCGAATCGGCGCCAGCGCATCCCAGATGGACACCAGCGGTTTTAATCCACTCCCAAAGGGTCCATGGGTTGGTCGAGGGAACGGAGGCAAGGGAATGCCCCGCTTTGCGGCGAGCAGGAGCAGGCGCGTCCGACGCTGGGGGAGCCCAAATTCTGCAAAGTTCTCAACAGTGTAACGAACATTGTAACCCTCATTAAGAAGCTGATGGATTAAGAACCGCCAATATAATCTGTGCTTTTTGAATCGGATCAAGCCTGGTGTCTGTTCAAGCGACACTATTCTTGGCTTTAGGATCTTGATAGCAGGTCCCACCGTGTAGAGCGCTTCAACGTTTTTCTGGTCGTTTTGCCCGGGACAAGTACTGCTCAATGTTAGCAACGAAGCTGAGGTGTTTGCGGCACACTTACTGGGCGCCCGACCAGAACTGACACGGGCAACTGAGATTGAGGATGTCCACATAGAAGTTCTTCCTCGTCATATATGTGGGCAATTCGTGAATATCGATCTCTATAGCAGATGCGTCGGGAAAGTTGAGTTCATATGCTTCCAAAACCGTCTTGTCATTATCTGCTCCCCAGAGCACCTTGAGTCCAGCGTTGGAGGCACCCTTGGAGGCGCCACCAGCCCCGCAGAAACAATCTCCGAATCTATATCTTCTAGATTTTTGTGGTAACTGCGGGCGCTCTGATATGGGGTCGGAGTCGAGGATTTCGACCGATGACGAATGTCGATGATGCTTCCCAGCAGCTGACGTCGAAGCTTTCGTATCGTCGCATTCTTCTTCATATAAGCTTCTAACCTCCCCCGTGTATGTAGCCTTGCCCTTATGCACGAAGACCTTGTTCAGGTATCTGCATACGAGCCTTCCGTGCTCATAGATCCAATCACGGGCCTCCTCGTTTTTACGAATACTGGTCGGTATTTCTGGTTTGATGTCACGGAAACTGAGGGATGGGTATGGCCTATTGGTTAGAACACACTCGCGCTTCCGGGATACGTGATCGAGTGCTAAATCCTGCAGGCCTTGGTCTGAGTGCCGCCTCTCGTCGTTTTGCCTAACCTCCCAGTTCATGAATAGCTCATTGAGGTGTCCTTAGGGAGAGTTAGTTGCATTGCTGTTGGTAGGATACGCGCTGACTTACTGTCAAATTGCGGTGCCAGATGCTTTGTTCTTCTCATTGCGTAACCCCGCAGCTTCACCTCGCCCGTCTCCAGAACTTCAATGACCTTTTCAACCCTCAAGAAGTCTCCGGCACGTAGAGTACTGTCACTAGATGCATTTTTCATTTCCACTGTATCTCCGGGCTTGATCCGGCCGCAGCCGTGGTGGTCGATATGCGGGACTTCTATTTCCTCGGGGAACGATTCGGTTGGTGTCGTGGGCGTCTCATCCAGTGAATCTTCATCGTCTTGAATCTCGATATACGAGATTTGATCTGGAGTCTCATTCTCTTCAGGCTCTGTAGCATGGTAGTTAGTTGAGATGTCGCCGCTGACGGACAGCAAAAGAATACTCACCATATCCGAAAACGTCATGTTCCTCGTCGTAACCCTCTCCGTCGTCACTAATCAGGTCCACAACTTCGATACCGGGCATGTTGTTGGAGTATAGCGGCTGGTGCGAGAAGCGACAGAGATGCCGACAGGCGGAAAGGAAGTATAGAGAGAAGCAATTAGGTTGATGACCGGAGACGACCAGAAAGGAGGTGGAAAATGCGAGGCGGAGGAGAAGAGTGCTGTAGGAGAGAGAGGGAAAATAGAAAGAGAAGGGCGAGGAGATGTATCGGCTCGTAGTGGCAGCAAACGCTTAGCTCTCACCGCCTGCAACAGGTGAAGTTGAGAACAAGAGAGACGACAGCGGCTAGCTTGACAGCAATCAGGCGGTGAAGATGAGATAACGAAGGGAGAAAATTGGTGACTGGTGAAAAGTGAGAGAACAGAGTAGAGAAATTAGTACTTGGTGAAGATGAGCCTAACGAAAGGACAAGATTAGTCCAGGTGAAAGTGAGAGAACGAGATGATGAGATTGGTACCTGGTGAAGGTGAAACCTTCAAAGTCGTGGGCGGGAAAGCCGAACAGATAGGGCTTCAGTCATGGCGTGGAGTGGAAAAGACACTGTAGAAAGTCAAGCAGATGATTTTATCGCCGGGGCTATTGACACAACGGATGTATTTGAAGTGGTCCCAGATGGTGAATTGGTAGGCTTGAATATTTGCCTTCAAAGCTCATCGGTGAGCGGTCGCAGAGCTCACTTTTGCACTTCAGCAGGCCGACCGTAGATAGTGGCTCGTATCCGCCAATCCGCCCATCTTAAGCGGTCACCGTATGGTCCTCTCTACAAACTCCTTCTCTAGCCGTCCGACTTCCCTCTTGAAAGTCTCTACCTCTTGCCAGCAGTCAAGCGGCCGCCTGTCATTCAGCCTCAGGCAAGTAATGACGTCTTCTTTCGCCTTATTCAGCGCCGGATCCACCTGTTCCAGCTTCTTCCTCGCTTCCAATTTCTTCTTCAGCGCCTCAATCTCCTTTGTCACAACATCGCGGCTCATGTCCTTCTGTCTTTGCTTTTCGGAAAGTGTCGCTGAGCTAGAGGTCGCATCGCTCAACTTCTCAGCCAACGACGGCTCGGGCGGCTCTTCTGGTTCGCTTGACACGGTATCGTACAGCTTCGCGAGTTTCTCGGCCTCTTGGTTACGCAGTTTCTCGAGCTCGGAGGTGAGGCGGAGTTGGTATTGCAACTCATGCTGTTTCGCTCTCACAGAGTCGGTCTGAAGGTCAATTCCATCAGCGTGGATCCAATGGCGCATGAATATGTCTTACATGTGTGTTCTTTTGCAATGAGTCTACTAGTGTACCGGAGAGGCGGACAGGTGCATCACTGCGCGCAAGTTCATGTCAGTCATGATATCATATCAGAAAACCATTGCGTCCGGAAACCGCAACTTACGCAGAGAAGACATGCTCAGTGATGTCCCCTGTCGGTTTGGAATTCCCCGACCCCATGATTGCTGTGCGGAATGACAAAAGTGCTCGCTTTAAGGTTGTTGGAGCTTCCGATATCACAAACCTAGGCCTTGGCAGAGCGCAAGCGCGCTAAATCGAAACGGGATAGACCGCGTTGGCTCCCCTGGGCTTCAACACCATCTTTTCTTCGTGAGCGCAACACAGATATATCCTCAATTCCTGGACAGCATCCCGACATACTGCCTGACGGTGAAAACCGTTTCCTAGATTAAAGACTCATTGGTTGCGTAACGACAGAACAACTCTACGACCATAGCCTGGGTCAGCATGCTTCAGTCATCCATCACGGCATGGCTTAAGAAGCCTGCATCTATCACGAAGGCCGAACCAACAGGGACTAACAATGCTTTGGAAGCTCTTACAAAAGCGGCGGAAGTCCTATCTCGGCCGCATTCTGGATTGGACCCTCCGGGGGTTGCCTCAAATCAGGTTGGACCGGATCATCCTTCAATATCAAATGCGTTCACCCTCAAGCCACTGCCACCAAATGTCGAACTTGTACCCTTAACGGAGGAACTTATGCCTTCATTTAAGCGGCTGAATTCCCTACTATTACCAATACCATATCCAGCGCACTTTTACGCTGAAACGATGACCGAACCACATCATAGTGTGACTCTCATGGCAGTCTGGCATGCAACGCCTTTGAATGAGGATAACACATCCTCCGATCAGAAGCCCCAGTTGGTTGGAGCCATTCGTTGCCGGGTCCTTCCTGCGAACAACCTCTACATCTCCACCATTGGTCTGCTTGCCCCTTTTCGCTCACATGGCATCGCGACGCACCTGCTGCAGCGCATTGCAGCGAAAGCAGCGCAAGAGCATGGGGTCAAGTACATCACAGCCCATGTGTGGGAAGCCAACGAAGATGGTTTGGAGTGGTACAAGAAGAGAGGTTTCGAGGTGATTGGGAGAGAAGAGCAGTATTATAGGAAACTCAAGCCGTCTGGAGCAGTATTGGTGAAGAGACCTGTTGGAGTCGGCGACTTGCTTGGTAGCTTGGATGCCCGTAATGCGGTTAACAAATGAAAGGGAAGAGCTTGGATCTTTGTTGCGGGGTTGTACGGGACTTCGTTGCCGCAGAACTCCGCCGGAGTTAGCCAGAATGACTCCAGGTGGGCCTGGAATCACTATGCAATGCTTTGCAGGAAGCACTACTCCCAACCACATGGGCAAAGGATATGTCAAAGCATGCGCAACACGGCGCCAAGGAATACCGCAGAACCTCTGAGTTTGGTCTCGACCGGGGAGGTTTTCTCGGAACAGGGCCATGCACATTATGGGATCGCTCGACAGCTGCAAAGAGCAAGGCGAGGAAGTATGGAGGCAGGTGACAGGTCTCGAAAATGGGCCTTCCTCACTGCATTCTGACAATACCCACATTATGCCATGCTATAGAAGAGCATTTCAGACACCAAGCTTCCTCTGGGTCAGCCCATCCTCAATTCTCCGTTGAGAGACCAGTTTTTGAAGGAATCTTTCGTCAATATCGTTCCACATGGAGGCGGGGCGGACCGTTGGCACAAATCTCCGTTACCGGTAGCTATCGCTACTCACAGGCTGTACCCCTATCTTTCTTCGACATACATATGATAGCATAACGGAACGAGGAAGTGGAGGGCTGAGCGCATTGGTGATGCCTTGCAGCAATTGGATGGCAACAAAGTTCAGTGAACAGCCCTACCGCTGAACTCCGCGATGCCGCTCTGCCGCATGGTGAAAAGATGATGGTATTCATCAGTGGCGCCATGGTCTGAAAAGAAACGTGCTGAGCGATTTTACTGAAACGATGCCATGCTGAGCGGTGTTTCCAAGCTACCAATTCAAACATATGAGCGTCATCCTCGAGGAGTAGCAGATGAAGAGAGGAATTCTTGCGGATACTCCAATTGGGAACGATTGCCGTACGTTATCCTTCATATCTTATATTTACACCGTGGTCCAATCCCAGATCGTGTCGTCGTGCTGAGGGATATCATGCTCAGTGAGAATGGTACTCACCAGCAACACCTTGGAACAATCAAAAACGACAAGACATGCCACAGACTTGTATCAAGCCCACAACAAGAGCGGGATTAGCACATTAAAGGCATTTGAGAAGTTTCAAAGGACAGGGAACCCAATGCCTTGCATTTTATGAGACAGGTGATAGATGTGCGATGAGAGAACTTGCAGTGCGCCTGGCATGCTTAGGAGCCCGGTGTGAGCGTTGTGTAAGGACGAAAGAAGCGAAGGCAGGATATGGGTCCACTTAGATACGTTTACTTATATACCCCTCTATCAAGGTGAGCTTTGCTAGACATGCATACCGCGCATCTCTCGTAGTCCGTTTGTTTTGTATAGTAGGGAGAAAATCTATCGGGCTGCTTTAACCTCACTCTCCATCGATTAAGCGGGCTGGAGATCAGGTGTATAGGTTGCCTAAAAATCCATATCTCGTGTTGCCCTCCGGAATCACTGATTGTATCAGCTTGATATCTGTTCCGAGCAGCCCTTTGCTCTCTATCCAATCCTCGTACATTCATCTGCTGAGCTAGTGTGACTCGCGTAGGTTGTCTGTTACTTTAGTCATGATATATACACACACTTTTCACCATGCTAAACTCATCTAATCTTTTCATTCATCAATTCTTCTATCTCTAATGCACCTTGAGGCGAACACCAGCGCCCACTAGTGCCTAAGATTCAATGGGTATCACAAGGACCCACGACAACCAAGACCATCACCAAGAATCGTTCCTCCACGTAACCGCCAACCCCAGCCCTGAACGTAATAGCCCAATAAGTGACCATCATCTCGAGTCGAACTTCACCCAGAACCGTCTAATTGAATCCCTCACATCATCAAAAAAGGAGAGGAGAAGGCAGAGCCACATCCTCCTCACATAACAATGCAATTCTCATCATGCTGTTTCGGATTCGTCCTGCTCAGCCTCTCTCGACTGCGCTGAACCTTCGGCCCCCCCTTCTTCAGCTCCTCGAGCCTCTCCTGCGCCTTGGGGAACTTGTACGCTAGATAAGGCATCAGCAGCTGTCCAGCAAATATTTGGATGGAGCATCATCTTCGGACTCACCAGCAGCACGACCATACCACCTCTTCGCCTCCTCCAAACTCCTCGGACACCCGATCCCCACCTCGGTGAAATACCCCATGGCGAACAACGCCTTGGGTAACGGCGGCTCCGCACACGCCGCCTTCCGCGCCCACAGGTAAGCTTCTGTATCGCTCTGCTCCAAGATCCCCTGAGACCCCGTCAAATACCACCCGCTCAGCGCCAACTCGGACTGATGTTCCTCCTGGCTGGCTGCGCGTGTATACCACGCGATGCTCGAGCGCGCATCGATGGGTAAGCCGAGTAACCCGTACTCGTATGCCTGGCCCAGGCGGAATTGGCTGAACTTGTATCCCAGTTCGGCGGCTTGCATGAAGAGCTGCGCGGCGTATGCTTCGTCGCGGATGATGCGCTCGTTGCCGGTTTGCGCCTCATACAGCAGCGCCAGTTCGTGCAGGGCGTGCGGGTTATCTGGGTCTGCACGGTCGGCGGCCCGTTTGAGCATGTTGATCGCTTCGCCGAGGTTTTTCTGCTGGCCGAGCAGGCCCTTGAGGAGGATCATGCCCATCTTGTACATGGCTGCCGTGTCTCCGAGCGCTGCGGCGCGGCGGTACCACTGCACTGCTTTGAGCGGGTCCCTCTTCGTGCCGCCGCCTTCCTCGTGGCCCATTTCGCAGCACACGGCGGTGCGGTATGCGGCTGCTGCGTGGCCCCCTTTAGCGGCGGACTGGTACAAACTGAAAGCTTCCTTGGTGTCGACTTGCAGGCCGAGACGCCCGCAGCCGTAGCAATCGGCCAGGTAGAACATAGCTTCCGCGTAGCCGCTGTGGACGAGCTTCTTAACGATTTTGTGCGCTTCCATGACGAACTTCTCGCGGTTTTTGTTGCGGGTTCGGTTGTCTGCCGTGCCGCCTTCATCGGCGAGGACGCTTGCGGCTTCGACGAGTCTCTTTGCGAGTTGGAGACCTGTTGCGTGGTCTGAAGGATTGGCTCTCCATGTGTTACGGAGGCGGTTGAGTTCGTCGTGGGTTACGGGATGAGGCACGGAGGCACGACGTTCAGGCGGCCCCATGGACGACTGAGAGTTCCTATATCCACCCGGTGTTGGATCCGTGTGATATTGTCGGATAGGTGGCGGTCTCGTTGACTGAGGCGACGCCGACCGTTCTTGGCCTTGTTGCATTAAGCCGGGTCGCACAGGGACTGGATGTGCAGGTAGGGCATCTGGATTTGTAGATGCGGGCTGAGTCGTCCCAGGTCGACGTGGGATCGGATCTTGAGGCATTCGACCAGGAGCAGGCGCTGCAGTGCCAGGACGCGGAATGAGAGTGCCGGCCATTGGGGAGCCATTTCGCATTGCGTACGCGCCGGGTTCGGAATACGCAGACTGATCGGAATAGTTCCTCTGCATTGGAGGCTGCTGTTGCTGGTACCTGGGATCGTAGTTTGGCTGCTGTCCTCGACCATATCCCTGATCCGATGGGGCGTGTTCAGGTACTGTGCCCATGGTCATTGCTCGCGGAGGTGGGCCCCTGCCTCGTGGACCACTGGGTAAGCCGACAGGAACTTGCTGCATGGTGTTTGCTCTGGGAAGCGGAGGCATATCGGGCGCATCAGCAGCCATGGCATAGGCGCCGTTCGCTGAGTATTGTCCATGGAGATCGGGTTGGGATCTACTTCTAGCCGCCTGTTGGGAGAAACTGTTTTGCCTTTCATCGGAGCTTGGGGTTGGCCCGGCTGTTGCGGGAGGTACAGACTGCGTAGCTGGCACCGAGGCCGCTGGAGAAAGATGATTTTCGAATGAATAGCCTCGACGATGCCTAGTGGCCGACTCCTCTGGTATGGCGTCAAAGTTTGGCATATCGATAGAAGTAGCCTTGCTCATTCGGTCAGCCACGGGACTCTCGCCGTAATAGTCATCATAGAAATTGTCCAAATCGCCCTGCCCATCATCTTGCGCCTGTTGATATTGCTGATTTGGTTGCTGAGGCTGCTGTTGGGTACGGATTTGGGGTACAGGAGGAGGTTGCTGATACTGTTGCTGTCCAGCAGGACTGTCGCCTTTGGTACCAGAAGCCGTGGCTGGGCGAGGCGGAATGTATGCCTGTTCTTGTGGACCATGATACCCGGCTACTGACCCTGGCTCCATCCATTGTTGCTGGTTGTCTTGCTGAGTATCGTACTGATAACCTCGGTCGTTGACCCCCGTAGACGTGTTATGCGGCATCGTGACGGATCGCTGAGGAGCGGAAAAGCCCTGCCGTGTAGGGGAAGCGGGATTGAGATCTGGTCCAGAGCGACCATCAGGTCCTCCCATATTCATTGGCGGCGGTCGCTGCTGGGGGTAGCCACGAGAAGGGGATTGCTGGAAGCGATCCTGACCCTCGAAATGACCCGAGTCCTGCCTCTGTGCGTCTGGGTCCGCATACCCTCCACCTCTCCCAGGCGGCAATCCTCTCCGCTGTGGCGGGCCAGCGGGTCCTCTTCCACTGCCCTGCGCAGGCCCTGTTCTTTGCCGCTCGTCTTCCTTGGCCCCAATGCTCATGAGCGCCATAGCCTCATCCATCGATCCTGCATTCGGACGTGGTTTGCCCTTGCTTGTGGGAAACGTAGGGAATGGGCTATCTTGGGGGAGTTTCTGCGGAGACACGGGGGACATGGCGGCCCGTTCGGTTCCTGCTCCTGGTAAGCTTCACAACTTTCAAAAAGTATGGGAACTTGGAGTCTCATACTGGGTGGTCTCAATACTGGCTGTCCTTGCTGCTGGGGATTGGGAGGTCGTCCCTGGGGACGTTGCATACCGGGTCCCTGCATCGGTCCGCCTCGAGGCGCCATGGGACCCCTCATGGGACCTCGTCCTTGCGGAGGGGGTTGTGGTTGTCCTTGGTGCATGTCCTGCGCATAGGGATCCCGAGGCTGCCCTCTGCCACCTGGTGGAGCTTGTGCGGTGCGCTGACGCTGTTCCGGATATCCCCCTTGTTGTTGCGAGTAGCCGCCCGCATTCCCCCAGTTCTGCTGTTGTTGGTCATAATATCCATTGTCATACTGCTCATAGTGTCCTTGGTCATAGCCGTAGCGGTCGTCGTACTGGTAGTCGTAGTGGTCGTCGTAGCCGGTATGCTGGTGGCCAGCGTCGATGGGTTCTTGGTGGTAGTACTGCTGCGGACCCGGTTGCTGAGCGTTGTTGTATCGTGGGTAAGCCATGGCGCTCGGGATGCGGTGGATTGTCGAAGCCACAGGCCCCCTATCCAGCCCAATGACGTGTTCAGGATCCCGATTGTGGGCGGGGCGCCATCAACAGGGAGTGTTGCGGCGATTGATAAGGCGCGGACTCGCACTGGGCGACGGATGTGGGAAATCTGGGGAAGGGGAATGGAAAAGGGTTTTGCGAGATTGCGCGTTATTTCACTGCCAAGGGAACGCGTCGAGATTAACGAAGGGGCTTGATATTAAAATACGGGTTGGCCAGCAGCGCCGTACAGGTGAGCGTAAGGAGGGGTTTCGGATTGTCGAGACTCTTTGTGGACCGCCTGACCCAGGAGAAAGAGAACTAGGCCGGCTTCGCGCCTCGGATCCGTGCTGAAATAACAGTAGGACGCCCCGTTGGCTTTACATGGGAGGCAATGAATGTATGCGAGTTGGCCGGTAGGCTGGGTGAAAGGAAGCACAGAGTAGTAGTACTGTGTACTGTATACTGTGTGAGGCACGGTGGATTCATGTACACCGGTCCCCAGGGAGTCTTGCCCAAGCAAAAATAATATTGGGCCAGTCAGCTCCAACGGACCTACTACCTACTAGCCAATGACCTTGTTATTACTCTGGACTCGGCTATACAATAACCATCAGTATCTGTACGACGCTGAAGGTGTTGGACAAGTGACGGCAGGTAAAGTCATGCAGGGCTTGGGAGACGTTTCATCCGCAGCTGGCTTGACGAATCCGCGTCCAAAAAATATGCAAAATGGCGAGGCAACCTTGGAATGGCGGCCAGAGCCGCTGACGATCCATCAGATTATTAGATTGATGCTGACCTCGGGATGCAGGGACAGCCACGTGCCATACACTGTACTTTCCAAGGTCCTGAAGTGAACACACCGCCACTGTGGCTGTGATGGCTTAGTCACCATGATTGCGTCGTTGCTTCACGGAGAGTTTGACTTCCGAGACATGGAGCTCAGGACGACGAGCTGAGAACCGACTGATCCTGACACTTCACGGGTCGCAGCTGACAGAAAAGACTACGCATTTGTTATTCTTCTCCCATCGGCTTTAAGATATGCCTGGTCCAGGGGCCAGGACGTATCTCAAGGCCCTCGCAGCGTTCGTTATTCACTACTTTCTGCCCTGGCAGTATTGACTATTCAATAGAGGTGCTGTCCTTTGCATTGGGGGCCCTATGCTCGTCAACTATGTTACTCCCACCGAGGAGGAGATCTTCAAGGTACTGATATCCATGCATCCCACGCGTCCGTAATCGCTTTGGCAATTCCCACTGTGCGCGGCAATGCGCCGGCTGTAGTTTCCATGCGCCGAACCGTCATTCGCTGACGACTTCCTCAGAAGTACAATCCAGAGTTGCAGAAGCGTGCGCTGGAAACAAGGGAGCAGAGACAGCAGGAATTTGACGACTTTGTTATGAAGTTGAAGGAAGCAAGCAAGTCAAATAAGCCGAGTATGCATACATGCTTTTCCTCTCTGAACTTTCCAAGCTCACATGTTGTAGTCTGGGGCCAATTGAAGGAGATTGAGAGGAAGGAGGCCCAGGAGAGATCACAGCGCTCGAGAGACGAACAGGCCAGCTTGGAGGCCGAGGCTAAGAAGAGAAGAGCAGAGATTAGGTCGAGTGCTTAAGAAAAAAGAGTGGTCATTATGCATTCGAATGTATCATATTCACTTCCACTCTGGATGGGGCTTTTGGCGTTGGGTTGGCGTGCAGGCACTGTTATGAAAGCATATGTTCTACTGTAAGGTCCTATGAATATAAAATCCCGAAAAGAAGCATCATTTGCATTCTGAGATAACATCAGGAGTCGTATTGCCTTCATCAAGCCGCCTCCATTCTGTATACGTAAGTAGTCTACCATCACGTGACCGCGTGATGGGCGCGATGCTAGCCCCACCCATAGTCAAGGTACAGAGTGGACACTAACCCTCCGTCATCCAACGACACCCACACCGATGACCAACGATGAGAGAGCCCCCGTGAAGCTTTCCCTTCCCCTTGTATGCAGATCATTGTTCTCCCGCCTAGGATGAGATTAACAATGACAGGAATTCCAACAGGACATATTCAAGGAACTTCGAGAGGAAGATGAACTCGTCATCATCGCTCGCGGGCTGGGCCTCCTGCGCATCGTCACGAACCTCCTCCACTCCTACGATGCCGCTGGGAATAATTTGATACTGCTGATTGGGGCTGACGATCGTGAAAATGTCTGGATTGGCGAGGCTTTGGCTGAGCATGCCGCCATTAGCATGTCCCCTAGGGCGCGTGGACTCAGTCTGGTCAATACCGATCTGATGAGCGTGGGAACGCGTGAGAAGATGTATGCCCAAGGAGGCATCTTCAGCATAACGTCGCGGATATTGATCGTCGACTTTCTATCCGGACTGCTGAACCCAGAAACCGTCTCCGGGGTCGTGGTTCTGCATGCCGAAAAGGTCATCGCAACCTCCCTCGAGGCCTTCATTTTACGCATATACAGACAGAAGAACAAGGCAGGCTTCTTGAAAGCCTTCTCTGACAGTCCTGAGCCTTTCACGACCGGTTTCACCCCGTTGACTAATATGATGAAGAATTTGTTTCTCCAGAAGCCCGCCCTGTATCCGCGCTTCCATGTCACCGTCGCAAAGTCACTAGAGGGGCGAAAGAAGGCCGAAGTAATTGAGCTGGAAGTGCCAATGACAGACACAATGCGCGATATCCAGAACGCGGTACTGGAGTGTGTAGAGGCGAGCATAAGTGAGCTTCGGAAGAACAACACGGGTATCGAGATGGAAGACTGGACGCTGGACAGCGCTCTTCACAGAAACTTCGACACTATCATACGAAGACAACTTGATCCAGTATGGCACCGGACAAGTTTCAAAACCCGACAGGTTGTTCGTGATCTCACATTGCTTCGAACCATTCTTCATGCGCTGCTGTCCTACGACTCGGTGGATTTCAATAGGTATCTCGATACCGTTCTCGCTGCCTCTCAACCACCTCCTGGCTCTACGAGGCAGAACCAGTCGCCCTGGCTCTTCCTCGATGCCGCCAACACCATATTCACAACTGCGAAACGAAGAGTCTATACTGGCAAAGTCTCTAATGCTTCAATCACAGACTTGAATTCCGTTCCGGACTCGCTAGAGCCGGTTCTGGAGGAGCTTCCCAAGTGGGCCCAGCTTGCAGAGATTTTGCAAGAGATCGAGCAGGACGCATATTTCAACCCGGTGGTCCATGACAGCTCGAATGGCTCCATCTTGATCATGTGTGGCGACCAGGCCACTTGTCGTCAATTGCGGGAGTATCTACAGACTATGTATGTGAGGCCTGCAGGCGCCGAGCAGAAGGAGGATGTTGAGGAAGGCCCGTCGGCTTCTTACATGATGCGTCGTAAATTGCGGAACTACCTCTCCTGGAAGAGCAGTTTTTCTAAAGTGAGCGCTGCGCTCTTTTCAGAGAATCAGAAAGCCATCAACGGTAGCACCGAGCAGCGCCTTCAAAGCGGCAAGGCGAGTAGGCCGCCCCCAAACAAGAGACGACGAGTAAGAGGCGGCGCATCTGGCGGAGCTGGGCCTGGACGGGCAGAGACAGGCGCAGTCCGCATTGCCGGAGACCGTGATGCTCATATAGCAAGCTTGATGGCCGAGCTGCAACCTACAGAGATCGAAGCCGAGCAGAAGACCGAGATTGGCGTGGATCCTCTCGAGAATATGGATGATTATTACGAGCTGTTCGACATGAATGATCTTATCGTTATCCATCCATATGAAGGCGACATGGATGAGCACGTCCTCGAGGAGACAAAGCCGCGCTACGTGATCATGTACGAACCAGACGCTGCCTTCATCCGCCGGATCGAAGTCTACCGCTCCTCGCACACTGACCGAACTGTCAAAGTGTTCTTCATGTATTACGGTGGCAGCGTGGAAGAACAGCGCTACCTCTCCGCCGTCAGACGAGAAAAAGACGCCTTCACGCGCCTCATCCGTGAAAGAGGGAACATGGCCATGACCATCAACAACGCCTCCCTCGACCCCCAAGAATCCTTCCTCCGTACCATCAACACCCGCATCGCTGGTGGCGGCCGCTTAGCCGCCACGGAACAACCCCCCCGTGTCGTCGTGGACGTCCGCGAATTCCGTTCCAGCCTCCCCTCCCTCCTCCACGCCCGTAGCATCGTCATCGTCCCTTGCATGCTCACAGTGGGCGACTACGTGCTCACTCCCAACATCTGCATCGAGCGTAAATCCGTCCGCGACCTCATCGGCTCCTTCGCCAACGGCCGTCTCTTCAACCAGGTGGAAGCCATGATGGAGCACTACAAGCACCCCATGCTGCTCATCGAATTCGACCAAAACAAGTCCTTCACCCTCGAACCCTTCTCGGACCTTTCGGCTCCTGCGACGACATCAGGCCTCGCCGCGGTGCCCGATCTTCAGAGCAAACTCGTCATGCTAACGCTCGCCTTTCCCAGACTCAAAATCATCTGGTCCTCCTCCCCTTACCAAACGGCCGAAATCTTCTCGGAACTGAAGAAGGGGGCCGATGAGCCCGACCCCCTGCGCGCGGTGCAGCTCGGTCTCGATCCCAATCTTCAAGGCGACGAGATGCGCACCTTCAATCAGACGAGTCAGGATCTGCTGAGAGCGATTCCAGGGGTGAATGAGAAGGTTGCGATGACGTTGATGCTGGAGACGGAGAGTTTGACCGAGGTGGCGAATATGGAGGAAGGAGAATTGGCTAAGCTTGTGGGGACGGAGGCGGCGAGGAGGATTTGGAGGTTTTTTAATAGGAACTTTTCTGGGGATACGGGTGAGGAGTTGTTTGCGAGTTTAACGCAAATATAGTAACGATTTAGACACGTTAGACAACGGGTTAGACAACTGAAACGGTTTCGATTTACGATTAAGGTATTACGCCATGAATTTTGATGCAGCTAGACATGTGAAGAGCTACATAACCCCGTCATAAGCCCAATCTGCCAAACTCCACGCCGTCAAACCCGATAGCAAAAAGAAAGAAGATAACATATCCACCACCAGATCTTCCGCCCGCACGCGCCTTGTGGTGCAGCATTTGAGCCGCGCAAGAGAACCCTCTCTTTTAAAGAGCCGATGAAAGCGCCCGTCCAAGTCCGCAGATGAAACAGAATCGCACCAGCAGCGCTTTCGATGGCTTAGAGGAGTCCCCGCACAGCATGGCGGACAACGACACGCCACCCCTTAAATCTCGTCGATATCGACTTCGCCCTTCTCCTCGCCGCTCTCGCTGCGGTCCTCGTCGAATTCGAAGCCGATGCCTTGGTCGCCTTCGTCGCCGTACGTGTCGGTCTCGTTGATCTTGGCGTGGTCGGGGAGTTCACCGTAGGCTTTTAGGGAGCGGGCTTCGTCGGCGGTGTACTTGAGAATGCTGTAGGATGAGTGTTAGCTTGCCATTTGGATGGTAGGGAAAAGAAAGAATATGGCACGTACACATCTCCCTTCTCGTCCTGGTAATCACGCAGCGAAAGCAGAATGATATCTCCTTGATTGATCCAGACCTTTTTGCGTAGCTTTCCGCGGATGTGCGCGAGACGGCGCGTGCCGTCGAAGCAGAGGGCTTCTAGACGGCCGTTTCCGAGCATCTTTACGACTTGGGCATATTCTGCGAGGGATATTAGTGGGGGTTGCGCAGAGCGTGTGGGTGGCTCTGAGGAGACGTACCTTGGCCTTCCTCCTTGAAGGTCAACTCGCGCTTCTCATTGTCGTTCTCGTTCTTGCCTCGTCTTCGGTTCTTGCCTCCCTGCGGTGCGGGTCAGTGATCGAGTCCTGGTTGGTGGCGGGGCTGGTGGGGTGGAGGGGTGAGTAGCAAAGAATGATGCGTACCTTTCCCTTATTCTTGGGCATGATGGCTGTTTATCGTAGTGACTCTATAGATGTGCTGTATGTGTTGCGCGTGCGCTAGAGAGTGTTGTGCAGTGAAGTGGTGCTTTCTCGTGAAAGTATGATGAATGAAGCTTGGAAGGCCTTGTTGGTGGGGATATAAAAACCCCCGGCTGCCGCCACCGAAAGGGGGCTAGCGCGGGTTCGGCGACCCCGGTCAAGTGCCAAGATTTCAGCGCCGTTTGGATTTCCTCTTCCTCGTCATAGCAGCAAGAACACGCGCACCATTGTTGATATTGTCTGGGATGGCGGTATGAGCTCTACGGTCCGGTTTCTTCCAAAGAATCTCAAATTCTTCAATTTCAATTATAGTCCCGGACATACGACGTTTATTATTCACCATGTCGTGCAGGACTTCTACCACCCTCTGTACACAGTACGGCAGCGCGCGATGAAAGAGCGAGAGAAAAAGGGCCTTTGGTGGCATGTAACGGTCGGACCCAACACGTCAAGAGCTCGCGTTGTACGTTCATGGGCCAGGAGACGGCTGCGGAATGCCTTTCTGGACACGCTGAAAGAGAAGGGTGTTGATGAGGATGGCATCATACTCAAAGCGGCGGAGGGAGTGGGGCCTCACACAACGATCAAGGCGATGTTGGAAAAGGGGGAACGTGTGGGCATAACCGGATCGGTCAAAATGCATGCGTTATCTGGGATTGTGCCAGCGAAATATGTGGACGTAAAGCGGGAGACTGATATGGTTGTCGATGCGCTCTTGAAAGGCTTAGAGGCGGAGCTTCAGAAGAAGAACCCTCCGTCTCTACCAAATAAGAAGAACCAGAATTCTGTGCAGCAGCAACGGACTCCAAAGCGGCCCGCACCACCAAATCGGCCGAAATCGACCGTGAAATGAGACTGGCATAGAATCCACCGCCAGACTAAAGAGGCGATACAATCCTCATCAGTGAGGTTTTAGATTGCGTCGAGGGCGTGAGCAATCTTTGTCACAGGCCTGGTACAGGCGATGCTCACCCTGAGACGAAAAGGCGGTCACCGATATCGTACTCCACCCAGGAGGTACAGATCGACGTGTCGAAAGTCTAGCAGATGTGTAGCCACCGGAGCGGTCACAAGCTGCTGTGACATTGACTGCACCGAGTGTGGCGCAGGGTTTTCGTGAATAGCAAACGCTGATTGACAATGGGAGCGTTCACGAGCCCAGTGAATGAACCCCAGGCCGTTCACTGCGCCAGTGTGGGATAAAGCTACGGTTGTCAATTGCGAATCCAGCCAAGTAGTCGACCGCGCATATTTCGGAAGCTTCTCAACCTCACTTCTCAAGAGAGCACCGTGGTATCGGCTGCAGGGCCGATCATGCCAAACCAATTAGCCGACCGAATTCTCGCTGGCGCAACCTACTTCTTCCTTCTATCAGCTCTGGTTTCGACAACCATCCTCATTTGTGGTTGCATACCCTCCGCCCCCGGCGAGACAAGCGCCCTCGACTCCTTCTACGCCATCCGACTACACACTCCTGGGATATCCGCCCAGGGTCTTCGACTCGCCAGCTTTGCTCTCTGTTTCGAGAGTAGAGATGCAGTGTCCTGCATTATTACGGCTGGCAGGAAACCCGCCGAATCTCTCGCACTATTAAGTCAGCCAGCAAATGCGGTCTTCGATACAAGAGCAGTTGAGGTTGCATACAGTCTGCAGAAAGAGGTCATATACGGCACTCCCGTCCTAGCGGCCCTATTCTTCTTCTTCAGTCTGTCCTGCTTCTTTATTTCACAATTCTTCCGGGCACTCTCCCCTCGCCGGATGCGAGCAATTGCAGTAGCACTCGCCGCCCTGGGCACGGCCATCATGCTTGTGGATGCGTTTTCAATGCATATGGTCGCTTCGGCGCTGGAAATTGCGGGTTCGGAGGTTGTGCAAGGATTTCAGTATGAGAAAGGGCTATACTATATGGGGTTTCAGTGGGCGGCATTTGCGCTAGGATTCTGCGGTCTCAGCACGTTGCTGTATGGGAGTTTCAAGAGCAAGGCACAAGATCCGGTGCTCCCGGCTTAACCACCATGCGTGCTACCGCTATAATGCCAGGAAATCGCACGCCGATTGGACTGTTATCCATAAGCTACTCACCTGATAAATCATACATTTCATAGAGAACTGTGGTTGAAGAACATGGCCAAAGCGGAATTCTGCAATGTTTCATCTCTTTGCCAGACTGAAGGATCAACTGGATTTCATGGGGACTGCACGATTGCTGTATCCTTCCATCACCTTATTAAGCCAATCAACGGATTATTCAACATCTCTTTGCGCTGGGAACTTCAGAGGCCTGACAGAATTGGGGCGTCACCTACGCAAGAACTCTTCAAATGGAAGGTGGTTATATGATTTACTCTGGCACAATGATTTCAATCCACCTAACGGCAGCTGACAAGTGATATAAGGGGCGCGCAACGGCAAGGTCATGGCTGGACTGACATAGGCAGAGCGGCGCAGTCGTTTATAATGTGGGCCGACTACCAGAAGATGCAACGGATACGGCACTTGTCGCTTCGTACGCTGTGTTGCGGGGTCAGAATCAGGGCGAGGCCTGGCCATTTGATATGGGAAGAAACGAGGACCGCTGATTACGGTGAACAACTAGTGAAGTGCCACACTGGACTTACCACTTATCGGATCCCTCGGGTGTATGAGCTATCGGGAAGACCGACGTCGACTTCCACGACGCGGTCACGGTGATGCGAATGCGACGACGAAGGCGAAACCACCGGATACGACCTAGAAGATTGTATCAAAGTGGATGGACATTGGTATCTTGAACCTTAAAATCAGGCTCTCGGATGGCTGAAACGGATTTACTGCCAGTTGTTGTAAGTCAAGCAGGCTGCTCTTCATCTTGGTTAGCATGTCTTCACATTCCTTGCCGCTAGGTTCGAGCCTACTTTCGATTCAGTGTAGTCTTGCAAATCCCCTTGAGTCCTGGTTCTGGTCGTTGCCATTTCCGTTTGCCCAACTTGCATTGCGCTGTTCGCCTACTCACTCATTCTTGCTCCCCTTTTTCTATTTGACAGAAACTTCCCATTGACATGAATTCCCTCTCCGGACCAACCAAGAGTAATAAGACACGCTTCAACCAAGATGGAAGGAAGAGAAGATGCAATGTCTCCATAGGTTAGGCTGATCAATGGACCCTATGCAATTCCACGGTATCTAGGTATGGTAGGGTACACGGACTCCATGACGGAGCCTCTGCATTGGGTCTGCAAAACCAAAGCAAGACGTCTTCTTTCAGGAACAATGCCGATAGGGTAGTCTATATCGAGCAACCGTTACAAGTACAAGCGAGGTGACGTTTCCCGACGCAGGGACCAATACGCCGGGGTTGATATTGACCAGCATCACACCTTGGCACCCGTCCGACCAACTCCAAGTTGTGAGGATTCAGGAATCGCTCTCAAACTTGGAAGTTTGAAGTGACAGAGAGGTTGCTCGTGATGGAAGAGTGTCATGCTGTTGAGTGACTGGCCAACCTTCCAAGTTAGGTTGGAACCTGGAAGTGATCAAGTGGCAATTCACTTGGGTTGCGCTTCCCGCGGGCTCGGACATGCTCGGCCCGCGGCGCCTTTGCGGACGGGACTCCTCCTCAACACCTCGACGGCACGCCTCATGCCGGGCTGGTAACAGGCGTCAAAGAAAGACTATCTCTTATCTATGGTACGAACTATAAACCCCCTAGCATGGATTTTTCACGTCCTCTCTCAACTTCGTCAGCGCACGCCTCAGGCGATGTGGCGACGTCATGGCACGACATCCGAATGCCCGCAATGCTGCCCACGACCTTGGAATGCGAGGCGCGTTGATCTCCCACTGCAATTCCAGGCCTGTTTTCATTCCCAGCCATTCACAGCTTCTGCTTTCCCGTCGGACCGCCGCCGAGGCACAGGGCTGAAGCAAACATTTTGAACACAACCGACACAGACGTCTCCCAAAAAGCAACCATGGCGGCGATCTGAGCAGATCACACCCTCCACCCGTCTGCACCGCTCGCGTGTTGACACTCCCGGGCCTGGCTCTCCCCCTCGCTCTTCCCCTCGCTGGGGCTCTCGGCCCTCTCTGTCTCCCTTTCGGTCAAATGATGGGGACGCGTAATTGGTCGGCATGTGGAACCGCAGGTGGAGCCCATCCCAGTTCACCCCCAGAGGGCCTCAGGCCAGTGAACGGGCCATAACCGGCAACATTATTACTGGGCCGTTGAACACTGATCAGTGAGAATGCCATGTCGCCCAAGCTCCACGCCAAAACTTTCTTTTAACGTCATGCGGAGAATTCGCCTCCCTCCACCTTCGAAGAACCCTTTGCAACCCCTGGCCTCTCCACCAGTCCGAGCCAAACTCTCAGAACTCCTCAATTCTTATCTCATTACTCATCTCAGCTCAGCTCCGCTATCCCCGAATGCCCCTATCAACCTGCGTGGCACTGTCCCGTCTTCTCCTCGTCCGTGAGCTTTTCTCATGCGCTTGCGAGTAGTCTATAACCCGCTGTGTCCACCAGAGTTATCATATTCGACACTCCTGAAGTCCAGAGATCCTGTGTGAATGGTACCGGTTTTTATATGGCAGCCTTTCGCTAGTCCGGCACGATCCGAGCATGGATAAACGACATTCTTCACCTTCCCCCAGTGCCCCGAGTCCGCGACCCAGGGCCTTCAGGAACAGGAGTAATTCACTGCCGATCGTGGAAGCCCTAGGATGCTCAACACCAGAGGCAGAGCTCATCCTTGCGGAGGGAAGAGCTGCTGTGCGCAGCCGTTACGCCACTCACCGCCCCCGTGATCGACGGGCTCTGCCAAACGCAGAGAGTGTGACGGCCTTCCGTCCGCAGGACCATCTCCAGCACCTGAACGAAACGCAGCCGGTGATGGAAGTTATGGAGAGCTCAAGAACAGACGATGATTACACCTCCCATCATACACGGTCACCGTCACAAGGCACAGATCGGACCAGCTCAACGATTACTCCGACAGCCACCGCCTTTGCCGAATCTGCAAAATCCCCCATCAGTCCTCTTTGGAACTATTCCGCGAATCTGGCCAGGTTTGTTCAAGCACAGCTGGATGCAATTACTTCTTACGACCCGATATCCACTTGCCACTCTGTTTCCGAACATTCCGCAAAGGCCGAAAGGTCCCAAACTCGGATCAGTACAGACAGACGATCACTCGAAGGCCCTGGCGTTTTGGAAATCCCCCCAGTTAGACCCCCGCTGCGCAGTGCCTTCTCTGCATGGAGCTCGTCGGATGATGACACTGAGGATGAGGCACAAGAGGAGTCCGAGCTACAACTGTCGAAGAGCTTTTCTAAGGACAGTAACACCCCATACTCAATCCTGCGGTACTATGAGCATGGTAGCGGGTCGTCGTTCCTCCTCACACCCACTCCATTAGAAGAAGAAGAGCAACAAGCCCAGCAGGAGCCAAATGTCCAAAGCTCGTCGAGTATAGAAGGCAAGGCACCGACTACCGCCATAAACTCCGAGCCCGACTGCGACTCAACTGTTTCTTCCCATCACCCTATCCTTACCACGTCGTCCACAGCGCCTTCCGTGTCGTCTATCTCGACCCCGTCGTACTTCGACGGCAAGTGCAGCAGAGCGCTCCCGGTTCCCCGTCGTATCAAGGACCGCCTTTTGGCCTCTGTGTCTCCTTACCGTGCCGGCGGCAAAATAAAAGTTCTAGCAGCTGCATCTTCGTTCGAGGGAGGTGCATTAGCTAACGTACATGACGGGTCCATCGAGCCTCGGACGAAAGTACTCGTAGATGGGCTGTCTTTTGACCTCATGCGCAACTCCGCTGCACGCAACTAAGGCGTCCACCGAGATTAACCGACATCGCTGGGACGCAGGCATCTCCGTCTTGTAATATCAGCATTGCATATCGAGCGCAAGGCTTCCGGGTACCAGAGCATACAGCAGCTGGTCTGTTTTATGCCACGTTCTCGTCGATATTCCCTTGCTTGAGGTTGCGCTCCAACATTTGTTCGCGCGCACGCATATACATTGTAATATGTCTTCAGCGAGCGCTTCCATGGGAGCACATGAAGGGCTAAACTGAATAGCTGTGGATGACACTGGCTTTAGCTGGTTTATTGTTATTCCTCCCTTTCTTGCTTGTTTTTGTTAGGCTTTTGTATACCTCTAGTTGGTGGAGGTGCACGGCGCACCCCAATATTGAGCGAAGCGTTGTTTACAGGAAGACGAGAGTAGATGCAACACACCTATTTCAATGCCGAGTACAGTTCTACATGTATCTTACTTCAAGCGTGAGTTTACTCCCCTTGTGTTTGGCTATCTTATAGTGACACGCACCTGGGCACATGCATTTTCTCCCAAAGATTTACTTTAATGGGTTAGCTTCCGATGGCCTGCAGGTGGTGCAGGTGCCAGGTGGTGCGGGAGTCCGTGCGCAAGTTTGTTTCCATGCAGATTGCGGGCCGCAGAAAACAACGTCAACCACACGAACTTCACTCATTCGAGACTGGAGAGTAAAAAGGTTCCTCTCTGGCCCAGTTCCTGAGGGGATCACCACCACCTTTCACACGCGGGTCCCCACGCCGCCCATCTATCTCAATATCATTTGTGGCTCTTCACAGATCTCCTCACTTTCCTTTACCCCACTACCACTCCACGCTTCATCCCTCGCGACCATGGCCGACACCGAGCCAGGTCTGCTGGCGCAGATTGCGGGTCGTGTTGCTTACGATTTTACCCTTTTACAGCCCATGATCCCACTCTATGTCCACTTGCTTCTATCAGCATTGTTCCCCATCTATGCCGGAGCTCATGCTTCCCTTACGAGACCCTCATCAGCTGCGAAATCGAAGAAGCGCAGCGGTGCGCGCGTCGACGAGGAGGACGTATCCAGTGAAGATGAAGATGAAGAAGACGATACACGCATGATGGAAGGTCTATCGCCTAGCGATGCGATCGTGTTCCCTCTCCTCGCTGGAACCACCTTGGCCGGCCTGTACTATCTGATAAAATGGTTGGAGGATCCCGCGCTGTTGAACAAGATCTTGAATTGGTACTTTGCTTTCTTCGGCGCATTCTCCGTGGCACGCCTCATCAACGATCTCCTGGACATCGGCCACTCGCTCATTTTCCCCCGTCGCTATGCCCTCGACGGGACGCTATATCATGTTCATGGGAAAGCGAAGAAGGCTGTACCCGTGGCGGGCAGCATCAAGGACAAGGGCGTCATTGATTCCCCTCTTCCGGGCTTCCTAGCACGGATCCCGCTTCCTAGTGGCATTCGAGAGCTCTTGTGGTCGGACCGTGCCATGCCAGGAAACAAATGGACTGTCCGTGTTTACCTCCACCGCGTGTTTGCCGGTAAGGTGCGGATTGGGCCTCATGCAATCGTCAGCTCTCTCCTGTCGGTGGCTGCTGTTGCGTACTTCAACTTCGTGGACAAGCCTTGGTATCTGACGAACCTGATGGGATTTGGGTTTGCGTACGGAGCACTGCAGCTCATGTCGCCCACAACCTTCGCGACAGGCAGTCTGATACTGAGCGCTCTGTTCTTCTACGACATCTACTTTGTCTTTTTCACGTAAGTTCTGCACCAATGAAGTGTAACTGCTGCTGATTGATCCAGACCCATGATGGTTTCGGTTGCCACGTCGTTGGATGTGCCTATCAAGCTCATGTTCCCTCGTCCTAGCCCGGCAGATGCTATTTCTAAGAAACCATCACATGCCATGCTGGGCCTTGGCGACATCGTCCTGCCCGGTATTATGATGGGCCTTGCACTACGCTTCGATCTATACCTTTTCTACCTGCGACAGCAAAGGCGGATACCTGCAACAGAAGAAGGAGGCAAGGAGATAGTAGAGAAGCCCACCTACTTCTCCCTAGCGGGTCGTTGGAGTGACCATTTTTGGACCCATTCCCTGTCCGGCCGGCCTCTTTTCACGACATCGTCTAGTAAACCCGAGGCGCCGTTCACCTTCCCGAAAACCTACTTTACGGCCAGTGTTGTAGGATACATTGCGGGAATGATGGCTACACTTTACGTTATGCACGTTTGGCAACATGCTCAACCGGCCCTGCTCTATCTTGTACCTGGCGTGCTGGGTAGCTTGTGGCTGACTGCTCTGATCCGAGGTGAGGTTAGTCTGATGTGGAACTACAGCGAGGTCGTTGAGGAGGAGGGAGAGGCCGACCATAAGACCACCGATAAGGAAGGAGGCGCATCGGCCACAACGTCAGAACGTTCCAGCTTCTTCTCACTCTCGGACAAGAAGGCGAAGGAGCGGGAAGCGCGCTTCAAGAACGCACTAGGCAAGCACGTCAGACTGGACGACGAGTCTGGAGATGAGGGCGACCTTGCCAAGGATCAGAGCAGCGATCGGACTGATAGGGTCAAACAGGTGGCTGGACACAAATCTGATAGGGAAGTGTTCTCGTTTTCGATCGAGGCCCCTTGGAAACTGAAACATCCGCGTTTTATTCGGCGGCAGGAAAAGCATACCGACGGCAGCAGCGCCGAACGTTCGCCGCTCGAGAAGGGCAAACCCCATTGGGCGCCCCCGACTGCCGGTTTGAAGGCAGAAGAGCCTGCCGGGAAGAGGATTCGGCTGAACTAGAGGGTGGATTTTCCTATATAAGAGCATATGGGTGGGTAACCATGTCGGGGTCCTGATCTTTTCACAGGGAATAGGCGTCCTGCATATAGCATAGCGGCGGAGTTATCAGGTATCTGGGAATGGTAATTTTGTTCTGGCTTCGGACGGATATCGTTGTCTTTCTCGAACTAATACGGTTCTCTGAACGGGCTGCTTCTGTGCAGTCCTGATATCAGAGACACGAATTCACGTGGATACGTGACAGGCCGGGGTACTTCTCTTGGCGCCGGCGGTGAGAGCAGTGCAAGAGGGGGGAGATCGGGGTTCATAGAGCCATTCCTTCCCAACTTCTGCCTTTCAGCTGAGAGCAACCGCCGGCAGTGACTTGCTTCTCCCGTGCCTTTTAATTGCAAGGAGGAATAGGGTATATCAGTTCAATTGCAACAACATGGCATTCAAACCCTTCATCGTCGTCACATTGGCTGTCGAATCGCTCAAGGTATCAGTGCCTTTCTACGAGGCGTTGGGTTTCCGGAGGCATGAGCAGATGGGCGACGAGAGTGCGAGGTACATGATGCTGTCGGAGCAGATTGGGGTGTACCTGACGGTATGGTGAATTTTGCTCCTCGTTCCTTCACATCTGCCATTCGTAAAGGCTGCCATAGTGGAGCAACTTCCCCTGCTCATTTCCCGCCATCCTCATCTTCCTGAGCACCTTCCCATTCCGAACCCTGCACTGATAATCGCACTTGCCAGGGAAAACCCTACTTTCAAGAGATTCATACCCTCAAGCAAATCCATCGTGAACGCGCACGCCGCCACCGAGACATTCCTGTCTATCCTCGTCGAGAAGCGCGAGGATGTCGATCGTGTCGTTGATTTGGCGCTTGAGCGGGGCGGGAAGAAGTATCCGACCAGTTTGGGGAAAATTGACAGGTTGTATACGCGGGGAATTGAGGACCCGGATGGACATATTTGGCAGGTCGGGTGGATGGGGGAGTTGTTGGACCGAAGGCGGAAAGGAGAAGGAGGGGAAGGGGTGTGAGGATGGTGGTGATTGAAAGCGTGTGAAGGAATGTGAACGAAGCAGAGATGGGATGAAGAGGGAAAAAGGGAGTGTCAGAGGTGGGTGTTTGAGAAAAGATGCGTCTCTCGGAATTACAACGAACATAACCAGAAAAGGCCCGCCTATGCAAAATAAAAAGCAGAATGAAGTGGTATCACAAACCCAGAATCCCCATCCATCCTTTCAATACCCTTGCCCATACCTCCCCCTCTCACCACCCATTGGACTCACACCCAACGTCGCACCGGTGCCCGCTGCACTCCTTCCCCGTCATTCCTCCACCCTGCCCCCTCTCTGCCATCGGCACTGGGATCCCTACTGTGCTCCCGGCTCGCTCCCCACGTACTCCCCCCATCCACAACCGAAGACTCCCCATCCATCTCATGCCGCACCATATACGGGTTCCGCACCTCGACCCACCGCGGCGTATGCGGCGTCGGCAACTCCTGCGGCACGACATTAATCGGCTCCAGCTTGCTCTTATAATCCGTCTCCGTCCCAGCACCACGGGTACCACCAGCAGCAGCACCAGCAGCAGCACCAAAACCACTCCCATCATATCTCGGCGACGCCAACTCGATAAACGGCGCCCCGCCCAACTCCTGCGGCTCCTCATCGCTGTGCTTGTGCGCATCCGCGCTGGCGTTGTCCCGACGCCGCCGGCCCGTCCCCGCCGTCTCCGTGATTTGCGTATTGGCGAGTTCGTATCTCCGCGAGCGGCGGCGGCGATGCAGGAAGACTGCGCCGACGATGATGAGGATGAGGAGGAGGCCGCCGCCTGCGGCTATGCCCGCGATCGCTGCTGTGCCTAAGGGCGAAGCATCCTTTTCCGAGGACGAGGACGGATCCGAAGGGGAGTGGATGGTGACGATGTTGGCGGCGGGTAACGGATCGGGAAACGCGGCTTGCGCGATGGTGAAGTTTGCGCGCTCGTAGTCGACGATGAGGTAGGCTTCTTGGAGCAAGGTGCGGCCGAGGACGTATTGGCTTTCGTTTGCGGCGCGGCGGATGGGGAAGTAGTTTGTTGGGGATGAGTAGTACGGGTACGAGGCTTGGAGGTCGAAGGCGGCGTAGGGGAGGACGATGTTGGTGTAGTTTGTCGACGTGTCGGTGAGGGAGTTGACGAGCTTGATTGTGATGGATGGGTTTTTGGAGCGGAGTTCGGCGTGGATGCTGGAGTTTACCAGGTAGAGGTCTGTGGTGGGGTCGTAGGTGAGGCCGAAGGCTTGCTCGAAGTTGTCGCAGATGGGGCGGGGGAGCCAGAGATGCGGGACGGTGGAGTCGAGGAGGGAGAAGTGTGCGCTGGAGGAAAGGGAGTAGGTGCCTTTGAGCGAGTTTGAGGCCAGGAGGGATTCTACACCCACGGTAAGGAGGCGCGAGGGGTCGGCGGAGAAGGAGAAGGAGAAGGGGTTTGGGTTTGGAGTGAAGCGCGTGGAGTCGTAGCCTCCTAATATCAAGCTGCCAAATACGGATTTCAATCGGTATTTGGCTCCAGCCGTGTATGCGAAGGAGAGACTGGGTATCTTGGTTTGGTTCCGGAGTTGGTAGAGGAACGAGTCGATGGACTGGCTGAGACTGGAGAAACTCGAGTCCTGGGTTCCCAGAGGTATATGGCCCATGTAGTAATTCAGGTCCGCAACTCCAGCAACGACCTGGTGGTCTAGCGACAGCGATGATCTATCCGCAGCGGGACCCAACGCAACCTTGTCATAGCCAAATATCGCCGGCACAGTGATGTTCAACCGTGACTCGGTCTCTACGTCGTACTGTCCGATGGTCGACCATGTTGACGATACGTTCAATTGAAACCCGGGACTCTTCTCGCTGTTGAATACCTCCGCTCCTCGCGTGCTTGGACAGTCCACGCCGTCTCCTTCCAAACAACCTTCTGGCATGACGACCTGCGTCGCACCACTCTGTGTCGATGCCAACACGCGAAAGTCTTGTCCTGGCGTGCCCACGCTGATCTTAAAAGTGCTCCACGCTCCATCATTCCCGTCAAACTCTTTCGAAGGCGGAACTACATAGGGCGTTGGAACGGCTGCCCCTGTCTCGCGTCTTGCGATGCGCATTTTGGCTGCCGGGGGAGTGAAGGGAAGAGAAAAAAGGTCGTTCAATGCATTATCCCACCCAAGGGATCGTTTCCCCCACCTAATTGCCTATCGAGAAAAGAACGAGGACAGTGGGAAGAAGCTCGTTCCGGGACCAGGACAACGGACATCACAACCCACAACCCCCCAACAAGATCGCCCAAGATCGTGTGGATGCAGGCGTAGGCGAAGCCGAGATCCAGGCTGAAGGGAGTGGGACGCAAGCAGGGCCAGATTCCCACATGGCGGGCGACTACGCTTGGCGAGGGCGAGGGAAACGGTTTCTTGATGGCGTGGTTGGCCAGTTATGATGGAGCTATCTCTCAGCTGGATACGAGGTGGTGGAGGTGTGGTGGATGAGGCTGAGGAGTGAGGTCGTGGTTCGTGTCACGTAACGAAACGATGATGATGAGCTAACCGAAAAGGGCAACAACCAATGGTCGGAAATTTACTGCGCATTGACGATACCCGAACTTCAACCTTGGGAGAACTCGGAGTTTCTCTGTCCATGAGAAGACACAGTATTTGACGCTTCCTCATCATCAACTAGACTTGACTGATGATGTACAGGCCGAGCTTGCATTGATTCTTCCCTAGCGTTGGAACGTTATCCCCCGCAGGTTGGAAGTAAGTAAAAGGGGAAATCAGCGTACGTTACACAAGCAATCTATGCCATGTATCTGTGGCACCTCACCGCTCCTGCTCCACCGACAGTCGATGGAAAACTCCGAGAGCACCGCCCCAATCTGCAGTGCCAGCATTTCCTTACCTATGAGCTGAAGCCACAAGAGCTGGGAAAGTGGAACAGGGCAGCATGGGAGCCTCGATCCAGACCCTTTCTCTCTGGTCAGTGTTTCGCCGCCTTACCCTAGGGTACATTTTCCTCAACCTGTGGCTTGTGCATTGAGCCGGCCACAAGTATGGCTTCTATACCAGGCTTGCCAGACGATCAGTATGTCATCAAACAGAATCTTTCTATTTGGGCTTCATGTCGTAGCGCAACCCCTGAGAAGTGTGTGAGAGATGGAAAGACAAAAGCACCGGACTGTGGGAACAGGTCCCAAGGTTAACAAGGAAAGCTGTGCTCAGATCCCCTCGTCTTCAGCCCACTGCGTGTCTTCATGGCGTAACAGCCATACGGGCTGCCGAGACCATGGCAGCTGGAGCACTCTTGCAGCGGGTGTCCACGATTTGCGCAGGGGCTGTAGGGTCTATTCATAGGGGCCCCGTCCACAGCAGCCTTCAAGGCTACTTCGCTGTTTCACACTTTCCTTCGTCATGATTGTGAACACAGGATCCAACCGTTAATGTTCACTGCTTTCTCTAATCGCAGTCTACCTGACTTCACCCCCTCTTTTCTCATTGATGCATAGGTGCAGTCGCAGGTGAAAAAATGCGGCTTTACGCCATCCTAGGCTCGCTCGTTTGGGTCTCTGCCACAGGTGCTTCTCCCAACTTCCGTATCAGAGGTAAGCATTGCACTCTCTTGACACGACGACTTCGTTACTAACTCTTGTTAGGATGTATGTAGCTACTCGTCAAGTACCGACATCCCCGCGCTAATCATTCCTTAGTCAACTCCACGTTATCAACAACAGACATAGTTCCTTCTTCAACTTCGTCAGTGTTCGCATTGGTTGGGCCGCCTGTAACATCATCACAAAGTCTTTCCACACCCACTCCAATAGCGCCATCAATATCCTCCTCATTGAACGGGTCGGCCAGTCTTGGTCCTCCAACTCTTTCGCTGCCCGTTATATCAAACACGACTTCGTCACCAGCGACGAAACAGTCCATCAGCTCGACTCCACTATGTACCGGCTGCGTTTTGGAGGCTTTCACGCCAACAACCATATCTTACCAGAATCCTTTCACAACATTTGAGCCCATCCCGACAGTAGTGACTGTTGTCACGCGGACTGTCACTTGGATGGACGGCACGACTATCGACACTGTGGTCACGGAATTCGAGACGATAACCCGTAACATGCCGCATCCGACTAACCAGTCCGATGTGCTTACGACCACGCCAAGGTTCACTTGGGTGCCTGTTATTGGCACTACCATCACGCTGGACATTGGACCTACCTACGTGGTTAGTCATAGTTCGTGTTCATATAATGGCAAAGGGTTCACTAAACGCATATAGATCTACACCGACATCTACGGAGGCCTTGACTTTGCCTCCGCGGAGCCGACAGATACAGACGATAGCGGGCCAACAATCACGGCTACGGATGACTCCAGCTTTGACCCTTTGCCAACATCCACAAATCCCCTAGAATCACAACTGGAGACGCCTGGACCAGAGCCCACATGCGACAATAATGTGACCCGACTCCACATATACCCCACTGAATCTGAGGATTACCATTTTTTCATTCAGACCTACAGCGACTCGGCACCTACTCTTCAAAATCCTGATGCTCCGCTGACGTTGCCGGCTCAGTTGATTGAGTATCTCAAGCTGGATCCGACAATCACGTCCATGTATAAGGGATCGGATATCGCGACTTGCACACTTCGGCAGACTAGGGAACACACTCGATCATCCACCGAGGATTTTCCACATGAGACGGCATCACCTCCTCCTATGATCATTCCCACCACAAGCCAGTTCTTTAGCACAACGTATCAGTCTACTTCGACACATGTGACAAGGCAAGGCTGCCTCAGGTGTGTGCCCGGCACCCAGCCGACATCTGGCCCTGATCCCGTGCAACCCACTGAGAATAACCCTCCGGGAGAAAACCCCCAAACACCCGACGACAAGCAGACACCTGACGGAAAAGAAAAGCCGGGTGACGAGCAGAGGCCAAACGGTGTTGTTGATTTGCCCGGGCTCATCGTTTCGATTATCAAGGACCCCCAATTTACCCCTAACCCGCAGCCTCCATCGAACGACAATAACAATAACAACGATAACAACAACAATCATGGACAACAAGTGACAATCGGGAATAGCGTAGTAGAGATTCGACCTGCCCAGCCTACTGACCCCGGACAGCAAAATCGGCCAAATCAGCAACAACAGAACCCTGGAGTTGTAGTCGGCTCGGAAGCTCTCACCCCAGGGCAAACTGCTACCATCAACGGCGTCCAAGTGATTGTGCCTAGCCAAGGGAACGGAGGCCGTATTGTGGTGGATGGAAGCACAATTGCGGTCACCAACCCAGCGCCCACGGGGCCTCCAGTACTCACTGTGGGCCAGAATACACTAACCGCGAATCCTCAGGGGCAGTTCGTTGTTGGGACGCAAACGCTTACTCCCGGTGGACCTCCAATTACAGTCGATGGGAGTACTCTTAGTTTGGGTCCGAGCGGTACTATTGCTGTGGTAAACGGAGTTACACAAACACTGGGGAATGCCCCATTTGCTACAGGAGCGCCTGCCCTCACTGTCAACGGGCAGACCGTCTCGGCAACAGTGATAGGAGGAACAACACAGTTTGTGCTCGGGAATGGTCAAACTTTAACCCCAGGCGGCGTCGTGATAGTTGACGGTACTACACTCAGTATGCCTCAAGATGGCTCGGGCTCTACTATCGTAATGAACGGAGTCACGTCGATCCTCACCGGGGCCGGTCTTCCAGTTATTACGCTAGGTCCTCAGTCAGTGACAGCTTCGGTTGTCGACGGGACAACGGCATTCGTTCTGGCGCCTGGCCAGACCCTGACCCCGGGAGGTGTAATCACCGTTTCTGGCACCACATTGTCCATGCCAGCGTCTGCTTCTGGTTCAGTCGTCGTAATCAACGGCGTCACATCAACGCTTGGCCAGCCACTGGTGACTGCTGCACCAGCTCTCACAATTGACGGCAAAACCTACTCTGCTACAGTCCGAGACGGGACAACAGAATATGTGTTGGGCGAAGGGACAACACTCAAACCGGGCCAAGCTATCACCATCTCGGGCACGACTTATTCCCTTGATTCGAAGGGCACTGCCCTTGTGATAAACGGCAAGACCAGCTCCATTCCGAAAACACCTGCGAGCAATAGCGCGAGTACTACGCAGTCTTCATCATCGAGCTCGACGACAACGACGAGTTCGCGGGATCCTGGCAACTTTATTGCCAGCGGTATCGGGATCAGCAGTAAGAAGGGAGATGCTGGGTCTGTTAGAGGAGGGCTGGATATGTGGCTCGAGTCCGCAATGATTGGAGTTGCGGGATGGGTGTTGATATTGGTTTAATGACTGGACGAGGTTGGTTTGAATTTCACAGGGTCTTCGGTTTCGAAACGGGATGACATTGATGCATACATACGGTTTCAAGCGCGGCGTTCTGGAAACAGCTAGCATATATTTTGTGAGAGCGGAGATGCCATGTAGGTGTCTGTTGGTTCCCTTACACAAGGTGTAATTTACGAACTTAGAATGTTAAGGGTGGCATACCCATGAAGCCATTAATTCGCGATTGGCGATATATCTTTACTGTTATCTCGCGTTCAGGCTTCTTGCAAGCTCTGCTTTTCAGATACCTCACGTTGCAGGCTTCGGGCTTTGAGTCAGGTCCCAATTCACTCCCGGCTTCAGCTGTGGCTAGGGAGAAGGAGAAGGAGTGGCGCAGCGAGATGTGGCTATGCTGCTAAATCATCTTTCTTAGCTAAGAGTAGCCTAGCACGTCGCCCTAACCCTCCTGCTTCCTTCAACGTCCAGGATTCAACAAACCACAGCACTTTGTCTCAATTCATCAGCCCATAGACGTCTCTCAATTATCAGTCTACTAGGAGAATTGCCGCTTACTGGCAATGCGGCAACGTCAGATCCCCTGCCGTCGTCCGCCTGCTATCCAGACGTCGAGGCTGTCCCCAACAGAACTTCCACTGATCACTATACCTGCGAATTGAGGAACCATCAAGGGCGACATACTTGCCAACAATATGCAATGTGTTTTGAACTGGTGCAGAGAAGCTAGAGGTAACGTTTACGCCTTTCAGGAACGGCCATGTCTTCCCCGCCGTTCTCTTGGGTTCAACATGTAGGATGGCTTACAGTCCGGTTTAGGTTCGTATAAGCTCTAGGTGTCTCTGTGTCCGTTACACCTCCCCCTATGAGTGGCCATTTGCGTCAAAATCTTTCGGTTCGCGTGTACGCACAATGCCTCTCCCCGCACCCGTTTGTTTCAATTATAGACGCTCATATCGGCAACCTCGTGAGGCGGAGTCTTATTCTAGCATGGCCTCGAAGAGCCATGCTCTTTAAACTTTCATATCCCGGCTATACAGTGGGATAGTTTACCTACGGCATTTTCTCGTGCTAAAAGCATGTTAGCATGTTACTTGTAGCCGCGGACACCGGTGAGAACAAGGCAAGCAGAGCGCCGGCGCTGTCAAGCCAAACTGCAGCGGGGCCTAT